GCGAGAGATTTTATGCAGCTGGAAGGGCGTCAGCGCCTTGGCCCTAACACTATGTGGTTCAGAGGCGAGGTTGAGCGACTCGAGGCAAAGCGCAATCCTCCCAACGCTGAGCCAATCCGAGATTCAGAACTTCAAACATCCCCTCAAACAAGTGACCGCCACGGGTCAAGCCTTCAGCAGCTCCTACCCGAGCACGTTGACCGCCATCTGCAGCCCGTCAGCGCTTGCAGTCAGCAGTCTCTCGCCACGAGCAAGATCTACACCATCGACACAGCCCCATCCGCCGTTCAGGCCACCCAGCCTAAGCACGACTTGAAGTTTCAATATCTCGGCGACGGCAAATTGCGTTTCACTTGGTGACACCCTCAGAGACATAAACCGCCTGAGCGATGAGAGAAATGTTGTATTGGCAACACAGTTGGCCTCTACACAGACTACACAATCTGTGGATCTGCAGACTGCCTATGCAAAGAACAAGCTTGACCACGAGTCCACAAAACGCCTTCGCCGGGGCATTGAGAAGATCATCTCTCAACGTCAAAGAGTGTACGCCCCGGAGAGAGAGATTGACATCATCAACGAGAATCATCAGGAAGACGAGAGGGAACTTGAGGAGGATCTACTCGCCATCAAGCAAGAGAGGGATGATCTCCGGGCAAGGTGCGCCGATCTCGAATCTGGATCGAGTCGCTCATTCATCCTCTTACTTAACAAGAAGCAAGAGACTCAACAAAGAGAATCAAACATCGTAAACAGCTGGTCTCAAGCCCTTCAGCACATCAGGGATGCATTAGTCAACGACAAGGTCGACGTTGACAACTCTGTCCTGAGGACAATTCTTCCTTCTACGATCTCGTCCATCGACAAGTTTCATCACAAGGATCAAGAGCCATATCGTTTTGCCAATTCATACTTGGCAAGGTCGTCTCTCACACGTTCCTTTGTCGACCCAATCACAACAGTAAACTTGTTCTCGCCCGACCCTGGTTCTGATTCGTATATTCGGCCTGATGCACTCAATTCGAACACGATACGGTGCCCGGCCGCCCAACTGTCATCACACCCCGACCGTACCTTGCAGCGCATTTGATACTATAAAAGGCATAGTTGTTTTTGCAAACAAGGTCTATCCACAGAGAGTCGACGCTTCTTGCTTCCTAGTGAGAGTGTCTCGTTTCCTGTTGCTATTCTGCATTTCTACAGCCACATGCGCTGAATACTGTTCCACACGAGGAAGGGTAACAACGACGTGACCCTTCTTCGCAGACTCTTTAACTTCTACAAGCAACCAGCTGGCGCGATGCAGTCCATTGACCCTGATGTTTTGAGTCGATTTTTGTTGAGACGTACCAAATAGATGCGGATGCGACATATTATGAACACCAACCACATTCGGCATCGCATGGACCCTGTATACAAAAGTTTCTGGCTTCCCACAGAACCACCATGAGCAGAATCAGGTGGTGGAGTAGATTGGATGGACATCAAACCGCAACTTCGACGATGAGACGACGCTTCCAGTTCGGGTAGATTTGCTATACAATCCGCCGCAGATCCGTCGAACCGTCTCATCTCCACGCACTGGATAGATAGTGCTTTCAAACTTCTTAGGCATATATTCTCAGATGTTCTCCAGCATTCTACCAATTCAGATTCTTCATGCTCCAATCGCGCATAGCGAGATACGATATCAATGTCGGAGGACTGGGTGACTGCAGCAGCGTTACCCCACAGCCTCCACGTCAGGGTCCGCATCCAACGACTTGCCGACTTGCCGCTTCCGCAACTTAGTCTGTCCTGGCCGCCTGACACCTCTTACCACACTCCGACCTTACCTACCTTACAGCAGAACTCAGCCTATTAGAAGACATGATTGTTTTTGCAAACAACATCTATCCACAAAGATTCGACAACTCATGGCTTCGCGGCGACGATCTCCCCGTCTCCACCATGTCGGGGGGCAAATTTGGTAACCGTGCGCAAATAAATCAGGCCCCTCGCTAAAGTTCTAGACACTTATGTACAGAGCTCATGGCCCAAGCTTGAGAGAATCTCCGACTCTCAACATCTCGACACTCGAGCAGGGTGTTATGGGGCTTACAGAAGATTCCATGGTCGAATTTGTGCATCTTGCCTGTGATGAATCAAGAATCGATCCTACATTCAGACATCGGCCACTTGCTGTTGTGGGAACGTGTTTGAAGCTTTAGCGAGAAACTGCCTATCCCAATCGTGCTTTGGCCATGGTTAATATATGAGAGCGAGCATCGCATGGCCAAAGAGGAGACCACGCCGTCCCACCTGCAATCTATTATATGAATTGTTCTGGATCAGCAGTCCCCAACCAACCAGCACTTGTGCAATTCAGAGACATTCATGTCAAGCTTGAGCCGTTAAAGGAGAAGCTTGAGTAAGTATAAGGAGCGTCGTCCTGCAAGTCTGCGATGTCTCCCTCAAGCTGGCCCTTTGGATAGCCTCTGTCCAGTCATTCATCACAACCCCCAGTGAGCAATTTTTCAAACCATCCTCTCGCCTGGAAGCTAACCTCTCAAACTAGCATTCTCTTCCAACAATGCGTTTCCAGCAAGTGATCGGCTCTCTTGCAGCTTTGGCTTCCTTCGCTACTGCTGTTGATCTTACTGGCTACGAATATGTCGTTGTTGGATCTGGTGCTGGTGGAGNNGGTACGTAAACCACATGGATTCACTTCTGTCATGTCTAACCATCTTACAGTCCCCTTGCCGCTCGTCTTGCCCTCGCTGGTCACAAGACACTGCTCATCGAAGCTGGAGACGACCAGGGCGCCAATGTCAACTACACTGTTCCTTCCTACAACGCCAAGGTCTCGGAAGACCCCAATCTCGCATGGAACTTCTTTGTCAAGCACTACGCTGATGAGGAGCGTCAAGCTCGGGATTTCAAGACCTCTTACCAGACTCCCGATGGCGGTCTCTACACTGGTCTTGACCCTCCGCCAGGATCCGAGATGAAGGGGACTCTGTATCCTCGTACCGGTACTCTCGGAGGCTGCACAGCACACAATGCCTTGATCGCTGTCTATCCCCATCGTTCGGGTGCGTAGCTTGTTCAGCCAAGTGTGGGAGTTTCACTGACACATTTCATAGACTTTGATAACATTGCTACCATCACCGGTGATGCATCATGGTCTGCCGATAACATGCGCAAGTACTTTGTCAAGCTCGAGAACAACCACTATTTGCTCCCCGGCCAGAAGGGACACGGCTACGAAGGCTGGCTCGGAACCTCTTACGCCCCCATCGATATTGTCCTCACCGACCCAAAGCTTCTCAGTCTTGTCACCGGTGCCACCTTTGCACTCGGTAACCAGACCAATGCTATTCTCAACCTCGCCTCCCTTGTCGCTGGCGATGCCAACTCGGCTTCCGCCAACCGGGATAGCCAGCCCTCCATCTTCCAGATTCCCTTGTCGACCGCTGATGGCAAGCGTGGTGGCTCCAGAGAATTTGTTGTTGCTGTTCGTGATGCCAAGAACGCCGATGGCTCAAAGGCTTTCCCTCTTGGTGAGTCTCCCTTGTGATACTTCTCGGAAGAATATCCAATCTAACGTGGAGCCCAGNACGTCAGAACCAACTGCCACGTTACCAAGATCACCTTCGACCAGTCTACAACCCCTCGCGCTACTGGTGTCGAGTTCCTTGATGGTGCCTATCTCTACAAGGCGAGTCCCAAAAACTCCGGCAATGCTGGTGTTGCTGGATCCGTAACTGCTTCTCGCGAGGTCATCATCTCCGGTGGAACCTACAACTCTCCCCAGCTCCTGAAGCTTTCAGGTGTGGGACCGGCCGACGAGCTCAAGCAGTTTGACATTCCCGTCATCGTCGACCTTCCCGGTGTTGGCACAAACCTCCAAGACCACTACGAAATCAACGTTCAGGGCAAAGCTCCTTCTGATTTCTCCGCACTCAATGGCTGTACTTTCGATGCCAGTGCCCAGGACAAGTGCCTGGATCGCTACAACAAGCCTATTCTCGGAAATCGTGGCATCTACTCTTCTCCCGGTCTCGGTGCCGCCATGTTCTACAAGTCCAGCGTCGCTGAGCACAACGAGTTCGACGTCTTCGTCTTCGGTGGTCCTGTCAACTTCCGTGGTTACTTCCCCGGTTACAGTGTCAACGCTACCGCCGAGCACGACTGGTTCACCTGGGCAATCCTCAAGGCCCATCCTCGCAACAATGCAGGAACCATCAAGCTACGCTCTGCAGACCCTCTCGATACCCCCGAGATTGTCTACAACTACTTTGACACTGGTGTCGGTGATTACGAGAAGGATCTCACTGCTCTCAACGAAGCAGTCCACCTCGCTCGTGACTCTTTCAAGCGTCAGCTCGTCAAGATTGATGAAGTCCTCCCTGGCAAGGATGTCACCACCAGAGAAGGCATCTCTGAATACGCAAAGAACACTGCATGGGGTCACCACGCCTCATCGTCTTGCCCCATTGGCGCTGATGATGACAAGATGGCTGTTCTTGACTCGAGCTTCAGGGTCCGCGGCACTGCTGGTCTGCGTGTCGTTGATGCTTCCGTATTCCCCAAGATCCCTGGTACTTTCACCGCTGTCTCGACATACATGATTGCCGAGAAGGCGGCCGATGTCATCTTGCAGCAGCTTAACCAGTAGAGGGAGAATGTGTCAATGCCGTATACACGAAGGAGGGCTGAGGTGGCCATATTTGCAAGTAAAGCTTCCTCCCCGTGTACTAAATTCTGTAACTTCACCCTTCTCCGACTGAAGCTAACAGCAAAATCTAGACTATAAAAGGCATAATCGCGATCGGAAATAGAGCGTGTCCACAGAGAGTCGACAAATCATCGCTTCTCAGTGGATACTGTCTTATTTCCTATTACTATTGTGCATTTCTATAGCCAAACGCGTTACATGCTTTGGTATACGGGGAGGTTGTGTAGAACAATTTCAATTGCATTCATGATGATTATATGGTTTGAAATTCTTCTGCGGCTCACTCTTTGTACAGCCAAATCAACATGCTCTGATAATCAGCAATCTGCCATGCCAAATTCAATCCGCCATTCATCAACGTGTTTCCGCTTAGCGTGCCATTGTACAAATTGCTCGAGTATCTTGCCGTGGCATTCAAACCCTGCATCCTCAATGGCGGTGGTGCAGGCTTGATCATGGCTTGTTGCTGGAATGCGAACACCACTGCTGTATTCTCGTCTTCAGAAACAAACTGTACAGCAGGCCAGTTCGTGTCACCGGGCCATGCAATGCGGTGGAATGACCCAGAGATGACGATTGGATTGATCTTCTCATGCGTAGCAAGGATAGAAGGAATAGCCGCACGTTCTTCTGCACTGAGATCAACAGGATTGAGCTCGAANCTGAAAGAACCGCACATCAATGCAACGTGTGCACGATACTCAATCGAGATATTGCGGTTGGTCAAGCCATTAGGAACCTTTGATACGTGACAAGCCATTGAAGATGGAGGATATGCGAGTGAAGTACCCATCTGAATAGTCAGGCGATCCGAGGCGTCAGTGTTGTCAGATGTCCATGATTGAGGGTAGTAGTGCAAGATGCCTGCGTCAAAGCGACCACCTCCTGAAGCACAGCCTTCCCAGAGGATCGAAGGATAAGAACCTGTCAAGTTGTCCATGACACGGTACATGCCTAGTGTGTATGCATAGTCTGCAGCAGGCGACGACATCTCGTGAATACCTCTGTTGTTGTCCCACTTGATGTAAGAGATATTGGCAGACTTTATGACGTTGGAAATGGCATTGATGAGATAATCTTGCACTTCTGGGAGTCCGAGGTTCAAGACCAGCTGATTGCGGGTAAGTGTGCGCACATGTCTACCGGCATGCATAACCCAATCAGGATGTTCGTGATATAGAGTAGAGTTGGGATTGACCATCTCAGGCTCGACCCAGATTCCGAATGAAAGATCCTTGGTTGTGTTTGCCACTGCGTAGCTGTCAACAGCATCAACGTATGGGCCGAGACCATCAGGGAACCGAGCAGGATTCGGTGTCCAGTCTCCAAGACCAGCAGTATCGTTCGTGCGTGCATATGGTGCAGTACCAAACCATCCATCATCCATGACAAACAAGTTGATACCAAGTTCAGCAGTTTCCTGAGCAAGATTCTCCAGCGAAGTTTGATTGATGTCAGCACCAAGACCTTCCCAAGAGTTGAGGAGAGCTGGCCTCGTCTCGAAAGTGTGCTTCGATCTGGAGAGATGATTGCGGTACAGATCATGGAAGGATCTTGACATGCCTCCAATACCCTGAGATGAATATATGCCAACAGCTTCGGGAGATTGGAATGTCTCGCCAGGTCCAACGGGTATACTAGCATGAAGTGGATTCAAGCCAAGCAAGACACGAACAAAGCCGTGAGAGAATCTTTCAGCAGTCGCTGCAAAACTGCCAGTGTAGACGAGATTGAATCCCCAAGCTTCGCCAGTGGTCTCGGTGGTGGTTGGCGAGTGGAGTGCGAAAAANGGATTGTGAACATGCGAGGAGTATCCTTCGGTACTTCTGAAGCCAGTCTCTCCAAAGTCGACATTCCTGATGACCCTGTTGGCTTCATGAGACCAATCGCCTTGCAACTCGAGCATCTTCAGGTCAAGGTTAGGCAAGTCGGTGCTGAAACTTGCTGCTCTCTCGATGGAGATGTTGTTGGTGCCATTGTTGGTGATCTGGAAACTTCTTGCAATGGCATTATACTCGGGAAATACTGAGTACGACAGAGCAGCAGACACATCTGAGTAGTTGTCGTAAAGCTTGACGATCAAGGTAGTGACATCTCCAGCATTGCCATATGTTGCGGGAAGTCCAATGAGCGCGGGCTTGCCTTGAACGATCTGATGGCTCTGGTATGTGAAGGCAGAAACAGTATCACCATCAGCATGACTGATGTGAATGGCAGGAAGACGGAAATCGCTACGGCCGACGTCTGGAAACTCGCGACGAACATTGGTCAAGCCAGGAGTGCCGATATTGTCAAGTCCAGTTGACCAGCCACTGTTTGAGATTTGAGCAGGACCTGTGAAATCGTCTACTGGTCCACCAAAGTGATCGGAGACGAGGTCACCAGATCGAGGATCGACGTGGAAGCGATATGAAACATCAGCGCCGCTCAAAGAGAAGTTTGTGCCTGTGGCAACAATATCTGAATCATCTGTGTCAGCGTTGAGGAAAGTGTCCAAGCTTGATTATTACACACCTCCATTGACACCAGCTACTAGTCCAGCAACCAGCGAAAGCTGTAGTAAACGATTGGTAGAATACATCTCGAACAAGAGATAGTTGAAGGAGCTCCCAGATCATCGAGGCAGGGCGCATTGTTTATATACATAGTGGCACAGCCGGCAGAATACTGGCTTGGCTGCTTGTTGATCATGCGACGAAAGCTGGAGATCGGCATGCGATGTGGGGTAGATTATGGTAGAGGGCAAACCCAGTGGTGGATAAATCGTTCGCCTTCCCGTCGTTCCTGCTGGGCACATGGCGCATCGTAGAAGTCGAATGTTTCTGGATGCAACCCTAGCGATCAATCGGACCGAGTGTTGCATTGGACTACAGATTCTGCTTTTCATTGGTGACCTACCTTCTCTTCCGGGACAAGCATTGACTTACCACACATTGCCGGCAACTACATAGTAGGAGACCGCCAGATCGAGATTGCATAAAAGTTCTGGAAGATGACAGGTCCATGTATACATGTAAGGATGGTTGGAGAGGCAGGAGCCCAAGTGACAAGGTACGAGGCGAAGTGATGTGCAGGAAACATCCATCCCCAACCTCTTGCTGTGGAGTTGAAGCTCAAAGGCGGGCAAGGCGGGGTGAAGTTGTGCTACGGGCACTGGCCGATGTCGCCACTCGGTGTGCTTGGCAGAAGGTTATGCAAGGTTGTGAAAGCTCATAGTTGCATATCCGATGTGCTTATGATTCTACCAAATACCAAAGTCTATGACTGCCACCGTACTCCTACTGTAGCTAAGAGCATGAAATGGACTATGCAAATGCAGAATTATCTATGGGAAGAGAGACGTTTCCATAGAGAGTCAAAAAACATGGCTTCTTAGTGGACATGGCTTACTTTCAATGACTATTGTGCATTGACATAGTCATTGACATTGGAACATCAGCAATCAAAGATCATTCAAGTCTCAAGACCCTGACAGCATTTCCACCCATAACATCATCTCTGCTCTTGTGGTCTGTTCCAAACACCTCACCCACAGCTGCCGTGTTTGTCTTGACAGAAAGCCATTCTTCATCACCCTCATCCAGCGGAGGAAAGAACGGATGATCAGTTCCAAACATCAATCTATCCTTTCCACTAGCTTCAATCGCAGCCTTCAATCCAGCTTCGCCATACACCACGGCATCAAGATAGATATTTGTCTTCAAGATGTCCCAAATCGATCTCCTTCCTTCAATCTTGTTTGCTTTCTTCAAGTGACCATCGTGAGCAATGCAGGACTCAATCCTGCCAGCCAGAAAAGGCAGTGTACCGCCAGAGTGTGCAAGCAACATTTCCAAACTGGGGAAGCGGTCGAAGACGCCGGAAAGAATGGCTCGAGTGATTGCGATTGTGGTTTCCATAGGGAAGCCTAAGGCTAGAGGCAGAACGTGTCCGTACTCTGCCGCTCTGTCGCCGTACACGGAGGCAGGAAGACCGTAATGAGGATGCAAGAAGACGAGTTGCTTGGATTCCTGCAGGGCTGACCAAATGGGCTCAAGAGCTGGATCATCCAATCCTTTNCCAAGTCCTGAGGTTCCAATGATGACGCCACGGAAGTGGGAGAGCGTATTGAGACGTTTGATCTCTGCGACTACTGCATCGGCACCAGCATTGAGTGGTAGAGTGCCAAAGGCATACAAGCGGCCTGGATGGCGCGAACAGACTTGCTCGACATCATCATTGATTTGAGTCGCAACAGAAGCAGCCTCGGATGCGTCACACCAATCTAGCCATGGATTGGCAAGAGATATAACACTGATGTCAATGTGATGTTTATCCATGAACTTGGTCTTCTCCTCTTCTTCGTAGTATTCAGGGCCAATTGGGCGTCCGCGCGCAGTGGATGTTGCTGCATCTTCGCTGGGTAGAATCACAAGTCTTTCTCCGGCTGATGGATTGTCGGAGAACGTTCGCATGTACGGGACGGTGGTGCGTGAGCGAAGGAGCGAAACGTATGCCGGTGGATAGATGTGTGTATGGACATCGACAACGGGTGCCATATTGAAGAATGTCTCTGATAGATTTCGGGTTTCAGAGAAGGTACGTAGGTCGGAGTGAAAGAAAGGCGAATTCAAAGCCAGCGGCGAGGCTTGTGCGTGTCACGCCATTATCAGTGTTGTAAACAAACACTTGTCATCTTGAATCCTACCAACAACGAAAGATGCAGCGATAGGGAGACGATATGATAAGAAGGACGGGAAAAGAAGGTGTAGCTCACCCCGCACTTGTAAACCCCACCATGATGGTTCGCCTATCAATGCAGGACAGAGATAAGAAACATCGCGTGAGGAGAATGATAAGGAAAGCTGCAGGGTAAAAGAGATACAAATACCGCATGTGCTTCTTCTGGAGTTGTCGTTAGTCAGTCTCCACAAAGATCTTACCTGTTGATACCGAAACATGAGCACTCCTACAGTTACCACGGCGGTCGGTGCCGACAATCTTACCATTCNNCCGTGAGCGTACTTCATCTTGTACGTGGGATACTGCTGACACTGCCAGCTTATCGACTTCTCGGCTTTCCAGACTACAGATCCGTCGATTCGTGAAGCAACAGCCAAAGCCATCCTCTCGGGCTTTCAAACAGCCGGCTTCATCTACATCCGCAATCATGGCATCGACAAAGCTGCGGTAGAAGAGGCGTTCAAGTACAGCGCAGAGTTCTTCAAGAGACCAGTCAGTCAANAAGAGCAGCTTGCCTGGACAACACCTGAAGCCAATCGCGGTTATGTTCGGCAAGGACGCGAGAAGACGACTGATCTCGTGGACCCTGTCGAAATCGAAAAGCAAAGAGCGCTTGAAGGAGCTGACTTGAAGGAGTCTCTCGAGATCGGCCGTGAGGGTGTTGATGGGCTGGAAAATCAATGGCCAGACCGATTCGACGAAGATGGGAAAGTGTTTAGGGAGAAGATGTTGGGTTTCTTTGAGGTCTGCAAGGACCTGCATGTGCAGGTGATGCAAGCGATTGCTGTTGGTCTTGGTATCGATGCGCACTGGTTTGACAAGTTCTGTAATGCAGGCGATAACACTTTAAGGCTGTTGCACTATCCGGCAGTGAGCAGCAAAGTGTTTGCCGAGAACAAGAACAGTGTTCGAGCAGGAGCACACACCGACTATGNNGTTAGTGGAATCAGCAAGCCATGGTGTACACGGCTGACAGAAGCAGGATCAATCACGTTGCTATTCCAGGACGCTCGAGGTGGTCTGCAAGTTCTGTCACCCATGGGTACATATGTGAATGCGACTCCAATCCCGGATACGATTGTTGTCAACGCAGGAGATTTGCTGGCAAGATGGAGCAACGATACGATCAAGAGTACAAAGCATCGCGTTGTCGAGCCACCAGTCAAGGCAGATGCGGACTTTCATCCTGCGAGATACTCGATGGCCTACTTCTGCAATCCTAACTTTGACAGATTCATCGATGCCATCCCAGGGACATTTGATGAGGCCAAGCAGAAGAAGTATCAGGGCGTGAATAGTGGCGATTATCTGGTTCAGAGGTTGACGGCTACTTATTGAGGCCTTGGTTGTGATACAAGCTTGACGAGGTTGGAATGAGAGTATATGATGATAACAAGACGATGTTTGGATTGTTCCAGATGAGAAGTTTTGATGGAGACGACGAAAGAGAGGGAGAACTTGGAAGGTGACGCGGGCAATCGGGCAAACTGCAGCCGAAGCGAAACGCTCAAGTTCAGCTTCGTCACCACCACCAACTTTGTATTCAAGTCAAACCAAGAAACCCACACTCTATCAAAATCAACAGACTCAGCACGATGCGCGCCCACATGTCATCCTCAATGCAAGCGCTCTACCGCGTCTTTGTACAGCCAGCGCTATCAACACGCACACGACCACTCCAGCAAACCCTCCAACCTCTCAGATCCACCACCCGCGCCTTCCACTCCACACCCCTACAATCCGCAGCAGGAAAACGGCTTCCAGAAAAGCGCAAACACCTCTGGGACGAAGAAATCCCCGCCCGCCGCATCCAACTCGTCGACCCGGAGACAGACGCCCTGCAACCGCCAACCCATCTCCGCGACGTCCTAGCCAGCATTGACCGCAAGAGCCACCGCATCATCTGCGTCACACAGCCGCCGGCAGGAAACTGGACGGAAGAATGGATACCCGTGTGCAAGCTCGAAGACAAAAAAGCCGCCTACGAAGCCGAAAAGGAAAAAAGAGACTCAAGCAGCAAANAGATGGCTGCCGACACTACCAAAACGCTGGAACTGAATTGGGCCATTGATCAGAATGATTTGGGACACAGGATGAAGAGGATGCAAGAGTTTTTGGGCCAGGGGAAAAAGGTCGAGATTGTACTGGCTAGGAAGAAGGGTGGAAGGAGAGCTACTCCTGAAGAGTGTGAGGAGTTGCTGCAGAAGATCGATTTGGCTGCAGAGGCTGTCAAGGGCACAAAGGAGATCAAGAAGTTTGAAGGGAAATTGGCAGGCATGGGAAGCCTGACATATGAGGGCCCCAAGCCTTAGTGGTATACTTGTACAGATAGGTTAAACGACAAGCTTGACCTGTGACTGCAGGTCGCTCGAGTGTCTGTGGAACATCTTGTCGAGCGCCTTCTTCTCAATCACAATGCGACCACCCTCGAGCAAGTCCTTGACGTCAACGTCGTCGACACTCAGAGCGCGAGCCTCCTTGTCCATGCCGGGTTGTTGTAGAGCAGCGAAGAGCTTCTCTCTGGGCTCGGCCGTGACGAACAGACTGCCACCACTTGGGTTGCCCCACTTGTTCCATCGCAGCATCTCTTTCAACCACCTCGCAGCACCAGGACCTTGGACGTCAATCTCTGCAGGTCCACCCAAGACAACCAACTCGCCCTTCTTGTAGCGATAACTCAAGGCAGTCCTCCAGGCCAAGTCGTAGATCTTGCTGGGTAGGTCGGTGCTAAAGTCTCTGGGCTTGGGACCAAAGGCGACACCACCACCTCTCAGCATTGGCGACTTCTTGTCACCAAGACGGGCGCGACCGGTTCCCTTNTGCGGACGGACCTTGCGATTGGAGCCGTGAACTTCTGAGCGGTATTTTGTGCTTGCGGTGCCCTGACGTGTGGCATCTCCTTCAAAGACGATTGCGCGGTGTAGGATGTCACGACGTAGTGGCAGCAGGAGATGGGTGCTGGGGTATGTGACAAAGCTCTTGGGTTCGATCTTTGGGAAGTCGTGGATGGTGCATGTAGCGGTCGAGAGGAAAGGGTTTGGTGGTTGTTGGAAGGGGCGGTGGGACTCGGCGGCAGGTGTGGGAGGCGGCGGAGTGAACTGGTCGTTCAAGACGGGAATGGTAGCGGTGGATGAGAGGGCGGCATCGCTGTAGGACTGTGCAAGTAAAGACTCTGATGATGTGGGTAGCGATTCGGTGGCCAGCCCGCGCGCAAACACNCTGGACGCCTGGTCAGTCGCTGTCTGGATTTGTTGGAGCAGGAAACATACAGAGGGGGCGCTTCTCCAGCGGGCGCAAGTGACGACTGCTCTTCGTGTGGCCATTGTTGTGTGTGTTTTGTTCTGGATAGGCAGGAGTGACTTGGTCGTGACTTGGTCGTGACTTCCTTGGGCGGACGAAAAAGTCGGTCTTGGCATGGACCTTCAGACGCTTTGCGCCCTTCCCAAATCCACGGCCGACAGAAGAAACTCGATCTGTCAACTCTTTGGTCCCAGACCGTGTCCGGCATATACACAATGGCCTCTTCGTCGCGAGCGCTACGAGGGCTCTCTGCTCGCGCCTTTTCCACTTCGGCTGCCGTCGCCGAAGAAGTCGTCGCCTCAGCTCCTGCTGCCGGATCTGCTTCCCTAGATTCGTCTCTCGCCCAGGACAACGTCTTTACTCCCAGGGCCGAGCGCAAACTCCTCCGTACCCGTGGTCTTACTCCCGTCGGTTCTCGCAGACGTCGTGCCGCCATCCTCTCGGGCTCGCGCATTCCCTTTGAGCAATTGCCCTACCAATGTTTCCAAGAAGCCCGCAAAGTCTTGATCCAACACCGTGAAGAGAAGGTCAAGCATATCGAGACTGAGCGCCAGAAGATTGCCAGATTGAAGGCTCAGACTGTCGAACCTCAAAATGAACAACGGCACCAGCACCGAGTCAACAGCATGGAACGTTACCTGGACCAACTCAAGATTCACGCAGACATCAACGATCCCATGGTCAAGAGGAGGTTTGAGGACGGAAAGGGTATGGTTCCCTTCCAAAACACGACCAGGCCCTATGACTGACTCTTGACAGGCGACATGGACAAGCCCATCTACCGCTACCTCGCCGACAAANAGTGGCGCCAGTACGACCGCATGATTGTCATGCAGCGCATCACCCAGATGAATGTCGTACCAGACGTCCTTCCCACTATCGATCCCACCCTCAACGTCTCGCTTTCCTTTGGTCCTCGCGACGTCCAGCCTGGTGAATTTGTCGACAGCAGAGTCTCGGAAGTTCCTGCCCATCTCAACATCCAACCCTACGACAAGGGCGAGCGCTACGTCAGCATTGCCATTGTAAACCCCGACGTGCCCAATGTCGAGGCAGACGGCTTCGACTACCGCTGCCATTTCCTCGCCTCCAACGTCAAGATCTCTCCTACCCAGACCTCTGTCTCGCTCGCCAAGTTGAACGATGACCAAGTCATTCTTCCCTGGTTGCCTGCATACACTCAAAAGGGTCTCGCATACAGCCGCATGTCCATCTTTGTCCTCGAGCAANAAGATGGCCAAATTCTGGACGCAAAAGCCCTATCACAGCGTTACGAGCATGACGATTTCATTCTGAGGAGCTTCGTTGACAGACACATCTTGAAGCCTGTTGGTGTCAATCTGTTCAGAAGCAGACACGACGAAGGTACTGCTGGTGTCATGCAAAGAGCTAGAATTCCTGGTGGTGATGTCGAGTTTAAGAGGAAGAAGATTGAGCCTCTGCCTTACAAGAAGCTGCCTGGTTCAAGATACAGGTAGTCTTGGGTATACCTTTGTATTATATATCCCTGTCATGTACCAAAATCATTCATCAACTTTTCTTTTGACAAACAGGCCTTGCACTCCTCGGAGCTTGAAAGACCAGAGATCGTGACAAGATCGATGTCGCTGGCTCTTAATTCTCATCATTTCCATATCTCAACAATGATCGCCTGTAGGCATGCAGTCAAATACACGCATCACATTTGTGTAATTAATGATTGGTCGTGCGGCTCTTCATCGGCGTCAAGAAACCAGCTCCGTCTTTTCTGCAGGTCATTGATCTTGACCGTATTCGAACACATGAAGTTGAGTAGCACGCAGGACACGAATGTTATTTGTTGCAGACTGATGTGTACAATGACTCTCCATCTCCACCCTCCACTCTCCACGGAGTTGTTGACCTCAAGATGAACAAAACACATGGATTCAGGCAATCATCTTCCGAGAAAAGTGGAGCCATCAAGACTCAACAACAACAGCCCTGACAACGACAAGCACGAACAACCAATATGAAACATAAGAAGCGGCGTCGAAGCCGTTCTGCGAATTCAATACCTTCGCTCTCCGGACTGTTGTCGCGAGAATGGCTTCTTCTGTGGAAATGACTGTTAACCCCAAGAATGGAAACTCACAAGGGGACAACGCCAAAGATGCCGAAATCCAAGGAGACAAGACCAAAGATGCCGAAATCACTGTCTGGGATACGCAATCTGACATATCAAAGAATTCAAAGCGTATTTCCTGGTTTGTGATTTTTGCCAGCGCGCTTGCCAATTTCTCGGATGGCTATCAGAACAATTTGGTAAATATTGCCGTGTCCGCAAGAAGGGATTCGGGACTGATGGATCGAACAGNNTCTTCACATACGAATGTGGTTTTCAGCCACACACTCGGAAAAGCATACACTTCGACAATCCAGACCAGGATATCGAATGCCTTGCTCGTTGGTGCTGTCATAGGCATCGTTATTCTTGGCTATACATGTGACATCTGGAGTCGACGAGGAGGACTCTGGGTCACTTCTTCTCTCGTTGTGATTGGCAGTTTGCTCGCCACTCTGGTGTTTCAGGTGCAAGGACAGGGTGTGGGAGATATGATGTGGTATATGACCATTGCAAGAGGAATTACTGGTGTCGGTGTTGGAGGGGAGTATCCTCCTTCTGCCGCTGCTGCATTGGAAGGCAGTAACGAGGTATGTTGGAGATTTCCACAAGAATCCCCCGTCAACCTGAGAAGGATAGGTTTACTGACAACAACACATAGCNATTACGATCACATCAGAGGACCCATCCAAGTACTTACCTCAACCCTGATGGCCACCTCAGCAGCACCAATCTGCACAGCCATCTACCTAATCTCTCTCACCGCCAGCCACAACAATCTCCGCACCGCTTTCCACGCCATCTACACCATTTCAATCTTCCTACCTTTGTTGGTTGCATTCCTCCGTTTCCGCATGCGCGACGGCATCCTCTTCCGCCGCAACAACTTCAAAACCAAACTCTCACCTCCATACCTGTTGGTGTTGAAACGCTACGGATGGAGATTGCTAGGCACCTCTTCTGCATTTTTCATCTACGATTTTATCAATTTCCCCAATGGCATCATGAGTTCGGTGATCATCAACAATGTGGTGCCGGGCAAGGATGTACGTCAAACAGCCATTTGGCAGTTTATCCTTGCGTTGCTGGCGGTTCCTGGTCCGATTGTTGGTAGTTATCTTTGCAACCGCATTGGCCGTCGTTGGACGGGTATAGCAGGTTGGACAGGCTACATCATTCTCGGTTTCGTGATTGGCGGCTGCTACACCCAACTCACGCAAAACGCCATCGCGGCTTTTGTGGTGCTCTACGGCTTGATGCAGTGTTTTGGGCACATGGGTCCGGGCGCCACCATTGGTCTTATGAGTGTGGAATTGTATCCCACAGCAGTCAGAGGCATGAGTTATGGCATCTCGGCTGCGTTTGGAAAAGCTCNNGGTGCTGCGGTGGGGACGCAGGTTTTCACGCCCATCAGAGATGCTGCGGGTCCGGCGTCCACATTCTATTTGCTTGGTGGGTTGTCAATCTTGGGAGCGGGAATCTATTATATCCTGCCTGAGGGACGGGAATTAGATCTTGCTGCTGAGGATGAGAGCTTCAACATCTATCTCAGGAGTGAAGGGTTTGACAAAACCAAGGTCGCGACTAAAGTATCGCCGAAGTATCGACGTGAGGATTCTTTTGGCAACGGTTATGTTTTTCTACGCCATCTAAATACACACACTTCACATTCTCACGAACCTTCGAAAACATTCATCTTTTCGTTTTCCTCGAGAACATTTCTTGATTTGTTCGATTTTCCACCACATCTTCGACCGATATTGCAACCATGGCCAACGATTCCAAGTCTACTCTGCTGCTTGTAGGCAACACACTCCTCTTCTTGGTCTTAGGCGGTCTCGCACTCGGTTTGGGCGCATACGGCACGCCTGAAATGCGTGAGCAGCTCCGGAAAGACGATGCAGAGCGGCGAAAACAGCGAAACCAAAAGTCTTGCCATCAATCATGCAAAACCATGACAGCGAGGGGAAGTGGCTGTTGCTGTTGCTGCCGTCATGCTCGACACCACAATCGCGGAGAGTCACGAAATCAAGAGAGCTGGTCTTCGCAACAATGCGGTAATACTCTGAACTATGGGTAAATACTTGAAGCAGTCATGGTCTATGTCCATATCTCAAGCCACACTGGAATCGCTATCAGTGCGTCTAGCAACCCAACTTTTGACAGAAAAGCCCTTTTTTTCTTCCNNCTTATGCCAGGTCCTGCCTTTTCTCTCATCGTTGGCAATCAATATCTCTTCACCAGTAACCTGATAATCCATTCTACTCTCCTGCTCAGGTGCAAATCGCATCAACGCCCAATAGCAAATCCCAGCAGCAACAAAAGAATACATATATCCAATCGCAAAACTACACCAACAGTCAGTCATGAGCAAAATCAACAGCAGTAGAGGTGAAGTAACTCACATATGTTGACCAGCCAGAGAAACGCCAAGCTTGCCTTGATCAATGCTATCCACAAATCCAGGCAACGGAGGTGCAAAGCCAACGATCAAAGCAACAACGGCACGCCAATTAGTCGCGAATTTGGGTGAGTAGCGGTAGATGCCGTCGAATTTGTACATGTCTGGTACGGAGACGTTGCCACGACGAGTAACGTAGTAGCTGTAAATTTAGATCAGTATACTACTCTTTTCCATCTTCAGATGCGAGGAAACTCACTCTACCATGATGATGGCGGTCATCGGGCCAAGGAAGATGGTATATCCACTCAAGAAAGCCAGGAACTTTTGCGCAGAAGCCAGGATTTTCCACTATTCGGCATGATTGCGTCAGTAAAAGCAAAGCGAAAGTTAAATCGAAATATCAAAACTTACGGGTACACAAAGCCAAGCACCAATGATTGCAGCCAAAATCTGTCCGCGACGAATGTTGATGTACTTTGGGAAGAAAGAGACAAGGTCGTTTGCAGCACTGATCGAATTGGCAGAAATGTTGATACCAAGGGTGACGATGATCAAGCCGATGGCACCAAAGGCAGATGCAGCACGACCTGCATGAGATCCAGAAGCACTCCAAAGACCGACAATGGTGACTGGGTTCCAAAGTGGAGTTCCTTCTTTGGCGACCTCGGCGGGATAGGCCACCGAAGATGCAGCAGCGGTGAAAATACCAAGCAGACCGACGATAGTGAAGATGAAAGGAATGACAAAGGCCTGGCAGTTTTGTGCGCTCTTCTTGTTTGCATATCTTGCAAAGTCGGCAATGTTGAGTCCAAGGGTAGAGTAGTTTCCAAGAACGGAGTTGAGGTTTGAGAAGAATGCCCAGACCAAGAGAGAACCTTTGACCGTTGGTCCTTGGGTAATGACCGGACTAGTACTGACAGTGCCTCCTGCCTTGTGCAGAGTGCTTCCAAAGACAGCAAGGAAGATGATGGGTGCGATGATAGACTTGAATCCAAAGAAGTACTGGACCTTGGTGTAAGGAATGCAGAGGAAGGGAAGCTGGAGCAAAAAGTAAAGCAGGAAAGCACACATCCCCTTGGTGTCGATACCTTGACCGGCAGCGATATGATTGGGAATGCTTGCATAACTTGGCCAGATGGCAGTCAGCAGGACCTCCACACATTGGCCACCTNNAAAGCGAAGGTACGGTTAGCAAGATGTCAGAAGGTTAGACAGGGGAACACCGCGGCTTTGCTAAACGAATACGCTCAACTCTGCGAGACGCCGTCCTGGATGGTGTTCCATCGAAACACAGTCCAGAGACTTCAACTGCAGACTGAGGCAGAACGCCGGCACTAGTCGTGGTGTTCGCACCTTCTTACCTGTGACGGTCTGTACTCCGAGCCAGATGATTGCAAGCGCGCAACGCGACACAACGACGAAGTAGCTGAAGTAGTAGCCGAATGACACACGCGCAATGATTGGGAAGGGAGTGTGAAGGTGAGCTCCAATCCTGCCATTCATCGTGATGACCAGGCCCATGAGTAAGTTTCCGAGGACGCATGCTCCGATTGCCATTCTCCAACTCAAACCACCAGCGATCATGGATGACGCTACTTCCCAATTAGAAACCNNTGATCCAATTTTAGCAAGATATCAGACGTTGGTTGTGGGAAAACACCACGACTTAGCTGAACGAATACACAGCTTCATAAGACGCCGTCCCGGACGGCATTTCATTGAAACACACGGTCCAGAGACTGCTCGGGCAGGCTGAGACGAACGCCAGTACCAATCGTGGTGTTTGTACCTCGAGTAACGTACAGCCCAGGCATCAGCCATCCAGTATGCGACATATGCTTTCCAANNAGTCCAAGTGCGATTAGATGGCGGGATAGGGTCAAAATCAGCATTCGATGCATTCGGGTTTGTTGCAAAACTGCTGGGCTCCTGGTCCACGACCAATTTGAATGCGGGAAAGCGACGCTTGTAGGCTGAAGAGTCGCCCATCTGGACAGGTTCCACGGTGTGAGTAACCTTGCCAGAGGCATCGCCTTTGAAATCCTCATAGACCATCTTGAACGATAGGTGATGCGATGCAAAGAATTGTCAGTGTGGAATATCAGTCGAGAAAATCTCCTGGAATCAGGGTTGACAGAAGCGCATCATATACCAGTTCATGAAGCGGTGCAGGCCGGCAGCAAAACCACTTCTTATCGCGAACGCGCCCTCTGACGACGAATAAGAACATGGGCTAGAAGCATAGAAATTCTCGAAGAGCTGAAGAATGCATGCGCGCCACTGGACTTACCGCTATCATCGTTTCTCCGATGCTTGCTTCTGCTAAAATCATGCATGCGATTGGACACGATGTGCTGATAGCACAAAAGCAGCCAACAAGCCACAGATAGCAAGGGTAGTACAGGAAGAGGCGTTGGAAGTATAGATAAGAACCCTCGCACTTCCACAGCATCGGTCACTCACACGAAGACCTACAAACAGTCTGGAACTTGAAAAATTCGGCCTGGACACCGAAATGCGAGAGCTGTCACCATGAGTTCTTTTGACGCTTGTCGCGACATTCCGAAGACTCTTCCAAGGACGCTGGCGGCTAGCGACGTAGCAAGATGCAGCGTCTGGTGTCGTCCTCAGCTCGAGGGCATCGGAGCCGCCTCATCCGTCGCACGAGTAGCGGTGCAATTAGGCGTTGGCCGTCAGGCTTTTGAGGCGTTCAAGACTTGTCGAGATCAAAGGTGATCAGTTCCTCGGACCGTGTGTTTGTGTTTCTGGTTGCGCGTTCGACGAATCTGTGCCGAGCATTTTCCGGAAGTCGCATTTCGCGACAATCCTTTCGCGGCGACAGCAACGACCCTTTATAGTCTTAGGACTTTCATGTCGTTGTCTTGATTTTCCTTGGCTCTACGAAGAGAGTCTCCATCCACTCTGGCCGCATGTGAGGTGACTAGCAATCATGCCTCCTTGAGGATGTGTATGCGAAAATGGAAGCCGCAACCCCATCGGGACAATCGTTCCCCAGACCATCGCAACAACGCGTTGTGGCAGTAGAGTCCGCCGTGATATTTTTGGTATTTTAAGAAGAGGTAATCCTGTGTAGTTTCAATCTGCATCAAGTCTCGATATCACAACATTGCTAACAGTATGTGGTCCATCTTGCTTCCGCGACGCCCGCAGCTAATCGTCTCTTAGTGTCTGGAAACCTCGTTCCTCTCACCATCATCAAGGGCGCAAGCCATGAGTTCATCCCATTCCCTGCTGGGGAGAATGCTACTGTCGCCGACTTTCACTCGTAAGCTGTTTGATCCGTGGCTGGAAGCGCCCGAGCTCTGACACAATAAAGCATCCGCACAAGCACAACCGACTCGCCATCATATCTGACCTCTGGGTTCTACAAGATCGAGAAGGGCAAGGCGTATCCCCTGGACTATACTTGCGAAGAGACCAAGTATGTGATCAGCGGACAGATTGATGTTCTGGACGAGGCCACTGGTGTGACGCATCACCTGGTTCCTGGAGACTTTGCTTTCTTCTATGTCGGAAGCAAGGTGCAATTCTCAACAAAGTCAGCTGGCTTGGCTTTCTATGCTGTGACAAGACCTGTCAAGGCTGCACACCCGAATCTTGCTGGCAGAGAGGAGGATGTCAAGTCAAAGTCGAAGCTGTAATGCCGAGCTTGACTCATGAAGTTGCTGTAGGCACAACCCTGGAATGGAAACAAAATCATTCTACAGATCTCCTGCATACACGACAGACCCAAGTAGATATGAAGATTATAATACTGCTCGGATATAAAGCTTGTCGTTGTCTTGAACCTCCTTGGAATGTGTTGTGAAGCGTTGTCGTCATCTCTATAGATTTATTGTCCGTTCGTGTTATTTGCTTCACGAGACCGTTGGAAGGAGGTTCAGAAGTTGATGTTATTGTGTTGGTTTCTGAAGCTAACTGAAGGAGTTATATACGCGGCGTCGCCGATCGCTCCTGCCACCGTTAACCTTGCATGAGACTTTCGATGGCGTTGGTCATGTCCCAGGATTGTAAGGCATCAATATGGAGAGTAGCGCAGAAGCCTTCCAATTTACAAAAGGCAAGTCATCTAACACATCTCAATAGCCTTCGATGCAAAGCACTCGCTGTTGTAAAGGATGACTTGGTTGGTTGGAGTATGCTATTGACATCCGCGCGCCCGGCAATTGGGTTGGGGTTGGTGCGGGGTAACGCCTCCCAAATGCTCAACCATGCCCCAACCAGCCGGCTCGCTCATCTCCACTTGTTCTCCAAACATCAGCAACGAATCGACATGTCAGAGGCCCCAGAATCCATAGTCTCCACGAACAAGCGTCGGAGAGTCGATACCTCTGTTGGAGGCGGCAATGCACGCGTATGTCCTCATTGTGGACGGACCTTCAAACGGACTGAGCACCTGTCGCGCCATGTACGAACTCGTGAGTGCACCTAATGATGCTTGAGCGAGATGTTGTGTTCATGGCAAGGTAGATNNACCAAGGAGAAACCATTCTCATGCAATTGTGGCGCTTCATTCGGGCGCCGAGATCTACTCACGCGACACCAGAGGGTGAGTGGGCATGACCCGAGCGAGGGCCCACCCGCCACTACACCGATCGGAGTCGATGCACCTCAGAAACTACGACAAGCACAGAGTGAAGACAGCGGCTCTGGTGAGTCCATACATGTGGCTACTGTTGCTCCTGCAATGCAGCAAGTTCCACGAAAGGACTCGCAGCCTCAAGAGATTGCACTCGATCAGACTACCTTCGTACCACCTATTGAGCAGCCTCAAAACCCGCTCGCCACCAGATACTACGATGCTGCATCTCTCCCAACACCATTACCAGGCATCAGTGATATCGTGAATCCGAGCGATGCTGTGTCATCATTAGATCTATCGGGCATCGATCCGGATATGCATTTTCGCGATTTTGCCAGTTTCCTTGACGGTGTTGGTCTATGTGTTGACTGGAGTCCGATACTCGAGAGACTAGAAGAGCCTGTTGATGCGACAGCTCTCAGAGAATTGCAGCGACCTACCCCTTCCAGCATGGATGTGCGGACAAGGGCTGGTTCGCCATTCAGTTCATGGCTACCATCAGCTCCTACCAAGAACAGGATGACAGACAATGTCTGTGACATATCAAGTAGGTTCTAAATTTACCCTATCATTCACCAATACTCACCTGAANCAGATCCTCGTGCTGTCGATCCAGAAGCCAGACGGTTTGATGTGACAGAAGAGCAACGTACCAAACTCGAACACGCAATCAGCTTGTCGCTCCACATAATTGACCCAACATTCCGACTACCATCCCGTCATTCTCTGACTAGGTACATCAAGTCTTTCTTTGGGGGCTTCCACTTGCACATGCCATTCATACACGTCCCAACCTGGCGGCTCGAAGATCATCCAGTCGAGGTCATCTTCGGCATTGCTGCTATTGGAGCGCAATACTGCTTTGAGAAACGAGCGGCAGAACAGCTTTTCTTTGCTGGCAAGGCACTTATCATGCATAAGCTGGCAGATTCACCAGAACACAATGATTCTCACACTGTCTCGCAGGCGGTTGAAAGTGATGGTCACCACGTCACAGGTCCATCCACCAAAACATCCTCCATCGAGATCATCAGGGCTTTACTTACACTCATGGGCTATGCAACCTGGGACCCCAAACCAGCGATGGTCCGTCAATCTNTTGCAATCCAAGAGACTTTGACCCAATACCTCAGAATCGAAGGTTTGCACGAAACTGGATCGTCAGAAGCGGCTTCTTCACTTGATCGAGAGTGGCACTCATGGATAGCCGAGGAGTCATCTCGTCGTACAAAGCTGGTCGCATTCTCCTTTCTCCACACGCACAGTATTGCTTACGATGTATATCCTCCTCTCCGAAGTAATGAGGTAGGACTTCGTCTGCCCTGCTCGACTCTGGAATGGAGCGCTTCGTCAGCGGTATCGTGGGATGCAGCAAGAAGAGCCATCTCCAAACCACAGCTGTATTTCAAAGAAGCTTTGTCGTTCCTGTTGGAACAGAAGAATGAGCCTGCCAGACTTGATCCGATACCCACGCCTCTCGGAAACTATGTTCTTCTACATGGGCTGATACAGAGAATACATATTGTCAGGGATTTGAGCCTGCCAGTCATGAGTAATATGGCAGCTCTTCCGCCTGAAGAAGTGGAGAAACTTGAGTAAGAGATCATCAGAGGAATTCGTAACTTAAACTAACCCCTTGGTTACAGACGTGGCTTGCGCTGCTGGACTTCAGGCTGGCAACAAGCACCAGAATCTTCACTCGATCCAAACAATGGGAACGGACCAATTCCATTTACTTCGAGTTCCTTGCTGGCTCTTGCATACGCTCGTATCTATCTGAACCTTGGACCATACCGTCAACTCCAGACTCGAGACCCTCAACGCATCGCCAGAGCTTTGGCAAGATGTCCTGAAATTGACCGCAGTGAAGGTGTCATCGCTGCGCTACTTTATGCCACACATATGCTTGGTATACCAGTCAGACTGGGTGTCGATCGTGTTGCAAAAAGTCAAGCATTCTTCTGGAGTGTTAGGCACTCTCTAGCCAGTCTGGATTGTGCTATACTGTTGAGCAAATGGCTGTTCAATCTCACTCGCAGTACAGCAACACATCCTTTGAATGGTGCGTATCACCCAGGCTGTCACGATAATCATTTGCTGACAACGTATCAGNACAGCGAAGAGAGAATTCTGTACTGGGTCAAGTGTATCGTTGAAGAAGCATATGCAGTCGTTGACTTTGATGAGGAGCCGCCCGAAGTCATTGATTATCGCAACACTGATGATATTGCACTGGCCGTGCTCAAGATTTGGGCACACTTCTTCAAGAGCAATTCTCAATGGCCATTCATCAACATCATTGGTCAAGGTTTGGCAATGTATCGTGGCATGTTACTCCAGACCAAGCTCTAGGGATCTTGGGCGAGCCCTGTTCGGCTCGCTTCCAGTGGATTTGCAACCTTCTTGATTTGGCTTTCAGGCAATAGAGGCTGGCAGAGATTTTGGGTCACTGACGGCATATCCTACTCCTTTTCGCTTGGCCTTGTCACCCGGAAATATTCATTCGTATCGATGTAGATCATCGAGCCCAAGGTATGTAATGTCAGATGGACCAGCCAGTCCATATTCGCATGTCAACCACTCAATACGAGAGCACTGCACTTTACTTCTTCTAACTATTGATTGCGCAGCGACGTATATCCTGCTAGGACTAAAGTTTGTCGTTGGCTTCCGGATCATCCTTAGAGAAAGTCTATGCTACCACTGGCTCACAGGATTTTTGGCAGCAGCAGTCAGAGCATGTGTCAGTTTCTAGCACCCCTCATTGATGCACATATACTTGACTTACGATACGTAAAATGAAACAAGAATGAAAGCTTTGGACCCAAGAACTCAGATCCAATCGAAATCAATCTCAATACGCTTTGAAAAACATGTATTTTACACCACGTTGCCCGACCGGAGACAGTTCAGCCTCGTCCATTCTCCTTGTAACCCCGAAGGAAGATATGATTAGCAAGCATAAACGAAGACCGATGATCGAGCATTATTCCCGTGCGGAGAGCCCTAGGAGTTCTGCAAAGATATGGATAATCGGCTTACCAAGAAATGACCGAAGGTTTTTTGTATGCTTAGCCAGAAAATCGCCATGCCGCTACGCACGTAAAATAGCACATCACTTACCAAATCAGTATCGTGACTTTCTGTCAGCAGGGAATTGCTGATCGTATTCATGTAACGTCTAGCTCATCGATACTGTCCTTGCCGTGAACCTCGTTCGGCAGACCGGTTTGGAACAACACTAATTGGTAAGGGTCTGCATTCATACATCTAATCCGACATCTGGTTGCAACACATCAGTATCCAGACATGATGGGTTACGCTATCCCATTCATATCGAACCTGGTCTTGCCTGTAATGCGTTTTGATCTAGAAGGGGATTTAGCTCAGTATGCACACAGAAGAACCAGGCACATAGTTTGGAATGGTCTTCCGTATGACCAATGGGAAGTCTTCGGGCGACTATGCGTACTTGCCTCGGTCGTTGCAGAGTTGAGCCGTGTTCCGGCCGTTTTGACAAGCAGCGGGGCTTTAACGGTGTGCCTCGCACTAATTTATCACTCTTCCACGAAATGTCAATCTTGAGTCTCCAACGTCGATTCATGATAGCTACTCCATTCTCTAGCGAAGGATTCAACTATGGTGCAGACGCTGATCGGTCGTTACACTATCAAGGAGGCACATGACTGTCATGACCGGATACGCCGGCGCGAGCATCAATTTTACTCGATCAACCAGACGGTCGAGTCTCTAGTGAAGACTATAAAGGACTATATCTGGTCATATCCTTGGGTCTGCTTCCTATATCACAACAACCGAAACTTATACTCAAGCCTTCTCCCCGAGGAAAGACACGCAATCACCCACATCATCATGCAATCCTTTGCTGCAGCCCTTGCTCTGACGTCCTTGGTCCAAGCCACCTACATTCGCAAATGGAACCTGGGAGGCTGCGGCAGCTCCGTCTCTGAAAGATGTAACTCGCTGCCTTCTGGTCACTGTTGCAACATGGGTCGACCTGTCGGGGGCAGCGTTCGCATTGCCAACATGCCTAGCGATGTCGATATTGCCGTACCTTACAACGGGAACAGAGCCGCTGCCATGATGGGTGGTGGCTCCGCCGGATGGTGCTCATCTGTAAGACTGAACGACATTCAGTACGGCGATCTCTTCTGCCTGACTAGCAATCCACTTGGCACTGGCACCTGGATTCACTGTGCTACTGCCTATCAAGCCACCACCTGCTACGACCGTCACACCCACCCAAAGCGCGACCCTGATGGTAACGAAGTTCTTGAAATATCTGACTTCGGAGAACAAGGCCATCCGGGTTACATTGACGAGGAGGAGGCCGCACTTCCCGAACACTCCTACCATGACGCGTACGGCAATCTGATCAGTGAGGCGGAGTATCATCTTCTTGCTGACCTCGAGCTTGAGCATGAGGCGAATGGCACACTTCATCTGCTGTATCCCGATCTTTATCCTCCGCCCATCGAGGAGCGCGCAGAGAGGATAGACCTGCTAGTCTACGTTGACAAGGGCTGCCGTGGAGAAAATCTGGCAGTAATCCAAGAAAAAGACAGATGTTACAACACCGAGAACGGAGCTGGGATCTACCTCAACAGCTTGCCCAAGGTTGCGCCGCTGCGGTATACCCACAGCTTGACTGCCAAGGATCTCCTCTTTTGGATATTGGTAACGGAGCCAGTGCAGGATGTTACGACTCGATCGACTTTAGCAGTGCTCTTGTGACTTGTTCCTAGCTCTGTTGGTGTCAAAGCTGCAACAGAGACGAGATCTTGCTTCTGCGGATGAACTCGTCTACCTCGGTGGCAAGGAATTCGGTTTGCTGCGCTATGAATGATGCCTAGTTGATGCTTATAAATGTTGAACCCCAGTCTTGCATCTACTCTTATGTTTCTGCACAGGACGCAGACAGCTATCTATACGAGAACTGATGTGCGTTGTGTTTCACTGTTCTTCCAAGATCGCTGATGTTAAAGGAAGGGTGTTATAGCGAAGCTATCGACATAGACTTGAATGCACGATCCCAAGTACCGATCTTCTGTTTGCTGACAATCCAGTCTCTGCTCACATCTTATCATTTATCTTCAGATGAGCTTGGTAGCTTACCACGAAGGTGGGCGCGAGCCATCGGGAATCTCCACTGTGTTGGAGTAATAAGACGGCGCATCCTGACCCCTCCAAAGGTTCTGAATAGGACCCCAGACTTTGCGGCCATTCTGCACAAGGGAAATGACAGGAGCAGGAATACGTCTGTAGACAGAGTTGAAGTAACCAGGGTAGGAATTGGCAAGGTGAACAGAGCCGGAAGGTGACTGAGCATCCGACCAAGGAACGATGGTATCACCAGTCTTGTCGGCGACAAGTTTGAAGAGATTCGCCCCAACATCCCAACGACCTAAAGTGTCCAGGTCCCAGTTGGCTTCCACAGTCGAGAGCTCAGAGTAGTGGTTGTAGAAGTTGTTGTCTTGGGTCCCTATGAGGTCCTTGCTGATACTGTCACCCAAAATAATTGAGAAGACTCTGTTCTGAGTTATGTATGTGTGACTCTCATCGAACGTCAGAAGAACGAGGGTGTTTTGCATAAAACGGGTGTCGTTCAACAGAGGGGTCAGGAACTGACGTGCCCAGGCACCAGCAGTCGTGACCGAGGTATCGTGGCCATCATTGGTCATGTTTGGTGTGAGGAACATCCATTGCGGCAGGGTGTTGGCCTCAAGATCGGCTTGGAACTGGTCGAAGTTCTTGATGTTTGCCAGGCGGTCGAGATTCTCGGCGACAGAGTTCATCAGGACTGGAGAGGANTTAGCGTTTTCGGAGGGCAAAAGACTTTCATGATGCTCACCAGCAGGATTGTGCTTGCGGACATAATCATTTGCACGGGTCTTCTGATTGACCCAGGAAAACCCTTCAAATCCAGCGTAGGGCATGTGCTCCTGATACTCGGCCCAGCTGATGCCCTTGTCTTCTAGCAGATCGACGATGCTGGAGACATTATCTGGGACCTGGCGGAAGGCGTCATCGCTAGCAATCTGTCAGTTTCTGAGAACAATTCGGAGCCTGGTAACTTACGCAAGACCGAAATGATCACCACAGATGGCAGCCAGATAGTTAGGCTCACTTGGATGAGTAACACCAAAATAGTTGTTGAGAGCGATACCCTTCTGTGCCAGCCAAGCGAGATTGGGATCGCCTTGAGCAGCAGCAAAATCGGTGTTCTCAAGCCAGATAGTAACGAAACGGTCAAAAGCCTTGCCAGGAACCTTGCTGGTCTTGTGGTTGACTCTTGCCACAGCAGCGTCTGCGGCGATAGAGGCTGCGTCGGTTGCTGCATAGAGATTGACATCAGGCTTGGTGATCAAGCGGACGCCTAGAAGACCGACGGCTTGACTGGCCTTGCCGACGCTTCTCTTTTGGTAACAAGCATTACCCTGGTACACAGCCGCAACACAACCGGGTGCAAGATCACAATCCTTGGCGCACTGTTCGAGCGAGTCGGCATAAGTGAGGCCAAGATCTCCACCTTGGTGGTTGAGATCGCACTCGACCTTCCAAGAAGTGCCAGTGACAGTATCATTGTAGAATGTGTTGTTCCAAGATGGGCAGCTGATGTAGGGAGTACGTCCAGAAGCGGTTCCGTTAGACACGAAGATGCGTGCACTGACAACACCACCGTTGGTGCTTGGGGTGTTGATCCTGTTCTTCAAGTAGCAGGCTTGGCCACTGCGAGAGACAGCGACACAGCCGGGAGTAGAGTCGCAGAGGTCAATGCAATCATCCATATTGGCGGTGTACTCCCAGTGCATGTCACCTTGAGGAAGGTCATGGCCACAGTCCACAGCGAAGGAGCTACCAGTGGTGGTGTTGTACAAGGCTGAGTTCCAAGCAGGACATTTGACAGGGGACGAAAGTGCAACAGAAGAGTTGGTGTCGCGTACTTGGAGGACTGCTGCACTCACTGGTGAAAACAGTGAGCTCAGCAGCAGAGCACCTGAAGCAAGATAGGCGATCATTGTACAACAAGGAAGCGTTGTCTAGCCTTGTCAACTGAATGTCTCACTGCGGACTTTATACCATGCTTCTCACATACCCACGTGTATGTCTATTTCTCTCATGGCTGGAATTTACCCACTGTCGAACTTGGCGCTCTGTATCCTCCCATTCATGTTTTGTCACAGTCGCACGTGTTGTGTTCAAACAACGTGTTCGTCGACTCATATCCACATGGTGGAGTCCAACACAAGGTTAAAACTATGATGTCCCGAGGGCTGTGTCGCCACGAGTTTTGCAGGACAGATCAAGTACAATGACCCATTTGAGGACAATTTTCAAGGGTCCGAAGACAGGAAAATCTCCTGACTTTCTGTTAGCGCGACGCGTTCGTGCGCCGTGAATGATCGTGTTGACAATCTCGATGACCGCGATTCGTGGACGTCCATCGTACTAGGCAGGTAGTCAAGACGAAGGAAGCCTCGTGGAATCCTTCTTGCGGCACTGAGATTGATACCGAATGAGGTTGCTTCGTCGAGCGACACGTGTTGGAGCTACCAGCATTAATCTTGTGTTCCTGCGGCTCAAGCTCCACAGACACAAGCCTTTGTTCAACCCTATTCTCAAGCGTCAGGGTTGGCGAGATATCCTACGAAGTCGCATAATATTTATGCGTGAATGCTCACGCTAGTAACAGAAGTTCGGTTAAAGATCATGGTTGAATACTGAGCGCTTTGTGGGGACTCGCGCTTGAATCCTTTGCCCTCGGCCTAGACCGACCCCTGACATCAAAAAGCCCTAATCCAATGAGTATCTTGGGCAACTGATTTACCACTTTGTGCTTTTGTGGTATATTACTCTAATAGACTCTTCTGGCCATTGAGAATATGGGTCCAAACTGGACAGAACTGCGTTTCTTACGCACGTATTCAAAAGAGTCGCATTCTCAAATAGACGGCTTCAGACGCTGTGGGCTTCTTGAGAATTTCTTCGGCTTCGTGTTCCCGATATTTTGCTGAGCTGGTATACGATCATGTTGACCAAAAGCTTGATCCCGTTCGTACTTGCCAGTGTTGGCGCTTTCGGACAACGACACCATCAGTTTGAACAGCCTGTGGTGCAGACGACATCTGGAAAGACCCATGGAATCGTCGAGAACAATGTTCAGCAGTTTCTGGGAATCCCCTACGCTAGACCACCTATCAACGATCTCAGATGGGAACCACCACAAACTCTGCCGCATGAAGCTCGGAAGACGATTGTCAATGCAACTCAATTTCCTCCCAGCTGTCCTCAGAACCCTATCGGCCTACCCATCTTCAACAAGGACGTTCCTCAATTCCAAATCGAGGGTTACAATTCTACCAATTCAACAAGCGAAGACTGTCTGACCCTCAACATCTGGTCACCGACCACAAAGCCATCAGGAAACTATCCAGTGATCATTTTCTTATACGGAGGACATTTCACCACTGGAGGCAACAACGTACCTTACCAGATACCTGCACAATGGGTCGAAAGGACTCAGTCGCATATCGTTGTTTCTCCCAAGTGAGCTGCTTCATGTAAAATACTTTGCGATACACATGCTGACAAACCACAGCTACCGTGTGAATCTGTTTGGTTTCCCCAATGCACCCGGTCTGAGCGAGCAGAATGTGGGCCTGCTCGACCAACGTGCCGCGTACGTAGCAACTATCCCCTGCCTTGTGAACACGACACTGACTAGTACATATTAGGGTCGAGTGGGTCTCTAAGAACATTGCAGCATTCGGAGGTGATCCATCTAGAATCACTCTCTGGGGTCAGTCGGCTGGCGCAGCCTCAGTCGATTTCTACAACTTTGCATACCACAATGATCCGATCGTCAGCTCTCTCATCATGGATTCTGGAAGCTCATACACGCCCGCCATCATAGAAGATTCGGCCCACTCTAACTTCACCTACATGGCCTCACAGCTGGGCTGCGGTAATGCGACGACGTCAGACAAAGAGATGCTATCCTGCATGCGAAAGGTGGATGTATCTGTGCTGGAAAAATTCCTATCCGACCATAGATCCACTACTCCGTCAGTCGCCTTCTTGCCTGTGGCTGACGAGAAAGTCGCTTTCTCAAATTACACTCAACGTGCCCTTGATGGTTTCCAAGCAAGACTGGTAAGACTCTAGCTTCGCAAGATTCACTATCGACTGACACAAGTGCAGCCTGCGATCATCGGTGGAAATGCGCAAGATGGAGTGCCTTTCGCCCCATACAACGCTTCTGGAGTCAATACTACGGTGTCTCTGTACCAAAACCTTGCCAACTTCTTCTGTCCGCAAACTCAAACCATTGAGAACCGACAGCTTGCTGGTCTTCCGACATATCGTTACTACTATCACGGCAACTTCAGTAACATCAGCCCACGCGGCTGGGAAGGTGCTTATCACTGCGCAGAGCTGCCTTTGATCATGGGAACCTTCAACAACTATCGTGGTGTAAGCTCAGGATTTGAGAATGCGACTAGCATAGCAATGCAGGATGCTTATCTAGCCTTTGCAACCCATGGTACGAAGGGCCTTGCTAAGGAGAACTGGCAGCCATACCTGAAGTTGGGTCAGGCAACTGTCAGAGCATTTGGAGATGGAACCCCGGCCATGAACAGCGATCTTACATATCTGGAAGCGTTGTGCGATGGGTATCATCCTGCCTTCTCCCTCTAAGGTTTTTAAGTGTCCCCAAGGAGAAGATCTTACTTGATCTATCGTCTAGAGTATAGAAGAGAATGAATATGGACTTTATATAGTGAGATAGATACATCAGCTCAAATACAGCCATTAGTCAACCGAGGCATTGCACTTCTGCTCTATCCTCTTGCCGAGCTTTACTAAAGGCTCGTCTACCGCCCTAGTAAAGATATCAGCAAGCCAAATCGTAGTCAAGATCGAAGCCATCAACCCCAGTCCAAATCCGAGAGCTTTGTTCGCTGTATGGTCCGCCCCGAACTTGCCATTAGCAACGTTGATGATAGCATAGCCCACAGTATTCAAGACGAGTCCATGCATGAGATACATAGAGTAAGAAATGTAGCCAAGATATTGCGCAACCCGGTTATTGAACAATCTTTGCAGTGGCTTTGAGCATGAAGTGGACCAGACCAACATAATTGCACCCCAGCTTGGCCAGTACATTCTAACTTCCTCTCGGCCTTTACCTGGGATCATGTTCCAAAGGGTAATCCAGCCTGGCGTTGTTTCCGCGTCCAGTTGTGGCTGACAACCAAGATACATTCCAGCGATGAAGACTGTGATATAGAACACTAACTTGAGCCTATCGATCCGGGTAGTGCTGGCCATCTTATGCCATGAGAGGTCATAAGGGAGACGAGAAGCACGATAATGATCAGTTTCGGCGAGAAGGAAACCACCATAGAACAGAATCATCTCCCAGCGGTACATCTGGTGAACCCAAAATATGAGACCAACTAGCACCGACATGCGAACTGTGTTTGAAAGGTGTGCTAAACCGGCTTGTGTTACATAGAGAATCAGAGATGAGCGGAACCTGGGACAGATACATTAGTTTTCGAGAATCTCCGGCAATATTGCTTAATGACGTACTCGATCGGAATTGTCCAAAGATGGCCATCGATGACCGGTACAATGTCACTTGGGACAAATGACCATGGGTTGATCAGCTTTGTGAATGTCTCCTTGACCCAATACGACATTTGTTCTGACAGAGTGTCAAACTTAGGCTCGTTGACATTGTGGCCAGGGTTATATTGGCCGTTTTCTCGTGCATAATCTGCACCCATGTTGTAAAAAACCAGCCCAGATTATGATTGATATGAAGAAGGTAGAGACAATGCAAGGAAGGAAGAGTCGCATGGCTCTTCGGAAAATAGACGAGCCCAAAGATTGTGACAGTTTCTGCCATTCTTTCTTTCGCATCAATCTAACTGGCTTGTACGAGAGCGCGTAGCCAGAGATGACAAGAAAACTGCCACCATTGTCGCGCCCTGGTAGACGACGCGAACAAATGGCAGCTTGTAGAATTCCAGGTTTTGGCCATTCCCACCGGAGCCGTAGCCATGAAATATGTCGTAGTGAGTATACGTGTTGTGGCAGATCATCACCAGAAAGGCAGCGACGCCACGCATACCATCCAGAAATGCTGTAGAATGTTGGGCTTGTTGGTGCGCCGTCGGTTCTCGAATCCTGCTTTGGATGAACGATGGAAGCATGAATAATGACGTCTTCTTGCAATAGTCCGAGATCGCCGCGCTTGAAATGGTTGAAAAACCAGCTCCTATTGGCAGCCTTGGCATGGACAGCAGGTGTGAGAAGACATGGCTGAGTGTATACCTCGACTCTGAGTAGAGGCGAAGCTCATCTTCTTTCTCGTTGAATTCATGGAGCAGTGACTGTTCCGGACTGTGGCTTAGAGTAGAAGATTCTGATGAATGCATCGTGAATTCGAGAGCTACTTTCACCAGTCAGAGTAGCTTGATCAAAACCTTTCGCGACGGGCAAGTGACCCTTTTATGGCATATACTTGCAGCTCGGATCGAGCAGGCAGAGCTGTCAGCTGAGACATACCTGATACGTACTGTATCGGAGGCACGAGCTGAGCGGTTTTGTCAATCTTGAAGGCCGTTGTCAATGGCTTGTAAGGCTCCTTTCGTCCATCACCCCTCGAACGCACATCAGGTCTAGATCCGAGTATTGCAGTCACCCTTAAGTCGTGAGGGATCCGTTTTCCTGGTCCTGGTTGAGGCTCCGAGCCACCGATTCCATGGCAATGGCTGCTTGAGAAGTCCTACTAGGTTTCTCAGACGATGGGCTGGAGGTTGGCAGATTGGTTCAAACCATAAATGACACAAGTCGCGCGGGGTTTCGGATGCTGTCGTGGGAAGGGAGCGCAAGAACTGGTTGGATTCGAACTGCAGCCTTGATAAGCTAGCCATAGCTTCTCCCTTTCGCCTTTGATTTTTTGGGTCTCTCGACCAATCAGCCACTCAAGGACATGTTGTGTGTGTATAGAGTCAAGACAAGTCGGTCTGAAAAGGGGTTCCTCGAGAAAGACGTTTGTTCGATAGCGAGCTGAAAGAGCCGCTGGGGTCAACAGCGTTTGCAAGCCGCGATCCTGCGTATACCCCGGAGGATGCGCAGCCCAGGGGAAAAGAGGAATGCACACGTTGTTATAATCATCTTCCATGTTGTGTTTTCAGCTCACCGCAACTCAGCCTCCATTCCTTATATCAAAGCTTGCAAAGCTTAAGTGATCTCTTACAACCGACCTAGAATCTTACACTTCACAAAACAAGCAACAAGGCTCGACTTTTCAGCTATGCATTTCTCGAAGATGCTCAGCTGAGGGGTAAAAAGCGATGCACCCGTTTCCATCAATCAGCCTCGACCGTTGTTCATTCAGCTCAGCCACGTCACCAACCTCAATTAATGCGACATTTATCCAAAGACACATCCTGTAAAAGTTTCTTCGCTCTTTTCCGTCCTTGAAGTTTTGCCAATTGTCTACAACAATCATGAATACTCGGAATACTACTCTGCTCGGCGTGGCAATCGCCATCTCCACTTTCATCCTGCTTTTTTTCGAGTTTGGCTATGGAGAAAGGACACCCAACCATGCACAGGATTTGGACAGAACAAACACGAAGCCATGGACTTCGACTACAGATGTCTTGGACCGCAAAAAAGTCGCGACCATTATCGAAACCAGGGCCAAATCTAACCTTGTGCCTCTCATCGTTCATTTTGCAAATGTGCTTGGACCGACCTGGCCAATTCACGTAATCGGATCCGAGGAAAATCAGCATCTCTTCACTGAATCGGCTGTATTCCAACGATATGTTGCATCTGGTCAGATCACACTAGCACAATTGGACCCTTCGATATCATTGAAGAAATCTACCGACGTCAGCGCTTTTCTGGCTGCTAATGGAGACTTTTGGCAGTCTTTGGCTCCCGCGGATCACGTCTTATTATTTCAAGCCGACAGCATTCTATGTTCAAACTCACCCCGAAGAGTTGACGATTTTCTCGAATATGATTTTGTTGGAGCTCCCATATCATCTCAGTACGGCGTAGGATACAATGGTGGTCTTTCCTTGCGCAACCGTACACGGATGCTTGAAATCATTGAATCGGTCAAATGGAATGGTGAATTCGAGGATCAGTGGTTCTACAAGCAGCTAGTGGCTGTCGGTGCAAACTTGCCGACAGAAGAGGTTGCAAATCAATTTGCAGTGGAAACTATATTTGCGGAATCTCCGCTTGGTTTGCATCAGGTTCATAGGTGGCACAGAGGGGACAATCTGAAAAAAATGATTCAGTGGTGTCCTGAGGTACAGATAGCAGACGGCAGTACATCATTCTAGTATAAGGTACTGGACAGCTGTTGTTTTTGCTTTGCTTATGCAAGCGTTCGGTTGTCTCATCTGCGCCGGATCTGTATCAGGGAGATCGTTGTTTGTCATTCTGCCTTTCCCTTCACGTCAAGTCGCATGTCATCCGTTCACAGTGCGCATTACGGCCCGCCTCGCCTGTCATCTCTCGAAACGATTGTGCTACCGAGGCCAGCGAGTTGAAGTCACAAGAGTCGCGAGTGCATCACACATGGCCAAGGCCGCAAGCGATCAAGCAATCGATTCCAAGCGCCTACATCCCTCAAGTCCTGCACATTCTGGATACTCGAATGGTATGAAATTGTGCCGAGGTCTACGTTTTAAGGCTCAAGAATATATTAATACGACCACAGAACATCAACAACAAGTGCGGGGATGGGTTTCAGCACGATCGCGTACTTGCATATTCCATGTCCGAGCGTTCGAAGCATCTCGAACATCCAATGGGATGCCTGACAGTTGTGGCTACGGGCCTCAAGCGAGTGCATCTCATATTGAGAACTATACGAAGGTTCGACGAGTACTGGGCGGTCTGCTATACCGTGCATCGAACTTCCCCGCTTCACTGACAACAAGACCAACGTGACCCTATACTTCGCTAACACTCTGACCATGGGGCCTTGTTTGATGTTAGCTGCTTGCCTGATGATCTGGTCAAGGGATATATAAGATGTCTTCTCTCGTTCCAGAATCGCCAGACAGTAACTTGCACCTCCACCTTCGCCCTGTTCACTGTTTGAATCACCTTCCAGCCCTTCGCTATGTCTTCTCTCTGCATGGACCAAGGCCGCCTGCCTTCTGCTTCTCACTTCTGGAGCCTTTGCAAGCCCCATCGGTGATGTCGAGCAGCTTGAAAAGCGCGCAGTCTGCACAGCATACAGTATGTCTTGCCATTGTCACTCTCCTTACAATCGCTGACAAAATCTCAAGCTCNTCATCGAGACTCGAGGCACCGGCGAGCCTCAAGGCCCATCCAACAGCTTCAAGACCATGGACGCCGCCATTCTTGCTGAGCTCATGGGCGGTAGTGAGGTCAGTCGTATCTCCTCTCCTGAGTAACATGATACTGATGACCTGAAGTACAACACTGTTTATCCAGCCAGTGTTGATCAGAACTCTGCTGCCGGTACTGCTGATGTAAGTTGTTCGCTCGTGTTTCAGAACAATCGTACTGACATTCCTAGANTCATCAACCAGATCAATTCTGGTCTCAAGTCCAACCCCAACAGATGCTTCATCCTCGAGGGCTACTCCCAAGGTGCTGCCGCTACCGTCGACGCCATGCCCAAACTTACTGGTGCTGCTTTCAACGCCATCAAGGGTGTTTTTCTGATTGGCAACCCTCACCACAAGGCCGGTCTGGCATGCAATGTCGACTCCAAAGGTGGCTCTACTACCAAGAATGTCAATGGTCTGTCCGTGTTGCTTGGAAGTATCCCAAGCAACTGGGTGAGCAAGACTTTGGATGTCTGCGCCTACGTGAGTTGTTCAAGCCCCATGATTCGAGGACCATTTCGCTGACCATGTAAAGNNGGCGACCCCGTTTGTGACACTGCTCATGGCTTGGACGTTTCTAATCACCTGTCTTACAAGTCTGATGCGAACGTGCAGAACCAGGGCATCAAGTTTGTTCTTAGCAAGCTTCGTGGCACTAGCTGAATGTGATTGCACGATGCACAGATCGTGTGATGGACAGCGACGAGATTATTTTGCTTGGTTCATCTGGCTCCAGAATTTCCTCATATCGTCATCATTTCCCAGAATCAGTAACGTCGTTATCTTTTTACAAAGCATACTGAGTGACAACATTTTTGTGTGAACATGTGTTATCCTTCATGATCTTCAGCCTTCTTGATCGCTATGTCCTGATGTTCGAGATCTGGCCGAAAGATCTTCCGTAGACCCATATACGGCGTGTTGATTGGCGACGGGCCAGTAAATACCAGCAGATCATACAAGAAGCCACCAAAAACTGCTCCAACAAACGGCAAGATCAACGGNCATCTAGATCATGTCAGCTGTGTTATCGAATTGCTCTGAGGATTATCGCTTACCCAGAAATAGTATCCGCCGGAAGACCAGACTGTGTTAGGATACCCAACCGCATTGGACATCAAACGACCACTGAAGTCGAGAGCTGGATTGACTGCACCTCTGCGATTCATGTCAGACTGATTCTGGTAGTGTTGGCAAATCGACTTACCCNNTGTTTCCCAGCCAAAAGCGATTGCAATACTGTAGAATAAAAAGAACATGGCCAGAGGAAAGAAGTTTCCACCAGCTTTCGAAACGCCATTGTTGTAGTCATCCTTCAGAGCCGATGTAACAATGTTAATGACTGCGCAGGGTATGATGATGGAAAAGGCTTGTGAAGCTTTGGGTGCAAATGAAGAAGGGTATGTTGCAAANATTGGCGCAGTTGCCATTGCGGTTGGCGGGACCGTCCTCACCCCGTCACCAGCATACCAATCGATGGCAGAAACATAGTTCGCATAGACCAAGCCTGCTCCAACGAAGCAGCCGAGGAACTGAGAAATGATAAGGATAGGGACTGATCGAAANGGAAGTCCACGCCAGATGGCGTTGGACACGGTCAAGGCTGGATTGAGGTAAGATCCTGAGTCACCTGCGACGTAGATACCAAGCATAACTCCGGTNGCNCAACGCTGAATCTACAGTCAGCCCTTTGCTTCGTTCATTGCATCTCAGTATACTCACCCCCATGGTAGAGATTGATACGATCCGTAGCTTGTTCCTCCAGGTGCTGACTGAACACTGACTCCAAGGGTGGTTTGAGCGAGGGTTCCATGATATATCAGGGTAAGAATCATGCTTCCCAGAAATTCCGAGAATCCTTCTTGAAAGAGTGCTCTGATGCGAGGCCACACCAGAGATTCTGCTCCGTCGCTATGTGTTTTTATGGGTTGCCATGGATTGAGGCCAAGCCGTCTTCTCATCGATCGATGTTTTTGTTGAAGTGCATCATTGTCGTAGCTCTCGTGAGGGGCATATAAAGGGCGAGATTGTTGTCTGGAATGACTGGACGCATCTGAGGCTGAAAGCATCGAAACCCAAACAAGACTCGGGTATGCTTTGAGGATTTCAGCCGTCTTACTACCTTTGTAACTGCTTGACGCTTGAAAAATGCTCATGGTGATGCCCAGCATTGTGGTACCAACATGACGTCGCAACAAGTCTTATATCCGGCGGCTCCGCGGGACTCACCAAGAGAACGCAAAACATGATTTACACAGCCTCACAAACACATGTATCCATAACAAGACATCGTAATTGTGACAATTTCATTCTCTTGCGGCATGCCGGTTTTGACTCAGAGACGTCGTCCAGCACTCGTGGTTGTTTGCTTGACAATCTGCCGATAGCGCATACATCTAGTCATCGGAGAAAGCATCCTCATATGCCTTCAAGGCAGACTTGAGCTGCAGCACGCCGTCCGCATCAGTATGCGCCGCTACGAAATCATCATTGTAAAGCTTGACTGTGAAATCGCTCTCAAAGCACAAATGGGTTGAAAGAGAATCTGCGTCATCAAACCTGACTCGCCATTCACGCCAAGAGTCGTCTGGATTGTCTTCATCGCAGTCAATTTCCCACTGGACCAACTCGTCTTCGGTCATGGTTTCCGGGTCGCGCATGCTGAGGCTCGAGTACGAGTGCGCCAAAACAACTGTCTGGTCTGTGATACTGCGCTCATCGAGCAGTGCGTACTGGCATGCCTCCAAGTCGCTTCCTGATGGAGGGTCGTCGATTCGAGTGACGACGAAATGGCGTATTTGTTCCCGATCCTGGAAGTCGCTAGTGAATGGACCGATCGGTGGTGAAGTGCAGAATGGATCAAATGTCGTCTGAGTTGAGTCACGAACAAAAGAGAAGAAGTTGTGCTTAGGTGTCTGGAGTAGCATATCGATGACNCTACCAATCGTCAATAAACATCATAAACAGGTATCGAGTATGCGTACCGAGGTTGGTAGCTGGGCGATGCAAAANAGCAAGAAGGACGACATGTTGTTTCACGCAAACGCTTGAAGATGGAATGCTGTCGTGCTGAATGTTGGTAGTTGAAGAGCTGAAGCTTGTGCGACAGATAGATCTGGGTCGTGGGATGACCTAAGGTTATACCTCGGAGGGAGCGTGGCAACATCAACGACGCGAAGGATCAAAACAGGTGTGTAACCAAATTAACATTATTTCCGGAGGCTGCCCTCACATAGCTTTTGGATCCTAGTATAGCATGACATCAAGGTAGAGGTGCGCCAAAGAACTCCAACTCAACTCGTCTCGTATTGACAAGNGTTCTGTTTCCTCGAACATTATTCGAGTCCGGTTCTCCAATCAACGCCAGCTCTGTGGTGAGCTCCTTCTTGATGATGTTCAGAAGCTTGGAGACTCCTTGCTCGCCATAGATATTGGCATACATTGGTGCACGTCCCAGACCGACTGCACGAGCACCGAGAGCCAACAATGTGAGGATATGGCTCGCGCGACGTACACCGCCATCAGCATAGATCTCAATCTTGTCAAAGACTTCAGGGTATAGCCGGTGGACATCGAGAAGCACTTCAACAGCAGTAGGTGCCATGTCAACAACACGACCTCCATGGTTGGAGATGTAAACAGCAGGGAAGCCGAGGTCAGCACAAAGCTTGACGTCGTGAGCAGTCTTTACACCTTTGGGAACAATCGGCAGGGTTGTCATGTTTCGTAGCTTGTTCAGTGAATCGATCGTGAATGTAGAGCTGTGACCAGCATCGCCGCCTGCCGAGAAACGAAGGTATCGATCCCTGATACCGTTTACACCCNNTGATATCTGGTTAGACGATGGATCATAGCATGGAATCCATATACATACAGTGTTGTCGACCGTTAAGAAGATGGCCTTAAATCCTGCCTTCTTCATACGATTCAACTCATCTTGAAGTTTTGCCGTGTCTGACCAAATATATTCTTGGTGAAACATGACTTGTCCACTGACAGCTGCAGAACCAATCTCTTCAATCGATTGTGATGAAGAGATCGAGGGTACATATAGAAGATTCGCAGCTCCGGCAGCCTTTGCCAGGTTTGTCTCGGCACCACTGCTTGCATAGCCAGCTTTCGCTGCAGGAGCAATGAAGAAAGGCGCATCGAACTCGTGTCCAAGGATAGTCGTCTTTGTGTTGATGTTGGAAACGTCGGTAAAGCTGAATCCATTCAATCGAATCTTCTTCCAATCACGCATGTTGGCGTTATATGTAATCTCATCCAGAGCAGCTGTGCGGTAGTATGCATAATGTCTGTCAGACAAGACATTCTTTGCGGCGATCTGGAAGTCGTTTGCATCAACAAGGTCCTCGATTGGTGGTAAAGTTCCAGTCGTCCAGCTCGAAGTGTCAAGGCCAGTGTCAGGAAGTCCTTCGGTGTCAATTTGCACAGCAAACGTAGAGGCCGCACACAGTGCCAACGAGGTGATAAACGAGCGCATGGTGGGATGGATTCCCAAGGGAAGGACAATTGGCGGTAGACTTGCAGTCAAACAGCATTCACCCGAGGGATTGTCCAGTCCTCTTATATGAACGTGCCCAATTGGCCAATTCCAAAGATAGCTTGAGAATGGCGGCAAATGCCCGGTCGTCTAATTTTTATTGTTGGTGCATTCGATCTGCACAGCATTAGAGATTGGCCCGTTCACAGGCCTGCACGTCCAGACTTCGCAGCCAATTGAGGAAGACTCGATATCTCAATCCGTCCTTCGCAAGGGCCGAATGGTACCTTTTCGGAAATGGCACCTACCAGATAATGCTGTGTTTTGTCGTGCAACAGCTCCCAGGCGCAGGTACACAGCTGTTCCTCGAGCCGGCAATTGGTAATCCAGGATCTCATGTCGTACGAGTAGGGCTGAATGCCGACCGGCGCCTCGACAGACGTTGAAACTCGTGGCTCGTAACCATGCCGTCAGGCGACTAAATGCGGCACAGGCAGGCAAGACTCATCAACTTTTACGATTAGAAAGAAGATACTTGCAGGCGATCTACACGAACACGATATGGCCCTCTCGTGTTCGCCAGAATCGAGCCGTGTTCAAGACGAAGGATGCGAGCGCGCCCTGTCGCGCGTGGACTTATCGAGGGCTTGCATGGCGGTGATGACACGCCTTGCAGTGCGTTGCGTGCAGAGACCTCGACACGAAACAGAGTGGATAGAGGATCGACATATTTGTATTGGTTGATTTCTTATCTGATTCGTGACGTGCCTGGCTTCGGAAGATGTCGGTGCTCGGCATTGTTTCATGTTGACGCCGTTCTCCACGCTGATTCCGTCTCTCTGAGCTCGAACAAAGCAGGGATCGCTTCTTGCCCGTCGTCAAAAGATCTACAAATGGCTGAGACAGAGTATTCACGTTTGCAACGATTTGTACAAAAGGAACACTGATTGCATCAACCGTCTTGTTGTTCCTAGCTCCAAGGATCAGCGATAAAGTCTTGGGCTTGCTCTATACAGCCAAAATAGGCCTATGGTACAGAGCATTGTTAGGCCCGCTAGCAGGGTCACTCCCCATGCAACGCCAAGACGCTCATACAGAGGATGGCTTGCAAGGACTGCTGCTGCTGCGGTCGTTGCTCGCATAAAATCGTTGCCTGCGAAGAGGGACGCTGAGTCTTTAGGGTGAACCAGAATCAGGTACATCGCTAGGCTTTGCAAAATGGCGAACATGCTAGCTGTATATCCCGCGATGCCAATCAGCGGTACTGTCCAGTGGATGTCCATCCGGGAGGTCCATGCTNNAATGCAAATCATGTTCAGCTTGAGTCGGAGAATTTCATTGTGCTCATGAGACTTACCAAAGAGCAGAAGACTCGCTGGCATCGTGACAGAGGCGTACAATCCCGGCACAAGGCTCCGAACCGGTTTGAGGCTTGGACAGTCCTGAGCTGCCGAACGCATCCATTCCATTGTCCATGGGCAGAGCAGAAGACCACCCACAACCGCTCCAACCGAGATGCTCAGGAAACTCAGACCCATATCACGATATGTAAACTTGTATGTCTCGAGGTAGACTTTCGAGATACACTCAAAAAAGGTATAGTACAGACCGTAGATCAAACATGTATAAATATTGGCGAAAGCGACTGCGGGTTCTGTTACCATAATCTTTATTGGGCACCAAAGATGCCGCCGTAGGACTGAGCTGATCGATGTCCAGGGTTCTGCATTAATGTTTTGCTCTGCTACCCGTAAAGCAGATTGTTGCTTCAGGTCGTGCTGTCGTTTTGCAAGATACGTCTCAGGAAGGGCAATTGCAAGGATGACCAGCACGAATGCTGACAAGTAACAGAGCAGCCACATGGGTAGACGCCATCTGTAATAAGCATTAGCCACGCTTTTTCGATCGACTAGAGATGTGTACCCGTTTTTCAGAACGCTGAAGACCGAGATTGTAGGCCCGAGAGCTNNACGAATTGTCAGCACATTGTAAGCATCTAGTAAAGACCACGAACCTGGCCCCAAAGTGGCAGCACCCATCCATCCGAGGAAGGCGAATGGTAAATATCGCACNTTCAAGCTACTGATGGTCAGCCTATATCATTCTCATGCAAAGATATGGCTCACCATATCTTGCAGCGAGGCAGCTCCAGTCGCGAGAGCTGGAGAGCCGCATACACCTTGTGCAAATCGGAGTACGATCAGACCAGCGAATCTGTCACACATGGCTGCAGCCATCGAGTCAAGCACGAAACAGGCCAGACTGGAGATGTACGGTATATTGCGACCGACAGACTCGATCTCACTTAAAGGTGAGAACAATAGGGCTCCGACGCCGTCTGCAGACTTCACGTCAGCGCGTAATCCGATCGTGCTTGACAGATCAGAGTACATACATCCGAACACATAAGTTGCGATCGTCAATGACGATACAGTTGTCGAGACTCCATATCTAAGCTGGATAAAGNNCTAGGATCTGTCAACGGAAAAGCGTCTTGAGGAAAGTCAGATAACCTACGGTATGTTACCCAATACGATAGATGAACCGAGATAGATCACAAAGGTATACAGACTNTCAACATCATTAGAAATAAGGCCTTATGGTGCACGGGTGTTGCTTACATACCAGATCTGTGCGCACACAGCGACTTTGACCGAGGTTGTCCAATCCTTGGGATTGACGGGATCTTTACAAGTTAGTGCNTTCAGACTCTGGTTGCTGAGGCTCACGGCGATCAGTCTTGGGAGTGCCAATGCGGCCGCAATGACAATTTCTTCGTGCTTGCGTGCGTTGAGCTCGTGAGCTGTGCTTCCGCCCCCAACAACAGGCGCAGTCACCGAGGCCTTTGTCGCAGTCGGAAGATAGTGTCGATTATCGTGAGATGAAAATATGGTAGACGGAGGNAATGCGCGGGTGATGCGACCTACAACGCTGTTACGAAACATATGTAGAGCCATGGTGAGGAAAGCAGTCAGAAGCCGATGTGGGCATCGCCTATTTACCTGCACTTAACCACGATTTGGGCTGACTGCCAAGCCCTAGTACGGCTGGCAGAACCCAAAAATTGAGGAGTTATGTCCTAAGCATGTTGCATCTCAAACACGTTCTTCAGCTGACGTGGAGCTGTGGTCAGAACAATCGTGCGCGGGGGTCGTGGCGACGCGGGCGAGATACTGTATCATCTCAAAACGGGGATACATATTTCCTAGGCCTGGAAGGTGGTCTCTGGCCCTCTTATAGTTGGTTCATGATCCTTCCTGTTGGAATGCATGGTTAGCTGCAAGCAGGTCTCACGCTCCTCAACACAAGTACACCTCCAAATCGACGCGTTCGTGTATCGCCAGAGCCTGATTGGATCTAAAGAGAAAAGCCGTGTACTTCATTGCCATATAACGGCTGACTTGCAGCCGCTACTCAGCTCGAAAGCCATGCATTATCTTGAACGAAATCACATCTCCAAAGCGTGGACAATCGTTAAATACAGTTGCCTGCCCCCAGCATGATGGATTCTTGCAGATCACTTACTCTTGCTAGAGTGCTTCCCGTCTATACAACGTCAAGATGCCGTTTGCGAATGTTGCACTTCCGCTACTTGGCCTCGGTGTTCTCTTTTTGGTTTGCAAGGCCATCTACAACTTGTACTTGCACCCACTAGCACGATTTCCTGGTCCAAGATTAGCTGCATCGACGAAGATCTACGAATTATATTACGACATTGTAAGGNGTGGTCAGTTCTTCTACGAAGAACAGCGTATGCACGCAGTCTATGGTGAGAGTCGGTCCTTGCTCTTGGTAAACAGATATCCTCATAGTGTGCTAGGTCCGATTGTCCGCATCAATCCTGATGAGTTACACGTGAACGACCCCACCTACTACAAGATACTCTATGCTGGGGGAGGTCAGGAGAGAGATAAGTAGGTCATTGAGTCTGATTGTGAACTTCCACTTGCTGATGCTGCGTGGANNTACGAGTGGTTCACCAATGCTGCAGGCTCGCCGACTTCCTCGTTCGCCACGGTCGGTCACAACTTGCACCGCATTCGGCGTGGCGCCCTCAATCCTTTCTTCTCGAAAGCTTCGGTAACCAAATTAGAGCCCTTGATTCACCGAAAGGTCGAAGCACTGTGTTCAGGCATAATGGCACATCTACAGGGCAGCATTGTTCTCGACTTCAATGCGGCTTATGTGTCGTTCGCTTTGGATACCGTCTCGCATTATGCCTTTGGCGCCGAAGAATGCTGGAATTGCTTGCTTGAGCTAGGCTTTTCTGCTGACTGGAAAGAAGCAGTCGTCTGCATGTTCGAGAATACAGCATTGGTTCGTTACATGCCATGGATAACAAGACCTCTCATGATTGTACCTTATCATTGGATCGTCAAGATTCATCGGCCCATGGGAATGTATCTCAAANGCTTGCGTAGTACGTGCATCCCAATCACAACCAGAAGATATATGCTGACAGGATAATAGCTTGTCAAAAGACATGTCCTCAGTTTTCTTTCGGCAGAGAACACCAAAAAAGCTAAGAGTGAGACAACAATTTTCTCGGAATTGAGGAACGGTAAATTGCCTTCAGAGGAGAAAGAACCGCAAAGACTCATCGACGAAGCAAACATCCTTATAGCTGCTGGTACTGAAGCAATCGCGCAATTATTAACGATCGTGTCTTATCATCTTCTCGACAATCCAAACGTTCTTGCGAGATTGCGCGAGGAACTCGACGTTGTTATGCCGAAACCTGACAGTGAGATCGCATGGTGTGATCTAGAGAAATTACCATACCTGGTAGAAATCAACTTGTCTCGTGGTTAGCGAAGATTGCTAACGCAATTAGNNACCGCTGTCATACAAGAGGGTCTTCGCATCTCTGCAATCGTGACTACAAGACTACCACGAGTAGCACCGCACAAGATTCTGCGATATGGATCCTTCGAGATACCTCCTGGAGTGAGTAGGGAGTCCTTCGGCTGCTCGAACCATCGTTATAACGTAAATCCCAGANCCCCCGTCTCAATGACGTCCCACTTCATTCACCTTGATCCAACTCTGTGGCCTGATCCCTTGAAGTTTTTACCTGGCCGATGGGTCGATGATGGTTCAGACACGCCCAAAGGCGACAAGGAGTTCCTTGTACCGTTTTCAAAGGGAAGCAGAGGCTGCCTAGGCATCAAGTAAGTTACTCCCGAACCGTTGGTAACTCCACATGCTGATGCTACCTGCAGTCTAGCGCATGCACAAGCCTACCTTGTCATTGCCAAAGTCTTTCGATGCTTCGACTTCAGGCTTCACGAGACGAATCGGCGAGACGTCACGATTGTCAGAGATTGCTTCAATGGTCAGCCGTACAAGGGATGCAAAGGTGTCAGGGCGTATGTGACAGGGGAAAGAACATGATTGTTTCTCTCTTTGTCTGGTGGACCGACCGATTGGTCTCGCACGCAAACAGAAGAACTTTGGCATAGAACCTCTAACTATTCGCCTTGAATTCCGGCTCTCGAATCTGCATAGAGCATAGCAACTTTCGCTTTTACCACCATCATCTACGTGTTGTGCCTTGGCCACGTGATTGAGGCAGAGATTGGACGAACTTCAATACACCTCACCATTAGAACCAGGCCATGTGCGCGTATTGGACGTATGTAGTATGATGCTTGACCACGTGGACTTTATCACATGAAAGCTGACAAGTCAAGGTTTTGAATGGCTTCAGCCGGGATCGCCTTGGCCAATCAGCATCCACTAGGCTAGACCCAATAAGCCAACCTCCAGGGTTTGTGGAATCCTTCTCGAGCAGTTGACCAATACTAGATTCAATGACAATCAGATGTCAGTGATACTTCAAAGGCTTGCGTGTGTCAAACGGTATGTAACGGCAGTAATCCATTGGACTGGCGTCGATACAAATACTCTCCAATCCCACAGCTCGCAGTTATAAGTTTACCCCATCTTGTACCTTGCTCAAACATAGCGTTCGACCATACACCCAGATCCAGTATCAATCAATCATGGACGCAACTCTGGTCGCAAAGCTTCTTTCCATCCCTTGTGGGTTTCTACTTGGCAGCTACAACGCAGTCTTGTCACAGAATGTAATGCCACATCTTTACAAGCAACCAGCATCGGTAGTGGCTTCCATCTTCGCCAAAATCTACAAGATCGGTTCGACTACCATCGCGCCGCTGGCGACCACAGCTATCCTTGCATATAGCTATTTGGCATACTCAAGCACACACCACAAGAGGCAACAATATGGCATAGCTGCAGTCTTGACCTTGGCCACGCTACCTATGACTCAGATAGTCATGATGCCGAGCATCTCTCGCCTCTTGGAGATCAGTAGTAATGGAGATCTGCAGAAAACAGCGGGCCTTGACCAGGAAGTCGTGAGGTTGCTGAAGACTTGGGTTGCACAGAACTACTTCCGGGCTACTCTGCATCTGTCTGCTGGGTTCGTTGGCCTCTATGCTGGGCTGACATAGCTTGAAATCCTGGACAGGCATGGCGAATGTTCTCGGATGACTGTGAGCTGTTGCGACTCATGGGCTTGAACGGTTGTGAAATTTCCTGTATTCACAGTTTCCAGTTCTGAAAGCATTCTTTGATCATCGACGTTCTAAAGTCTTGGAAATTGACGGCCGAGTTTCGACCGCCTCATGAACGAGAACAGGGCGTTTGTAACCTTCGAGCGTTCGCTGATAAGGAGGGGGAGGCTCACGTAATCATGCTATACCATGACCCCGCAAGTGGGGTAATGATGATCTTTTATCTACCGACATGCCGACCCGTGTGATATCACGAATACCTATATCAAAATCTATTCCCTTCTTCCGCTCATTTCACCCTTCTCTCACCTCGACTGGAATAAATACAGAACAATTCAGACCGACAATGACAAAAGACTGGAAAGAAGTCGCTGCGGCGAAAAAGCAGCGTATCAACGACTCTATACCCAAAGAATGGCTTATCGATACTTCTTCCCTTGGTGCGAACGTCATGGATGTCCCCGCGACTTGCGGTCTCCTTAGCAAGTCTGAACTCGACATCACGAATTCTTCAGCTACGGATCTGGTGNAAAAGCTGGCTGATGGCAGTCTCAAAGCCGTCGACGTTACCACAGCATTCTGCAAAAGAGCAGCTATCTCGCATCAAGTCACTAATTGCGCATTGGAGTTCTTCCCAGAAATGGCGTTGCAGCAGGCTAAGGAACTGGACGAATTCTACGAGAAGAATGGACGTACAGTCGGACCTCTGCATGGATTGCCTGTTTCGCTCAAGGATCAATTGCGCGTCAAAGGCTTGGAGACAACTATGGGCTATGTATCCTGGATTGACAAGTACGATACTGAAGATTCAGTACTCACTGCCCTGCTGAGGAAAGCCGGTGCTGTTTTTTACATCAAGACTTCCGTGCCTCAAAGTTTGATGGTTTGCGAGACTGTCAACAATATCACTGGTCGCAGTGTCAATCCTCGCAACAAGAACTGGTCTCCCGGCGGTTCTTCTGGAGGTGAAGGAGCAAACGTCGGTATTCGAGGTGGTATCATCGGTGTTGGTACAGACATCGGTGGTTCCATCCGTGTACCTTCTGCCTTCAATTTCTTGTATGGACTTCGACCTAGTCACGGCAGAATGCCTTATGGCAAGATGGCGAACAGTATGGAGGGACAGGAGACTGTTCACAGTGTTGTTGGACCAATCGCTCATTCCGTCCCTGACCTGCGCTTGTTCGTAATGTCAGTGCTTGAGCAACAACCATGGAAGCACGACTCGAAAGTTATTCCTATGCCTTGGAGACAGTCCGAGCATGACGCTACAATGCAGAAGATCAACACTGAAAAACTGACCCTTGGCTTCTTCAACAACGATGGGGTGGTGATGCCCCATCCTCCTATCCTTCGTGGTGTCGACAAGGTGGTTTCCACTCTGCGGGAGAACGGTCACACACTTATTGACTGGAAACCCTACAAGCACGATTATGCCGTAGATCTCATCCAAGGGATCTATGCTTCAGACGCAGGAAAGGATATTCACACAGTGCTCTCAGTTTCAGGCGAGCCTGCAATTCCCAACATCAATGACTTGGTGGACCCCACCAGATCTGGTGCGGATATCACTACACTATGGAATGTTCAACTTCAAAAGTGGAAGTTCCAGATGGAGTACATCGAGAAGTGGAACGAGATGGAGGAGAAGTTGGGCAAGGAGATGGATGCGTTCATCATGCCCATCACGCCCACTGCCGCCATCAGACATAATCAGTTCAAGTATTATGGCTATGCAAGTGCAATTAACTTGCTTGACTTCACAAGCGTAGTTGTTCCTATCACTTTTGCGGACAAAGCTCTGGACAAGAAGAACGAGGACTTCAAACCCATAAATGACATGGACAAGCAGGTGCAAGAAGAANTGTGAGTCGATCAAGAGCTGTTTTGTGATGATCGTACTGACGAAAACACAGATGACGCAGAGGCATACCATGGTGCACCAGTCGCAGTACAAATTGTTGGTCGCAGACTTACTGAGGAGAAGACCATGGCCATCGCCGAAGAGATTGGAAGACTGTTAGGTAATGCCATCACGCCTTGATTTGATTAATAGTTCATGTCAATGTTGTAGATGAAAAGGATAGTTGTATAGGCACGTAAAGTCCAAGGGAACTGGAAAGGGATTGTAGAAAAAGGAAAAAAAAAGAAGTAAATTGACGAGTTTAAGAACAAACCATATAACATTATGACTTCCTGAGTCCACTATACGTCTATCGCGCCGTCAACGATCAAACTCTGCCAGCGTAGAATGTCTCGAGCTCGTGACAATCAGCATAAACTAGATGACCAGTGGCCTCCAAGCAAAGACGACAAAGCCAGATCGAGTTGTGATATAATGTCATACGGGCTGTGCACATAGGACAAGTAAACCAGCGCTCTCCATACACAACCTCAGGAACAGGAAAATTGTCCATGAAGATATCGGTCTCCATGTCCTCGAAAGGATCACGAGGCTCATCAACAATGCGAGTGCGGATGGGTAGATTGTAAGACGACATCCTGGCTTGAGCTTTGTTGATTCTGTCGATAATGTTATGCCGAGCGCAAGGACTACGAGAAGTGGTCAGGTATATATGTGATCTGAAGAGAGCGTTGTTGCTTTGACAACGTGAGAATAGAATTTATCAACAAAGAATGCAAAACAAAGGTCAGTCCTGTTCACAAAGACTTTCAATGAACCAACTCGGAATGAGGTAAAGGAACAAAGTATCGACCTGCACACAGAAAACCAGCTTTGATTAGCTTCAGCCATGTAGTAGTTTACCACGGCCGCGGAATCGACTCTTCTATATGTGGTTTCTTATACTTAGGCTTAAACAAAGACACAGTGGAAGTATCTCTATATCAAGGACAAAGCCGGTCATCCCTCACAATTATGGTATCAAAGCTTCGGTGATGGTTGAGAGAACGTTTCAAGTTGTCAATGCACGGGACATATGTGACACATTGGAGATGGAAAATAGATGTAACGAGGGGAAAAGACAAAACATCGATTGATCATAGGAACTCATTTAGAGTAATAACATATCAAAACTGCTCACCTCTTGAGAGGGGGACTTAATAATTGCTGTAGTAGAGTCCACAGCGATGACACCAATAACAAGCTTGACCAGGGTGCCATCTCAGATACCCAAAGCATCTGCCGCAGGTAGGTGCATTTGGGACACGAGCAACAATGCCAGTCGAAGCAGAAGAATTGGTGTGCTTGCACATAGTTATGTTTTGTGGAGTTGTTTGTGCCGGTAGTGGGTTCTTGTGAAAAGAGTTTGATGGAGGAGAAATCCTCATAGGCATTCTTCGAAGGATATATGTATGATTTCTTTGGTCATCAGAGCTACCCTGTTCAATGTTCGATGATACAATGCTTCAGCAATTCACAAAGGAGGATGAAAGGTAGTCAAATTTCCTCAAACAAGGGCCTTGGACTGTCAAGGAAGTCCCAAGGTGTGCCAACGAACTTGGGAACAATTGGTTCTTTGTCCTTTGTCGTTGTTCAGTCAGTGCGGTGTATGGGAATCCTGTCAAGATACACTCTCTCTGTCTCTCTTTGTCTTCTACCAACAGATGTGGCAGAGTCATCGTGATAGTCTGGACGACAGGGTTCCGAGTCTAGACGAGGCGTCGGAGCTGGAGAGCGGCATGGGCTGTTTGTTATCGCATTGATGGGTTTGATAATGGTGCTGCGTAGTCAAGCAAGCGAAAAAGAAATATTCTTTCCAAATACAGACGGCATCGGTTGTCCTGGTTCAGGGGCCCGCGTGGTACTGTTGTACCTGCACGACAAAACATGCTGCTGCACCGTTGACTCGTGCGTCTGGGCAGGCACAAGCGGCAAGTTGTTTTTCTAAACCTTGATTGCGATACTGTACCTCACGCGTCATCTCTGCATGCTAGAGGCTGAATTCAAAAGACCCAATATCAGAGTTTACTATTGATGTTCTCGGCAGGGCTAGCCTTCAATGCCAAGTGCTGACCAAAAGTGTCAAAGAATGCCTGTACACCACATCGACATTGGTGCTTATCTTGCATGCCTTACTGCCTGATATACCTCATCATTCTGCGCTGGCCATAATGGACGCACTGCAGACAAGAGTCCATGCATGTTTGGGCTTCTGAGAGCATGTGAAACTGATCTGATCTGGATTGCCGACCACCGCACGATTCCGTTTCGCAACGTGTCTTGCCAATGTGAGGGATTTCGGGTTCGTTTTGTTCTTGCCTTCCGTGAGTCCTTGGGCTCTGCGACTGATTCCATCTGACAACGCCGAACAATTTTTTTGCAAGACTTTGCCAGTTTGACTAGCTCTTCGCGTCGAACCTGACATCTGTCTCATTACATTTTGCGAAGGCTTGCAGTTAGCGAAATGCTAGTCAGTCGGCTTGCAAACATGATACTACCAGGTACAGCATGTGTCCTGGCAGGCAAATTTGGAGATGGCAGAAAACAATGTCGATCATAAGCAGTCCTTTAAGCTCATGGCAATGACTAGGATCTATACCTCGGCGGTATACCATCTATTACCGAAGATAGGCAAAACAGATGGAACGGACATGGTATAGGAATTGAGAAGTACATAGTGTAATATTGAATGCGATGGATGAATCCTGAGTGCTCGAGACAATGAACTTAAACGGTTACATCTCAATAGAAATCGTGCCTTGAGCGCGCACTGGACGTTATGACTGCGGAGGGCGTGGAAGGGCGCTCTGGGCGAGGCTTCGTCTTGGATCTGGCGGCGACTACGATTGTGGTGGCCAAATGGCTCTTGCAGGTCCCGGTGCTGTGATCTTTGTAACGATTAAACATCGGATGACTGCTGGCCAAAGGGCAGGTTGGGAGGTGGATGAGGCCTGAGGGTGTTTTCATTGTCAGCAACGCTATAGGAGCATAAACGGCGATCATAACTTATCTTTTGCAGATGATGTTCCACTTGGACTTCTCCCAGTACTCATGCGCTTATCTCAACGCCTCAAACCCAATCTTGGAATCGCTGTCTCAGGAGAAGGTATCGCATCTGCAGTGTAGCAACGGTAATTGACTGACTTGGTTGATTGCTGGAACAAGCAGCAATCTCCTTTTCGGTCAGAGCCTCGTCTTCCGTCAATGGATCAGAAGACGCTCTTCGTCATTGAGGCATTTGAGCGATGGTATGCGCCTGCGGCGCTTGGAGTTTGGGCGGAGCAACGCTACGAGCTCGAAGCGCCGAGGCCAGATACGTTGGCCCGACCACCCAGGGCGCCACGTCAAGCATCAATGACCAAGCGGTGTGCAAGGTGTTTTGCTGTCTTGATAGAGACAGACGGTGCGAAGAGCGCTAGCATTGAAACAGCGCTCGCGTGAGAGCCCTCTTTACCGACACTCATGTAGCAAGCGAGGCTCGTGCATGTATATAAATAAAAGAGGGGCGGGCGGGACACGCCGAACAATGGCCAGCCCGAGGCTTCTGACTCGAAGCCCCATGCAAGTCGAGAGAACCTTCTGCCCTTTGGTCATCAGCGACTGCACGCTCTACTGTTTGATGCAACACAGAGAATACAATTATTCAGGTAATGACAGGCTCTCGAGTTAATCACTATGAAGTAGACGTGTAGCATCTGCCGACTTGCCCTCTCCTTGGACCTTGGTCACCTCTGTGTACCGTCACGCAATCTGGTGTTTGCTGAATCATCCCCGTCATCGAAGAAGCCCCTACTTCTGCATCTCATCACGCTCCTCGTCGGCCTTCTGTTTCTTGGGAGGCTCCTGCTTCTCGTCCTGAGAACTATCAGAGTGCTCACGCTTTTGTCAGCACGCTGGGAGCTGGCCTCAGTCATGGCAGTGGACTTGGAGGTGGTGCCGGTGTAGTGGGTTGTTCTGGTCTCTTGAGTGTGTCCGGAGATACTCGACGCAGCTCCAGAGGGCTTAGCAACATGCGAGGGGTTCTGAACGGCGTCGTCGACATCGGGAACCGCAGCGACGTCAGTGATGGGATCGTCGACATCTTCGACAGGGTTGTAGGTATCGAAGAGCATCTCGTCGTCATCGTCGACGGCCTGCTTACCCTTCTGTCCGACGGCAGCAGGGGTGATCGGAGCGGATCTGCCCAGCTGCTGCAGCTGCAGGTTGTCGGCGAGGTCAGCCTGTCTCTCCTGTGTGCCGTTAGTAACTCTTTCGGCTTCGGAAGCATAGCAACACTTACCAGGTTCTTCTTGTGCTCCCTATCCGCCTTGGCTTGTCGCTGCTTCTCAATCAGGGGACCTTCGTACTCTTCAAGAAGCATCTCATCCTCGGCATCAACACTCGTCTCGGTCTCCTTGCTAGCGGGCTGCTTGCTAGCGGTCTCGTGCTCGTCGATGAGATCCTGGAAGTAAGATTCGTGCTCAAGCTGCTCCTTTGCCTCCTCGGGCTTCCAGACTCTGGCGGTAACGGCAGGGGCCGTGGGCATGGCGGCGAAGCGCTCAGGTCCTTCCTGGTTTTCATCAGTAAACCTTGATCCGCACATACAGACGCAATGTTGTGCTCACCTCCGTCTCGACCTTCTCACCGGTTTCAGGAGCAGAGACACCAGGCTCGTCAACTGTTGTGCTCACCTCCGTCTCAACCTCCTCACCCATACCAGGAGCAGAGACAACAGGCTCATCAACCTCCATCTTGTCGCTGGTCTCTGCAGCTCCTTGTTCCATCGGTTCATTCATGGCGGCGGCAGGGGCCTTGGGTGTAGCGGCGATGCGATCAGGTCCTTCCTGGTTTTCATCAGTAAACCTTGATCCGCACATACAGACGCAATGTTGTGCTCACCTCCGTCGCGACCTTGTCACCCGTTCCAGCAGCAGGAACATCAGGCTTATCAACGTCCATCTTGTCGCTGGCCTCTGCAGCTGCTTGTTCCATCGGTTCATTCATGGCGGCGGCAGCGGAATTTCTGACGTCGGACAGGGTGGCGTTGGCCATGGCGAGCAGTTTGAGGCCAACAGCCTGATCGCCGAAGTTTCTCACGCCCCATTCGGCCTCCTTGACAGCCTCACAGGCATGCCAGAGGTTGTCCATGGGGCCGTACGCAAGCACCTGTCGCAATGTCAGCATCGGCGAGACCAGGGGAACGATCGAAGGACTTACAATGTGTGCATAGGCGCGATACAAGACAGGAACCTTGCCCCAACCCAAGAGACGGGTTGCCTCTTCCTCAGCAGCAGCGGCCTTGCCCTGCTCCCACATTTCAAGCATGTACAGATAGACGCGGTTGAAGGCGCCTTCGAGATTCTCGTTCAGGTTGATGCCCTCGTATATGTCGACATGGTCGTAGTCGCCGGGCTTGGCCAGGCCTTTGATCTCGTAGCCACGAGGGAGAGGATCGCCACGAGTCTGGTCGCCAGGAGGTCCAGCGCTCTGCTCCGGGACGGTGGTGTTGGTGGCTCCTGAGAAGTCGGCGCTGCCTGTGGTAGCGGTGTCCTGTGCTGCTGACATGTCGCAGGGTATGCTGTAGGATACGTATGGGAATTGTTGTAAGGTAAGGTCCTTGCCAGAGAAGTTCAGAAGTCCGCAAAGTGTGTTTGCGAGTCTGGCATAGTTGGTGACACCCGCACAAGCTTGATTACCCTTTTCGGATTAGTAGGTCCCTGAGCGCAAACACCCGTTTCAAGCACCACGAATCTGCAAGCTCCCATCGCTTCGCCAATTTTCGTGTTGTCTTTTGTTCGTTTTCCAGATGCTTCTGTCTAGCAGCAGCAATCGCAACTCCTTTGTCCTTGCCCCTTCGCGATTCTCTCTCTCAGCCTGTTTCCACAGACGTCGCTTGCCTCTTCATTCACTAACTCCGCCGCCCTGATATATTCCTTCTTCCTGTCATCCTCATCTCATCCACATCCTAGCTCTGCGCTATCGCAATCATGGTGAACAATCAAGATGGTATGATCCCCTTCTTGACCGCTCTTGAAAAATCTGACTTGACACTTCCTCCAGATCCCCCCTGGCCCTGAGCGCCAGCCTCGTCGTTCTCAAAGGGTCTCAGAAGCTGTGCTCCAACGCCAGCTTGAGCGAACCTACGGAACGTCGATTCAACCTCCCAGTAAGTCAACTTGTGCGCCGCTCTCTCAACAACGAGCTGACATTATTGGGATTGTAGTCGGCTTGTCTCGGTCAACACGTCGTACCACCGCAGCTTCCAGGAGCAGCACGGTCGTGCCCAGCACCCCCATAAGCGACATGGCCAATACGGCCAGATCATTGGCTCAGTCACCCAACTCGCTACGAGCCTTTGGTCAGTAACGTTCTCATTTATGCCGCCCTTTTCTTGAGCTTACCAATCCCAGGTTACGATGACGATGCTCCGGTCGAAGAAGGAAACGAATCCAGTTCTGGAGAGGACGAGATCGTCGTTGCGCACCCCAGCGCTTCCAACTCAGGCGCTCCTGTGGTTGGTGGTGCTATCAACCCCACTGCTCCAGGCGGTGCTACTTCCACATCTACCACCAGTGCACTTGGCACCTCCGCCGCTGTACCTACAGTTGCTGTTCAAGGCGGCACTGCTCCTCCTCTGCCTGTTCCGGCTCATGGCGCCGCTGCCGCTACCACAGCTCCCTCTCATGGTGCTGCGTCAACTTCTGGCATCCTTCCACCCACTCTAGGTGCTCCCGCTGCACTCCCTACAACCAGCGTCGCTCCCACTACCTCTCACGCTACTCCGGGTCCTGTCCCTACCCTTACTGGCCATGCTGTGTCTGGCCCTCTTGGACGCAGAGTTCCTGCATCGATGCTCCGCCGCGGCGAACGAGGCGTCGATCCAGTCGTCCTGATCACAGGCCGCAGAGACACGCACTTCATCACCGGTGCCAACCAGGTCCTCATGATTCCCTCTGCCAGCAACCAGACCCTGGTCCCACAAGCTCCCATGCCGGCCTTCGGTCCTGCACCCCCTGTTGTCATGCCGCCTCCGGTGTCTGCTCCCCCTGCACCTGCTGCCGCTGTGCCTGCTACCGCTACATCCGCTACCAATGCACTCGGCAGCTCTGGATCCGCAGCCGCTGTACCTAGCACCTCCGCACCTGGTGCCTCTACATCTGCTCCTTCCCTAGCAACCGGCTCCCAGGCCTCCGTGAACCAGCCCTCCGCAACCCAGGCCTCCACAGACGACGGAGAGTTCCAAGTCAAGATGCAGAACCTGAGAGGCGCTCTCGAACTTGGTCCTGATGATCCGATGCCCGAGGGCTGGACTCAGTATCCTGCTCGGTTTGCCGAGAGACGTGCAGCTGAACAATCGATGGCAGTCAGTACGAGTGTCTCTGACCAGCCCTCCACAATCCAGGCTCCCGTAGATTATGGAGAGTTTCAGACTGAAATGCAACGCTTGAGAGACGCTCTCGAACTTGCTCCTGATGATCCGATGCCCGAGGGTTGGACTCAGTATCCTGCTCGGTTTGCCGAGAGACGTGCAGCTCGACAATCGGTGGCAGTCAGTGCGAGTGTCTCTGACCAGCCCTCGACAACCCAGGCCTCCACAGACGACGGAGAGTCCCAAGTTGAGATGCAGAATCTGAGAGATTGGCTCGGAGTCGATCTCAGACCTCGCCCACCACCATGGGTCTCGACCATTGCTTCCATTGGTCGTGAGCTCGCTGCTATACCATCCATTGCACGTTCAGCTGAGTCCTCCGACAATGACTCTTCTGACGGCGAACCTGTCAGACGAACCCGAAGCCATCGTGATCGAGCCCGCCCCGTCACATCTGCTACAACTGCGCCCGTACCGTCCGACTCTGCGAATGACCGCTCGCCTGTGCGCCCTAGTCGCCGTCTCCGTCCTCCGGTTCCTCCAGCATCGTCCGGCTCGGATGACCCTGTTCCAAGCGACCATGACATATCTGACTATGCTGCTGAAAGCAATGGAGCTTCTACTAGCGACAACAGCAAGGCGGGACATCCTCCTCCTCAGCCTCCTGCCGACAGTCCTTCTCCTCCCGACGATCGCACCCTTGGACGCATGCCGAATGATTTCATCAGAGTCAGGGAGCAGTTCGATGTTGCCAGCAATCCTGATCTGGTCTACTACGATAAGTTGAGAGAATATCTCAAGGATGCTACCCTTCTCCACCAGCGAGAACCGTACGAGCATCATGAGCAGGCCAAGTTACTCACCGACTTGCTTCGACTTCCAGTACTTCCTCGGGCTCCTCGCTATAACGTTCGTCTCGAGACTGGCGCAAGACAGACCCGCAACAGGCGTGGCTGGGGCGTGCAATTTCAGCAGGAAGGACTCGGCCGTCGAGCATTTCAGCTTGTCCCCACAATTCCCTACGCCTTAATCCCTGAAAACGATCCCAATGCTGCAAACAACTGTGATGCCCTCATGACAGAAGTCGTCAAAGTTGTTCGTCGCTTCGAATACCATACGCTCACAGCCACCATCATCAAGTCAATCATCCGTGCTGTGGGTCATACCCTTTTCCCTAAACCTCATCTGGTAACGCAACCCACATGGAATGAGGCAAGCGAACGCATGGTACTTGCCATTCGCCATACTGATCCTGACTCTCGCACATTGGTCTCGCGAAACATCATTTTGCGTCCGAGCGGGTTTGAGAACGTTGACATCGGGGACATACCTGACGTCGAACGCTTATGCCGGTTCACGACTGGCAGCGCCGAGCACGAAGTTCCGAAGCAGCTCATCGATGGTGTCATGCGTACACCCAGTGTGTTTTCGGATGCACAAGTCTCAACGCTCGGTCAGCATGTTCGCACGCTTGAAAAATTCTTGCGCTATGTTTCTCATGAGTTGAACGACGTGTTTGGATCACCCGAAACCATCGATGAGATGCTGAAAGAGATGCAGCACGATCTCGGAGCAAATGTCAAACGTCACAAGAGCATTTACGGCGGGAACGCTCTCCTGGTAGGACACCGTTATCGGAACCAACGTTTAGTAAACTATCACTTCGGTAATTCCGTACTACATGATATCGGCGGTGTTGATCCAGCTGTCCAGCTCGCCATGGTCAGAACCGTCGATGGCGTTCTCGCATCAGTGCCTCTGGATGTGGGAATCACGGATTTCCGAGCCAGCAAAAACCCGCTCAATGCCTCCTTGTACTTGGCTGAAGCCGCTGACTTCGTCAACGCGGAAGTTATCACTCCTCAATGCGATCATAGTGCTGGCTGCGGGTGTGATGACAAGATGTCTAGCGTGCTCACACATCACTGCCAGTCTTGCCTAAGGGAACGACTCTGCAAGAAGCTTGGCGTGTTCCGACAGGCTCGTGTTTGCAAGCGCTGCCTGAGAAAGCTCCAAAACCTTGATCCTATGGCAGCCGTGAAACAGGTCTTCGGACGGTCCCTCAAACACAACCATGTCACGGAATGTCATGCTTATGGGCACTCTGTAGATTCTCCCGCCGAAGTCAAGAGGTTGGAGGACATGGTTGATCACTTCGAGAACTCTTTCGAAGAGAACTCATACTTTGATGAGTACAGCAGTCGTCAACGCAATGTCAAGGGCATCACAGACATTCGTGTCCACCGTGACCCTCTCTTGTGCTCGGTTGATGCTGTCGAGCCGTATGGCGTAAGCCACGACGGAACATTGCGTGTTCATACCGCTACCAACGTCGCCATGACAACCTCTGGTTTTAATTACATGAAACAACGCCAGCTCATCGCGTTCTTGGTGGAGCTTGGTCAGTACGACCCTTCTGTTCATCACACGCCGGAGGAAAAGAGAGAATTTGAGCTCATTTGTGACGAACTCTACCTCGTCGCCGCGAAGACGCCATTTACCAAGAAGGCCCGAGTCCAAGGTAAGGGCGTTGAGGACCTCGCTGCAGACCAAGCCGAATGGCGGTCTGGCAAGCCCCTCGACGAAGAGGGTCCTTGGAACCCGACTCTTTGGCGTTGGGCCATCAATGGTGTGCCTAATTGGTACCGCGGCGAGTGGGACGACGAAACCATCCGTCGTCTGACGAGGCTCAGCAACCAAATCCAACAACGCTTCGGTGTCACCCTGCAGACGGCTCCGGACGGCGCACCTTGGATTTCCAAGGAAGGCGGCACTCCTATGCCGGCGAACTGGAGCTGGCGTTGCTGGTCAATTGCTATGGGCCAGCGACTCACGAGAATGAGGACGATATGTAATCGTCATGGCATAAGTAAGTCAAACCTCATGTGAAGATCCAACTATGACATGATGCTAACCAGGTCAATAGCGGTCGACACTTCAGAGGGATTGTTCGCCGAATTTATCTATCAGGTCTGCACAGACGAGGAAGAATACCGTGAATTCCTTGACCTCCCTCTCACCATGTGGATTCGTCATCCACTCTGCGTCTCCGTCGCACACAAGGTGCACGGCAAGTCAATGGCTACCGGATGGCCCCGTCATCCTGCCGACCTTTCCGAGCGTGATGGAGCCAAGAACAACATCTTGTTTGAGACTTGGACTTCGAACGCTGCTAAGATGGATATGGAGAAGCAGTCTTGCGATGACTTGCGTGCTGAGGTCAAGACTATCAAGCTCGCACGTCCTGATTGGTACAACAAGACCGTCGACAATGCCACCCACAGGTCGTCAGATGTCATTTTCGAACGCCTGACCGCCGAAGACTTCCAGCAGGAGTCGCTGTACACGAGCGTTGAAGTCGTTGAAGACCAGGTGGAGGAAGAGGACCAGATGGAGGAAGAGGACCAGATGGAGGAAGAGGACCAGATGGAGGAAGAGGACCAGATGGAGGGAGAGGACCAGATGGAGGAAGAGTCCTAAGAGGTGGAGGTCATTGAGGAAGGTGCCAGGGTGCTGGAGAGGGTGTTGAATGGGAAGTTGAAGATGAATTTGCAGAGGGAGTTGAGGAGGGTATGCAGGAGGATGAAGATGAATGGAGATGGCGTAACAAATGATGGCATGGAGTCTTTCGGTAGCTCATCTCCTAATTGAAGCATGCCCTACAATGTGCCATCCAGGATTTTTGATGTGATGATGTTATGGAGAAGGCATCCTCCTGCAACAGCTCATGAGGAGACCGCCATGAGATGTTCTTCACAAAACCCCTTAGCAACGCTCTCTGCCAACGAAGAAGTGGCAGTCAGAGTAGTAGAGCGTCAGGGCATGACGAGTTATGGAAAGTATTGACATGGTGCGGGATTGAACTTTGTGAAATAGCAGAACGAACAAGAGCAGATTCAAGAGCAAGTTGAGCAAGACGGATCGAGCAAGAGAATATCAGAACAATAGTCGATTATCTGTAACTACAAACCATTCATCATAGACTGCCAATCCGAGCTTCTTTCTGCTATATTTGTTGATTTGAAGGCGCAAGAACGCATACTGAGCGGAGAGAGCGTCGCAGCCTCATCGCGCAGGTGAGGCGCTGCGTCTCGACCAAGTTTTGCGGTATCGGTCATTGAAAGAGAAAGAGGGCTTGAAGGTGGTAGTCGCAGCAATGGTGTTCTTGTTCATCAAACAACAGAAACGTAGACCGGGTGGTGGAAGTAAGTGCTGCAGAGCCAGAAGTGAAAGGTGCGTTCAACAGCTTGTAAAAGGACTGAACCGCTGCACAAAACATGCCATGCAAAGCATAAAGTTTGAGCTGGGGCACGCTAATCGCGTCAGGGGGATGCGCTTTCCACCTTCAGCACAATGATACCGCCTCATGCTGAATCCCAAAAGCGAAGGCAGACACGTTTGTCAGTGCCGGTCAATATTTTTCAATCTTCTACGATTGATTCTCAACACGGGAATAGTCCTGCTTGCTGTAAGGTGGCTCCTGGGAGTCAAAGAGGGTTGTGGAGGCGGGCCGCTGAACGGAGCGTTGAGACCCGCAGCAGAGCGGAGATCAGGGTCCAAGCCCTTTGTGCATGCTCATGGCGCCAATGATGTTGCTTCCAGCACAAACAAGACGAATTCTCTATATCTTCTTCCCTGCCTTCACCTTTGGCACCATCGTCCTTCATCTACGAGCAGGCAAGAATTCTTCATCTCTTGTCCGCAAAACCATTACCATGGACTCTCCTTCCAACATGACTTCTACAACTAAGACGAAGTCGCGCATGCACCATGTTCTTAGTCTTCTCCCTGGCGATCACATCGGCAATCCCCCCACTACCTATGACGCCCTATTCGACTCCGTCAAGAACCTCCTTAAAGCCATGGCTCATCACGACCTCTTAAAGGATGATGTCAATCTGGCTGTCGATTACCTGTTTAATCACGTCCACCGTCTCCAAGGCCCTAACCCTCGCCTCCGTTCGGTTATGGGCGGTCGTGGTCCCGCCATTCCCGCCATGTTCACCGGCTTTGACATGCCCGCTCGCAATGACTGGAACTTGAGCAATCTTGTCTTCGAGAAGTTCGAGAAGTTCAACTGAACAGGTGTGTTTCCTGCCTACCCATGACTTGCAGTATCTGTACTGACACTCGTTCTGCAGGAACTGAACTCGACTAAGCTTAGCGTCTTTGATGTCTTCGCTACTTCGACACTCCGGCAATCCAACACACTCAACCATCGTTACCAACTATCGCATTCACATCTTTCTGTGAGCATAACAGGAGGAAAAACATACCAGGCGTTTGGCTGCTTCACCGGCGCATCAACTGGACAAGGCACACTCTCTTTTAGCAACATTGGCAGATGATCTGGAAAGATCCTGAATGCATCAAGTTCCTCTCTCTCTTGTGTTCCTTTGTGCCTGTGACGTGATCCCTTTGCCGACTGCCGGCCGCGAATGCTTCTACTGGAAGAGCTAAGATACCACCAACGAGCTTTGCTTCGGTGCAACTAAGGCAAGCATACACCGCTATGTCACTGTCGACAAGGTGGTTTCCACTCTGCGGGAAAACGGTTACACACATATCACTCGAGCCTCTATACTTCTTGCGACACCATCATTGGATTCTTCACCAACTTCCTCACCCTACAGATCACACTGTATGGATCATGATCGCTCAACGAGAACAGAGTGGAGAACAGATATTTGTGTCGCAAGAGATGACATGTAACGTTGGTCTTTTGAACGATGTGATGGTGTGTACAGCCGAGCCGACCACTATTCCAATCGAGCCTTCGATCGTTGGTAACTGCTCAGGCGATCTGGCATACTTCAATAGTCGAGGCGGACCTCGTGATGCGAGAATGTGTTATGGTCCCGATGCACCCTATATCTTATACGGATCACAATCATCTTACTCCTGTATTGGAATCTGGGTCGAGGATGCGCGTATGCTGCTTGACGACTTCCATGCGGAAAGGTCTGTCGTACCCAAGCTCTTCACTCACGCGACAGAGGTCCAGAAACCGCCACCTGTAGGTGGTATGGAGAAAAACTTCTTCCTCTTCTGGGACAGCAGCAACAAGGCCTATGTGCATCATGACATCTATCCCCACAGAGTATTCGCTCAGCTAGAGTTCGACGGATCGGTTGGCCCAGATCTGGGAGTCAATTCCGCCAGCAAAGACGACGTGTGTCTGAAGATGTACATGCCCACTTTGGCTCCTGAGCTCGAGTCAATTCACCAAGCGACCAATTCGCTCTCTATCACCCTATGCAAACGAGCAGATTCAGGTTGCACTCCCACTGCCGTAAACACATTCATCTTCACGATTTTCCAACACAAATCGTATCACGACTGGCATGGTATCTATGAGCCGTACGTGATGGTGTTCCAGCGAGACGCGCCTTTCGAGGTGCATGCGATCTCTCAACGACCGCTTTGGATCCATGGACGAGGTCCATTGACAAGGGAAACACAATCGCTTCTATACAGTGACCCAAACAAAGATATACCGTCGGGTCATACAGAAATGTTTTATGTCACAAGCATAAGCTGGAAAACTCACGGTCAGAAGTACCATGGTTATCTGGACGATCCACTGTTTTTGGCATTTGGCATTGAGGACACCCGGGCGGGACTGATTGATGTTTTGGCCGAAGACTTGTTCTCCGACCTGGGATATTGCCCTGGCAAGATGTAACCTGTTTCTGATTAGCTGTAGTGCCTATTGAAGTTCGGATAAGGCAAAGTCTTTCGTAGTGCCAATTTGGAATGCCTCAGGCAAAATTCCTCCAACCAGTCGTGAGAGCATACACACCCTACACCTCCGCCATGTGTAACTATAATCCATGTCGGCTATGAAAGCCTGTGGCAATGATCTATGTGCCGGTTTGTTAGTATGCGCTTTTCGACTCGGCCGAACGATACTTCTCTCAGCTGAGTGTATACCTGCAGCTTCTAGCTCTAGTGGCTCGTACGCTCATCGTAATGTTGAGCGATGCCAATAGCCACTTCAAGGCATGTTGGGAACAGACATAATGAATTTCAATAAAGTCAAATCCACACCTGGGAAAATGATCGAGGCTAAAGTCCCCATGCTCCTCCGAATATGTACTACATGTTCGCAGCGAATATGTATATATGTATCGCACTTTGGTAGGTACTGTCCATGTCGCTAACAAGGTTTTGTGATCTAAGGTTCGCGGCTCCCATGTTAAGTTCCGACACATGCTTTCCACAGTAACAAGGTTTTGTGATATAAGGTTCGCGGCTTCCATGTTAAGTTTCGACACATGCTTTCCAGTGGCGCACGACTAAAGTATGGACGCCCACACTTTCGGTCGTGCTGGCTTCTACCTATATCGGTCGGCTCACAGGTGGATCTGGATTCAGAGCCTAGAATTGTTGAACTCATTCGAATGATCTGCATCTTTGTTTTAATATCTTGCTTGCTACCACATGATCTACAAGTTCAGCCCTGGAGTCAGCTTTTGCCAAGTTTCCGTCTCCTCGGTGTCTTCGGATCTGATTTCGAGCATGTGGCCGTCTTCCTCTGGCGCGACCTCGGGTACAGTGGCAGCGCTGTCTTCCGGTACTATTTCATCTTGATCCTCCTCAATCGCGGGAAGCACGGGCTCTAAGACTTGTTCAGAAACGCCACCAGACAGCTTATCAAGATCAGCCATGAGTTCAGCTGGATCTGCAATTGCAATATGCTCTTCTCCAGAGAACAGACCAGGCGACTTTGTTTCGACCATATTCTTCGAGTCGGCAACCTTCTCTCTCGGTGAGTCCTTTGAATCGGCTTTTGTCTCGCCAGCAACTGCCAGAGGATCTGGGGCTCCCAAAGGTCGTTGCTCTTTGATATTGATAATCTTTAAGCGCTCTTCCTCTGAAAGACTGTTGAAGAAGGCCGTGTTGGCATCCCACAATCTGACACACTCGGCGTCCCAATTGCATTTCTCTACCTCTCCATAGACGGGATGTTTGAACCGAGGATGGTTTGTTGGCCATGATGATGCGTGGAAGTGATGTTTCACCATCGCGCCCTTGCCTTTATGTGTGCCAGAATCACTGTGACCAGTTCCCGCGGCAAATGCTTCCACCGGCAACACGAGAACGCCGCCAACAAGCTTCGCCTCAGTGAGTTCGGTGAATGTGTTCCAAGCAATGTCTCTGCCAACAGTCTTTGACATCTCCGCGAGAATGGCTACGGTGAAGGCTGAGGGACCAGTTCCAGTCAGCACTTCGTTGAAGTCGATATAAAGATCGGAGATTGGTTTATCTTGCTTTCGCGACAACTCATGAAGCCATTTCATGATGTTCTCAATCAGGCGCATCATCACGGGCAGCCGGGGCTTACACATGAAAGTCCACTGGCAGAACGATTGCGCTTTCGACCCCAAAACCGGATGAGATGCAAANGATGGCTCGTCGGTCTCGATACCAATGACCATGTCCACTTCTGCTTCGTCGTAGATCTTGGGAATAAATCTTTTGACGGGTCTGATGGCTTCCACGTCGATGTCTGCGTATACTCCGCCTTCGACATACATGATGAGGTACCGTAAGAGATCTTGTTTGATGATCTTGGCGTTCAGAGACATGTAAACGCTAATGATATCTGGTCTGTTGAGCCCAAAAGGACCGTAATGATGTTCAACGTAGTGATCGGCATTGTCGTCCGTCAGAACTTCGTAACGATGGCCTGGATTTTTGACCGTCCAAGTTCTGGCTCTTTCGACGTCTCTAGTCTCAAATCGTGTTGGATCGACCTTCCAGGATTGCCATATCTTCCGTGGGAATTTCTTCGATTCCAGGATCAGCTCAGGTGTAGCGTTGGTAAATTTGTTGAGCGAGAAACAGAGTATAACGCATATAAAGCAGAGAAGCACGAGCTGCTGCATCTGCTTCACGAAGAATGCGCGGAGCGAGGGACTTTGAGCTCGTGGGAGCCCAATCATGTTGCAAACAGGTACAAGTAGGAGGAAAAGTAGAGTGTTTGACAGAACAAACGGGGTAAAACAGTTGAATGTCGTTGGAATGTGTACGTGCTATGAATGTGTCGGCAGATAAGATACAATTTGCTGATGTAGCAATCGGTAGGGGTCGTGTTAAAGTTTTGTGAGTCAGCTTAAGGTGCAACAGCTTTCTGTCAGGTCTGGTGGGGTAATGGTGGGGAACATGTAGCCACCCACGCCATGTACCTTGATGGGAGTCACTGCGGCAGGATCAGGCTGATACATGCGTCTGGCCCTTGATGGTGCCCTCATAGATCATCCTCTTGGGCGGCGTCCTCGTGTGGAACCAGCGGGACGATATCACAGAAGTGGGCCTCGGTGTATAGGAATCAATACGCGTTCGTGGGGGTTCTTCCGTCCAATCGGAGTACATACCCTAGTCGAGGCATACATCAGCTCAGATGACGCTGGTGGAAGAGAGAACAAATCAGACAGGAAGTGCCTCGGTGTGTCCCTTCCGAGGGCGGACGGCAGAGTTCTTGTTTAAGGTTCTCTTACAGGATCAGATTGGTCGCAGATCGTGACACACCTTTCGATCTGTTCAAGAGTCCCTGTTGATCAAAAGTTCACCTTAGCGAAGATGTCCCGCTAGACGACTGAAATAGAAGGTTGATTAGAATCGGCGTTTTGACGAAGATACTGTATGAAGACCAGATCTGATCGGCACACTTAGCAGGACAGAACAAGAAGCTGAAACTCTTGATACGACCTCGAGCTCACATGTATCGAAGTCACTCAACATCTCTTACCGAGCATCTCGAATCTTTCAAGTCGCATGCCTCGTAGACCATGCTGACGGCGGCTCGTGGCTTTGCTTCATTACTTTTCCGTGATACAACTCGAGATCCAGACCAGCTTCTGTCTTTTTAGCCTATCACATCATGCATGAGCTATTCCTGAGCCTTGTGCCGTGCTGATATTTTCAGCTGTATGCGTGGTAGCTGATTGCTATCAGCTTGGTTCTGTGGGACTGGTAGATCCTGATCCTTGGGCGATAGCTCAAACCCTTTCGCATGACACGGAACATGGGATCTTGAGAACAGAGCAGTATGTCCGACCTCTTCGGATGGCTGTGCAGCCAGCATATACATGGCCAATCTTCTGCACACTCCTTCCGTTTCCATACAAACTTCACATATCTCATCTCCTACAATGTCTAAACATTCACGCGACCTCATGTCTGCAGAAGAAGATCTACATGAGCTAGAAGCGATGCTTGGAAACCATGGTCCCCAACCTCAAGTCAGGAGATCATGGTCGATGCCATTTGCTTCTGCAGTCACACGATCGGCCTTTCTGGAGAAAGATAAGAAACCACCTAAAACCGAGCTCCATCGCACGGCTTATCTTGACGGTCTTCGCGGTTTTGCAGCACTTCTTGTGTTCAGTTTACACCACCAAGTTTGGGGTCATTCTGGCACCGGCGGCGAATTCATTCTTGAGAATGCCTTCGGCTGGAATGGAACGTATCGTTTTATTTGCTTTCCGGGAGTGCGCATTCTTTTCTCTGGAGGGCATTTAGCCGTTGCCATCTTCTTCGTCATCTCTGGCTACGTGCTGTCTGTCAAACCTTTGACCATGCTTCAGGCAGGAGACATGACGAAAATGTCAGAGAACTTGGGCTCAGCATTATTCCGGAGATGGCTTCGTCTTTACATACCCGTTGCAGGCACGACCCTCGCATGGATGACGTCTTGGCACCTTTTCGATATCAGGTCTGGTAATCCTATCGCTGAACAGCCGGAGGCTACCTATCTTGGCGAAATCTGGAAATGGTATTGCAATTTCAAGAATTACAGCTTCATTTTTGACGGAGAGCCCACGAACTTGTATAATGATCATACGTGGTCAATACCGAAGGAATTTAGAGGCTCGATTGTCGTCTACACCTCTTTATTGGCCTTTGCAGCATGCAGCAGAAATTCGCGACTCTTGTGCGAGCTTGTGCTCCTGTACTACTTTGTATACATTGTAGACGGCTGGTATTGCGCTCTCTTCGTGGCCGGAATGCTCCTTTGCGACCTCGATCTTCTCGCCAGCCGGNGGCAGCTGCCACAAAAACTATATGACTTGAAGAAGCACAAGACTCGCATAGCTTATCTCGCTTTTGCGATTGCTCTATACCTCGGCGGTGTACCATCTATCACCGAGGATCTCAAACATCTCAGAGATTCTCCGGGGTGGTATTATCTGTCATTCTTGAAACCACAAGCCTTTTGGGACTTCATGTGGTTCTTCCGCTTCTGGGCTGCAATTTTCATCGTGGCTTCCGCACCGCACATCGCCTGGCTCAAGAAATTCTTCGAAACCTCTTTCTGCCAATATCTCGGTCGAGTTTCTTTTGGATTCTATCTCGTTCATGGCCCAGTGCTGTGGACCTTGGGAGATAGATTATATGCAGCCAGTGGCAGAATCAGAGAAGGACATATTGGTATCGTTCCCGATTGGATCAATCTGATGCCTTTGCCAGGCGTTGGTCCTTTTGGCCTCGAGATCAACTATCTTGTTCCTCAATTCATTTCACTCGCTTTCACGCTGTGGCTTGCGGAAATTGTTACCAGATGCCTTGACAAGCCCAGTCTCTACATATCGCAGAGTCTCTACAGAAAAGCCATGGCTCAAAGCGAGAGTCTTGGGTCACACTATAGCTGGAAACGTGAAATGAAGGACTGAAGTTGACTTGTCTTGGAGCACTTGGGGATCCTAAGAATTAGAAGTATACATAGGGCAAAATCGAAGGAGACGTTCATTCTTCGGACCCAAGATCCAGGCTCGCTTCGAGGTCTGACATTGATCAAGCCGGATATTTCCTAAATCACTAGTCGCGAGATATGAGTTTGATGACATATTTCTCAATGGAACGCCCTGCGATCGCGATGACATGCTTCAAGCTGTGTAACTGAGCATATCATACTTTGATGTCCCGTTCTAGGGCTAGTTTGAACAAGGAAAGAGGAGTTGGCAGTGCTATCTTTGGCTCACGAGGATCTACGGCAGGATTTCAGCTCTGCAGATTTGACATCAATAGCGTGTCAATAGTTCGTAAGCATAATTTCGACGCGGAAGTGCTGGCTGAAAGCAATCCATGGTATACATTGTGCCCAATATGTGGCTGAAAGAGCAAAAGGCCACAAGGGGCCGCCACTTCTGCAGTAGTGTGCCACGTTCTGAATCATGTTCAAGCATGGAAGATCATCCATGAACTTCTACGTATGTCAGCGAGTCTCTGCCAGATGGCCTCTGCCGTGCCTGAATGGCTTCTTTTCCAGATTGGTATCTGACATGGAGTGCTGCCAGCTTTATTCGGGCTGGATTTGGCGCCAGCCAACAACTCACCCTCATGCACGCACGGAACCGAGGCTAAGAATCCCAACAAAACGTGCAGCAGCTATTGGTAGACTGGGTTGTGTACCTGATACATTTCCATGGAGTTTTGCTGGTCAGCTGCAGCGCATCGAGTTCCTCGGGCTGGGCAGAGCGATACGAATGGAGGAAACGGGAGACAAGACTCTCTTCTGAGCCTTTGTCACATCGTTCTTAAGTTTCGAACAGATATATAGCTCGCTCATACACCCTTGGTTGAAATTGGTCAGCCTTTGGATGTCATTGTATCATGAAATGGTCCCCGTTTTGATATACGCCTTGGCAGCGTGTTCAACAGCAGCTACTCTGCCTGCCTGTGGGGTAATTCACTATCCAACATCCATCTCATTACACCAGATTGACGCAACTACAGAATAGCTGCGTTGCCCGGGCAATCAAGAAGACAGGTTGTGCACCAATCGACAGCCAATGCATCTGCGCATCAGAGCATTATCTAGGCTATCTACAATACTGTTTTACGAAGAAATGTAGCTCCGCAGACAAGGACAGTATGTTGGCTTCCACTGTGGTTGACTGCAGAATCTCGACAATATTGATACCCTTTAGATGCTCTGGAATTTGCTACCAATGTCTGCAAGATTGCTCTGGATAATTCCAAAGTAGATGGCGCCTCGAGTTTGAACATCCAGAAACGATCTGCAGACCCCGAACGTCACGATTGGGGCCATCGCAATGAGGGCCACCGTAATGGAGGTCATCACAATGTAGGTCATCACGACAAACCCTCCAACCCTCAACCAAGAGGAAGTCACCCTAAATCACCGAAGGAGCCACAGAAAGCTCCAGACCCAAAGCCCAACAATCCTCACGGTGGCAGTCATCCCCCTCCTGCTCCAAAGCCGCCGTCACACAATCCACCAGGAAACAATCACTCTCCGTCTCCTCCTCCCGTTCCTGCTCCTGCTCCTCCCCCCTCCAGGAAATCCGAATGGTCCTTCTCAAGGTCAGCCTGCGAACCAACATCAGCCTCCACCACCTGGTAGGGCCAAGCCTCCTCCTCCTGGTGGACCACCTGGTCCTCCTCATCCCCCCGATCCTCCCGGGCCTCATGGGCCTCCTCCTGGTAGTCCCGGACGAGGACCGCCTGGTGGACCACCCGGTCCTTCTCATCCCCCTGGACCTCCTCCACCTCCCCCACCGCCTACCACATGGCTTACACCCACTCCTATCCAAACTGTTCTTCCTTGAGATCACAGTTCCCTATGTCTCGAGTGTTATCTGTTCTCGGATCCTGCCAACAACTTCTTGAAAACTCGTTCTAAAGATTGTCACAATTCTAGGGATAGACTCAAAGCCAGATTTTCTATTCATGCAATCTTGTTACCTAGTGTCTCATGTTTGATGATCTCCAAGGCGCATCATGTTATCTTTTTGTTCCTCACAAGCCCCCAACACATGTGCTAGGTTGGCGGTGTATGCACTATTGTGTCGCGCTTCGATAATTCATGTCTTGCGTCTCAATCTTTGTTGTCTATAAGATTCTCGATACCGACTCGCAATGCTACTGGTGGTGAAAGCAGCAGCCATTGTATCTTCATCGCATTCAATATGTCTTTCGCATCAGCTCGTGCCAAAACACTGGTAGTATCCTGTTCGATACCAGTACGCACATGTCTATGCGCTATTCGTGTCATTCTCAACGTAGAACCCATATCGATGTACCACGTGCCGTGCGCAAGCAATGAGATCTCGTTCCAAGCTTGCTTGTCGAGCAGAAGCCAGCTGCTGTCTGATGCAACAAGAGACGAATACGGTCCAATTGCGATCGAGTCGCTGTCTTGATCTTCATTTGCCCAATCGAATCCAGGTGTGTACATAATATCCGTCTGTGGTCCGTTGTCACAAGCCTTTNNGATTAAAGATGAAAGTCCGGTCGCACAGAATGTTCAGTCCGTTACTCGTCGTGCGTGTGCCTTGTCTCTGTTTACAAACCAAAGCAGAGCACTTCTCGGGTAGTGGACGCCGTCCATCGGAACTATCCAGACCCGCGTTTGCTTTTGCCCTCGATTTCACAAACCGGCAACCGTTTCTCCAGCGGTGTACTTGCGTGTTTCAGTAAGAGCGATGATGATAGGCTACGGGAGATTACGTTCGCGTTCAGAGATATGGATGTCGGAGGTTCGGACCACCATATGTCCGTATGTGTCATACATCTGTTGGTTTGACTAGAATTATTCAGACAGTTTCTCAAAGGTAGTTACGATATCTGTATGACGGTCATATTGAATACTTCTGAGATTCAAGCCATTCTGGGACTGTTTGTGTGGTTGAAGCGACATGTTCGAGAGAGTTGATGTTGTATCGAATTACCGTGCTCCAAAGGCCAGTCCAGCCACAGCACGGCTGTGACAGCTTTGGTCTGGGAACTCTGACATCGGAGGGCGAAAGCGGTCTAATGTCTGCAACGCGGAGAGGAGCAGACCAATGCTATCTGAATAGAGGTGTCAGATCATGAGGCTGTCAGAGCCGATATCGATCAGGTTGTCACGAATCTTGAAAGACTGGATGTTTTTATCGCCAATGCTGACATGACCATCTCCAAGGTGATTACCGAGCAGAACATCGAAAAATACAGAAAACGGATGACTCCCATAACAGAACAGCTACATACAGACGCCTTTATCAGCTGGTGCTGAGTACAATCTAAGCAAACGCCAGAATCCCATCATTCAATATCTCCCAAGACAGCTTTCAAGACGAGCTCATGATCTCATAGCCATATGATGAAACATCGCGTATCTATGCATCATATCTGCAAACTCGGCCGAGTCGAGGGTTCGAGTAGAATCAAGATCGAATCGCGAGGTTTTCGCAGGAGCTTTGCGAACTTCCACAACCGTGACGGTAGCCTTCTCGTTGTGATAGCATTTGGACTATGACAAAGTTAGTGCTTCATTTCGACCGGTGGCTGCTGACAACTCACGTCTTGCTTGGAAGACACAGGTTCTTGATGTAAAAGTGGTTGATATTCTGCTCCTCGTGATCTGATGTTTCGTGCGCAAGCTTCCTTGATGTATGTGATGGCTTGGCGGATATGGGAGTGGTTGTTGGATGCCGACATTGCGGTCGTATATAAGAGAAGTTGTATAGACAAAGATTTCCAAAATGGAGTTTTGTCTGAGCTGAATGGTTGTTGAAGACCTGACTTCTGAATGCGAGTGCTGAGGCTTTAAATATATGGTGTGTGGTCAGGCTTCGGAATAGCGACGCCGGAATGGACGGAGTTGCTTTCGGAATAAAAAATCCAGGTCACCCAACAGACGGACTCGGACCCGGAGTAATTCGCCAGAATCGCTCAGCAAGGGTTGTCGACCTATACTCCTCCGCTGACGTTTGTCCAATCGATTCCTTCCATCCAATCGTTCATGTCCATTAAAGCGGCTGCATCCCAGTCCGTCATCGCCTCAAGAGTGGTGTCTACTTGCCACATGCCTGCTGCATCATTCAGCGACGTCGAGTCCTGGACATCAATCGTGGAATTGCTTGTTGTGAGTCCATTTTCTGATTGCTGCGTATCGTTGGCGAAACCCGATAAGACGTGTTCGAGCACTCCATCCATTGCACGAGAGATCAGTCCCGATGCTTTCAAACAGATCGCATAATTCGCATCTTCCGGCCGATACACATTTTCTGATAAAGAGACGAAGACATAGAGACGTCTTATGGATACAAGACGAAGCAAGTCTGCGAACTTTGCACGGCTCATAGTGCTCCTTGCAGTCTTGAGAGCCTTGACGAGAGTTATTGCACTGGGTAGACCATAGCACAAGACCNNTTGTTTGAATCAGTCACATGTAACAATCTGAGCCCCCGTTTGACTTACAGTACTTGCTCTGAAATTGCGGTAGACATCATAGTTGGATCGGGAACGGAAGCTACCGAGCTCAAGAGACATTTCAATCAGACTTGAGCATGTCTGAACGAGATGTGGTGAGCAGCTCGCATCGCCCACGGCCAGTAAGCGGTCAATGTAGAATTGTGTCTGCAGGTAAGTGAGATAAACTTCTGCCAACCTCAGGCACGTCATGTGGCTCAGATCAGACCTCCAACAAGAAGAGTCGTAATGTAGACGTTTCGGTAAGGTCTCCCAGGATTTCCTGCATNNCTCCTTGCTATATCTCTTAATGNNTACGGTCAGCATGATATATCTCATCTCGACAGGGTTGTATGGATGCACTGACTCGAGTTTTGATCTTGTCTCACGATCAAGAGGTTTCAGATGATGTAATAGCGCTTCCTCCTTGAAATGGGAGAGAATGTGAATCGCCCGAATCCAAGTTGCACTGCAGGGAGAGTTCTCAGTAGCCCATCCGCCCGTCAGTTCGAAGGAAGCCTGTTGTTCATCGCTAAGTCTACCTAGACACAGCAGATCATCAGTAAGTTCGAGCGGCGAACGACAATCGGCGTATGAGCTAAGGATTCTAGGTGGACGACCGAAGAGTGTTGCGAGGAATTTGTCCCAATCGTATGCAGTGGCGAAGATTCTCCTTCGACATTCGGCAAGAAAGAATGGAACGTTGGCGAGGGCAGCTTCCCGGTGCACTTCAAGAGCGAGCAGGTCGGTAGACACATCACCAAGTCGGCGCCAGACATTCGGACCTNNATGACGGCGCAATGAGATTCAGAGGAAGCCCTGCAGAAGAAGAGTTGGGCAGGTGGTTTACATACCAGCATATCCTTGTATACTTGTGGTAACACGCAGGTTTTCGTACGACAACCATACGATGACATCGTTCATGTCTGTCGCTAGCTCTCGCGCCAAATGTACGCATTTTGCGCTGCCCTGAAACATGGCTTGGACAAAATCGTGCACGTCCATATCGGTATGGAAATGGTACACACGAGCTGCACGGGCAGCAAGGGTGAAAATCAGACCGATGGTTTCCACCCGGAGGTTATCTCCAGTATAGCAGCTTCGAAATTCTTCCAGAGAGGTAGTCAGAGTCACGTCCATCTTTGATGTCGAAGCACGCCAGATGCGCTCAGCCACTAGTAAACAAGCAGCTCTACTAGTGGCATCACCAGCAGCTGCTCCATGTTGAAAGACTTCCTCGTATATTCGTTCAAAGTCAGAAAGGGCAGACAGCACAAGCGGACGTGGGATTACAGCAGCCTGACCCAGTTCGTAGTATTCCGTTACAAGTTTCTTGATAGTTACAGAGTGCTGAACATGATTCAGAATGTGGGCTATGGAGAGCACGTCTCCTTCGTGCGTTTTGTTGCCACGATCATCATACACTGCAGCGTGAATAATGTGTCGCGTGTTTGTATCATCGAGGCCTTGAAGTGAAAGCAATGAGGGAAGCGCCCCAGTTGGTGTGCTATCCGGAACACGAGCAGATTCAAGCGGGTGACTGCTGGGATTGTTATCGCTGACAAAGGTGTCTGCGTGATCGCGATTGTTGTTTGAAGGTGGAGCCACTGGAGAGTCCCATGCGCTCACTTCAGTTGAACCCAGTTCGTGATGGTCTGAGGACGACATACGAATGCGTTTAGTCGGTCGAGTCAGTGGAGCGGGATGATAATAACATTCGGCATCCATGTTGCGTCGGCGGCAACGATCACAGATAGGCATGCGGTGATCGCATCGCACTTTGCCTCTACGGCAAGGTTCGCAAGACGCTTGCTTACCATTCTTGCGGTTTGTGCTCGCCGACATGATTCTCTGCGAGCTTCCGGAGTAAAGTGTTGAGAAACAAAGGATGATTGAGCAGTCAGTCATTTGCAATTCCGAACCACACACATTTGTGGGGAAAAATGTTGCAAGAGCAACCCTGCCTTTGTGATTTCTAAGCAGTCCAGCTTAATAAGCGAGCATCAAATTGTTCGATCTCACTTTCTTATACTTCTTCTATTCTTTAAAAGAGCCCAGATTGTGTCTTCCAGCCAGAACAGTCAAGAGTCCGAGATCTCTCAGATTCACTAGGTATCATACGACAATGGCCTACCCAACATCAACAAGAGCCTTCCGTCGCACATCCGATGGCAGCAATATCGAACTGGTTTTCGAGGCCATCCCTCAAAAGTTGCAGCCAACACAAGTTCTGCTCAAGATCCTTGCTGTTTCATTGAACTTTCGGGATGTGGGCATGCTCCATAATCGCTATCCAATTCCTGTCGTCCCACACGGGATTCCCTGTTCGGACGCATCAGCCACAGTCATCTCAGTCGGTTCTTCAGTCACAGAATTCGCCGGGGGTGACTTTGTAGCCCCCACCTTCCGCGAGACATGTTCAGGAGAGATCAAAGCGCTGGGTGGGGATGTGGATGGCGTGTTGAGAGAATATGCTATCTTCGACCAGTGCGACATCACAAAGATTCCAACCTATTTGAATGCTGCAGAGGCATCGACTATTCCTTGTGCTGGAGTGACCGCATGGACAGCTCTGGACTTTGATAAAAAGAAACAGGGAAGAAGTGCCCTGATGCAAGGAACTGGAGGCGTCAGCATTTTCGCTACATTGCTTTGTGTAGCTGCTGATATGGCCGCCATCATCACTTCTTCTTCTGACGAGAAGCTTAAGAAGTGTAAAGAGTTGGGTGAAGGCGTGCAAGTCATCAACTACAAAACAAACCAGAACTGGAGCGAGGAGGCATTGAAATTAACCCACGGAAAGGGTGCGGATATTGTCATCAACAACGTCGGCATCACCTCTATGGAGCAATGCTTCAACGCTCTCGCGAGATACGGCACAATCTCGCTGGTAGGCTTTCTGGGTGGCGTCGACCAAAAGCAAGTCCCTGATTGTTTCACCCCTGTCCTGATGAAAGCGGCTAGAGTACAGTAAGTGAGCTTTCTCACATATCCGAGAGAGATACTAATCGCCTATAAAGGGNGCATATTCGTTGGCACACGTGAGGATCAACAAGATCTTTGTGCATTTCTGCAGGAGAAGAAGATCGACCTCAAGCCTTTGGTCGACAGAGTGTTCAAGTTTGAGGAGTCGGTTGATGCATTCGAATATCTGTACTCAGGTGCTCATACTGGCAAGGTCGTCATCAAGATCTGAACAGTGAAAGACAGCTTGAGAAAACATGTGCATTCACTATCAAACAAACAAGATATTTGAGCTTTGTGAAAGCAAACATATGACGCGGAAATTTTACAAGTGAGTCACATGTTCTTTGCGACACTCGCAAGAAAACATTTCAGAAATCAAACTTTCACTTGTTCTACTTCCGTCACGCCAAACATCAAAAACTTCTACCACCACCACCACTTTTTCCAATCTTCTCATCACACACTTCAGTCAACATGAGCGACGCAGACTGGATCCCAGTTTTCGTCACTGCACCAGTGTNNCCCAAGAGGTAAGATGAAACGCTCTGCTCTACGCCCGCAGGTTGCGCAACGAATAGCAACTGATACTTCTGCCAGGTCATCGACACAGTTCTGAGACACGGCCAGACAGCGTGCGAGACAGACGAAGTTTTCATCAACAGATGGGTCCTTGTTCAAAGTCCTGATCAATCGACATTCCACAAGCCAACCGAGCCTCCCGTACAGCCCTTCCAGAGCGGCTTCTTAGACTTCTCGACCAGAGACCTGCAAGATCATGTCTCGTCAAACTTCGGTGAGAGCGGTCTCGGATCCAATGGCTCTGCGGACTGGATTGCTCATGATGCTTTCGCTGTGATTGATGTGCGCACTGCCAAAGATCTCTCCATTGCCTTCTGGGTTCGGGAANAAGTCGATGCCCTCGAGGAAGCAGATGTTCGCGTCACTTGGAACAAGGGTCAAGGCTTCATCCGTGTTTTTGGAAGCGACACGAATGCTGACAAAATTCTCNTAGGCACAGCTCTAGACCGCCTTCTGGTTGACTACAATGAGGGAGAAAATCTTTCGGATGAAGATACCCACTTCCTTNTTCAGAACCTTCGCGACGGTTCAGGCAACTTGATAGTCAGTCCCGGATACACTGACCTCAAATCCGGCATGGGCCAGATGAACAAGTGGATTGAAGTTGAACACGATGGTGGCCGCTTGACCTGGATGGAAGTCAGAATGGCATCTGCAAACGCCATTGCATGTACCTACGGCATCTGGAACATCGGTGTCGTAGGATCACTCACTCAGGCGAAGGACATGTACTTAAGTACTTGATCAGAAACCCCATCTGTTCGACATAGCAGATACACAGCTGCACCTTCCACATGTCCCCTAGCTCTGGATGTTACACATGTTCATGAGCGCCCTGCCAGATGCGCAGCAGTAGTTGGAGCAAGATGCGCGAGTGAAGACGTGCAACTGCATCAAACTATGCTGAGCCCATCAAGTCACTCTGGTGCAATAACGAAAGGACAGTCTCAGTATTTCAGAGTTCACTCCGAGTTTCAGGCAGCCATATTACTTGCAGACAACAACCCGAAGACCATGCCGGCGTTACGGAATAAAATGGTTTATCCCGACTGTGCCGATCACTTCCACTTTTGTAAGTTCAATTCCGGGCTTCTGCGGAATAGATCATCAAGACGATTACTAGTCATACCGCCTCTGTTCTTTCACATTCTTAAATAAGTCTTTGAGGCCACAGGGACAGTTTAAGATTCAATCATGCTCAATGTTAGTAGAGTATCGTAATCAACGATCACATCTCAATTCATTTATTTTATAGATCTCCTTGCTTAATACAACATCACTTGGAAAAGACCAAAAACACACGAGTCTATTGTGTATATACGCCATCAGTTGACCCTCTATCCAAAACCCTGACTTTTTATTCCAATTCCGTGTCCCTAGCAATTGGTTTCTGCTTTGTGACAGACTGCACATGCATGGCTTCCCAAGAAGCCTGTCATAAAGAATGGGAACCTTAATTCATGCAGATGCCTTCATGCGGCTGGAAATCTGAATTGGCATACAGAGCGATTGGGGCTTCAAACGCCTGAATCACGGGCAGAGATTGCCAGAACGACAAGTCGAAAAGGCAACTAAGGATAGGAAGATTGCTTGAGCAAAGATGCACAAAGTGAGCGCTTTCACGGGAACTCTGGCAAGAAAAGTGAACAGTGGACAATTGGAGCAATTGGAAGGCTTTTTTTTTGGTATCGAAAAAAAATTCATGACATTCATTGTATGTCTATCCTCTCATGAACCAAGACAATAACAGATCGAGCATCTGCATCAACCAGTTGCAACATCCTCCTCATCGCACATTCCCCACCACCGTCCTTGACACTTCCTTACGAAGAAGCAGCCGAACCAGTATACTGCTCACAGCAAGAAGCAACCCCATCAACCTGACTAGCATCCAACAACCCATTTCTCGCACAAGTGTACTTAGCCTGCAAACAAGCATCCTGAGCCTGCGCAGACTGACCAGCAGCACAAGCCGCCGAAGCAGCACTCAACTCATTAGTGCAGTAAGCAGCATTGGTCTTACATTCAGGATCCACATTGTCTGCGCCGGTGCTAAGGCCATAAAGCACATTGCTAACGCCATTGGTGATGGAGCCCACGATGCCGCCAGTGACGCTGTTGACGATGCTGGAGACGTCCGAGGGTAGTTGGGCTTTGGAGAGGATGTCGCTGGCGGCAGCGAGGACGTTTTCGGTGTTGCCGGCTGCGTTGCCGGATTGGTAGTCGAGGAAGCCGGCGAGGGGTTGGAGGAGAGTGCCGCAGACGAGATCGTTGGTTGAGTCGGCGGTCTGACGTCTCTGGGCGGGTGAAGCGATGGTCATACCAGCAAAGGCGGCAGTCAAGAGAGCAGTGAAGTGGACCATTGTGAAAGACGTGTGATATGATCTGAAGACGGTCTCGAACAACGAAGACTTGATGTTTTTTAGTCGGAAGAAGACTTGTTGTAGAATGAAGATGAGGGTTTAGAGATTGTTGATGATAGAATGTTAGGACGAGGTCAGCAGCTGACTTATATACCCTCTTGAAGTTGCTTGTCAAGCATCAAGATTTCTAAATGCCTCGTCGTTGGTCTCACGCTTTACTCATTCGAGCTCATGCATGTCTTTTCAACGGAGTGGAACCCGCCAACAACGAGAGCATTGAGATGAGCAGAATATCATGTCTGCTAAAAGACAAGATAGTCCACGATCAACAGCAGATCAACAAAGGGAGGTCTCCGGGGTGTCGTCCGAGAAAAATCAATTCTACTGAGTCGGTAGTGATGGACAGGAGAATAGAAGAGCTTAGCAGATCCAAGTTTATTCGTCATTGTCCTGACAGAGGATAACAGGGTCTTTCCAGATTGGGTGAACGCAATGTGGGTCTGCAAGGGTCGTGCGGAGGAACAGTCCTGTAGATCATCCCCACATGCTAGCATAGAACCTTAGACCCACGACTCATAACCTCCTCAACCACGAGCCGCGCTGACACGATACCATAGCAGCCGTTTTGCAGAGTCGTAATCCCACGAATGGCATACAAGCAAAGTGCTGTAGATCTCTACATCAGGAAAAGGATTTGAAGAGATCTACAAGAAACCAAGCAGATGCCAATTAATTCTTGTAAAGGAATAAGCACAACAAGCACCACGTAGACAGACACACAAAACTCGTTCATAGTGAGCTGTCTACATTGATTGATGTTTTGGAGATGTTACTGGTGACTGGAATGGAATACAGAGCATTGGAGATAAACCAGTCTCTAAAGAATAGAGGATATCTTCAGCAATGCTCAGTATCTTTCTAGTTTCGAGTCATCACAAGCTGCACTAACTACAAAAGATCAACATGCAAGTTATTGTCTTAAACATGAACCCTATAGGGTTGGAGCTTGATGATGCTTAGCCGCCTCCACCACCATTATTACCATGCACACCTGCACTCCTACTTAAACGTTTGAGGCAACAACGGACGGACGTACCGTATTTCCAGTTCCGTTGTGACCTTACACAAGCGTTCGGAAATCTTAAGTCACTAGGGCTGCGGATGGTTTTATGCAAGGATGATGTATTGATTTAATCTAGTATTGCGGCTCAGCGGCCCGAGAATTTGATATACATGCGAAGCAGTAAATCTGTTTGGCTTCCTGATTGCCAGATGCTGGCGACGAGGCTTGGAAGGATAGCCTCTGTTGGCTGTGGACGCAGTGGATCTCGGCATGGCGAGGTAGTTTGGCACCTGGTAGCCTCAGAGGCACCCTGCGAACGTCAAACGAAAGCCGGTTAATGTGGCTGTGTCTTGACTCGGTGCCCTTGATGTGCTCTGGGCGGGAAGAACCGCCATTCGCCCATGGGCACGAAGGTTCATCTTGGACCTGCTTCGGTCCAAGATTCCGTACCATGGCGATGCTTTTCTGCGGAAACCAATGTTCCGGGCTGACTGTGCTCTGACAAGTCAACATGCAGATCCTTTGTGCATGGTCAGGGACTCAGTGCCATGGCGGAGGTATGACAGGTGATGATCAAGGTGGACAGGTCCACTGATCAACCATCCAACAACTTCTTGACGCGCTCAATCCTCGTCAAAGCAGCTTCCACCATCTCCAGTCTCTTCTGGCCTAATCTGTCCCTCTCCTCAAGCACCTTCAACCTTTCTTCCAGCTTTGCTTTTTCCTTTCTCTCCTTTGCGACCATTTCATTAGCCTGCTCAAACAACGTGGCAGACAAATCCTCCAATTCCGCTTCTAGTTCTTTGTACTTTTTCTCTGCAGCAACACGACGAGAAGTCTCTGCATTGAGGGCAGCTTGAAGTTCGGAGATTGCGGGAGAGGGAGCAGCAGGAGCCATAGGGGAAGCCTTTGGAGGGGTCTTGGGAAGCGGTTTTGTGGTGTTTGTGAGAGACGATGTGCGAGTCAAGAAACTGAACTTGCCAGAAGCAATCGACGAGTTGCGACTGAGAGACGTCGGAGGAGCAGGGAAAGGGTGTGCAGCGATAAAGTCAAGAGGCGAGTCGGTGCGAGGATTCTGGCTCGCTTTGAGATTGCGAAGTTCTTCTTCGTAGTCGGCGATGCGGTCGGCTNNGTTGGTGACTAGGTTAGTTAAAGTGAAGAGAAAGCAAGGTGGAAGGATGAGGTGAGATGTACATATGCATATGCATCGAGAAGAGTCACACAAGCAGGGATAACAGCCAAACTCACCAGCTTCAGCACCTTTGCGCGTCAGGCTTGCGACTTGGGCTTCGAGTGTCGCCACGCGATTGTCGCTTTCTGCCGACAGCTCATATCTTGTCGGTTCTGGCAATTCAAACGGAGGAAAGGGCGTCGTGTCTGTCGCCGGCTTTGTTGTGTTTGTTGTTGTTCTTGGGATTGTTGTTGTTGATGTCGCAGATAGAGACGCTGCTGTCACATTCTTTGGTTTTCTTGGTGGGGAGCCAAGATTCATAGCCAACTTGTCTCGTGTCAGAGTATAGTTGAAGCCTCTCTCGCTTTCTGGAATCATGTTCGAGACGTGTAAGTGACGTGAGACGTGTAGCTGTTGGAAAGACGTGTTTTTGTACAAGATATGCTGTGCAACGAGGATGTGTGTGTATGGGAAAGAAGAAAGAAGATGCGAACCGAAATGTTACAGGGGCAGTGAACCAGTTTGTGCTGCCCGTTTTCTGTGCCTCTTCCACCGAACCCCCTGCGCGGTTTTCTCTCTGTCCGCCTGCAGTCTACCCTCCTGGTGTCGAAAGACTGTTATAACGGCCGCTCAGGGGGGTTAACGGTTTGCAGTCATGCTTGCGGTGATGAAAGGCGGTCAGCGTGCCGTTCCGTGTGGGGGTGGATACGGTGACCCTGGACATATTTTATCAATGCCTCTGTATTCCTTTCTTTTCTACCTTACACCTCTTCCAATGATATTTAGGTTTGCGTGCTGCGTATATATCGAAAACTAACTTGGTTCAAACGGATATTTCATGAACAAAACCAGCCCGAACTCCTGTCAGAATACCGTCGCATCAGTGGTTACAGATAGATATTAAACAATATAAATATACTTGTTATGCTTCCCTCTTTTAAACACAATGCTCAATACGACAAGAAATGAATACGCTAAGTAATAGAAAGTTATATACAAAATCCGCAACCATATATAGACAAGACATCAAGAAAGATAAAAAGCCAAAAGATATCAATGCCGTTGCTTTTGCCTTCATGAAATGTCGAGAGCAGATTCCTGCTACAATAAGTTTGCAAAAAAAAAAAAAAAGAAAAGAAGGGGTATCTGAGAGAAGTAATCTAGCAAGTCCCAAAACAAAAATGAAGCCAAACCACACCGTGACATGTTCTGCACATGTATGCCAAACCTACAGATAGGTCTATGTTCATCCTAAAACACCATGAAACTCCTCGTGAAGGCCGTAGGGACTTGGGTCTCAAGTCGGCCTCGGCGTTCCATGCTCGTCGTCATCGTCTCGATCTCGTGCTGCTGCTTCTTCACCGGATCCTGAACTGCTTCTGATAGCTGAAGATGTTCCTGTAACAGGGCCTTGTCGAGGTGTCTCGTTGTCTTCTGTTCGAGTATCTGCAGCATCGTTGGCAACATTGTTATCGCCTTGACTACCAGCTGTTGTAGAACTGGCCCATGTCACATGCTGCGAGCTGTTCGAGTCTCGCACAGTGTTGTGTTGCGAGTTCGTCGGCGTCTCGTTGCTGCTCATATCGCTGTTCGTGTGTTTGAGCACATGTGGGCTCCATGCTGCTGCTCCTCGAGTGGGCGCTGGAATGATAGTATAGGGCAAATCGATTGCGTCTACCTTTTCTTGCTTTCTCTCACGGAACTTTTCCCCTTGCTCAGCTGCGATGGCGCCAAGTCTACCCTTAATATCCCACTTTGAGTATGAATGCGCGGGTAGGTTGTGAGCATCGTTTTTGTCTCGAGCGGCTCGGACTTCTGCTGGAGGGCTCATCCGTTTTCTCTTGAATGGGTTCTGCACTGCGTTCATAAGTGCATTGCTCGTTTGTCTCAGTCGTGACGCAGCACCCGACGTAGTTGTATCTGCATGTCCAAGATCTTCTCGTAATGCTGTTGATGTCTGAGCTTCGAGGTCGTCAGGTGGCGCATGCTCGGGTATATCTTCTGTCCGCCTTCGCACGGGCTCTGGCTCTTGCGATTCACCATAGTTGATGACATAGACGGTCGAAGCAGCACTAGTTGTGTTTACCCTGTCTGGTGGCGATATTCGGGGAGGTGGAGGTGTTTGATTAGTGGTTGGTGTGGGTGTTGTTTCAGGACGAGGCAAAGATCCAAAGGTGATTGTTCTATTCTCAGAGTGTGCTCTTCCTAAAGGAAGGTGCGTGCTCCGGCGAGGGATGGCTTTCCGCCTTCTGGCTACTGGGTCTGGTTGCGAGCCGGATTTGTGTGTTGATCCACCGGAACTGCTGCTACCACTGCCAGCTGGTCGATAACTATCCCGAGGCTTCCGCGTATATGTCATGTTGTCGCCAGGGGTCATATCGATCATCTCATCGCCGTCGAAGACTTCGCGTCCAAGAATGCCGTCTTTCTTNTCATCACGTTCCAAGGCTTCTATTCGTTCGACCCATTCCCAAACGACGACACTAGAAGCAGCAGCACCAACCCAACGGAAATAATCACCCCAAGCAGCGACATCCGGTTGGGCGACATCGGTGATGAAGAAGGCTACAGGGGTCAGTATGGCTATGTGCGAAAGAAGAGCGACTATGAAGATGCTCTTCATTTTGAGATGAAAGTAGGCGTAACGACGTTTGGTAAGACCGTAAAAGATGACCCAGGCGGCGTAGAGAAGTCCAACAGCGAGTTCGAACAGATAACTAAGAGCTGGAATGGCATCCACAAAATGCCGAGGGCGATTGAAGCTGTCGACCAGGAAACTGTTGAGGCAAGAGAAGACGGTGTCCAGAACGATGAGAGCGAAACCGACCCATTTGATGACGACCTTTTCCTTATGCCGCGGAAACAGTCGTATGAGGGTCTGAACTTGAGCGAGCCAGAGAAAGACGTCGGATATGACACGGGTGACACGGACTTCCATACTCCCCTCAACTTTACTGTGCATAGCATCTCCATCCATGTATCCGACCAGATATTGTTCTTGAGCAACTTTGAACGTGTCGGCTGTGGCGATGGTCAAGGCGATAGCAGTGAGAGTGGCTGCAACCTTCTGAAGCCATGGTCGCGAGCCCACACCAGGGCCAGCGGTACCGCCAGTCGCGCCACCGATAAGTCCTCTTCCAGAAGCAAAGTTTGTGAGACCAAATCCCGGAGAGAATGATCGCGAGTTGATCAAGAGCATGACGACCAAAACCCAGGCTAATGAGGTGGCGCAAGCAACAACGAAGGTCTGAGGAATGGTCGAGGCATAGAAGGGGCCTTGGAGGTCGGCAACGCTGGATGGGTCATTGTTGGTTCCTGGAGTTTCGTAGCCGGCCGTGCAAGCAGGCGAGAAGACCACATTGGCAGTGAGGGTGACGATGTTGTCTGGGGCGAAGCTAATGATGCCGTCGGATGGAAGGNNGGTGTATGGCGTGCATGTCNNTGGCGGCCACAAGGTCAGTATTGTCTTGACATATGAGAGTCATAGGCACGCGTGGGTTGGATTGTCTTGACATACGGCAGTCATACTCGACGACGTGGTGGTCGGCAGCCCNCATAACTGTCGAGCAACATGCCGCGACATGCCCGAGGGCTAAGTGTCGCGTCCAGAGCAACAACTACAGCGTGGGGTGGGTGGGTGTGGATGCGGATGCGCAACACACGGGGCCGGCGCCCGGGGAAGTTTCGATGCGACGCGCGACGGGGACGGGGCGACGAGTGGCCGGACGAATGGGCGAGCGATCGAGTTTGTGTTTGATGTCTAGGATGGGCGGGAATGCGTCCTCTCTCCTCTGAAAAACATGTCGCGCAGACTGGCAGGGCTGGATGGCAGAACGAACGGGGAAACAGCGACGGCGACGACGGTCTCGACAGGCTGGGCAGTGTGGGCAGTGAGATGGCGAGTCGCTCCTTCCTGTTTGCTGAGCCCTGGCCCACCTCTTGGCAAAAGTCAAGAGTAGCTTCACCCGTTACACACCAAGCACGAGCCATGTCACGCCAATTCCTTCAACCTTCTTCGCTCTTGCCGAACCCTCACAGCCTCAGCCTCAGCCGAGGAGCCTGACAAGTCCCGCCTCGTTCCTTCCCTATTTCGATGCTTGCTTTCTAACTCTATCCGAGGTTGACATCGTTTCTATCTTATAGACATCTAAACATCCTCTTCCCTTGACGTTCTAGACATGTCGACCGATGTGAAAAACCTGGAGGGTCTCCACACCCTACATGTCAAACGCCATGTCACCCCAACTTCTTCTGGCTCCACTGTGGTGAGCTACGCTAAGGACCTGNGGGACGGTCCTGTCCTGTGGCTCGTCCATGGCTACCCTCAATCTGCCTACATGTATGCCTGAAACTCATTTGTCTCATGCTTCCTCTCATGTTTGCTGACCATTCTGCTTAGTTGGCGTCATGTACGATCCTACAAATCGCTCAAAATGCCATCCTTATTAATCAAGTCATCAGNNATTATCCCTCAAGTGCAGGACAAAATCTCCCTATTCGTTCCTGAGGTGCGTGCCATTCTTTCTCCACTCCCTCCGCGTTCACCCGACCACTACTAAATCAAACCCCGAAAAAGCNTGCCGGGCTACGGCCTCAGTACACTCAAAGGCAAGGCCGGGGTTGCCGCCGTCGGCGCCGCTCTGCTTGAGGCGAGCCACAAACTGTTCCCTAACCGTCCCATCATTTTAGCCGGCCACGACCGCGGTGCTCGCGTCTGTCATCGTCTTGCTGTTTCCAATGCCCATCCACCTCAAGATGACTCTGCCAATCTGCATTCTTATAAACTCCTAGGCACTGTTCTGCTTGACATTGTGCCTACCCTGATCCAGTGGCAGTCTTTTGCTCATCCTTTGGCCAGCGCCGCTTACTTTCACTGGCCATTCCTGGCATCTCCTGTCGCAGCAGACATGATTGAAGCCTTTGGTGCTGCCAAATGGACACGCCTCGGCCTCGACCGCATCTGTGGAGACAATCCCGAAGGTCGTAAAGCAATGCAGTCCGACGACGCTTGGGAGGTATACGAGACATTACTCTCAAAACGTGAAGCCATTGAAGGTTCATGTGCCGACTACGCAAGCGGCTGCTACGATGAGCCTCCTCTCCAGGAAGCTGACCAGCGTGAGGGCCGCAAGATCCAAGGTCCTACGCTTGTCATGTGGAGTAAAGCCAGACTGGGCAAAATGCATGGCGGTGACCTTGGATCCATCTGGAAGAATTGGGTTCAAGATGCTTCCTCGCTGACCGCCGAAGGCGTTGGTGATGATGTTGGACATTATCTGCCTGAGGAGGCAAGCACCATCATCGGAGCAGCCATCAAAGACTTTGTCGACAAGTTGACAAAGTGATTGTATATAATGATGATCAACGGCCACAGTCATGACTTTGCATTAGTCTTCTAGCCTATCCTTCCTCATCGCTTGGTCGCTCGTCTTCTCATTCATGTCTCTTGTTATCCCTCTTTTCTGTTTCACCTTACTGTTAACGTCGTCGCCTTCAGTGACCATGTCCTCCAGAGTCACGATCTCACCGATCCAACGCTCTCACAGGCCCTCACTCTGTGAACACACTACCAAAAGGACTCTGTGATGAGTCGACTACTCTCTCAACCTGTCCAAGATTGTCTTGAGTGGCTGTGCTTTTGTGAACTCCAATGGAGGATCCCGAACCTACGAGCTTGGAGAAACAAGACCATCTCCCGCCCGTGGCCGCACCACACAGAGCCCAAAGACCATAACCAGGTCCATAACCCCTGACGCACTCTCCCAGTCCCCGAACGAAAGCTTGATATCTTACATACCAACTCAACTCGGAGATGTCGACATTGGCAAAGGGGTAAGTGACCTGGTCATTGACTTAAGCGAAGGCTTGTTATGGCTTCCTGCATCGATTCGAACCACGTCTATCGCCCTTCTAAAACTGGTCGATTGGCTTGGTTGTCCCGGCAAGTTTGGCAGTTGGCAGTTTCTTTTGAACAGCTCTGTCTCAGAGAGAGAAAGGAAAGTGATGGCGAGTTGGACAGTTTTATATTCGAGAAGCTTGAGTATTGAGCTCAAGAAGCTGACAGTCAAGAAGTGAGCCATGAGCCATCTATTGTGGTTTGGATAATGGGATCTAGTCACGAAGTCCTTATACCCGTGTTTCATGATAACGTTCTGGGTTGAATCTTTTCTCACCCTCCTTCCTCTTGACAGCTAAAGTGAAAGAAGAACCGCAGATATACCTTTATGCTACTCTCTATCCAGAGATTTGAGCCCTCCAGCTTGTTTTCCCCCTACACTTTCGTTGACAGCACCAAGCAAAAGTGCAACTTCATTTCCATCATCAATGTCAAGTTTCGCATAAGTTTCCGCAGTCTCAAGTAAACTCTTCCCTGTTGAAGATACCATTGGGAACGAGAGTTAATGTAAGTCTTGTTACAAGATCCCGGAAGGAATTTTGAAACGCAAGATATAGTGGTCACTGTTTCATGATGGAGTCATCCTACCTTCTGTGTGAGTAGCTGATTGGAAACAAATCGATCTTCATCACAAAAACGGTAAGCGCAATTGACGCAACTTCCGCGGTATCACTCTTTTAGTATCGGTTGAGGGGTATAAGAGCCGTACCTAACAAGTAACAAGATCCATCCAACCACTGGTGAGCAGAGCTGCTCGCAAAATACTGAGCCACCGAGCGACGTGTCAAGACTGTGGAGATGTGGAGGATTCCTTTTCAACGGATGACGATGGGGAGATGGAAATGACAGAGCTAGTGAGGAGACACACAAGCAAAGGAGAAACCCAGGTCCACACCCCCTTTGCATCTACAGCACTCCCGAGCAAAACTTCCAAATCTCTCGAGTATCTGTGAACATCGTCAATCCCTTGAGACCCCAGGATACTGTAACAGGTTCACTAACCTCTTTATCTTCTTCCTCTTCCTCCTCTCTTTCATTGGCTCGCGAAAATAAAGCCAACAGTGAAAACTCCAAGTGTTTACATCCACTGAGACTCAGTCTTCTCTGCGGCGGTCTTGTCGGCGGCGATGGGAGCGGGAGTCGATGTAACCTTCTTGTTGAAACCACCGAGTCTCAGAGAACAAGCTTGAATAAGTCAAGAATCTTTTATCCAAAGTAAAATCCAATGACCACCCCTTCCAATGCATTGTAGTGAAATGACGAAAGTAGGGGTATGCCACGCTGGAGGCACAGCAATGACACGGTGTCCAAGTCAGAGACGCAGTACCCATAAAACACAATGAACACTCGCAACAAACACAAAACAACCATAAAAAGCTTTTAAAGTATTACTATGCTATCATAGTATAGCCTTCCAAACAAACAAAAGATCAAACCAAACCTTTCCATCCCTAACTCAACAACTACACAAAAGCAATCTCCGCAACCTCACATCCAGGCCACAACTTTGTATCGAAAGCGAAAAANGGCCCGCTGCCATAAATTCCCGTCCCCGTCGTCGTCTGTATATCAGCACAAACCTGCAACACGGTGCGCACATCGCCAACGCCCGTTCCACGGATGGATAGCGTGCCATTGACAGCAACACTAACCGCAGGACGTGGGTAACCAGCGGGATACAGACCCACGGGTACGAGTGCCAAAATGCTGTATGGCAAACCCAAGCCTTGGTATTCGACGGGGTTGGAGATCAATTCGCGGTCATCTCCGTAGAGGAGGCGGTGGTCCGAGGCGAGTGAAAAGTTTGCCGCTTGAGAAATGTCGCTGGTGAGTTTTAGGGGCGTGCCAGGGGTGATGGTGGGAGCGACGAAAAGTGCATATAGATTGTTATAAGGGCTGGAAGAATTCTGGACTTGTATGAGACCGGCTGATGGCGCAGCAGCAGTGGCAGCAGCGACGATGGTGGTGGATGTGGAAGTGCTGGTCTGCTGCGCGGCCGTGATGGTAACTACAGCCGCAGTGACGGTCGAAACACCCGTCGGTTGTGTGGCAATCAAGCTACAAGCACCTGACTGCACAGCAACAGGATACTTGGTGAGCACAGCCGGAGTCGGTGTGGCACGCTTGTCAAGGCTAACAGCAGCCGCCGAGACCACAAACCAAGGCAGCAGAATCGAAGTCGGGACGTTTTCAACGCCATCACGTTTGACCTTCTGAGCGTCGGCTGTTTGGGTGACAACAGCAGTTGCAGTAGCGATCGGCGTGATTGTGCTTGTCGGAGTGACAGTGGTGACTGCAGTAGAATACGCAAGCAGACTCGAGCAATAGGGCTCAAAGGTCGAGGTTAGCTGCGAAGGATAATACGTCATATCCTGACGAGCCTGGTAGATAGCCCCTTGNACATCTCCTTGGCCTGGTGCGGGGGCAACACTGGTCGAATTCTTAAAGGTGAAAGAGTACGCCACAAAGTAATGGTCAGAGCCTCGGTACTGACCCTTGTTGGTAGCATAAGATGAGTTCCAGACTTCGGTATAGAGAGTACAGTATTGGCCTTGAGGGGTGCTTGCGTTGTTGAGGTATAACATGTACGTGTTGAACGAGGCGCAAATCCTAGGAGGACTGCCATCGCTTGCAGGATGCTTCACATTATAGGCGGTCTGAGCAGAGCAATAATCCGCGCAGGCCTGAATGCTAAACGTACCCTTTGTGAAAATCGTCGATCCCATGAAGGTGTTGTATCCTTGACCATCGTAGGGAGCGGTGAGAGCAGCATCTCCGAGTGCGTCGTTCATGCCGAAGCCAGCGGGCACGACCAGTGTGTTGTTCTGGTAAGCGTTCGATCCGGCAACCACGACTTCGAATTGCTCACGCATCGGCCCAGTATTCGTAGCGCTATCAGAGGACAAAGGGCTTCCCCACAAGGCACAACGTGCATAGATGACCGAGGAGGGACTGGGACACGCGGCAGCAGGCTCTAGACTGGCATCTCTCTGGACGTAAACGTTGAAGGCCATACAACCAAGGGTGTGGGTGCAGAAATCGGCGCATGCATTTACGTCGTAGCTGTCCAGATTGTGGTACCCGAGATAACCATACGCACTGTTGGCACCATTTGCATTCGTCTGCGTCTGCACAAATCCGGTAGGGACAGGGGCATTACTCGCCATGGATGCCCAGCGCGGGTCCGCCCTGAAGGCAGAAGCAGAGTCAGTCTGGTAAGTATAGACACCAGCGGCCTGAGTGTCACAGGCGTTTCTCTTGACATTGGCGACCGAAGTGGCCGTGGCGACGTTTGTTGCCGCAATAGATATCGAAGAAGCTGCGGCAGTGGCCTCGGCCAGGATTGCAGAGGTATCGTAGGTCACGATCTGAACGCTTGACCCTGGGATCTGCGTATATGTCGGGTCGGGAGCAGCGATGACCATGTCAAGGTCAATCTCCTGGGGCCGAGGCAGGGCAGCGGCCAAGTTGGCCACAATGGCAGGTAACGCGAGAGCTGAGTACCGCATTGCAACAAAGGTACTAGGATGAGAATGGAGTTCTGTTCTGGCATCTTTCCAAGCGACACTTACCTGCTTTATATACTACGACACCCGGTTGGGTCTTGATGCTCTGAACAGGAGAACAATCTCGGTCGTGCCGGGTGCTGTGGTTCTTGCTTAGAGCGCCACAAAGCGAACGTCCGGAAAGTCAAAGTCACCAAGCGCTTCAGAATCCCTGGTGGACACAAGCCAAACATGACAGTGGTCTGATGGCCAGGCCATATATGTGTACAGCATATATAGAGAGCACAGAGGACGTTACCGCAGCTGAGAAGAGATTGTGCGGAGATGGAGTCCGAGCTTTCGCGTGGAATGCACGCGAGTAACCAAACGCCTTTCCAGAAAAAGCTAGAATAGCAAGTTTAATACTCTTCAAGCAGTCTTCTTTTCGCAAGTCAGTGCCCCTATGCTTGCAAAGCCGTTAGAACTTCTCGTCTGTTACATAACGTTCATTCCGTATTCAGCGAACAAACTGTAGTGCGACTAAAATGAGATACTCATCTCGGTGTGTCCGATTAAGAAGTCCTGAAAGGTCAAAGCCGCAGAAAAAAAAAGAAATGTTTCTTCTGCAGAGCAAAATGGCTTCGTGGTATCTTTGGAACTACGTGCGTGAGGAAAAGAGATGTCTAGACATGAAAACTGTATAAGCAATATACACAAAGAGGCGTCTTGCCACAAGCGAAGACCTCCTCACAAAGAAGCGAAACAAGCCATATCTACAAAAGGCGTTACTTTCAACCCCCAGTAAACATCCACCCAACATCCAGCGAAGGAAAAAAGAAGTCATTCCACCAAGGTGCTCACTATCCCTTCCTTTTCAACTCCAGCAGATAAAAAAAGAAGGAAAAAAGGAGCACAAACTCCACTCTTTCTTTTGACATTCAGTCACTACCCTTTACCGCCATGCGGCAATTTATTAAGCAACTTCTGCCCACCAAGCAAAAGCCTAGACTTGAATCCTTCATCATCAGTCCCATCCTGTTGTGCAATACCCCTCCATTTTTCTGTTCTGCCCCTGTCACCCCAGAGTTGTTGGATGCACTAGTACCCGGTCTCAACCGTCCAAACAAGCCCTTTTTCTGATCATTGCCACTGCCACTGCCAATACTCGTACTCCTCACCCTCGACTCTTCAGACCTTCTGCTCGGAGTGTTGAGAGATGAGTTATTGGTGTAGGTGCGAGAGATATGTGAGTAGCCAGTTTGTGGGCGCGGACGGGGTGGAGGCACAGGTCCACCCTCAGTTTCCAGCGATCTGGTGAGCGAAGGGGTGATACTCTTAGTTCTCGAGACAAACAGGCTGTTAGGTGAGGCCTCCATATGTGGGTGGTCGTCAAACACAGAAGGACGGCCAGAGGTAAACGACGGCCGAGCAGGAGTCTCATCACGGTCTTCTGCTTCGTCTTCTTCTTCGACGATGCTGGAGGTGGTGATTGGCGTGCTTTCCCCGCTGGTGCGTTGGCCCTCTTTNTGGCCGTTGACGTGCATGGTGCTGAGGTTTGCTATCTCTCGAAGTTTGCTGGAGGCGGCTTGGCGTGAGGGTCGGTGATGTTGGAATTTGTTGCCTACGATGGCGCCGGCGTGGGAGATCAGAGCCTTGATGAGATCCTTCTTGATTTGTAGAGCCAAGTCGAGATTTGACCATGTCTTATTGCGGTATTCGAGCGTTGGCATGCGGAACACGAGATCATGCACATCTTCGAGGTTTCGCCGGCCTGATCCTTTATAACTGAGACATAAAACCATGCTGGGAACCTTGAAGAATGCCAAGGTCATGTAATTAGAAGCACGGGACAGCATGAGTGAAAGATCGTCAGAGCCTTGTTTGTCGTCCTTGTCTGATTTGCCTTTCTTGTTGGATTTCTTCTTGGACATTTCTGATTCGGCGAGGGAGTTTGTCTCGGAAGAACGCTGTGAAGGCGTACGGCTGACAAGGCTGGTATTGGATGCAGTGTTGTTGTTCTGCTTCTTGGCGACGTTGTTTGATGAATGACTGAAAGGATTCCAATGAAGATTGTGCAAAGATGAAGTCGAACTGCTGATACCAAGACCTTTGTTCTTGCCGTTCTTGACAGGTACTTTTCCTTCCGGCAATTTTAGAGTTGGCTGGAGTCTGTGTTCCAGTTCACCGGCTCCAGTGCCTACACCTTGGTGTACTGCTCCATTGGTGCTTTCATCCTGTGGTGGATTGTCTTTCTTATCATCCGAATCTTCCTCGTCGTCCTCTGGAACGGCCATATTACGAACCATGAAAGGCGAGAAGCCGCCACCCTCGAAAGCATTACCGCCAACACCTGGAAACAGGTATTCGAACAGTCGTTTGGCAATCTCGCGTTCAAGCTGGACGCGCAGAGGCATGACATTGACTTCGAAGTAGTCGACAACAGGAATACCGGCAATGGCTTCAAGCATCAGCCACTGCACACGCAACATCTTCATATCCTTTTGCTTGGTATAGCCGCGGGCGGGGTCAATGTATGGCGCGATGATTTCTGGGTATACCGCGTTCGGCAGCAGATTGAAACCATTGATCCTACCAATCTCCACGCAGCTGAAGTTCGAGCCATCATTGTTGTCGGTACGATCGAAAAGACCATCCTTGAGTTGGAACTCCAGAAGCGACTCATTCTCGCCACGGATGAGATGCCAAGCAATCTCCTTCGAAGAGATAAGCCATCTCAGTAAGCCTGGTGATTCCTCTTGATTGCGATCTTCAACTCTGCTCTGAGAGGTAGTGATCGCCTTCATCATGAAGAACAGTTCATCCTCGCAGGCAGCAAGATCTGCATCGAGAGCAATTCTATCTTTCCATCCCTGACGATCCAGGAATTTCTCGTTGACTTGGAAATGCATCTTGATATCTTCAAGTTGTCGGATGCGAGCTTGCAGCATCTCGACCATCTCGGGTGCGCCTGTAAGATCGCTGAAGTCAGACGCCAGCATGATCTTTTCGAGTCTTTCGCTACGAGTCTTCTCCAGCGGCTCACTATACAGTAACAAGTCTAGTACGATAATGTACATGGCAAAGTACTGATTAGAGTCGCAGATAGCCCTGAAGTGAGGGAACTCGATATAGATGTGATCCATACGAGGGTCAGAGGCATCTGGGCTTTGCGTCTTGTCTCCATCGCCGCCACTGACATCGTCATTGTACTTCAAGCGCAAATTGTTGTATTTGTCGTAGCGCAAACTTGCCGAGGTACGATGAACGACTCTCGAGAAACCGTATGGGTTGACCTGGAATTCGAACATGACTTCCAAGGGTACCCAAGGTGGCCAGTACTCTCCAGATTTGCCACCATAGCGATTGCCAGAGTACATATGGAGGTAATCGGTCGAAAAAGTCTTGGTGCTGGCGACGAACACTTGCATACTGTCCATTGCGGCAGAAAAGCGTGTTTGCACCAGTCCACTAATCTCATCGAGAAGTCTTTCCTTGTCCATGATTTGGACGACTCTGAGCTGCATGCCTTTAGCAGCAATCAGCATGACAGACTTTGGATTCTTCTCGCTTTGTAGCTGTATCTGTGGCGCGATGAGGCGGAAGTGATAGGTGTTTTGTGGTGTGTACTCGGTTGAGATACCCTCTCCACCGCCCTCCNNCTTGCCAGCCGACTCTGTGCATTCTTGTGTCTCGGGGTCGTCGGCATTGACGAACTGTCTTCCATCGTTTAGGAGCTGGTCGATCCTATCTTGAACCGCCATTTCCTCTTCTTGGTTAGGTGTCATGGGCAGGAAGGATGTGTCGCTGCTGACTGTGCTGTTGTTACGATTCTCCTGTGCTTGTGGGTTTGATTTCTTCTGTTCCTCAAGAATATCTAGAATGAACTTGACAGCTCTTCTAGACATGTAGTATACGAAACCACGTCTTTGACTAACTTGATGTACGTAGCGTAGGATGATGTTTCGTAGCGAGTTATTCCATTTGATCTGAGCATTGTGCACAACAAACCTGTTGTTGAAGTCGCTCGTGTAGTCCGCAATCGGATTCGTGTCTTCCTTTGGTCCATCGTCCCTCTCAGCATCTCTGTCGGGCAATTCGTCTGTATCGATCTCAGCAGCGATAGACGGATCTTCTTGTTGCAACTTCTCAACAAGCACATCTAGCAGTTCACATAAAAACTCATGTTTCTTTTGCAGTGCTTCGGCGTGGTTTCTCAGAGCTCGGAGTCGCTCGTTAAGCTGTTCATCGCCTTCATGAGTTCTGACGACCTTGACTTCTTGCTCCCCGACCGCGCGTTCATTGTTGGCCATCTGTTCTTCGATGCGATGAATCCGAGATTCGATGAGATCAGCTTGCACTCTGCGAGGATCATTCCGTTTGGACATAACGCAATAATGAGTGGGTTCATCACCAAAGATACTGGACCTTGTGGTGTCTCCCGAAACCGAGTCACCATGATCCGTTTGTCTGAAATATGTGAAGCGAGGTGCAAAGCCGAGCGGAAGAATCTTTGTCGCAGGATTCGTCTCCGCTGGTAAGATCCAATCAAGCTCAACAAAGTCATCCATATCAATCCAAGTCAGATCGTTGTCGGGTATTGTAAACTTGGACATGTCGACATGAGTAATGTTACTTGTCTGATAGGAAGCCAGTGTAGCCTCATCAGCTCGATCAAGGTCAGTTGTGCTAGTTCCCTTGATAGATGCAGATATCGCTCGGATGTCAGCTGAGATGAAATCAAGTTGGCACTGATTGATCTTCATGGCAGTTGTTCGCTTTGCCTTCTTGTCACCAGTCGCTGGGATTTCAAAAGTTTCCCTGCGTTGATGAAGATCCAACATGAAGCTATCAAGTTTCATCTTCAGGCCCGTGGCAGAGACGACATCATTTTGATAATCTTCAGCGTCCTTGTGCTTGTAGATGTGACTGATGAATAGAGGTGAGAAGAGCAGATTGTACTTGATTGTACCAAGATGGCGTCCGAACTTCTTGCTCGACTTTTCCATGCTTCCCCAAAGAGGACCTTGGCGGACAGGTAATGACATGACTCCAGAAAATAGCGACCACCAATTGTAGAAATGCGTAAAGAAGCGAGGTGTGAGGTGGACCGCGTTGTAGTTTTTGGATGGTTGGAGATTGGCAACATTCCAGTCTCGATCCTGAGGTGCAGAGATGGCAATAGAACCATGGATCCAATGACTTCTGAAGTCCTTGAATGCATCGTACACTTCCCCCNNTGGTGGTGCTTTGGCGTAATCAGGATGTCTGAGCTTGACTTTGTAATGGGGGCAGAAATCGAAGCTCCTCTTGTCGTTCTTGACTTCGCGCTCAAATGTCAGACCAGCCATCCATTGCACGTTTCCGGACAATTTCATAACGACTTTCTTGAAAGCAGCTGTAGCCTTGCTGCTGTTCACGCTGCTTGACCCACTTTGTGACTCTGTTTCGGGCTCTTCCTTAAGCTGTCGGGCATAATAGTTGTAGTCAGGGATAGCCAGAACATAATCACCGCTATCGACGGTCATGAACTTGCGAGGGTCATCGTCCTGGGCAAGTCTCCAGCGAACATTGTGCCTCCAGACCATGACGAATCCAGCTCCTAGACCAGTCACAACATAAGGATCGCGAGAACCTTTAAGACAAAGGTGAACATCACCGTCGCCCTTCCAGTTGATATCAAGACGCGAATGGAAACTGAGTCTGATCTTGTCCCAGAACCCAACTCTGTCAGATGGATCCATAGGTGGCTTTGTAAAGTTCTCAATAACCTGCATCATATCTTGAATGGCAGGTTGGTATGAAGTTCCCCAGGTAATTCGTGTAGGTGAGCTCGTGTTGATGTCGATCTTCATGTCCGAGTAAGTCTTCACAGCCGAGATGGTTCTACGCACATCGATAGAGAAGTTTTTCTTGCTATCATCCTTGCCACATTTGCTTTCGGGCACCACAGCTACGTTGATGTGGCGTTGAGACTCAATACCCTGGAACTCTTCAGCAACGACGAAGTCTGTGCTAAGAGATAAACTAGCAAGTCGGGGCGATTGACCAGGACGAATTGCAGGGACGTGGAAAAGAGGCAGTGGATAGTCCCTCAGCATGACTCGAGCCTCGCCCATGGTAACTTTCAAGCTCATGGGTAGAAGCAGACCATATTTCATGTCCAGAGGCATGCCCTTGCCAACATCGTGTAAGAATTGAGGGTATTGATCGAGTGCAAAGGAAGGCTTGTCAATAATGACACCCACATCGCTGATGACCGCAGCCATCAAAGCGGGTCGCTGTGGAATTGCCATCACATTCTCAGCTTGTTCAAACTCGTCTGGCAAGTCATTCATACCCCATATTATGCCACGCAGGTCCTTAATGGCATGACTCTGAGTACTCAAAGCTCGGTCGATGCGCTTCTTCCAGCTCTGAGCATTGAACTCCTGCAGCTTGGCGTGCGCCTTCTCAACAGTACGAGTGTTTGCACCGTTGAAATCAGCCTTGCCCTCAGTGTTGTACCGAATCTTACGATCACGACCTCTACCACGACGCTTTTCGGAAGAAGACTCTTCGTCTTCTTCCCGAAGTGTGTGAATCGAGTGGGCGCTCTTGCTCCTTCTATGATGTGATGTTGCATGACGGGACAAGCTGCGTCTGCGGGATGGCGGTGGTTGTTGGGAGGCTGTGCGCACACGTGAACCTCTTCTCTGGCGTTGTGAGTCTGTGTTCTTGACTTTGAGCCTGAATGCTTCTTCACGTGCGAGACGCTGCTGCTGCTCGATCAGGCCAGCTCGATAAATTGTGCCAAGCTTCCATTCGAATCCACTGTCTTCAATCTCGAAGAGCAATAATTGGGCACGCACAGATATTCTTGGGATTTTCTTTGGTCCTTCGGGGTGTTTTGCCAGAATGTATTCAAGTGTGCCGGTGCTGAAATGATGGTGTAATTGCTCGCAAGCTTTGACGGTGTTTACAATGTTGTCAAAAATTGCGTGTAGGACCATGCCGTGTGGAACACCGATACGGATGACATCTGTCGTCAAATCGAATGATTTTGTGATCTCGGTCTTTTGACCGACCTTGTTCTTCATCTCGCGGAGGTCAAATCGAAGGTTTTTAACACTGACGATGCGACTCCAGACTTGCTTCATGTTGGGAGTACCCGCAAGTAGTCTTACAACCTTGAGTCGCGCGAAAGGCGTAGCCCATCTATGACGGCCGCAGTCGGCACCAAAAATCTGGATCATCATTGGTGGATCAGCAGGCAAGTCTGCCTTGACTTGAATCAAGTTTGCTTTGAAATCAACTGTGGTTACTTCGCTCATCAAAATTTGGTCGTATTGCGAGTGGTCTCGAGTCTTGACAGTCGAGCTGGGTTGATGCTTCTTGCGATCCTCGTCTGCGTGGTGGGGTTCTATCGTCAGGAACATTCTTCGAAATGTCAAGACTGCTACACCAATTGAGAAGTGCTTATAGAGTGAGTATTCCAATTGCAGACTTTTAGCATGCGAATTGACGTGGAAGAGTGGTCCTTGAATGTCGCTTGACGTCGAGAATGCCACCTCGAATTTGGGCAAGTTGATGAACGGCTCTGCAGTCGAGTCTTCCACAGCATCTATAATGTGACCTTCCAGGCCTTGTATGTGGACGGCTAACCTTCGCCCATCCGTCGGAAGTGTCTGTTTCTTTCGTGGAGCCTCTGGTGTTGTTGATCGATCATTTCTCTCCCGCGAGAATGATCTGCTGAGTGATCTGCGTCTTGGTACAGGAACGTACATATCTTCGCGATGCGCCTTGTACTCGGCTGACCATGATTCGAGCTGCAAGGCAAATCCGCGAGCATATTTGGAAACAGCTTGATCCACACCAGCAAGCTCGACGTTGAAGTCGTTTCCTTGAATGCTCACATGCTGTAACCAATCAGGTATCTGACGGAGGAAACTTGGCTTCTTCACGACGGTCGTACCACTGTTCGAGTCTGTTTCTCGACGAGCGGCCTTGACAATCTGGCGAATACCTTCAGAAATCTCCGTTCGTACCAGGAAGACCGAGAATGTCTGGAACCTACCATAGACAAAGACCTCGGGCTGTGGTAATACATTAACGTCAACCTTGACCTCGATAGTCTCGGTCTGCAAGAGGTCGTGCTTCTTGCCAGCATTCGTCTGGTAGTATAGCTGACTCGAAGTCTGTCTGTAGTGTAGATGCAAGCCATACTTGTTTGCAGACTCGGTCGAGGAATGTTGTGAGTCGATGTCTAATGACATGGTCGAAGTTGACGAGATAAGCAGGTCATACTCAACGTCTCCAGTGTATCCTGGGCTCAGCGGGGGAAGCGAGACTCTGACGACAGGTTCCTGAACAGCAATTTTGATGATAGCTTTCGGCAAGAGGCGAGATAAGAAGCCGCGACTCGTCAACGAAGGACCTTTGGATGACTTTTTCGATTGTTGCCGTACTTTGGCGATAGCTAGCAGAAGCGGCAAGTGCTTCGGGTCCAGGTCCACGGATGGTGAAGTGCAGACAAGATTGGCAAACAGGATGTTACTGTTACGTTCGCGCACGTTTGTGGCATCGTCTGGCTTTTGTAACGTCTTTGAGGGAAGTGTGGTCTTGACAGTGGCAGTAACCATGGGCACATAGAGCATGCGCTCGGGATGATCGTGACCATCGTCAACACCAGCCGAGATGGAAATGGCTGTGAGCAGAGCTTGATGGGCAACGTCTGATGGTGAGAAATACATGCGATGCGCTGGACTCCTTGAATCAAGGCGCATAAGATCTAGGCCTAATTCCTTCATAGCCATGTTGNNGAAGTAGACATGTTGGCCAGAGGTGTGCAAAGACCTGATGCGCCTAGAGAGACCCAAGAAGCCAATAGCCAGTTGGAATTCCTGTATACCCTTGAGAACAGATCCAAGAAACTCTCTCGACTCGGTCACGGCTTCCATGAGCTTCTCCTCGCGGTTTTCAGTATCCTGAGGTTCCTTGAGCACATCGTTAATTGCAATCTTGGGAGCTTGTACGGATGCCGAACGTCGGGTCTCGTGTTTGGAAAGGCCGCGAATTTGGTGCAGCTTCTCACTCGCGTCCAGAAGATCGTCGTAAGGTATATCGAGTCGACCTAGCTTCAGGGCAATAGAAGCATTGCGCAATCCCTCCAGATGCGGATGTAAGAAGCCATGCACGCTTATAGACAAGCCATCCAGGATTTCAGAGGACTCCTTCCCTTCAGGCGTGAACAGTATGGACCGGATAACGCTCTTCCATTCGGCAGGGGTGTGCGACGAAGCCTTTGTCTGGTCGTGCTGGAACAAGCGACTGCGATCGACCGTCTTTGCTCTCGTGTCGACAGCCAGGGTAATGCGCTCAATCGTGATTGTTCCCACCTCTTTGATAACGACACTGCTGCCAATAGCGACCAAATCGACCAGACACAGGTATCTGATCTTTGTGTGCAATCTCTTGATCTTGTCCTTGACTTCGGTCAATTTCTTCCATTGCGATGCGCCATCCTTTTGTGTGGGAGTCTTCTCTTCAGCTTGTACATTCTTGGTCGAATTTTGTAATGCGCGAAGGTCTACGACGACCTGAGGTTCGGTGAGATGGAGACTGATCCATGTTGGGTGCGCAAAGGTGGGTCGGTGGAGAGACAGGCCGATGCCTCTTATGTATATCTTTATTCCGTCCTTGGGTGAGAATGCGATGCGCCGGAAGCCAGAATAGCCGATGCGCTGGATACTAACGCCTGTCAAGATGCGCAAGAGAGCGAACAAGACGAACGATGAGAGGTAGGCGAGCACCAGAACACCGCCGACAAAGGACGCGGTGGGCAGCGGCATGCTGACTGGGTATTAGAGATTAAGAGTTGTGATGGTTGCTATCGGAGCACGCGATCGAGACCCAGAGTCGCAAGGGTAGACGGAAGTGCTGAAGCAGACTGTGGCATCTTCAAGGCACGCCCATTACTCTTGAAGCAGCAGTCTGTCGGTATCGCGTCTGACTGTCGAAGGATTGGCAGCGTCTCACGCGAGCCCAAGGAGTTGAGATGTAAAGGGTGGCTGCGCATCCATCAATTTCGCCGATTGCCTGGACGTCATTTGTAATGTTAAAGAGCCTCAAATTGTGACCATCGATCCGGGGATGCCGGGGCTGGCTTCACGACTCGATTTCTAGCCCTCGTTCATGCCAGAATCCGTCATATTCGAGTCACCAAATATTGTGTATTGTAGAAAGACCTACACGAAGAAACAACACAAAGCGATCACCAACAACCAGAAAGAGCGGCACGCAGCTTGACAGTCTTGAGACTTGACAGGTTTGGCAAGCACGCTCATCTCTTCTTGTTCCTGTCTGCTCTACCGGCTTGTGCGGGAGCTTGCAGCACGAAGCTTTCAACAAAACGGCTTTGTACCGCAGGCAATCTTTATCCAGCGTACGCGTACAGCGATACGGAGCTCAGCGGCATCTTTACAGAAGTGACTGCAGGTGTGGGAATAAGTACTAATATGGTAACAAATGATATGGAGATCTATTGCTCATGAGGCACCAAAGACGTTGAGAACGTTACTAGGCTTCGAGATGATTGATGACATGCCAAGATATGGCAGGGTTGTGCCTCTAGCAACATCTCCAAACATCAAAGGCGACATTGTGGACGACAGGAGGGTTCGTTGACTGATTTCAGACCATGAATGTATCTATCACAGGGGATTACATATCTCCACTGATTCTTATGGTGTTTCTTGGCTCCATCATCGAGTAATGCTGTTTTCGAGATTCAATTCATGCCTTGTCAAGAAACTAGATCAGGAACATTACAAGATGCTGGTCAATCTCTCGACAAAAGGCGAAGACACAAACCAAAGAAGCCACGTAGGACGCGTATTCCAGATTCATACATTCCAAAGTATCCAAGATGATGTGCAAGTCAAGTATTCTTGTATTGTTGGTATCTCATTCGCGCTCTTGATGCTCTGAACGCCGATGACTTTATGGTCCGTGCCCTGTAAAAAACGCCGTGATGATGCATGGCCCCAGCCTTATATACTCCAGCAAACCCATGCAATTCGTGTCATCGTTGTCTAGAAGATCTGCCTCTATTCTTCCATAGCTTCCTGCATCTTCACCTCAACTCCATTACCATCTCCAAGGCTCGCGGTCTGTGGAGGCGCCGAAAAGACCTTCTCCTTGACTTGAGCAGCCAACAGACCAGTCTTTTCCTCATTGGCGATCTTGTCGGCAGCAGAAACTACCTTGTCCATGGCAGCATCACCTTTGGAACCCGGACGCATCGACATTGAGCCTCTGTGCTTGGCGTTCTGGGTGACCTGATTGATCTTGCCTGCCAGGTCTTCAATCTGCTTGGTGCCGTACTCGCGATTGGTGGAGAGAGGTGAGGAGGACAATGTCTGGACCCAGTACTTGTTCCACAGGGCTTCCAGCAAGGTGTTGTCGAGTGATGACTTGAAGTGAGTGACGTCGAGAGAATAGTACTTGTTTGCGTGAGCGCCAAAGTCGGCAGCTTTAGCAAGAGGAACGGCAGCCATGCCTTCACCAGCAGAATCGGAACCAGCAGGGACGTGGCCTTCGGGGTAAGTTCTAAAAGCGCCAATCTCGACCTTGCCGGAGCTGACGGTGCGGTCTGGGTCGATGACGACGGCGACGAAAGGATCGGAGAAGGTTTGCTGGGTGAACTGAGTGGAAACGTCGATACCGCTGAGCCAGCAGCCGTAGCCAGGATGACTGTGGTACCAGCCGACGGCGTTTTCGAGCTGACCGGCTTGACGCGAACGATCGAGGTATTTGACCATGTACTCATTGGCCTCATCTTGAGCGTTGACCCTGGTCTCTGTTCCTTCGACGGGCAGGCGGAGGGCATCGGTGACAACAAAGGTCTCGTGGAGGACGTAGCCGATCATGAGGCCCATGACTTCAATGCTGCCACCGGAGCGGGCGTGCATGACCATCTTGGTCAGAGCGACAGATGAGATTTGGACATGCTTGAAGTGATTGGGGTCTGAGCGCCACGGCTTCTTGTTATTGATGTCCTTTTGCTGTTCGACCGAGTAGGCGTATGGTTGATCGCGAGTGGCGTCTGTGAGGTTGACGGCGTTGTCCAGCTCTNNGAGAACTGCTGTCAGCACTTGTGGTAGACTTGCAGGAGGACGTATACACTGACCCCACGTCTTCCTTGGACCGTCCATTGTGGTGTTCGTGTGTGTGTTGTGGAAGAGGAAGTGATGGAGATGTGATTGACGTAAAGACCAAGCTCAGCACATGCGCGGGGTCGGAGTTGCGGAGCATTCACCTCCGACCAAATATTCAATTGCTGCAAGTGAATGCTCTTTCCTATTTCTTCTTGTCAGACACCAAGAATGTCGCGACTGCTTAATGTGCTACCGCGGCGGTCGCCAAGGTCGCCTTTCGTCTGCAAACCATGCCTTGATCGACTGAGCACCCCAGCCATCCGTCAGTTCTCAATCTGCTCCGGCGCATTCACAAAGACACTCCCGAGACCAGCTGCCACCTCTCCTGCTTCGTCCAAGACCTTTTCCACGACTGCCATTCATCTCGCCAAAGGACATTCGAACCGCGAACTGCTTCCTTCTGCTCCTGCACGAACACGTTTTGCTCCATCCCCGACCGGCTACCTGCATCTTGGATCACTACGCACCGCTCTCTTCAACTATTTGCTCGCCAAAAGGACCGGAGGCCAATTCCTGCTCAGGATAGAAGATACCGATCAGGTGAGCGCCAAACCAATATGTTCGCATGACTCAGGTGCTGATGGGAGAAGANAAAGACTGGTCCCTGATGCCGAGCAACGGCTATGCGACGACTTGAAATGGGCTGGCATTCAATGGGACGAGGGTCCCCAGGTTGGCGGTCCCTACGGTCCTTACAAGCAGTCTGAAAGAACTCCGCTGTACCAGAAACATGCACAGGAACTCGTCGACTCCAAGGCCGCCTTCCGATGCTTCTGCAGCTCTACCGCTCAAGCTCCCGTCGACGTTGACGCCTCGCTAGTCGGATCTGCCATCGGTGGCTGTCATAGCGATTGCGCCAGCATTCCTCTGGAAAAATCGACTGAAAGAGCACGCTCCGAGAAACACGCCATCCGCTTCGGCAAACCTGACAAGGCCCCCAGCTGGTCTGATCTTGTCTATGGCAAAGTTTCGCTCGAATCAAAAAAGACGCTACCACAGAGAGCTGCTGTCGAAGGTGTCATCCTCCTCAAGGGTGACGGAACTCCTACATACCACCTCGCAAATGTCATAGACGATCACTACATGAAGATCACCCATGTCATTCGTGGCACTGAGTGGATGTCCTCAACACCACTACACGCCGCGCTGTACAACGCCTTTGGATGGACGCCTCCTGCATTTGCCCATGTTGGCCTGCTCACCGACAAGGATCAAGCGAAACTCTCAAAACGCAACTTCGACACTGATATTGGAGCTCTCAAGACGAAACATGGTATTTTGCCTGAGAGTCTGGCCAACTTCCTTGCCTTGCTGGGCTGGCGCAATCCTACTCGTGATGATGTCTTGGAAATGAATAAATTGGTCGAGCTCTTCGATTTGAAGTTTACCAAAGGCAACTCCATTGTTTCGTTCGACAAGTTGTGGTATCTACAGAAGAACCATGCAAAGATAATCATTGAATGTGCCATGCAATCCTCAACGTCAGACCCCTCGTTCGAGACCTTAGTCGGCCTGGTTGAGTCAGCTGCTAAGACTGCTTACCCAGGATCAGAAGCAGGATCAGGAGATCTGGATCTGAAAACACACATTATGAACATCCTCTTCATCGACTCAAAAACATACGAGAACCCAAGTTCATACGTTGAGCGAAATGCCTACTTCTTCACCAATCTACCGCCAGTTTCGCCATCAACCGACACCTCGATTTCTGCGTCTGACCTCCACGACGCAGCCATGGAATCAATGTCTCATGTCAACAGCGCCAGTGTTGTACTGACCACATCTACCAACTATGCGCAAGTTAAACAACAATTGGATAGCGCGGTAGGAGAATACTCTAGAGTCATTGGAGATATATGTCAGGCTCGCGCAACGTCAGATGGACAAGTAGACAAAGAAAGGATGAAAGAGTGGAGCAAATCACTTCATCGTTACTTGCGAGAGAAGCTATGCTTTGGTCGACCAGGCCCTGGAAGTTCACAGGTCATGGCTGTGCTTGGATATGATGAATGCATGAAGAGACTCAAGATGTAAGAACCTTCTACCTTCCACTCTCATCTTCTGTAAATATAGACCATGTATTATTACCTTCCTCATTGGACATATTTTCCTGATTCAATGCCACCATGACTCTTGTCAGAAGTTGGCTGCCTAGCTATCAATCGTTCATGGTCACGTTCCCAATCCTTGTCGCATCCCCTCTTCTATTCCGTTGACACACCGTCATCACACTTATCGTTCATATCGTATCTTTTGCTTGGTATCTATCATTTCTATCGAGTGATGTCGTTTCAAACACGGATACGGCCCGTCAAGGACTCTTTCCTTCTTTCCCGGCCCGCTTTCCGTTGCTCGCTTTGTGCTCCGGCAACGGCTTTAGGTTTCTTGTGCCTTGCATCGACTTGCATACGCACGCATATCCCCGCAAAGAGTTGCCCAATACGTCCTCGATGAGCATAATTTGACTGCGAGACCGGGGTGCCGGGATATTTTGCACGGCGGCGGGCGAATCTGGGATTGAAAAAGTCTTGGGTGTTGATAGGAGTCATATTATCGAGACGATTCTGAAGCCGGCTGTTCCTGGTTCTCAAGCATACAAAGTGTCACTTGTCTTCCGGTTTTGACATTTCAGTTGATCTTTTGATATCCACACCTGGTCTGGTCTCTACCACAACATCCATCATCCATATTCTCCTACCTCGACTCTTTTCTACTCAACCACATCTCTTCACATTCACAGCGATCATGGGCTACACACGCGAAGAACTCCCCACTCACACCAGGAGCACTTCGCTCTTCAATCACCTGGAGTCTATGCCCGGCGACCCTATTTTCGGCTTGATGTCGCTATATGCCAAAGATCCTGCGGAGAAGAAAGCGAGTCTTACTATTGGTGTTTATAGAGATGAAGATGGCAAGCCTTGGGTTTTGCCGACGGTTAAGAAGGTGAGTGGTGCGATTGAAGCTTTTTGTGACTTGGTTGGGGTTTCTTGAGTTGAGTCGTGGAGGATCGGCACTTTAGTGGTGAAGAGCATGAAAGTAGGGAGCAAGTATGGAGGCAGAGAATGATGGTGAAGATATGGACAGTGACGAGCTGTCAGATCGAATTCTTGCACTCGGCAGGCATTGATCTGACAGGACTTGTTCGTTGTTTGATGGCATACCAAAGGAGGGCCAAAATCAAGAAAACATGCTGACAGACATCAACGCACAGGTCGAGAAGATGATCGCAGAAGACGTGGCCACAAACCACGAATACCTGCCTATGGAAGGTCTCTTACCTNTTGTCGAATCAGCACGCGACCTTCTCTTCGGAAACCCTTCAGCCTCTCTAACTTCTCGCATTGGCTCTCTCCAAACCATCTCTGGAACTGGTGCTGTGCATTTGGGTGCTCGTTTCTTGAATGACAGTCTATCGCCCAAGCGCATCTGGGTCTCTGACCCTACTTGGGGCAACCACCACGCTATTTTCGACATTGCCGCCCCAAATGTCGAGCAAAAGATGTACCCCTACTACGATGCCGCAACCTGCAGTTTGAACTTTACAGGTATGATGGAAACACTCGAGCGAGATGCTCAACCCGGAGACTTGATCCTCCTTCACGCCTGCGCCCACAACCCCACCGGCATCGACCCTACCAAAGAACAATGGAAGCAAATCGCCGACCTCTGCGAACGCAAACACCTCTTCCCTTTCTTCGACTCTGCATACCAAGGCTTTGCTTCCGGCGATGTAGACGAAGATGCTTGGGCAGTCCGCCACTTTGTCTCTCGCGGAACCCTCGAACTCGTCGTCGCACAATCCTTTTCCAAGAATTTTGGATTGTATGGGCAACGCGTTGGTGCTTTCCACATTGTTGCTGCAGACGAGGGTGCTAGAGATAATGCATTGAGCCACCTTATCTATCTCCAACGTGCGGAAATCTCCAATCCTCCTGTTTACGGTGCTAGGATTGTTGCTTTTATCCTGCGCAACGAGGAACTCAAGCGCGAATGGGAGCAAGATTTGTTGATCATGAGTGGCCGTATTAAGACCATGCGAGCTTCCTTGTACGGAGAATTGCAAGCTCTCCGAACACCTGGAAACTGGGAACATATCGTTAATCAGAATGGTATGTTTTCGTACACTGGGTTGTCTGAGAAGCAGGTTTTGGCACTCAGAAAGGAACATATCTATCTTTTGACTTCGGGCAGAGCGTCGATTTCGGGATTGAACAGGGAGAATGTTGAGATGGTGGCACAGGCTATTGATAAGGTTGTCAGAGAGTCTGGAGATGCTCCTGCTCCTGCTGCGTAGAGTGGTGAGGTGAAAAGAGTTGAATGCTTTCACGAGGATTGAGATGAGAGGTTTGCGTGGGTTGTTTCTAGATTGAAACATAGATATATATATAGAGAGATTGTATCTACTACAATAAGCACATAGATTGATGGTTCAATGATTTATGCACAAATGAATTATGCCCATAGCAAACAGATATGCAAAGCTGTGCATAATATGCGGCTCTCCGCAAAAAAAACGACATGCGGGTTGTGACGTTCATGAACGTGAAAGACACTCGCAAAGCTGTGAACTGCTTTTCTACAAACACTCATACTCAACATCCACACATCGCCTTCACTTCAGACGTTTTGCACGTCTACCGATCAGTCTCTTCTACACCTGCTCGCTCAGGTACAATACCACAACCAGTAAATCTCACCTCTCCATCTCCACCCAAAAGAAAAAGACAAAAATTCAAAATGTCGATAAGAACAAAAAGCAAAGGTTAACACAGCAAAAAACCAGTGTCAACAGAAGTCGACCTCTACGAGATCCTGGAAATCTCGCGCTCGGCCTCAAAAACAGACATCAAANAAGCCTACCACAAAGCTGCGCGCATACACCACCCAGACAAAGTGCCCGAAGACCAACGCGCCGCAGCAGACGATCGCTTCAAAGACATCCAACAAGCCTACGAGATCCTCAGCGATGACTCCACCCGCGAAATGTACGACATGCACGGCATGGCCGCTTTCGAAAAGGGAAATCCTGGTGCTGGAGGTGCAGGACCCGATTTAGACGATATTCTGGCGCAGATGTTTGGGCAGGGGATGGGTGGGATGGGAGGAGGAGGTTTTGAGGGTATGGGGGAATGCCGGGGATGGGAGGGATGGGAGGTAGAGGACCCAGAAAGAGCAAGAATGAAGTTCAGGNAATATGAGGTTTCGTTGGAGGAACTGTACAAAGGCAAAACCACCCGCTTCGCCTCTACCAAAAACGTCATTTGCACGAATTGCGAGGGTAGTGGTGGTAAGGCCAATGCANAAGCCAAAGAAGTGTGGTACTTGCGATGGCAGAGGTGGGTTTCTTCCCTGTCCCTTTTCTCTCTGAGAGGTGTATACTGACATGTTCTTCTTTCTGCAGGCTCAAAAGTCGCCCTCCGCCCCGTAGGCCCCGGCCTCGTAACTCAAGAAACCGTCCCCTGCAGCACCTGCTCCGGCCGCGGCAGCTACTTCCCGGACGACAAAAAATGCAAANAGTGCAAAGGCGTGCGCACCACCTCCCAACGCAAAATCCTCGAACTCTACATTCCGCCAGGAAGCCGTCAAGGCGACAAGATCGTGCTCGCAGGAGAGGCAGACCAAGTCCCCGACCAAGAACCCGGCGACATCATTTTTGAGCTTGTGGAACAGCAACATGAGGTTTTCCATCGTGCGGGTGCGGATTTGCAGGCGGAGTTGAAAATTAGTCTCCAAGAGGCACTCACAGGGTTTAACAGAGTGGTGTTGAAACACCTTGATGGCAGAGGTGTTTCCATGCAAGTCTCCCAACCCTCAGGTCGCATTTTGCGCCCCGGCGAAATCCTCAAAATCTCCGGCGAGGGAATGCCCATCAAGCGCTCAGATGCTAAAGGCGATCTATACCTCATCGTGGATGTCGTGTTCCCTGAAGACGGCTGGCTCAAGGACGAAGCCACCATCAACAAAATCAGAGAGGTGTTGCCAAAGACTGGCGCTGAAAATATCTCGGCGGAAGAGGTGGATGAGGTTGACTTTGAGGTTGTCAAGGATATGGATGACTTTGGCGCTGGATCGGGAGACCCGAGGGCTGCTGAGTGGGAAGACGATTCAGAGGAAGAGGGAGAAGCTGCTCAATGCGCCCAGCAATAGACGCTAAGGAACGATCGAATGGAGGGAAGAAGAAAGGGAACGAATTCTGCTGTACAAAAAACGAATCGGTCAAGAAGACAGTATTCTAGAAAGATTGGGATGAGATAAGGCCATCTCTGCGCAGCTTGGGAGATTGCATCTATATTGGGCGTACAAAGGTGGTAAGGTCATGGTGATTCTCTCTCAGTCCTCTTCAGACTACCATTGAAATTCTCTCTGCTCAACTATTCCTTCATGAATATATCATTGCAACCACACCAAACATAACATAAACTCTACACTGCTGCACATGATCTCGAACATGAGGTAGACAAACCTCTCTGCCTCAGCTGCTAAAGCCACATCTACCCTAAACCCTCCCATCTCCACCAACAACCATTGGATTTCGGTCTGCAAATTCTCCATCGGTTCTGCGGTGGATGCGGCAGAGACTCAATGGTTGTCTCCTTTTGCTCGAGATGGCGTGAGGTCGGTTCAATTCATCCTCTCGCCGTTCAAGCCTTTCGCTTTTTGACATGATAAACAAATCTTCATGCTTTGATATACTGGAGTGGATGATGTTTGTTTTGTGTTGTGTGTTGTTAGACATCTGCTCTCGGGGCGTGCAAATCTGGGAGATATTGAGGATGTGGATTGGGTTATGTGATGGTATATATGTAGGTACCGATTAATTTGTTTTCGAAGACATCGTCCCATGCGTTCTTATTGTTTACTTGCGGCTCTGCGGCAGAGGCGGGGGAACGCATGGGACGATGTCTTGCTCTTGCTCTTGTGGTCGTGTTCAATCCGTACGCTTGTCGTGTTGTTTCGTTCTGAAGAGTCTGTTTCTGCCGGTGAGACTCGAGATGTTTGATGAGATGCTGGCCTGAAAAGGTCGATCATGTTTTAGACAGTGACCATATTCCTAGTAACCCCCTACGCGCACATTACCTTGCACTGTCCAGAAGTATTGCAGAGGTTGCGAGCTCAAGACAGCAAGTTTCTAAATCTTGGAGGCGATTGCCATAGTTGATAGTCACCCCTTTCACTCCCACCCACCCTCCCGATTCGCCCTATCAACCTCAGTCGTCATCCTCTCCATCCACCTCCTCACCAACTCTCCATTCTCATTCTTCAACTTTTCCTTGTCTCTTCCTACAGCATTCAACTCGACCGTCAGCGCCAATATCTCATCCTGCACTTCCTCGACCAGTTTTTTCTTTTCCTTGAGTTCGGCATCGCGGTCTTTGAGTTTGCGCTCTAGGGAGGAAAGTTGTTTGTGCACGGCGGTGAGCTGGGATGTTAAGGTTGCGTTGGAGGTGCTGAGGGTGCTTGTGGTGGTTTGGAGGGTGAGGAGTTGGGTGGCTAGAGAGGAGCGGGCGGATTGCGTTGTGCTGAGGTCTTGTCGCAAGCGAGTGATTTCGTCGTTGTTGGGTGAAATGCCAGAGGTAGATGTAGGGTTTGCGGAGATGGAAGTGGTGTTCTTGCGGTCGGCGAGACGAGTATCTGGGATATCGTTGTCAGTGGAGCTGAGCAGAGGTGAAGGAGGAAAGTGGATACACACANNGGCATCGATGTATGTTTTGTGTGTTGATTCACGTCTGTCGCAGGCATCGAGAGCCGCGAGGTAACGCGTGCTCCAGTCGGCCATTGTTCACATTCTTGTTGTTTGTATTAAGAAAGAGGATAAGAGATGGATGTGATGACGAGCAGGTCAAAGTTCTGACATGTGACAGTGCCAAGCTTTTACACCTCAGGCTGCACCTTCTAGGCGGCATTTGCCTATAACCTTCGATACATCCTCGTGCTCTTCGAGTTTAAAAGAGTTCTGGCCTTTTGGCTTTGGCGCTGCAGGCAGCAAGATAACTCTATTGCTGCTATCACAGCTCTGCTTGTCGACAGCCTCTTGAAACGCGCTCGTATGACGCAGTGACCCTACTCGCGACTATCGCTCAACACCATGAACCAGATATAAGTATCTTAGAAAAGTGCTGTGTCCTCTCAGCGACCATGAATTGAGTCGATTCCTGGTAGAGTACAATGTGAAGGCAAGTATGGCAAGATATGTCATAGATGAATCCTTCCGCGATGGTTCACCGGTAGTAAGGAAGGCTATGCTGGCACAGCCGTCATTCCCGATCTATTCCCTATAGCTAAGCCTCCCTCTCTGTTGTATCTATTTTATCCCCTCTCCGCACTCTTCATCATCCACATTGATATAATTCCTTCCCTGGATGTCACCATATCGCACAAATCTATCTACCAAGACATAACCCACCGCAAGACAATTCAGAAATCATGGGCAGACTATCCCACGACTCCTCCAGCCCGAGATCGTCCATCGACACCACTTTGAACGGCGAAGGCCTACCCCTCTACTCCGACATCACCGTAACCTCACCCAGCGCGCTCACCGCACCCAGTGAAAAAGCCACACCAGACGAGGTCCGCGAATTTCTCGTCCAACTGCTCACGCAAAACAGAGGATTGCATCCAGACCATGCGAGACGTGTAGCCGCAAAATGGACTCTAGGCACCGGTCGCGAATTAACTAGCTATCCACCCCAGCTGTACGCCGAAATCTTTGGATTGGAAGATGCCTGGATGGTATACAAAGAAGCCAAACTCTTCATCCGCACGGAANAGAAGAAGGGAAAGCCAAAAGATATTTGTAAGTACCAACCTTCTCTTGAGATTGCTCTTCTACCAAGTCGAGACCGTACTGATATGTTCTGGCAACAAACAGGGGTTGGTGTTGGAATCTTTGGCTTGATATTTGGCGCTGCAGCTCGACGTTTTTCTTGACCGACCTCGATGATCACACTGTCATAAAAATCATCTCAGCCTTTGTGAGCTTGGTGTCAGGGTTTATCTTTGCCTGTACCTTGCTCGTCGCCGTCTTTGACAATACGAGCGAGGAAACAAAGATCGAGAACGAGTTGACCAATGGCTTGAAGAAGAGCAAGGACTAGATGCAAGTTTTTATGTATACTGACCTTGAAACGAGAGTGGTTCGTCCGGTTTCTGTCCCCTTTTCTTGGCTGTTGTCAATTGACAATGGCGTTGATCTTGTGATGGCTTGTCGTAGGATTCTCCGCCAAGCTGGCGGTCTTGGTATACAACAAGCCCTGTTGAAGCACAGCCGTTTCTCTTCCTGTCGTCGCTTAGACGTGATCGACACGAGCATCACGGCGTGTCCGAATATGATCGTCGCTGTCACCGGCATCCCATCGCTTTTCTACGCTTCTATCCAGGCTGCCAGGCACAAGAAACTTGGGAAACTTCAATCAAGGCAACAAGGTGCAGCGAACACAAGGCCAGCAACAGTATAGATCTGAGGCAGTCAGTTAAACAGCGACCAACCACTGTCCTCTTCGAGACACAAGGCATAGGCATAGTATACCATGGGGGTACAGGCTGAAACACCACCAACCTGGAGGATGGGCTTGGTATTGGGATCTGCACAAGTTCAGCTGAACGATGGACGCAGCACAGCCGTTTGTCTGGGCAAAGCACTGCGAACGAGCACAGAATCCAAGGCTATAAGACTAGCACAAACTACCTCTGGTTTTGTCGTGCCGTCTCCCACAGAACAATCCCACACTCCTCGAAATCAACAAACAGGACATTCAGTCATTAGCCATGCGCGCTTTCAATACCGCCATCATCTCCACATTGCTCGTGGCCATGTCTCATCTAGCTCAATCTCAAGACTGCGATTTTGTCGACGACCAGGCCTGTTGCTACACCTCCACTGACAGCAACAGCGCTGTAGCGTACTGCTGCAACGGCTCCGTCAGAGGAAACTTTGGCAGCGGCTCTGATGATGCATCAGCCCTCAATGATCTCATCTGCTGTCAAGACGACGGCATCACAAACATCAATATCGGCTACGCTCGCACCACCTGTGTCGCTGGCTCTGCCACTCCTTTGACCGCTAAGGGAACTGCAGCAAGCACTGTTGCAGATGCTATTCAGAGTATCAGTGCGTCCAAGAGTGCGAGTAGAGAGTCGCTGTTTAGCTCCATTTCTGCTTCGACGGCAAGTGCTGCTGCTGCTTCCTCGGCCTCTGCCACAGGTACTGGTGCATCCAGCGCGATGGGTTCGTCTACCACTTCACCTGCTTCTTCTTCAAGCAGTGTTGCGAGATCTGCTTCTGGTTCTTCGGCCTCGGGTGCCGCGGCAGGTACAACATCCTCTGGTGCCTCGACAGCGGCTGCGACTACTTCTCCAACAAGCACTGGTGGTGTTGCTATGATGACCATGGATGCCTGGAATGTTGCAATGGCTGGCGGTGTTGCTTTTGTCGCAGCTGTGCTGTAGTAACGAAACTTTCATCTCGAGGTTGCACTCGTGGCAGCTCCACTGGATCTGGTTGTCATTGTTCGAGCTGCGAGCCGTTCTGTATTCAGCAAGAGGTGCCAGTCTGTCCTCGAAGTGGGGAGCTCGTGTTGTTTGTTCTTGGGTACGGCTTCAATGTGGAAGCTGACAGAGCTGAGAATTCAAGTTTCAGGTAGTCTGTGTATACTAGTTCTAATTTCGTCATGAGATGTTGTGTTCTGAGAAGCGTCTACTCGTGCTGACAATCGTAGTCGGCGAGGCTGCCTAAGGTTCCATGAAGCTTGACTTCAGGATTCCAGCTGGAATATGATGGTCAGATGACACTGCAGCGTAAATCTCGACAGCGCTGGACTGTATCTGGCGTGACTTGATCAAAGTCTATCCTTCGATTGTCGGAGAATTAAGCGTTCCTGCAGCGATGTTGTCGCTCTGCACCTGGTGTGGTGGTGTTCGGTGGTGTTCGTATTACAAAAAAGTATTGCCTACCTGCATGTCCTTCGCAATGTATCGAAAACCTGCTGTAAGCAGTATCTACATGTATACATTCATAGCTGAGAGAAGTAAGTGCTTACACCCATGGCCATATCAGGTAATGGGTAGCTGACTAGAGCAGGGTCGACCTCGCTCTGAACTGCGCAGAATATCGACTCTGTCGTGTCTCGGCATGATAGGAGATGGGCGCCAGCTGAGGAGACAGCGAAAGTAAACGAAGGAGGGTCAGTAACTTTTGAAGGATCTGGGGATCCTTCGCGTGAAACGTACCCCACCTTGTACCCCAGAAAGAGTGGGCAAAGGGAGCCGGATCTCGGGTTGCTCTTGGCAGTCCTCCGCCCTAACCTCTTTCTGCTGTAAAGTTCCGAGCTCCTGTCATCTTTCGTGTCGACCTTCGATATCTGCAGAGTTTGTCAACCTTGCCTTGCAAACAACGACCCGCACAAGTGCTAGTCTCGGCTCAGAAGACTCATGGTCAGGACTCCAGACTTCACACATGCTCTGACAGCGACCACTTGGTCCTAAGTTCGTCCGTATGCATATAATCGATAGAGCGATACGGAGCCTTTGCCAACTCTATACCGATTTCAGCTGTCATCGCGACTGAGAATGAACCAACAATAGCATACCTCTGAAGTCTTGCAAGTGGAGAAGTGGCTGGATATTGCATGAGTACCAACATGACCAATGACACTATCATGTTCAACCATCAAAGCTAGACTCTCACTACCAGTCACCTTTGGCACAGTACGACCGTAGGCGCCTGAGTGTATCTCAGCTCGGTCTTGCCATGGGCTATGCTTGCCATCCGAGTCTGTCGGCCATGGCCCTGAGCTGTCTTGTGGAAGCTGGACAGTCTAGACGACACGATCCAACCTGCTGAAGACTCCAGCTCTGTTCCCATCCGTGGTATATGGTCCTTGTTATGGATGGTTCTGGACTGGTGAGCAAGAGGTATAAAGTGGACCTCTGCCTCGTCGAAAAATGACCATCCAGCAACAAAATCTCAACTCAACAGCCTTCCAGCAAGACTTCTACCATCTTCATCATCTTTTCATTCAATATGCGCTCAGCCATCCTCATCGCCGGCCTTGCAGCTCTTGCTACAGCCTCTCCTACACCTCAGATCTTCGATTCTGACCAGCTTGCCGACCTACCTAGCCCTCCTATCACCGACGTTTCCTCCGGAGCTGGCAGTGAAATCATTCCTCTGGACACCAATGCGCTTGCAGCCAATGCTGTTTCTGACATCATCGCTGACCCATCTCCTGATCTTGATGCCAATATTCCAGCCGCCGTTGACACCTCGTCGCTCGAGAAACGTACCCCTGGCGATTGTGCGCTTCAACCCGTGGGTTACGGTCCTACTTCTCCTCAAGTCGCTGATGACCCGGCTTCGTTCCTGAGCTCGACTCTGCTTTCCGGTCCAGCATTGGCTGCCCCTAAGTGGGTCAATGGCTTTCATCAGACCTTCCAGAACAAACAGGCCAGTGTCAGCGGCTGTAGCTACCAGGGCTACAAGACTTACAAGACATACGATGTCTCTCAGGCTGCTGCTGATTGCAAGAACATTGCAGGCTGCAAGGGATTCAACATTTTCTATGAGCGCGATCCTACTAAGGTATGTCCTCTCAACCACGCTCACAACTAGATACTTACATATGATTNNCAGGACCCTGGTGCTAATTGTGTCAACCCACCCTCAACTACTTTAATCAAGGCATCATTCTGGGGTAACCTAATAAGCGAGAACTTGGCCACCAACAAGGGTCAATACCGCNAAAAATTCCAAGTTGTCATTGCCGGATCGAACGGCTACAACATCGATTCGTGCGAGACAGCCATTCAAGGTTGGACCCAGCAACAGCTCGGCAGTTGCACCATCAACGCGCCCTTGACTCCCTGCGCTAATGGCGCCGGTTCTTGGATCACCTACCAGAGCTTCTCGGACGGCAACATGGACAACGCCCGCTGCAAGGCTGCGTGTGACGCCCTCACGGCCAAGGACCCTAGCACTCCCTGCAACTTCTTCACTTCCTACATGCAGGTCCACGACAACAAGTGCGGAATCCAGTTCTGTAGCTTCTACCAGAGCGCCTGGGACAAGAGCTACTGCACTAACACTGGAGATCCCGTTAACCTCAACACCATCGCTTGGGCTTCATCTTTCACCAACAACGCCTGTGATGGCTCTGAGCTCTGCCCAGTCCCTTCCACTCATCTGTAGATTGATCGCCAACAGATGTTCAAAGGGATGTCGATGATCTGTGGGATTTTCCCTATTGATGTTTACTTGTGGGTTCTGTCTTGAGTTTCTGTCCTAGTCTTTGAGTGATTTCTGTTCTTGTTTTTCCTTTGTGTTTAACTTCTCACTTTGCTTCCAGTTTATGAAAGAGCTAGCAAGACAAAAAAAATGATTGTTTTTCAATAACCCTCTCGAAATTGATTTTTTCTTCCTCCCCGTGTGCTAAAGACAGTCAAAATCGAACTGACTTCTTCTCTATCCCGAGCTATAAGTGTAACGATAAGCTATCGCAACGCACAGTTTTGACTCGAATGGGAGTCTGACCATTGAGATAAGCTTAACTAGGGTTCTTAAAAGAGATCATAATCTTCGGATACCATCATCGGTTTCCGTCATCTTCTCTTGCATTGCCGTCAACATGCCACGACGTCGCACGAGCACCAAACTAGACGACGATCTGGAGAAGCTCGCAACAGACTTCTACAAGCTGATTTCAAAAAGGCCAATCATCGTAGGCTATGTCAACAGGAACACCGTCACTCGACTCTGTGACACTATCAAATCCAAGATGCCGACGTTCATGAAAATCCAACTCAACGAAGCACTGGCTTTGAAATCCGTTCAGGACTCTGTAATGCCCCCGAGACATACATATGCCCAGATGAGGGATACCAGTTACGAACAGAGACATAGTGTCCCCAGACCACAACAGCTGGCCGATCGCTACGAAGAGAAGAAAACGGCCGTTAACGACAAGGATGGCATATGTCCAGTTGAGGACTGCACCAAGCACCTTGTTGCCGATGACTCCGTTAGCCTACAAAGCAATGGGTCTATAGCACATCCCTATGCACTAAAGTATGTAACGCGTGTACCTATACAAATGCAGAATGGTAATAGAAAACAGAATAGTATCCACTAAGAGGCAACAAGTTGTCGACTCTCTGTGGACACGCTCTGTTTCTGATAACAATCGTGTCTTTCTATAGTGTAGATTTTGTTCTGAACTATAGTCGGAGTACGGAGAAGTTATAGATTTCAGTACACGGGGAGGGTGCATAGCAAGATCGCTCTACTACAACGACTAACTTACGCCAGCCGTCGCGCCGATTCCAGACCACTCAGAATCAGCGGAAAGGACCTTCTTGCATCCGATTAGGACAATTCTTGTGCTATCAACCAGTGTCCAAACGCTATTGTTGATGACGATGGAAAGTTGCATCGGAAATGGCACGCTAGTTAGAGGGATGGATCTGCAAGAGCCATAACTCTAACACCCTCTCGGACCTTCTCGCAGTTCGACCTCTCCGGGACGCATGTGCCGGCTGCGACACTAAAAGTAGTTCCGCGAATGCGTTGTCTGTGGAACGAGGCCTCGCACGAATGGCTTTGCGTGAATTGTTTGACCGGACACCAACCAGGCCGTGGATGGCACGCTTATTGAAGATCATAGTCTTCGCGAGGGTCTTGTGCATTTCCAGCTACAACTGTGACTGTCTTTCTCATTGTCTTAGACTTGCCACGAGGTGTCAAGTAGTCTTAGCAGTGTATGTCATACTTTCTTTAACAGCAAATGCTGACACACTGCACGAGTATCCTGCTTTTCTCGATGAATAGCCAACTTTGTCGAGCAAGTCAACAGGAAGCTCAAACAAGATTATTTCTTAGATTAAGCCGAGAAACGCACTATCAGGTTCTAACCTCAACTACGCAACATCCTCCCTTACCGCCGAGCACCAGATCGGACTCTTACTTCTGCACTCTCGACTTTGCAGCATCAGCCTGCAAGATCTCCGTGAGCTTATCCCTGGTAACACAGTTCTCAAACTTGAAACTAGCAGCTAGTTCATCAAGCTCTTGTTCGCTCTTTCCCTTGAACAATTCCGCAAACTCCAAGCTCAAGTAATCAGAAACCAAACACTCTCTAACGATTCTCTCAAACTGTCTTTCGATGTTCCAGTGATGAGGATACTTGGAGTCGTGCAAGTGCTCAGGAATCATTTTCTTAATGTCGGCAAGGAAAGGGTCGTAAGTCGAAGAAACACCGGTTTTGTCTACTACACCCCAGAAGTCGAGACCGAGTTTTTGCTTCTTGGCCACGAAGGATTTTATCAATTGCATGTAGGGGNNGGATGAACGTGAGACGTGGACCATGCCTTGGTAACCGATGTCTTTGTACAGCCAAATGGTCCAGTGGATCTGTGACTCGGCATAGATGTTGAGTTGCTCCTTGAGTACACCGAATCTGCTGATGTTTGTCTTGTCGGCTTCGGGATCAACACTGGGGTCTGCATATACAGGGCCAAATTCGCCGTTCCAGAGCGGAACATTGTGTTCGCGCGAGAACTCTGCTTTGCGGTTAAACTGGCGGCGCAACTTGGCATTCTGCTCTTCGGTGCCAGTGTAGGGATCTTGACCTGGAATTGGGAAGCCCATGTTTGCGTAGTCGTGGCAGGCGTAGACGGTATTTGGCATGATCCGCGTGAAGTGGCTGAAGTCCATAGCGTATGTGTTGCCATCCACCCAGAGAATGTGGTCGGGATCAACCTCTCTGATGGCCTTTTCCATTCTATCGTACCAAGCAACCAAGCGGGTATGCTTGGGGTCTGCAGGCTCATTCAGAGGGTTGTAGCCCGCAATGACGGGGTTGCCAACGTAGTGTTTGGCGATATGCACCCATAGATCGATCATCTGATCTTGGAAGATTCTGAAGTCCCAAAACAGAGCCTTGCCAATACCGCTATCGCAATGCCAATCCTGGTTCTGGCCACCAGGGACAGCGTGCAGATCGAGAATAACGTATAGGTTGTGACGGCCACAGATGTCCACGATGTTATCCAACAACTTGAAGCCCGAATCTTTGTACACAGATGGGTTGTCATCATCAATGAAGTGACGGTAGTTGAAGGGAATACGAATGCAGTTGAGACCCNNTGAATAAGGGATTAGTTCTTGTGCGCAGATGACTTCTTCGAGGTACGGCAAGATTATACACACCAGGCTTTGGAAGTACGCGGCGTCCGCGTCCGTGAAGAAGTAGTGGATCAAGCGGTCAAAGAAGTATTGAGCCTTTTCCTTGCCCAAGACCTCAGCCATGGCGGCTCTGTGCTCGTGTTCATGTCCAGGATAGCCAGTGATAAAGTTCTCGAAATTCAGGTGGCCGCCTAGTCCGGCACCTTTCAGAATCACTTTCGAGCCTGAGGCATCGACAATGTCAGCACCCTCAACGTGTAGCATAGAGCATGGTGGGTTAGAGAACTGAGTTGCGTTCGACTGTTCAGTGGAAGTGTTGTCAGCGTGGGGAGCCATTTTGCTATCTGGAAGAGGGAGCGGACGTGCAAGAACTGCAGAGAACTGAGGGGTCAACAGAGACGTTGGCCGATGATATATGCTACACGAAAGCAGCATAATTGCCTATATCTAGACAATATTTCTTGGAACCATAACCCAAGACGCTTTTAGCCGCCAGAGTGTTTATCCAGCATGTGATCGTGGGGTAAATGGTTGGAGGCCCCGCATTCTGATGGAGTGTCGGTCCGGGAAGCAGAAATGAAACGAACCAACACCTCGGATCTCAAACAGTGCATCGACCTAAGCCGGTCATTTTGTTACAGTAGACTCCGAACCCCATGAGCTTNNGGAGTCCCGAATGAGGGTACTGGGTATCTCAATCACATCGCCTCTGGGCGAATGAACCGTCTCGAGATCGTAAGTGTTGTATGAGAATTCCGTCAGTCCTTTCGGTCTGCCGATTCCGGCTGCTTTCACGGTTGGCAAGGGTTGGTCTTCTGGGTGGTTCAAAAGTGCCCTGAGTTTGTGAACTGCAGCGACGAAGAAGGGTTTGATAGCGGGTGCACAACCAGCAATGATACCAAGGAAGATCTCGAGATCACAATACAGTGCTCCCCTACCAAGACCCCAAACTCGATCTGGTCTGGTAGTCCAATAAGGTATGTAAGGCACTCGAACCAATGCGACTGTGGTAGCCAGCAGGCCTAGGCTCAGTAGCAGCCATGCCATGATTTTCTTTTGAAGGTCCATGCATGAGTTCCAGAAGATGATGGCCGGGATGATGACGTTTAGCAGATCAGCCATGGACATGACTATCGTGAGTAGGTATATCAGAGCTTCGATAGTGCTCTCGCTAAAACAGGTCCCCTCCTTGGGATATTCCGGAAAATCGTAAAAATGCCGCCAGTAGGCAGAATACGGCCTACACATTGTCATAAAGACCACAAAGGCTACGGTTGTTGAGGCAATGTTGAATGCGACCATTAGATAGATGGTTTGTCGCATGCGTGATCCGACAGCGAATCTGAGGAGGGTCAAACAGAGACTACATCTCAGTGGACCAAGCGCAATGCAGTAGAAGAACTCGAACAAACTGACGTANCTATGCATCTCTCTTAGATCAGCTTCTTTCACGAGACTCTCAGTGAAACTAACCATTGTCGCTTCTACGATCTGACTTGGACTTAGTCGGTCATCTCTGGTGCCCAAGCCTTTCGAGACGGACATCAGAGCACATACAGAACATGGTATGAAGAGNAAGCTGAGCCGAAGTCAACGACGAGGTCATCCGAAGAGCTCGTACACCAGACTCACCTCGGTCAGGATCATGACAGAGTCATCCACCTGAAATGATTTCCTTCTTCGTCGTCCGACGATCCTCAACACTACCACAAAGAGCGACAGTATCAAACAGACTAGAATTACACCAAACAGCCAAAGGTTGACTGGTTGATTCATCTGGGGCGATGGGTGCAAAGTCGAATGGATACCTCAAAAGGCTTACCTTTGGCGTCGAGGGCGGTATTGATTATGTATTCAAGGAGCTGACGGGCGGCACTCCCTAGCCCTGCACACTCGTCTCGTTTGAGATGCGTCCGTTGTTACCGTTGGATGGCAATGTTAGCGCCAGTCTCGGAATGCGTCTCATCCTTCCTCTCTTGGACATATTCAAGCAATTGGAGACGGTGACGCATGGTGCCGGTCAGAAATACAGCTTCTGTGGCCTCGACGAGTTGGAGGTACGATATGGACAAATCGTTAGATTTGTGGCATTGCTGTGGTATAAGCTGCGCGAGTAGCAGACTCCACAACAAAGCAAAACAAGTATATGGAGGAGTTGCGTTGTGTCGGGTGGCTGTCCTCATTGGATCTTGGTGGAGAAACTGATTGGCCCAAAATCAAGTCTTCCGTGTCACAAGACTGGCGTAAAGGATTTGGTACGGACGATTGTCCTAGCAGTCCAGATTACCGATCTTGGTAGTTACTTCAGAAAAACGATGTCTAGTCACGATCTTACGTTCACTTGAGCCTCTAAGAAGAGCCTCAGATTACCGAAGTGGCGCAATGTCCCACAACCGTAGATGGTAACGGTCAACATCTGAACCGGTGCTCTGCGACATGATGCGAGGTCCTTCCCGTTTGTCTCGGCCGGAGGCTCTATCCCAGCGGCAAAGCTGCGGTACTTTTGGAGAGAAGATGAGAGCCTCCCCACAGTTCTTCCGCCAACTCGGTCCGAGTGACAAGGTCCTTAACATTCTCCTGATTTTTTCTTTCGATCAGATAATGTTTTAATCAAGATGGTTAAGTACGTTTTGGTAGGTTTGTACAGCTACAAAGATCAACGACCCTATCAGGCGTAGCAACTTCTTTTGTGAATAACCCTCGGATCATTTACCCGCGATCACCGCAGCGGGGTTTGGGGAATATCACCTCCTAACCACTGATCTTGCTAGCGAGGTGTAGTGATATGTAAAAAACATCGGTTTTAGCAGGGAAATGGCGTTTGATGCACGTAGCAGAGAACACGGCTCGGGGAGGCCTCGGATATGAGCTGCGTCGTCAGCCCGTATCAAATTCCCCTATATCAATACGCGTACCTCCTTGCGAGCTGTAAGCAAGCAAGCAATATTTGAACTGGCAGGCCACCCTGGACTCATTTACGATCGCTGCTTCTGCCTCCAACGCTTTTGTGTTCCAGCGATCAACATGGCTGCTTCTCAGGGTTAGAATACCATGCAGGCCTGCTTGCTCCTTGATTTCCACCTGGTTCCACGGCCTTGTACACGAATAAACCGATCCGCACAGCACGGCGAGAACCTCACCTCCCCTTGCCCAACATGATGCGCCTCACCCGCCGAAGCAGTGTGACGCCGCGCCATGTCATCATGCTCGCCCTCGCGATGCTCATCGTCTACGCCTTCTTCTCCACTACGCATGTCCGCTTCGAAGACGGCAGCGTTGCCATCAATCTACGAGAGCATCCAAACCTCAATCCACTATCATCAGAACCGGCGGACCAGAAACCGGCAGAGGAGGCGCTGGCAGTAGAAGTAACGGCAGTGTACAAGTTTAATGCGAAAAATGACCTCATGATCAAGAGTCGGAGTAACCCATCAGGAGATGCAAACCGCATAGATAGCATGGCTCTTACCGAGAGACTCTTCAATCCAGCAATTCTGGAACTGCCAACAGGCAGCCAGCACGACTTCCTGATCATCGCACGGATAGCCCACATCCCAGACACGATAGATGGGAAAGAGTACAGTCGTGGCAGAGAGCTCGCTTTCTTTGCCAACCTGGAGCATGATGATAAAGGTGCACCCGTCATACGGCGAAGTGGAGAGTGGAACAGAACGATAATGGAAGGGGAAGGGTACTTGGGCCCGGAGCACCACTGTGAGAGCGAGGATGCCATGGACAAGTACATCGGGCCTGAAGATGCGAAGCTCTACTGGATGCACACCGGCGCCCCGATCCTCATGTTCACCCATCAGGTGCCGTATAAGGGAGAGTGTCAAGGCATGTTCATGATCGACGCACGCGCCGCAGTGCCAGAGCTCATCGCCGCTTTCGGCTCGCATGCGAGCTCGCTGCCCAAGATCGAGATCTCAAAGCCTCGGCAGGTACGCAGACCACGACAGGAGGTCAAGGAGACGAGCTGGAGCTATCGCTTCGAGCGCGAAAGAACTGGGTCCCGTTCCAGCACCCACCGCTCACCGACGACCCCGACACCACGAACACGAACGACCTGTTCTTCCACGTCCAGCCGGAGTCGCCGCGCATATACCGCTTCATACCCGGCCAGAAGTACGTCGCCGGTATCACAGAGCCGCCGACGTCGCAGACCTGCCTAAAGGATAATGTCGCCGAAGGGCTGCACCAGGGCACGCCGCTGCTGTCGCTAACGCTCTGCAAGCGTGGCGAGTGCGCGCCTGACAAGCACAACACCATCTTGATCGGGCTTGTGCAGAGGAGACAGACATCCCCTTACACATGGTACGACAGCCGGATCGTGACGTGGAACGCAACCGCACCGTTCGCGTTCCGCTCCGTTAGCAAGCGCGTCATCTACCAGGGCACCCAGGAGCAGCAGTACAACTGGAACTGCGGTCTCATCTACCACTGGAACAGCACGGGGATACCGCAGAACAGGAGCCACGGGTACCTCGACGACGGGATGTGGGTTACGTACGGCGTCACTGACCGCGAGGCCGGCTGGGTCGACGTGATGCCCGAGGACCTGCTGAAGGAGCACATGATGTGCGGCCAGTAGAGTGCGACGGCATGTCAGCACCAGTCTATCAGTTTGCTCTTCTTTGACATGTTTGGCGCATGCAGGCGAGTCTTTGCATAGCACGGCGTTTTGGCGGGACTATCAGCGGCCGACCCTCGCAAAGCGCGAGGCGGCCTCGCTATGTACACATTAGCAGGCATTTTTCACGACATAGGTACAGCCATTACATAATCTGGACATGAACGAACTTTTCGGTCTTCGTCCTGATGAGAAACTCGGAGCATCGTTCTCCGGGACACGTCTGGAGAAGATGTGAGCTCCCCACAATTCTTCCGCCAATTCGGGACATTTATCCGCCGATTACTACGGCGGGGTTTGTGAACATCACCTTTCAGATCTTGCCAACAAGGTGCAGTGAGGGGCTCGTGAGGATCTCGTACAAGTACAACCTCATCGTGCTCGCGGCAAGAACCATATTTTGCGGGAATGCAACCTCATGTCATCATGAGATCGACCGCCGAGCACAACTGCTGCAAGAAAGCCCTAAGGTGATGGAGTATAAAGAATGTGCTTTTGTTCCCCACGTTCTCCTCTCAAGGAGAACAGCATTTTAGCAAACATGATTCTATCGACCTGGACTTCTGTTCTGGCGGCAGCTATAATTGCACCTGCCCTCATCTCCGCCACGCCTCATGGATTGCATCCACCTTCTACAGGTCAAGGCATTGCTGCCGATGACTTCGTCTCAGTCGATGGCTTCAACCTCAAAGACCGTCAAGGGATTATCTATCTCACCGGCATGAACTACTGGTCTTGCATGAATCTAGCGGCCGACGACCATGTAGGAGGCAACTACTCACGCTTCATCACCGAACTAGATCAGATGCAAGCTCATGGCGTCAATCATCTGCGTATCATGGCATCTTCTGAAGGCGCCCCGACTTGGCAGCCTTTTAGGATGTATCCCGCTCTGCAGGAGGCGCCTGGTGCCTACAACGAAGCTATTTTCGTTGGCTTGGATCGCTGCTTGGATGAGATGGGCAAGCGAGGTATGAGGGCCACCATGACTCTTGCGAACGAGTGGCAATGGTCTGGCGGCTTTGCGCAATACGTTAGCTGGTCGACAAACGATAGTCAGATCCCGTATCCCTCGTCATGGAACTTGACCGCACCACCACAACGCTCGACCCCTGGCACTGGATGGGGCAACTACACAATCGAGGGCGTGAACGCTGCTCCCTACAACAACTTTACCGCCTATGCGAATCGCTTCTATACCAACTCGCAGTGTCAGGAGTGGTATCAAGCACACATCTCCAAGGTTCTCAACCGCGTAAATACAGTCAACGGCCGCGTCTACAAAGAAGATGCAACAGTGATGACATGGCAACTCGCCAACGAACCTCAACCCGCTGTCGTTCCAACCGAATACCTCGGTCCCTACTCTCTTGAACTCCCACCCGCGCCAGAAGACCCCGTGATCTCATGGGTCAAGAACAGCAGCGCCTACATCAAATCTCTGGCTCCCAATCAACTCGTCAACGTCGGTTTTGAAGGCAAGCAAGGAAAATGGTACTACCAAGCCGTTCACAACTTCTCCACCGTCGATTACGCAACAACCCACTGCTGGGTACAGAATTGGGGTGTTTATGATATGCTAAACTCATCTTCTGCAAACCTTGAAGCTGCAAAGAATTTCGCTACTGCTTTTGTGGCTAATTCTAGTGAATGGAGTAAGGAGATTAACAAACCTGTCTTCTTGGAGGAGTTTGGTATGGCTAGGGATAATTGGGAGAATGTGGGAAAAGAATACTTGTATCTGAGTTCGGCTGGAACTAGCAACAAGGATGAGTATTTCAATGTAAGTCTCATGCACTTCAGTCACCAATCAGTCACTAACAAAGGTCACAGANCCATCATCGGAGCCGCCATGGATGACTTCAAGTCTCAGAATGGCTCATACGTCGGTACTTGTCCTTGGGCGTATGGCGGTCTATACCGTCCAGAGACACAGCATATGAACGCATTCGGTGAGGTATGGGCTGGCGATCCTCCCCACGAGGCTCCTGGCTGGTACGATTTGTACGACACGGATGAGGCTATGGGCATCGTGTATCGCCAACAGCAAGACATTGCCAACTTCTTGGGCAAAAAACCCTAGACACAACTCGATGAGCTTGTATGACATAGGATTGTATGATGAATGACAGCAATATTCAAAGTGACAGGCAGAAGCGATTTCCACATGCAAGTGCAAACATCTAGGCTCTAGCTCCTTCCACTTTCACAGTCACGTTTAGATCCACTCAAGGCCTATTTAATCCAGCCATCCCCATCTTTTTATTTTCTCATCGAGAACCATGGGGTGGCAAGACCACAGATCTGGTACGACTCAACGACGAATATGGTCGAGTGGTTGGTGGTAAAACCCATTCTGGTGAAGAGCTCGCTCAGGCAACACAACGGGCTCTCAGCAGGTATACGTACCTTGAATCAGCCACAACGACCCCAAGCAAGGAGAGGAGGTCACTGACCCCAGCATCTCTCTCGCACTCCCAAGTCTGCTGGTTTCTTGCTGCATAACTTCAGTATCTGTAAACGTCGTACATGCTTTTGCGCAGTCACAGACCTGGTTCGCTGATGTCGGAAGATGGGCCCGTCAGGTTCAGTGGCTTCCCTGAGAGATGACGAAGGTGTCTCGTGCATCTCGGTCATGTTGACAGACAATTGCCCTCTCAAAGAAAGAGAGGTATGATAGGTGAGGGGATAGATAGGTAAAAGGTCACTGGCATTACAACCAGAACACCCTACGTGCTATTAGTATGCGACAACGATGTATAAGTATTCCTCGCCAACTAGTGACCATTGCACTCACTCGCAGGACTTGTGGAACCAGCAATACTATAAAACACTACCATCACCTATCATCTAGGAGATTGGCAGACCACGACCAATCCGTTCTTCGCCATCGTTCTTGTCTTTTCCTGATTTAGAAGACCTCTACGATTGGCAATGCATGCGAGTGTTTCTGGCTTGCCGCAGCTACTGTGGCCCCAAGGAAGGGAAGGAGGTCACTGACTCTGCGACTTCTCTCACACATCCCAAGTTCCTTAACCCATCCCTGCAGTCCTTCAAGCCTCAGAATGCAGTTCATACTTCTGCAAACGTCACAGACCTGATTCGTCACTGCCCCTGCCTACCTCTTGACATTGAGAGCGAGACTATGTGCCCTCACGATGTGTGCGGCCCCTCCACGACCTCCACGGTCACCGCGGCACCACTTGGTACCATCTAGCAGCCATCTCCTCGTGATGCAGTAAAGGGGAGAAACAAAGAAGGAAAGAAGCGTTTATATAGAACGAAAAGCGAAGGAGACAAGATGCAAACAAGGCAAGTGCTTATTACACTTCGTCACACGCAAAGACTTACTAGAACCACTGACGAAGAATGCAGTACTTACAGAGATCCCTAACCCAGAAGCAGAATAGTACAAACTTGCAAACTGCCAATAAATGGGCCAAGAAAGAATAAAGTCAGCTGCTTTTCCATCCGACACAGCGATGCCCATGCCAGCAAGAATGGCGGCGGCAAAGACCCCCGATCGCGACTTTCATTTCATTCTAGCGAATGTGGAAGATATGACAGCCCAAGGTAGGGTAGGGAGGTCAGTGACTGCTACACTTCTCTCCTGCTTAATCTCCCATTCCTCGATCCCCTCTGTGAACTACTTCAAACCTTAAATCTCGAAAACTCGATACACACACCTCCGAAAGCTCACAGACCTAGTCAAAACACTACCCCTGTTCTAGGGTGTGAACATCCCTGTCGAATAGTAGTAACAAAGGCAGATCAAAACCATCGTAATCCATAACAACTCTGGCACAAGTTAGTTAGAGCAATCGGGTCAGTGATCACTGATCTATCTCTTCTGGTCCCCTGTTTGTTATCGAGATGTTGTGTATGGATCCTTAGTAAGGGATCATGGGAGAGGAATTGAGGATTATGGACCTGATGTTCTATGTCTGGTGCTGCCGAGTTCCAGGGTTGACACGGAGTCGGGATAGATTGCAAGCTTCTGGCAGTCATTGTAAAGATACGCATCTTTCACCTGCACTAGCCCTAGCTTCGAGCTTCTCAACAGCACTCACTGCATCGAGTCTGGAGGCAGTGATGGCGTGGGCTGTCGATATCGCACCATCCAAGCTTTCCTTCTGCACCGGGAGTGTCTTCAGCTTTTTGATCGTGATCCTGTTATTTGTGTTGACCGACTGACATGAATTCTACTTTTTATAGTCTTGCTCGATTGTTCAGTGATATGCTACTATACATGAATGTAACCAAAGGTCTAAGCTCTTCTTACCCCTCCTCAGAGCCGTGCTCTACAACAGATATGTCCCCTCAATCCCTTCTTCCTTTTTCTTTGCCGACCAAACTTCGAGCTGTAGGACACAGCCAAATCAAAGGCCACTCCTTCTCATCACTAGCTTCCTTGGCAAGGATATTCTCAATCTGCTTGACTACAGTCCTGTTACTCGTAACAGTGGTGATGCCTCCCGCCCAACCGTGCAAAAACACACTCTGGTTGATAGACGTCAACTGCTCCTTGACCGCTGTAGCCGAAAGCGGCAATGTCGTAGGTGTGTCTTCAGGAACCTGTGTCGTAATTGGTAATCTCAGCGATTCAGGAACTTCAAACCTCGACTGCTTTTCCAGCTCTTGTCGCAGATCTGTGGCTGACAAACCAGTATCCCCCATAAATAGTTTGGTGCGTTGTTTTTCGCCAGCAGTGCCTATAGTATCCACGATTTCTCGCATGCGGCGGGCTGCCTCGTCCGTACATACCAAGTTCCTGTTTGCCAGTGCTGGGTAAAGCAAATTGGGGAGCAAGTTTTCCTCGTCTTCGATTTCGACTTGGCGTTTTAGGGCGCGGTGGAACCAGGGTTCGGCGCTGACGGAGCAGTGGCTGAAGTCACTGACGAGGGCGAGGAGGATTGTGCAGTCGATGTTTAGGGAAGGGGTGAAGGAGGCGAAGGGGTCGGTGAGGAGGTGGGGCATCACTGAGGAAAAGGGGATGGGGTTGTAGGCTGAGGATGAGGTANNCTGTTGGTTGTGGTTAGTGATTGAGTGTCTTGGGATTGCCTTTTGAGGTTTTGTCGAGACTTACAACAATTGGACACCCAAAGCGCGCAATTGATCCAATATGCGGTCAATCTCGACCACTTCACCCTCCCTCAATTTGGGCAAGACCAAGGTAATCTTTGGAGATCTGGTTCTTATCTTGACTTCCTTGGCCGCTCTGACCAAATCCTTGGTCATCTTGACCAAGGGCACATCATCTTCATCTTCCTTTTCCTTTACGTCTTCTTTGCCATGTCCATCCTCGTCTTCCTCTTCCTCGCTGCTGGACGCATCCTCCCAGCCCAACTTTGCCTTATCAAACAACAGTCTATTGTTGGTGAGCAAACTGACTTTGAACCATTCCAACCCATCTCCCGCAACCACATCCACAAGCGCCGAATTCTGTTTCTTCTGTCCCCGTTTCTGTCCCTTTTCCTGCCAGTAGAATCTTTTTTGCATAGCTTGTAGACCAGTATTATTCTTCACCACACCCCACACCGCCTCCAAAAACGGCAAATTGGAAGAGTTGACAGTGTGTTGTGTTGTATTTTGTACATCGTCGTTGGAGGAAGAGGCGTCATTGGAGGTAGAAGCGGCCAGACGTTGCAAAGTTCGCAATTCAGACTTTACAGTGTTGCGGAAGTGAGCGATTTCGACTTGGTGGTCTTGTTTGCGGGACTTGAGGTATTCCTTGAAGGTTTCGAGTTCGGAGAGGAGGGATTGGCAGCGAGTGAGGAGGTCGGAGGCGGTGGGTGGAGCCTGGGAGTGGTGGCCATTGGTGTGTGATTCTGCCATACTTGCTTCAACTCAATCTTGTACTGAAAAGAAGAAGCAAAGTAAAAGGTCGCGTGTCTGTCTTGAACAAAACAGAGAAACAAAAACAGTCATAAGAAGGCCCTTGGAAGCCTGACGAGCGAAGCATGACGAATGTTTAGGCGAAGCATGTGCAACGTGCGAGTCATGACACCCCTGCGGTGTGGGATGCGGCGTGTCAGTTGCAAGCACCGCACGACTTGGGCCTGCTGCGACTTGCGACAGCAACGTTACACGCGACATCTCATCTCATCAATCACATCACACACAACTCACAATGCCATATTTCACATCCAGCGAAGAGTGGCAGCGCCAATCCGCTCTGCTCTTGCAAGCCCGCCCAACCACCGTACGTGCCCATCCCCAGCCTCCATCATCTCCACCGATGGCACTATACTAGACCTCTACTTCCTCCAAAGAGATCCTCACTAACCTCCTCTGCAGANCCCGCATAACAACAAAATACCACATCCCCAGCGCCTCCTCCATCTCTCCAAAACCCACAATAGATGCTTCCACTCCCTCAGAACCCAAACAACCCATCGCCGTCCTCGAGCTAAAAACCTACGACCCGGTCTCTGGCACAACGCTAAAATACAAGACCGACAAGGCTGCAGAGGTGGGTAGATTGGTTGCCGCAATGGGAACGTTGGGAAGGGAGATGGCTGCATTGCCAGAGTTGAAGCAAGATGTTAGCATGGTGGATGCGCCAGCGGTTGAGGGAACAGAGACGCCGGTGGAAGCTGTTGCTGCTGCACCGCAAGCANCAGCAAAATACAGCGGCTAAGAAAAGAAGAAGGGAAAGAAGTGAGAGATCTTGGTTCATGGCATCTGGAGAGGGTTCGAACAGATTGTACAAAGCGAGGGAAAATGGCTTTTGCTGGCATATCACGGCTGGGCTGGAAAACGAACATGCATATCACGGAAAAAGAAAGGAAAGGGGATGCGAAGAATATGTCTTTTGATACCCTTCTTCGGAGAAATGGTTACGCTGTAAAGAATGTACAAGAATAAGTGGGCAATGTCATTTCAAAGGTGTCATGTGTCGTATGTGTGTCCTCTGCCTCTGCTTCGTGCAGCAACGAGACGAATGCTGTATGTAGTCGTGTTGCTGAACAACTACGCAATGTAGCTGTACATGTTGCCCTCCTCACGCTCCATGTAGTCCTTTTCGATAAGCCTGTTGAGTTTGTCAGTGAAAACAGGTTTCCCATATCAAGAAAGATACACTCACCTGTCGATGTTCTTCTTGATGTCCTTGACATCCAACACGCCTCTGCTCCTCGTTGCCTTGATGACTTCTGCGATCAGCTCCGAATGGCCAATTGTCTTTCTCGCCTTCATCACTCTGACCACAGCAGCCTGGCATTCAAAGTTTCGGTCCTCGGCAACACGTTCGTGCGTCTCCTTGTTTTCTTCCTTGGTCTCCTTGAGTTGCACTTGGTTGATCTTAACTCGGTACTTGTCGTGCCAGAAGCTTGTATCGACTGTGAAAGTGTCCGTCGGCGAAATCTCTCTGCCCTTGGGGTGCTTCTGCAGTGGTCGAAGTTTTGCACAAGCCAGAGATTGAAGGGTACGATTGACCTCTGCCTCTGGAAGTCCTGATTCTGACTTGATAAAGTCGTAAGTCAGATGTTGAGATGGCTCGACGTTATTAAAAAGCAACAAGATGATGGCTTGGAAAGATGAAACCACCAGCTCTTTTGTGCCCTTGACAAACTTGGCTTTCATCTGACAGTGAGCGAGCGAGTGTTTCCAGTCAAGCTTACGCCCACTATGCTTGGACTTGTAGTGGCGTTCGTACTCATCGATAGCCGTCTGGATGTCTGCAGGGATCATAACAGGTACAGCGGGGTAAGTTGGCCATGCTGCTGCCGAAAGTACGTTCACGTTGAGATCAATCTTTGGTCGTTCGTCCCGTTCTTCCATTCGTGATTTGTACGAAGACATCTCTTCACGGGCGAGCTCAACGTCCTTAAACATCTGCTCGAGGTTGTGTGTAAATTCCGCACCGCACTCAGTCTTTAGACGGGCGAGCATACTTCGTTCAGCGTCCGCACTGGCTGAACGACCCATGAGTAGTCGACGTGCAAGATCCTTNTTGTAGAATGCTTCGAACACAGCCTTGCCATGGACGAATCTGAACAGGTCCAGAACTTGATCGAGTTGTGCATTGACTTCACTGTCTTCATCCATGGCCTCGTTGTCGTCATACTCTTCCTTTCCAGCATTGTCACGGGCATGTAGGGTAAGGTCTGTCGGAATAGCTTTGGCACCTCCACGTAGCAATTGATCAACATACTTGGCAATCATCTCTCCTGTCTTGGAGTTGTCAGTACCATGTGTCGCAGCAGACTTCTTGGTCTTGTTGATAAAGGTCTCGAAAGATTCGCGCAAAGCATGTCCAAGCTCCTCACTACGATGGAAGGAGGTGCGCCAGATATTGTCCAGACGTGTCTTGAGTGACAGCAAACGCACAACCATCTGTGCATCATTCTTGTCGTCGAATACAATCTGGGTACCTGTGTCGTCGACCCAGCGCTCGAATGCAGGTCGGATTTTTGAGCCGAGTCGACGTCTTTGCAGCAATCCGTATAGTTGTCCCAGGTCCTTGACTGCGTAGTCGTCCAGAAGATCTGCAACACTGTCCTGGTTTGTCAAATAATCAACCTTGTTTTCGATGATGTGTTCCTCGAGCAAAGCCAACAGGTCCCGCCGAGTACTTTGGTCCAAGCCGAAGAACTCACAACGGTCAATCTCCTTTGTCATAAAGTTGGCAGCGTTGTTGACATATTCAGGAAGTGACTGCTCGGCACTCTTCTCGTCGGCCCATTGTACGACATACTGTTGAGTAAAGGCGAGCATACGAGGTTCAAATGAGGTGGAGTATGTAGCGAGATCGTGGAACATGGATATGGCTTGTCTGAGATGGCTTCTTTCCAGATCCTTACCATCTCTGTCGGCGGAAATCAAGTCGCAGGCACCATCAATTATGCCAGGCTTCAGGGTGGCGTCTTCAAAGATGTTGTCGCGGAAGATTTTGAGGGTGACGTCCTGCAGGGAACCTCTAGAAGTCTGCAGAAGATATGAACGATCCATGTAGTAGAAGATGCAGCGAACCGTGTGCATTTGCTGATTCCAGGTATTCCAAGCACTGAGAACGTCATCCAGGACCTGAACGTTAGACTGCCTTTGCTTGGACAGTAACGATGTCTTCATAGTCCCCNNCCTCACATATTGCTTGCACCTGTGGCTAAGTCTGGCGTAGATTTCCTCTGCTTTTTTCTGACGACACAAGTTTTCGACACCACGGTATAGCTCTTCCATGGAGAAGTTGACAGGAGCTTGTGTAAAGATGACGTTTAGTGCCTGATCCAGCTGTGCCCATGTTTCCTCGAAGTACTTGTTTGCATCCCAAGCTGGCTGTGGCTTTAGCGTCTTGACTACGAGTTTCGTGGAGCCATTCTTCGGTGTGAAGCCCTTGTTGAGCTTGCCAGAAAGTCGACGGTTGGTGTTGATGGACGGCGGGGTGGCAGTGGCGAGCTTGGTGGAGAAGGAATACATTTCTGACTGCATCTGGACTGGCTGTGTTTTGGGTTTCTTGCGGTTGGGCGAGGAGTCGATGGGGTTTGGTTGGGAAGCACCAGCTGAGGCTTGTGCAGAGAACAGATTCTGGATTGATGGCTTTCTGGCGAGTGAAGGTAGTGGCTGTGAGGCGGAAGCTGTTCCTGCTGAGGCTGCTGAGGGTCTCTTCCGCTTTCTGGCTGGAGGGTGAGGTGGAGATGAATCTGGTGAACGCTCTCCAGCCGGCAGGGATGATTTGGATGGTCGCATCGGGACAAGAAGTGCAAGTGTCGTAGTAGTGAGATGCGCCAGCTTCCTAGACTGTTTAGACTCCGCTCGGCGATAAGCTTTCCATGACGCGCTGTCAACCTCCGCCTGTCCTTGCCGTTCCGTCTACCGCCTGCCGNNATGATATGCCGATGTCAGGGTCGCCCTTAAACACAACACTTCTCTTTGTTCATTGTGAGTTATCAAGACAATAAACATCTGTGATACTTGATGTTCTATAGTCCTATGAAATTCTTCCCGGCTCAAGTAGCAAACATAACAGATGATGAATGTCCCGCAACAAGTCTACCTCCTAGACTCGAATCTGTCTTACAGGTCTGCTTCACTTCCCAGAATATCCCACCCGATCAGGGTCCACAAATCAGCCTCGAAAGAATCCGTTCGCTTTTCCAGATCATTCACCTGCACAACTTCCACTGCTTGAGGTGCTTCTCCCAACGTCTTTGGCAAGCTGAGCACATCATGACTCGTATCTGAGCCTCGCGTTCCTGGACCAAAGATATGATCGACCAGGGTGCGTTGGAGCCGTAGCCGTGCTGCACCAGCAAGAGGCATGTTGCAAAGCCCAGTGACAGCCTTACGAAGACTATCGAGCAACAGAGGTGTTGACGTGAGTACAGCTCTCATTTCTGTCTGCCTGACAGGGTCGAGTAATTTGTCGTCCGCAAGTGGCAGATTTTGAATTTCATGCTCGATGTTGTCGTTTCGAGGTCCATTTAACAAAAGCTCATGTGCTGCTTCTCCTAGCCTGTGGAGTAGATGATAGATTGCGCCTTCGAGTACTTGTGCGTGCGAGGTACACGTTCGGGCCGAGCCTTGCAGATTGTCGATCAGACCCTTGGCTAGTTGTGATAGAGCTTGCAAAGCAGGTGTCTCTTGGTCAGGTCGTTTAGATTTGACTTGTAAAGCAGCACCCTCTTCGAGGCTGGTGAAGAGTGTATCGAAGAAGCAGACACATGCATGTACGACATGGCTAGCATAGGTGTCGTTGTTTTCCAGAGAGCTCAGGCGTTTGAGTCCATTGAAGACACTGATACAACTCCTGGCCACGGCGACGACAGATTTGCTGGCTGTATCTGCCACATGTACCTTGCATGGTAGGGACTCGATGATCAGGCTCAGGGCTTCCATGGCCTGGACAAGGTTGTAAGCCAACTCATTCGAATCAGTACTCCACATGCGACCTCTACAAAGTGTCTGCACACGGTGGATATGGCGCATGGCCTTGATGACTGCAACGAATGAGCGCTGAAGATGACTTGTCGCAGGCAAGACAATACCTGGCTCAACATCGGAAGCAGGGCCAAACTCTGCTATGGCGATTGTACCTGCTTTCATTTTCTTGACTGTCTCGGGTTCTTCTTGTTCGGCTGATTTGCGTTTTCGACCAGGCTTTGAGCGAGCTTGGAGTTGAGCGACCTGAGCTTGCAGTGCGTCGTTCTCTTTCTGGAGAATGAACCTGGCATCTTGCTCCTCCTCGAGTACACAATTCAGATGGTCGGACTGCTTTTGCCAGAACGTAGAAGTATCGAGATGTCGGATCGTCTGACCGTCGCGATGACTGGTTTCAATGCAGTCGCGGAGACTTTTTAGGTGCTCTGGAAGAACATTAGAAGGATTACCTTGCTGGAGACAGAGAGACTAGCGACCTTGTATGGTTAGGTGTTTCGGTTTCGAGTTGACTAAAGCAAGGGCAGCCGAAAGGTGCAGTGGCTGTGGCAGCGACATTCTGAGCGGTACCAATACCCGGAAAGTCGAGTAGCATGAATCAAATCAAAGAGGGAAAGCGAAAAACGAAAGATGGGCATCAGAGAATCAGAGAGTCTGCGGTTGGCAAGAAGCCTCGAATGGAAGGAGCGTTCGGCCACTTCTTCCTCTGTCACATGCTTCAAGATGGACCTACCTCAATGCAACTACGACCACTTCAGTAATACTTTAAGATCCGAATTCCTCACGCTTTTCGAAAACTTCTACGACTGTCCTGCCAACGATCCTTTCCAATCGACGTGGCAACCTTCCACGATTGATCTCTACTCGCGGGGATCGTTCAAGTCATCGGTCAGATCTACTCAACTATTCTCGATCTTTCTGGATGACCTGTGCATCTGGTCAACGATATTGTGCAATGCTACAGAATTCTGCAGACTATTGGATGACCGAGGGAAGACCACGGCAGCAACGAGAAGATCCGTGAATTTATTCACAAGAAGGAAGCTTTGACCATCCATGACGGATGTTTTCCGCGGTCCCCAACGTCCCAAACACCTTGATCGCGGCCTCGACCAGACGCCATCATTGCGCACACCATCCAAGATGACCACGCCGGCGGTAGTCCGTGACAACTTCGTCTACAATGATGCTTTTTTCGCCCAGGTCGACGACAACAAGCGACACCCTCGGGCCTCTGTCGCCGAGTTGACTTCGCTGCTACGACCTGAGACCAGTTCTGCTCCACCACCCAAAGACCAAGTCGGCCACTGGTACCAAGCTCAACTTTTGCACTATGGACTGCCATCAAGTAAAGATAAGAACACAGCANAAGTTCGACTCCTCCAGGCCATCAACGCCAACACTTNNTCCGTGCCCGATCATGTCACCAAGCTAGAGAAGGACATGAAGAAGGAGTTCAATGCTGCTGCAAGAAAAGCAAAGGCTGCAGAGAAGACCACTCCAGCTCCAACCAAGGGCAAGAAAAGAACCCACGAAGAGGCAACAACAAATACAAAGATCACCTTGACCGTCGGTAGAGTCTCTATCACTGTGGACCAGCAGACGGCTGCCTCCATCNCCTCCGCTGTAGCTGGAGCATCCGATCCCGCCGCCAAGAAGGCCAAAATCGTCAAAGAGAAAGTTGTTCCCGCGAAGACAAAGCAGATCAAGGATGCTGCAGCCGCTGTCAATCTCAAGAAGTCCGCTCAAGACAGTACTACCGTCAAAGCCAAGCCTTCGTCCACTACTGAGAAATCGACCAAGAGGACTGAGTTGACCAGGACACAAACCAAGAGTACTGAACCTGCGCAACCTAAACCAAAGGCTGCTCCCAAGCCCAAAGATTCCTCCACTGTGGACAAACAGAAAGCAGAACCCAAAGCCACGAAGCCGACGGGAGATAAGTCCAGTCCACCTCCACCACGCACAAAACAGACCGCCCGTAGAAGCAAGCCCTTTAACCCCTTGCCACATGACAGACCACTTGGAAACCAGCCGCAGCACACACATGACCACACCCCTAGCGATTGGAACCATCTACCGCATATCAAATCCGAGTCTGACAGAGACGTCAATGGCACCTACCTTCTGCATTTGCGATCCCACTCTCCCGACAATATTCCTCAATTCAATGGTCCTCCTCGCGTATCCATCCACCACGACGTCTACACAAACAAGCTCTGGGGACACTTCACCATTGGTCCAAAGACTGGCGTCATCCGTGTTGATGACTTTACTCTCGGTACTCCTCGGGTATGCAGTTTCAACTGGCGTGCTCGCGACATGAGCAGTGGACAACTGCGATTTGGACGTTATTGTGAAGGTATGATGGAGCTCAGTATTCATGGCCTTGATAGAGGCACCTTCTATCGCTTGTTCGATGGCCTTGATGTCGATTTTGGTGTCAGCAGTATCACCAGAGACACTCAGATGGACTGGCCTGACTGGATGGATCAATGGGAGAGTTACGTGAAGGAGGCTTACGGCTCCAAACAGCCAACAGAGGATGAATCCATTAAACCTCGCGTCCGCACGAAGCAGACAGCACGTAAGAAATAGGCGCATCAGCTCTGTGTTACGCTGAAAGCCACGCTCTGGACGAATGGAATCATCTTCCACAATGCTCTTGGTTGTCGTTTATCATAGATAGAGCCAGGTACAGACTAGAGACATGGTGGGTAAGTTCAGGCATGTCCACAAACCCACATCACGTTGAAGGAAGAGTAGTCTTCTCGAGAGCCAGGATCACATCGCAAACCTCTTTTTGCGACAATTTTCACCGTTAAAAACACTACCAAGTCTACAGTAGTAAGTGCATAGACATTCGATAGAATTCCTATCAGCACCTTCCCAGCAAAACTCGCGTTTGGACGTAAGTGAATCTGTGCTGCCCTTCGTTTAGTATATTGAACTCGGCCTATAAAAGCGCTTCTTGTCACCTTTTCCTTTTCTAGCATCGAGTAGCAAGCGCCTTTTGGGACCTCCGCCTTCGGACACATCGAGCTTGTAGGAAAGCAAAGAAAACTCTGGTGTGATTGTATCTGTGAGTAACTAGTCAATTAGGGGTAGTGTTGCATCAGGTCTGTGACTTCACGGATTATGTACTAACATCCCTATGCTTGAAACACTACAGCAATGAGAACCACGAAACGGGAGATGCGCAGGAGGCAGCTACAGAGTCACCGACCTTGGTTTGCTATCCAGGGGACATTTGTGGCTGTTTTTGTTCGGGATAGCGATCATGTGTTTGTGCTTTCGGAATTGGCTGACTGTGTCTAGGTTGGCAGAAGCGGTAGGGATGGAGCTGCTAGTGGCAACAGACGTGACGTGGCTGTCTGTTTGGTTTTTGGCGAGCATCTTCGTTGTCCCGAGGGAAGTGAGGCCTGCGCTGATAATAAGCACGTACACTAGATGGGACAGACTGTAGCATATCAATACGTAGATACAAACTCATGATTTGTACGTATACTTCTTTTGCATCTGCTTATTGAGAAGACTATATAAGAGCAGCATCTTAGTAGCCTTGCTATCATCACTGCTCCCCAAGTCCCTCACACTCTTCCATCATCGACCCATCAAGTTACTTCTTAGAACCGCACACTACACACAGAAATCAGATGCCGCGTCAAGGGTCCATCACCGGACAAAAAGCATCAGGTCTGCGAGCGTGATGCTTTCTCCCACAGATCTCTTGCACAAGTTGTAGATACTGACTCTCTGCAATGGATCAGGAGACTACAAGGTATACAACGAGGTCACTCACATAGTAGCTTTCTGCTTTTGTGCCACAGTCTGCACCGGAAAATGGGCACCATATACGCCCCCATTTGTATCGAGTAGCAAGCCCATCTCAACCCTGGTATGATATCTGTAATAGTCAATAAGGGGTAGTATTGCATCAGGTCTGTGACTGTTGCAATACATAAACTAGACTCTTTCATTCTCTGAAGTACTGCAGCAATGAGAACCACGGATTGGGGATATACGGGAGGAGCTGCAGAGTCACTAACCTCCCTCTTTCCCTACCTTGCGGCTACATCGTTTCACAGATAGACCCCAATAACATCCACATCACTCACATTTCCATCTCTTCTCCGGAGAACGGGAGCGGTTGAGACATCATCAGAACCAGCAGCAGAGATGGAAGCAGACTTATAGTGCCAGGTGTTAGACTCTTTAAACACAAAATGAAAGCTCTTATATATCAACGACTATAACTCCTCACTAGAGATTTGCATCCCCAGCGCCTAATCAACAGTAATAAAAAGGAAAGAACCTAGATATACTTTATTCTTATTCTAGACTTATGCAATAAGCCAAGCAGCCTTGAGCCACTCACGTATTCCATGCAAACAACAGCAGCTACCACAACAACAGCTACCACAACACCTTCACCAGAAAACCAGCACTTCCGCCAGCCAGCATACCAAGCTCTTCCTGCACAGACACTTCTGTAGCAAGTTAGGGACAAGTCATAAATCAGGTCCATGACTCTCTCAAATCATGTACTAACTCCCTGGGCATGAAAACTGCAGAAACGATATGATCTAGACTTGGGATGTGTGGGAGAGAGGTGCAGGGTCACTGACCTCCCTCTTTCCCTACCTTGTGCTACTGCGGACAAGAGTGGGCTTGCAGCAACCTGGTCATATTGGGGCCTTCTAGCCAGTTCGTCCCTTTCCTCGACACCGTCGATTTGAACCGGATGATGTTTTGCTTGAGTCGTTATGCTGCTTGGTCCAGCAAGTGGAGCTTTTTATATGTCGAAGGTTAATGGATTCTCTCACTGAGCATCACATGTTACTGTGGCTCTTCAAAGTGATGGTGAATGAAAGATCTGACTGGAATTTGCCTTTGATGAGGAATGTGAGATATGCTTCATTTTTGTTCTGTATGCTGTGGACAATGCTAATTGTAAAAACCCAGAAGCCTACTTTCGGTTCGGGGCCATGAATGCATATCAGTAGTCAAAACATGATGCAAATCGTCCATAAAAGAACGATAAAAAGTTTTGTATGTGCAAAAATGGAAAGAGAGAAGCAGGGAAATCTTATCCTCTACGCTTCAATCCCTCAGGAGTGGCATCTCTTCCAGTAGCACCCACCAGTTTTTCGCCATTCAGTTCCACGCTGGGAATGCTTTGTCTCATCTTTTCCTTTTCTTGCTCTTCAACAATCTCTTCCTCATCTTCATCATCGTCGCTTCTCTCGTCCTTGGCAACAGAGCTTCGGACAAATCTCCATGCGATTCTCAAGATCAGGACAAACCAGAAGACGTTGACAGCCTGAAGAGCGAAAAGAAGAGAAAATGTGATGATTTGAGAAATCCAGCATTTGTATTGTTGGGTCTCCCAGTTCAGTTCGTAAGGGCCGACTGTGCGGAAGCTGGTCAGGGTCGCCCAGAGGATGTGCAAGTTGAGGTAATGGCGGAGGTAGAACCACACTCCGATGAAGAGACCAAAGTAAGGGCCAGTGATGGGTGAATCGAGGTAGTTGAGGCACTTGGAGCTNCTGTAAATCTGATTAGTAATGTCTTAACCCTCCAATCTAGACTAGGTTCTTACGGCGAGGAAAAAATCAGAAATGTCCATGGTAATGTAAACAGCGATGCCCATGTAGGTGAAGTGGAAGCGGTAGCTCAGCCAGATCAAGGCTACGGTGACGATGTGATGCAAAACCAGCTCTTTGAAGTCCTTTCTGGGCTTCTCCAGCATGAGCAACAGGACGATAGCCTGTTGTGTCCAGTAACTTGCTTGCAACAGATAGTAGGCCTTGAAGACGGCCTCGTGGCTGCGGTGGGGAAACCCNTCAAACATAGCATCCGTGTTGAAGTACCAGACTGGCGAGCGGCGCATGACGTACAAGCCAAAGGGACCGAAAATGGCAAAGTAGATAGCTGTGTAGAATTGCTCCATGAATCTGGCCTGCTTTGCTTTTCTGGTAATGCCTAGACGGATGGCNAGGGGACGAATCATGCGCTGCATGAGGAATTCACGAGTGAAGCTCAGGACGATGGTGTAGAAGGCGACGAAAGCAAAATCGGCTTTGCCCTTGCCATATTGAATTGGTTTGCCAGCAGGGGTGTCTAACGGGTAGGCGAGGAAGATGCAGTAGTAGAAAGGGTTCGAGGTAGAAGGGTTGATAGCGTAGAGAGCCAGGACCAGGAGCACGAGGATCAAGGGATTGAGCCAGGTGTGTCGGAGAGAGACGCGTACATATCGTTTGAGAAGACTGCGTGCTTTGCGACGCTTGGATGTTCTTGTAGCCTTGTCGTGTGTCGGTGTAGATGCGCGCTGCCATGGCGTGTCAGTCCGATGGGCATTGTCGAGCTGGGTTCCACAGTTGACTGGAGCATACCTGGGGNNCAGCAGGGACAATGTAGCAAGAGCAGAAGCTCCAGTGTCACCTCGAGGCTCTCCTCCAAGACTGCTAGACTTGCGCCGGGGCCGAGGCTTGCTCATTGTTGCGGGTGAGCCGCCATGTGTGTCGGATGCCGCTTTGGGCGGACTCAATGGAGGAAAGGGCTCCAGCTTGCTGTCGGCCATTGAGAAGTTTCGATCTTGCAATCGCGTGCAACAAAGGGAAGGAGCGACAGGAAACAAAAAATGATCACCGCCGGCTCCCGGGGAGCGTCAGCGCCGGCTGCCCCCACATCCAGGCCCTACCGTCAACAACCCAAATCTCAATCTCGGCGCTTGCTCAACCCGACCAATTTCACATGTTTCACCCTGTGACGTCGCTCTTGAAATTGTCGATATGACTTTTGTAATGTCTGTCATTCCTCTAATGCTGCCATTATGCTATGCTTGCAAGCAATTCTCTTGCTTCGCGACTCTGTGCCATGAAGCCATTGATCTCTCCTTCTCCCTGAAGCCGCGACTTTCTACTTTCTTCTGTCCTTGACTTGTCGTACCTCCTCAATGTGTCGCGTGCCTCGGCAGCAAGGTCGTTGATGTCTTGTTAGTGCTCGGTGCACTTCCTTCGAGAGATCCTTCCCTTCACTCAACTTCCATAGCATCGCCGACACCCTGACCTCCACGCTTGTCGGTCTTGACGTACTCGACAAACTCGTCAATGACACCAGGCCAGGCAGAGTCTTCGCTCCAGAAGCTGAGGTCTTCATCGACAAGAGTCTTCTCAGCGAACACCAGAGTCTGATCCCACATGTCCTTGTTCACACTCTTCTTGTACTTCTCGGTGAGGAACTCGATCCACCAGTCGAGCCAGGGAGTGTTGGGTGCTGACCACGCGAGGGAGGGGCTGGTCAGGAGCAGGCGCCAGTACTCGGTGGCGTTTTCAAGGGCGACAGCCTTCTGGCCAGGTTGACGAGCGAGGAGGAATGTGTGCTTGTAGATTGATCTGAATGTTTGACGGAATGAGGGATCGTCGAGGTTGGCACGTCTCTGCTGAACCATTTCGCGCATCTTGTTGACGTCGTTGACNACTGCCCAGTATTGTTAGACATGACTTAGAACTTGCGCACTGCAACAAGCTTACCCAAGAGCAGCAAGGCTGTCGACAAATTCATTGCGCGTGAGCTTTCCGAGCGAGGGCGACTTGACCATCTCTGAGAAGATCAAAGCACCAACATCGTCAGGGCTGACCTCGATGTCGTTGAGGAGTTGCATGGTGCCTTCAATGTTGACCTCGTCGGGTTCGTTGGCTACATCTTCGCGGTACTTGTCGAAGAGCTTGTTGAGTGTGCCTTTGCTGGCAGTGCTACCACCACTGCTGGGACCCGATTGGAAGTATCTGACAGGCAAGTCAATAACGTAGTAGCGCTCGTTGGGATTGGTGTAGGACATCTTGAAAGGAGATGCGCGGTTGCGTAAGAGGGAGAGTCCAAGAGAAGCACCAAAGCTTATTCAAGTCACTTCTAGATGGTCGTTCGCGCGCTGCCCCGTTCAGAGCATCGCAATGCCGAGACAGCACATCGCCGAGTCGACGATGAGCTTGGACCGGCGTACGCGAACGCTCGTAGACTTCTCCCTCTTACGGCCACAGATTTGGAATTGCAATAACGAAATCTTTTGACCTACGCATTTGTTGCCACTTGCACGTTCCATCCATGTTGGCGCAAGACTTTTGCTGCTGTTGTGCGGTCTGTACTGGTGAAGTCGACAAAGCTCTGGATGGCCGTCTTTTGTGCGGCTGTGTATGCTGGAGGCATGGTCACACTGTGTTAGCTGGCTGTGATCCAAGGAGAAGCGAGTGGTATGGGTTCGAGTGGAAACGGATGGCAGGACGCTGGACTAAAGGACGATGTTGACTGCGCGACAGATGGTGATGAAGATACAAAGGAAAGTTGATCAACAGCGAAGGCAGCGACACGCAATGACGCCGATGTCGATGCCGACGCCCGATGAGCCCTGATCCGAGACCGACGATAAGATAAGACAACGCCTGGATCTGCATCCTCCTCGCCAAAGCAGGGGTCGGTTAAACGGTTATACCATGATGGCCAGGGATTGGTTGCGGCACAGTATAAAGAGATCGTTGAACTTACAGGCCGTTGTGGACTTTGACTTCTTCATCGGAGGCGAGGAGGCGATGTCTGTAGGCTCTGCTACGAGAGCTCTCTTTCCCTTCTTTGCAGTGGACATGGTACGAGTGTGGAGGTCAACGATCTCTGATTTCTATCCTGGATTGTTGTGCTCGAGTCAGAGCGGAAGACAGTAGCGGGCTCCGGATGTTGTAAGTTGTTGTTATAAGGCAGGTACGGCCAGAGCTGGGAAACAACGGCGCAGGATAGTGACAGCAGCTTATTGGCTAATTAAAAGCAACGAGAGGATTGGGACCCGAGACGAAAGGAAGAATGAACCCGCTTGGTACAGTGCGAATTGTCGATGAAGAAGATGCTGCAACACGTTGAGGCCATGTGAATATCGACTACTCCTGCTTGGCACGTGCTTCAAGGAAGGAGCAGCTACGGTGATTGGGAAGGAAAGTTCTAGTGATGCGTTTTCATGCTGAACAGTAAAGCAAGTATTACAATATAGGAATATATGATTACAGATACTTGTCACATGCCTTTTAATCACCAAGAGGCATAGCCTCGAGCTCCTCGCTCAACGATCTCCAGTTTTCTGCACCCAACTCGGCATACTTGACGCGCTCCTGTGACCACTCTTGGTGCATTCTGCTGACGTGGTATTGAGAGGTTTGNAAGTGAACAATCTCATCACGGACGCACTCCTTGATGAAGACACCTCGAGCATGCTGGTCAACTATCGATTGCTTGTCCNNTGCTCAAGGTCAGTAAAAAGTATCATACCCCTGATTCAAATGACATACCTTGACGATTGCGCTCTCGACCTTCTCAGCCTCGCCGGGCTTGATTTGAGACTCGTGTCGTGCGCGGATTCCTGACAGCTTACTCTCGTTCGTGGCAATGCGGCGTTCCAGTTGGGGAATGTTGTCGCGTGCGTAGCGATCACGACGGTCAAACATGTCCCGCATGCTGACCAGAGCATCACGTTGACGCTTGAGATCTTCCAAGACACCCAGGTCCCATGCTCTGGCCTCATCCTCTAGAAGGGTCTGGTTGGTCGACAGGTGTTTAGCTGTGCCATTCAGACCTCCGTTCAGCAGCTCAACTTCATTGTTGTCGATAGCGTAGGTGTCGGCGGAGCATTCAGTGAGGGTACCCAGAGCCATAGAAAGGCGGGTGTATTCGCTCGCAAGGCCCTCGTTACGCTTAATAAGTCGCTCAACCATGCCACACATGTTGATATAAACCTCAGTCGAGCGGCGCACTCCACTTCGCACCGTGTCGAACAGGTCAGAAAGATTCTGAGGAAGCGAATCTTCCAGACCAGGAGGCAGAGGCTTGCCGGTGAATTCTTCTTGCACAGAGATGGATGCCTGCTTTCGCCATACAGCAAGTTCNCTGGAAAACAGTTAGTGTTGTTCGATCAGTACAGAGGGCAGGGACCGAACGTCTACCGTAGGGACAGTCAAGAACATGATGACGAGCTGATCTTGACTCAGGACAGGGTGGCGGACGAGTGCGTTGGCGAAGCGTGCCAAACCCCTCCTTCGTTTTTCAATGAACAGATTGTCCGCAGCTATGTGTTTGCCGTTGACTGCANNTCTTTATCAGCTCTGATACCTCGCAGCATTCTGGTATGAAGTCTTACTGGCAACACGCTTGGGTGGTAAAAGAGGAAGCTGTCTGAAAGGAAACTTCTTGTGCAAGCAGTCCAGCAACCAGACGAAATCGCTATAACGACGAATGACACGACTGTTCCTCCTGATACTGGAAACTTCGTAATTACGATGTTGGAACAAGAACATTCCTTCCTTCTCTTCAAGTACGTTGACAGTGATGAGCTCTTCAGGACCTGTTGCGCCACTAGATCTGGACACGCCAAGTGGTCTCCTCACGCTGCCCGAAATCTGGTTGTTGTCGCTTTGCGGTTCACCAAAGCCTTCGTTTCCGGGAGCAGTATTGAAGCCATCATTGGATGCAGAGTAGCCACCCCAGCCACTCTCGGCTGTCGTAGGACGCGACTGCTCGAAGGATGAAGGCTCAGCTGTAGGCGACTCGGTTTTGTCAGCGGCGGAGGTCGTAGTGAAGTTGCTGGTTGTGCGGACGTGAGGAGGTTCTGCGCGACCATTGACACTGCCATTGGGGTACGAGGGAGCAGCTGCCTGAGCGTACGAAGCAGGCGCGGCGGATTCATGATGGTGGTTCTTATGCAGGGAAGGACTTCCCCAAGGGTCGTCGCCAAAGCCGAAGCCAGGAGTTTCAATGCTCTGGGATTGTGTTGCACCTGAGTCTGCCTGAGGAGGTGGACCGGTGGGTGTTCGAGGTGGCTTCTGCTCTTGCTTGGGAGGAGCGGTCAGAGAAGGAAGGTTTGGTACTGGCAACTGTCTTCTACGCTCATCGACGGCATCCAAACCAAGCTCTTCACCCTCCTGTGCCAGCCCAATCAAAGCCAGAATGACATTGACCTCGCCGCGGCCCAGCACACGTGAGTCGTCGGCATCGGCGGCGCTGATGATCTCGAGAATCTTAGACTGCTCAGGGTGTCCAATGCTGCTCTCTGACAACAAACTCTTGATCTGGCGCAAGGTGACACCGCCTTGAGCAGTGCTTTGTGACAACAAGGCATCGAAGAGGTTGACGTAGGTTTCGGGCACGTCGCTAGGCGGCAGCAGTGTCTTGATCAAGTCTCCTCTTTGACGGGTGCTGTTGTGCTTCTTGGGAGCAGGGAAGTCCCAGGGCGATTGACCGTCGTCTGCATTGTTGGCTTCGGCAAACAAGCCCGAGTTGGCCGAGGAGTTGCGAGCGGCAGGTTGATCGTCGTCGTCGAACAGCGACGACTTGTTCTGACGTGCGGCGGGCGTTGGCGGTGGTGACTCTCCGAATAGCGACATGGCAGGCAAGAGGGCGCGTTTGCGTGACGGGAGAGCACAGGAGGAAACACAGAGCGATTTGACGTGCAGACGCGCTGAGACAAGGCAAGACAGCAGGCCCGCCAACCTCCGCAACAGCTGAGAGCTCGCGAGACGCACGCCGATCGAATCGTCCGTGCCTTGAAACGTCACTGCCGCCGCTATCAACTGCCAAGCTCCAACGGTCAACGCATACCTTCCAACTTTGCCTACCTCTCCACAACTACTCCACAATTGTGTCAATGTCAAGAGCACGTGTGGTCGCATGCTGTAGACACACGACACATATCATGCTTGATCGGTGGCCGCTTGCGAAGCCTTGACTCACATCTCCGTGTTCGTACTAGGTACGTTCAAAGCCTAGATCAATCGCGGTATGTGATTTTACAAAGCAAGCAAGCCAGCACCTAATCAAGATTCCTTGAACCTTGATCATCAACATCATCTTTGTTGTCATCTGGATGGGGCCATCTGTGTCAATGCCATCTTCTGTATGGCGTACTCTGCATTGTCACAGTTGTAGTGTATGTTACACTCTGCACACCTGACATCCCCACCTTGAGCTCTCATTGGATTTACTACTACTTGACTCCATGAATCTTACCGGAAGTTATTGACTTTGACATAGCCATATTTAACTGCGGAAATCCTCCATGTGGTCCCGCGAGGTGAGCGGGGTAGAGGAGCATGCTGACAAAACATATATACACACAGCATGGCATATCAAAACCCGCATCTACGAACTGCGCAGCTCTCGCAGAAACCCTCAAGCAGAGGGTTAAAACGCTTGCGTCCACGATTACTCCCGCTAGGATTCCTGACCGCGACTGCCATGACGTTTGCAACTCTCATTTTGGCACTTGCTGCACTCTTCCTTCTATGTTTCAGCTTCTTCCGCTCGAACCGAAAGCTGCTAAACCACACCGTCGTTCCCGATGGACCCAAGGGGTGGCCAGTCCTTGGTAACCTGCCAAGCATTCCGGCTACTCACAGCTGGTTGCAATTTTCCGAGTGGAGCAAGCGATATGGTGCTCTATACAGATTGAATATCTCCGGCAGGAACCACGTCATCGTATCCAGCGAAGAGATCGCCAACGAGTTGCTGCGAGAGAAGGGCACAATCTACAGTTCCCGAGAACAGCTTCCAATGGCAGCACAACTTGTGAGCGGGAACTTAAGACCGTTGTTTCTTCCTTATGGAGATATCTGGCGCAGTGTTCGCAAGTTGATGCATAACTTGACCAACATCTCAGCTACCACGTCTTACCAACCACTTCAAGAACAGGAGAGTCTTCGAGCAATACGAGATCTGGTCCGTGAACCCGAAAAGTACGAGACATGGTTCGAACGCTACGCAGCCGGCCTGATAATGCGCTTAGCATATTCCAAGCCTGTTCATACTGGTGAGGAATCTTATGTGAAGCGCATTCTCCATGTTGTTCACACAGTTTAGCGGGTCGCCAGTCCTGGAGCGTATCTCGTGGACACCTTCCCAGCGTTGATGTGGCTACCTTCATGGCTTGCCCCGTTCAAACGCGAAGGAGAACGTCTACACGAAGAAGAAATCACCCTATTCCGCGATCTTTTGCAAGAGGGCATCGATAACAGCAAGAGCGATCCGGACCTGGAAAACTTCTGCAGTAAGTGGTATGGAAATCAAAAGGCGTATGGACTTAGCAATGACCATGCGGCCTACGCCATTGGCACGCTTTTCGAGGCTGGTGCAGGCACGACGGCCGCGGCTATGATGAGCTTTATCCTCGCCATGGTCCTCCACCCTCAGGAGTTCTCCAAACTACAGAAGGAGGTCGATGATGTTGTTGGCTCGGACAGGCTACCGTCTTTCGAGGATATGCCAAATCTTCCTCGTGTAAGGGCAGTGGCAAAGAAGTCCTTCGATGGCGACCTGTGACTGCTGGTGGACTTCCTCACATGCTAACCAAGGACGATACCTACAACATGAACGATGGGCGAACAGTATTTCTCGAAGCTGGTACAAATGTGCATCCTGTGCAGTGGGCAATCCACCGCGAACCAGTCAGATATCCAGATCCAGAGTCTTTCCGTCCAGAGAGGTGGCTGGAGAAGGGCTGGCCGACCTTTAAAGAGCCTCTCACCCAGTATCCCAACCTGCACAACTTCAGCGCCTTCGGTTTTGGACGCAGGATTTGCCCTGGACAAAGCATAGCCGAACGTTCGTTGTACATCCTCATCTCTAGAGTGGCGTGGGCGTGTCATATCTCACAGAAATATGATGATGAAAACAATCCTCTGCCACCATCATCATATGACTATGTTCCCGGCTTCCAATGTAAGTCCTCTTTGACCCTATCACTTATATTATATTTCTAAACCAAGCTTTAGAATCAACCAAAGCCCTTTCAATTTGATTTATGGGCAAGAGAGGGAAGAAGTCTCGATTTTGAAATTTGATATAGCATTCGTTGGTATGTATAGTCCTAGTACAATAAAGTTTGACCGATTCCTGAGTGCTGCGAATGTAGGAGTCTTGAATCGTATTTTCCACATCCGATACTTGAACCAGCTTTCGCATCACCCCAGATCATCCCCCGAATTAGCTTTATATCATTCGAGTCCCAGCTATAACTAAGGTGAGTTACTCATAAACGATCGAATGAACAAAAACGGCGTAAAGGTCTGGGACTTTGTAGAAACTGGTTTGCTTCTAGGGGAGTACACTAGCTATATAAACATTGATCGATGCCCATTGACAGTGCTGGCCATGGATGGAAAGACCCTTATTCCAACTGCATCTATTCCTTCAATTAAGTCAACTCCATGGCGTTCCATAGCTCCACGGAATAGGTAGAATTCCATAGCTATGCTAGGATTGGCCTGTGACTTGTTCTATAAAGTTGCCTTAAGATTCACATAATAGTCTTAAATTTCGTAAAAATCAGTATCACTACTTGATATAGACCTTTATACTTTCAAAGTTGACTTGAACTATTGTTAAGCTGTTCAAAGAATATTATCCGATAGTTAAAGGTATAATATAATAAGATTCAAAGCTGATATCCAGAATTCTATCTTGTAGGCAGGGTCACGCACTCGACCTACACCCCAAACTAGCTATACCGGAGTTTTCAAAGCTTCAAAAACTATCTTGGCATGCTGAGCACTAGCGCTGTACCATATCAGGTATGCTTGGCAATTTCATGGAATCCAAATGGAATTGAATCCATGGTCAGCACTGCCCATCGAATTGTGCCTAGATTCGAGCTTGTGCGTCGTTCTTTGCTTGAAATTCATCTTGCAGCGCTTTACATGCCATTTACTCCAGAATTGTTGTCACTGCCAGTGCCTCATTCTACCATGTCTTTTGATGTGTACATATCTATAGATGCCCTTGAACTTCTCTGAGCAGATCAAGCTACCATAGCTCTGATCCCGCTCGCTCTCAACCTCGTTGGTCTGCATTGTCACCAGCACATCTACTTCGCCATATTATCTGCTAAGTCTGTCCATAAACAAACTGAATCATGCCCAGTTGTTCGCTAGTCCATTTGCTGCAACTGAGATGATCATGAGATTCTTGTAATGTATGTTCGCATACAGAATCTGCGTAGTGAGCTAGACTGTTGCTGCTGCTGCCCTTATGACATATGTCTTGAATCGCCTTGTCATGGCGGTGGTGTATGCCATTTCTGACATGTCGACAGCGATAAGAATGGCCTCGACTTCCAGATCACCAAAGAAGCTAGGCAGGAGCTTTGCTTTCGTATGCTGGGTTGCAATAATAACGATCGAGACATGACCGCGGACTCGACCATTGCGACGCAGGAAGTCAACCATTCGCCGGATGTATCGCAAATATCCTTCCATCATAGATGTGAGTTCCCTTTCGAGCTGCATCGAAAGAAAAAGATAAGGTAGTGACCATCCTTTCCGTCTTTGAACGAATGTTAGAGAGACTTTCGTGATGGGAAGGGGGCACCGAGCTATAACGGCATGCTCTCTAAACGATCAATGTAGATGTTACTCCGTGGAAGGGTCCAGATAAGGTCGTTTTCTGTCAAGGAACGATAGTGCATGAACTTTGTCATTCCAAGAGCAGACGTATGAAGGGGAATCCTTTGAGGCGTGTCAGATGCCCCCGAGGAGATGGCGGACAAACAGTCGCTTGCTGACGAAGCCCATCTTGCACATATGGTACTTGGATGCCTGCGGATTATGGTCGTACTCGTGCCTTTCATGTTCAAACTCGTAGTGTCTATTGTAGTCCCTGAGAAGAAGTTTCTTGTTTGCGTAATTGATCTCCCGGCAGCGAGGACTGAGCTCGTCTGGGCACCTACACCGATTGATGTCAATGTCTGAAGGTTGTAGAGGACAGGTCTGTGAAGCCTCGTGTCTCCAGCGAGAATACTCCGAGATAAAGGCCAGTCTACATCCAAAACGACAAGGGAATGCATCGTCTTGACTCCAAAACCACTGTGCGTGAGCGGGCTCCTCGACGTGCAGAAGGAAGTCGTTCAACGTGACATTAGCACTAAACTGTAGGTCACACCAAGGTGCAGGGCATTGGAATGTGCATTTCTCGAAAGATAGTCCGTCCTCATGCGTAAGATCAAACGCATGTATAGCCCCGCATCCAGATGCCTTCTGTTGTGCTGTCTCTTTTGTTGCACGCTTTCCGTTAGTATTACGCCCAAGACTGTTGACGACACATGAACGTTTGTACGACGTGAAACGAGCAATTGCGTCTCGCGAGACATGTGGGGCGATATTGATGTGCTGCTGCGCAGCGTGAGGGTTTCGTAGATCGTGTAATGTGCTGGCAATGGTTGGCTGAGAGTCGAAGTCCGGGATCAACTCTACAACGAGGTCTACACTGGTGCGACTATGGAGGACTTCGAGGTAGCCTGTAGGGACCTCTGTCCGAGCAGAGCACCGAAGTCTCTCTAAACCTGTGAGATCTTCGGTGTGGTGGGACTATTATTGCTTTAATCGAATACCAGTTCATTCTCTAAGAATATCTGCTTGCTTAGGTTACACATAGGTGAGGGATGTCGTTAGCCTTGAATACCTTCTCACTTTGCTTCAATTGAGTGCATCCTCGACCCTTACAACCATCAAGGTGTACACCACCCCACAAGTGATAGTGTAGCAAGCTTCTGCTTGCAAACCCAAGCTCGCATGCATCGTCCTTGGACAGAATGTCTTCACTGGCATATACGTCCGGAGCATGGCACCTGAACCAGTGGGTCATGCGAGTCGATGCGCTGTTGTCAACAGGGCCAGACAGCCGTCCTCGGTACAGCGATAGTCGGGAAAGGTCTCGATGGCGCACTGCTGTTGTGCGTAATGGCAGATTCGTCCGAGGTTGTCTGTGAAACCTTTTTTGCATCCAAGCTCGCACACATAAGTGTCTTGTGCGAACAGACCACGGAGATGCTCCTTGTTGGACGCGTGAGTCCAGAGGTCAAGTAAGGTTGTTGATGGAGGAAGGGTCATGTTGCAGGATTGCAGGGGGCATTTGAATCGTGCGCTAGGCTTCGACTTCAAGTCTTGTGCTCTGGCCGTGGTTTTGTCGACGAACGGCTGGAATGAAATGGTGTGTGGTTTGGGTCGAGAAGTGTGCCAGACAACTGGTTCGATCTCCGAACACTCGTTTGTGCCTGACTCAGGGGAAGGGTCCTTGTAGAACTGTACAAGGCGTGCTCCTGGACGCTTTGGTTCTGATTGAGACTCTTCACCATCTGATGATTCCTCGGAATCCTCACTATCGTCCTGTTCGTCCAGGTTGTTTCCAAAATCTTGATCCGAGCATGTGACATCTACGTCGGCGCCGCTGAAGTCGAAATGATCGACGAGAAGCTTCCTCTGTCGTTTTGCTGGGAGTTTGTCGGGCACTGACGGTGCTGAAGGCGACGACTGCGAAGACGGCATTCTCCTTTGCGTATCTTTGACAGCTCCCCACCAACAGGCTTGGGCTTCGGCTTGGGGCGTTGGACCGGTGACGATGACGGATCCACGAGAGCTGGCTGTTCGTCTGCTTCAGAGCCGGGAAAGGTTGGCTGTTGTGCGGAAGGAGGCAAGTCTAGTGCATTATCGTCGTAGCCATGAAGAGACGAGAGCAAGCTGGACGAAGGTGATTGCTCCTCATGTCCCTGAACTCCCATCTCCTGGAGTGTTGAGTGTGTGTGCTGAAGTGGAAGAGCGTGATCGACGTGGCCTTGGGCGGAGTGAGACTGTGGCTGGCGGTTGGCGTGAGATGAAGACGAGCGCATGCTGGAGCGCTCATCATGTCCATGAACTCCCATCTCTTGAAGTGTTGAGTGTGCGTGCTGACGTTGAGAGCGTGGCCATGGGCGGCGTGAGGCGAGGGCGCCTGGTTGCTGGGATCTAGGCTTCTTAGCTCTTGACCTTACGGAGGATGAGAATGGCGATCCAGGTGAACAGGCTGAGGCCGCTGCATGTAACCGGAGTAAGGCAACAGAGGGTATTGATCAAGGAAGGGGCGCCTGAAGTGATCGTAACCAGGCTGAGGCTGCTGCGCATAACTAGGATAAAGCGGAAACGACGGCGGAAGCTGCGGGTTTGCGAAGGATCGACCAGTGTGATCGTAGGTAACCTGAGATGGGAAGGATGGTGGAAGCTGTTGAGGCTGGTAGGCGTAGCCGGCGTGAGGAAGGAAAGAGGGAGGATGCTGCTGGCCTAACATCGAGCGATCGAACTGTAGCTGTTGAGTCTTGTGTCTGCGGCGAGCTGCTTGAGAAGGCTTCGGCTTGGTTGCAGAAGAGTCCTTGGCCGCTGCGGGATCTGGACTCTGTGGCTGCTGCTGCTCTCGGTCGCTAGGTCTAGTAAGAACGTGCGGTTCCAGGGAGAGTGTAATGAAATCTGAAGAATGCGATGGCGTGCGGAGATGTAGAGGATTGAGGAAGGGAGAGCAGAGGGAGGAAGGCGGTGCGGATGAAGGAAGCATGTGAACATACGGTTTCTTGGCTGCGAGGATTCGCTGGCAGATAGCCTTGATCTTCCCTCTCACTCATCTGCTTGCCCGGAAGTGAGGTGACGAGCCCTTCGATTGTGGCATGAGAGATTGGGTGAGGCGGTGAAAGCTGTGCTGATGTTTCTTCGGTTGCCTCTGTGAGATTTTATTCCTTGTTATCCATAATGAAGTAAATGAAGGTGAAGTCGCGGTGTATAGTGAAGTCAAGTGGTATGGTTAGAGTTTGGAAACTGGGAAGATGTAAACAGCTTATGGTTGGCAGGAGAGATGGTGGTTAACGTCAAGTACCTGCCCATGTTGTATAAACAACCACTTTCACAAAAACAAAAAGAGAACGGTGATTAGAAATTCAACAGCCGAAAAGAACAAAGCCCGAAAAAAAAAAGTATTGCGACATTTCATTATCAAGTATCCATTTAGACATCATCAATTCCTCTCTTGAAGAACATACGAATGGCGCTTCTGAAGCCAAGTTCTCTGGATTGAAGGCTGATCAACTTGCATACGCACGTCCTAGCGTCAGATCGTGAGAGTGCATCCGAGACTAGCCAGTCGTAAACGATACGACCAATGTCTTCTTCTGAGCGACAGCGGATGTTGTTTTCGGTGTGTGTTTGCTCGGAGGCAAGTTCGCGTAGACCATATAGAACAGCCATGACATTCATGAGGTCTTCGAGGTGTGGCGAGGCAACCCATGATAGTTTGAGGTTCGTCTGGCGGGGCGCACCAGTGTCGACCCCAGTGTTGCGACCCCTTTCGAACTCGCTCAGGCAATTGTAGAAGATGCGGAACCACTGGAGCAGTGATGTAAACGTAACCTTTCCATGTCGCGTGTAGATATCGACGTCCAGGCGAGGAGAGATTGTAGCCGGTGCTGGTTTGGATAGCAGAATCTTGAAATGGAGCGGAAGCAGCTTCATGGCCTTCTTAAAGCCGCTGCGGTTGTGAGAGGCAAGAGCGAGGTTGGGGTCGACTTTGAAGTCGTTGTGGAGATACCAATCATCAAGGTGTGCTCTGCGAGTGTGACGAGTGATACCGTGGAGTGCATGTTGGGATAGTTTTAGCGTCTCGACACCCTCAGTCTCGACCTCGGCGAGCAGATTGAAGGGCATGGAGTGAAGGTCGTCGCGTCGGATGAGACATGTGCCAGCCATAATGGCGTCGCGATGGCCTAGCTGGTAGCGTTGCCAGAATTTGGCGTCAGTAAAATGTTTATTGGGATCATTGTCATACTTGCTGGAGCGGTGGATAAATGTAGTGAAGAAGTGCACAGTTGCAAGGTCATCACTCTCGTCTAGGGCAAAGTCGGCTGGAATTGGACCAAGTTCAAATGGCTGATGTTCTTCCTCTACTTCGGTGGGATAGAGCTAGGGGCGGGTACCTTTGTGTAGTGCGGGCGGTTTTGGTAAGCAGCAACAGAGGGTGTGTAGAGACGGCAGAGGTAACAACGATGTGAAGGGTTGGAGAACAATGTGAAAAATTGATAGGTTTGAGATTACGAAAGGTGTATAACAATATACTAATGTTTTCATGGAAACGCTTGATATAGGGGACTTAGAAAGCTTATCAGACAATATAGAATCAAGAAACATAATTGTCACCTCGGAAGGTCTGAGACAGAACTTCTTAAACCTTGGACTCATGGACAATCTCCTCGATGGCAGAAGAGTCCTTGCCCAACTCCTGAGCGAAGGTGTCGTGTGGGACCCAACCTGCCGATTTGCGTGCAGATACCTCGGACATCATCTTGTCAACTTGCTCAAGAGACAAGCCCTTGGTCTCGGGCACGAAGAAGTAGGCGAAGGCGATGCAGACTGCGCAAGTGGAACCCCAGAGGAAGAAGACCTTAGGACCGAGATCGGCTTCTTTCTTGTCGACAAGGTAAGGGGTGATGACGGCAATGATGCAGTTCCTAGATTGTCAATTAGCTTGTGTCAAGAAGTAAGAGGTTGGAGGAAACTTACCAGAACCAGTTAGAGGCAGTAGACATGGCAACACCCTTGGAACGGATGGGAAGAGGGAAGATTTCTCCGATCGAGACCCAAGCGGTGGGACCCCAGGTCGAGGCGAAGAAGAAAATGTAGATACAGGTGAACAGGATAAGAACGATCTGAGACGCGCGAGAGCCGGCATCAGCAGTACCAGTGATACCAACAATCCACTCGCAGACACACATGCCGATGGCACCGTAAATCAGGAGGGGACGACGACCGAAGCGCTCAATGGTCCAGAAAGACAGAGGGGTGGAGCAAACGTTGACAATGGTAGTGATCATGGAGATCAGGAAGGCGTTTTCGATACCAATGGACTCGAAGAAGCTGGTCGAGAAGTAGAAGATGAAGTTGACACCAGTCCATTGTTGCATCATCTGAAGGAGGACACCGATGAAGACCTTGCGGATGTTCGAGTTGCGATTGGTGATGCCACCAGAGAACATACCGATCCAGCTGACTTGACCGACGGACATTTCGTACTCGAAGTTGGCCTGAATCTCGGCGAGCTCATCGACGATGTATGGGCTGTCGACAGGCTGGCCACGGACACGGGCGAGAGCCTTGGCGGCTCTGTCGAGCTGCTGCTTCTTGACGTAGTAACGAGGAGACTCAGGAAGGAGGAAGAGACCGATGGAAAGGATGATGGCCCAGGCGAACTGGATGGCGATCGGGATTCTGTAGGCACCAGTGTTTGTGTAGTTGCGGCAAGCGTAAGTGACGATCGAGGCAAGCATGAGACCAATCGTGATTGCGAACTGGTAACAAGATACGATTGCGCCTCGGACCTTGCGAGGAGCGACTTCAGACATGTACAAAATGTTTATCTGTAAAGCGAGGGTACAATTAGCAGGATATCAGACGTTGGTTGTGAGAGGTTAACTTACAGCACTGACGAAACCGACTCCCACGCCGGCAACAAGACGGCCTACGACGATGAGAGGTACGGTGGTGGAGGCGACCTGAAGGATAACACCGACAGCGAAGACACCACACCCGGCAATGATAGTGGTTCTGCGACCGATCCAATCGGCAAGCGCGCCCGAGAAGAGAGCACCGAAGAAAGTACCGGCAGAGAGAATGGAGATAATAAGGGATTGAGTGCCACTAGCAATGCTGTAGCCATTGGCACTGGTCTCAGTGACACCAGTGAAACTACCAAACTCCTTCCTTTATGATTGTTAGCTCAAACTCCTTCGTATACACTGTCCTAGCTTACTTGAAGACTTGAGTGCCCATGACACCGTTGATGTAACCTGAATCGTAACCGAACAAAATTCCAGCAAAGGCGGCGAAAGCACACATCAGGTAGGCTCTGACGGTGACAGGCGACTCAACGCGCTCCACTGTGACTGGAGCCATTGCGAAGGGGGACAAGGATGTTTCTCAGCGATAGAACGAGAGTGGAAGAGGAAGATCAAAGAAAGACAACCGCTTGTTGTTGATGATGAAGAGAGAAAAAAGAGCACGAGGTGAGGGAACCATAGCCCTATATACAACAAACCATGGGGGCAAGTGCGATGCTGGGCAGTTGTCCAGGTGAACTATTCATTCCAGCATCCCCACACTGCGACGGCCACACTAACGGGCTCTCCATTGTTCAAAGGGCGAATCATTGATCACGAGGGTGCCCAAATCGGTTCTAGGTCGTCCTTGCTTTGATGCGATGTGAATTGTTTCGTGCATGGGGCGTGTCGCCAACACTCGCGCGTTTTGCCCAGAGCCCCAGATGTCGCGAACGCTCCTTGGTTTTTCTTGGACGACCATTTGTGGCATTTTGGGTTGGAGACGAACAGTCTTGGACGCGCGAATACTTGCAGTGCCCTACATACACGGCCCGTGAATGATCAACTATGATCTTGCGACCGGCACATTGCTGTAGAGTCGAGACGCTATGCGCAGCAGCTTTTTACGANAGCTGTAACAGCGAGTGTCGTTGAAAAGCAGAGAAGGAAGTCACGGCGGGACCCTTGTCTGGCCACAGCTGGAGNACCCCGGCCAGTGCCGACAATCTGGAGTTCGCAACCCCAGCTCAGGCACGGCTAATTTTACGCTGTCCCGTGCCTCCTTCTCTTTGCACGTTGTGAAGTTGCACTCGCTAAACATGTCTCAACAAAGTCGCATATCCGTAGCTCAGCCGCCAATAGCAATCCAAAGGATTCTGGAATGATTCTGTAGGCGCTGTCAGGGCTGTCTTACTCGATCATAACCTCGTTCGGCAATCGCCTTCACAGCACGCCCGTCTCGGCATAACACGCTTTGCAACACTTGTCACTCTTCCGACTCTCGGCTCGCCGCAGGTTACAATCCTCTCCTTGGCTGCTACAGCCGTGGCGTTGTTCTTAACGGCAATAAAAGTGGCAATCACAATCACACCTCGACTGTCATCGGCTGACACGAAAGCTCACGACCTAACTCCCAATTCTCAATCTTTAGATAGGCGATGGGGGACGTGCTTGCATCTCTCACCATCTGTCCAGATTGTAAGAACCACTATAGCGCAGAGCTCCGCCGTGGGCGATCCCTTCCTTTGAGAAGCCTTATATTGGAGGTTGCAGAAACGAATCGATTGTTTCTCCAGGAAACGTTCTGGAGATCCAATCTTCTCAGCACCTCAGTCAGCTGGGACACAATTCCTTTGCATCGCCATCATTTTGTCATGCTCGCATCACGAATCAGCTGCTGACTTGGATTTCGGCCAACGGATACCCTGATACATCTCGAGATTGGTTGACGCCGCGCAGGCGCGGCTGCGCCTACCGTATGTTAAACGGGCCAAGAGGTTGAAGCAAATCAGCCCACGCGAGAAATTTGCGAGAACCAAGACGCTTGCAGGTCCCACAACGAGGAAGAGATCACTTGTGGAGAGCTCAAGTGGGGAGCTTGGGGCCCCGGGACCTCAGTCGATGGTAGTCGCGGTGGTATATCGGCCTCATTCTCTCGACAGAACCATGGAACCCGATCTCCCATCCCGACTTTGGTAAATTGTTCGGCATGCCGAGTCGGCAGGTTTCATCGGTGTAACGTTTGGCAAGTCGATGCTCAAGGCAGTGAAAGTCGACCATAAGAGTCGTTGCTCAAAACAAACATTGTACATCAAAAATTGAATGCATGGCGTCTAATAATTGAATCTAGTAAGACCATCTGGAAAGTCACAGCTTCATGCTACAGCAATGCTGGACAACAGGCGCAAAGCAGAGAAACATGTTGTTAGTTATCCATATACGAACATCGCCCAGAAAGGTAAACATTCAATACGCTCCTCATCCCCAAACAGTCACACTTGACCGCCCCACTGTCTTCATTATACACGAGTGGCAGAATGATATCTGGAATACTCTGCATTCACCAACAGTCTCGTGACTTGTCACGAGATTCTGACAACAACTTTCTTTGTTCATCTAGATGTCTTCGACGTAGTTCGCCAGTACCTTTGTCTAATGGAGTCAATTCTTTGAGTTACATGGCACGTGGCATTACGGCTCTGACGAAACTCAGATGCTGGCAACCAAAGAAGTCATGATTCGACATTCATTTCGTCTTATTCTAGTGTATTTGTTGTGATCATGGCTCGCTCATCCCATCTGAGCTTGTGACGGCATTCCTCGGAATGGTGTCGCACCTCTTCAACGCCTGTACAGTAACCTTCGAGATGCAAAACCTCTGAATGCTGCTGGTGTTGCTTCCAGCAAACCTCTATTCATCTTGTGGAGATAACTGACCGAGATGCGGCCGAGGCGATGGACGTTCCTCCACGCGATGATCCCCCACTTCGACTCCACCTCGGCTCAAAGTGCTTCACCTCCAGAATTTTCCCAACATCACATGCATTACCTCGCTTGTTCAATACGCCAATGCTATTGCCAAGCGGGTGATCCATGATCTCGTGTCTTGATCCACCTGTCTCTGAATTGCTCGATTGTCGCTGATATGGGACCCCCTCGGCATGGGAATGGATATGTACCATTCGTCGACTTGATTGCACTAGAAAAAGTGGACGATAGCACCTTCCGCAGCACCGCTCTTGCTTTCTCTCCCAATGGCTCTGGCAGAGCATACGGTGGCCATGTATACGCACAAGCCGTCTGGGCAGCGGCGAAGACGGTCAAGGCTGGCTTTGTGATACACGTCAGTACTCGAGACTCCAAGCACCCCTTTGAGGCGAAGTAATTCTAGAATCATTCTGACTTCATTGCCCAGAATGTTACCGGCTTCTTTGTCCTAGCTGGAAATTCTTCGATTCCGTTTGTTTACAGGGTTCAAACCATCCGGAATGGTCGATCGTATTGCACTCGGGTAGTCAATGTTACTCAAGCCGAGGGCGATGGAATATGCTTTACCTGTACCTGTTCTTTCAAACTGGCCGAGGAAAGTCATTTCGATGTCCAAGAAAAGATTGATCTGGATCGAGAGTATGGAGTTGTACTTTCTGGCAAGAAGCCAGAAGACTGGGAAGAAGTGTCAGGCATGGATGTGCCCTGGTAGGTGCCGTCACTTGCTTCATCAATTTTTCTCTGGCTGATCCAGTCCAGGTATAACTCTCGTCGCAGACTCACAGGCCGTAACGATGCATTTCCTGGGCTTGAGAGTCGCAAGGTGGACATGACACCGTACAATGCTTCACTCTCAGCTTTTGACCGCCGGCAGCTTTTCTACTATCGCGCGATTGGCGACCTACCACCGGATCCGAACATCCATGCCTGCGCGCATCTGTACGCGTCGGACCGCAATTCGCTCTTCATCGTTGCCAGACACTTCGAGATCAGCGACAAGTTTACACATATGGCAAGTTTGAGCCATACAGTGGTTTTCCACACCCCTGCTTCACACATAATGCTGCAGAGTCAGTCTGAAAAACACTGGATTTGTCAAGAAGTATGGACGACACGAGCAGGCGGAGGACGAGCAATGCATCACAGCCGCATTATTGGCCCAGGAGGTGCACATATGGCTACCACTTTCCAGGAGGGCATGATAAGAGTAGGTCTGGGTGAGAATCAGTATGAGAAGGCGTACAAGAAGTCGTTAGAACGTCTCTGATAAGACTCTGGTACACAACATACACTACATAAACTTAGGCTTCAAAGTCTTAACTCATACAGACATCTAGACATGACCGCGATCACTCATTGTGGGGCTTCGCGGTAATCCTCGATACATAAAGCATGTGTTCAAAACTTTTCTTCTCAGATCTTCTTGTCTCATACATCAGCCCTCGAAAGACCGTTCCATCGAATGTTCCTTCCCTGTTCATACTTTACACAAAAACCACAGATGTTCAACAGTTAACTAATTCTTCCAGGATAGATATGCTCGGCCTTTTTCTCAGTTCTTCCATCCGGATGTCTAATCTTATAGTTCACAGTGGCATGATCTTTACGATCAGACGGACTCTCATGCCAGCCGCATCTAATATACTTGTCAGCTCAGCTTGACAGTCTCGAGGAGGACTCGCTCACCTAATCAATGCATGATATGCCCCACGAGGTGCTTTGGCACGTACAGCATCCTCAATCTCGCGTCTCCGAGCAGAATTGGTACAAAGATAGTTGTCTGGCTTCCAGTTGATGTTGATCAAGGGGGTGAAGTTGTTGTTCTGCTTTTGTTTTCTGCCGCCGCCACGGGTTCCCATGGTTGTTCAGTCGAGTTGAAGAATGGGTGAGGACTTACTTTGCTGTGTCGTATGCGTTAACTTTGCTGTCAGGACGATCGGGAATGGAGCATTATAGATGCTAGGGCCAATCTATAGATAGTACAACAATGGTGAGGTGCTCTGAGATGTCTCTGTTGTGTGCTTCGATGTTGACTATGAATCCATGCCAAGGTAAGACATCTTGCAATCATGATATGGCGTCTCAGACACTTCGTCCAATCGATCACCCTTACCCCATTGTGGTTTTGAGACATAACGCCGTATAATCAATCTCTCGAACGTCTTTAGAGGGAACCTTGCGGCTATAGAAGAGGCTAAGGCTGGTTACGCATGCTTCATATACAGTCATGGATCAAGACTGCGACGCTTAATCTGTAGTGGTGTGTCCTTGACACTTACAGTACCAATACATGGAGTAGAGATTATTTCTTGTTTTCATCTCACTACATCCACTTCTAGATTCCATGATACTTTACATTACTTCATCAATATTCTCTTTCTCGTCTCATTATACTAGCACAGAACTTAGCAGATTACTGACCAGCAGTTCTCTTAGGATAGATGTGTCTAGTACGCTCAATCTCGCCGATCATATAGTCCACGGTAGCATGGTCTTTTCTATCAGACCAACTCCCATGCCAACCATTCCTATCACTTGTGTTAGCTTTGCATCTCAAGAGCTCTTACTTACTTACCTGATCCAAGCTTCATTTGTTCCACCAGGTGCCTTTTCCGCCACAGAATCCTCGATCTCCTGCTTGAGTGAGGACTGTTTGGAGTATGAGATCTTCTTGTACCAATAGATGCAGACACCAAGAATTGTTCTGCCCTTCTCAGTCTGCCTTAGCTCTTGTCTACAGTAATGTCTTTGCTTTGGGGTACCAAGCTTTGACTTCGGCATTAGGACACTTTGAGGTTGGAGAGATAACTCACTTTGTGATCTGCTTTGAATCGTTGCTTGATCAGTAACAGTAGCTGGACGAGGAGTCCGACTCTTTTATCGAGTCCGACATCTTCTTTCTCATCTATAGATAGCATATTCCATTGTTAATATGTCCTCCTGAGATGTCTCTGATTCGAGGCAAACAATGCTACCTTTGTGGTGCCCTTCTGAGACATCTCGTTCCGTGCTATACTTGCTATCACACTTTTTGTTGCACAATCTATTCCAATTCGCACTCCTTGTTCTCTATGATACCCACCGGTGAAGGCTGTCACCCCAAGGGTTCACATAGTGGTATCGAAAAAGTGGGAGATTGATCAATCAATGGCAGCATATTCACACGCACAGACTTATGCAAGGAGAGAACAGTACTTGGAAAAGATCATGCCTTGTATTAGATCCATATTGAGAGACATCCATTCACAAAAACGCCAACATCTAAACTGTTCATTCAACTGGTTTCCTTCCATGCTTCGTACAATCCAAAGACACAAGATGAGTATGCTAAGTCAGTGGTCCCATCAAGGGTAGATGTGTCTACGTTCCAAGCTCTCACCTCTGTCGTAGTCCGCAGTCCCATGGTCTCTACCATCAGATCTGCTTGTGTGCCAGCCACTNCCTGCATCAAATTCAATCAGCTCTCCCTCCCCATGTCATATACAGTTCTCAAAAACACAGAAAAGCCAAACTTACGCAATATACGCAGCAGAGGCATCAGCAGGAGCCTGTGCACGCACAGCAGCCTCAATCTCCTGCTTCACATCAGGCTTTGTCGAGTAGGCCTTGTCGTCGTACCAGTGTGTTTCGATGGGTGCGGACATTCCTGGCTTTGAAGGGTGTTGTCAGTTTAGGAGGGTGGATTGAACACTTACTTCTGTTTTTTGCTTCTGGCTTTTGCTTGAGAAGAGCAGACACAGTCGACGATGCTTGAGAAAATATAATTCTGAGTGATGGATCAATGTACAGATCTCTCTCTTTATGTGTGAGACTGTCTTTTCAGTATGACACGCTTTCCCGAGTGAGATGTTTAGGAGAGACAACAAAGAGTCTTGAGATGGAGAGACATTTCGGAACAAAACCTGTAAGTCAATGAGGCTTCTTTTCGTCTTGCGCTCTGTAAATGTTGCACATCAGGGATTATCGCGAAATCAATCTCAAGTGCAAGTTGTTGATATGGGTTGGAGTCGGCAGCAAAGTGTCGCTGATTAGATAGGAATAGAATGCGTAAGCAACAACAGCATTGTACAAAAGTATAAGTGAAGAGGAGCGTTGTCCATGATTTGTGTAGTTTGTATACAAGTCCATCTAGGATACTCTCCTCGATAATCTATTCAACGCGTTTTGGCTCTTTCTCTATTTTCGGCTGAGAGAATCGAAGTCTGCATACAACGCTTCTTCTTCCGTGACATGGGAGGCATGGCACCTTTGTGTTCCAAGAGCAGATTTCTGACTCGTGAATATTCTCCAGACTAGATGTAAACGTCCCCGTCTGCTTGAGTCGCAACTTCCTTCACTGTCTCCAAAGGCTCTGTTGAGGCTTGCTTGACTACGACTGGTGATCGGAATGCCACCTCCTGGTGCTTTCATCTTCCCACGAGCCTTACCAGCGACAGAGGTTCTCTCAGTGAACAATGTAAGTCCGGCAGCTCGGATTTTTCTGAGTCCTGTGCTCGGTTGGGATGTTCTCGAGTCTTGCTCGAGACATCTTCCGGCGTTGACTGATCAAGTCGCACTCCCGAGTCCGATGCAATTACCTGATCAAATGCATGTCGTGAAGCCACGTCCTTGTACTCGGATTTCTGCATGTACATCCTTCGAATCTCGCTACCTTCAGCTAGACGATTCCAGTGCACATGAACTCTTTGACCTTGATTGACGAGCTGGAGTATCTTCCGAGCATTCTTCAGCTCTTCTGGGAGATCAGCTTCCATTGCTGAGTCAACAGCTGAATTTCTTCCGGATGATGGGCCATGCGGTATCTCTAAGGCTGTCGTCACCAACTCAAGCGCAATGTCTGCATGATATGCAGCATTTTCTTGGTCGTGTTCTGTTAATGCTAGATGTTCATGGATGAGGACTCGCAATTGAAAGTCCAGCCGACGGCTGGAAAGCAAGACACAAGATAGTTCGTAGAACTCCAGATCTGACTTTTTCCGAAGTATGTCTTTGATGACGTTTTCCACAGAAGGTAGATGCCTAGTCATCTTGACAAACAAATCTTCTGCTTCATGCTTAGAGAGTCCAGCTGCAAAACAAGAGACCGACGAAAGCTGTTCTTGGTAGAAGTTTGCATCTTTATTGAGAACTTGTTGCAAGAAAAAGCGCTTCTCCCTGTATTTGTGGCATCTTGCGTGAGATTTCTCGTTTGGATAAGGCCAGCGTCCTATCTTGTCGATGTCGTGGTATTGATGACCTCCCCACGACACTCGGCGATTATGGGTCGAGCACACTGCAGACTCGTCGAGATGGCCGCTGCACGGTGCCTTCATGATTCCAGATGTAGGAAACTGTCTTTCTGCGGACGGGCCGAGCGAACGCAGGTTCTCTGGCAGAGGTGCGCCAGCAAATTCACAATCGAAGTTCTTATTCGTCTTATGATGCTTCTCACTGGTCGTGCCGCCGAAGACGACATCTGCCTGATCTGCCAACTTGGTTCGTGTGGCGTACAGCGTGTCGAGCCAGACATGAAGTTCATGAGTTGATAGCCTAGCGAACAAGGTCTGACTCCTTCGGAACAAGTACGAGTATAAGTAAAGGTGGTCCATCGCGTAACGATGAGGCTCGGTTTGCATGCGTAAGAAAGTGTAGCCTCGAATCTTCCCTATGAGATGAGCGCGCAGGGTTCTAAGTCGATTTCCAGGCATTATAGTCGGAGATTATGACAAAAATGAAGAACTGTTCGTCCTATTAAAAATGCAAATCTTTAACCATGACTCAGAATCAGTGACTGATATCCGGCGGATAAAGGACATGTTGAGGCCTTTTGAGTCTGTTGTGTTTTTGAAGTCCAGATATTCGGGGAGAATGCGCAATGCGGAGTGTGTAGATGGCCTTCATTGTGCTTTTCTTCGAAATGTCTTCTGGTCTGCATTCTGAGCATGACATACAGTGACCTGCTGCGAGACAGGAGTATAGCGAGCAGCTATCATAGGCTTCAGTTCCTGCAGAATCCGGCTGCATCTCTGATTTCTCCACTTTAGATAACTTTGACAGTGTTTGGGTAGCTCTATCACAACTCGAGCTTGTCTAGTCTCCAGATCTCAAATTGTTGGACGTCCTCAAGAGTGGCCAGTGTGACACGGTTCAGCCATTCAAGATTTCCATCAGCATCTGGCATCTCTACCGCCTTTTCAAGCCTGATGATGATGTTGCCAACGCCACAATATCTGACATTTTGATTCAGACATTTCCAGTACAGTGGTTCGGTTCGCGTTCCATCAATCAGTTCAGTGATCCCGGTCTCGTTGAGCATGTTAGCGCTGTTTGCATTGGTCAAGATCCTGACAGCGCGCAGCTTAAGAAAGAAGGGTGCAAGCAGACTCATAACTTCACGAGCATCTTTGTCCAGTGCGAATCCGACTTGCTCCAGATTTGGACATTTGCTGACAAGTTCACCGATCTGTTGACCCGAAAGTGGGAATTGGTCAGGCAGTAGTAATTTTGTAAGAGTCTGACCATGGTTCGTGGTTAGGGCGCGTAAGTATGCTTTGCAAGTTAGAGAGGCCTGCTTTTCCGCGAAGGCAGTGGGAGTGGGTGTCGTGACAGATGTAGCAGGCGTGGTGGCTGCGGTCTCGGGCGATTGAAGCTCCATTTTCATGTCGTGGTCGCATAAACTGTTTCCAACCACGTACAACTCTTCCAAACCAGAGAACTGCGACAGAATTTTGGCATGCTCCATGGCCGGTTCGCTGACTCGATGCCTTCGGTAACTTTGGAAGTATTCAGGATCCGGGATAGTTCTCCATGTCTCATCCACCCAGATAGTAGTCGGGCGGCCATAGATACCTCCAAAGACGTCGAGAAAGTCTGCACTCTCAACACAACCGGGTTCGAAAATTTCTGCCAGGTCACCAGTGTTGGGCCCATAGAAGTTTTGAAGGCCGATGTGCTTGATTTTCAGTCTGTATTTTGCCTCTAGGCATTGACCAAATATCATCCTCAAGTTTATACTGGGCTCGGCCTCTTTCCGCATGCGAGGACTCCAGTGAATGCGAAGATCTTCCAGCTGCTTAGCGTGGAAGATCAGACCAGCTACATCGTCTGGATAGCAGAGGGGGTCGATATCGCTCACACGTAAGCGACGAAGATTTGGCATTGGCGGTATGACGACTATTGGACGTGGCGATCGGACTTGTGGAAACCGTAGGGTGAGTGACGTGAGGGTTGGTCGGGCAGCCAGTCCTTGATAGATGGACTTGGTTGGCTTGGAGTCGAGATCCCAGACGAGAGATTTGAGGTGTGTCATTTTGTCCATGGCAGCACGCAAGGCAATGCCCAGTAAGATGGTACTGTCGGGTATCTTTCCTTTGCTGTATTCATCTATTCCGGATTCTGTCCATGCTCCTGTCACTTTGAACTCTTTCACCAATGGCGCTGAGTTGCCCGAGGCGAGACCACTGAGGCCCATGACAAACGGACTGCCACTTCCATATCCTTCTGGTCTTCCGTCTACGTAGCGCGTTTCGGAATAGGAGCGAAGGGTGACACGTTCGTAGAGTACGGGTAGAGTCATGTAATACATTAATCGGCAGGTTCGGGTCATACGCGCAATGTCGCCAACATCTTCANNATCTACCAACCAGCGTTATTAGTCTGGATTGGATGTGCTCATGTCAAACATACGGCTTACAAAAGATACTATATGAGCAATCAAGCTGAGTGGAAGGGTCTGCCCTCTCGGGGCACCATTAGGTGCATTCAGCGGCACTGGAGAGGCATACAGTACATGAGGGGGAATCTCCCTGCTCATGTCGAGCCTTCTTCCAGGCGCCTTCATAACAGCAGTCGATGGAATATGCGCGCAGGGCTGACATGACAGAAACGAAGGGCTTGTCGGTTTTACATACGATCATAAAGTCCGCCAAGCACGCATCATGAACGAGAAGCTTAATGATAGGGCAGGACTGAAATCGCCGACTCTCCTCGCAGACGGATGAAAAAGCCTCCGAAGACGTTGCAGTCTGACTGCGAAATTGAGCTTTTCATTATGTGATGACTTCCCTTATGGCAAAGGAAGTTTATGCAGTCCCTATTTCTGCCGGCAAATGAGCATCCGGACCTTGGATGAAAGTTTTCTCGCGTGTTCGGCCTCAGATTTCAAGGGTCCGCGTCCGGGCATCACGAACCATGCGGGCAGAATGGACGCCGACGCCGACCGAGGAGGCAATAAGCCGCATGCCTGAATTCTCCTTGTACCTGTCTATCCGCCGTGCAAAGTAGAAACGAAGACGATTTGGTCCCTTGGTTGAAGCTCATATTGGTCCTCACCCTCAAGCTCCCAATCCGCATCATTGATCAGCACAAGAATGCCTGGACGANNCTTTTGATTGATATTAGCTGCACGTGATAATCTAAGATCTGAGAGCAAGACATACACAGATTCATCTAGGAGGAAGAGTTCTTTCTTCTGATCCGTCATCAGATTTTCGCATAGGTATTTGATTAGGTAGGCGATATTTGCTGGTCGACCATCTTGATCTTGTGCTGGCAAAGAGATCTTGTGGTTTCGTTGGTTTGAAAAAAGCAGCTCCAGGCCGCCNACTGTGGTAACGTCAGTCATCGCATTAAATGCCAGTATTTATGTACCATACGTGAATTCAACATCAATTTTTATCGTGTCTGCCATGTTGATTGTCTGTATCTCGTAGTTGTAAGGGTTGATGTGCACAGCAGGTAAGAGCAAGGTGGTGGTCGCGAGCGTCGAAGCAAGCGAAACTTTTTGCGACTTCCGTTCAAACGAAAAATAATACTTGTGATCACCAAAACGCCATCAACCACACTCGCTCGAACTCCAGATCTTTATACCATCAGGAATATCTGAAGCTTCCATTATACGAGATACTGTGAATTTAGCACATCTGGCGAGGAGCTACCTCATTGCGACACAACACATCTAGGAAAATGGCGTCCGCGCATCTGGAGTACATCGCCGCAGGAGGCAACAGACATCCATGCGCCGCCGACTGGACTGAGGAATTGCTTGCATATGGAAGCGGTCACAATGTTGCCATCTGGAAACCAGAAAACAATCACAATCAAGGAGTCGAGACACTACTCGCAGGCCATACCGACATTGTTAATGCAGTAAAATTGTTCAGGGACCCGACATCAGAAAAGCGAGTTTTGATCAGTGGCTCGGCTGACAAGACCATCTGTATCTGGGTTGAGAAATCTGACGCCAAATTCGAGTTGGTCAAAAGTCTGACAGAACATACTGCTTCTATTAATGTCATTGGTGTTTTGCCTGAGTCTGGAGTATTCGCTACCGGAGCCGCTGATGCAACATTGAAGATCTGGAAGTTGCGTGTCAGCGAAGCAGCAGAGGTCGAGGTCGATCTCGTCCAGAGCATAACACTGACTCCTCGCTACTTCCCTCTCGCAATCGCACTGGCCAAGCTTCGAAGTGGTCAACTCGTTGTTGCCGTTGGTGGCACCATGGCGAACATTCAGGTCTACATGCAAGACAAGGACACTTTTTCGTTCGCAGCAAAGCTCACCGGACACGAAGCCTGGGTTCGAGCATTGGACTTTACGCGCGAGAGTTCAAAGCCTGACAGTGATCTCTTGCTTGCGTCCGCCAGTCAAGATAAGTACATTCGTCTGTGGCGTTTCCATGCTGGTGAAGAGCTTCCAGAAGTGGCAGCTGCAGCAAGCGACCCAGCCATGACTGTCTTCGGTCGCTCATTGTCTAACAAAGCCCACTGGATCGGAGAGGGAGAATCAAAACACTCAATTACTTTCGAAGCCTTGTTGATCGGCCATGAGGACTGGATCTACACAGCTCGCTGGTTCACAAAATCTGAACAGGATGCAGCGCCACGACTTCTCACTGCGTCAGCAGACAACTCACTGGCTATGTGGGAGCGTGACGCCGATGGCTTCTGGACTTGCGCGACCAGATTGGGTGAGATCAGTGCGCAANAGGGATCCACCACCGCAACAGGAAGCACAGGTGGTTTCTGGATTGGTTTGTGGTCGCCATCCGGAAGCACAGTAGTCAGTCTAGGCAGAACCGGCAGTTGGCGAGCCTGGTCCTACAACGCAATTGAGGATCGCTGGTTGCGCGAGTTGGGTATTTCTGGCCATGTGCGAGCAGTCAAGGATATTGCTTGGTCAAACGATGGCACTCAACTCATGTCTACCAGCTCAGACCAGACAACGCGACTTTTTGCTCAGTGGAAACGAGATGCTGCAACTACATGGCACGAGATGGCGCGTCCTCAGATCCATGGTTATGACTTGAACTGTCTGTCTGCTATCGGCGCAACCCAATTCATCTCAGGAGCAGACGAGAAACTCCTCCGTGTATTCAACAAACCCAAGGCAGTTGCCCACCTTCTCGCCAAACTCAGCGGTACTACCGAAGACGCAGGAGACGCCGATCTTCCCGACGCAGCAAACATCCCCGTCCTAGGTCTCAGCAACAAAGCCATCAACGCCCTGACACCCGAAGAGGAAGCAGCCACCGAACCCTCCGAAGAAACTACAATCACGAAATCCACCCTCGACCTCTCGCAGCCACCTTTTGAAGATCATCTCGCCCGCCACACTCTCTTCCCCGAACTCGAGAAATTGTATGGTCACGGTTATGAGATTTCTTGCGTGGCTGCAAGTAATGATGGTAGTTTGATTGCTACAGCTTGCCGTGCCAGTTCCATCGATCATGCTGTGATCAGACTTTACGAGACGAAAGAGTGGAGAGAGGTTAAACCACCTTTGACTGCTCACTCCTTGACTGTTACTTCTCTCGCTTTCTCGGCTGATGACAAGTATCTCCTCAGTGTTGGTCGTGATCGTCAATGGGCATTGTTCTCACGCTCCACACCTACTACCTACGAACTCGCAGCTTCAAACCCCAAAGGCCACAGTAGAATGATTCTATCCTGTTCGTGGGCTCCAGTCTCTGCATTCAACGTCTTCGCTACAGGCGGCAGAGACAAAAACGTAAAGATCTGGGCTATTGATCCTTCCTCTTCTGAAGGCGTCAACGCAGATCTCAAACTCAGCATGCCAACCTCTGCCCCCGCCACTTCTGTAGCTTTCTACACTGGCACTGCAGCAGAACCAAACACATTTATCCTAGCTGCAGGTACTGAAGACGGCAGTGTAACTATCTTTNGCATCAATGTTGGAGATTGGACGATCAAGCAAGAGTTAAAGATTGCAAAGCACATGCAGCCTTCTGGTGCTATTAATGCTTTGAGATGGAGACCCCAAGCCAAGGCAGAAGGACAAGAGAAGCCGCAATTGGCTGTAGCGAGCGAAGACTTGTCGGTCAGATTATACGGTTTCGACGGTTTAGTTAGCAACTAGACAGAAAAGAATATGAATAGAACTTTTCAGCCTTCTTACCTGTGTGCTAAAGACTGTCATACTCTCGCCAATGGCTCTTGCCCCAAGCCTGGGCCATAAAAGTCCTATACGTTTTGAGAAGGGACAGGTGCGTTTAAAAAAAATGTGCCTGGCCATTGAGATAGCCTTTGAAAATGTTCTCTTAGTGGAAGCTTCATGCTCTACAAAAGTATTGTGCATCTCTGCAGCTGCACTGTGACTATGTCCTGCCACACGGAGAGTCTGCTATCGGCAGAAATACAAGTACAATAGTGGTCGTCGATACGAGAAGGGTGCATGTGAAGAAAAAGATATTTGTATATCTAGAGAGTTCTGCTGAATTGAGTTTGCATTAGAGCTAGCAACGATAGTAATAATGCCTAAAGGTGCTTAAGATCAATATTTGCTCAAACATCCACAATGCTCAACATCCACAATGCTACATAACTGCATCGCCAGCCACCTTCGCCTTCCAAGATCTTGCTGATGAATGTAAACCATTGCCTCCACACTGTATGCATCGCCTCGACTTCAGGCTGATTGTGATATTCTTCTTGTATTGATTACGCCTTGGTGCGATGCCGGCCATAATTCTGCCCCACTTGATACCCTATCTCCATATGTTTGCTTGCTAGCTGCAGAGTGAGAAACTTTTGATGGGGCGAGCTGGGTTGCTTCTGTTCCATCCAAGGTCGGCGATATCCTCCGTAGGCTTTAGCTGTCTTGACTCTTCGTGCCACGGTGCAGGATATAGGGACGCCAGGAGATCGAACCGAGTAAACACTCCAGGCGGTGCCATCGTCAACAGGATATGCTTGGACACGAGCATGGTTATGGTCTCCTGGGTGTAGTTGCATGATGGTGAACCTCAAGGAGGGGGGGATAGGCATTCCTCAAGAAATACCATGATAGCGGATTAGAAGAGAGAGCGTCAACGCTAGATGTCACGAGTGCAACGTCTTGTTCGTGTTCCAGACGTGGACGCGGCGTCAAGTGCGGCAAAATTGGTTCTAAAGAGCTGTTGTACGAGACCCAACACTGTGACCAGAGAAAGCAAGCATCTGTGCGGTTCTTGACGTAACGTATCTCTAATAGGAATGTGGGATCAGAGGGGCAACGTCAGACTCAGAAGCTGGCTGGTACGGCTTGTCTGCAAATGTGAACTGCCAGTGGGATATGAACGCATCCAGGACTCTGAGGGATACGTTGTACTCCGAACTCGGATACCTGTCGGCAATGACAACCAGCGCACACTCTGTATTTGCTGCTCTTGCTATAGAGTCTGCAAGCTCCTCTAGAGACAGCTTTGTCGAGATAAGAGCACTAAGGTGTTCGGGATGAAGTAAGCATATGTTGTTTGCTCCTAACACTGCTTCCTAAGTATTGCTTTTAATGTCGTGATAAAAGTGTTGTAAGCCTTGGAGCAGCAGGAAGAGTGCTCTTTATCCGAGTCTTGACGGCTAGCGCAGTTATTTATTGCATGATTTCTCCATTCGGGTGTCGACGACAATACACTTTCAATCATCTGTAGAGTTGAGAGACCATTACTGGAGGCCGATAATGCATTCCAGATAGGAAGTGGCAATCCACAGGAGGTAGCATACACTGAAGGTAAACTTAGAAACCTGATTAACATTTTTAGAGTCCTAGTGGCAGTCGATGTCCTCGGAGTGATAGCACCTAGAGCGCTTGACCGTCTAGTATTTGTTGAGCTTGAGGAAGTAGTCTCTGTAGCTGTGTTGGCCACCGTGGCCGTGACCGAGGTTTCCAGAGCGTACCCCCTTTGCCATTTTTCCTGGTAACTTTCCTTTTCGAATCTTTCTCTCGAGCGGCGTTGGCAACAGAGGAATCAGAGCTGATAAAGGGAGCACACACGTTGGATGCAGTATTCTTTTCGCTCCTATCTCTTGGGACCCTTGGACTAGATCTTGACTTGATAAGGCTGTCGACGACAGAGAGGGCCTTATGGTCGCCGCCCAATTTGTATACTGGAATACAAGGCTGGAGGGGAGACTTTCCCTTGCGGCTCGAGTGAGGAATGCTGGCTGTCCGAATAATGCATCCGACAAAAAGCAAAGGTGAACTAGTCGAAAAGCCAAGCTATTGATAGAGAGCTCTGGAAACTCACCCTGGGCCAGATGCATGATCTCGGTTGCAGCATAGGGACCACTGTCCTGTGGATGGGCGGTTTGGGGGATAGTGACACTATACTCGACTTTTGCCTCCTTGAAATTGACAGGGTTGGTTCCAAGCACACTTGAGATCCAGACTGACCAGAGTTGCGAACAAAAAAAGGGGCAGCATCCATCAGAATACCAGCAAGAAAGCGACCTTTAGGAGGCTAGGGAGTCTGCCACTCTGATTCGCCTGAAGACTTGATCTCGACGACTACCCAGTGGCACCAGTCCACATTGTATGCAAATACAATCTTCTCATGGTGACGATTCATCTTGGCACATGGCCGACGAGAACCTCGAGGCATCTCTTGAAATTCCTGCTTGTGTGCCGCTGGGATAAGTGCTTTGATCTTTTGGTTGGCTCCACGACTGCGTCGATACCTGTCGACAGTAACCGCCAGTGTATCCTCTCTGTTTGCCGCTTCTGCGACAGACTCGGCAACTTTACGCTGGGACAGCCTTGGATAAACATAGCAGCATCAAGATTCTCGGGATGGAGTGGGCGTATATGTCTCAGACGCGATCGAATGAGAACACCAAGAAAACATTCGCCTGTTGAATTTACAAACACACTTTCGCAGGACGTATCGAGCAGGAATTGAGGTTGATGGTACTGTATATTGAGATGAGTCATTGATTGAAGCGAATGCTGATAGTACAAGAGATGTTGATTTTGATAATGCATGTAAGAAAAGGGGGTATCAAGAGAAGAAGTGAAGGCTAGAAAGAAGAATAAAAAGACAAGAAAGGTGTGAAGAACAAGAATGAGCAGAAGATCGCCATGAGCATCCCGGGACATACAAATCATGTCTTCATAATCATGCGTAGAACCCATTCGTAAACATTGCATAGCAATTTCTTGATCGCAGGAAGAAGGTCGTGAAAAATGGGGAGAGAGGCGTACAACAGAGACGTCTATGTCTGCGTGGCGTTGACGTGCTCCCATTCTGGATCGGCTGCCACATCTACAAGACCAGTGAACCACTTGCAGTCCATGACATCAGCTATGGTCCATCTCAAGTCGGGGTCGGTGTTCAGGCAACCGTGAAGCAGATCACAGATGTCCTCGGCATCGACCTGACCGGCGGGAGATGACATGACCAAGTCCTTGTTCCAGTCACCTGCTTCAATGAGTTCGACCAATTTGAATTGGATGGTGTGCTGGAATGGACGTTTGCCTGTGACCATGGTGTAAACACACACGCCAAATGCCCAGATATCTGCCGAATAATCCTTGCGAGTAGAGCCAGAGAGTAATTCAGGAGCAAGGTACTCGAGGGTGCCGGCAGGCTCCTTGTTATCATCAGAGTCCAGTGAACGGATACTGTCTGTCATACCAGACGCATCGCCGTCAACGAAACTAGCCAGACCAAAATCGCATAGCTTCAGATTTCCGCAGTCATCTTGTGGTGTTATCTGGATGAGGCAGTTCTCGAGCTTGACATCGCGATGAACCAGTCTGACATCTGAGTGCATGTATCTCAATGCTGCGGCAAGCTGATGAGAGTATGTCTTTGCAAGGTCAGGTTTCAAGCCCATCTGGCCATTGTTACGAAGCTCGCTGATAAGGTCGTACAGCGAGCCGCTTTCGACCAGATCCATAATGCAGAAAGTCGCAAAGTCCGTGATGAAACTGGTATGAAGTTGCAAGATGTGAGGATGGTTCAGATAGCGCCAGATCCCGATCTCGTAGTCGACAGCTTGTTGAGCCTTGTCATTCTCGGCCTCGCTCGCATTGGAGACGGTCTTGCGCACAATCTTGACAGCTCGCTTGGTTCTGTGGCCGTCATTATCCATACCAATGACCTCCTTGACAACGCTGAAGCCTCCTGAGCCAATTTGGCGACCGACGACATACTCGTTGTTGATACCAATCGACTGACCTTCATCATCGGGCTTAGGCTCGGCAGATTGAGAGTTGCTGCCCCAGCCACTAAGAAACTGGGCAGCTGGCGACATGGACGAGCCAGAGAACCTACTAGATCTGCGACTGGTGTTACGCAAACTCGCAGTGCGCGACAGAGTGGGCTTACGCGACATCATAGGCCATGGTTCACTGCCCATACTGGGACTGGCAGCAGGAGAAGGGGTCATGACGGCCGAGTTGTTGAAGTATGAGCCTGCAGGTGTATCTGGACTTCTCAACTGCTCGCTAAGCAGCGAAGCGGTCGAGGCCGAGGTCAAAGAAGGCAGGTGTGTGGCATCGTGCGAGTCGATGGTCTCCAGGCGTGGTGCAACTTCACTCTTCCTCGTACGTCGTCGGACAGGTTCTCCAGTGAAAGGATTGATTCTGACTGGGTCTTCGGGCGCAGCCGGAGCAGAAGCAGTTTCGTCCGACATGGCCGAGTCGCGAGTGCTGCGGCGGCGTGGTTGAGGTGGCCTTGAGGACAAGGGGNNCTGATCGAGCGAGTGCAGGCGACCGTCGTCGAGGGTTGCAAATTCTTTGAAGCTCACGGATGAGCCTCTGGTGCGAGTTGAGTGTTGGCTCTCATCGGGAGGGGCCGGATTGTTGAGCAGCTCGGACTCTGAAAAATGAGAAGAGGCGACATGGTCGGCGTCTGAGGAAGCGGCGAAGGGGAATCTGTCTTGGGACGAGTTCGCGTGCTTGGTGTCGAGTCGTAGCTTTCGAAATTCGTGGGCAGGAGCAGGTGTGGCCATTGCCCTGTGAAAGGCAGCCAACGGAAGGGGACTTTTGCGCGCGACTCGGGGAAGCTACAGCTGGAGATGGATGCTTAAATTATACCTAGATCTTGGTCTCGAATCGGATCTTGGTTCTGTAACAGATGTCGCGCGTGGATGGTAGGAAACACGGATTGTCAAGTCAGGCTATGGAGTCAGAAGATATTCCTACAAGGCTTTCGCGGCGAAGTCGGCCTGTAAGGGTAAATAGATGGCTAGAAGGTGGCATGGTTTGGGAGCATTTAGACTTTCGGCTGAAGCGGGAGTCATGTCCTCCCCGCATTCTTTTACGTATGAGCAGAACTTCTGCGCGAATCTGGCGCTCTGATTGGTCTGGGCGAGAATGACAGAGGAGCGTCATCTTGGGCGACTGTTAGAAGAAAAGGCTGGTCGGAGATCCATCGTGGACGTTGGTGTTGTTTCAAGGATCTGCGACGTCAGGAGGGTGTAGCAAAAGAGAAACAAGTCATGCGTCAGACGTGATGGGCAGTCGTTAAAGTCGGTCAGCAGCCAAGATGGAAGTCGGTAAGCAACTGGGCAGCCAAGATACGGGTCGAGGGAGATGAAGCTCGACAACGGTGGTGTAAACAACAGACAATCAAGGGCAAGTAGACAGAGTGAAGAGAGTTGCATGAAGAAAGGTAGGGAGAGTCTGAAGGAGGTCGGCAGTAACAATAGAATCGCTATCAGTTTATCAGCCAGTGCAAGCAATGACGGCCAGATTGGGCAGTCAAAGGGTCTTTCAGTTGAGACGGCGTCCGAGCTCTTCAGGCTTGCTTGGTGCTTCTGCATCACGTCGTTGATCGAATGCTGTTGCGCCGCTGTCGCCGTATCCAGTTCCCTTTCAGCAGCTGCCCATTTCTCAACCCACGAGTTAGACTCATCTTGTTATCGTATCGCACATCCAACGTCTCGACTGTCAGCCTCAATCCAGCCGCATGTTATAGCGTTTCGCGCCCCCAGCGACCCCTTCCCACGACCAGTCTCGTCGCCGTCAACCACTCTTCCCTACCAGTAGCTCTGCCGTTCGACAGGCCTCAGGGCCATGGCCGCTCTCAAGAACTTCTGCGCCAGCATCTTCTACTGTTGTACTAGCCGCAACACTGTCGACTACGAAAATGTCCTGGCAGACAGCGAGCGCGAAGCAGTCACCGACTTGCTGAACTTCCTCGAAAACAGACAAGAAACCGACTTCTTTACCGGCGGTCCCCTCAATGCTCTCAGTACTCTGGTCTACTCACACAACATCGACCTGCAACGAAGTGCCAGTTTGACCTTTGCCGAGATCACCGAGCGAGGTGCGTCGACACTCTATCAAAGTCATGCAAACGTCCATACTGACGTTTCCTGTCGCANNGATGTGCGCGCTGTTGATAAGAACACCCTCGAGCCCATCCTGTTCCTTCTCGAAAGCAGCGATATTGAGGTCCAAAGAGCTGCTAGTGCCGCCTTAGGAAACCTCGCCGTCGATGGTACCTATGCCCTGATTGTCTATCAGCTAGTACAACGATTAACACATGCTCATANNGCACACAACAAGATCCTTATCGTCCAACTTGGTGGCCTCCAACCGCTGATCAGGCAGATGAACTCGACTAATGTCGAAGTGCAATGCAATGCCGTCGGTTGCATCACAAACTTGGCTACTCACGAAGACAACAAGGCAAAGATTGCTCGTTCTGGTGCTCTAGCTCCCTTGACGAGGCTGGCAAAGTCAAAGGACATGCGTGTCCAACGGAATGCTACTGGCGCTCTCTTGAACATGACCCATTCAGGTACTGTTCGGCTGCTTCATATTGGCTCGCAACTCCGACTGANNCCCTCTGCAGATGACAACAGACAACAGCTTGTCAACGCTGGCGCTATCCCCGTCCTCGTCCACCTGCTTACTTCGACCGATACTGACGTCCAGTATTACTGCACAACTGCTCTCAGTAACATCGCCGTCGATGCTTCAAACCGCAAACGCCTTGCCCAGACCGAGCCCCGCCTTGTTCAGTCATTGGTCAACCTCATGGACGGTCATGCTCCCAAGGTGCAATGCCAGGCAGCTCTTGCCCTTCGAAATCTCGCTTCGGACGAAAAGTACCAGCTCGAAATTGTGCGCAACGGTGGTCTTGGTCCTCTTCTTCGACTTCTCCAATCAGCCTTCCTGCCTCTCATCCTCTCAGCCGTCGCGTGTATCCGCAACATCTCAATTCATCCCATGAATGAATCACCTATCATTGATGCCGGTTTCCTCAAGCCGCTGGTCCATCTTCTCGGCAGCACTGACAATGAAGAGATTCAGTGTCATGCCATTTCTACCCTTCGTAACCTTGCTGCATCGTCAGACCGCAACAAGCAACTCGTCCTAGAAGCTGGAGCAGTTCAGAAGTGCAAGGAGCTTGTCCTGGAAGTTCCGGTTAACGTCCAGAGCGAGATGACAGCTGCTATCGCTGTTCTTGCCCTTAGCGATGAGCTCAAGCCGCATTTGTTGAGCCTTGGTGTCTTCGATGTTTTGATCCCCTTAACTGAGAGCGAGAGTATCGAAGTTCAGGGTAACAGTGCTGCTGCTCTGGGTAACTTGTCAAGCAAAGGTGAGAGTTCTAAGAGTCATGCTTCTTAATCGCGTACTGACATCAATCCAGTTGGTGACTACTCGATTTTCATAACTAACTGGAACTCTCCCTCTGGTGGTATTCATGGCTACCTGTCTCGTTTCCTTGCTTCTGGAGATCCAACGTTCCAACACATTGCTATCTGGACTCTGTTACAACTCCTCGAAAGCAACGACACTCGTCTTGTCGGCACCATCAACTCTGCCGAAGATGTCATGCAGATGGTTCAAGACATTTCAGAAAGACAAGTCGAGAGCGACAATGAGGATGGCAGCGAGGATGGCGAAGCAGAAGTCGTCGGACTCGCTCGCCGCTGTCTTGAAATCTCTAGCGGTGACGGCAACAAGAAGGCCCTTTCTGAAGGCTGATGCACATCGACCAAGCAGCATCTTTGATTGTAAGCTTGAGACGACAACACGACTCGGACACATGCATGGGCGTCAGTATTTTGTTTCTTCTCTTTCCTTGTCCATTTTTTGATATACCAATTCGCACTCGCGCGCCGCCTTTTTAACCGGCAAACAAGTATGATATCCTGGAGCAAAGCATTCGGACGGGTCTCCTCTTTCTTCTTCTCTTTTCCTTCTTCACATAGCTCTAGTAATGAATAGCGTAGTCTAACTTCTTGGTATTGGAATCAATGAACAACAAAAACGATAGATCAAATCATCTCTTTTCAAATGTCGAGCATTGTGAAATTACCTACACCTCCCCGTGTGCTAAAGGATATAACCTCCACTACTCCGACTATAGTAGAGAGTAAAGCACACACTATGAAAATGCACAATCTTCTCAAAAGACAAAAATATGGCTAAAGAAAGCTAACAAGAGATCGCGTCTTAATGGATACTATCCTGTTTTGATAGTATCGTGCATTTATATAGCCCTGCGTTACTCGCTCTTGTACGTGGGAGAGATGTTAAAGCTGAGAGGGTCAAACCTTCCATACACACAAAGACACCGTCAATCCGTGATACAATGCGCTTCATGACTCCAACATGTAACAATGAACATGTCTAAGCCTTTACGACTCCAACCGGAAGGTTACAAACTGTCCTCGAGTTCGAAAATGGTCAAAATGTCAGTCGAGGGTAGCACCCTGTCTGAAGCTGATGAGGTCATGTCCGAACAAAGGCCGGCGCAACTTTCGTGCATCCAGAATTGTTCACCTTTCAAGCTGCAACCACGACATCTTCCAGTGCGCAAGACACCATCACATCAATCGCAATGGCAGTTCCTCAGTTCGCACTTCCTGGCGACTCGCTCGCAGCCACATCGACACATACACCTAGCACAGGCTCTCACGTCTTTGCCTCTACAATTCACGCCAGTCTGGCAGGTCCCGTCACCAGCGCCGCACCCTCCAAGAAAACACCTTCGCCCACCGTTAGCGTAAATTCATCTACCTCGCCATCGACCTCCTACACAGCTGCTCTACCATCCGTCAACGACATCATCCTCGGCCGCATCACACGCACAAACCCGCGTCAAGCCACCCTCGACATCCTGGCCCTCGGTCCCACAGGCACCCTCGTGCTGCGCGAACCCTTCTCAGCCATAATCCGCCAACAAGATATCCGCGCCACTGAGATCGACAAGGTCAAAGTCAACGAGAGTTTTCGCGTTGGCGATATTGTACGAGGTGTGGTGATCAGTCTTGGAGACGAGAGGAGTTACTTTGCGAGTACGGCANAAAATGAGTTCGGTGTTGTGTTGGCGGTTAGTGAGGGAGGAGAGCAGATGGTGCCGGTTAGTTGGAAGGAGATGAGGGAGGTTAACGGAGGAAAGACTGAGTTGAGGAAGGTTGCTAAGCCTGTCTGAGGGCTTGAGGCATGACAAGAGTTGACGAAAAACGGAGAAGGATGCATCAAGCCATGCCTGGCTTACCATCTACGAAAGGAACCGCCCTAGGCCATACCACAGCTCCAATTTGATATTGGAGTATTTGTTGGAAGCATATCGATCAGGGTAGCTTGACTCTGACACAGCCTCCACCCACAGTCGCTCATACTCGGCGACCGCTCAGCGCTCTAAGCATCGAGGACCAACCTAGCTACACACCAAACGGCTTGCTGCAATCTCAGGACCATCGAGTCGGCCCACAATCAGCTGCATATAAGGCCTAAGGAATACATAGTCACAAATTACATGATGACCGAAAGTCAACATGCGTTTTCTCGCTCTTTATCACCACATCAAACTTCTGGTGAAGGTGTTTGTACAATTGTAACACAAAGAGATGGGCATTGTTTCGGTAGATGTTTTCGGTAGGCTTCGGCAACTCGGCAGAAGATCACCCCTCCGACTTCGTCGCTATTGATCCTATAACAACTACTCGAGTACAACAAAAACAAATTTACCCATTTTACACTGTCATTCTGATTACTGGAGCATTATATCAACCACAACTTGATCATGTTCTACGAACCTGGATCTGATCATGGGTTGCCCTACGATCCTTTCAAAGTAAGCAAAAATCCACCTGTATCAATCATTCTCGCAATCTGCTCCATGCCTCCAATGCAGCATGTAAACATGCAATAATGTTTTCAAGTCTGGGAATTGTCCAGAGAGATTGATTAGCCATCACTGCTCTCCTTGATGCTGTACAATTTACAGGATTGAGTCGTGTATTTCTATATCTGCATATATTCACGTTGATGATTATCATCGAGAGATAATGGTGGCAGAGCTAGTAATGTTGTTTGATCAGCTCTTCCAAGAATGGAACTTTGCTCGCAGCAGCAATACTCAAAATTCCCAAAATTCCCATATCTTCCTCACCGAACAGTTCGCCCTCGAAACGATCCCTTTCCATCTCCACCATCTCCTCTTTCCCACCTCCTGCTTCTGACTTTTGGAAATACTAACAGCCACATCGAAAAGGCCTGCGTAGTCNCCCGCCCCATCGGCTGGATCTCCACCCGTTCCTCCTCTGGTCACGACAATCTGGCTCCCTACTCCCAATTCACAAACCTGACTTTTGATCCTCCTTACGTGTTGTTTTCTTCCAACCGCACTCCCGACGGTAAACGCAAAGATACCGTCAACAATGCCGAGGAAACCGGTGTTTTTGGTTGGAACTTGGCAACTTATGCTTTGAGAGAGGAAGTCAATATTACTGCGCAACAACTGGATCCTAGCGAAGATGAATTCACACATGCAAAACTGGAGAAAGAAGATGCGAGGAAGATTCCTGTGGCACTGGTTAAGGAAAGCCCAGTCAGGTTTGAATGTGCTTTTGATAGGGTGATTGAGTTGCCGGGCAATCCGCCTATGGGTACTGTATGTATGGCTTTACTTCTCTTTCCTCTTCTCTCCCTTCCTTTTGTCTTTCTACACCCCTAGCACAACACTAACAAAAACCAAAGGNTCGATATAGTAATTGGCCGTGTGCTCGCCGTCCACATCTCCGACTCCGTACTCACAGACGGCAAAATCGACATCAGGAAAACAGAACCCATAGCTAGATTAGGCTATTACGAATACGCAGTCGTGAGAGATACTTTTGAAATGAGGATTCCAGGCACCAACAAGGCGCTTTTGGATGGGCTTGAGGGATCTGCAAAGGCGAATAGAGGATTGGAGAAGGCAGAGGGTGACGTCAAGGAAGAGGCTAAAGGACAGCTAAAGAGGAGTGTAAGTGCTGGTGCTGAGGCTGCGCTTGGAGAAGGAAAGTGAGCACGTAACGTAGTTGCCAAATCGAGCGAGTCCTTGCAGTGTGGGAGACCTCGTCAATAATTCTGTGGGTCGCAGAGCTATTTTTATGACTTTTCTGTCATGATAGTGACCACTCCTGTAGTAGCAGAATACATCTCTCTCTGCTTTACCCACCTTCTGCGCAGCTTCCATCCCTTACCGCCATTGGAAGGTAACAAGTTACAGAGGAGAGGAAAGGCAAACACCCAGGTCCGTAACCCTTTCTCTCACTCCCAAGTCCCTATAGTGATGTGCATCAGAGACTCTGATATCACTGGTCGGGATGAACGGGGAGAACTTTTGTATCATAGACCTGGTGTAGCCACTCGTTACTCCTCCAATTCACCATCAACGATCTCGCTCGGCATCTGTGATGGTATTGAGTGAAGTAAGAACTTCTTGCTCGGCTTTCTTGTCGAGTTTACTGCTGTGGTCTTCGACAATAGTCTCAAGCGATTTGACCTCGGCTTTCTCTGCCTTCTTGTCTAGCAATGTCTTGTTGTTATCGACGGTGGCTTAGAGCGAGTTGAAGTCATCTTGCATAGCCTTCTTATCTAGCAATACCTTGTTCTCGTTGACCGTAGCCTCTAGCGAGGTAAGTTGTTCTTAGCTAGCTTTGCTTGTGAACTGCTTGGTGTGGTTGTCGACGACAATCCTAAGTAAAGAAAACTTGGGTTTCTTAGCCTTCTAATCTAAGGATTCTTCATAACTATTAACGGCAGTCTCGAGTAAGGTAATGTCCTCTTTTGTAGCTATGTTGGCTAACGAATTTGTGTGCCCTTAGACAGTTGATTCGAGTATGTTTAAGGTATCTTGCTTAGCTGTCTTAGCAAGAAGTTCCTTGTAGCCATCGACGACATCCTTGAGCGAGATGAATTCAGTTGCTTTAGCTCTATCTTCCAAGCCTTGGGTATACTCATTTAGCAGGGTCTTGTGCGTTCTAACAGTTGTATCCAGTATGCTAATGTCTGCCTATTTGGCCGTGACCTTTAACTGCTTCGCGTGCCCATCGACTGTTGAACAGAGTTCGTCAAGAGCGGTCTGTTTGGCCGTGACCTTCAACTGATCTGTGTGCCCGGCCGAACTAGCCCCCGAACTCGTTGTATACATCGTAATGTCAGTGAGAGACAAGGACCTCCCAGCACTGCGTGCCACTTGCACCGCCCTCGAGTGCATCACTAGACCACAGTTCACTGCTGCCTTCATTGCTGTCCCCAAGTTCCAAGCAAGTTTGGATGGCATCAAAAGCTGGAGCGTCTCGTCACTCACTCCAGACTGGGCAGTCATGTAAGAGGATGCATCGCGATGGGCAACGACCCCTCCACCATGGTCTCCTAGATGTTCGGCAAGTTCAGAAGACCTCCACAGCTAGATGGAGTCATCAGGTACATCTACACTGTTGAGAAGATTTCTATCTTCCAACCAGCCCCTGTTCAAGGCGCTTTGCTTTTGTGATTTTGAGCAAGACTTTTCGCATTCATATCTGGCGCTTGGGAATGTCGAGCTCTATCAACCAAGGCAGCTGTTGCGTCAACAGGTCCGGTCCCTCGATGGAGGCGTTGACAAANAGTGTCTGCCTATCCTTCTCCAACTCAGGAGCAGCATAGCAGTACCCTCTATCTTCCATTTCTTTCAACCTTTGCCGAACATGCTCATCTTCTTTTGCTTCAGCTCCTTCACCTCTCAACTTGGCCAAACTCTGTAGCACCTCAGACTTTTCCCCATCGATGGCTGTCATATGAGACATGTAGGCACCATTCAAATCTTTCCAAGCGACTTTCTTTGCTCCCCAAGCCTCATGGATATGCCCAAAGCAATGCATCAACGGCCTCGCCTTCGCAACCGCAGAAAACAACATCTCGCAGCCCGCTCGATTCCTCGTCATTGTGCTGAAATCCAAAACTCCTTTGGGTGGTGAATGCGTTGTCACTATATCCACATCAGAAGGGATATCCCAAGTATGGCCGGGCAGTGGATCATAATGGTATCCATAGTGATTTTCCTCCGAGGGTACAAAAGGGCTAGCGTATACCCTTAAAACCACACCATTAGCCAGCTCAATATCATGAACTCCCTCCTCCAAAAACACAATCCCCGAATTGTTAAATCTTTCTGCATCAAACAAAGCTCTAGCTTCTCCAAAATCGCCATAGATGCTTTTTACAGAACAATCTCCTTGTGGTAACGGTAAATACGATTCGGCAAGTTTTTTACGGTATAACGTGTCGTCGAGGGTGAAATCGTGGTTTCCGGCTATTACGAGTTTGAGGGGTGCGTTGATGGTGTTGAGGAGTTTGATTGCTTGCTTGTATTCTGATAGTTTTGATTCTTCGGTTAGGTCGCCGCAGTGGATTACTACGTCGACGGGCTCGATTGGGTAGTGGGTGAGGTCATCTCCGTGGGTATCGGAGATGATGAAAAAGCGTGTTTTGGGTTGTGAATCCATGTTGAGACTGTATGCGAAGATGTTGAGATATACATTTGAGTAGAATAAAGTTGATTATGGTGATGAACGACTCCAGATATTATGGCGTCTGCTAGGCAGCAGCAGGTCACCTGATGTTCCTTCCTTCAATGCTGTGAGTCAGTTTCACTTCATCATCAACTTGACTACAATGTGGCTGCAATCGAGATAAACATACACGATTTCGACGCTGACATGATCGAGTCACGTTCCACACTTCATAGTAGAGTCTGCTTGCTTTGCTGTCTTTCGCCGTAGAGGTCACCTGCTGCGGATTGCGACAAGGAGTCAAGGACCAATGATCGAAGGAGAACAGTAGGTCGATACGCATGCAATATCCTTAATTAGTCCATCCGCCGCTCTCTCGTAAGATATGTGTCTGAAGGATATCAGTAACTTGAATCACAGCATGCACCAGAATTAGGGAGCGGTCCAAATTGGGGCATGACGAAACTGCCTTCGTGTGAATAACCTCAGTACGGTTGGTGTCAAGACCTGAGTTTGTAAAAGTGAGCTGGATTTCTGTCGTTGCTGACAAGAAACGCTGTTACGTTGACGTGCATCAGCATCGTAGACGCTGCGACGTGATCAGGGGTAGGATACCTCAGCCAGTTTGAGCCTGTCCTATCCTCGATCTTCGAAGTCCCATCTCCTCGTCGCCACAACCTACGACGACCTTCGGCCTGTGTTTCAAGTCATCCATTACCTCGAGCCAGCCCTGATACTTGTCCCGCATGGTCTGCCAAGTTTCCTCCCACCAGACTCTTCTCTCCTCTCGCCACGCCTTTTCACGATCTTTCACACTTTCCATGCCCGCAGCACGACATGAACTGAGCACCCTGTCTGTTCCGCATTGGCGACCCTCCCAGTCAAGTTCCTTACTCTTCTCAAATTCTGCCCACGAGGCTCGTTCATCCCCAACGACAATATTTAGTGTCATCAGGGTTTCGTCTTTTGGCGCAATGGTCCAGGACTCTCCCATGGGCGCAAAGAGTGGGGGTGATTTTGTCGGTCGTGTGATCTTGATTCGCAGAATCATGACGCCCGTCCTAATTCTTTCTGCAATTCCAACCATGATTAGCCAGTCGATGAGTTTGGCGAGCAGATCTTCGTCCGGTTCCTCGATAGCGAGTCCCATTCGCCGAACTAGATGTACCTTGTCTCCAAGACCTTTGATGAACAGACTCAGAAATTTGCAGGCCGAGGTAGTCAAACTGGTCACAAGGATATCCTGGATAAATTCGTTATTGCCCAAGAACAACTCGAAGCCTTCGTTGGAGATTTGATGGCAAGTATGGAGTAGAGGATGATCGCGTGCCGTTATGGCTAGAATGTCCGGGTACTCCATCTTGCGAGCAGCTGGTGAGGGTCGCAAGCAGAAGTCGTGGATGTAGTATGCTGGACCACAGCGTGTGGTCTTGTGACGAGATGGACCAAGGCCAATCAGGACATAGCTGTAAATGTGGTCTCGTATCTCTACTGGTAGAGACAGAAAACGGGAGTTGTTCATGCTTGCTGTGCAGTGCTGTGTATGTCAGAGGTCAGAATGGAGAGTGAAACACAATGTCAGTGCCTAAGGGCAACCATCATATATCAGCTCCATCAATTGAGTTTCCTAGTACCTCCAACTCAAATCACCTTATCATCAGTCAGGTGCCTTCTAGCACTTGTCTTACATTGACAGATACAGCAATTCATCGACCGGCTGTCAGATAGAGGTATCCAACGGTCCGATATCGATACATGGGGAAAAGTCGCTTGAAAATAAGCAGCTTGGCTAAACATCTTGGGCGAAGGATTGTTAAACGTCTAGCCAATTCCCAATGAGCTCAAAGGACGTTGCAGCCAAAAGAAAACGGCAAGTCGAGAATGGACATCTGAAATCATTATTTGACAGCGAATAATAGGCTGAGAAAAATGCCAAAAGGCGTCTAGCAAAAGGCAACGCCTGTACGTCGCGATGTGCGAGAAAAGCATGTTGTCAACCACTCACAAGAGGACAAAACAAAAATGGTTCTGAGTTAGGAAAAGAGTGCTGATATGCGAAGTCTAACAGAGTTCTTGCCTCGGCTGAGCTGTGCTGAGATGTCCCATACGGTCTGAAAAATACACCACTCCACGCGTCAACCTGGCCGACGCGTCTTCCTCCAAACTTCGTGTCAGTTCGCCGCCGAGCATCTCATCAGATATACCAAACACCATTGCAATTCAAACGGTCAGATCGTCTCTCTTCAAAAGACAATAACTCCTGCAGTCCACACGGCTTCGCCCACATCTAGTCATCACACATACCACACACAATGGCCGAACAAACTCCTCGCATCAACGCTTCCTACTTGGAGCAGTTCACCCACCGCACAGTCCGCATTTTGGGCAAGGTCACACAACTCAGAGGTGAAGAGGCCACTATCGATGCTGGTGGTCAGATCAATGTGCATCTCAACAGAGTATGTTTTAAGTTCCTTCTGTTTTCCTCTTACCTTGGCGGAATCAAGTACCTTACACGACAATTTTCTCCACTGTGAGATTATGGCGTCTTGAAGTCACCTATCCAGCCAATATTGTTTGTTGGGTATTTGTACTGACTGGGGACTCAGGAATCACATCTCACCGTCAACCACGCTGTCGAGATCATCGGCAAGGTGCAAGGAGACTTGAGCGTCCGCGTCCTTACTAGCACGGACTTTGGCGACAACATCGGTACGTACAGTTTTTTCATCTTTCATCCTTCCTGGTCTTCGACTTCCCTCAGGCCAAGAGTTCTATCCTCCATGGTTCTATGGCATACTCTGACCTCGCTCTTGGGACATGGCCCATTTCTGTACATCATCCTCTTCATGATCTGTCTCTCCATTACCTTTCTTTTGTCAACACACACTCGATGTTTCATGGTTCACTTCGCTTTCGGGATATGTTGCATGCAGCTCTCTGTTTCTTTCGCAAACTTGTCCACCTATGAGTATTGTCAAGCTAACAGAATTTCATCCACAGACTTCTCACTCGCAGATGCAGTGGTCGACGCAACACACCGTTACAACGAGATCTTCTACACGAAAGAGTGATTCGGCTTCACTGGATGACATCCACCTTTCTACGGCTACAATCAACGGCGATACTGAGTGGTTCTGGAGACATGACTCATGAACCTGGGCCAAGCGTATTCTATGAGGAAACACGAACAGACAGAGGCATAACCCCGACTCTCCCACACGAGGACGGAGATGTGAACTTTCTTTGGTTGTGGCACAGGCAGCGCGACATTAGATGTCTTGTGTTGCAAATGTGCAAAGGCTAGAGAACACACCACATATGCTTAAAGCTTTGTGGTCGAATGAACAGACATATTTTACGATTATGACAGAACAGAATTGAAGAAACGAATATGTGACATCAGGCTTAAATCCCGGTGCATGCAGGCAGTGTTCGTCAAGCAAAGCGCTCCTCAGGAGGACTTGTTCGAAACACCCCTTCCTTGATCAAACAGCTTGGGCAAGGTGTTTCGACCATGTGTCTAGGCACCTTTCCACAGTTCAAGCAAACCAAAACCAAAACAAACTCATTATTGCTCAAAACGCGTAAGTCACGGTCGTTGCCTGAAACCACCCCTCATATAAGGTAATTCTGCCTGCTCTTTTCCTTTTCCCACACCTTCTTCCTTCTCATCCATCTAGTGTACGACACCGCAAAAATATTCAGCATGACTCCTCAAATCTCCACCCGCATCCTTGTGATCTCGGATACTCATGGCGCCAATCTTACCAACAACCACTTCGAGTCTGTGGATCTAGTCATACACTGTGGAGACCTCACCCAAGAATCCAAACTCGATGGGTTTAAACAGACGATAGCGTTGCTAAACTCGCTTGATGCACTGCTAAAGCTTGTCATCGCTAGTAACCATGACTTCACCCTTGACACATCCGTGTTTGAGCAAAAGTTGATTGAAGCGGGACTTAAACCACCTCACGAGGATAAGGATGTCAAGCAAGCTTACGGCGGGTTTAGCGATGCTAGAGCGCTGTTGGAGAAGCAGCGTAACAAAGGGATTATATATCTAGACGAAGGAAACCATGAGATCACACTTGCTAACGGAGCTTTGCTGAACGTCTACGCTAGCCCATATACGCCATCCAAAGCTGGTGGTTGGGGGTTTAGTTACCATCCTGACGAGGGCCATAACTGGAATATAGGCAAGAATGTCGATATTGCAATTACCCATGGTCCTTGTAGAGGAATCCTGGATTACACACATAACAAGCAACGAGCTGGATATCCTGAGCTATTCGCTGCTATGGCTAGAGTTCGTCCACTTATGCATTGCTTTGGGCATATCCATGAAGCATGGGGTGCGAAGNACACATGGCGAGGCACCGAATCTAGCGATCACCCATCGCACTTTAGAGATATCGATACTGGGCATTCGGAACTCATCGAGAGGCTTGTCACTTTACGGCCTGGTAAGTTCGACTCTTCGACAGAGAAGCTTGTCAAGGAACAAAAGTTATTGGGTCTTGTGAAGAAAGGCTACTGTTATACTGCGATGAGGGCGGAGAGGGGTATGCAGACGCTGTTCGTAAATGCTGCTATTGAGGGAACAGAGACTGAACAACAGCAACTGCCTTGGTTGGTACAACTAGACCTTCCCAGGAATACATGAGCCCATAAGATTGTGGACACATACATACACTTAGATCCAAAGAAATTGAAGATATCAAAACTATATCATACGCTGCTTTCCACAAACAAACTCCAATACTTTCCCAAAAACAAAAAATGCCTGTTTTGATCGAAACATAAAATGAAAACCGATGTTTTTGCAAAAAAAAAAAGAGTCAACTACTACTTCTTGCCCATCTTCTTCTTTAGCCTCTTCTCGGCTCTGACATCCTTCTTGAGTCTGGCATCCACCATCTTGTATTTGCCCTTGACACCACCGGGTCTGCCTGCACCGCGATGCTTGCCCTTTCCAGCAACAACAACCTGCACAGGCTTCCTCTTCTTAGCCTTGCCAGCCCTAGCCATAATCTTTGAAATATTGTTTGCCTTGTCCTTTTCGCTCACATCTTCACTCTCAGCAAGCAATGCCGATTTCCTCTTGAGTTTTTCGAGTTTCTGGGCTGCGTGCAATTGTTTTCTGGCTTTGGCTTCGCGGACCTTCTTGATGGGCCGGGCGTTGAATGCACGCATCTTTTCCTTGATGGCGGCGGCAGCTTCTTTGGTGATAGGGCGATGGGGTTTGGAATTCTTGCCTTCGTCGTCGAGGAACCAGTCTGGCAAACCATCCACGTCGCGCAGAGAATACTTGTTGAAGTTGTCGTCTAGCAAATCGTGTTTTGTCTTTTGGCCTGTGGCGAGTTGGTGGGCCAAGGTCATTGCTTCGGCGGTGATGATGTCGATGTTTGGACGGCCGTTTTTGAGGGGGNNGATGGCGTCTTCGTCCTTGTCCCATTGCGATTGTGTGTTTTTGACGAGTTCGAAGCCGCCATCTGAGGAGTCGGTTTCGTAGGCTGCTTCTTCGGCGGCGAGTTCGGCGGGTGTGGGCACCTTTGATTTCTTGACCTTTTCTTTCTTTTCCTTTACGGGCTTTTCGGCCTTTGTGGGTTTGGCGGCTGGCTTCTCGGCCTTGAGGGGTGGTGAGGCTGAGCTAGAGTCCATCTCGATACCGCTGTCGAGATCCTTGACTTGCTCTTCGTCTTCTCCAACGTCGAGTCCATCAATGTCTTTGAACAGATCCTGGTCGAAGAAGCTGGCAGCGCGTCGTGTGAGACCATTTGCAGGAGCGGCAGAGTTATCGAGATCAGTAACAAGTTGACCGGCTTCCTCGTCCTCGTCAGAGTCGCTGTCGTACTCGATGGCAGGGACATCGTCGTCACTGTCTGCTTCTTCATCGTTTGAGAAACCTTCAAACTCGCCTTCTTCATTGCGTTCCTTTCTGGCCTTCTTGGCGCGCATTTTGGCATCTCTTGCTTCGCGCTTTTCCTGGTATTGGTTGTACATCATGTCCAATTCGCCTTCAAGACCATCGCCGAGCTCGTCATCGGTAAACTCGAGATCGAACTCGTCGTTCTTCTTCTCAGCGACGGGGATGACTTGCATCTTGCCCTTNTGCAGCTTTCCAGTAAGACCGGCTTTGTCGACAGCCTTGAGCTGGAACATGGCATCCTCACCGTTGGGGCCAGCCTGCTCCATACCGATTTCCATGGGTGTGGTCATGTTCATTTGTAAACGAACAATCTCTTTTTGTTTCTTCTCGTTCTCCTTGCGTCGGACCTTTCTCTTTTCCTTGCTTTGCATGTCCTTCATCTTTGCAATTCCTCCTGCAGCTTCATCTCTTCGTCCATGCTTTCGACTTCGGCGGCTTCTTCGTCGTCTGCTGCTTCGGCATCCTTCTTCTCAGCATCGGTGGCTTTCTTGNTGATCGGTGCTCTTTGTAGCGAAACCAAAGCGTTCGCGAACTTGAAGACGCCATTTCAGCAAAAGGCGGAATTCCCTTTTACCGAGGACTTTCAAATCGTTACAGCAGATTCTAACTTCTTCGGTGGTCTCGGGGAGCTTGTCGATGGTGGCCAGAGCAATGTCGCCATTTCCAGACTGGTTGAAGGTGAGCTTGTTCATGCCACCGAGAATAGCAATAGGATCGGTTGTCTGGATAAATTCGCTGACAGGAACTTCGTGGTATTGTGTCCAGTCGCCCTCGTCATAACCTTCTCTCTTTCTCTTCTTGACTTCAGGGTTGAAGACCTTGGCCTCATTGTTAGGAACAGCATCTTTGACTTCGGCAAAAGCGTACTGAGGGTCGAGGAAACGGGGATCGAGGTTCTTGGGGGCCTTGAAGCCACGGCAGACGTAGAAAGTTTCGGCCGAGACGTTACGCGAGGATGGAGGTTTGGTCTGCTCGACCTTGTCGAAGAGTTGCTTGAAAGTCCACTCGAGCTTTGCGCTGTCCTTGGAACGGAAGACCTTTGTTACAAAGTTACCGCCAGGGCCGAGGAAGTCGCATGCGAGACGCAGAGAGTGCAGGACCAGTTCGTTCTGACTGAAGGCATCCTGAACCCAGGCGGTACCAACGTTGGGAGCACCATCGTGGATGACAGTGTCGGCCTTCCAAGTCTTGAGGTGTCCACGGATGATAGCGCGAGTCTTGTCGGTAGTAATATCGCCCTGGAAAGTGATTGTCTTGGGAACAGGCTTGATGGGGGCCAGATCAACACCAATGATCAAGGACTTGATGGGCATGGTCTCTGCGGCGACCTGCAGCCAACCACCAGGAGCAGCGCACAAATCGATCAGACATCTTGACTTTTGCAGGAAACCGTACTTCTTGTTGAGCTGAACGAGCTTGAAGGCGGCACGCGAGCGGTAGCCCTTTTCTTTGGCGAGGTAGTAGTATTTGTCCAAACGGCCTTTGCCGTGCTGGAGAGTATATGTTAGCTGGACAGTATGACAGCAGTACAGTCAGAATGCGCACCTTCTTCTCGATGGCCATTGCTGCTTATTGTGTATCAGCAGTCGGCGCAATACAAAAAAGAGCGTCTGCGAGCGAGAAAAAGTCTCGATGGAATCTTTGGGGAATCTTTCGCCGCTAGCGGGCGGAGAAGAAGGTTGGAATCTCCGTTCTCCGTCTCTGGCCACTCACCGCCTTGCAGCCGCGAACGCGCGCGCGAGTCAAGATTCTGCCGACAATGACGATCGTCACTGTCAGATGTTGGCATTGTCAGTTGACATGGCTGGGAACTGGGTTCAGTAATTCCCTCATGCCGACATAATACAGTCTTCCTCCATAGCTGCGCCTACTCGACTTCCCTCACACACTCGCCGTCGCCATGGGTCCACGGCGAAAAAAGAACAAGACATCTACCCCTCAGGACGACCCCGACAGCACCCAGTCTGATAATACTCTCCCGCATAAAGTCCCACCTCTCTCAACCACTCAAACCAACAATCAACCACAATCCGACCTTGACAAAACCGGCTCTGATGTGAACCAGCCATCCAGTGCTTCGAACTCACCATCAACTTCCATCTCTACAGCAGACAAGCGAAGCAGCTGGTACAAGGGCGCTTCATGGCGATCCAAAGCCAACCCTGTTGCTCAGGCCACTCATGAAAGCATCTCGGTAGCTGGAGGTGCCACCAATGAGTCGCTCGCCGACAGTCCAAAAGCAGGAGCTCGATTCGTCCATCCTTCATTGCGACGCAGTTCCAAGTCAATCCCCACAATCTCATCAGAGACAATCAATGCCACAGGCAGCAATGCCAAACCCGACAAGCCTGCCTTCTTCTCCGACAACATCAGGAAATCAAGTGTCGATTTTAAGAAATCTCCAATCAAGGAACAGGAAGATGACGACACCACCAAGACGGAGCTGAAGCCAGACGAGGGTGCTCAGGAGGGAAAACTCAAGATGGACGATGCACAAGTCGGTGCTGCCGCTACCACTTCTTCCTCCACAGACACGAAGCCTCCTCAAACAGATACTGCTACTGAGGAAACACTACAGGACACACCAGAAGCACCATTACCACCAGAGCCGACCCAAGATGCTTCCTCTGGTTGGTTTGGAGGATGGTGGTCACGCCCCGATGGTTACACTGATCACTCTAGGATGTTGAAAGCCCAGGACGACCGCAAAGAAGCTTCGAGTACGCCTTTACCTTCGACTCCCGAACAGAAGCCAGACCAGGGCACGAACTTGACTGTTGAGCCCATCAACATTAACGATACAATGCACTCTATCCGTAGCGTGGGTACCACTGCATCGTCGCGCAGTTGGTTTGGCTTGTGGAGTAATGCTCAGAATCAGCAGCAAGCCGACCAAGAGACAGCCACCACTCCATCCAAAGACGCATCGCCAGATCGACCTGTCCTCGCCGAAGATGCTAGCAAACCAGCCGATACGCCGACAAAACAGCCAGCAGCACCTGAGATCGAGCAAGGAAAAGAGACACCACAGAACAAGTCATCAGGCTGGGCCTTCTGGTCGCGAGCTCAAGGAAAAGACGAAACCGAGACACCCAATGGTACACAGCGGCAGATTGGAGAACTTGCCGTTGCCGACACACCCTCGCAATCTCATCCCGAAGCTGCTCAGTTCAACGAGCAGCGCCAGCAAAAGGCAAAGTCGGCCAAGCTCGACCTTTCAACCAACAAGAATACCAGCTCTACATCACTTTCGTCTGCCAGTCAGCCTCAGGTCGCCCCCAAGGACGTCGTCAAAACGCCCGACACAGCTAAACCCATCACTGATGCCAAAGTTGCAAAACCTCAAGCCCGTCCTAATCTCGTGATACCCAGCTTCGATGAAAGCTATTCCCCCGAATACATACCCTCGTACCGCGAACGTCTCACCACTTATGTCGCCTCTACCCTTCGTCTAATCGACGCACCAACCGCTCCTAAGCACGTCTCAATCACACCCACTCTTCCGAAGATCAAGAATGCAATCGCTATCGGTGTGCACGGCTATTTCCCTGCCCCACTGATTCAAAAAGTCCTCGGTCAACCCACAGGAACCTCGATCCGTTTCGCCAACTACGCCTCAGCTGCTATCCGCGACTGGGTACAAACGAACCAGCCCGACACGCCTTGCGAAATCGAGACGGTCGCTCTCGAAGGCGAAGGCTTCATTGCCGATCGCGTGGCTACTCTGTGGAAACTCATGCTCAATTGGCTATCTCACCTTCGTCAAGCTGATCTCATTCTCGTCGCCTGTCATTCACAAGGCGTTCCTGTTGCCATCATGCTCGTCCACAAACTTCTTCAACTCGGCTGCCTCTCTCCTCATGCCAAGATAGGCATATGTGCAATGGCGGGTGTGAACCTGGGCCCCTTTGCTGACTATAAAAGCAGATGGTTGGGTGCAGGCGCTGCGGCTGAGCTGTTCGAGTTTAGCAGACAAGACAGTCGAGTTAGCACAGAGTACAAAGCTGCTCTTGATGGCGTACTGAGGCATGGCGTGAGGATAACTTATTGTGGTAGTATCGACGATCAATTGGTTTCTCTCGAAGTAAGTCTCTTTACAAACTTCGCTCATCCAATCATCTTGCTGACCTGTTTGAAATAGTCCTCGACCTTCACAACCCTCACGCACCCTTACGTCTACCGAGCCGTCTTTGTCGATGGTCGCTTGCACGCCCCTGACTTCCTCTCCCACCTCGTCGCCTTTGCCCTCAAACTCCGCAACCTGGGCGTCTCCGACCACGGCCTCATCCGCGAACTCTCTCTGCCTCTAGCAGGCTCCCTCTACGGCGGCGAAGGCCACTCCCGCATCTACGACGACCCTGCAGTGTACACCCTAGCCCTGCGCTTCTGTCTCGAAACCACCGAATTGCCTTCTTCAACCTTCGTATCCGTCGACGCAACATCCCTCCGCTCTTCCCGGGCCGGTCCTCCTGAATCCGTCTCTGCTGCTAATTCTCTGCGTCGCGGCAGTGTTTCTGCATCTGCGGTCTCGGGGATTCCGCCTTCGTTTGCAGACTTTGAAGTCCCTGCTAGTGGAAGTAATGCCAATCCGTACTTTTTACCTTGGGCTTTGAGAGGGATTCTTGAGGAGGAAATCGTCAAGGGAGAGGAACTGAAAGAGGAAGTTCAAGCGTTGGTGCAGGAGTTTGAGGAGTGGAGGCCTACGAGTAAAGTCCTCAAGGATGTGAGGTTTAGATTAGAAGGGGTGAGGAGTAAACTTTGAGTTCTCAATGGAGGAGACGATTTGAGATGAGAAAAGGGACGAGAAGAGTTTTGATGAAGGCGTTTAGTGGAAGTGTGGTTCTGTTGACGATGAGAATGATATCAAGGGCTTGGGATGGGTCTTGGGAAAGTATGGATTTAGCGATGGCGTTTTTTTGTTCTTGTTCTCTTTCTTCTTGCCTTTCGTTCTATCTTGCTATGGTAAGAGGCCTGTGGGAAGTAAGACATACTTCGATACATGAGACAACACACAAGACATTTTCAATTGGAACACACTTTTCTGTTGAAATATCTTTCTCTATTCATAAGATCTCGTTTATGTGATCATCATCGGTCTTATGGTATCAGCAATAAAGTAGCCGCTCTACTGAGTCTTTGAAGCGGAAGATATTTTCTTTGATGGGGTGATGTTCTCATTAATTCATGCTTTTGATAATTCATGCTCTCGTTAATCTATGCTTGTCGTATAATCATGCTTGTGTGTGTCTTGTGCATTGCTCTCATGTCCTGTTCTCCAACCCTTCTTGAATCTTTGCTGTAGTGTTGTGTATGCCTTTCCCGCCGAAACATCTTTCTTGCTTTTCGACCGCAACGCTGAAACGACTGTGTAAACCTCTAATGCCATTGAATCATACCGAACTCCGTGGATGGGCAGAAAGAGAAAACAAAGGAAAGAAAGGAAATTTGTTGTACATTCGCATGAGAAAGAAGGCGTTCTTTGGGCTCTCTTGTAAGTGTGTCAGAAGAACCGCCAGTGTAATTTAGTTCCAAGCTCCACCGAGGTAAGCACGGCGCTGTTCGTTGGTCATGTTGTTGTAGTCAAGACCCATGAATTCGTAGAAGGTTGTGGGAGAAACAGGAGGGCAGTGGTGGACTGGGTGACCACCTGGACTGTATGTCACAGTGGTGTTCTCGGCGAGTCTGGCCCAAGCAGAAGAGATTGGATCATCAACAGCGTGAGTTGGGGGTGGAGTGAGGACAGGAGATTCTTCGTCCATGGAAGAGACGGAAGCGATGGAGGATGGAGAGGGACTGGGGGAGTCGACGTCGGTGCTGGTTGGGTAAGCTGAGTCCTGAGTGATGGGAACTGGACAGATGTTCATCATGTCAAAGTCGTTGGCGGCAGGAGTCAGGAGTCTGGGGTCAATCTTCATGTCAACCTCCGGAGCCTCAACTTCCATCTTGTCGTCAACGCTGCCATAGACGTTGGAGAAAGTGGGGCAGGGACCGATTGGAGTCTGGAAGGTCAATCTCCAAGAGCTGCAGTAGTCGCAGAGGCAGAAAGAGCTCACTGGAAGCTCATGATCAATGTGATTGTGTACCAGAAGATCATTGGCTCCAGCGAAAGCAGAACTGCAAGTGGCACAAAGGCAGAGTCCATCTGGACCGGGGGTGGTGATGTGAATGGTGTCATAGGTGGGAAGAGAATTGTATGGAGTGCGAGGNATAAGGACCATCGTCGACTGAAAAGAGGGAGAACCACTAGGACGAGGTTCCTGCTTGTCGTTTGTTTTGCGGCTCTGAGGGCTGCCATCTCCGAGATAAGGTCCAAGGATCACCATAACGCCTCCTCTTTTCTTGACCTTGACTTTAACCTTGTGAACTTCGTTACAATGACGCTTCAAGCCCCATGGACGAGCGAAGCGTTTGTGGCAGATGTCGCCTTTCTCGTTGACGTAAGTGCATAAGTAATCCTTGACTTTCGAGTGTGTAAGGATGTGTTCCTGGAGATTCGAGGCACAGGTAGATGCGCGGCTGCAGTAGGGACAAATCCAATCTTTCTCCTGTTTGTTTTGACTGCCGCGCTTGGACTTGCGAGCTCTTTTGGTGGACTTTGTAGGGGTCTTTGGAGATTGAACTTCGAGTTTTGCTGTAGGTGGGATCGAGGCAGGTGTTGGGTAGTGAACCTCAGGGTCTGGAGGAATCTGCTGAGGGCGGTATGAGGAAGGTCCAAGAGGATATGCGGGTGTGCTCTGGGCAGGAAGATAAGGGTCGGTGATGTATGTGTTCGGAGGAGGAGGTTGACTAGCGTAGTTGTCGTTGGGATGTCCAGGGAACTGGGCGTAGAAGCCATCGGGTGGGTTGTGCATGAACTCGTCGCCAGTCGAGTCGACAGATATATTGTCACACGGCAAAGGGCATTCAAAGCTGTTGCGATCGACAGAGGGATTGGATCCAGCCGAGAAGTCAGGCATGAAGAAGGGGTCGTCTCCGAGCGAACAAGTCCGAAAGGCAGGGCCGAGAGGTGAGTGTTGGATGTTGCTGGTATCCATGTCGTCGAGAATGGTTGTGCTCAAGGAAGGATCGAGGACTGAGTCGTCCATCAGAACATCCTCGTTCGAGCTGGAGTGTTGCTCCTGGATGGGATCGTCCGGGATCTGGTTTGGAGATGTGCCTGGAGACATCTTGAGTTGTAGATTGTGTTGTTGTGTTGTGTAGAAAGGAGAACTGGAATGAACAAGGAAGGGGTGGTTATGTGGGAAAACGGGGCAAGCAGCACCATGGTCGGAAGAGCGCGTTGCTGCTACGCGTAGGTGCCAACACTCTTGCTGGCAGTGTTGTGTGTGAGAATGGAATACGACCAAGGCCATACCACAACTCGATACGCGTTGAACAAGGTCATTGTTAAACTCGAGCGAATATTTCTTTGTGCCGTGTTTCCTTTGTGCTGGAGCTTTGTTAGTCGGCCAGCGATGATTGTCCCCATTATTTTCGACCACACTGAGATGTGAGTATTAGGGGATGGGTTGTCAACATAGTGCACTTGCATGAGAGCTTGTGCTGGTGTATGGTATTTGGTTCTTTTTTCTTGTGTTGTTGTTTTTGCTGTTTTTCGACGTCTAAAGTGTTCTTCGTGACTCGACAATCTGATCGAAGGAGGTGGAGGAAACGAAAAGAAAAAAACAAGATGTTTGTACAGGGACAAAGGAAAACAATGTCTTTGTTGATCAGATGTTTCAGACATGAAGATGCCCGTCAATTCTGTCGACGGAGCTTCCTTCCGTTGGTGGTGCCAGCACGAACAAGCTTAGCACCTCTTCTTCTCTGAGTCTGGCGGAACGTACGGTGTTCGGCTCTAGTCTGCCAAAAGGTGCCAATCTCGTTGCCCTCAAGGTCGTAGTGAGGGTAGGGCTTGAGCTTGAGAGAGTTGCGTTGTTGTTTAGTCAGAGCGGCGCGCGTCTGCTGAATTGTTCGCTGGTGTGCGTCGATTTCGTCCATGGAAGCGCCTTTGACGGAGAAGGTCGATGTGGAAGGGGCAGTGCTGGGAGCTGGACTGGACTGCGAAGCACTGGTAGAGTCGACAACGACGAGTTGACTGTCTGAGGCGGGAACTACTGCATCAACTGTCGACTGTTCTGCGAGATTAGGAGCTTGCTGCTCAATCTCGTTATTCTGGGTCATCTCCTCTTCATAGTCGGGTGAGTCCCAATGCGGGTCTGCCATTTGGAGCAGAATCAGAGCAGCTTCGTCTGTGTCCTTTTGGTTGCGGGTCATTGGCGCCATTGCACTGACTGTTTCTATGTGGGATGAAGGAAAGTGCGGCAAGACTGTCAATGCACGCACGTTTTTATGATGTGGTTGCGGTGAGAGAGCAGGTGGAGGAGAGGGAAGGCGAGAGGAAGAGTAAAATCAAAGGTGAACGGAACTGAAAGAGTGAACCAAACAACGCATCGTGTCCCGTATTGATGTCGACGACAGCAACAACCACATACCTAGTTCGGGCTCCATAGTAATTATTCAAGCGACCTGTGTTTTTTTTTTGCAGCACTTTGCTTCATGTTCTCACCTATCCTATAACGACTCGCTAGAATCCTCAACACAAAGCGCACGACTCGAATTGAAGTCCGACTCTGAAGCCGTCAGGTATCATCTTCGATGCTATGCCTGATCACATCGCCTCGATTGCCATGCCACGCTGGCGGGTAATATCTTGCGTGTGGCCACGCACCAAGTCTCTCGTTCCATTGCCATGCAAACACAGTCACTCTGCTAAAGTCCGTGATGACAAGTCTCGAACCATCCTGCAGATTGTCTTCTGGCTGATGCATCAAAAGGGATAGAGAAGACGAGCTGACGTTGACATGGAGTTGAGGAGAGGTGGGTGGTACGGTATCAATTATACCGCGTAGAGTGCAGCACGTTGAGAAAAAGCTAATCGCAGTATTGATTGCTTATCTCTACGTACCAACAGAGTTGGCATTCCATCTGTCCGCGAAACTCCTGTTAAATTACGGCAAGCTGCCGTCAAACTATTCGATGTCGTCCTACCAATTCCATTTCGCTGCTCGTCAACACGATGACATCCGAGACAGATTCGTCGAAACGCACTTGCGCCTTTCTTGCGCTGCCAGCTGAATTGCGCAATACCATCTATAACCTTNTACTCACGGCTCCCGCTCATGTGGNNAAGCAGTCGCGTCGCATTGCGACACGAGGATTGTGCTCAGACTATGTTTTACCACCGCTCGATCTGTGTCCAGCACTTCTGCGAACCTGCCGACAGATTCATGACGAAGGGGCAAGCATCCTCTACGGCGCTAATCAATTCGCATCTCATCCATCACTACTTACTGCGCTGCCATACCTTATGACTCCGCGCCAACCAATCACCGAAGGTCCAGGAAGGTGGAAGATCAAGCGATGGTACATCTATCTGAGACTCGATGTAGATGCCAGATTTACTGGAGAGCAGCTGGAACAAGCATTCTCTGGTGCTGAAGAATTGGAGATAGAATACTTTCAGCCAGCATATGGATACGGCGACAGTAGCACTCTGAAGCTGTTCGAAGGCATCAGAGGCGTGGGTCTCGCGAAGGTCGTTGGTGGCAGCGGCTGTGATCCTGAGTACGCCAGAGCACTCGAAGGATTGCTTATGAGTNCGCTAGACGTGGTGGTTCAATCCTGAAGGCCATGTCCAGCAAACGTTGACCTTGCAGAAGCGGAAAGCGCAAGTCGCGATTTTTGAGGCAATACCACTCTATGTAGTACTCGATACATCGGCATTTTTTCGCCGTACCTGTCTTCGATTGGTTGTCTTTGCCAATAACATCACGTCCTATTGTCTGGGCCTGCGAATACGAAGTGCTCGTCGTCGCACGTTGACCTCTGGAACGACTCCTGGATTCTGAAGGAGCCAGATCATGACTTCATCATCCAACGCCCTCGCTTGGCAGGTTTTCCCCTCCACAGCAAAACACCTGGCTGCTGTCAAGCTACAAAATCAAGGCATCCAAGTTGGGCTCACACAAGTACCAAATCCACCCAAGATCAAGGCTATATCGGCCGAAAGCAGACAAGCTGGCTTACGCGTCTTCAAGCCTCCTTCATACCACACAAAAGAGTTTTGCTGCTTTTCATCCGATTCAGATGTCAAAAGCATCTTTCGAGATCGTCATTCCAAACCAATGGAACAGCAGCTGCCCCGCGCTACTCGATATTTAGCCTTTTGTGGGGTTCGCACCGAGTTTCCTATGCACCATGACTTGGATGTGACATGGATTGTTTTCTTGTACAGATCTTGGTCAATCGAGACAAGTTCCAAGTCGATTTGGGCGGACTTGGCTCTTAGTCCGTTGATCTGGTGCTTTATGGATCGTGACTCTGTGAGGTAGATCTTGAACGTTCATGAGGTTCCCCACAGAAGGGACGGGCTCAAGAGGCCTGGAAGGTACGAATACCAATGCTATCAGGGTCCATCAAGAGCTAGGTCATTGTCCCTCAACCTTAGCATGGAACTTTAGGGGCATGTTGCGCGATGAGCCTGGCGGCTACAACCTTGCCACTGTTCCCGCGGTGCCGCCATCGTTTGTCACGCGCAACGGTTTCTTTACGAGCTGCATGATCCGCGGGCAGCCAAGGACTAGCCAACTCAGCCAAGTCAAGCTCTGGAACAAGGAAAACTAGATATAAACCCCTCTTCTGCCTCTGAGTAAGTGGCTCGACAGAGCTCTCATCATCCGTAATCTGCACCACAGCTTCCACTTCCTCTCGCTTCTCAATATGCGTTTCCAANAGATTGCTCCTTTTGCTCTTGCAGCAGCTGTTGCCTCAGCACAGAACACCACAGAAGGTGGTAACCTCACCACTGGCGGAAACATCACCTCGTCGACCAATGGCACAGTCCCGTTGGCTAACCAGCAGCTCAACTCGTTCTGGACTCTGCTTCAGCAGTTCGGATTGTTGGGTAGCTTCAGCAACATGAGAAACATTACCCTGCTTGCACCTAGCAACGAAGCTCTGGCTCGTTTGAACACTTCCGGTGTTGCTGTCACCTCTGAGTACGTCCAAGCACTGATTGAATACCACACTCTGAATGGTACTATCCTTGCTTCTGACCTCAACAACGTCACATCTGCCTTCCCTCACACCCACCTGACCAACCCCGCCTACTCCAATGTCACTGGAGGACAAGTCGTGGAGGCTGTGTTGGTCAACAAGACAGCATACTTCTTTAGTGGACTCCNNAAGAATAACGTTTCGGCCACAACCACAAACCTGAACTTCACCGGTGGTGTCATTCACATCGTTGACGGCACTCTTACTATCCCCGGAAATCTCTCCTCAACCCTTACCAACTCGAACCTGACAGCACTCTCTGGTGCAGCTCAGCAGCTGAACTTGACATCGACTCTGAGCAGTCTCCACGACGTCACCATCTTTGCCCCAAACAACGAGGCTTTCCAGGCTGTTGGTGATGCCTTGGCCAATGCTTCCATGTCTGAGCTCACCTCAGTCCTGGGTTACCACGTTGTGAACAACAGCGTTCTCTACAGTTCCGACATCATGAACGGTACTACCCAGGTTCCCACATTCATCGGCCGCAACCTCACCCTCCAGAACATCAACGGCAGTCTTTACGTCAACAGCGCCAAGGTCGTTACCCCCGATGTCCTGTTCAGCGGCGGTGTCATTCAGGTCATTGACGAAGTCCTCAACCCCAACAACACCCTCGCCCACAACGCTTCCATGACTGCCTCAGGCTCAAAGTCAAGTACTTCTCAAGCCTTCGCTGGTGTCACCACTAGAGCTTCGAACGTGCCCTTCACTTCAGGCCAGGCCACACCTACCACATCCAATGCTGCACAGAAGAGCGCTACCACTGGTGCCCTGAGCAGTTCGACTGGTGCTGCTAACGCCTTCGCCACCGGCGCCATCGGTGCTGCTGCCCTGTTCGGTGGTATTGGTGCCGCCTTTGCCGCCTTCTAGAGAGCTTTCGTTTGTTACATACCATAAGCTTGTCTTGTGGTAAGAGTCATGACTATTATTGTAAAGGCTTTCATATGTCTTTGTATGAGTTTCTTGATACCAATTATATCCCTAATCAAAATCAAATTGCTATACCCCATGTTCATTGCTTCCTAGTCCGTCTTCTTGAGGACTCTTTTCTCGAACCATTCCACTGTTGATACCTGACTCGAACATAACACATCTATTGATTCCGAATTGTTTACTCGATCGCAATGTTTCCCAGGCTCATGTTGTCGTCCAGCACGCGGGTAGCGGCGGAACATCGGATCGCCGGCAAACCATCAGGCAGAGTTCTGAAGTCAACCACAGGTCCACAGCATTGTTCTAACTATATATTACAATATTTGGACGCGCGGATTCACACCGCAGAGGCGCCGCTTACGCAAATGGTGGTTGAGCCGCGAACATTAAAGTCAATATCTGTTCGATTCAATGAAGTTTATAATTAAGGTAGTTGTGACTGGAAGTGACACGCGGCTGAACCTTGATATGCTTCTTATTTCTGTTGCGTTCGTCTGATATACGGATGTCTACGGCAGGTCGTCGGCTTCCATTGAATTCGTTCTTTCCACGGTCTTGCGAAGTCAACAAGCTTTGCTGTTGTCTTCATTCTACGGCAGGAACAAACGTCTGCTCAAACCTTGGAAGCCACCACGAGATGGTACTGCAGGAACATCCGGAACACGAACGTCAATCGTAGTGTACAGGATGTCTGAGCTTTATTCTTTCGCTAGGTCGTGCTTTTCTGAGTCCCTATTCATACTTTTACCCTATGGTCAGCCATTCGTAAAAACGATGTGTACAACTTCTTCGATTTTGGATGGTCTAACTACTGTTATATTTGAGTTCCATTTGCTGACCTGCAGTCGAATAACCACACTTTTCATAGAACTTGACGTTCTTATCGCTACAGTTCAAGATCAGTTTTCCAACACCGAGGTCTTTGGCTGTCGCGTTAAGAGCTTGGATGATGATCAAGCCCAGGCCCTTCCCTTGATGTGATGCTGCCACGCACACTTCTTCGACATGTGCTACCATTGTGAAGTCGTGGATACTGCAACGCCCTGATGAGTACTTGGGACTCGATTTCTTGGACAGGCAACTTACAATTTTNCTTTCCACAATCATCGTAGCCGTAGCAACTATGCGGCTTCCGTCGTCAATGACAAGGCAATAGTACCAGTCTTTGCCTTTTGTAGCCATCCAGTCAAATCGTTCTTGGAATGCGGATTCTGTGATTTCGCCGATCCATGTCAAATCGGTAAGGCAGGTCAGAAAGCCGCGTGAATAGTCTGATCGACGTAATGGACGTAGTGTATAACCCTCAGGCAAAGATGAAGACGCGGATGAAGGAATTAGGGATTGGGGAAAGAGGGCATAATCGGCAGAACCTTTTGATTTCATTGTTGGTATTGAGAAGTCGAACTGGCGGGCTGTGTCTATAATGTCGAAGCAATTTTGCCGGTGATGAGTCTTTTCTTTCTTTCTTTTAGGAGGTTTTCTGTTGTAGTCGTTCTATGAAGGAGATGTGATGGTCATGTTTGTGTTTTGGCAGCAAGAGCAACCCCACATCGAGGTTACGTTGCATCAGCCGGAGAACGCTCCACATGTGCGCCAGATCATCACAGTAGGTTATCATTTGGTAGCATTCTCTCGCATGGATCATGGCATCCTGACGAAGCCTATCTCACCTTTGGGCGGTTCCATGTTACGCCCAAAAAAAAAAACAGAACTGATAGGGCAAGGAGAATCTAGCAAGCTATACAAGTGGCACTGGCCTTGACCAGGGACTTGTTCGACTCAATCCGGGTTCTACGTGGGAAGACTCATACCATCAATGTGTTTGGGTACGTAGTTATACGCATGACTGGATTTATCAACGAACAAAAGTTGCATTCAGCATCTCCGAAATTCGAAAGTTGAATGTTGAGGCGGCCACCCTGGCATCTTCTTTCCCTCTGATCATTGTTATCTTCGATACTGCATCATTCCAGTATACTAACGTATGTGACGCAAAGTACTAACAGAGAACAGAACATTGCTTACTGATAACAACGAACTACCAACTCCTGTGGATATGTCTGGGTCTCAAATGATATCGTGCGTTTCTATGACACACTCCTTCCCTCCACCTCGTGAAGTTGAAGTACTTTGACACAGAGTAATGACATGAACTACCAGTCCCATCAGATCTATCTAGTTTTGAACAGATGGGCGGATATGGGCCTCAATCGACTATGGTACATTGGATTTGCAATCATGATTCATATCAGATCGTCCCTTCCATTTGAAATCAAGTTGATTTGCGAATATATCGAGTGTGCAAGATTTCGAGTACAACCCTGAAACAACGACATGTTCGAGGTATAATAGTCAGTGCTCAGTTCATATCGTATTCTATCCGTCCTGTGCATATATTTCTTTGGTCTCGGGCAACACGTGCACTTCTTGCAAAACTCTGTAGCTTGCGAACTTGCGTGCACTGATCTTGTGTTCGAAAATGATGTCGAGTTCCTGGAAAGTTCTCCCTGAGGTTTCGGGCAGCCGGAACCAGCACCAAACCAGACAAGCTGCACTTATAGCTCCGAACAGATATCCCGCCTTTCCTTTCCAGTTGCCTTCCTCACTGCTGAGCATATATGGCATACCGATGGTAAAGACAATACCAAACAGCGATTGTACAGCTGTGGCGATAGCAATAGTGCGACCACGAAGTCGAGTAGACGAAACTTCGCAAATCAGGACGAAGCAAATTGGACCCACGGTCATTTGGTAGACGAACGTCCAGATGTCCATGAGAGTCGCCTGAGCCCAGATCGCTCCCGTGCTATGTTTTGGGATGTCAAGAAATCCAATAGTAAAGAGAATGGTTGTCATAACGATCATGCCACAGCTGTAGATTGTTCGACGGCCGAACTTCAGCATCAATGGCCAAGACAGACAGGTACCAACGAAGCCAAGAGCAGTATTGCCAACACCCACTGCCNNAGGTTGAATTAGCCATGACATAAACACATCGGATCTTCAGATGGACCTACTGTTGAAGGCATCGGCAGAAGCGAGTCCAGCCTGCTCGAAGAAATATGTTGCATAGCCGATGAGAGGATTACCGCCGATCACCTGAATCAGGTATACCATAGTACAGATCTCGGTTCTCCTCAAATTGGTTCCTTTGAAACAGTCCAGATAAGTCGTACTTGCTTCATATTCACGCTCGAGCAAGTCTGTCTCCTCGATCAAGACAAGCATCGCGTCAAGATCAGGGCGATCGCGGTTGCTGGTCAACTTCTCGAGCGCGCGCTTTGCATCATCCCTACGCCCCTGGCGTACCAGCCAGTAAGGGCTCTCGGGAGCGAAGCAAAGACCGATCAACAGGACCACAGGCCAGATCCATTGAATCGCTGCTTAGGTTATTAATCGAGGGAACATCTAGCATGTTCAATCGAACTTACCGAACGGAAGTTTGTACGCGAGTGCATCTGATCTGCTTTCGACGCCAGCAGCAGTGCCTTGAGCAATGAATTGTCCAATCACAAATGCTAAGTTGACCGATGCAGTAAGCACACCTCGAAGTGCCAATGGACAGACGTCAGAGGCATAGACGGGTGCGATGACGACGTAGAAACCATATCCCAAACCAGCGAAGATCTCGCCAATACAAAGGATAGTCAGATTGTTCGAGAAGAACTGCATGAAGATCCATGCGATAGACCAACAGCAACATGCTGCTAAAGTGCGTTTGCGACCGAATTTCTCAAGCGGCCAGCCACATGCAAGAGCACCGACCAGTTGTCCAACAGCATTTCCCATACCCAGGCCTGTCTGCCAAGGTGCCGGAATGATGTACTCGCCCTGGTAGAGCTGACCGTATTTCCTCTGGAAAGCAGGCAGGGCGTAGAAGGAAGAAACGAGTTGAGGATCGAAACCAGCCATGATGACGGCGATGCAGAAGAAGGCCGACCAAAAGACAGCCTTGGGATAGAGCTTGACACCTTTCCAAAAACCGAGCTCGTGTTCTGCTTGTGTGACATGATTGACGGTATCAAGGACGGTGCCTAACTCCTCCTTGACAACCTCGTGAGGCTGCATGTCAATTTTCATATCGGTAGTGTGAGTAGAAGTCATGGATATGATAGGTTTTGTGCTGCTCATCCGTGTCAGAGGCTGTAAAGATCAAGTGAGCACAATCAGCTGGTTGTAGATGTGTGCTCTGGGTTGCCCGATAGCCATGGGCGTAGATTGAGCTTCATGTAGCTCTTGAGATGAGATAACACGAACCCATCGGCTCCAAGTGGCGCCTTCATCTTGATAGGCACCCTACAAAGCAGCTCTCCATGGTCTCGTGACAGAGATGCGGCTCGCCTAGCAACCCCAGATCAGTTGATGTTTGAGATAGGGGAGATGCCTATCAGAGTTCGGAAGGAAGCCGGGGCTTGATGTGACCTTGCAACCTGACCCCGCTTCATCAACACCCGAAGCCGAGCCTCTTTCAACCGCCATTGTTTGACACGGCAAGTCACCTCTGGATGATAAGCTGCCCAGGAGTTATCTGATCTGATACCACAGTTACATTTCTGCCAAATAACACTTGCTGGGAGACTGTTACATCAACATAGATCCGGTTTTTGCATCGAAATGTAACCTTTGATTGGACTGGTTGTTGAGTATTGGTGTGGTTTCGCATGGATCTAGTCGCTTCAAACTGGTTCATCTCGTAATCACTGATCTCAAACAAGCGTTTCTGCGAATCATCAGGGTATGATTGAACCGATATCCATGTTTGTTTAGGTCTGCTGCCCTCATCATCCACTCCTCAAGCTTCATCATATTGCACCAGCTAGTCCTTTCTGCGACCTTTCAAACATATTCCATCACTTTTGCGATCATAATGCCACATATGGACACCTCTCAGATGGATGAGAAGCTCAGGTTTCTCGTCATAGGCGCAGGCCAGCGCGGTGTGTCTTACGCAAATCCAGTTTCTCAGATGCCGAACGCAGCAATTCACGCTGTAGCAGAACCTGTCAACTTCAGACGCCACCACTTTGGTGAGACTTACATCTGGGGCAAAGGAAATGCTTCTGATGAGGGGCAAGAATTCAGCGATTGGAAGCAGTGGCTAGCATGGGAGATTGAGCGTCGCGAACTTGAGAAGTCGGGTGCAAAAGTGCCTGTCGGTGTCGATGGTGTGTTTGTCTGCACTTTGGATGCAATGCATGTCGAAATTATGCTTGCAATTGCGCCATTGGGACTCCATGTCCTGTGCGAGAAGCCATTGGCTACCTCATTAGCAGATTGCATGTCGGTACTAAAGGCGTTCTCTGGTGCTCAACAAGATATCATCTTCTCTGTCGGACATGTCTTGAGATACAGCCCTCACAATCAGTTGCTGCGCAAGCTTCTACTGACGGACCGCGTCATCGGAGATCTCTTGTCTGTAGAGCATACGGAGCCAGTAGGATGGTGGCACTTTGCACACAGCTATACACGTGGGCCATGGAGACGTTCGACTGAAAACAAAGATGGTTCTCTTCTTACAAAGAGTTGTCATGATATCGACTTCCTGCTTTGGATCCTCTCACAAACTCCAGATGGCACAGCTCGGGATGTCCCACCTCATCTACCAAAGACGATCTCATCGACAGGAGCTCTGAACCAGTTCAGAAGATCTCGTAAGCCAGCACATGCAGGCAATGCTACGAATTGTCTCTCCTGTCCTTATGAGCGAAAATGCCAATACAGCGCTGTCAAGATATATGACGATGCTCGGTTGGCTGTAGGACATACCCATTGGCTAAATCACGTCGTGCACGATATAGAGGATACTTTGAATACCTCAGGGATGGATGCTGCACGCAAAAGTCTTCATGCTCGGTTGCAACAAGACTACGTCAAGGGAGTCACTCCTGATGAAGAGATTGCGGACCGGACTTGGTACGGACGCTGTGTCTACGAGAGCGACAACAATGTGTGTGACGACCAAGTAGTCACAATCAAATGGGACGAAGACCACTCATCCCCTCTCAACCGTCCCGGTAAACTCGCAACTCTACATATGGTCGCCAATACTGAGATAGAATGCGAGCGTAGAGGCACCGTATATGGTTCCCACGGCGAGCTTGCATATGATGGAAAAACCATTAGATACTTCAGCTTTACCGACAGGAAGGAGACTGTTGTTGCTACTCCTACCGCTCCCGAACTCGAGCGAAACATCAAATCTCATGGTGGGGGCGATCGGGGTCTGGCTACAGCATTTGTCTCTGCTGTCGAAGCTGTCAACCGTCATGGTATCAAAGTCGCAGATGCTCAGGGCAACTTTATTGGGTGCACCCTGGAAGATGCCATCACAGCGCATGCTGTGGTCTTCGCTGCTGAGGAGGCCAGAAGGGATGAGAAGGTAGTACAGTGGAGAGACTGGTGGGAAAGCAAGAAGCAGCAGTACGGGGTCGAGACGTAGGCATCGGTTTATCGGCTCTCTCTGGCCATGCCGCTGCTTCTGGAAGCTACTGCGACTTTTGTAGTGCATAATTAGCTCTCCTCCATAGCTGCAGTACGGTGGAAGAACACTCAGAAATCGCAAAGAAGTTCTTGTGATGAGTCCAGCTAACAACTGCCTCCGATGGCTAGATCCCTAGAAGCCTGTTTGACGCTTCGTTCTGGCTATATTGAAGATATATGATACAACTATCTATCATGCTACGTGGGCAGGATCAGCCTGGATCTCAGGAACCACTGCATCTTCCGCTCTACCAGCTGCTTGCATATCCTTTGTCCGCTCTCCACGTTTCAAATCTCTTTTCTCCAGGACGCGTATCAAACAAGCCGTCAGGGTCAAGGCAACGCTGAATGATGCTGCGGCAATAAATCCAGGACGGAATGTCGGAGCTTCTTCTGTCCTCCAGACTGCATCTTGAAACCAGATCTGATTGACGTAGGAGAACATGTTCGAGAAGGCAGTAAGAAAGCCACGCATCTCGTGGTCATGCGGCATCAGATCTGGGAACCAAGAGTAAAATAGCCCTGGTACACCTTGAGAACAGAACGAGATGTACATGGCAAAGTATTTGAGACCGATGGGTACATTCCAGATAGCCAGAACGAGCGTGCCGAAGAACGATGCACCTTGCAGTACTGCTATCGACTGCCATCTCTTGCCACCGAGTAGAGGCGAGTCTGACAGCATACCTGCGATGACTTGCGTCACAGCACCGACTGCTGACTGACCTGTTGGCCACACGTTGATTTGATATACGCTATGACCTTCGGCTTTCAGCCAGAGCGAGTAGAAAGGCTGCTGCGACGGATGGCTCGACTGCACGAAGAAGTAGCCAAAGGATAAGACCCAGAACTGCCATGTCGTAGCGATGCGGAGTATCTTNTTCTTGTCCCATTTTGATGAGGACGAACCTAGAGGTGTATAACCATCCAGAACAAGTCTTTGTCGGGCATAGGTTGCTTCATCTTTGGTCAAGTAGAAGGCTCTTGTATTTTCGGGGAAGTCAGGATTGAAAAAATAACCGATCACACCAACCGGTAGACTGATGATGCCGCAGATGATGAATAGCCATTGCCAGCCAGCATGACTAAGGTGGCCGTCGAGATTGTCATATGCTGCTGCTTGTAGGTAACCTGAGAACATGTGTGCTAATGATGCAGTGCAATAGAATATCGTTGTTCTCTTGGCACGCTCATTCTTGGTGTACCATGAGCCTATGAGTCATATTTTAGAAGATGGTAAGTGCAGTACTCCATCACGAGGTCACTGACCTATCAGGTAGATGATACAAGGAAANAAGGCTCCCTCGCATAGGCCTATGAGTAGTCTCAGCGCGTAGAGCTGAGGCACTGACGTGACTGTAGCAGAGCAGAAAGTGAAAATAGCCCAGAGACATTCGAGCGTGGGGATCACATAAGACGGCCGCAACTTTGTGACGAGAATAACCGCCGGTAGTTGACTAATGACATAGCCAGCAGTGAAGACGTTGTTCAGGTATGTGAGCTCGTTGCCATGCATGTTTAACGCTTCCTTCATTCCAGAAACGTATGCGTTGCTGATGTTTTGTTGATCCAAATTCTTGCAGAAGTACCCCAGGCATGCATAGGTCAGAAGGAAGAAGTCAAGTTTGAGTAGGAACTTCTTCTCATGTCTTAGTTTGTCTGGATCATCCCAAATATACCTCTGGATCGAGCGGAAGAAACGTTGAGTTGGGGTATACTGCTCTTCCAGATGACCGGGGCTACCCAGATAACTGTTGTCGCTAACGACGTCAACCGTAGAGAGATCCTTCTTCAAGGCCTCGTCGTCCGGCGTCTTTGTATGTGTTTGAATGGTTGAGTGGTCCGCCATTGTGGTAAGTGCCAGTCAAGTAGTAGCCAACAATCGAAGTGATGATCTCGAGTGATATATAGCTGACCTGTCAATAGGCAACGAATTGTTGAGAACATTGAAATCATCCAAAGTAAGCACGTATTGCAGAGCACACCATACCATGCAGCTATTGCGATGGTGGAATGCCAGGTCTTCATGACGCATATTCGCGGAAGGAGGCGCTATCGGAGACCATGCTGATGGATTCGATTAATCAAGCATCTCTCAGCCTTCGAGGTACTAAGGTGGAGAGCGGCACGACTTAGTTTCCATGGCACTGCAAGAGTCACCCTTGAACAGACTGTAAGCGAGATATTGAGATGCAGTTTGATTGCATGACCTAAGACAAAATCTCAGTCAAAGTTACCACGAAGCTTAGGAAGGATTGCTTTGTCCACAAGAGATTGAGCCAATTAAGAACTCAAAAACAACCAATGAGTTGTTAGAAAGTGCTGTGTTGAGTGTATGATATGCAAGCTGGAGTTGCGCAACTTTATCCCCGCTTTGCGTGATGGACCCCTCGTTCCTTCCACAACAGCACCTGCCTCCAATTGGCTCCTTCGAGTCTTCCACTATACATTCTCTAGGATTCATGAAACAGTCTGATAAGATCACAAGAAGTGTTGAGACATTTTGTCAGCAAGACATGACTCGGTGCGGACTGAGGGGTTGACCGAGGTCGCTGGAGACAACCATAAAAGTCAACAACATTCAGCTCAAACTTATGGATACTCATCACAAACACTTGCAGTCGTATTTAAGATAACCCTATTATCAGTCATGCCTGGAAAGACATTGAGTCCCTACGAACAGGTTCCCGTGACCAAAGAAGACTGTGAGTTTGACTTGTGAAGTGTCTTGATCCATTACTGATACCCAAATANNGTGGACTGGGCCGAGCTCATCACCCTTGATCTGAGTCAATTCGAAAAGCCAGGCGGCAAAGAGGAATTAGTCAAGCAGTTGGAGCACGCCGTTCGCCATGTTGGTATGTGGTCCGCGACACATTGGCTATATCTCCGCTGACCACAGTCAGGATTCTTCTATGTCAAAAACTTCAACATTAGCCAGGAAGAGGTAGACCGCCAGTTTGCCCTGGGACGCGAGTTCTATGATCTTCCTCTGGAGGAGAAGCTGAAGTATCATAACGTGAAAGACCTCGAAGCTGGCGAATACAACGGTTACAGACCTGCTGGTCTCCGTACTCTGGCCCCTGGAATCACGGATAACATTCAAGTCTACAACATTCCCAAGTTTGACGGTCATCATCAGCGTCAACAACCTGCTGTGCTTCAAGATAACATTCAGGAGATTGAAACGTTCAGTCGCAAATGTCACTCTGAGGTCGTTGTCAAGTTATTGAAGCTCTTTGCTCTTCTACTTGAAGTGGACGAAGATTTCTTCATCAAGGATCATGTCTATGATGATTACGGTGAAGACCACCTACGCTACATGCACTATGCTGCTCGCAGCGCTGAGGAGAGTACTAAAGTGGGAGAGCTCTACGTCCCAGGTCATACTGATCTTGGTTCTGTAACTCTCTTATTCCGCCAACCAGTTGCAGCACTGCAGATCCTGAACAACGAGGGCCAATGGAAGTGGGTCAAGCCTCAGGACGCGACCATCACGATCAACACCTGTGATGCCTTGACCGCATTGACTGCAGGATATGTGAAGAGCAGCGTTCATCGCGTCCGCGCACCTCCAAGCGATCAAGCACACATCGATCGTTTGGGCGTCTTGTACTTCGCCCGCCCTAACAATCACGTCATCCTGGACCCAATCAAGAGCCCCGTCCTTGATTGCCTGGGCCTANCTTCCAATGCATTCACCAACATCAACCAGCATCTCACTATGCAAGAGTGGGTCAAACTCCGTCAGACACAACAGCAGAGGGNNAAGACCGAGGCGCCCGAGATTAAGGAGGGCAAGTACTTCTACAAGCCTAAAGATCTGGAGATCCTTCCTGGCTTGACTGCTACCATACATAACTGAGAAGTAGAGTCGTAGTGCGAAAGACACGTCTGACTAGATTCACAAACTGAAGGTCTAAGCAGCACTTGTTAGCAGCATGAATATAGTTACAATTTACAAAGTCGTCGATGCACGGGGTTCACCTTCATGACTTACAACTCTTTCGCTTGCCAGATGTTTCTCCTCGTTCTTGTATGAGAACAGGCACAGCCAAGATGTAAACTGTGGCGTCGCTGTTGTAGCTCTCCACCTTGAGGACATGATTCTCAAAGAGACTTCTTGCCTTAAATCAGAATAAGTTTTATTAATACAACTCATGGAGCCACATCTACCAACACGGGACCCCATCAAATCAAGAACGTTTCATCATCATGTATATATACAGCTTTGCTTTTTTCCCCCTTCACCCCTTCAATCTAGAGCAAAGCATCTTTCACTGCTCTGTTCATTATTACCCCACCAATACGGCATACTGATAATCTTGCCAGATCCAAAGAACAGGAATACCAACAGCAAATTCAAGTTGTAGCCAGCGTCGAACGCTGCGCCCATGAGGTAGTTGTATCTCGCCCACAACTTGTTTCTGTACCTGAATGCCCAGAACATGACTATGAAGCCTCCGATGAAGGCAGAGGTGTAGCCAGTAGAAACATTGCCGTAGAAGTTAGACACACAAGAGAAGAAGATCGTAGTGTTCCAGAGGCGGAATTTGAGTTTGGAGTTAGGGAACAACTTGTGGAGGGCAAACATGAGAATGGGGGCGATGGCGCCGGCGACGAATCCGTATGGAAGGGGTTTGAAGGAGGATTGCTGGAACATCTTTGTAGGGCCGATGAGAACGTATTCCACAGAGGTTGAAAGCGAGGAAGAGAGGTGTTGTGCTGTCCATTGGTGTGTGGGATCTTTCTCGATTCCAAGCAAGATATCTCGTTTCGAGGACAGAACCCATTTCACAACGCCGTAGTTGATAGGTACACCAATTGTACAGCCAAACACCTGCGAGAAGAAGGTCGCTCGCGGTGGAATATGGTTGTAGTGACCTATCTTCGCGTCCTGCAGCATGTATTGCGCTCGATACCAAGCATCTCCTGCTATAGAACTGTAGATAGTGGCGCCAGTAGGGTTCTTGTGGCCACTGATGGCGTTGACCATTACTCCATAGAGTAACTCATTGAATGTGCCTACAGGAAGTTGGTAATTTGACACGGCATACAGCCAGCCAAGAGGTGTGACAATAAGAGCTCCGGTGGCCAAAGCCACGAAATAGGTCCAGACAGGAATATAGATTTTGCCGGCTGCAGCCATGGTGACGATCGAGACGAATGAGCAGGCGAAAAGAGCTACGAACCACCAGAGCGGCACTTCCTTGTACGAGCGCATGAGAACATTGAGCTGGTCATTGTACTGATGGTTGATTCCTTTGCCTTTGCCTTCGCTGTTTCTGTTCTTGAACTTCGCGATTGCCTGTTTGAATGAGGACCATCCAAANAGAGCAGCCCAGACCCAAGCCGATAAGAACGCTGCGTATGAGAAGAAGATGCCCCACAGCATCTGGGCACCAAGATACAGGGGCCCATATTCCTCATAGGCGGTCTCGTTGAAAGTTCCTTGGGGTGTGACAAGCTTAGTCAGAGGATACTTCGTACCATTTCCTTGGAGAACACTTGTAGACATGAGACCAGGCTTAAACTCGGAGAGATTGCCCCACTTCGCAGCAGGAAGCAGAACCCAGCAGTTGAACGCAAAGGCCAAGAACATGATGACTTGGGTCCACCACGGCAGTAGGAAAAGGTTGCCGTTTGTACTGAGGTTAGACCAATCCAGACTAAGGTTGAGGAAACCCATGCCTCCAAAGCCAGAACCGATGAAGTTAGCCACAGGGTTTCTAGGGGCGACCCAGCAGAGGAAAGCAAGACTTCCGGTCATTGGGAAGACGTACTCAGGCAAGAACTGCCACAATGCGATTCCAAGGAAGACAGCAAAGAAGACTCTCATCTGTTTTTTCGAGACTGGCGTCGGGTTCTCCCTCTCCTTNTTCTGCGACTCGAAAAGAGCTGTTTGACACAGAGCTTGGAACCACGGGTATTGAGGATCGTAGAGCAGAAACTGTCGCGAGATAGCGGCGAACGAATAGCCAGTCACAACAACACTCCACATGAAGAATATCGCGACAGCCGGGTTCATTGGCTCGCCGAAGTAGAGCTCGGCGATCGAGACGGGCGCATAGGCTAGATTGTAAGTTGCTCCAGAAGCAGCAGAAATAGTCACAAGTACGTGCTCTTTCGTACTCCATGGTCCAGGATTTAGGTTGATGCCCAAGATCTTCTTATTCGGTAGGATGTTTGCAAGCCACATTCCCACGTAGTTTGATGCAATTTGAACGAAGAACACTGAATATGCTGCCGATGTCGTTCTGAAGTATGACATCTGTGAGAGGAAAGCACCAGGGACAATGAACAAGATGGCCAGAACGAAGTATCTGAAGGTAAGGGTAGGCTCCTCCGGGTTATCTGTCAAGGACACGATACGTCGCACAGCCATAGGGATGTCTCGAACAGCTTCATCGTCATCGGCGAATTCGTCACTCTCGATGTCAGAAGCCTTTCCAGACTTGACCTCTTCATCGTCGACTTCAAGTCCGAAGGTCTTCGATGTTGGTTCGATTTTNCCAGTGCCAGTAAGTCCAGTTGCGGTCCCCTCATCCAAAGTTGTCGACTCAGCAAACCCATCCGGAGTCGATGTCACATCTTGATTCTCTCCTTTTACGCGTGCAACGACACGCTTGAACAGCGAGCCCGCCATGGCAAAATGTGTCGAGAGGTCGAAAAGTAAATGTGCGAGAGAGTTTGAATTGCCTTGGCTAGGGGCCTCGCTCTATATAGAGTCTTGAGGTCCTCATTCTCGCTCGTCCATTGCACACGAACAGCACGCTGGTTTTGCCATTGAGATAGCTGTTCTGATAGGGCAGAAATGGCGTGCTATGGCTGGGTCGATCAAAAGTGAATCCTTTACATGATCGCAGTCTGTGCCTCGAGTTTGACAGGTAGGCAAGTTTTGCTCGTCCTCACGTTTGCGTTGCGTAAAAAAGCTTGATCAAGCAACACGGAATGGGTTAATTACCCCAAACAGCTTAGACAGCCGAGCAAAACTTGTAATTTTCGCTTCGGATGCTACCGTGGTATGCCGATCTTGAGCCAAAGCGTCTGATCTTGGGTGGGTCTCGTCAAACTTCACCCTCTTCGAGAAATGTTCGTTGGTGATTGAACCGATTTGACCGTGAATAGGCCAGCAGGCTGATTCATCGTATCTTTGACCTATCATCAAGCATCGGAGATATTGCAGAGGCTGTGAAAGACGATTGAGCGTGCCTCTTGTTGGGCGCGGCAGATTCTCACCTTCTCGAAGCAGTATGGAGTTGCAAGATCAATGCGAGCACGTCTTCGAAGGATTCAAGAATACGAATGACGCGATCGCGTAGCTTTCTCATCCCTTTAACGAGCATCCACTTCAAATGCCGAGAGCGCCCCAATCTCTTGAACGTGCTTGAAGGCGTTGCTTGACGTGCTTGGTTACTGTTGACGCAGAGCCAGACCTGCTATCGCGTTCTTGGTAATCACGAACATGTGGCGACGAGCGCAGCTTCAAGTGCGTTGCTACCGCAGAAACAACTTGAGCAGCGAAACACAACAATCTGACTTGGAAAACTTTTTCTGGGCCCGACAGTTGCAAATACTGCACTAACAGGTTAATAGGTGCATACACGAACTTGCTCTCTTATGCTAGAGCTTGTCACTATGTAGCTACGAAAATGCACGATAGTCATTCAAAGAGTGTGACTCTCGCGGACATAGGTCTGGTGCAGGTTATCTCTACGACTGGAGTCGTACTCAGAATGCAGGAGACTCACCAGAGAATAGTAAGTGATGCTTTACGGTCCTCCTGGAGCTTAAAATCTGAATAATTCGCGGTGCTAGCGATGAAAGTCCTTTTCATCAATCTATCGGTCAACCTCCACCACCGGAACGCTCGAGCTGGCTTGGTATACCCTCGCGATGGGTGAGCCATTTACTCGGGAGACCCAGAAGACGAGTATCTCGCGGCGAGATACTACCAGACTGAGGCCATGCTGGCCAGTGCCTTGGGCGCACTCCACCCAGCCAGCTCTGATTACAAGTTCCGCGGTATGCAGTGGTGGGCCTTCGGTGATCACAAAGAGCCCTGGACAGGAGGATACTCACACAAACCACACCTCTTTCGTGCAAGTCCAAGTGACGTTGGAGAGCCTTAAAGTTCCGAGTCCTTTCCCGGATTCTGGTCTGCCGCAGTCTGGGTTCATGCAGAAGTGTAGGTCGAACTCGAGGTTGTTGTGAACGTGCAGTGGAGAGCTGCATTACTGTGCATCTTAAGCCAGATTTTGCCTTCCATGCTTCGACCTCGATGGCATAGATTTCACAACCGCAAGACGATAGTGAGGTTTGCGCAGTCTCCATTCTAAGCCAAGTCTTCCTGTATGCTAAAGGGTGTTGCGTGTAGCTGTGAAAACACGCAATATCACCACGAAACTGGACGGTGCCCGGTGGGAAGCGACACCTCGTCAGCTTTCTGTGGAAACGCATCTGACTTGGAAACAATTGTGCGTTTTTATAGTGTACAGTTCGCTCTTTGCTCTAGTTGGAATCCAATGAAAACTACAGACCTCAGCATGATGGGAGGAAGGAAAAGAAGAAGAAAGACGATTAATTCAACCAATGGAGTAGCGTTTTGCAAATTTGTACAGGGTTGTCCTTACGAGGTTGAGTTTTCGGATAGAGCAATTGCCGAAAAGTCCGATTAACACCGATAGCTACTGAGCTGCTCTAACAAAGGATTGCGAGATACTGCGTCTAACATATTTAACCAGATATAACATTCGGCGGCAGACAATCACAACATTGAGCTCCTAACATTAGCACAGCACATCAAAACTTACGTCCATGAGAACTGCCGATTGATCAGAAGTCCGGAGTGGATGCCGCTTGCAAACAAGAGCATAATGACGCAACGAGGGTCTCATGGATTTGTAAGTCGAAGGTGGAGCTCTCATTTCATCTGAGCTTCTGTCTTGCCTGATAACATTCCATATGTTTTCTTCGGTCTTTAGAGCTCAGTATAGATCACTTGCAAGAACCAATTGCATTTCTCGCCAACTCAGCCCATTCACATCAACCACCAGACTCAACATGAAGGGAAGCAATCATTCGTGCCGGCCCCAAGGTCGAGATCGTTGACTCGCCTGTTCCCAAGCCCGAGAAGGGTCAGGTTGTCATCAAAAATGTTTACTCAGGTAGCAACCCTAAGGACTGGTATGCTTGAGGTTCAACTTTTCCAGAAGAAGCTTCTGATGGTCCTACAGGANAATACCCCGATATGACGAAGAAAGGAGAAATGAACCAGGGTGACGACATCTGTGGTACTATCCATGAAGTTGGTGAGGGAGTTTCAGAGTTCAAGAAAGGCGACCGCGTCTTTGCTTTCCATCAAATGCTCGCTCCTGGCGGCTCCTACGCCGAATACTGTGTTGCTTGGGCTCACACTACCGCATACCTCCCCGAGCACGTTTCCTTCCAGGAGGGTGCGGCTCTGCCTCTCGCTGCACTGACCTCTGCTGTCGGTCTCTACGACCGCCTGAAGCTGCCCCAGCCTTGGGTCCCTCGCAAGGACGATGAGAAGCCTATCCCTCTTGTTATCTACGGAGCTTCGTCCTCAATCGGTTACTACGCCACCCAATTCGCCATTCGCTCGAACATCCACCCTATCATTGGTGTCGCTGGTCGCGCCAGATCACACGTAGAGAAGCTCCTTGATCCCAGCAAGGGCGATGTTATTGTCGACTATCGTGATGGCGACGAGGCCGTGCAGAAGGGCATCGAAGAGGCTCTCAAGGGTGCTCAGCTTCATCACTGCTTCGACGGTGTCTCCGAGAAGGGCTCATACCAGAACGTCGCTGCGGTCATGTCTGACGGCGGCCACATTACACTTGTCCTTCCCGGCAAGGACTTCTCCGACTTGCCTCAGCACGTCAAGCAGTCCATCACCATGGTTGGAGATGTTCACAACAACCTTAAGGACTTTGGCTCAGTCTTCTTCCGCTACATCGCAAAGGNNGGTGTTGACGAGGGCTGGTTCAAGCCTCAGCCTCAGGAGGTCATTCCTGGCGGTCTCGAGGGTGTCGAGCAGGGTCTCGCTAACCTGAAGTCTGGCAAGGCTTCAGCTGTTAAGTATGTCTTCAAGATCGCTGATACCCCTGGCGCTGGTCAGTCGTAAAAACCAGGCCTTGGTATATAATAATGATTACGAACACAGCAACAAGCTGGTATAAATTTAAGCATTGACTACCATTGAGGGGTCATTCAGTCTTCTAGATCGCACTCGACTGTGTTAGAGAACAATCATGATCAGATTCGCCATAAGTTCGAGGGTGATTTAGTGGCAGATACAAAAGCTGGGGCATGATTTGTTTTCGCCGGCACATCGACATGGCAACGAATTATTTTCTTGTTATTTTTTTTATCCCTTCCGTCATCAGGGTCCAGATCTTGGTTTCACCAAAAATCTTCCCTGTAGATTCGACTTCTCCATGAGAAATGTCAGCACCAGCATCCCTTCACGCTTCAACGATATTTGCCGTTCGCGAAACAGCGGAATCTGGACGAGGGGTCTACGCGACACAATTCATTCCCAAAGGCACACTTCTGTTTGAGACAGCGGAGATCGCAGCCAGCGTCATCTATCGCGAATACTGGAAGGAAGTCTGCTCGCAATGCTTTCTATACGACAGGGGTCGTAATTGGCGCATTCGAGATGCAAAATCTGGGCTTGCGTTCTGCAGCGAAGAGTGTCAAACAACATGGAAGAATGATGAGATGAATAATGAAGCGGCATCAACCGCTATCGAAGGACTAGGCAAGGCAGGACAATCCAATACTTCAGATCCGGACGAAGACCCAGAACACCTTNTGCCTCGACCGACAATACAAGAGATAGACGCAGCATGGGCGATAGCAGAAGAGACGGCAACCAAGATCCGCGCCGCACGAACGTCCACGAAACCCTCGAAACCAGAACGCCGCCTTCTGACACAAATCCTCGCTACACCACCGATACGCGGTGTAATAGCCTACCAGCTGCCAGCAACATTGACAGTCGCAAACTCGTCGTCATTGTGGTCTGATGTGCTGATCCTCGAGTCGGAAGTCATGCCGTATATCTCGCCAGCAGATCTCAAGTTTCAGATCACCAGCTATCACCACCTCTTAGCTTGCGCACCTCTCTCCCTGCTCGATTACATCACAGCATCCAACCTTCGCACGCTCGCAGCAAAATCATCACATAATGTCTTCAACATATGGTCGCAAGATTTGGACGAGGATACAAGTGGTGGCAGCGAGTGCCTAGGCTACGGACTCTGGACAGCAGCAAGCTATTGGAATCATAGCTGTGGACCGAATTTACGAAAGAGACGTGAGGGACGGATGTGGAAGTTCTGGGCGGACAGAGATGTGGAGGCGGGCGAGGCGCTGTGCATCAGTTATTTGGGAGGTGATGAGAAGCATATGACGAGAAGCGAGAGGAGGGAGAAGCTCAAAGAGCATTGGAAGTTCGACTGTGCCTGCGCGAGGTGCGAAGAGGAGGCCAAATAGACCGCAACCGCACGCATGAGATCTGCCGTATATGCTGGCAATTCGCAGGATGCACTAGCAGGCGGCAGTCCTCAAGCCCTATGGTTGTTCTGAGATTCGGCAAGGGCACAGCGGTTTTATCATCCAGGAACCGACTCAGTCGCAACGGCGAAGACGCTTGGGCCACATTCATACCGCACAGCACTGACTTGCGCTCCGGTCGACATGCCGATTCACAGACCTCTCCTCCTTGCCTCAGTCCAACGAGCGACAGAGTGGTCATGGCTTGTTCTTCTGGTTCTGTGATAATGGGAGTCCAGCATGCACTGGTTATGTCTGGGGTACCCAGATCTTGCTGCCTCTGTCTGTGTCCAATACTCGCCAGGAACGCCTTCTACGCCTCAACCCAAATGTATACCCCAAGCAAGACGATAGGGAAAGACAATTCATCGCATATATTATAAGGCTTAAACCAAGTTTGCGCCTAAGACTTGAACTCACCGCAGAATCTTCTTTTGCGGTCAAGAAGTTGCCGACAACATCAAATAACGGCCGAATATCCAACGGCTGAACAGCCCTTCCCGCCGGCACTTCTGTCATAATCACCAAAAGCTCTCTCACTTCAATGCCGTTCGGATAACGATATATCGATAAACGAGACATACAGTCAGGTCGAGACCTGGACCTTATCCCAGGATAATTGTTTGGACCAAGGTCGGAGTCCAACCCGTCAGCCTTGTCGTCAACGACGTTATTGTTTTCCATATGAATCGCAGGTGACTTTTGTTGTAGTAAAGTATATATGAATGACTCTGTATATCCAGGTAGGCTTCCTTTACCCTCACTTGCGTCTTTCCTTCATAATATCTACCTTGTTTAATATTGCTTCTTCATCATGAAGAGGGCTACCACCACTCTTTTGGCTCTTGGCTCGACAGCCTATGCTTATACTTCTTCTTCTGCTGGAACGAAGAGTGGTTGTTACTGGAACACCGAAGCTGGCTCGTTCAACACTCGCTTTGGCCATGACTTTGCTGCCGATCTCTTGGGGACGGTCCAGGACATGATCCCTGATAAATATACTGTCAACGCTGGCTTGAATCCTCTTGCTCGTCGTTTTGACCTTGTCAACATTGGCCTCGATCCAACTGATCTGTCCTTGACGCTCACTGTCCCTGGTGGACAAACCACTGGTAATTCGACCTCTCCTGTCATCCGCACCATCGTCTGACACAATGCGTAGNGTCCCATCTCGGTTGCACAGATGAAAACGAATTACGATGATATTCTCTATGCATCTGTCCGCACTGTAGCAAAGATCTCCAACGTGCCGGGCACCACTAATGCTTTCATTTTCTACGCCAACGACACTCAAGAAGTCGATTTTGCATTCTTGACGTCGGACATCTCCAGGGCTTGGCTGACCAACGAGCAAACCTCATACGCCTCTCCTTACTCGACCTACAGTGTCGCTGCACCTGCTGATGCCAGTACTGCTTGGCATGAGTATAGGTTGGATTGGTTGCCTGGAGTCAGCAAGTTCTATATCGATAATGTCTTGGTGCAGACCATTACAGACAATGTGCCGACCACACCTGGATCTTGGATTTGGAACAACTGGTAGGTCTCGAGGCTATTTGCACATATCGGATCACAGCTAATACCATTTACAGGTNCCAATGGAAATGCTTGGACTCAAGGACCGCCCGCAGCTGATAGTGTGCTGAAGATCCGCAGCATTGATGCATACTTCAACCGCACTTCTGTCGCGGATAACATCAATGCAAACCCCAACAGCTGCCCTGTTGTTGCTGCTTCGTCATCATCCTCCAGCGTTGCTTCTTCCTCAACATCTGTTTCGTCGAGCTCCTCTAGCGTGGCTTCCTCATCATCTGCCAAGACGTCGTCTCCATCGACCATATTAACTACTTCATCCTCATCGCCCTCTTCTGTCGTCGCTTCTATCGTCGCCACCAGCGCTGCTCCTGCAACTGTATCTTTCACTACCATCACCACTGCCTGGACTGGTACATACACTGCGACATCGACTGCAATTTCTGGTCTGGCCGCTACTGTATACGTCCAAACACCAGCCAAGAAAGGACAAGTCATCAGCACATCGTCCACAGCTAAGGGATCCTACACCACTGTAACAACACACTCGGGCACTGCCACGACCATTGCCACTATCACCGGCACTCCCAGATTCCAATTCTTCGGCGCAACAACAACGACAGTAACAATTGTGTATCCCACTCCTGTTACTAGCTGCGGCAACCAGGGCATCAACTTTGCAGCTTATACCAACAAGTATGCTGGCGGCCAATCAACAAATGGCTACCCCTCTTTCATCCCTGAGACTTACAAGAAGGTTAACCCTTACATCGCTGATGATACGTCATATATTGCTGAATCCAATGATGCTTGGGGCGATTGGATTAACTTGTATGGATACTACCCTGTGGATCCCACCAACCTTGTCCTTGACCACACATTCTACTTGTTTGCTTCGCAGACAGGTTATTACTCCTTGAACATCCCTTACACTGATGACATCCAATTTGTCTGGGTTGGCGATAAGGCTGTCAGTGGATGGACACGCGCTAATGCTGATATCACTCAGTTCTGGAGTCAGCAGATTGCTACACAGACGCCTCAGACAATGGCCTACTACCTCACTATCGGGTCATATCTTCCGAGTAAGTTTTCCTACCATTTTCTGCTTCCAGAATACAGCTAACATCGACCCAGTTCGCGTTCTATATGGTAATGGTGGAGGCCAGGGAGACCTGCGCTTCAATCTCTATGCTCCCGACGGTAGTATTGTGCTTTCGAGTAATGCTGGACAGAACTCTGGAGTCGGCAGTGTGGATGTTGTTCAGTACCCCTGCAACAGTGCTCTTGGAGCCAAGTTCCCTGCTTGGGGCAAGGAGACTTAAGAATACAGTGTACTTCAAAGGCTTGGAGCTTCTTTTCAATGCAAGACGCATATCTCAAAATTCACAAGCATATATTCGATCGCAATACCTAAGCCACCTTCTTTTCCGTTCCACTGTTAGTTCCTAGTGTGAGACAATGATCAAATAGTCCTACCTTTACTACCTGAAGTTGCAAAACATATGTTACAAGTAGAGGTTTTTGAGAAGTGACTCCAGTGGATGATTATACAGTGAAACCAAACCAAAAACCTGCCAGATTGGCCAGAATCACTAGTTTATCATCATACGTATTCGGGAACGATTTTGTTGCCTTGTATAAATATGACGACCTCTTGTTATGATAGCAGTCAGTGATATTCAGCAGAGAACTGTGGATCACGTCTACAAGGCAATCAAAGCAAGGCCTGTTTATGCTGCAAGAACAACAACCGTAGCGGTTGTGATGCAATGGAAGAGCTTGCTGGTGCAACACAAGCAGGCTAACAGCATACCTCAGGTCACTGTACACAAACTAAACTGCCACTCCCCCACAATGTCTATGACAGAGATGAACTCTTGGTGCGCATCACAAACATTATCACCACGAGTAAATTGAGTGAGGATAGAGAAAAAGGAGGTAGTGATTATGGGCCTGGTCTTCACTCTACATACACAAAGCAGAATCAATCTTGTACAGCATGTTTGCACAAAGACATTTCGTGAGTTTTTGCAGGCTGTGAGGAATGGAGATCCCGCCTCTGTCTCCATGATGAGAACATTGACAAGAGATTACATGATCTCAAGCAAAGTTCTCTTTTATATCCACCTTCGCGAACTGGTCTCGTTCACTGCGTTAGCTAGTGCAGATCGCGACAACCACGACTCCAGCTCAGGGATACCGGAATGATAGCACGAGAGAACAATGTTGCTCTTTTGTGTTGAGGACAAGCAGTCGAATCGGTTTGTGACCGGTGGTTCGTCTTTAGCCGTTATGTCACTGGGCGACATGGCACAGAAGAGTAAGAAAGGCTGTGCCTCTGTGTAGACATCTCTACCTTCGAAAGCCGGGTCTCATATCATTATTTCCACGGCTGAGATCGCAACAACCACGATTTGAGCTTCAAACCTCGAAATCACAGCACAAAGAGTAATTTTGTTTTCTCGCGCGGAAGCGTGTAGTCGGGAACACATTACCGGGTCGTGACCGGAAGCTCGTCTTCGGATATAGTGTCTTGAGGCGACACGGCATATGATCGGACTTGCGGCCTTTGAAAACGTGGTAAATCTTCATGCGAATCTCGATGGGGATCTCCAGAAGGGAACATGTATTTTTCTCAGCAGTCTTGAGCGCTTTTTTAGGAACGACAAGAAGGGATGAACTCGTGGTCAGCGCATCACTCTTTTCACTCAAGAGCCTGGTTCCTTCAACAGCTCCTGTGGCGGCAGAAGGCGATGAGCAACCTATGAAAATGCTCAATTGTATCCAAGCCAGAGACGTTCCCAGAGAGAGCTTGACACGACGGTGGCTCTCTGTGGAAGCTGCTTTGTCTCTCGAATACTTTGTGCATTTCTACAGCTGCGCATGAGTTAATCGACTGCATATGGAAGGCCGAGAAGAAAAGGCTGTTTAGGTCCTTCTCTCTCGTCACGACCGCAGTGCTAGACTTTATCGTGCTTTCCCATGACGAAATGCACCCTGCACTCAGTGGTAAGATAAGATAGGACATCATCTGGCGGTATCGTGGTACGTCAAGAGCGGTGTGTTCGTGCTGTAATTCAGGCTTGGTTGGAATCCGGATAAGAGATGAGATGAGAACTCAGACAGGCTCCAGTCCGGACATGACCAATGGCCATCGCATATGTCGTTGCCATTCCTGAGGCACAATCCTCCTCAGTCCTTGAACCTCTCTCATGGGTGTTTGACCAACCCACCAATGAGCACTGCCCTTGGTGGCGATTGAGAAGAAATGCGCCAACATGACGAGAGCCCTTGGACGTAATTCTTCGAGCATGTCCACGAACTTTTTGGGCACATAGAGCGCAAATGCAGCAATCCGCGTGCAGATTTGGTGCAGCGTTTCGCCATCCACGACGGCTGTGTACATGGTGCCAATGTAACTCAACGTACACTCGTAAGCTTCCNNCCTGACCTCGGGGTTCCAGAGCTCAGAGTCTTCGTAGACACCCTGAGCGTTCTTAGGCCCCAGAATGCCGAGGAAGGGGCCTCGATGCTCTTCGTCAAACATCATAGGTATACTCACGAAGAAGGGCTGGTTCTCGATGAAGGTGACAATCTTGGAAGAAGGAAACTTGCGGGCGCCCTTCAAAGCCTCTTCGTAGACGGCACATGCGCCCATGCCTAAGCGCAGCATATCGGTAGGTGGCTTGTAAGGGTTTCGGTTGCGTTCTTGCAGAGAACCGAAAGCGTTCATGGTCATCATGATGGACGTGAAGCAGAGAGAATCAGCTTCCTCGGCCTGGGTGTAGAACTGAATGACTGCTTTGCGCTGCTCGCGAAGAGCTAGACTGAGATAGACTCTTTGAGCAGTAAGCAGTTCAACGTCGTCTGGGGAATCGCGCAGGAGTCTAGTTGCGCTGATGGCATAGATAGTGTACAGGAGATTGTCGTGGCGCATTGCAATGTGAGGCAGATGGTTATTCCAGATCTCAATCAGAACGGTTTTAGGAGAGTCAGCGTGAAAGGGTATAGACACAACGGTCACATAATTGTGCCATAGGCGCAACTCGAGCATGCGANNGCGCTGGCGCGACTCGGGAAGATCCAAGATATCATCAGATGTGATTGGGTCGTTGATGGTTGGCGGAGTCAGGACCTGGCTGATAGGGATTTTTGAGTGAGATTGGTCTGGGGATATTATTGCATGAGGCGACAGCGAAGTCTCAGCACTGGCAGCTTTGGAGACTTCACTTTTGAGATAGACGCAGGGCACATGATGGCGGTTGCATCCTCCGCAAGCAGGCTTCACCTCATCACACNNTGGGCTTCATGTCAGACGTGTTTTGGTGAGACTGGGGCACAGCAATTGATAGTGAGAGGCAGACACGATGTTTTGACGCGACGAAAAATGAGAGCAACTCACCTTAACTCGACGTGCCTTACACCTCTGACATCCGGCGCGAGACTTTTTGTGATTGAGACGCGGAGGCCGTCGGTTCTGAGCCGCACCGGCACCAGTCATAATATCTAGGTGGTGATCACACGAGGGTAGAGGACTTCATCCAGGATTGACGATGATATTCATGATTTGTTTGGCTAGAGGGTCATGATGCGCGAAGGACAAGTGCCGACTGGAAGGAACGGCAAGACGGAACAAGCAAATCCATCGACCTGAGACATTAGCTGTGGCTGGTGTAGCCCAAACAAGAAGGCGGTGAGGGGCTTTGAAACAACGTCACCGAGGCTGGAGGGCGACAAGCAGCAACGCTGACCAACATACACCTTTTGAAAACATTCACGCTCTCCGGTAGATGCAGTGACTATGAGCGGGAGGCTGCTGTCGTCGCGCTATGCGACGCTTGCTCGACATAGCTCCCCCCTCGCCCTGAGGTCGCCATATCACACGGCCCAACAACGCGCAGGAGGTTTAATCACTCGGAACAGCATCCCAAGGAGTCGTCCTATATCTTCTGGAACAAACACGCCAGTCGTACGACATGCATCATTCGCTCGCGTCATACCGAAGCTGGCATTCAAGCTTATTCGCCTGCCTGCCCTGCTAGGTGCCACTGCCGTCGGTAGTCTAGCATATATTCAATATCAAGCCGCTCGTCAGTCATTCTCGCACTGTTCCTGACATCACAGCTGACTCCAACNNACAGAGGCTGGTAATTACGCAATCGACCTGTTCACTAGAGCATCAGACGCAACCACCACCGGAGCCCGGTCCATATTCGAGGGTGCAGGCGGTATCTTTGCGCAAACAAAGGCTGGTTGGGAGAAGACCAAGAAGGACTTGCAAGAGCTTTTTCCACAGCAAGAGTCATCTGGACCTGGAGGCGATGGAGGACCTGGAGGAAATGGTCCAGAACCCAAGGAAGCTCGCGTCGGAGCTGGTGCTGCAGGTGCTGCCACAGCCGCTGCTTTCGCTTTGAACGACGATGAACAAGACGACCGATCCGATGAAGCAGCAGCTCGCGACGATCAGATGATGCTCCTCACGCGCAAGATGATCGAGATCAGAAGTCTGCTCCAGACAGTCGGCCAGTCAGAAACTCTCACACTACCCTCGATCGTTGTCGTTGGCTCGCAGTCATCAGGAAAAAGTTCAGTGCTGGAAGCTATTGTCGGCCACGAGTTTCTGCCTAAAGGCTCCAACATGGTCACTCGTCGACCCATCGAGCTGACACTGGTAAACACTCCTGGAGCACATGCAGAGTACGGCGAGTTTCCAGCTCTGGGCTTGGGCAAGGTCACCGACTTTGCTCAGATCCAGCGCACTCTGACCGACCTCAACCTGGCCGTACCAGAGACCGAGTGCGTATCTGATGACCCCATCCAGCTGCGCATCTACTCGCCTAACGTTCCTGATCTTTCTTTGATTGACCTGCCCGGCTACATTCAGGTGACTGGTTTCGACCAGCCCACTCAACTTAAGGAGAAGATTGCTGCCCTGTGCGACAAGTACATTCAGGCACCTAATGTCATCTTGGCCATCTCTGCTGCTGATGTTGATCTGGCCAACTCCACCGCTCTTCGTGCCAGTCGTCGTGTCGACCCTCGTGGTGAGCGCACCATCGGTGTCATTACCAAGATGGACCTGGTCGATCCGCAAAGAGGTCATTCTATGCTGACTGATAAGAACTACCCTCTGAGACTAGGCTACGTTGGTGTTGTTTGTCGAGTCCCTCAGCACTCCAATTCTCTCTTCTCTCGTGGCAATGCCAACATCACATCTGCCATCACCCGTAACGAAAAGGCTTACTTCTCTTCTCATCCCGAAAGTTTCGGCCCTGTCAGCGAAGTTACTGTGGGTACCACAAATCTTCGCAAGAAGCTCATGCACGTCCTGGAATCAACAATGTCGGCATCGCTTGCCACTACCGCTGAAGCCATTCATCATGAGCTTACCGAAGCCACCTACGAATTCAAGGTGCAATACAACGAGCGTCCCCTCTCAGCCGAGTCGTATTTGGCTGAGAGTCTCGACGCCTTCAAGCACTCTTTCAAGGGTTTCTCAGACTCTTTCGGTCGCCACCAACTACGCGATATTTTGAAGCACGAACTTGACCAACAAGTGCTCAACCTGCTCGCTTCGCGATACTGGAACAGACCTCTCGAGGACCTCTCGGCTCAAGAAGGTGAAGGTTTCGTTGACAGCCTCTCTGCTCTACCTAAAGCAGATCCTAACGACCAACTTTGGCGTCTCAAACTTGATGCCAGCTCTGCTTCTCTTACCAAACTTGGCATCGGACGTCTTGCCACAACTGTCGCTGCTGAGTGTTTACAAGCACATGTTGAGCGTCTCATCTCATCTTCAACCTTCAACGCCCACCCCTTCGCCCAGACAGCAATCACACAAGCTGCTCAAGGGATCTTACACGATCTAGCTTACGATACCAGCGATGAGCTAGAGATTTGTGTCAAGCCCTACAAGCATCGCATCGATCTCGAAGATTCGGAATGGATGCGTGGTCGTGAGAATGTCCAAAAAGTCCTCAAAGCCGAGCTCCGAGATTGCGAAGATGCTGTCAAGACTGTCGAAGCAGAGATGGGAGGCAAANAGCGCTTCAAGGATGTCGTAACTTTCATTGACAAGGTCAGAAAGGGAGACATCAATCTTGAAGGCAACAGTAGTGGAGGCGCTGGCGGATTCTCAGCAGCTCTTCTTGCAAAGGGCAGAGAGGCGGTTTTCCTTCGCGATCGCGCTGATATCCTACGCATGCGTTTGCTCGCAGTCAAGAGCAAGGCTTGCGCCAACAAGAACAACAAATACATCTGTCCCGAAATTTTCCTCGACGCAGTGGCAGATAAGCTCACCACTACCGCCGATCTCTTCATCGATGCTGAATTGCTCAGCAAATTCTATTACCAGGTAAGAGAATACCGACTATGTCTTCAGAGAAACGAATTGTGCTGACTCAAAANNCAGTTCCCTCGTGCCCTTGACTCAAAGTTCCGCTCTCTCACACCTCAACAACTCGATCAATTCGCACGCGAAGATCCAAAGATTCGCCGGCATCTGGACGTGGTGCACAGAAAAGAACTCCTGGAGCACGTGCTCAAGGAGATGGAGGCACTCAAGGCTCTGGAAGCCAGAGAAAAGCGAGCAGGCAGAGGAAGCAGAGAACCTGTGTCCCGGCTCAGCGAGCGCGACCGCCTAGGCGACGACACGAGCGATAGAAGGAAGAGAGGTTGGGGTTTGTTCTAGGAATACGACCCTGGATGAATTCTTTTCTGTCATAGCTCTGGGTTGGTTTTATTGATGTGCCGTCCGGGCTGAATTATTTTTCTTTGTACCATTAGTTATAGATACCACTATGAGCAGACACGCATCTCATCACATCGTAGCGACAAGACAGCGTCTGGAAAGTAATCCCTCGACTGATGACTCGAGACGCTGCCATTAGATGCGGGTTGTTGAACTAATACGCATCTGCATCCGAGGATCCATAAGAACTCATCGTTCCATGTCGACCCGATAATCGCTGCTTTCGCGAAGAGTATGCCTGCCATGATAGATAATGGAACAATCAAAACGACAGCCAGGGTCACTCAACCAGTCACTTTTGTGGCAAGTGTAGCCGAGGCAACAACTCCGCTTCCACCTGCACAACAAACACATTCACCTTTACTCTTCATCTCCCATCACACTTCTTTAGCAACATCCATCGTCAGATTTACGACTAGCGCTGACCCACCTACGCTCACATGAAACAGTAAATATATCAGCGTACATCACCATTCACTCTAGAATTGTTCTTTCATTCAGACGCCTGCCCAACCCTTGGCGGCCTCACGCTATTATGGCGGGCATCCCAGGACTTGATAGACGTGCCATGGAAGCTGAGCGTCTAGCAAGACTGGCAGCGAAACCTCCTCCAAGCGCTGAGCCACAAGCTGGAACAATGCAAGCAACAACTGCANAAAGACAGAGATCCATATCTCCACCCCCCACATCACGACCAGCCAAGAAGATCAAAGAACAATCAAATTCAGCTGGATCATCATCACTTCAGTATCCCCGAGGCACCGTCAAANAGACATGGGCTTTCGGTCACGCTCGAAGCAACAACGATATCAAAATCGAAGAAGTGCTTGAAAAGTCTACACTACGCACAGCCTTGCTCTCTGCATTTCAATGGGAGAATAATTGGATCATGGCAAAGCTCAACTTGCAACAGACCAAAGTCATCATGGTCATGCAAGCAGATGATGAGGCTGTCAAGCAGCAGTACCGTCAAGAGACTGCGTATCTGGGTAAGATCCTCCGACTAGTCTTCCNNCCCTCCATGGAAGGGAACATTAACTGCATGCACTCCAAGCTCATGTTGTTGTTCCATCCGCATAAGCTGAGAGTAGTGGTACCTTCGGCGAATCTGACAAGCTATGATTGGGGTGAGCAGGGTATCATGGAGAATTTTGTCTTTCTCATTGACCTGCCTCGCCTCCAAGATACTGCCCACAGCGATGAGAGCTCATTGCCTCAATTTGGGCGCGAGCTACTCTATTTCTTGAGTAAANAGGGCTGTGAAGACGACATTCTCAAAGGCGTCTTGAACTTTGACTTTAGTAACACTGAACACCTCGCCTTCGTCCACTCTGTAGGCGGCACTCACTACGGCGAAGACATGGAAAGAACTGGCTATGTTGGTCTAAGCAAAGCAATCCGCGAACTGCACTCCCCGTCCCAATTCTCCATCTGCTCTCAGTCCGACCTTCAGATCGACTATGCAGCTTCCTCCATTGGGTCCTTGAACGATGACTTCCTCACCATCATGCACAATGCTGCTCGAGGCGAAGATGCGACAGCTACTCCCACTTCCATTTCCCGCACCGCACCCAAGCCTTTTCAAGATACCATTCCGACAACCAACATCCGAGATAACATCCGCATCTATTTTCCGACACACGCCACCGTCGCAAGCAGCACAGGTGGCCTACTCAGCGGCGGAACGATTTGCCTTAGATCCGAGTGGTGGAGTCGTCTTAGCTTCCCACAAGAATGCTTCCGAGACTATCGCTCCAAGCGGCCTGGTGTGCTTTCTCACAACAAAATTCTGTACGCCAGAGGCATCAATAAGAACGGTGAGCCCGTCGCTTGGAAGTACTTAGGAAGTGCCAACCTGAGTGAGGCCGCTTGGGGCAAGTTGACGTGGGATCGCAAGAACAAGGAGTGGAAGATCGGTTGCAGAAATTGGGAATGCGGTGTCATCTTGCCCGTACCAAAGGAGGAGCTTACAAAAGAATATCAGCAGACTAGCACTAAGATACCGGAAGTCGTGGTCTTAAGTGATGACGATGCAGAGACAGAGAGTGAGGCTGAGGATGCCTCAACTGACAGCGAAGGCGAAGCACAGCCCAAGAAGGTCAAGGACAAGAAGAGCATCAAAGCTCCCAGCCAGAAAGCCGTGGAGAACAAGTCGAAGCCAGCGGCAGCTAGAGTTGAGGTTCCTGGTATGGATGTCTTTGGATCTGAGGATATTGCATTCGAGTATCCAGGTGCTGCATACAATGGCAAGGATCCATGGTTTTTCATGGGCTAATTGTGGAAAGTCATGAGGCGCAGAGGCTCATGGGAAACAAGAGAACGACACTACAACAAGCCATTCATAACAGGGTAGTCTTCAAGCGTCAACAGCAAATAGCGTCAACATGAATAAACACAGTAGTCATAGATTTGGCAGCTTCAGGCTTGAGTACCCAACGCATGTAACTATAGAAATGCACAATATTATTTGGAACCAGGACAGTGTCCACCGAGAAAAGATATATCTCTTTCTGGCCAAGATTTATATAAAACACATTCATGACTGGCCACGGTCGCTGCTGCAATAGTGTCTGACACTTGAAACCGCTCTTTGTCGACCGGTATCGCATGTCCAGAGAAGCAAAGAAGAGGTTCTTCGAAGACCTCCGAATGACAAAAGAACCGCGTATCGTTGCTTCCAAATCAGGCATTGATTCAGCTGAGGGGTTTTTCTTTATTCGGCATCAGGGTTTAGTGTTTGCGCCTTTAAATATCCATGTATTACTGTCTTGATTGACTCGCGGCTAACATAAATCGTCAAATTCGATATCCAGGTCATCCTCGTCTTCGCCAGTGTAGACCAGCGGATCAATTGCAAACTTCTTCTCGCTAGTACCTTGCCGAGACGGCTGAGATTGGCTAGGTCGAGGTTGGAGTACGCCAGCGCTGGGCATCAAAGTGCTGCGTGATCTGGTCGAAGGTACAGGGGTGTCGTTGTCCCTTGATCTGTTCTCAAAAGGGATCTCGGACTGCTTGAAAGTCAGTTGTAGGTCATATACATGCTACTGACACAACTTACGGTAGGTTGCTGGGGCTGCGATCCAATGAGCTGCAAACCAAAGCTCTAATGATCATAAGATCCTTGTGCAGAGCCAGGCTGGTGAGGGACCATTGCTGCGACTGCGGATATTGCTGTGACGATTCTGGATAAGCAGGTCTTTGCCAATCATTTGGCTGGTCAGACGGTGCCTGTGGCAGTGGAGAAACTGCAACCCAGCTACCAACGAAGTGAACCACCGTTTGAACAGTCGCGGCCACGGTGTGACGGCTCAAAAGAGTGGTGTGGTCCAGGAGCGGTAGTGAAGAAGAGGGGCGGACAGTTGTACGTGCGTGCGGCAGGTTGGATTGCATGTTGTTTTGGTTTATGCTACCGTATTGGTCGTCACGCTGACGCTTGTTGGGCTGGAGCGAGGAGTCGTATGCCTCGTTGTCTTGAGGGGCCTGACGCTTCATGTTGCCAAAATGTAGACGTGAATGAAATAGCGGCTTAGGGCAACTGTCGAGCTTGTGTTCGCAAGACAAAATGATACAGAGACCACCACCGCTTTTTGTTGGTGGGAATTCGACTCGATTAGGAAAGTGAAGGAGTAGCTTGTGAGAAGTAGGCATGTGACGCGCTTGTAATGGCAACTGCCAAGCCAGTGGAAGCAATTGAGGAATATCGTCTACGCTCTTTGAACTCGATGTCTCCCCCTCCCCATGTGCTAAAGACAGTCACAGTGTAGCTACAGAAATGCACAATACTTTTGTAAAGAGTGTGGCCTCCACAGAGAGGACCAACCAACCCCATTGCTGGCTATCTCGATGGCGAGCGACATATTCAAATCTCAACTGTGCGTTGCAATGGCCTATACAACTCTTATGCCTCGCAATGGAGAAGGAGTTGGTTGCAAGATTGTGACTGTCTTGAGCACATGAGGAGGCTGTGCAGAAGACGCAAAGGCAAAACAGAGAGTTCAGGGAACTAGATCTTGCCAGGTTGAGAGCGATCAACAAAGCGTTCAGGTGATGGGAAAGTGAACATAAACTAGCAATTGAATGGCTCGGCCGTCTGCGCAAGCTGAGATTGATAAGATGAGCGAAAGAGTGCTATACTAGCTCGTGAGGCTAATGATGAAGGTTGGCTGACCGTAACCCTGATAGAGAGTGGCCGTAGATGAACGCAAAGATGGTGAAAGGCAGTCTGTCTTGCAAATACTCGGCCGAGGGATCATTCTCTCTCTACTAAAACCACCTTGTCGTATCCAGATAGTGACCAAAGTTGCTTCCCGATCATCCAGAGGTACCGGGGTTAACCATGCAGTAGTCGAGGTTGTGTACCGTGGTATCCGGGTTACCAGCCCAAGTTGGGAAAGGTCTGGCCTTGCCACTTCCACCAAAGACCGCAAAGGTCAGGATGAAGACGAGAACCTGAGTGCCTCCATCAAGTGCAGCGCTAGTGATGTAATTGTACTTGACGAACAGCTCAGGGTAGCGGCGACGCACGAACCACTGCGAGAGGAAGCCAAGAATGAAGAACACCGTGATACTGGCATTGATGCCGACGAACAGCCAGCCCATGTACCACAGGATCATGGAAACGTTCATGTACTTGAAGAACGAGTGTTTGGTATAGCGGTAAGCCAGCCAGAATGGGACGGGCACGATGAAACCGATGAGGTAAGAGAGGGTGACCCACTCGTACCTGCCTCCAACGGAAAAGAGCTCGGCTGGCATGGACCAGGCTATAGCGAGAGTATTGAACCTAATGGAGAATTTTAGCAAATGTGACAGGATTTGCTTGTGAATGATATCGACGTACTGCTGAACGTTCTGGCCGCTCCAGATGTTACTGCCCGCAATCGATTTGAGGATCGTGCTTTGGTTTTCGACGATAGAGATCATCCTAAGTTTGACCAGTTAGCAAAGACTTTTTCTCAATCACCGGAGCATCTCATACATGATGTAGTTGAAAAGTGCACCGACAATACAGCCGGAAATTTGAACAAAGAATGTAGCTTCTGTAGATTGTCAGTACATATGTCTTGATGTGAGTCGACCACGTCAAGTTTTTCTTTTCTTTTTCTTTTCCCCAATTTTTTCTTATTTTTTCTCATTTTTTCTCATTATTTCTCCTATACCATCTTTTGACTTACTGGGTGCTAGATGCATGTACTGCCCGAGTTTCAGATCCTTCGCCAATACCTGCCCCATCTGCAACGCATTATATGTATACGTCNNTGGGTTAGAGGTCAGTATTGGGTGCCGAACGATAGAACTCGTACTCACCGTGAAATACATGTTGGCGAGAGGCCGACCTTTGAACATATAACCTGCAAGCATCTGACAAATTGGCTGAATATTGAACTGGAACCCAGTAATGCCAAACTGTGCCCCGAAGAAGACCATGCAAAGCGTGGTTAAGCACGTAGACAGTAAGAATCCCCACCCNTGCTGTCGTAAGTATGGCTCTTCTTGAGATCCTGTGTCTTGTTTGAACTTACAAGGTAGTGTCGAGTCCATGCTGTAAAGACATACTAGACCAACAACCCACGAGATGATCACAACAGCGCCCCACCACCAGTGCGGGCTCTCAGGATAGAGGTTGCGTAACATGAGTTTGTAATGAGGATCGAGAGTGGGGTCAGCTTGTTTCCTGGCCAGTCTCTCTTCCGGTGTCTCTTGATTTTGCCAGAATTTGTACGTCTCGGACTTGAACAGCTTTCTAAGGTTACTTGGCTTGGCCCACGCCCAACCAGCCTTGATATCGTCGTAATTCCACAGGAACATGTGGACGAAGGTAGCGGTGAAGCCTGCANNATACGATAAGCTTTCAAACTAGACTGTATCATCTAACCTGCACCAACCTGCATTTGAACTTATAAGATATGCGATGTACGTTGCCGTCAAATATGGTGGGCCTTGTGCGTCCAGCAGAGTTTGGTCAATCTCCATTTTTGAGTTTAGGATCAGCGACTGGTTGTATGTTGCGTAGTAAGTACCGTTGCTCTCTCCAGTGAACAGTACTTGAGCCAGGAAAGGGAAGCTGTCGATGAATCAGCATCAAAATCGAGCATCGGACCAAGAAGCAAGCACTCACTCCTGTGCGCGCCAGTAGTTGCCATAGTAGAGACCCATGAACAGGATGATACAGCCAATGTAGCCGATATACATGTTCGTCAATGTCTCGAGCGGTAGCCAGAGTGGGCTGCCAAGAGAGGCGATGTACTGCCAATCAAAACAGAAGCTAAGGAAACCGAGTCCTTCGTTGCCACTTGCTCCACCAAAGAGGTTGGTAAAGACCAAGTTTGACTGGTCAGCTAGGCAGAATATACTGACGCCCTCAAGGACAGGGAAAAGGTACTCGGGGAACACTTCCCAGACAAAGATGACCGCAAAGATGATGTAAAAGATCTTGACCTTTTGCTTCGCCGCGACCTTGTCCTTGTGAAGATTTTCCAACAATGTGGTTACCGGGAGGTTGATGGGCCATAAAACCTTGGTTGGGTACACGAGAACCTCTCGGAGCAACCCAGCGATGCCGTAGCCGATGAGTTGGGACGACAATACTACAAAGATTCCAGCAGCTTTGCTAGGGTAACCTCCATACCAGAGCTCTTGTGCGGCAAGCACCTCTGTTGCCAAAGCAGACTGACCTGCGGCTGAAGCCATGAGGGTAATAGCANNCTGCAGTCAATTAGTTGGTTGTGGTGGGTACTAGCCTTGACCACAGACTCACGCGTGCTCTTTCATATTGAAAGGTTGAGGGTTGAGCCAACTTCCGATCACACCCTTGCTAGGAAGAACCTTCGACATGGCTTCACCAAGTACATATGCGATAACGCACAAGAAGACGTTGGAGACATAGATTGTTTGCGGCTTGAAGTAGAAGATTTCCTGAAGAACAGAGGCGAAAATAGACAATCCGAATCCCCTTTGATTATCGTCAGCTCTACCATGATGTTGCGGACTGTGTAAGCGTACAAGAAANAACATTCGGAAGGTCCACGGATTAAGGGTGGGATCGTCCTCAACTGTAAGAACCTGATTCACCAAGTCCTCGGCAGTCTCGACAACCTTGTGTTCTTCAGCGACATAGTCATCGGTCGCGGTACCTTCATGGACGCTATAATCATCGCTCTCTTGGTAGGGAGGAACTTCCTTGACACTTCCGGCAACGACACCGGTCTTGGTACCTGGTGTTTCGATCTCCAAACCAGAAGAGTGAGGGGCTTTCGAGTGGTCTTTCTTGCTGGAGCTAGCCTCGAGTTCGATACCAGAAGATGCCATATCGGTATCAGCTCTGGTGAAACCAGGGCGCTGTTGAGGGTTGGCCATTATGACGGTATGGGAGTCACAGGATGGGATAAGGTGGGCAGCATGGGGCTAGATATAGCTCTTGCATGAGTTCTTTCTTTTCCTATCCAGCCGCGCGAAGCAAGCCACATGAAGTTGTGGGTGTGTAACGTGCTGATATGCTCACATGCCGAAAAGCCGGATATGGACAACCTCGAGCCCTAGGCGATACACAAGCAGGTCAGGGATACGATTCGTCTATGCAATATTTTCAATTACGAGAGTCAATTCATCGGGACGCGCGTAGTCGTTCAAATTCATTTGAGATAAGGCTTGCGGGGTGAAGCTTGTATAGCTTGATAATGCTTGATTGACAGAAATACAGTTTGTGGCCCTGAGACGATGCCGTTATAGGCAGGTGGCATCGGCAATAATTCCAGGCGAACTACTCCTGTTGCCAGTAGTGTCGTGAAGAAGAAAGTCAGTTCGCGCGTGTCGCCAAGGAGCTGCAAGTTGCTGTCTTTGCATCTTGATGTACGCCAGAGTGGTGTTGGCTGTGACTGACAATTATTAGCAGGCTCGTGTCAGACGAGGTGCAGAGGTGGTAGAGAGATGGGGGTGGCTGTGTAGACTGGTTCTGCGCGCACGGACATCCTGGTACAGGTACATAAAGCATGCGACTACCCTAGTCGGATACACTCGCTCCTACGGAGTGACAAGGCTGTCGAAAGGGCTCAGAGAGATAGCAGCACTCGCGCGTAGCTGACGCGTAGAGAGTCTTCTGGTGCAAAAGTCAGGCGTAACTGACCTTCAGTCCTCTGTCACCCAACAACAGTCGTCGAATAATGTCAATTCAAACTCCAGCCAATGTCGTTTTTCTTCTTCAAGGACTCCGCTCGAGAGATTTCTCTTTGCGTGTTCATTGTTGAGCACCAGGTCGTCTCTCATACACTGGACGTCGGTCGACCAAAGCACCATCGCATATCCACCCGATGGACAATCGAAGACATTGTCATTGAAGGAATAACCCCCATATTGGAGCAATGTCTGCATGGGACCAAGTAGGTGCCGCGAACGTCAGCGAGGTAAGTAGAGTATCGAACGTACACGCGCTGCAGAAGCACGACGACCCCTCGTCCCAAGTCAGTAAGTCATGCTTCTGTTTCCTATACTTGCCTTCCATCTCCTCAAATCCGTCGATTCCCAACAAGATTTTCAAAGTCCATCTCCATCGTCCTTTGGTCTGCCAATGGCATCGTCACAGCTCTTCGGCTAGAGAGATTGTCAGCATCGATGACGCCAAGTTATGCCAAGACCGACACATCATAGTCAGGTTTCGACTGGCGGAAAGAGTCAGTCGAGGGTCCTCGTATTAGACTATCTCCACAGCAGCGGCAAGACAGGCGCTTCCGAAAATATCGGATACGCTACTTGGCAGCATGGAGGGTTACGTGGACACCGGGCACGGGCACAGAGGTCACAGTGAAATGAAGGACAGCGATGGTTTTTTCTGTTTCGATTGACGGTCTCTCCTTCTCGAACTTTGGTTGTTAAGAGGATGCACTTGATCACAAACCGACCGACCAGTAGTCGAGCAGAACAGGAGAAAGACGAAGACTTTGAAGTAGATTGGGTGCTTCTATACGACTTTGAGGATATCGGTGGGTTTATGCTGACGAACTGAATGGGTGGTGTGTTGAGCTGAATTGTTACTANNGAGGCTCATCATGCGACTGACGAATATGACACTCTGATCCGAGACATCGAGGCTTTTGGTCTGGAAGCAGAAGTTCGACATGGCTACGGTACAACCTTAATAATACTCATTCGCATTCCTCGCAACAAGCTGGGTAATGAAGTCTACCGCTCACGGGTCAAAGACTGGCTGTTCGGAATTGTCCATGTTCGCCCCCTTGGTGACAGTTCCACAGTCGTCGACGCTGCAACACCCTCCGAAGAGATACGTTCTGTCTTTCATCTGGTCACCTGGACAAAAGAGCAAGGCGGTGCAGGAATTACTGCAAACTTTGGACAATGGNAAAATGTCACAGCATCTTTTGCCCCGCATGCCTGGACGGCCAACAAGAAGCTGTTGAAGCAGCTGTCTGCGAAAATCATCCTTGAGGCCAAGGACTTGGATCAGATCAAAGCATTGTTTGGAGAGAAGGTCCGGAACCAATCTACGCCCACTGCCCTCAAACGCAACTGACTGGTATACAGGNTAGCTTTCTACTATGCATTCATACAAGCATACTCTCTGTTTCTTGTCGTGCCTGCTTCAAGCGGGACATTGTTCTGGCTTCTCTCAAAACCATACTCGATCGTGTTCGGAGCAGTCATATGTTTTTGGAGCATCACATTCGTCGAGTGGTGGAAGAGACAAGAGCTCGAGCTAAGCATCAGATGGAACGTCAAAGGTGTCGGTGCACTCAAAGTCAACCGCGTCCAGTATACCTGGGAGAAAGAAGAGACCGACTCGATCACTGGCGAGGTGAAGAAGATATTTCCAGCTCACAAGCGTCTGACAAGACAGCTTGTATTCTTGCCTNTTGCCGCGCTGGCAAGTCTGGCACTAAGCAGTGTTCTGGTCGTTACGTTCCTCATCGAGGCGGTGATTTCCGATGTATACGGCGAGGCGTTGGCGAGCTACTGGGTATGGCACGCAACACAATTCAGAATTTCTAGTTCTAATCATCTATCAGNNGCTGTACAATATCTTCCGACAATACTTCTCGCAGTCTCTCTTCCATATATCACCGACTCTTTGACATCTGTTGCTTCACGACTATCTGAACACGAAAACCACCGCACTAACGACGAGTTTGAACTGGCTCAAGTTCAGAAGGCCTTTGTCTTATCCTTTATCACCTCATTCCTGCCACTTATCCTGACAGCTTACATCTATGTCCCGATTGGATCGAAACTTTTGCCATATCTCATACCGGACTCGTGGCAGTTACATGTTGCAGCCAAAGACTTTCGCGTTGACGCCCATCGCTTACAAGAAGAAGTCATATCTCTGTCGATGGCTGGACAAGTCATCAATTTTGGTGAGGAATTCATACTTCCCTTTGCCAAGCGGCACCTCCAAGAAGCATATCGGCGATACAAAGATGCACGGCAAGGATCTTCGTTACATCAACGCATGCACTCTGAATTCACGAGAACTCTGCTTGTCGACGCACCACAAGAAGCAAGTCTTTTATCAAGGCTACGCGCAGAAGCAGTCGCCGCACCGTACGATTGTATAGAGGATACCATGGAGATGGTGATCCAATTAGGCTATCTTGCCATGTTTGGCGTCGTGTACCCTCTCATGCCTCTAGGTTTTCTGATCAACAACTGGATCGAGCTACGCGGCGACTTCTTCAAGCTCATCAGTGAATCGCAACGTCCACCGCCTATTCGCTCCGACTCGATTGGACCTTGCATCTCAGCCCTCGAATTCTTGACTTGGCTAGGAAGCCTTTCCACTGCTGCCTTGCTTTATCTGTATCGCAACGGCGAAGTGACTGACATTCGTCTTGATGGCTTGTTGCTTACAGCCTTCATTGCCGAGCAAGTCTATCTAGCCACAAAACTTAGCGTACGCTTCGTCTTTGACAAAATCGGCTCAGAAGCTGTAAGGAGAGAGGAAGCAACCCGCCGTCTAGTCCGCAAACGCTATCTCGAGACTTTCTCTGAAGAGGCAGCTGGTACATCTGTTCGTCAGAATGCGCATACTTACGCTGCAAATCACAGGCGGTCTGCCCCTACTACACCCACCGACCCTGAGAAGAGAGGCCATCTGCCTATCATACCCGAAGTCGAAGAAACAGTGGATGTGAGAAGTGAGTACAAGACAGAAAAAGCAGAAAGGTTTTGGAATGCACGTAAAGAGATTATGTGCACAGCAGAGGCGGGAGTGAGGTTGATTGTAGCACTCAAGGGGATGCAGAAGTCGAGGAGTGGAGACGGCGGTGACAAGTCCAAGTGGATTTGAACATAATTTGTAGACTCATAGGCAGTAATAAGTCCTGGAGTAGCCCTGAAGACTTGCTCTAAATACATAATATCTTTGCAGAAGCGTATATGGTAACTCAAGACAGAACCGTATGCTATTTAAGAACGGTTCGGGGATGGTTCCACAAGACAGTCATTTAAAAATCATTCGCTTATCATCAGGAAGAGTTAGCAGTTGGTGGACCATGTCGAAGAAAGGGCGTGAATTGATAAAGGTGCGGAAAAATTCCGCGTAGCCCTGAATATATTGCGGGCTTTTGTGGGGCTCTTCTCTGCCGACGACGACACGACAGCCTAATGCTTCTTCCACGTCGCCGTATTCTTTCTCAAGCATTGAGGTATACGAGAGTGTCCAAGATGAGCAGCAAATCTTTACCTGTCCGCAGCGTCAATGGCGACAGCAAGACAATCCACGATGAGCGCACCGTCCCACCAATGGGCATGACGTCGGACCAATTCAACGATGCAGCAACAGAGGCCATTCAAGATATCACAAACTACTACGACAACATAGCCGAACGTCCTGTCCTCCCTTCAGTCGAACCTGGTTACCTCGCAAAGCTCCTGCCCGCGTCACCACCAACAGAAGCCGAGAGCTGGGATAAGATTCGTGCCGATATGGAGTCCAAGATTATGCCCGGCATGACACATTGGCAAAGCCCAGACTTTATGGCCTTCTTCCCTGCCAGCAGTTCGTATCCAGGCATGATGGGAGAGTTGTGGTCTGCGGCATTGACTGTGCCTGCTTTCAATTGGCTGTGCTCGCCTGCCGTTACCGAACTCGAAACAATCGTCATGGATTGGGTTGCCCAGATGCTCGCTCTGCCTGAATGTTTCCTCTCCAAGGGAAAGGGAGGCGGTGTCATCCAAGGCTCTGCTTCCGAAGCTATCGTCACCTGTATGGTTGCAGCACGCGAGCGCTACGTCACAAGGACACTGGAGAAAGAAGACATTATCCTCACCGAAGAACAAAAGGAAGATCGCGCTGCAGAGATTAGGAGTAAACTTGTTGCTTTGGCTACAAAACATACACACAGTTCTACCCACAAGGGTGCGAATATTGCAGGCACGAGGTTCCGAAGCATCGACACTTCATTGTCCAATGCCTTTGCTCTTCAAGGCCACGAACTCCGTGCCACCATCGAGAAACTAAAGTCGCAAGGTCTGGAACCATACTTCCTGACCGTTTCTCTGGGAACCACAAACACTTGCGCTGTCGATGACTTTGCCTCCATCGCAGAAGTCAAGAAAGACTATCCAGACATCTGGATCCACGTTGATGCCGCCTACGCCGGAGTAGCTCTAGTGTTACCCGAATACCAACACTACTGCACCCACCTATCCACCTTCGATTCCTTCGATACAAACATGCACAAATGGCTCCTCACAAACTTTGACGCTTCGTGCTTATTCGTCCAAAACCGTCGTGATCTAACAGACGCACTCTCAATCACTCCCGCCTACCTACGCAACAATTTCTCAGACCAAGGCTTAGTAACCGACTACCGCGACTGGCAAATCCCACTAGGAAGACGTTTCCGCGCTTTGAAGGTGTGGTTTGTGATCAGGACCTGGGGAGTCGAAGGACTAAAAGCACACATCAAACACCACCTCAAGTTATCTTCTCTCTTCGTCTCTCTGATAAAAAGCAGAAGCGATCTGTTTAGTATCCTTACACCACCTGCTTTTGCTCTCACCGTTATTTCTGTAAACCCTTCCCTCAAAAAACACGCCCCCAAGCCATCAACCACAAAGGAGAACCCTCTGCCGAAANACTCCATTCCCTACCACGACTCTCACAGCTCGGTGATCCCCCAACAGCCAGACTCGACAATGTTGGAACAGGCAAATGCAAACACAAAAGCAGTGTATGAGAAAGTGGACAGCAGCAAANAAGTGTTCTTGACGAGTTCGTTGGTGGGGGATGCGTATGCCATTCGTGTGGTTAGTGCCAATCCGTTGGCGAGCGAGGAAGGGATCAGAAAGGTATTTGGACTTNTGGTAGAGGCTGCGGAGGAGGTGTTGGAGGTTGAGAAGTAGAGACATTTGCACTCTTTCTTGTACATTCTTTGATGAGAGTGGTGGAAAAGTGTAGAATGTGTGATGTTGCCTGATAGACCTGAGCGATCCTATCCAAGAAGTCTTCTATGCGTTTTGCATACTTTGTACTTTGCTATACATTGCTATACGTGTTGCTTTATGTTTCTGTAAGAGGCAAGAGGGCCAGAGGTCGCATACATTAACTTGAGCCAAAAGTCGAGGACCTCGAAGGGGTGTTATTGTGCAAGAGCGAAACCAGAAAGATTAGAGATAAAGTGTTTCATTCTTTTCGTCACTCATTAACATATACAAAGGGTATCATCGTCTATCATCACCATTTCCAAAAACGTCTAAACGTACCACTCACGCTTCCAGCGTCTCCAATCCTCAATCGCCGCACCCTCCAGATCATCAGCATTAAGCATACCCACACCCTCCTGTACCAACGTGTGCCAGATGTGGTTGCGCAAACTAACCGGCCAAGACGGTGTGTTCCAATATCTGGCTTTGAGGCCTGCTTTCTTGGCGCCCCTGATCTGACCACGGATGATGTTTAGTTGTTTATGGGAGAGTCTGCCGCGCCAGACGTGACCGACGGATTTNTTGAAGTTGATGCTGGCGTAGTAGGATGTGGCGTTGTTGAAGGCGGACGCGGGAGTGTTTGCGGGTAGACCAGTTTTGCCTTGTCCTGCTGAGGAGGAGTGGTAGTTGTCAACCTCGGTAAGACTGCGTATTTCGGGATCGGTGTTGAGGTCGGGTAGTGATATTGGTGATGGCTCGTATAGCATTCCAAGGGGAGCGTCGTAGAAAATGTCGCGGTAGGTTGTGTTGGCAGTCAAGAGGTCGAAAGGCGTGTTACCAGTTCCGACCACAGTAATTGCTCCGGGAACGGTATGCGTACCATTGAAGTAGGTTAGGTAGCCTCTCGATCGGAGACCTTCAAGTTGCTCCTGTACTTTTACGAACGTGTCTGGACCCTTTGTCTTGAGATCGACAAGCAGGACTAATGTCTGATCCGGGTCCTCGTCAAAGACTCCATGGTTCTTGGTGTCGGCGAACGAGGTGTGAGGGTTCTGCTTGTCCAACAATGCAATGAGAGGGTTGACGTAGAGATTTCTGAAAGTGCGGTTCGGCGTGAGGGATGAGGTACTGTGACCCACGAACAGCTCATCTCCAATGTGCCACACATCCGCCTCAACGCCTGTGCATCCATAATGCAAAGCCTCGTACAGAGGGATCCGTCTCCAGTAATCGTTGTGTGAGTGAACAGCTNNACAAGACCTCAGTTAGTCAAGTTGTAATAAGAAGCATTCAAACTTCAAGCGCTTACGGATTGGCATAACATCTCGGGTGGCATCAGTAGGATAATGTGCTAGACCATCTCCGATCTTTCCTGTGTGACCCCAATCTGGCAAAAANTTCAAGTCTGTTTCCACAAGCAGAGGATTGCCATAGAAGAGATATGATACAATGTGTAAAAGACCACTGTAGTTTTCGGTCAGTATTGATAAGAGTGTGGTTGGGCAATCGACTCACAAGAGACATAGAATAGTCACAGGGACGATGATGCATGCCAACTTGATGACTGCAAGGATCCGAAGTCTCCTGTCAATCGGGTCTTCAGATCCTAGTTCTGAGATGGCTACTTCTGTAACAATATAATCTTGTTTTTGCTCTGTGCTTGTCGAGGGGTGAGATCTGTGGGAGACGAAGGGATGATGAGGATGATGCTGAGAGCGAAGTCTCAAGGCCATAGGAGTAAGATTGTCGAGAATGACATGATACCAGCGTCGCGAAGGAATGGGTTGATAATATCCATCTTCAACGTCGGCGGGCGATGGTTGTCTTGATAGGCATTTTTCCGGCAAGGAAGTGAAATCTGGGATAGTAGTTGCCATGGAGCAATATGCGAAGCATGCAATTTGTCGCTGATGAGACAATGTCCAGATCAAACAGTCGTCCCCTTGACCTCGATATTTTCGATAAGTGGACCGATGACAGTATCAAGTGCGGCTGAGCTCTTATAGAATTGCTTTTATCAGTATTGGATATGACGCAGATGATTGAACAATAGCACAGCAACGAGGGTGGTTAGAAGCAAACAAATCTAATAGCGAATGACTGCAGCGGACGCGTAGCACATATGAAATAGTGAAGTTGATACGGTAGGCGCGGCGGCCAGAGTTTAAGCCAACAAGCAGCACGGGTTCAGTGCTTGTCGATGGTTCGCTCGAGCCGGGCTAGACCGCTGCGAGGCTTGTCTCTGCGCGCCATGGGAATGTTCAGAAGGTCCGACAGGAAAGCTACCCCTCTGAGGGCGTCGTAAGTCCGTCCAATCACATGGACACAGGGACACTTCGACCCGTTGCGCAACACGAACTGAAGAGAGACACTTCGAGCGACGATGTCGGCTGTGGCTTTCACGATGGCAGATACAAGATGAATGGCCGCGTCAGACAAGCTGATTGGTGCGCGGGGTTACCCCAGATCTAGAGTTTGCTTGTCTGACAAACGCTGCAGATCACGCATCACAACGCCCTTTCAGTCGAGACTTTTTTGGGCGCAAATTCGCAATCCTGATCGCTTATCCTAACCACCCAAAATGCCTCACAAACACAGAAGAAAGGATGCTAATGCCGAAGAGTAATTGCACACCCGCTGCCACCCCGGTTTTGGTTCAGATGCTGACATTCGACTGCGCAGCTTCAACTTGCCCCCGACGGCCGTCGCAAAGGCTCTGCCTGTAGGAAAGAATGCTCAGACTGTCTTCACATCCGACGGCAAGAAGAAGAGGAAGACCGAGAAGAATGTATACAAATTCGACGACACACCAAAGGCGTTCGCGCGCTTGATGCAACGCCAGCAACCGAAATCTACACCCGATGATGGCGAGTNNCCAAGACTGCTACCAAAAAGCGCAAGCGCCAGGAAGACATTAAGGAAAAGGCCAAAGCAAAAACAANTGGAAATGCCCAAGATTCAACCAGGCGAAAAGATCCGAGACTTCAATGCTCGCGTAGACCAAATGTTGCCAGTGACTGGTCTGGCGCGGAAGGGCAACCAAGGCTTAGCACCTGGCGAGAAGGTCACACGGACAANNAAAACTGAGAAGAGAATGCACAAAATGTATGACGAGTGGAGAAAAGAGGATCAGCGCATCAAGGACAAGGCCGAGGAAGAACGAGAGAAGCGTGAGGAAGAGGAGGAGGAACGTAATGCGTTATACGGCGAAGACTCGAGCGTGCCCATTCTGTCCGGCAAGAAGCGCCAAAGGATGATTGGCGAATCGAAAGACGACGACGACATTTGGGCTGTCCTCAAGACGAAACGAGACAAACCCAAAGGCCTCCATGATGTGGCACAGGCTCCTCCTGAGTTTACTGTCATACCCAGGGAGAAATTCAAGGTCAAGAACGGAGCTAGAGCAGATGTGGCCGATGTGCCGAATGCTGCTGGTAGTTTGGCAAGGAGAGAAGAACTTGGCGCAGAGAGAAAGAACATCATCGAGCAATACCGTGCTCTGATGAGAAAGGCATCTGGAGAGTAGAATATGACACGAATCTTGAGCACTCGCGTCTTAGAATAATAAGATGCTGAGTACGAAAGAACGGCAACTCTATCGCAAGCAGAGCAAGCTTCTCTCTCCGAATCTAGCAGGAACGCTGCCTTCTGTGTCCAACATGGAACGTAACCAGCGTTTTCCACCTTCGACTTCTCTAGCGCCAAACTTGACCACGACGCATCCACGTATCATGGCCGCTGTCCACAGCAAACCATCATTTGACTCCTGTTTCTGCCTGGCTTTCCGCTTGATGATGAGAGGATCCAAGTCTTGAGCTGCGTCGTCAGCTTCGTTACCGGTGTCCCATTTCCTGCCTCCGATCCGGGGTATCGACTTGAATTCATCCATGAAAAATGCCGCAAGACTTGCAAAACCAGATCCATATAATATCAGAGTACCAAAAGCACCGAGACCATCCATGCGCCGCGCCAATGAGGTTTGTATAGCCTCGTCACTGGCATCCAGAGTGACATTGTCACGTAAAAGTAGTCGCGTATTATCAGATCCGTTGGATCCGTTCACAAGCCAGACTTCGTTCTTGCTGGAATACTTGAAGAAGTTCCAATCCTCACCTAAGGCTTTGCGACCTTGACATACCCAGTCAAGAACGCAGATGCTGGCGTTGGGAAGGTCCTGCTGATGGTGAATGTAGAATCGTTGATTTTGCTCGAATGCGCTCTGAGCGAAAGGCTGAACAGGGTCAGGAAGGTAGACCAGGGCAGCAGCAGGCTTCAAATGCATATTCATGTCCTGTCGACTGATGGTAGATGAGGTTGGCGCCTTGAAGATCTTGGTGCTACCTTGGGTGAGGATGAGCAGACGGGTAGTGATATCAAGATCAATGCGCAGATTGAGGGTATCGCCCGCAACTATACCACCACCATAAGTCAAGATGTATAGAGTATGGACCTGGTATGACGAATCATTGTCGGCAGGTGGAGTTATGGTCACTGGAGCAGGCGCGATGAGTTTGAGAGGATACTGATAAGTCAAGGTCTGGAGGACCGGAGCCCCTGGAGGTAACAAAGCCAGGTGAACGTGTCCATGGCCAGGCACAGAGTCTGTGGGTGGGAAAGGGTTTCTCATGCTCTGCTGAAACAGATGTTAAACAGGCTGAGTCGATGAGAGACAGAGGGTCCGGCGGATCAGCAATGCCAAGCGTTTGCTAAAGGTTGCCCTGCGCCACGGACTGGGGCATGCGGGAGCGGGACGAAAATAGAAGGATCCCAAGATGCACCTCTCGTGCAGCCTTGAACCTGCAAATCTGCTGCATCTCGCTCGTTGCTGCATCCAATCTGCGTCACTCTTTTTGCTATCGATACGCTCAAGCCTTCGATACTCTATATCCCTTGTGATCGTTCAGCCAGACGACAAAACTTGGTCGCCCCCGTCGTGAAGGGGCTTCGTACAACGGGGTAAACACTCGCCCATCCACAAACACATTCAGTATGAGGAGGAACAATCTGTTGCTGGCACTCGCCGCCGGTACCGCCCTGGCCGCTGCTCAGAACCAGAATAGTGCCCAAACAACCGCTGCTGGCACGACCAAAGCGACTGCTGCACCTACGACAGACAAGTTGACTGGAGTCTCGTCCTTTGTCAAGCCCAGCAGTAAATCCAGCGCGGCCGCCTCATCCACAACCGACTCTTCCAAAGCCTCTTCGGCAGCCTCCAAGACCTCTGGCGGTGCTTCTTCCACCACTGTGCAACAGTTGACCGACCTACCTACCCTCGCTGGTGCAACCGTTCCCGACATGGTCATCCCTTTCACAGCCGACGCTCCCTTTATGCAAAAATCCAACGCACCCGAGGGTACTGTTTTTATAGCCGTGGGTGCCTGTCTGGCTTTCTTGGGCGCCTGTGTATTGGCCTGGCGTGCAATGGTTGCATGGACCATCAACCGCTCTGTCAAGCGTGCCGCAATGGCCAGCGTCATGGCTTCTGATGCAAAGACCAAATACGGTCCTGGTGGCAACCTCTACGCCATGCCTCAAGGCTCTTCCCTTTCTCTCGATGCCCTGACAGCGGCTGGTAAGCCTCTATCCTCTGGTGGTCTCAAGAAGGAGAATCGCAAGAGCGCACAACCAACAGCCGATCCTTCGTCCCTCTTCTTCTCCCCTACTGCTGGTCAACGCAACTCATCATACATGCCCATCAACCAGAACCGCAGCTCCACTTACTTGCCTGCTGGATACTATGCGACTCCAGGTGCCCAAGCTGCTGGCGGTCGCGACTCTATGGTCATGGGCGGCGCACCAAGCCTGCAACCTACCAGCCACCGCTATTCTCGTGCCGAGTACTCTCCGCCATCTAGTCGCGATGGCTCCCGTCCTCGCAGCAGCATGAACCCACAATCACACCAAAGAACCGGCTCGAACGCATTGCTCAGCCCTACACACCAGCTCTACGCCAATCCCAGCACAAGCAGTTTGGCTGTTGGATTCGGCGCTCAGGACGATGGCAGCAACATCAGCAGCAATCTGCCTGGCCAACGCGCTCCTAGCGCAGTCTTTGACGACGTGCTCCACGAACACGGTAACGGTCCTCGCGAACGCTACTAGATGTGTCATGTTTCTCCGCTATTCATGTCTATGTCAAAGATCCAGCCTTCTTAATTGCTTCGATCATTGATCTTTTATTTGTTGTTACGATTTTCCTTGTTTTACACATGTACATATGGGACCTGCGGTATATCCTTTGCTTTTTCTCACGTGCATTGGTTTAGATTGTTATTGTTTTTTTTTCTGCATCATGTTGCCGCTTTTGGAGGAAGTTTTGGAAGGTGAAAGTCCAGCAACGGGCGCTGGGTATACCTTTCTTTATATCATTAATACCAGTCAATTTCTCCCTTTCCACAATCTTCGTGTCTTCCTTCTATAATCGTTCGATCAGTGAGGACGTCTAGACCCCGTTAAGAAATCAGTGACCCCAAGGCCAACAATTGTGACAAGAAAGCACTCGAAAAAACATATCCTGGTGATCGTTGAACTTGGAAGGCAAGATAAAATCAATCGAGAGTACGACGTTTGTAAATTTTACAGGAGTCACAATGAGAAATACATGGTAGCACAGGCAGCGAACAGAAGAAATCATAAACAAGAAAACCTTTGATTGAATACATGAAATGCAAAGAATGCAAGAATAAAGTAGAAAGAGTACTAAAAGCCAAGCGCCTCGCCATCCTGCTGATAAAAAGAAGATAACCGAGTCCGACTGATGATAATAGCGATGAAAAGAACAAAAGAACATCCGAGTCCTCGATGACAAATGCAAAAGACCTCGAATCGCGGTAAGGTGTGAAGGAGGAAGGTACTCAAACGATCAAGACCTGGCTGCCATCAAGAATGTGAGGTAACCATGGGTTGAACCAGTATAAGTTGCGCTGTTGGCGGGTTTACTTGGCTTCAGGAGTTTCAGTCTCGGTTGCGGCAGCCTCGGTGGTGGTGGCCTCGGGCTCGCGGCGGTAGACTTGGCCGGGAGCGTCACCCCAGCCGTTCCAGAGCTTGGGGTTGTACTTCTTGCCCCAAGAGGAGAAGGCGGGGTCGGCCTCAGCTTCACGGCGGTAGACTTGCCCAGGAGCATCGCCCCAGCCGTTCCAGAGGTGAGGGTTGTATTTCTTGCCCCAAGACGAGAAAGCGGGCTCAGGTTCAGCTTCACGGCGGTAGACCTGGCCAGGAGCATCGCCCCAGCCATTCCAGAGGTGAGGGTTGTACTTCTTGCCCCAAGACGAAAATGCAGGGTCAGCTTCGGCCTCACGGCGGTAAACTTGACCAGGAGCATCACCCCAACCGTTCCAGAGCTTAGGGTTGTACTTCTTGCCCCAAGAGGAGAAGGCGGGGTCGGCCTCAGCTTCACGGCGGTAGACTTGCCCAGGAGCATCGCCCCAGCCGTTCCAGAGGTGAGGGTTGTATTTCTTGCCCCAGGAAGAGAAGGCAGGCTCAGCCTCGCGGCGGTAGACCTGACCAGGAGCATCGCCCCAGCCGTTCCAAAGCTTAGGGTGGTACTTCTTACCCCAGGAGGAGAATGCGGCCTCAGGAGCAGCGGCGGGCTCAGCGGTAGGTGCAGCAGAGGCAACAGCGGCCATAGTAGCCAAAGCAACAGTGGTGACCTTCATGATGATTGATTTTTGAAGTCTGTTTGTAATAGAATGTGTAGTCGGAGGAAATGAATGACTTGTGGGTTGGTGATCGAGATAGAGAAGGGTCAAGAAGTGTTATATATACTCGTGGGCAGTGTTGGGGGATGTAAATGTGTGTCAATAAGATTTCAATAAAGAAATACAACACCTCGACTTGTGAGAGCTTGCAATTGGGCTATTACCCTCGTGGCAATAGAAACCGACAATAAACATGTCAAAGAAATCACTTACAGTACCAACGTAGGTGGGAGCATGGCAAAGAAGGCTGTGTAGATGTCAAAGTGTGGAAACGAGATGAGAGATGGATAGCAAAGAACGTCGATTCGACATCAATCAAGGTACTCGTCCTCGGCACAGAACCAAGCAATACACGCAAAAGCTTAACTTGGTTATTCTAGATGGCTTTGTGTACAGTGAATGAATCCAGAATCGAAATGTAAGATGTGGCTGTGGAGCGATGTCGAATCCAGGTGTCAATAAGCAGAGTTGCCAAATCTGGTGCTGAATAAGAGGTGGCAGTGAGACAGTCTCATCCGCGCCTCAGCATCTCTAGATGGTGAGGACAATGTTCTGCTGTAGAGCTCTGATAGTACACGTCGACTTGGCATACCTGGCGTGGCCGATAGCTCATGATCAAGATGGAATCCACACCAGGCAGAATTTGTCTGTGGTCAGTGTTCGACATGAAGCTCAAATCATCTTCCCTTGCTATAGTATAGATGCGAATCATTGACAATATGCTTTGTACACTATGACCCAGAAGCCTGGACGGTGGTGGTATCTGATGTGAACAACCAGAGGAGGTCGTGGATGTCAAGAACTCGGCTAGAAGGTCGGCAGTGGATGAAGTCGGGTACAGAGAGCTCTTCCCGACCTGCCCGAGTGGTCCCGCAAAAGTGTCCAACAAGCTTGGCATCTCTCCGCCTGGGCGGGATTCGAGTTGTGATTTCCATCTGAACTATTGCTAACCTCACTGCCACGGTCGCCCTCCCTCCTCACACCCTATACCGCTCCACTTCGCACCAGTCGCCATGCTCTCCAAGGTACGCCTCCTTCCCTGATGCCCTGCACCCGATAGCAGAACCTGACACTGCCTCCCAGACCCTCCTTCGCGGCGCAAAGCCTGCATCCAGATGCCTTGCCGGTCCCTCGATCGCTTCGCGCTGTCAGTAACCACCTCGAACCCAATGCCCATCGATGAATCAAGTACTGAACTCTGCCCACAGCCNNATGGCCACCACTGTCGGTCAGGACATCTTCAGACCCACCAAGTTTGGCGGCAAGTACACCGTCACCCTGATCCCTGGTGATGGTATTGGTGCCGAAGTCTCCGAGTCCGTCAAGCAGATCTTCAAGGCCGACAACGTCCCCGTCGAGTGGGAGCAGGTCGATGTCACCGGTATCGAGACTGGTGACAAGCACTCCGAGGAGCTGTTCAGAGAGTCGATCGCTTCCCTCAAGCGCAACAAGCTCGGTCTCAAGGGTATCCTCCACACCCCCGTCGAGCGCTCCGGCCACCAGTCTTTCAACGTCGCCCTTCGTCAGGAGCTCGACATCTACGCCTCTATCGTCCTGATCAAGAACATCCCCGGCTACGAGACCCGCCACAAGAACGTCGACTTCTGCATCATCCGTGAGAACACCGAGGGAGAGTACTCTGGTCTCGAGCACCAGTCCGTCGATGGCGTTGTTGAGTCGCTCAAGATCATCACCCGCGCAAAGTCGGAGCGCATCGCCAAGTTCGCCTTTGCTTTCGCTCTCGCCAACAACCGCAAGAAGGTCACTTGCATCCACAAGGCCAACATCATGAAGCTGGCCGACGGTCTGTTCCGCAACACCATCAAGAAGGTCGGTGAGGAGTACCCCACCATCGAGACCAACGACATGATTGTCGACAACGCCTCGATGCAGTGTGTCTCCAGACCTCAACAGTTCGACGTCATGGTCATGCCCAACTTGTACGGTGGTATTCTCTCCAACATTGGTGCTGGTCTCGTTGGTGGTCCCGGTATCGTTCCCGGATGCAACATGGGTCGTGATGTCGCCGTCTTCGAGCCCGGCTGCAGACACGTTGGTCTCGACATCAAGGGCAAGGACCAGGCCAACCCCACTGCTCTCATCCTTTCCGGAAGCATGCTTCTGAGACACATTGGTCTTGACGACCACGCCAACAGAATCTCCAAGGCCGTTTACGATGTCATCGCTGAGGGGTATGTGTGCTGCAATTCACCCTTATCTGACTACATTACTGACAATCTTACAGCAAGANCCCGCACCCGTGACATGGGCGGTAACTCGACCACCCAGGAGTTCACAAGAGCCATCCTTGGCGCCATGGAGAAGCAGTAAATGCATCTTCCATGCACAAAACAGCGGTCGCGAGGCCTGGACGGGTGTGTTGTATAGCGTGTATACCTCTCAAACAATTCTTATTTTGATTCATGAATTCGTGCACCTGGACTAAATTTTGACTTTTGGAAGATCCACCTTGATAATTACTCAGAAAGGCCTCGTCCGCTCGCCTCTCCAGAAACCCATGAGTTCACCTGTCTCTCCAATCCATTCACGAACGCCATTCACGGCAGCCTTGGCCATACCAGCATTCGTTCCAGAGCGCGATCTGCGCGCACCAGGATAAGCAGTAGCGGCGTGGTCGGGTTCTTTTCCAGCAGAAATGAAACTGCTGCCAGCGCCTGTAGCATACTCGCTGCCCATGCTCGGCAGGACGTTTTCACCAGCAGATAGCGAGACGAAGAGTGCGAAAGGCACAAGCCAAACTTGGATTCCAAAGAAAGCGGCGACTTCGGTGAAGCTTGGAGCAGACTCGTTCGGGGCGTAGTAGTTGTAGTGTCTGGGAGGAGATGAGGGCGCAGCGGAGAAATGGCGGAACCATAGCCAGTGGTTCAGAAGGACAAGTGCNTAGGAGGGATCAGGTCAGTAAGAGAAGACAGCAATTGTATGTCGGAAGGACGTACCACACGACAGCAAGAAGACAGGGTCAGTGAGCTTGACAATAGGAAAGCGGCGTAGATTTTGGTGGTATACGCCATGACTGGCGATAGCGAGAGCCGAGAGTCCGAGCGGGAACTTGTCGAAAAGAGCCAGCAGAACCTGAACAGCGACGACCAGATATATCAAGCGAGTCAAGAGCTTTTTGGCCAGAACGGTATGTTCTTCCACCAGCTCCGAGAGATAGTACAGTCCAGATGCGATCGCAAGTGTCAANAAGGAGAATCCAAGCGCAAGGCCTAGATAACCGACCAGAGGTAAGATCCACATGGTCGCGATGGCTTGATTGACAAAAGTGACTATCGTGAGGCTTCAATGAACAATGGACATGTTGTTGGTCTCGCCGCAAGGCATGACAGCAAACGATGCCAAGTGTCGTGTCTTGGAGACGCGGGGCCGCAGGAGTGATCGACAAGCTGCAAGCTGCAGGCACGATCCACAGGGTCGGTGTTTGCCAAAGTCCGCGATGCTTCGTGTGACCGAAACAGAAGGTGCCCAAGAAGAACATTCGAGTCTAGAGAGCTGTTTATCGTATACGTTCCTTCTTGTCCCTTTTCTCCTTTTCTCTTCCCTCTGATGAACCTTCATCTCCTCCGAACAGTCCGCTCTCAGGCCGTCAGATCTGTGGTTCCTAGACGTGCTGTTGTTTCAGCTTCTCGCTCCCACTTCTTCACTACCTCTTCGACCGCTTCTAACCCCGCCACCGTCCACCAACGCCAATCCTCTCTCCGCCCGAACTCAAACTCTCGACTCCCTAGATCTCGTATCCAAGCTCGCCACTGCTCGCATAGAAGGATGTGTCGCCGCGATGCTGATGCAATGGGTGCCAACCTCGACATTGCCAAAGGTCGTGAGGTCTTGCCCAAGAACGTCAAGCCTCTCCACTACCACCTGACCCTGGAACCTAACCTCGAGACCTTCCAATATGAGGGCAAGGTCGTCATTGAGTATGCATTCCTCAAGACTCGCCTTCCATTTGTGCTTCGAGTGCTAACATATACATAGCNNCTTGATGTCGTCGAGGACACCACATCCATCTCGCTGAACACAATCGACATTGACATCAAGTCCACCGAGGTCCACTCAGGCTCGAAGCTCATCACCTCTTCACCTAAGCTCTCTTACGATGAGAACACCCAGACCACCACCGTCTCGTTCCCCGACACCATCCCCGCCGGCCACAAGGCTACCCTCACACAGACCTTCACCGGTACCCTCAATGACAACATGGCTGGTTTCTACCGTTCAAGCTACAAGGGCGAGGATGGCAGCGACAAGTACATTGCCACCACTCAGATGGAACCTACCGATGCTCGCAGAGCTTTCCCTTGTTTCGATGAGCCCGCTCTCAAGGCCGAATTCACCATCACTCTGGTCGCCGATAAGCATTTGACTTGCTTGAGTAACATGGACGTCGCTCACGAGAAGGATGCTCATAACGGAAAGAAGGCCGTCACCTTCAACAAGAGTCCCCTTATGTCGACCTACCTTTTGGCTTTCATCGTTGGTGAGCTCAACATGATCGAGACCGATGCCTTCAGACTTCCTGTCCGTGTCTTTGCAACTCCTGACAAGGACATCGAGCACGGCCGCTTCTCTCTTGAACTCGCTGCTAAGACCTTGGAATTCTACGAGACCAAGTTCAACAGCAAGTTCCCTCTCCCAAAGATGGACATGGTTGCCATCCCCGACTTCAGCGCTGGCGCTATGGAGAACTGGGGTCTGGTCACTTACCGTGTTGTTGATCTCCTGTTTGACGAGAAGACCAGCGGTGCTTCCACCAAGCAGAGAGTTGCTGAAGTCGTACAGCACGAGCTTGCCCACCAGTGGTTTGGTAACCTTGTGACCATGGACTTCTGGGACGGTCTCTGGTTGAACGAGGGTTTCGCTACTTGGATGTCGTGGTACTCCTGTAACGAATTCTACCCTGAGTGGAAGGTCTGGCAAGGTTACGTCACGGATAACCTCCAAAGTGCTCTTGCTCTTGACTCTCTGCGCAGCTCCCACCCCATCGAGGTTCCTGTCAAGCGTGCAGACGAGATTAACCAGATCTTTGATGCCATCTCGTACTCTAAGGGATCTTGCGTCCTTCGCATGGTTTCGAAGTACCTTGGTGAAGAGACTTTCATGGAGGGTGTCAGACGCTACCTTAAGAAGCACGCCTTTGGCAACACCCAGACCAACGACCTCTGGGCTGCTTTGAGTGATGCTAGCGGTAAGGATGTTGAGAAGATTATGGACATCTGGACCAAGAACGTCGGTTTCCCTGTTGTCAGTGTGACCGAGGATGCCAAGAACAACTCCGTTCACGTCAAGCAAAACAGATTCTTGCGCACCGCAGACGTGAAGCCTGAGGAGGACAAGGTTCTTTACCCTGTGTTCCTTGGCCTCCGCTCCAAGGACGGTGTTGACGAGGAGCTCACTCTCGATGGCCGTGAGAGAAGCTTCAAGGTCAAGGACCTCGACTTCTACAAGATCAACGCAGACCACTCTGGTATCTACAGAACTTCTTACTCCCCTGAGCGTCTTCAGAAGCTCGGAGAGGCCGCTAAGAAGGGTCTCCTTACTGTGGAGGACAGAGCCGGTATGATCGCTGATGCTGGTGCTCTTGCTGCATCTGGCTACCAGAAGACTTCTGGTGTCCTCTCCCTTCTCCAAGGCTTCGACACTGAACCCGAGTTCGTTGTTTGGGATGAGCTCACTGCCCGTATCGCCTCAGTACGTGCAGCTTGGGTGTTCCAAGACGACAAGGTCAAGGATGCCCTCAAGGCTTTCCAACGCGATCTTGTCAGCAAAAAGTCGCATGAGCTTGGTTGGGAGTTCAAGGAGAGCGACGGTCACATTGAGCAGCAGTTCAAGTCGCTCCTCTTCAGCAGCGCAGCCCTCTCTGGCGACGAGAAGACCAAGGCAGCAGCACTTGAGATGTTTGAGAAATTCAAGAACGGCGATAGATCAGCTATCCACCCCAACCTGCGCGCCGGTGTTTATGCCGTTGCCCTTCAGAACGGAGGTGAGGCCGAGTACGACGCCATCCTGAACGAGTACAGAACTGCCAAGGTTGCCGATGAGCGCAACACAGCGCTGCGCTCAATTGGACGTGCTAGACAGCCCGAGCTCATCAAGCGCACACTGGCTATGGCTCTGAGCAAGGAGGTCAAGGACCAAGATATCTACCTCCCCCTTGGTGGACTCCGCTCTCACAAGGAGGGAATTCTCGCACTGTGGGATTGGGTCAAGGTGAACTGGGACACGATCTACAAGAAGCTTCCTCCAGGCCTCAGCATGCTCGGCAGTGTTGTCAGTCTCTGCACCAGCAGCTTCACCAGCGAGAAGCAGATCCAGGAGATTGATGCGTTCTTCAAGGAGCGCAGCACCAAGGGCTTCGACCAGAGCTTGGCACAGAGCTTTGATGCGATCAGAGCCAAGGAGGGGTGGTTGAAGAGAGATGCTGAGGACGTAGAGGCATGGCTCAAGGCCAACAAGTACCTGTGAGCGATGCGGGACTAGATGAATATGTAATATTATGTGACAGACATGTAACAATCAAGTAGAGAAAGTACATGACTATATTTCTGCATCTACTTTATCATGGTGGCCGTTGCGACGATCGTCGATAGTCGGGATTCACATGTCAGAATTCAGGAAGGCGTCGGAAATGGTGACGCCAAGTCAAGCGTGCGTCACGGTTGGGAGGGTATTCGTGGCCTTGAAGAATGCCAAACGGCGAAGGACTTCTTTTCCAGTAGTAATGTCTATGTATATGGATCAATCGTAAGATGATTCGACAGTTCTCACAGAATGCCCACCGCCGGCGATGAACGAGAGCGCTCACCACACCCCTATGCCCGGCGTGGCCGCCGAAGTGCTAGGTCTGAAGAGAGCAGCAACTACCAAACTCCAACAAATCTGTCGAGCGAAAGTGGCACTGAGGCCGACGATGAGCGACCACCACAATACTTGAAGGCCCTACCACCACCCTCTCTACGGCCTGCCAAAGGACTGCGACAAGAAGACGGTTCACCGACGCCGCTGCTCACTCCCTCGCAACTCGACAACCAAGGCCGCCGATTATCTGAGGGTTACTTTGATCACAAGCCGACACCGACACCAACAGAACATGGCGAAGAAGATGATTTGTTGCTCGCTCGGCGGCAGTTTGAGAAGAGGAGGAGAGCTGAGCGCGTTCGTCGCATCTCAGAAGGTGCTTTGCTTGCATGCATTGGCTTGATCATCATGCTTGCTCCTTCTGTGAGACAGGCTCTCTGGAATTGGCATCGAGGTATGTCTAGCAGGATTGCATTAGTGAGCCAGGTACTGATACTTTGCAGTANNGAGCTCGCCTCTCAGTTGGCCACTGTAGCCCTGCTGATCGCTGTATACCCCCTGAGGGTCGTCATCTTCTCCCCTTCAGACGACACGACTCGTCCCACATGGCGACGCTTCCGAGTACCTCCTTCCTTCGATCCTGCTTCCATTCTCTATCCCACCTTTGTCCCCGTCTTGATCGCCCTCTCTTTGCTGCCTCAATACCCCGCCCTACTATTACCCAACCTAATTCTAGGCCTGGCTTCTCTGCCGCCACGTCTCTTCCCTCCGATATCTCGACTAAAGGACATCAACACGCTCCATTGGATTGTCTCCATCACTCCACTCATCTTCTCCGAGAACACCGAGCTCCCTTCATCGGCATATCTCCCTACGCCCTACAAACTCAAGGCCAGCCAGCCTCCCTTCCTCCAGCCTGAGCTCCTCACTCTCCTATACCCTCTCCATCAGGCACTCTTACCTCCACTGCATTATTTGACCACAACCAGTCTTCTGGCTGCTGAGAAACATCTGTTGTCAGCTGGCTTGATCAATCTTCTCCTGTTCGCTACTTCGCCTCAGACTGCTATCTTGCGTGCTCTCCTCTGGATTGGAGGCGTCTGGCTTCTCGTCTTGTGCACTCATGTTGCGCGCTGGAACGTAGCCCTTGCACGTGTACCTCGATGGAGGTTCCGGCGAACTGCTTCTAAATCCGCTCAGACGAAACGCGATCCTCTTGCTGTACTTACAAAGTGGGTCTATCCATTCAAACACTATCAAAATGACGATAGCGACGCCGACGAGGATGTTCCCCTTCAAAGAGTTCAGACTCAAACGCGGAAAACGCCCCAGCTGGTCATCAACAATACCATGACTGGCCACGACTTCCACGAGCCGTTTTCAGCAGCCGAAGCAAATCCGCCTTCTCACCGAGATTCGGTTGTAGATGCGAACGACTTCTCTAGGAAAAGAAGACATACTATTGCAAGTATGGACGTTCCCACTTCGTTGCTTGGTAACACTCCAAGCGCAGCTGCCCAGCGTAGACATCGTCGATTACGCGATTGGCATCTGAATCTGACCCCTGAAGGCGCATTTATGTACAAATGGGCGTATGCAATCTACATTCTGACGACGATTGCCTTTGTTATTCTGGTCCCAGTACGCAGAACAATCTCGGACGCCGCTCTCAACTCAACAGAGCCCATCATCTGGGCATTTGAGTATCTCTTCTCAGATATACCTACGCTGTACAATGCCCTTTCTTCTAGAGTCGACCGCATTGCTTACAAAGATGAGATTTTGCGCAATTTGTCGTTCTATGGCTCATCGGTCCCAGGTGTGAGAGCTGCGGTTGGTGCAGCCAACACACGGCTTCTCATCGTTGCATACTGGGCAGCCGTTCTCTGTATTGGTCTGGTCGCGGTCTTGCGTCTGACTCNNCCCTTCATCGAGGTCGACACTAGACGAAAAGTCTTCCATGCAGTCATGGTTACCATGCTCCTACCATCCATCTTCGTGGATCCTTGCTTCTGTTCGCTAGCCCTCGGCATCGTCCTCGCCATTTTCTTGATTCTGGAAATCATCCGAGCTGGTCAGGTTCCTCCGTTAGGTCTCGCCATTGGAAGATTCGTCGCCCCCTATGTCGATGGGCGAGATTTACGAGGTCCCATGGTTGTCAGCCATGTCTTCCTTCTCATTGGCTGTGCTATCCCACTCTGGCTATCTCTCGCCGGAATCGGCAGAACAAAAACCGGCCGCTGGCCTGGCTGGGAGACGCAAAACGAAAGCCGCGAGGTTGCCATGGTGGCAGGAGTCATCTGCGTAGGCATGGGCGATGCAGCAGCCAGTCTAATCGGCAGACGCTTCGGTCGCTGCAAATGGCCCTGGATCGGCGGCAAGTCTCTAGAAGGCAGTGCTGCTTTTGCAATTGCCGTAACCATTGGTTTGTTGTTTGCAAAAACGTGGGTCAGATTTGGGGGATGGCCTGAAGTTTACGATACCAACGAGACAACTGTTTCCACGCTACTGCCACTGCCTGTAGATATCGGCTTTTGGGGTTCAGAGATTGGGAAAATGTTTGTTTGTGGCTGTGGGGCTTCGTTTATGGAGGCGGTGCTTACGGGAGCAAATGACAATGTAGTTGTTCCTGTTGCATTGTGGTTGTTGGTCAAAAGTATGGGTATCTAGAATTGAGAAGAACATGCTACTAGATCGAAAAATCTCAACTACCGATTTTTTGCAGAGCTGCTTGCTAAATGTTGTTTTTGGTCTGCTTTTATACAATCTTGCGATGTCTTTCAGAATCGTTTTCCTCGTAAGTCCTTTTGCGCAGTCGAACTCTTTGATCATACAGGAGTTCCGATTGAGTGTGTGGTCTTATCTCTCAGATGCAAATAATCGAATACAGTATCAGACACGAGACAAAAGGTTCGAAGCTAACTAGAGGTCTAAAGTGTGAGAGCGTCAAGGTCTTGACCTCCAAGATATCATTGATCGCAAAAAGCGAGAGTACTGGTACGTGCGTGGATAAAGAGAGAGAAGAGTGTTTAGGTTTGTTGCGTAAGCGGTGTTGCCTGTTTGAGGTCTTCCATTCTTTCTAGTTTCGCTGTTTTCCTTCCCATGCTGGTTTAGACAAGAGGGTACAGGATATCTGCAGCTTGCTTAGAGCAACTAGAGGTTTTGAAGAGTAAGAATATAGGAATGGAAAGTAAGAATGTTCCTTGTGTAGCTAAAGGAGAAGGTGATAAGAATTGTTTTTGGTGTATTAAGTTTTTCTCTAGATGTGTATAGTTACATTGTGAAAGAAGAAGATTCAATTGGGAGTGGAAATTGATTCTTGAGAATCCTGATTCTGACTCTGGCCTTTCCATTAACGCCGCATATATCATTGCTCCACGTGGAAACTGTCGTGTGCTTCGTCGGCAAAAATCGAGTGTGTCGACTTTACGCAGCCATCATTTCAACTTTCTTGCCTTTGACTGACTTCCACTCCACAGCCAACGATCCCACAATCGAAAGCGTGGCAAGCGCAACGGCAACATAGTAAGAATTGGCCAAGGCATCATTATAAGCCTTCAACACACCATCTCTGTATTGTTCTCCTATAGCAGTCTTCAACTCTGTAGCTCCGGTTTGTAGCACAATAGCTGGATCCAAGTCCGGCACAGCGGCTTTAAGGCCAGAAACCAGTTTATTGGTGAAGACGTTTTGGCCGACGGAGATGAAGAGGGCACCACCGAGGGTTTGGAAAAACATTACGATGGCGGTGCCGGTGGGGATGTCGGCGGTGGGGAGCACGGTTTGCACGGCGATGAGGATTTGTTGCATGCCCATGCCGACGCCGATGCCGAAGAGGGCTTGGTAGCCTATCCATTCTGCATGGCCGGTGTTGACTTTGAAGGTGGTGAGCATGCCTGCGCCAATAGCCATAAGCACTGAAGAGCCAATCATGAAGGGTGTGTAGTAACCAAATGTAGTCACCAAACCTCCAGCCACCACCGAGCAAATCACAACCCCCAAANNAATCATGGGTAAAGACATGATTCCAGATTTTGTTGCGGAGACGCCTTTGATGGCTTGGAACCAGATGGGAAGGTAGTATACGAATAAGAAGAATGCAGCTCCCAGAGAGACACCGAACCAGGCGCTTGCTGCAACACTGCGTTGTTTAATGACACGAATGGGAATTGTGGCTTTGTCTCCGACGTAGAATTGGATAAAGATGAAGATGGCACAGAGGATGCCAAACACCACAAAGAGAGCAATGATGCGGCCGTTGCTCCAAGCATATGTGCTACCTCCCCATTGCAGTGCGAGCAAGAGACAAATAATCATAGGCAAGAAGACGACAGTGCCAGCAGGGTCGAAATCCATGACGCGGTTCTTCAAGCCGACGGAAAGTTTCTTTGCGCTCTTGGTGGGGTTGAAGAAGAAGAAGATGAAGATGATGGTGACGGCTCCGAAGGGAAGGTTGATGTAGAAACACCATCGCCAAGTCAGGTGGTCGGTGAAAGCACCACCCATCAATGGACCTGCTACACTGGCGAGACCATACATAGCGCCAATGAGACCAGTATATGATGGTCTTGATCGAAGAGGTACGGAGTTTGCGATGATCAAAATAGCTCCCGAGAACAGACCAGCAGAGCCCACGCCAGCAATGGCACGTCCAACAATAAGGGCTGTTGAGGTTGGAGCAATACCACACAGGAAAGAGCCAAGCTCAAAGATGCACAGCGCTGTAAGGAAGACCCATTTCAAGCTCAAGAATGAGTAGAGCTTACCAAAGAACAGTTGGAAGGAACATGTCGTCAGAAGGTATGCAGATCCATACCAAGCAATATCGTCAATTGCCTTGAAGTGATCTGTGATTTTGGGGATGGCGGTTGCGATGATGGTATTGTCCAAAGCTATACAGAATACCGTCAAGCACAGAGCAATGGTGATGAGGGTGAGCTTGAAAGTTGTAGGATATTCGACGTCAGGGTCTTCTTCGTCATTTGGCGTTGTGTCAGGGTCAACTCCAGCTGCTGGCTTCTCGTCGCCAGAGATAACAGATGCGGCCCGGACCTGTGCCTCGTCGAACTTTTCTGAGGATGGAAGCTCGCTAGGCGAGGTAGCGTCCAACGAGTCTGGACGACTAGATTCCTTGCTCTTTCTATCGAAGAAACCCATATCGAGGGTTGTGCTAAGAAAATTCTGGACCTCGACGAGTTGTCGTGTTTGACGAAAAGGGTGGGACAAAGGTTGCAACAACTTGCTGAGGTGAGGAATGTAAGCTCTTTCTACAGCAAACTCTCGTAAAGATACCTGCGGCTGAATGCAAACGGAGTCACCGAAGCAGACTCACCGACGGCCAAACACGGACAGAAGAACGAAAAGACGGCTGCCTGCTGATTAGCAAACGCCTCAACCTTAGCTGAGGTATAACGACATCGTGTTAGCGCATTTCTACAGCGAATCTCAAAAGCTGGCACCCAGTGTCGCGCTCAAAGACGCCGCCGGGTTTTGATTTCCGCCGCGTCCATTCGTTTGCCAAGATCTAATCATTTCTTTTTACGTTGTGTTTGATTCATCCCTGCGTTGGCTATGGATGTGATTGTCTCGAACAAAGGGGGGAATTCTGACCGGGATGGAGGATCAGTTGCTCCTTCTCCGATTCGGTAGCGAACCCCATGGCTTGCCGTGGTTATCGAAGCAAGCCACCAAATTTCAATGCACCTGTAGCATCTCGAATGCCACCATGTTTTTGACATCGACTTGCTTCAAGGATAGACTTTGCGATTGAGGTTGCATCTATACTGAAAAGCAGATCATACAGATTGCAGCTGAAGATTACGCGAGAACTTGGCCAGGGTGCCTTTACCGGAGTCCTGCAGTATCAGCCTCCACAGCTCTTTGCAATCCGGGTTCATCCTTGTGGGCCCGAACGGTCCAGTATGAAAGGAGCATTGTCTGTTTTTGGCCTCTCCCCATACACTCCAGAATCTCGACCTGCAAGAATTTATCGCGTGTTTGTAAGCAAAGGATTCAGGATTCGAATACTTTGTATCAATCGGCGACTCATGGAATCCTTCTAAGCTTAGAGACGTACTCTGGTTTCAAGCCTTGTATTGCCTAGTTGTCGACACATGACAGGAAGATGCAAACGAGGTCGACTTCTCGGCCCTGCTTTCCAAATTGCATATGGAAGATGTGAGTGTTGTTATGGCGAGCTGTGTTTCGTGATCATTTCTTTCTGGGCAGCTTTACTGATGCCAAAAATGTAATCATGACTTCTGATGGTAAGGATATCATCGTGTTGTGAAGAAGCTTCTGTTGGCTTTAGGAAATTACACGAGTCGTATTGTAATCCTGAAATTGACGCAGAGACGTTGCTGGGTACGAGGGAGATATGCAGGGCTAACAGGTGGTGATGTTGCTGCCTGTTGCCTTATGATCATAACAAGACCAAGAAATCCTTTCCTCACGCCACAATTAAGTTACGACACGAAATGTTCAGCGACTCGGATGGCCCATGATCACTGATGTGTCCTTCACTTTGATGGTCGTGGAGCTTGTTGTGCTCTATGCCTCTCTACGGCTGTGCAGAAAGGCTCCTATCTATCGCAATCCTTCGACCAGCTACTCGTGTGTGGAACATCCATATACAAGGTTAATCACGAGCTTCAGGGGGCTGAAAATTGGCTGGCAACTGACAATGCTCTGTGTAGAAGATCTAAGAATTAATATTGACTTTACCACACTCAATCGAAACTCGATGCACGACTGGTTCGTGCAAGAACGTGGCATGGTACCCACTGTATGGTTGCATTATGAAGCAATGTACCTATCGAGGAAATCCTGGATGTTGTGAAAATATCCTGCCTCTGCAACTGTGTTGTTATGATCGCCATAAGGGAACTCCTTCCAGATTTTTGGTTCTGAGCGACAGATGTCGAACAGTTTCTTCATGTGCGATGGCCTATGACTGATCAGCACCATACTCCGAAATTTTTTTTATCATACATACGGTACAATCTCATCCTGCAGCCCGCTCAAAAACAGGATGGGTGTGTTGGTCAGCTTGGGGAGCATCTCTTCACTAGGCCACACTTGATGACAGAGCGGTGTCAAGTACTTGGCTGCAGGAATCACACTGNNTAAAGTGTCAGTCAATCCCTCTATACAATTGGTGATGAGTTCCTACCTCGGAATCATCTTCTTGATGCTCAGAAAAGTGTTCTCTAGTATCAAGCCAGCAATGTCACCCTGATCCTTGTTCTTGACAGCAAGTCCAATGCTGACAGCACCTCCCAGACTTTGTCCATAAACGACAATCTTGGTCTTCTTGAGGTCGTCTCGGCTCCGGATGTAGTCAAGTCCAGTTTGGGAGTCAATGGCGATGCCCTTTTCATTGGGGTTACCCGTGGACAAGCCGTAACCTCGATACTGAAGCATCAAGACATTGCAATACATTTCATTCGCTAGAATCTTTGCAATAGGAAGCCGATGTCCGATGTTTCCAGCATTGCCATGGAACATCAGGAGAGTCACGTTCTTTGCCTTGCTAGCATTCCCCGGCTTGATGAGAAATGCACTTAGTGTTTCACCGTCTGGCGTAGGCAGACTAAGCTCTTCGGCATCGAGTCCAAGCTGAGATGGCCTTGGAACATCGGTACGAGCATTCGGAGGGATATTCCGAGGATAGATCAGTTCACTNCGGTAGAATTAGAAAGTGAAGATGAAGTAGAATCAGAAGACATACTTCTGGTAGTAGAAAAGGCCACTACTTAGAACCATGCCCAGGCCGGAAGCAGCTAGGAAGGGTATGCGAAGATAGCCCCATAGCAGAGTTGCCATATCTCCGGATGCTTCTGAAAACGGCGAGATTGTGAGATTGATCGAGTGTTTATAGCAGGTCGTTGAGGAACATCAGGTTTAGTCGAAAGTGAGTCGAAGTTGAATCTGATATTACGTGGCAGGTATTTCGAGAAGCGGCCGGGTGTTATCATAGGTTAGGCGCGAGGAAAGCAACGAGGTATTGCGCATATACCTAGGCAGTTACCTTCGTATGCATCGGGAAGCTGCTCAGGGGGGATGGTGATTGGTGACGCCGGGCTTGGCGCTCTAGCAGTCGGCCGACGGGCGTGCATCATTGATGGTTTGCCTGGCTGGAGCTGTCTGCAACATCCAACTTGCATCTCACTTTCAATAATACACACGCGCTTCTTCATCTGCACTCTTTCTGAACTAATCAGAGATCTCACACCGCGCATTTGCAACAAATACACCCCCACGATGATCGGACAAGCAACGGGCATGCTCGGCGAGGGTAGGTTGCCTCCGAAGAATAGCTGTATTATGCATGAGCTTACACATGCCTAGNATGGCATCCACATCGACATGAACCACCTCAAGAAGGGAGAGGTCAAGTAAGTGCGACTTGGGCATAGCTGAGAGCTCGATAGATGGCTAACACAAGACAAACNNAGCCTCGGAACCTCCATGTACGTCGAAACATCCGCAAGCGCACGCCTCTTACTATACTGAACAATCTCTAGCATGGCCATCAACTTCAAGGATGGTGTCATCCTCGGCGCAGACAGCAGAACCACAACCGGCGCCTACATCGCCAACCGCGTTACCGACAAGCTCACCCAAGTTCACGACACTATTTGGTGCTGCAGATCCGGCTCTGCCGCAGACACCCAAGCAGTTGCAGACATTGTCCAATACCACCTGAACATGTACGGCATCAACAACAACGAGCCTCCCACCACACAAACCGCCGCCGCCATCTTTCAAGAGCTGTGCTACGATAACAAGGATATGCTGAGGTATGTTTGGCTTCGTGCTGCCGTGTCTATCTGACACTAATCATGCGCGCNNAGTGCTGGAATCATCATTGCAGGATGGGATCGCAGACATGGTGGCCAAGTCTACTCAATACCGTTGGGTGGTTCTCTTCACAAGCAGGCTTACGCAATTGCTGGTTCTGGTTCAACCTACATCTACGGCTACTGCGACGCCAACTGGAAGGAAGGTATGACCGAAGAGGAGGGTATCGAGTTCGTCAAGGGATCTCTGAGAGAGGCTATCAAGTGGGATGGAAGTTCAGGCGGTGTGATTCGCATGGTCGTCCTCACTGCAAAGGGTGCTCAGAGACATCTCTACTTGCCCGACAATGGCTACACCGGTCCTGGTACCAAGTGAGAGAGCTACAGCGGAGACCAACCATATAGCGACACTCCTTGCTGATGCCGCAGCCTCAATGCAGCGGAGCAAGTGGTCCGGGCAGCTAGATGCTAGCGCGCGTTTGACTTCTCACCAATCTCTCTCCAACATGTCACACCCAGGCATAACAAGGACTTACAGCAGCATGGATGGAGCGTGAGAAGGACAGAAACCACCAGATAGATGATACGAAATCATGTCTCATGGATGAATTGAACATTTCCGCATGTTTTACATAAGAGCCTACCCACGTGCTGGCGTGAGACGGCGCGAGTAATGCTCGGTCGATATGAAGATCAGGGTGAGTCGACGGCGCGGCAGCCGACAGCGCGGAAGCTTAATAAATGGCGTCCGGCGTCAACGACGGGAGCCCGTCCCTTGGCCCCCTTCCTCTTGTATTCAGGCTCCTTCTGTTTTCTGTTGACTTCATTGTCCAATCTCTTTCCACGTCTAGAGACGGTTCCCTTTCTGGCGGCTTTGTTTTTGTGCAGAGAAAGATGCCTTGTATGTGTGAGTAGCACTTACTTTTTATCCCCTCCGATCTGGCACGGCCTCGCCATACATGTATGCGGTACCGCAGTCCAATTGCCCGTGACGTCGAGCTGCGACAAGTTGGCGATATAACACGATCGACCATCAGTCGCGGTGACCAGAACGTTCGATCGTTGTCATTCCTCCCTGCTATCCGTGGAGCAGAGATGTGATCGCTTTTGTATCTCCTTCTGTTTGCCTTGTTCATCAGACCTGTCTTGGCCGTTTTGTTGGTCGCTGAGCTTTGTCCTTAACCCCAACCTCTCACGACTTTCAGCACGCGCATCGCGGCAGCCCAAACACCTTTTCTGCCGCGCGACTAACGTATGATTGAACAGAATACGGAGTGTTTGTAGATTATGGGCTCGATAGCAATCGACGCTTTTACACATCACTCCTCTACGCCGCTGCCGCCACCATCTACACGGCACACTTCAGAACTGGCCCAGACCCTATCCGCATCACACGTCCATCCGTCGCAGAGCACCATGTCAGCAACCGAAAGCCGAGCAAGCAGCTCGCATGCTTCGCGAGTGCCAGCCGAGTCGTCAACTCCTTCATATTCAAGGCAGCGCCCCGCCTCACCCGCCCTACAACCTGCTGCAGGCCAGCGGACTCCTCTTAATGTCGCAAACATCCCTTCTTCACACCCTGTCGCGGCCTCCGAATCTTCCCCCGACTCATCACCGACCCAGACCGACTCTACGCGAGACTCAACCTCGTTCTCACCTCAGCGCATCAAAGTTCGCGACTTGAGGCACATTCAGACCTTGGCCGACAACGAGATGCATTCCTTTGCAGAAGATGGCAACAAAGTCGGCGATCAGGGTCCGCAATACGAAATTAGTGGCATGCCCATCGAAAACATTATCGAGATGGTTGCTGGCCTCTTGACCAAAATAACAGCTACAAATGACAGGCAACACCAACACCTGCATCACCAGATGACACCACCAGAGGGCGGCTCGTCTTCGAATCGAATGCAATCGAACAGTGTGCTAGCCTTCCACGGAAAGAACGTGCCCAGCATAACGATTCTGAGCTACCTTCTCCGTATCAACAAATACTGCCCTACGAGCTACGAGGTGTTCCTAAGTCTTTTGGTCTATTTCGATCGCATGATGGAGAAGGTGAATGCGGGCGCCATGCAAAACCTACGAGAGATGGACAGACATGAACGCGCTATAGCTTCTGAACAAGAGCTCAAGAGTCCTGCTTCTTCAAAATCGATGGAGAATACGGCGCCCGTGAGCCATGGCTACGCACAGACAGCAACACCTCCGTTATCTGGTGAGCTCGAGACCCAAAGTCAAGGCGCTGTACCCGGTACTCCCCACAGCAAAACTCGCCAGCCCGACTCTCCAGCAGCATCTACCCTGGATACAGACACCCTCGACCTCTCACATCTCTTCGTTGTTGACAGCTTCAACATCCATCGCCTGGTCATTGCAGGTGTGACATGCGCTAGCAAATTCTTTTCTGACATCTTCTACACAAACTCGCGCTATGCTAAGGTTCGTCGTTTCTCGAAAACGCTCCCAAGTCATCCATTAACATATCTTCTAGNNGTTGGTGGTCTACCACTCCCCGAGCTCAACCACCTCGAGTTGCAGTTCCTACTTTTGAACGACTTCCGACTATCCGTTCCTGTTGAAGAAATCGAAGCATACGGAACCACCTTGGTCGAATTTTACGCCCGGGAGGTTTTGGCTCAAAGAGCAGAGCAGGCTGAATAGTATGCCTAGTTGCTTGTCTAATTTGGTAACGAGCCATCAACTCGAAACAACATCATACACACGCATCGATTACGAGGCGCGCAAGAGTGCATTGCATTCATTCTCCCGCGACAACTTGCTTGAGAACCCGGACTCTTTACGACGAAATGACAGCAACCTGTTTTTGGCCTCTTGTCGAGGCATATGATGAGGAAGGTATATTAGAGCGTGGTGTTGTCCTGTTTTAGAACCCATAGATTCAACATACCCTGACCGACTCTTTTACTTGGCATCTTATTTCTGTCTGTTGCTCGTCTTTGCTCTCCACAGTCTTTGCTTTCTGCCTTCGATACCCAGTTTGTTTTCAGGTTGCTCAGGCTTTGCTGGCGTCTGTGTCTCTTTCTCGAAGGGCGTTATCAAGATCTGCAAACAGTTTTATAGTTGCTGTGTTCATCAAGGGTACCTCAAATCGCCTTTGTTCCAGCCTTGCACGTGGTGGTGTCACTTATGACACGCAACGGTTGATTTAAAGTTTGTTTATGCCAACGAATGTTGAGCACAAGCGAGGTATGGATGACTGAAAGATGTCGGTAGATCTGATTCGATCGGTAGACGTGCGGATACGTGCACAAATTGTATGTCTAGACAACCGACCAGCAGAAATAAGTATCAAGTACATGTCGATGTGCTGTCGAACATGGGTTCGCCGGCTTTGTGTCCTTCGGCAAGTACTTGCCATATCAATCACATTTAGGGGTGAGTGAAGCATACCTAAACGAGCGCCAGAACAGGATGTTCTTTTGGCTGGAGGGTGGGTCTGTCCCAATGGTTGGTAAAAAATGCGTCACTTGTACGATCGTTACAGGGAAACTCGCGACGTCGATGGCAGCGCCCAGCGGGCGCTTTCGGGTGCCTGTTTTTTGCGCCGATCGTCACGCACACACACACGAAGGAGTGGGTTGGGCTGGCAAACAGGGCAGAGTTGGTCGTGATGAGACTGCTTGGTCTCCACAACCTGAATAGAAAGGTGGATGACAGAATCCTGTTGCAGATAAGTACACAGGCTCTCTTTCGCACAGCTAGCTTGTAGATATAAGCATACTTCTTGTAGCGCGACACAAACACCCGCGACGTAGTGAAGGCAACCTGAAACAGACAGCCACAGCGCAGGCCAAGGAAGAAGTTTGGGGTTGAGCGCAGCGACAAAGCTAACTAGTCTATTTTGGCAAGCTCGACCGTCACTCTTGCATAACAGGCACGCACGTCCATCGGCTTTGTCTACAGAAGTTTCTGGACATTGCTATTAAGCTGGTTGGCATCCTCTTCTTCCTACAAGCACCAGTCATAATCTTGGTTGATCCCTCACCTACAAGAGCCTCTTCACCTAGCTCTCGCTTTCTTGGTGAAACATTGGCCTCCCGACACAGGGTCCACGTTTAGGCTTTCGCCATCAACACAATCCCTACCTTTGTTCACACAACACATCATGTCGACCTTCGTCGCTAGCTTGTAAGTATTGCCGCATGAAATTAGTGGGTTACCATTTGAGTTGCTGATGTCTTCAGGTTCCTGCCGTATACGGTTGACTTTCACGATGAACCAGAGGCACCTAAGAGGCCGAATATTCAAAGGTTGCACAGCCGTGCGGCCTCAGCAACTGATATGAAAGCTCTTGCAAACACAGCAGCAAGTCTGTTCAATGGTCCTCCTGTACCACAAACTCCTGCAGAGGAGAAGCAGGACGATTTTTTCTCTCAATTGCAAAACGACCCTCGCATCAAGCCTGGTGACCCTCGCTCGCTTGCTCGTACTGAGGCAGCTCCTCCAGAATGGGGTGCTGCTGCTCAGTTCTTGAATCAACCTAAATCTACGGCTGGTCCTCTTCCGTCTGGTAGCATTCTTGACTATGTCAAATCAGAGAAGAAGGATCCAGAACTACTAGCCAAATATACAGCTCAGAGGAAGCGCAGACCGACCACTGGCACTTCGCGCAGAGGAAGCAACGAACGCAACTTTGCTAGAAAGACCTGGACCGTAGAGCCTGCCGTTCAGGGAAACGGTGGCTTGATCAATGCTATCCGTGCTCATGACGCTCTCAGATCCGATGAAGATTTCCAGAAGATCTGGGTCGGTACTCTTGGTTTCCCCACTGACGCCCTAGTTGATTCTAAGAAGGAGGAAATCTCTGACAGGCTGGCTAACGAATACGACGCTGTGACTGTCTACCCTTCAGATCGTGATATTGATGGACACTACACTCACTACTGCAAGACCATTCTCTGGCCAGTTTTCCACTACCAAATTCCTGATCACCCCAAGAGCAAGGCCTACGAAGACCATTCCTGGGAGTTTTACAGAAACGTCAACCAAAACTTTGCCGACAAAATCATTGCCAACTACAAGCGAGGCGATGTCATCTGGATCCACGACTACCATCTTCTCCTCGTCCCTGGTATGATTCGCAGGAAGCTGCCTGATGCCCAGATCGGCTTCTTCCTTCACGCAGCTTTCCNNCCCTCTTCCGAGGTGTTCAGGTGTCTCTCGACCCGTAAGGAACTTCTCGAGGGCATGCTCGGTGCCAATCTTGTGGCTTTTCAAACCAAGGAGTACGCGCATCACTTCCTGCAGACTTGCAGTCGTCTCCTCACTGTCGAGGCTACTCCTGAAGGAGTGCAATTGGAAGAGCGCTTTGTCAACGTCAGTCACGAACCCATCGGCGTTGATCCTGAAGGTATGGCCAAGGCTAGAGAAGAGCCTGAGGTACAGGAGTGGATCAAAGTAATTCAGGAGAGATATAAGGGCAAGCATCTGATCGTTGCTCGTGACAAGTTGGACAACGTCAGAGGTGTCAGACAAAAGCTACTTGCTTTCGAGCTGTTCCTCAACAAATATCCCGAGTGGCGTCAAAACGTAAGTAACATACTCATTAGATTCTGTTCGGTCATTAACACTACATCTANNCAGGTTGTCCTTTTGCAAGTCGCCACATCTACCACCGAGAATAGCGAGCTCTTAGCCACAGTTTCGGACATCAACACACGTATCGACTCGGTACACTCAACACTTGCGCACCAGCCTTTGGTTTTCTTGAAACAAGATATCTCGTTCTCACAATATGTGGCTCTGCTTACTGTTGCCGATGTCATGATGATTACCTCCCTTCGTGAAGGTATGAATCTGACAGCTCATGAGTTCATTCTATGTCAGGATGGAGCTTCGACAGAGAAGAAGTTTGGTCCTCTAATTCTCAGTGAATTTACTGGCAGTGCGTCGGTATTCGGAGGCAGCGAAATTTCTGTGAACCCTTGGGATTACCAGAAGTGCGCTGAAGCTATCAAACTCGCTCTGGAGATGTCCCCCGAGGAGAAGGAGCGACGTTACAAAAAGCTTTCGGATGTTGTGCACAAGCAAACTGGAGACTACTGGACCACCCGCTTGAATGACTCCCTCACAAAGGCCTCCAAGGAACAGTTCTCCCGCGATGCGATGTCGATTCCTCGTCTGTCGGTCACTTCACTTGCTCAAAAGTACAGAGAGGCGGAGCGTAGAGTCTTCATCTTGGATTACGAGGGCACGCTCGCAACATATGGTACGGGCAAGGATGTTGTCTTGACGTCTCCTCAGCGTGTCCTTGACACCCTCAATGAGCTCTTGTCTGATAAGAAGAACATTGTGTACGTCATGTCAGGTCGTACCCCTGAGGAGTTGCAGCGCTTGTTCCGTCAAGTGCCCAACCTTGGAGTTATCGCGGAGAACGGATGCTTCTTGCGCGAATGGGGTGCTGCTGATGATGAGTGGGTCGCCTTTGCAGATATTGAGGCAAGTGCTGCTTGGAAGAAAGACGTCAAGTCAATCTTCCAGTATTATGCTGAGCGTGTCGAGGGCTCGTGGATCGAAGAGCGTCACTGCTCACTTGTCTTCCACTACGAGAAGGCTGTGGATCCTGAGGCTGCTCGTGCTCAAGCAGGTGATTGTGCTAATCACATCAACGACAGCTGTCAGAGTTACAGAGTACAAGCCATCCCTACCAGCAAGGCGGTCACGGTTGAATCACTCGACTGGAGCAAGGGTTCGGCGGCCACAAAAATCTTCGATAAGCTTCGCGAGAAGAACGTCGAAGGTAAAGGTCGTACACCACCTGATTTCCTATTTGTGGCTGGTAATGACCGCGAGGACGAGACCATCTTCCAGTGGGCCAACGACATTTCGGAACAGGGAAGGGTTGCCAACGTAACTACTGTCTCTGTCGGCAAGCGCAACACCCAAGCCATGACTACCATCACTCAGGGTACTACCGGACTGATCAGTGCGCTCCAAAAACTGTCGAATTATTCATATGATACTGCTCCTGAAGGATCTGGCGGCCGTCGCCCATCTGTTCTCCNNCTTACTACTGGTTCTTAGTTGGGGTCGTCAGCCCTGTGAAATCACCACTAGACGCTTTCGGGAGGGTTTATTATGAATGACGGTTGTTTTGCTGATCGATGGGGTTCGAAAGTTGTACCGCTAGTTTAATTCTGTTTCTTGCTTTCTAGAGCGTTGTACTGCTTGCTTCGCCCTTTGCATGTCTGGATGATAGATGAGTAGTTCGCCATGAAGTCACGTTTCTTTAAGGCATCTTTGTCCGCGTGTTTATGAAATTAAAGCTGTGACTTTGCCAAATTGTTGACGATGTGGAGTGGATTTATTTGACTGAAGCAGACAGACTTACAAGTCGAGTTTGGTCAAACAATTGTAGTCAGACAACGAGCTACAAGTATCGACCAACCCACTGAGTGATGCATGTTCTCCATAAAAAGCTTCTGTTTTTGACTATTGTCGCTCTGTTTGATCAATGATTAAGTGAATTTTGTCATTCTGCCTTGGGAGAAATGTATTTAGATCGACATTTTGCTGTTGATTGTGTGAGCTTGTACCCGTTATTATTTTAAGATGGATGTTTGCAGCACAATTGCTTAAATTAACGATAAGAGATCTCCTTACAACTATGGGATATAGACTGAGCAATAGAAATCTTATGAACGAAGAGATATCAGAGATCAGCATCTGTTAGCAGTTGATATTGTCGTCGAAAGCGCAAAGCCAGGGTGATACCTCCAGCAATGGAAACCTGTAAGCGGGTAGTTACGCAGCCAAAGCACCCCCCACAAAAGCCAAAATCCTATCATCGAGTCTCGAGTCCCGAAGCCGAGAATAATCTCTACAGCTCTATGGATAGTGGGACATTAGTCTCAATGCTTCGGGTGCATCCTAACTCTAGCGGATACGTGTGTAGGATATATTTTCAACATATCGAACATATCTCCAAGATCCTGAATCTGGCCAACCGGATTCAAACCCTTACAAGCTAAGGTGATGTGGTGTAGTGGTAGCATGTGTCGTTGTGGAGGTTAAAGTCCAGCAACGCCGACCCGACGGCGGTTCGATTCCGCCCATTGCCAGGATCCGTTTCTTTTTTTGCCCTTTCCCATGTCCATCAGAGCGAAGTGATGGTGTTCGAGGAAAATTCATTGTTTTTCGCCATGTGACTAGGGGAAAGTGTTTTGCAGTATGACTACGTGAAGTGGGGGATGGAGGTGGGATGATGTCTCGAGAGATGGGGTCGAAACCTGGATGGAAACGAGCAGAGGTTTCATACTGCGTCGGAGAGCTTTGGTCTACTGATCTTTGGCCGCGGAGGCTCGAGAATCAATAGTGCGTTTGACAATGTTGGTAAGACCTGTTTTCCAAGGTTGGGCCCGCGGGAGAGAGAAGAGGCCCGACGCATATTCGTGACACAAGTAAGAATATGCACAAAAGTTCTTGAGATATGGAAATTATGGTAGATAGTAAAAAAATAAACAGCGGGTCGTGAACAACATGAATTCTTTTGTCAAAGGGAATCTTTGCGCAGAGATCAAAACTCCCCCGAAACGCCTTGCATACGATGAGATGATGCTCTCCTAAAAGAGAGTGGATGGAATGCTGCTTTCCAAAAGGAAAGAGATGCGACAACAATGCAAACCGTCCCAACCATGTGCAACAAAGAAAACAAGAAACAGCAAGACGTTTGAAATCCGTGTCGATGCTAAAAACTCAAGCAGGACTGATTGGTTTCGATCCAGGAGGCGAGTGACTGCTGCGAGGGTTTGGGCCTTGGTAGATGTAAACGTCGACAGCAGTGGCAGAATCACCATAACCGTAGCCAGGTTCACCAGGAACAGGCAGCGAGGTTTGCGATTTCTTCTGGAAACCCTTGGAGTGGAACAAGTCCCAGAACATGGCTTCGCTTTCGTGACGAACTTTTGTTGAGAGAAGGATGACGGCTTTTGGTGAACGCTTGATGAGGCGTTCGAGAGTGTCAACCAACGGAGGAATGCTATCACTGTTGTAGATACATTCGGCGACAAGGATTAGGTCGAAGGAGCGGGAGGCAACCTTTGCCGGCAACGGAGCTTCCCAATCAAGAGCAGCAAAGTCAATGTTAGACGACATGGCAGGATTGGCGGCCTCGATGTTGCGCTCAACCAGCTCGTCGACCTCGGGCAAGTCGGTAAGGAGGACGTCACAATCGGGTACAGTCTGTGCAAGACCAATGCCAACAACACCGCAGCCGCAGCCCAACTCTAGTACGTTGAGCTTCCTGTATGTGGCAGAAGACAAGACGCTTTCGAGCAAAGGTGCTTCATGGACAGATCGAAGGGCAACGACACGGTCGAGGTAGGCGGTCAGAGATAGACTGCCGTCCCAGAGATGGCGGGCAATACTCTCACCAGTATCTTCGTATATGTTCAAGGTACGTCCTGTCAAAGGAGTGAAACGACGCTCGACTCGTCTGTGTGTCTCAAAGGTGCCCTTGGTAGGGTTTAGGGGCTCACTCCAGACAGAGACGATGCCTGGGAGATGACCGCGAGAAGCATGGTCCTCGAAGCAGTCGTACATGGCAGCCTTGTTCTCTTTCGTGTGGATGTGGAGTTGGGCGGGCCAGTCAATCTCGGTGCGGGTCAGGTCGAGCGAGATGTTGAGGGAACGCATGTCTTGTCGCCATTGTAGAGTTCGGCGGAGGAAGATGTCACCATCTTGGTCTGATTGACGAAGGGTTGCAGCAAGCTGTAGGTCGTGTGGGTAGAAGGTCTCGCCCAAGTCGGTAGTGAGAGTGATGACGGCGGTGAGGGTGACGGAGCCGTTTTCGACGTGCACCTTGGGTGTCTTGAGGAAACGAACTGCATGAACATGTCAGTGACTGGTAGTAGGCGGTAACAAGGGCAGGGTACGGAGCAGGGGCGTTGTCGGGCGGGTCGAGTGCAGTATAGGGCCGTGATTGATAACAGGAGCGTGGTGGCTTACCGTAGTGCATGTTTGTGTCGGTCGAGGCAGGAGCGAGGGCGCACAACAAACTGCTGCCGGGGAAGACAAAGCGAGAGTCAGGAAAGGCGGACCAGGGCGCGTGTACAGTGATTTGGATTTTGTTACATGTTGAATAAGTCTCTTGTCAACGACTGACTGCCGGCGTTTGCGCGAGCGCTATGTGGACAATCTAGGCCAGTCTTTGCTGTAGCGGCACACGCTGCTAGGGCGTCTAGATCGACGTCTATTTTGCTTTTTTCCTTGTTTGCCTTCGATTGACACGTCCGTCATCTTATCTAATCTGTCTCCACGATCGCTCGGTAGGCATCCGGGGAAAGCCCTCGTTGCCAGCTTGCCCTGCTCGGTGCGTCTTCACCTTGACGTCCCGTCAGTCGAACTTGGAAGGATCAAGGCGTCCCCAGCTGCCAAACCCTAAGCCACGCCATTGTCATCATCCCCGGTGCCCAGCGCCCTCTCCGCGCGCCGTCTCTTTTCCTACAACTCAACAAATACTCGACTGATGCCCGTCGACCGTCATGTATCGACGCAGCGATCCTCGCTTCCGCCGTACCATCAATGAGATCTCCCAGACCATCGAGAGCGCCAACGAGTCCGCCCAAGCCAACATCTTTACCTTTTCCCACCGATACCTTGGTCCTTGTTTCTCCTCCATTGGAAGCTGTCTCCAATCCACATGCTCCTCCTTTCCATGCTGCGACGATCGCCTACATCGGAATCGCGCCCGTACGCGCACTCGCCCGGAGCTGAGCTTCGACTTCTATGACGACTGGGATGATGACGAAACCGCCGGTCTGCTAGCATGGGACAATGGTGACTTTGACACACTACAAGCTGGAGGATATGGCGCCGGTGCTGTTTCTGACCAACCCGCCCGTGAGCGTGCCATGAGCTATGGTGCTCGACGAGACAAGTACGGTCGTCGCAAGAGCCAACCGCGGGACGATCCTGATACAGACCCTACCCTCATCCCTGCCTCTTCCTATTTCGGCTTCCTCGGCAAGTTCTCTAGTAGACTTACTGGAGCCAAGACTCTGCGGTACAAACCTTCGGCCGCCGATTTACAAGAGCATCCAGGTGCCTCAAGGAACATGCCTCAACTCACAGAGGAGGAGGAAGATGATTTTTCTCCTAGAAAGAGAAGTAACACCGCTGGAAGCAACGGTACCGCCGACTCTTTCAGCTCGAGGGGCGATCTTNTTCCCAGTGAAGATGAAGACGACGCTCGCGAGCTTGACGATGAATTTGCTATGGTCCTCGAACGTCGCACTACAGGCGCTGGGCTGGAAGATGTAGACAATAATGGTAAACCTCGCCGTCCGGGGAAACGCCCAAGCACTGGATCTCGATTGTCGACGCGGACCATGTCGAGCAGAAGTACACGCAGCTCAAAACGGCGGTCTCGTGCAGCTAGTACTTCGCCATCGAGAGAAGCTACCGTTGAACCCAAGCTTATACCATCCCTGGCAGAACTCAAGCAGGAAGAAGAAAGGGTGCGAGAAGAGGAAGAGGCTGCCATCGCTAGTAAGAGAGATGCTGCACGGGGTCTTGCACTGGAGCGTGGGCTAAACGTGAACGGATCATCACCTATTGCTTCTGTCTCACCGTCCGGTGAATCAAAACCGGCAGTGAGTCCCGATGTTACACAGGATGTGCACAGTGACCAGGGGTTGGAGCAGAAGTTGCCAATGACCTCTGAACGTCTCGAGAACGACAAGGTAACGAGTAGCGACACGGTTCCATTCCCAAGCTTCAATTTGGAAGAGATGGCAACGCCAGAGGACGACTCTGATTTCGTTCCAGCCCAATTACCACGGTTCACGGGCTCACGATGAAACGAAGAGCTCATGTTTGCAGCGATGGAGTCTGGTGTCTGCAAGCTGATGACCGGGAACCGGAATACGAATACTATATGTGCATAACGAATTTCTTTGATTCTTGGTGTTCTGGTAGATCTGCTATGGTTATGTCGCTAGAGAGCCTGCCTTAACCTGCTGTTCTTAGATGTGGGTCTGGAGGCTCAAAGACGGGCCGTCGTACTTAATTAATTCATCCCTGTTAAAAGTCAAAATGCATGGAACAAGGCTTGCTTCCATTTGATCTAGTAGACGTCATTGATACATTTTTCTACTCTCTCATTATGCCCGTATCGTGTTCTGACACTGTTCATGCGATACGGAGATATCCTAACTAGGAGGATCGCAGCAGGGAAAGGCATGGCAACGTCTGAATGGAGTCAAACGGGCAAGCGAAGTGTCTCGGAATGGGTATAAGCCGGGGGTGGCTTGACGATCTCTAGTCTGCATCTATAGAAATAGAGAGTCGTGGAAATTAGGTCGTCAGATTCGGACGCAAAATCAAGCAAGGTCAAGTCAGCAACCGGGGAGCAAAGTCGAGCCGCGTGACAGATGTGATTGTCTTTGCGAGAGCGAGAATAGGGCTCTGTGAGATGTGATTCGCTGTGGCAGATTGGCGCGAAAGACTGGAAACACAACGGCTTCGCGGCGGGCGAGTCAAGCAGGGTCGATGGTTTAGGCGAGGAGGGTTTGATTGAATGATGAGCCTTTTGCAGAGTAAATTGCTGTCGACCGTCTTTGCTTGCACGCGGGTGGTCAAGACTCGACGAGCAAAAGTCAGCGATATTGACCGTCGCTTCGTATCGACTGGAAGGCTCTGAGTTGTTAAGGGCATCACGCCAGATACATTAAATGAAGGGCGCTAGCGTCATTGGTTCAACAGGCTGCAGATAAGTACAAGGTAGTCTTGTTCTTGTTGTTTGGACGCAATGCACCAGCATGCTGGCCATCCCTCCATCACGTATCAGCTTCCTGCTGCTACCCTACCGACGACCCAAGGCGCCGTGAAGGCTGCACACGACCTGCCATCATCATCACCATCATCGCCGACCCTCACAAGCTCGCCGCCCTTCCAACCTCTGCATGAGCAGCCACCCTCCCGAACCAGGCCGCTAGAGACCGCTCGTCGCCTGCGTGCTTCCCATGCTGCAGACACTTCCTGCGGAGCCGCTTCTGCCATGGTCTCATCAACATCTACCGCCGCTGTTCAGCGCAGCGTTCCTGTCCCTTCCGCCGCCCATCGCACTGTCTCGATGGATTCGACCTTGTCTTCGCTTTCCTCGTCAACTGCTCCGCAGCCCATCGTCCGCTCCCAGTCAGCCATCTCATTAGAGCCGACCGACATTCCCACCCTAATCGCAACTGCTGGCTCCCCTGAGGCCGCCATAGCGAAGCTCTTGCAAGAGAAACAGTCAGCTTCCACGCACACAACCCAACTATGGAGGCTTGTGGAGAAGCAAAGAGCCATGATTCTTGGCCTTAACAAGGACTTGGAACGCACACTTAAAGAGAAAGAGAAGTATCGCAAANGGCTCAAAGACCTGCTCGGCGAGCAGTCTTCGCGTCCACCAACCACGAGAGAAAGCCTTGGTTCTGCAAGCCTTGACAGCCAGTCTCCCAACATGCCCGCATCCAGTCCTCCCCTTCCCACGAGCACGTCCCTAGATAGCCTGCCCACAGGCTTGCAACGTCCCAATCGTGTCCAGACATCCGACTCATCATCTTCTTTGCCCGGTCTTCCAGGACGCTCCTCTGCAAACGGCCCGCAAACTCCTAGCATTACCAACACTCCACAAGTGGTATCACCCAAAGCCTTCTCGAGTCCGAATCAGAGACTACGTAAGGAGAAGCCTGCCCCCCTGGATTTGTCGAGTGCCCCTACTATGCTTCGCGAAGCTTCGGATTCGGATGAGACCCCCCACTTTCAAGAGGGAAGAAAAAAGACAAGAGCAGATGATGACAGGCTCAGGGAGGCATTGGCCAACCAAAGCCAACAAAAAGAGACAACTCAAGCTAGCAGCAGGAGTGCTCCTCCTCCTGCCGTCGACCGACGTGTCCCTGCCCCTGCCGATCTAGACGCAGACCCAGGACTGCTCAGCGACACAGATCAGGGTGTACTCAGTGATGCCGAAACGATTGATTTTGGGTCTCCTCAGCTTGCCCAGGTTCAAGCATTCCAGAGCATGGGTCAGATGGTATCGGCCGATGCTCCTGCCCAAACCAAACGTCATCCCGTGTCTCTGACCGTGCTGAGTCCCGGTCTTCCTATGAGCCCTCGTCCTAGCGATAGACCCATGAATTCACCCATGCCTAGGGCATTGAAACAATCACTGACCTCAATACCTACTTCTCCCCGAGTAGGAGGACAGATGCCATTATCACCACGCGCCCCTCGCCAACCTATTCCTATGCCACCACAGACCCCTCTTTCATTTGCGTCTCCCCATCTGGCTCGTGCTGAGACCTACCACGCCCTTGCAGCGAACTCCATGTCTGATAGGCTTTCCGTTCCTCCGCAACCTCGGATGGCAGAATCCGAGCAATCTTTGAATGCATCCGCACCAAGGTCTCCTGGTGAAATCTACCGCGGATTTGTATCCGAGCAATATCCTGGTTTCCTCTTGCCTCCAAATGCTCTTCNNCCTTCGATCTATGTGAAAGTCGACTCATCCCGCCTGCGACCATCAAGACAAAGTTACATGGCACCAAAACCGTCAGAGGAAAACCCTGTCATCACGCTTGCCGTTNTTTCCAGATCTGATCATACACAATTATGGCGCGTGGAAAAGTCATTGACTGCTATGTCCGTCTTTGACCAGCAAATCAAGGTCGCATCCAATTTTAGAACAAAGCTTCCAGATCGTTCTTTGTTCACCGGACACGCTCCTGCTCGAATGGACGCTCGCAGAAACGCCCTCAGCCTTTACTTCGATAGCATGCTCGATACACCTATGGATGACCAAGCTGCCGTCATCATCTGTGGATTTTTGACTGCTGATGCGATAGGTCCCGATATGCCCGAGTATTTCCCTCAGGAAGCGACCAATCCGATTAAGAACTCCGCAAACCAAGGTGGGGGTGTTCGCAAGGATGGCTACTTGACAAAACGTGGAAAGAACTTTGGTGGTTGGAAAGCCAGGTACTTTGTCTTGGATGGACCGACTCTCAAATACTTTGAAGCTCCTGGAGGTGCACTTCTAGGCTCGATAAAGCTATCGAGTGCGCAGATTGGCAAACAAGCACAACATGCGACACGACACGAGGACGACGATAGCGACAGCGAGTATCGACACGCTTTCCTAATCCTGGAGCCTAAACGCAAAGACTCCTCAAACCATGTGCGTCATGTGCTTTGCGCCGAGAGCGACGAAGAACGCGACGCCTGGGTTGAGGCTTTGCTGCATTATGTTGACCAAATTGCGTCTCCCTCGAATTTGAGAAAGCAAGATTCGCTACGCGCCACGCGCAGTCCGCGTCTTCAGAAGTCAATGAACGATCTTTCATCAGCGAGTTCAAGACCATCAGACAGTTCTTTGATGCTGCGTAGCATCCCTTACCAAGCTACAGTACCTGCCGAAGCACCTGTAATTGGTCCAAGCCGCGATCTTGCTACGCCATCTCCAGTCAACTCTCCAGCCATTGGTGAAAGCGAGTATAACCACGATTCTAGTCACCTCCCGCAAATCTCTGGTCCAACCAACGGTGCAGTAATTCAGAATGCGGAATCATGGGGCAACAAAAGAGATCCTGTTACTCAAACCAAGGACAAAAAACGAAGCATTTNNTTTGGATTCAGGGGTCGGTCGTCGTCCGATACAGCCCCTGGCAGTGTGCCAAAGGATCTGATTCAAAGTGAATCACCTGTTCTTGTTCGGCCAGTCTTTGGTGCTCCTTTGGCTGAAGCTGTGGAAATTGCTCCACCATTGGACGTTCCTGTTCACCTTCCTGCCGTGGTGTATCGAGCTATCGAATACTTGAGAGCGAAGAACGCTTCGTCCGAAGAAGGCATTTTCCGTCTTTCCGGTTCGAATATCGTCATCAAGGCATTGAAAGAGCGTTTTAACACCGAGGGAGACGTCAAGCTACTCGAGGGCCCATACTATGATATTCATGCTGTCGCCAGTCTGCTGAAACTATATCTTCGAGAACTGCCGGCAAGTATTCTTACAAGAGAGCATCATCTTGAGTTTCTCAAGGGTTTGGACGTTGATGAGAAAGTCAAGGTTGAAGTGTTCAACGTCCTTGTGAACAAATTACCACGGGCGAACCGAGAATTACTGGATATTCTGAGCACGTTCTTGCGCGAAATTGTGGATAATGAGGGTACAAACAAGATGAGCGTCCGCAATGGTAAGTTAATCCGTTCTCGTACCACAATCGCCTCATAACTTATTAACACCACAACAGTTGGCATTGTCTTTGCACCAACCCTCAACATACCAGCTCCCCTAATATCTCTCTTCGTTATGGAAAACACCAGAGTTTTCGGACCTCCGATTGACATAACTACACCAGTAACGCCCTATCCTGTAGATACACCAATCTCAGGAGTGACACCTGAAAGTGTCAGGTCGCCTCGACAGAAGCCTAGCAGTGATTTTTCAGCGCCGAGCTACAACCAAAATGGCTTCTTCCCACAATCTGCAGCTCCAAGCCGTGATGCTTATGATATTGGCATCTCTTCATCTCAGATGGCGAACAAAGAAAATGGACCGCCACTACACAGCGACAGGTTCCCAGGATCGAATGGCAGTCGTACAACACAGCTGGGTAATCCTATGAGCAAACAAGCCAAACGGGAGAGCAACACATTGTTCATGAATCTTGGACCCATGAGCCTGAGAGAGTCTCCACTCAGCCGGCTGCGGGAAGACGAGTGAATTTCTATACGGAGTACAAAAGGCGCAGGCGTTCAAAGAGCGAAGGAGTGGCAGGATGATGGGGTTACGCATACCACAAGTTTCTAATTGTTACTACATGATCTAGCACTTTTCATCATCCAAGATTCCCCCTTTATGGTAGCAACAGCTACTGAGCATCTTCTTCAAGCATTTTCGTTCTAGCAAGGGGCAGTAGGGATGTAGACAAAATTATACAGACTTTTAATCGAGATGGATGACGATTCATGGCAGTTGTCAATCACAATGTGGCAGCACATGTCATAGTGAAACGAACGGGTTGCGGAGGTGCACGGCCGTCGGTCGTCGTCGGGTCGGGGCGGTGGACCATCAACAAAGCAAGTGCTCGGTCAACAACAGCGGCTCGCATTATTGCATTGTCGCTGCTGCATGCCAACAAGCTCGCCACGACCCTCGACCCGACCTGACCTCGAATTGACTCGACCCGATAACCCACGCTCCCTGTTTGTTGATGGCTGTGTCGTCGCTGGTTTGACGACATTAGCGCTTCCCCGCCGACAGAGTAACGATCGTAAACGAAATACACGCCCATCACGAATAGATTAGATCAGCCCGACTTCTGCGAGATTCGCACAAGATATAACACTCCCGGCCAACTACATCCTGCAGTCTGCGCAAGCAACACGACAGCTTCGACATGGCGTCCGCATTCGGTGGAGGGGCAGTAGATCCCGAGACGCTGTATACCAAGCAGGCTTGTATTGGTGAGTACTAGGCCATTGGGCAAGCTTACAAGAGCCCACACTGATACAAGATAACAGGAGGAGGCAGCTTCGGAAAGGTGTACAAGGNNGGTGAGTCGCAATCGCATCCGCGCATACATCGCCTAGGCCACTGACCACCTTCCTCTAGTGTCGAGAAACGTACCGGCCAAGCTGTCGCTATCAAAGTTATAGACGTAGAAAACGCTGAAGACGAAGTCGACGATATCATACAGGAGATCTCCATCCTCTCTGGCCTCAACTCTCCCTACACGACAAAATACTATGGATCATACCTCAAGGGCTCCGACTTGTGGATCATTATGGAATACTGCTCAGGTGGTAGCTGTGGTAACCTCATGAGACCTGGCAGTATCCNNCCTGAGGATTACATTATCATCATCATTCGAGAGTTGCTCATGGGGCTGGAATACCTGCACAATGACAACAAGCTTCACAGAGACATCAAAGCTGCAAACATCCTACTCGGCTCCAACGGACAAGTCAAGCTTGCCGATTTTGGTGTTTCTGGCCAACTCTCTGCCACCATGACCAAGAAGAATACATTCGTTGGAACCCCTTTCTGGATGGCCCCAGAAGTTATCAAGCAGTCGGGATATGACCACAAGGCCGACATCTGGTCTCTTGGTATCACTGCTCTCGAGCTGGCCTACGGAGAACCCCCATATGCCGACATCCATCCCATGAAAGTTCTTTTCCTCATTCCGAAAAACCCTCCTCCACAACTCGAGGGTGATTTCAGCCAATCTTTCAAGGATTTTGTCAATCTTTGTTTGCGCAAGGAGCCTAAAGAGAGACCAAGTGCCAAGGAGCTCCTCAAACACCCGTGGATTCGCAGAGCCAAGCGAACCACATATTTGACTGAGCTGATCGAAAGATACGAAAGATGGCAGGCACGTCACGGTGGCCGTGAGGAAGACGACGAAGACGTGCGTGACGCCTCGCCTCCACGCAGCTCTGAAGAAGAAGATCTTTGGGATTTTGGTACGGTTCGACCCCTTTCTCGAAGAGCACCAGGGCTGAAGGTCATGAATGAGGCCGCCATGAACACTCGCAATCAGACATCCGTCCCTGAGCCCCAGTCTCCCACCAAGCAGTCTGCTTCTAGAGTGGGTGAAGAGAACTCCACTCGTCGCACTGTCCGAGCAGCACCCAGTATGCCACCACCGCCATTGCCCAGAGATCTATCTCCCTCGAAGCGACCAAGCTCATCGTCAGGTGCTGTGCCGCCTTCTCCCAGTGTTGCTGCTCGAGTCCCTTTACCTGCTTCACCCATCAAGATAGTGACGTCGCAAGCACCATCTGAGACTCCGCGCACTCCACAGTCGACCAACTCAAGACACGTGAACAGTCAGGCACAGTTGAAATCGACACCGCAACAGATCAATGATGATTTCATCCAGCAGTCCATTGCTGCAGACATGTCTTCTTACATGAAGGGTCTCTCTCTGAATGAAAGAGCCAATGAGCCAGCCAGGCCTTCAACACCATCTATGCAGAAGCAGAACAGCGCATCGAACTATAGCCTTTCAAGATCTCCAGAGAAGACAACTTCCACTCCGTTCCCACTCGAGAGAACGTCGTCTTCGCTGAGCGTTCAACAGCAGCAACAGCAAGCACAACAGACACGACTACAGCAGCAACAGCCTCTGCCGGCATTGGCGCCTCGCAAATCAAGCCCTTCCGAGTGGCCTGGAAATACAGCAACGTCGAAATCACAAGCATCAGAACCCCAAGTCAGATCGAGACAGGACTCTGACGCTTATACTAGAGCAAGACAGGACTCTGACGCTCATACCAGAGTAAGACAAGACTCGGACGCTCAGATGAGAGCTAGACAAGACTCGGACGCTCAGACGAGAGCTAGACAAGACTCGGACGTCCAAGCCAGATCGGACGCGCAACTCAGAGCCAGACAAGGCTCTGACGCTCAACTCAAGCCACAGCAATCCTTCGACTCCATGCAGAGCAGTTCGTCAAGCAGCAGACCCTCTTCTTCGTCTTCGTCTTCAATGCCCGGACCTTCGCCCCCAGCCCAGCCCCAAAACGACGAGATCACCGCTCTATCAGGTGTAGTGATTCCTGCTCTCGAAGCCGCTCTCCACCGCCGCGCATACCAACTCTCGTTGCTGCAAAAATCGGCAAACACACAGAGTAAAGTTGCGCCTTCTCCTCAGGACATTATGCTCAAGAGACAGGCACACGAACAGATCCGCAGACTGGTTTCCAAGGTGGGTCGTTTGATGAAGGATATCGATCACTGGGACAGCGTTGCGCCCGTCGGTATGGGCGATGGCGTCGAAGGGTTCCTCGAAGGTGTGTTGGAAGAGGTCTTGTGTCGCGTGGAGGCAGAAGATGCTTGAAAGCGAGAGCACGACACCTCCCTTATTTCGATTCTTGTTTCTTAAGATTGGGGAAGAGGAAGTTTGTAACCTTGTCATTAGACAGGACTTGTTTGTTTGGTCTTCTCCTGGCAGAGGGTAGCGGCGAGAAGCTGGAGGACTCTTTTTTCTTTTTCTTCTTTTCTTGTCGTTTTTTTTTGTTGTTTGTGCATTTTGGAGCGGCATTGAATTGGAGCAGAGCAGAGCATTGTTGCGCAGGGCGCAGAACCACCAAAAAGTAGAGACGCATTGAGCAGTAGCAGCAAGCAATCGGGCAGGAACAAACCTGAAATACATGAAATACACACAGCCTCTTTTACCCATCACATTTGTATCAGGAAGTGGACTTCGTTTCACGAAACGAATAGGATTGTAATGTTTGCAGAATTGGTGAGATGTTTCGATACTCTGTTTGGGGGGGTTGCTGTGTTTGCTGTTTGCTTGCCCTTGGGTCTGTCTTTTTTCGTTGTGTGTGGAGTGTGTAGAGTGTGTATACTTGTTTTCGATGCTTCCTTCGTCTTATGGGTCATGATGGATGAAATGGGGAGTCATGGAGTCAACCTTTGTGAGTCACCTACCGGACAGTTTCCATAGAGGCGGGTACTCCCTTTTGGCCCATCAGCCAGTATTCTAGATTCCTTGCATCCAGCTGCTAGCTCTGGCTGTGATAACACCATCTCGCCGCGAGGAGCAGCTTTGATCAAATGCACCAGCCGCGGTATGTTGTCAGAGATGCAGGTGCCTTGGACCAGGCCTTGGACGTGATGCCATCAACGAGATGCTGCACCAGATCCGTCAGCGGTGCCGTAGCCGCGTTTGCGATATAGTTCTCTAACCGGCGAAGACTCCGTTGGTTCGTCGGCTCGTCGGCTCGTCTCAAATGGGGGTACTTCTATAAAGTTACACTTTTGTATCTCGTCCCGACGATAAGACGTGCTGACAATTACCTATTCGAAGAGGCTCTATTTGAATAGCGTCATGCTTCTGATTAAACTGGAGTTGCCGAGTTTAACTGTAAAGTCAAGGTAGACCATGTGATGGTAGGTAGGTTTGGCCTGAGGTGTGATATAGAAGATTGATTTTTCTTCTTTTTCTTGTGGCTCGGAGCCGTACTCAGAACGGCTCCGAGCCCTAGATTAGAATCCGGATGCAGCCGTTTCCGTAAATTGCTTGTCTCGAATCCTTTGGTTTGACAGGCATCGGGTGCCGATAGTCGAATCCGCCGCCGCGGAATGACACCACTTTTGGATGTGCCTACAGCACCTGGTTGACCCCGGCGGGGCCGACCTGGTCCCTGGACTACACCGACCGACCGCCCGACCACCACTGGCCACGAAACGTCCACAAAGGGCGCCTTGCTTGCCAAACTCCAGAGCCAACCTCGGGCGTTCCTCAACGAAAGTTTGCAGCGCCGTGGCGACGTCAGTGTGATTGCAAGTGTATCAAGGATTGGCGGGATGCGGCTGATGAAGTGCTGCTGCTGAATGTACGTCTTTGCGAAGCATGGAAGAGAGTAGCCAAGACATGGTGTAGTAACGAGGAGGAAAATGCTCGAGGTAATCTCTCGACAAGCTTTGACGTTTGATTGTGAACAGACGGTCCGCAAGTGTGTTTGTTGGAGGCGCCTCAAGGGAACTAGTGACTCTCGATAGACAACGTCTCCTTGGATACCACCCTTTCGGAGGCCGCAAAATGGAATTTTTCTCGACGCTGCAAGTCCGCATCGGCACACACGTGCCACACATGATGGCGCCTGGAAAACCGGTCTGGAATGATGAAATCGACGTTGACCAAGTGAAGACATTGCCCCTCCGGATTAATTTCCATTACGACTTGCTCGAGAATTACCATGGCATCTACCCGGGGGAATAGCCCGAGACCGCGATGCGAATACCTAGACACAGATCATTGCCAAATTTCTGTACGACCGTAAGAATATAGGTTGAGTCGGCACGGACTCACATCGGGCACATCTCAATAGAATTGAGCCCAGTGGTTCACACGGCTCTCAGAAACAGCAAAACACGATAAAGAAAGTGCGAGGACTCCGCGGTCTCCGATCGCTTGTGATCGTCAACGAAGGATTGCCAGGGCAGGCACATCGCATGTTGATAGCAGGACTTCCTGCCAAGGCACCAGAGATGAGATTCGCAAGTGCCTATGCAGCGCTACGATGGAAAGAGCAAACGCCGCCGACGAAGGCCACATGATTGACATGGCGATGTGACAGCACTTTCGGAAAAGTCATCTGGCCAAATCCTCTTCGCTAAAACACGATCCAACCTCGCATTGCAACCACCGCACACGTATCAAAGCTCTCGGTATCACGCTATCGTACTTCGTGTCGGAGTTTCTTCCTACCAACCAGAAGTTGTGAGCAATCAGGCAGGACTTGTACGGGATTGGCCTGCTCGCTAGCAATATCAGAAGAACATCAACACCATAGTGAATGATCGACAAGCCTGTTCACGGCCCTCTGCAGTCTCTTGCGCCTGCTCCCTTCAGACTTTCTGCTATCTTCTGTGACTTGCGTCTCAGGCAACCCCCTCCCAGGTATGACATGTGGTGTTCTCGTTCAACGCTCCCTCCCCATGTGCTAAAGACAGTCACAGTGTAGCTGTCGAAATGCACAATATTTTCGCGAAAACCATGGTTTCCACTGAGAGAACCTTAATGAAGGCTATCTCAATGGCCAGACTTATATTCGAATCGTAACTGTGCGTTTCGATAGCTACGATAACCCTTGCAACTCGGGATGGAGAAGGAGTTGGTTGCAAAACTGTGACTGTCTTCAGCACACGGGGAGGTCCTAAGCCAGGCTGTTTCGTACTTGGCAACAATTGAAATGGAAGGGCGGAGCAATAATCCTATCACGCTATCAGACGATCGAATTTCGTTCCCCTGTACGAAACGTATCCCGAGCTATATCAAACACCGTTCTTAGCACAAGCTGATGGTCTCGACTGTGATCGACTTGGAAGGTATGGTAACGGGATCCTACCACTACGACCATAACGCAACACACCATGCCATTCTTTGCTGACGTGTCGTGTCAACGATTCCGTATGAACCGCGGCAATCTCACCAATCACCGATGAGTAATCGAGTTCCTCATTGCGGTCGAGAACGGAGAACCCGTATGACACAACATGCAGCAATCCCATGCGACGAGAGCAGCGCAGAAGCATTACGTGGATATACCAAGAAGAGCATACAACGCACGAAAAGTATTTGTATATCTGAAGCCAACACCATCAAAACCTTGACACCCACTCACCTTTGTACAAGCGTTAGGTTTCATGGGACTTTCTCGCGTAACCTTATCGAGAATAGGAGTAGGATAAATGTCCATCCAACAAAGGTCCAAAAGTCGATATTTACGTAGTCCCAAAGAAAAAAAACGCCCAAGGGGTCTGAGACAGTTGCCCAGCTGTCCTTCTAATCGGTTCGTTCGCTGCACGGTCCCAGAGAACCAAACTCCGTGGCTGTTTTCCGGTGCGGTACATGCTACAGAAGAAACGCTTCACGCAATGCTATTGGATGAGAGGCAGAGCAACGTGCGTAACCAAGGCTTTGCCTGAGGAACCAGAGCTCGCTTGCCTGAACATGCAGCGGGAAGGATCAAAGAGCTTTTCGTGGGACTACACGCTATATAGAAAATGGGTAACAAGAGAGGGCCAGCCATCCACTACCACCACGTTTGCCGTACACCTCGCCTAATGACGTTGAACAAAGAAAGGGGAGAGCAAAAGAAGGAGGATGCAACCGGTATTCGCAACGCCTCGCTAAAGAAGTACATGGTTTGATGGAGCAGAGAAGAGAGAAGAGACAAAACAAATGTAGTAAAAACAATGCAACAATGAGCAAGCAAGAAATCACAAACACGCTTTTCCCTTCTTCGTCATGAATGCAAGCTCGTCGTTCGAATTAAGATGTCCATAGTTTGAACCATCGCCGTTCCTCAGTGTCTCTGCCGCCCTTGGTTGGTGGTACGCTTGCCTCATCTGTGTTGTTTCGGCAGGATCCCCCACTTGCATGTCATATGCGAAAGGCTCTTGTGTTGATGTAGCCGTCGTCCTCGATACATGCTGGATTGGCGAGTCAAGTGACCATAGTGACCAGTGTTCGAGTGATGTCTGCTCTTCCTTTACTCTCAGAGCCCAAAGTTGACCACACCCATGCCTTTGACCCTTGACACATCGATCCAATCCACCTCTTCCGCTCTCCCTCCATTCAACACTCTTGCCCTCTGCTCGTCAAAGACCATGCTCAACAACTCCCTACTCCTCGTCGCATTTCTTGAGATGCCTGTTCCTTCCATCACTTTCAACAGCTCAATGGCTCGAGTCTGAGTATCCAGATCCAGGCTCGCAAAGCCTGCAATGAACACTGGGAAAATGAGTTGATGCTGATCGTAGTTCTGTAGTGCGACGGCGGCGTCGGCGATGGAGAGGATCTTGAGGCTGTGAAGGCGGGTCTCGGAGCGTTGCGAGGGGGTCAGGTGGAAACGTTGAGTTGGGTAGAGGGAGCTGTTTGAGTAGACGACCCAGGTGCTGAATTGTAGCTGTGCNCTGTGCGACGAGAAGCATCAAGTCAGTCTTTGGGTACTCATCCATTGAGACCATACAACAGGTCTTTCATTCGGGGCATTGGAGATGCTTACAAAGTCTAGGAATACTCGGGCCATGAGGGGGNNAAGTTGGCCGGTTGCGTACTCGGAACCTGGTTGGAAGAGGTAGGAAGGGCAATAGCGGTGCCACGATGCATAGAGTTCACTCTGCAATTGAGTAACCATCTGTGTGCAAGCGGCTAGTACCTGGCTGCCTTGAGAGCCACGCAAAGTCTGTGCTGTAGCTTCAGAGCGCAGCTTGAGTTGCAACTGGCACAGCTTAGCACCTTGGATGCACACTTGGTGTGCGAAAATAAACACGTCGGTGTAAGCGCTCGTGTCTTCGCCGTGGTAGCGTCCGGTCGGTTGTACGATGTCAAAGCCAGCAAAGATGCGATTCCAATCGGGCATTGTCAAATCGTTCGTGAGGAAGGCACGAACGAAGTGCCCGTTGCCGTTTCCCNNTGACAAGCAAGCTTGTTTGTCGAGGTAAAGCACATACCACAGAAGATACGCTTGCAGCATTCCGTTTGACTGTCCTTTGCGGTGCTGAGCTATCCTTATGAGGTGCTGGATGTGATGTTCCCACATGTTCATGTTGAAGACCTCTTGTGTGTTGTTTGAGCCCTGGGTCGCATAGCTAATGTCGTAGACCAGTAAGAGAAAATGTAAGTATAGAAGTCGGTCGGAGTGCAAATCTGATGGTGAGGAGAGACTGGAGGATATAGCTTGATGGTAGTGCTGGAAGGCTTCTGTCAAGAGTTGTTGCTGACCCTTGAGCGCCAGACTGAGTAGAGAGACTGCGCATATTGCGTGGTAAAGNCTAGCATCATGTCAGCAAATGATCAGGGTGTTCAGATGTAGTTGCGCATGGTTGCAGAGGTCGATTTGTGAACTCTCTGAACGAGTCGTGATGCGTTGTTATAACTTCGGTTGGTGGTGTGATCTGAGCGGAACAGACTGACGTGTTTGCCCCAGGGACACGGAAGAAAGGCAAGACGGGAGTAAGCAACTTACAGGTGGGAAGTCTCTAGCTTCAGCAACGATTTGGTCATCCTGCGATGGTCTGTCGACAAGCAAGCTCTTGCCTATAGGAAATATGCGCTTCGAGATGAAGCCTCGATAATGGACCATGAGCCTCTCGTCTCGGAGCCCCTGAGTGACCGAATCATTGCGCCGTCCAGAGGGCACACTAGAACCTCGCGATCCTCCAGATATGTTGAGTGTGTGTAAGTTTTCGGGTAGACTGGTTCTCCTACCAACAGGAAAGCTCGCCAGACTCGGCAAGGACAAGGGCACATCTTCGAATTTGGCCAGCACCACGACATTTGGATCGCCGCTCGTAGGGTTCATTTTTGGCCTGGTCCGTAGAGCTTCTATCGACATTTGACTGTCCCAGCTGTTACGGCCAGACTGAAGGCTAGATCCTCGCGCTCGTGGTCCGGGTATCGGTCCGTATTCTGGGAGGCCAGCGAAACTTTCAGGGTTAACAACGACGTTGAAAGTACCAGGCACCTGCCTCTCGGCTTTTCTCTCACGGTCCTCGTCGTTTGTCAAGTCAGCAAAGGAGGGAAGGTCGTCGTAAGCTGGCGACAGTGATCTTCTGCTGTTCAAGTTTGGACGAGGTGCTCGTGCTNNAAGCATCATCAGCAATCACTCTGGTTATTATAGTTCACCAAGGAGTATAGAGAGCTTGTTGACACTCGGAGCCTGATGTTGCGCGGAGGACGAGGACCACTTACGATCCCAGACAGCATTGCCTGTTGTTGACACGTTCGAGTACTTGTTTTGGGTGTTTTGAGTGACATCGTCGAACTTCCAGCGAAACTCCCAGTCGCATTCTTTATTCAGGCGGGTGCATGGNCTACGGCAATTAACCAATGGACATTTCGAAAGGGTTCAATGCATCTTGCTTACACCACATCGTGGATGGGTCTCATCACACTTGACCNNTGGAAGTCGTGTCAGTCGATCTTTCCCTTCTTGTAGCAAAGGCTTTCGTGTCATCATCTCCTGACAGCGACTCACCTTTCGTTTTCTGCATGTCNNCTTTCAAGAGTATCGAATCAGTAAGTGTCCAATTCTCTGTGTTTGGAAGGGATTGTTGAATTACCAGCAGCCGGCCCTCGAGCGGTGGGAGAGTCTTGGCCGCGTTGAGGAGGTACTTCCGCCAGCAGATTCGATGTCTGCATCAGCAGAAGTAGCAGGAACGGGCTGCTGGCCTCGAGGTGCTAGAGGTGGGAACTGGCTTCTAGCGTTCGAAGATGCATCAGGTCTTCGATGTTGCATCGAGGCAACAAGACATTGATATGCGAGTATCGGTACGCAAAATCAAAGACCTTCTTAGTCAAGGGAAACGGCAACAACAAAGAGTAGTATTAGCAGGCAGGGGAGCAGCTTTTAGCGGGGCAGGATGGGAAAATCCCAGTATAGGAGCGTCGTGCCGACCCAGCAAGCCAATAAGAAATGGCGATATGGAGCAAACTGGAAGCAGTGACCATGCAGTTTCAAGAGACATTCAGACTGGAGAAGATGAGTATAGAAGTCAGTGAGAAAATCGAGCCGACGGAGAGCGGGCGCCGCGAGGTCGGCAGATCGAATGATATAAGGGCAAAAGTAAAAGACAAGAGGCACGTAGCACTGGTGATGCGCGCGGAAAGTGCCTGGATTTCGCATGTTCCCGCTTTGGTTACCTACTAGTTTAGCTTCAGAGAGTTTTGGACTCTGTCTGGCATCAAGGCGAACATGGCTTCTGTGGAGCGGACACTAGATAGAGGCAATTGCGAGTGGTGAAGCATGAACGGGGGACAAGCCATCAACGGTCGAAGAAAATCAACATTGGGGAGTATGTCATGCCGAGAGGAGCTGCATCTACAGAAGAAGAAGTTGGTGCTAGCGCTGCTGTCGAGTCTAAGCGTTCCACAAGAGATGAAAGATAATTCCAACCGGTTTAGCACCACCGACATGTCTTCGCTTCTAGCGTAATTCTAGCTCGGAAACGTGGCAGCCACAACGACTCGAAATACTCAACGTATTGAAATGTACTCTTCTGAAGACAAGCCCTTGGTAGGTGCGGACAGGTAGTGTTCAGGGTTGGATTACATCTCGCTTGGCCCTCGCTTTTGGAGATGATCCTTTCTTCATCCAGGCGGTCAATGTTTGATCAACATTACCTTCGACTGTGCACCAGCATGCCAATAGCTAGGCATACGATTACCCTTATAAGGGCAGGATGTGTGCTTGAACAAGAGGTATGGCCTCGTGCATGCGATGGCACACCTCTGCATTGAAACAGCACTGCAGAGAAGAATTGTCAGCTCATATCACCTTTAGCGTGGCAGCGTAGTTACCAAACCCCGTTCCAAAGGCAAGAGCGCCGTCGGGTCCTCCACTGCTAGATACGAAAGCCATGCTTCCCGTGTGGGAACAATTAGGCGGATGCTTCCGGGTTATGCATGGACAAACCGAGGCAGCAAAAACGGTTGACACTAGCAAGAACACACCACGTCGTCCACGTTGAAAAGAAGTTCAACTAGAACGCCACGGTCGTCCAAAGGAACGACATGGAGATTGCAAAGGTGTCTGCCCGAGCAAAGCTTGATGTGTCACAGTCCATGCTCATCAGGGTCAGATGGCCCAGATCATCTCCTGGGGCACCCTGCTCGTTCTGACAAGTGGAATAGAACATACCGCGAGGAGGCACAGGCATCAATGAAGAATACCGTCAACAACAACATCACAGACGGAGTCTGCGGCCCGTAGATATTGAACCATGGCCCCGGATACATGCAGTGGTAACGGCGCGAGCGGCAGCTCCCAGATGTCATCTCGTCATAACAGCGCTCTCTGCCGGTAAACATAGGGCTACGAGACACATTGGTGGTAGTGTTCGGAGATTACCTTGCTGTGAGTAGCGCTGGGCAAGCGACACCAGCGACATGCCTGAGGCTATTGCGCTCTACTGAAGGATTTTATGGGTGTGTCAATGCAGCCACATGTGTATACCAACGGCGTGTACATCCGCCTGCAGCATACATTGACGCAATGCAGGCACAAATGAAGACACACGCTTCCGAGACCAAGTGATTACGTTGCAGAAGGAGCAGATTACAACGACCGAAAGTGAAGGTTGACTTTCCTAGATACACGTTCAGCAAAATGCCTCGAAGAAGCCCTAAAAGCATATACCAAAGTGTATTGAGCTGCGGCCACCAGTGGGCATGCTATTTGCAGCATGACGATATCAGCAGACTGCACTCCGCTGAGTCCGCTCCCTGAAGGGGTCCGTCCACGTTCAAGTTCAACGGAACTTGGCAGCGCGTGGAATTCTTGCTTTGTGGATCGCCGTGTCAAACCACACTTTGCACCTGCCCCGTGGTCAAGCCCCCGACCCCGTCGCTGAACCCCACCGGATACGGATTCCAGTTTGGAATATGATGTCGTGCAGGTCGCAACTGCCGTGACGCTATGGATTCGGAGCAGAGACATCATCATAACTGGCAAACAGGCACCTTTCAAGCAGAATAGGCTCTAATTGCTGACGAGAAGAAGGTTTCGACGGAGCCGGTGGACGTCGGCGGAACTTGGCATGGTTGAAGCATGCATACAGCCACGTGAGGATGCAGCGGAGATTCACTTCACGAACCAGCGTTTGACACTTCAGCGGGTAGAGCCGTCGATGACCCTTTTCGTCTTCTTCTGCGAGACGCAACGTTCTGCGCCCTGCCAACAAGACTACGGTAGTTCCACGCTGGGAAGCCCTCGGAGGTGCTGATTTTCATGGCTTGAAATGGCTTGCATATGCAGGCTACTAGCACGACCGCCTTCCCTTTTCATTCCACATTGTACTGTAGCACAAACCTTGTGCTTTTGCAGAAAGCCAGCAGCTGTATTGACCTATTTTGTGACTCGGAAAAGTCGTGTGGCGTTCGGTTACTCGCCTGTACTGTACACATGTGGAAGTAATGTCACCACTACGTCGTTGCCTGCAGCCCCTCGATGCGACGGCGCCATCCGCGGCCAGAATCGCTCTCTCCTAGCTTTTCTCGAAGACAAATCAACAGACTTGTTTTGGCTTTTTCCATCATTCTTCGGAGACTGGCGTGCCCTTCAGTGCGCATCGGCTGCAATATCTCCAGGGTTTCCACGACACGTTCCAATCTTCTGTTCAAAAGTTCCTGGCTGGCCATCCAATCCACATCCGGACGGTCAAGNGGTCTGTACAGCGCTTCGACGCCGTTGACAATAGTAGATTCCCGCCTAGAGAATTCTTTAGCTTCGGTAAAAAAAAAAAAAAACCGTTGTATAGACGTCACTTACGTATCCTTGTCTCCCGCTCCGACACCAGTGTCCACATCCATGTTGTCTTCGTTCGCGGTATCCACTGCGTCGACAAACACAGGTTTGATCACATCGCACATTGCGTCAAAGAGATCAAGGTCTTCTCGGTTCGAGACCAAGAGGCCTAGACCCTTGATGGCGTGTGGGCGATACATCGCGTTTTGTCGTTTAGCTTCTCTTAAAATAATCTGTCGTCAACCGAGTCAGTAAGCACAATAGGCAATCTCGCATTCTTCCGGAATGTTGCGAAAGAGATGCGGCTCGCGCGCTTGGGTAAGGCAGGATACGTCACTTACCTTGACGAATGTCTTTGCAACAGCATCTTCAGCCGACCACACGTGCTTAGTGCCTTCCACGAACTTGACAAATGCGTAAAGTACCGCCTCTTTACCATCCCAAGTCTTCCCGCCAAGTGCCTTCTCAAGAACGGGCCAAATCAAGTGGCTGGTCGTGGTATCGAATCCACTGCTCATCGATGCAAGAGCTGTTGTGGCATCGGCAGCTGATCGAGCTGCTGTATGCTTGATCACCCATTGCGGTGAATCCATATGCTCTTGAGCCATCAAGAGAATTTCTTTCAGGTAGAGAGAGATGGCTCGGCTGCCGCCAACATTGTCTTCCCATGTGTTCCGGAAGATCTCCTTTACCTGATCGTGGGAATCGTGCTTGCCGAAGAAGATGAAAGGTAGGAGATCTGATGAAAGAGAATTGAATCGATCGTTTGCATGCTTCGAAATTGCTTGCATGATATCGGCAGCCGCGATACTCTGGCGTGGGACTGTTTGTTCGCGGTCACCCTCACTTTCGAAATAAAGCTTCTTAGCAAAGCTGGCCAGACGAAGTATCTGTTTGTCCGATGCGCCACGGGCGACATAACCTGATGAAGCAGCATACGAACTGGATACTGTTTCGTTTCGATCGATTACTTGCCTCTCAATCAGCTTCAAGAATTGATCTGCGTACGGTTTGAAGAGCACATTGTGTCGTGTGCTGAGGGAGACCAAAACACGACTACAGCCAACCTTTGAAGGCAGACCTACTGCGCTCTTCATAGCAGCTTCAAGACGAGGTTGTAATTGTTCCATCGAGGGCTCGTCAAGGAGATCCAGGCATCGTTCAATGGCTTCCATCAGAGGACTGCTTCGAATACTTGATAGACGGATATCGTCAATCTTTTGCTCAGTCAGGTTGTACTTGCTTGCATTGAGATGCAAGTAGTTGACAGCTTGCGGTTCGAGTATGCTCAAGAGTCCCACTAGTCGCTCGACCAATTCGGGAATGAACGGTCGCAAGATCTTGCCGCTAGCCTTCTTGATGATCTCCAGCAAGGTGTGCAAAGAAAAGCTTTGAACCTCTTCTGCGCTCGACTCAATGCCAGATGTGGAAAGAAGGAAAGGAAGAACATTCTTCAACAATACTGCAGCATTCTTGGATGCCATAGAATCCGCCTCGAGAGATCTCGTAAGGATGCCTGTTAGTACGCGAGCCAGGGAAGCTGCAGCGGCTCTAACAGACTCCTTGATGTCGTCAAGTACCTTGAAGCAGACACTCCAGATCTTCTCGAGATACTTTTCGTACTTGTCCAAAGGCCGACCTTGCACCAGGTCGCCGATTGCTGCGCATGAGGCCTGACGGACTCGCCATTCTTTNCCGAGAATGTTCAGTAACAAATCATCCATGATGGCATCAAAGTGCGAGTCGATGGTTGCTGTAGAATCCTTGACCAGTGCATTCCAGATATCGGTCATGGATCTCTGAACGTTAGGGTTGGGGTCAAATCGGTATCGGTAGAGCTTGGGATACAACTTTGGGTTGCTGGCGAGGTATCCGTCGACACTTGAATCTGACAAGACGTTGCTGAGTCCGAACCTGCCAAATGCGGCTCTGCTGGACCAGATAGCATTACTGGATGCCAGAGACATGAAGCGGTATACTAGACTGGAATCACCGACCTCTGCAGCAAGACTCATGATATCTTTGTACGTGGTCACAGATCCGTCACCAGTTGGGAGTGCTCCAGGCTCGAAGAGCTGCGTGTCGGCGGTAACACTTCCAGAGAGCTGTGCCTTGTTGTCAGAAGAGAATGATCCAATCAAATCTCTGACCAGATCATCCTTCAAACTTCTGTCTCCCTTCTCGTAAACAAGACCCAGACCTCTGGAAGCTGTCTCCTGAACCAGTTCATCACGATCAGAGAGACACTTTTTGAAGGCGATCTGGCAGGCAGCCAATTGACTCTGCACTTCTTCCAGATGGCCACAAAACTGCACGAGACACAACAGCCAGATGACTGATGCTTTCTTGAGCGAAGGCTTGGTCTGTTTGCAGTCCTGAAGTGTTCTGTCAAGCAGCTTTCGCAGCGCGTCAGTTCGTTGAGGTCCAGAGGGCACTGGAGATTCCACATCAATGCGATGAATGAGAGCCTTTGACTTCCAGCCAACCGCTGTGTAGCTCAAAGCCTCGCCCACTGAAAAGTGTGTCTCGGCCTGTCGAATGTCGTGCAGTTGGTGCAGACGCTCTGAGGTATGCTCAAGAAGTGACTTTTCTTCAGTGTTTGCTTCGAGTGTCGACTCGTCAAGTACGGTAGCCATCTGTCCAACAGCCAGGGCTGCGCTCTCGCTGCCTCCCTTAGCAATGTCAGCTGTCTTATCGATGACGGCTTTGAAGCCACCTGACTTCTCAAAGATAGCTGGCTTGACTGCTTGGAAGAGACACAAATCGCCGATCGCGTTATAGCTGGCTTCTTGTAGTACTTTATCTGTAGACTCAATGAGGATCTCGACAATCTTTGATGTATACTCTGAGAAAGGTGCGGAAGACTCGAAGTCATTGGCTCCTCTCAAAGCGTATCTGCTGTAGAAGAAACCCAATGCAGAGACTGAACCATGGACTTGATTTGCTGCTGCACCCACAGCATCACGCCATGCTGAGATCTTATTCAGAAGTTGATGTATAGACTGCAGCACTTCTGCTCGGCGGTCGCTTTGGTTCCTAGGATGGGAAGCGAGCAGACCAAAGGCATGAGCAGCAGATTGTCTTGTACTGAGTTTGTTTGAGAAGATCGATGGAAGCAGACCAGCAAACTGGGGAGCCACTGTTTCGACCAGTGAATCAGGGCTGAGAGCACAAAGATCCAGGAATAGCTTGTCTGTGTCTTCGACCCTGACTTTGCTGCCTTCAGGTATCAACACGCTCACGGAGAATGCCCTCAACAGAAGCTGTAAATTCTTGGCAGCACTGTGTCCCTCCATGGCAAGCTGTGCGATGCACTCTTTGACAGTCTGTCGAATCTGCTCGTCGTTCTCAATAGCAGTATCAAACTTATATTCCCAATCGGCATCTAGCTTAACCTGAGTCGAGCTCTTGGACATGGCATGATGCATAAACACACGTCGGCAATACTTGATAGCGTCCATGAAAGCGCTTGGGTGCTGCTGGAGGAGTTTTTCAACTGCCTCAGATGGGCTGCGGGGTCCATTAGAGCCCGAAACATCAGTATGTACTTGATAGAAGACATAATCCATCAGGTCCTGGAAAGAAGGGAAATGAACACTCTCGTCTGTCTGAGAAGTGCCAACGGAACCGTTGAGCATACGGTACCAGTATGGGCTGAGTCCACGCCTGCCCTCCTCAATAACTTCTTGTCTATCGGTGGCCTCGGCAGCAATGGCGAGCAAGTTGACCCAGCGAGCCTTCACAGATGCATAAGGAAGGCAACGATTGGCGTATCGAACAGCTACGTAGCGGGTACTGCGGCGTCCGGGCGTTCCAGATTTGTACATCTGATCGATCAGAAGGTTTTCAAGACTGATTGCAGTCTCTGCATCTTTGTGTTTTACGAATGCTCCTAGCATACTTGAGAGCGACTCTTCGATGCTGACAGTCACCGAGCTTGAAGTTGTGTCCAGAGCTAAGGATTCGAGAAGCCAGCGCAGTATGTCCAGGTTTGGTTCGACCACCAGATCCTTTGGACCAGCTTTAGCCAGAAGACCAATCACCTCGTAAGCATAGCCGCGAGACACCAGATCCTCATTCTGACTGGGTTTTGGCCAGCTCTGGCCCTCGATATATTCCCTTAGTCTTCCCAGAACCCTCGGAGCAATGGCGTAGAGACTCTTCTCACTACCGAAACGAGACACGAAGTTCATGTAAACGAAGATGGCCGCGCGAAGTTTTGTCGCCTCTCTTCCGAGTGGGGATGGGTTGTCGTTATTCGAGCCTGCAATGCCATCGTTGACAAGTCTGACTATTTCTTCCGTGAACATGGTGCTTATCGTTGACTTCGCAAACAATCCAAGAATCTTGAGCTGCAGTGGTACTCGGACTCTTTTCTGTGAGTTAGCACCCTCGTCGCCGAAGTACAAGGTATACAGAGATTGGATAAACTCTGTGTCTTCAAGGGAGATGTTAGGAAGAGTTCTCTTTAGCATATCCTCCCCGATCTCAGAAGTGAATTCAGTGGAAGCAAACAAAGCAGGAAGAACACGTTCTTTGTCTGTGAACATGCCACTCGCAAGAACTTTGGCAACACTTGACTTGATCTCGAGTAGATTGAGACCCATAGGAGAAGCGGGGTTCCACACATCTTCTTTATTTTGCAACGTCAAGAAGGAGTACTCGCTTGGTCTAAGACCAGCGCAGGTCACTGAGGCAGTATTGTTACTACCCCTGACCACAGAGAACAAGATTAATCTTCCGAACCAAAAGGCCAAGAACGAAGTATCTTCGGCACTGAGCTGGAAGGTTGAGCGCAACTCTTCATCTTCTTTGGTACCTCTCGGGGGAAGTTTGAAGTATTTCAATAGCTGGAGGAGCAGATTGAACATTTGAGAGCCATGAGCAGGTGATGTTTTGCCTGCAGAAGCGACACTTTGTAGTACGACAGGGAATAGAGCGGTGCTCTCAACGAACGACATGCGCCGAACACCAGTCTGTATGTACAAGAGATCAAAGTGGCGGATCAGTGGAGTGTTTGGATTTGATCTAAACTGTTCAACAAGAGCAGCAACAGGTAGCTTGATAGACNNCTAGTTGTTGTCAGAACAGTCCCGAAGTTGACCATTGACTACTTACTCTGGTTTTATCCTAAGATTGATATGTTGGCAGATGCTGATGACCTTGTTTCGGACGCTCATGTGCTCAGAGGCGAGTTTGAGTAGTAGTGGCGCCAAGTAGGTATTTAGAGTCGTTTGCAGCTTCTGATCACCATCCGCAAGTGCTATACGCATCTCTACTTTGCCCACAAGGGACAGCTCCTTCGCCTCCGGTGATTGCTCAGTAGCCATGTTGATGATGTTTCGGTTCAAAGAGTGTAGGAGGTAGAAGGTGAGATGGAGTAGTACTTCAGTCCTTCACTTTATTAGCATAGCAGATAAGAAGGATCTAGAAGAACAGCAGCAAGACAAAACAACGATCTATAAATGTGTTGCCACAAGTGTACGACTCCCACGACTGCCTGAATGTGGTCGGACTTCGCTGATGAATTGATAACCAAATAGGCAAGCGCGCCTTGGCGGGAAACGGCGACCCTGACAGACTGACTCCTCCGCATCGTCACGCAAATAATTATTGCTATTCTCCGACATCGCATCTACGAAGCTTGCACGAGCTGTATCTCACTCTTTCCCATCTGACCTGACATCTCGTACATCGCACAGCAATCATGTCTGGCACCACGGCAAAGTTGACCGTCTTGATCTCTGGATCGGGAAGCAACCTCCAAGCACTGATAGATGCTTGCGCCAACGGAAGTCTCAACGCCGAAATCATTCGTGTGGTGTCGAACAAGAAAGCCGCCTATGGATTAGAAAGAGCCCAGAAGGCACACATCCCAACCGCCTACCACAACCTCCTCGAATACAAGAAGCGCTTCCCGGATGCGACCGAGTCTAAGAAGTTCGAGCATGCTAGGAGCGAATACGACCGTGATTTGGCTGCTCTAGTGCTCGCCGACAAGCCTGATCTGGTCGTCTGCGCAGGCTGGATGCATATTCTTGCTCCTACTTTCCTCGAGCCATTGAAGGNNGGGGCTGGCGTACCTGTCATCAACCTCCATCCTGCACTTCCTGGTCAATTCAACGGCGCGCACGCTATCGACGAGGCATATCGCGCATTCCAGGAGGGCAAGATTGAGAAAACTGGCATCATGATTCACTACGTTATCTTGGAAGTTGACATGGGAGAGCCAATTGTGACAAGAGACATCCCCATGCGAAAGGGTGAATCACAGGATGACCTCGAACAAAGGATCCACGAGAATGAATGGCAGCTGATCGTGCAAGGCACGCAAAAGGCCATCGACACGCTTTGGAAGTCGAGGCAATCATCATGAACAGAGGCATGGCACAATCTCAAGAGCACGCGATGATGGATGAGAAATGATTCATGCGGGTCCTGAATCTAGGACTAAAATCTATATGCTCCAAAGCTTTTAAGCCGACAACAACGAAAGAAGCAAGGCGCGATTAATCTTCGTCTATCTTGTTAGGGGGGAAANNGTCACCAAGGAGGATTTCGTCTGGTGCAGGACCACGAGTGTTGCGCACTNNAAAACAAAAGTCAGCTATGGGCAGTCGATCGAACAGCAAAAAGAGGCACTTACCCCATTCAGTCTCGACACGGAAGAAGATCCAGATCCAGCGTCGAAGAACCTCAAGCAATTCCATCACGAAGATGCCGCCTTCCAAATCGTTGAAGTGGTCCAAGTGTGGAGAGAGCTTAAAGCTCCATGTACATCGGAGCATCAGATCTATACAGATAGCACCATAGTACATTTCCTTGGCATGGAAGTACCGATTACGGCGAAGAGCCCATGGATGCTCAGGGTCGTTTCTCTCCCTGGCTGTCGAAAACAAGGACAGATCCCAATCTTTTGTGACATCCCAGTAAAACGAATAGAAGGAATTGACAAAAACAAAGAACAGCNNCTGCAGGTTGTGTAAGCGTTGTTCCAGCAAGAACTATTGGAACGTAATGTCGTCTTACCATAGACGGAACAGTCCAGCCTCGGACATGCCAATCTTTGCTGGGTCGTATCCTCTCATCAAAGCGCTGAGGATGATCACGGGGAAAGCACTAGAGTACTTGAGAGCGTTCGCCAAATGTTGACCACCCCATCCATGAGACCCAATGCCTCCTGCCTTTGCGTTTGCCTTGCGGACTCTGAAGTACTCAATCAAGCACTGTCTCAGACGGATCATGCTAGGAATAGCAATGATGAACGGAACCAAGTATGAACCTCCGGCTTGACGATCCGGCTTCTCTGTTGAGCTCCTGCCCGTCGAGAAGAACATATAGAGCGCAATGAACAAATCTCCCATAACTTTTGCATAACTTGTCAAGACATCGGCCATCAGAACATCTCCGAATTTTCCATCGTGGGCTTCCNNAGCCAAACCACCTATGCTGACGCGCTTGAGAGTAGCGAGGGTACGGTAGCGGCCACTGCGTGAGACGCGCTGGATCGGCAGAATGAATGCAAGTACGAGTACGAGCAGGTATAGATTGGGTAGGATTTCCCAACTTGCGACTGAGGCAGGGTTGCCTTGCGTGATGATCCAGAAGAGGAACAACGAGAAAGCGAGAGGAATCGTAAGGATAGTCGCAAGGCGATATGTAGAGAGGTGATGCGGCGGTTCGGTGGGAGAGTTACGAGCGGGATAACGAATAAGGGATGGTACGTCNCTATGTGAATACAATGAGCCACTGGCTTCTGTCTAGTGTAGAAACCTCGATGTAGAGTCGCATACAATCTTGATCAAGTGCAGATAGTGAAGATTCAGTCCCCAAGCCCACACGCCNTATGTGTTTTGGTCAACTACTATACAGAGGTGCTGCTGCTACGTGGAACATGGCGTACCCAAAACGATGATCAGAGCAACACGATATGGCAGCGGTAGCACCAGACTGAAGCCATCCAGCTGCGACTCGACAGCCGGATCACCATCCATGACAGCTAGCCCTGTGTTGCAATGCGTACAGGAGTTGACATTCGGGAGTCGCGTGCTGTAAACAGCAGCAATTCCCAAAATACAACGTTAGTCCACGCAAAGCTCGTGTTGCCAATCTGGTTGACAACATGACATCTGGGGTCGGAAACGAGCCCGATGTTCACCATGGCCCTGTCACAGTGACATAGGATGTTATTTCCAATTATATAAATGCATATCGTGTAGAAAAGAAACATTCGCCATAGAGAACACGATGATAGAGTGCTCCATGCTTACAAATTTCGCTGGAAAGTATTGTGCGGCTCCATAGTTAGGTATATTGTTGCAGTCTTAGCACATAAGGGCTCGACTGCTGCATAAACGCGCCTCGCATAAAACTGATTACCCCGCCGATCTCAGGAACAATTGTCAAGAATGTCGTCATACCATCACCTGTCCAGCCATCGAAATCGTTGACTACAAACCTACGAGGTGATCAAAACGTCCTGCACTTCATCCTCCCTCAATCAATTCTTCTCCTGTCGACCTCACTTCACCAATCCTCGACACTCTGAACTCTTCCCATTGACAACTTTCCAAATTCGACTCTCTTCAACTAGTCATCTTCACTACAACAAACTCACATCAATCATGTCTTTCTGGAGTCGCCCTCGCAACCTCGTCATCCTCGGTGGTGTCCTCGTCGGTGCTGCTTTCATTCCTACTCCCGGCTCTAAGACCTCGTACGCATTTTCTCCTCTCCTGCTTCTCCAATGCCTCCAAAGACCTCAACTCTTCCAAGACACTATTGAAGCGGCTATGGAAAGTGCAACCTAGCTGTTGGCTCCTGCCTCCAATGGATCACATCATCCTTTATTCTCGGCACATCTTGAGCTCCTGGCTAACCCTATTTTCAACACANGCAACGTCTTCGAGACCCAAGGCACAAAGAACATCGGAGCTCGCTGGTCAGCAGGTGGTGGTTCAGACGTCCACACTCCTGGCGCCGCTACACCTCGCGGCAACATCGAGAACACACAAGAAAACCAGGTAGATCCTAAAGGTTCACACTCTCCCAGACACCCATTAAACTGACGACTTTCTTCTAACACCAAGACCAACGCCTCAGGCATCCGCAGTGACCACTTCCAAGAGAACCAGATCTCTCAACGCCCTGGCGAGCCCGGCACTTTCGACAAGGCCTGGAACAAGGCTCACTACGGCACCGAGAAGGGCAAATAGATCACTCATTTGCCTTTTTGTCGATTCACACAGCACGAAGTACACACCTTTGGCATGATGTATACGCGGACGAAGCCATGCGGAGTCACGAACTGTTAGCATTTTGACACCTCTCCAAGTATGAGAGGGTCATACACTCGGGAAGCAAAGAAAATCCACGAAATACCCTCCAGTTGCTTTTCTCTAGGGAAGCAAGCTTGTATCTACTATATCTCGAATCAATTGAAATCAAAGCATGAGCGCTGTTCTTGTTTACCAGCATCAACCTCAACTTGTTCGCAAGCCCTGTGATCGCAAACGTAAACTTTGGCAAAGATCCCTCGTACTCCGAGTCTGGTTCACTTTGGAATGGCGAGATATTGGTTCCGTCGTGATCATTCGGCTGAATCTCTTGTTTAGTTGTCTAGACCTCTCTTCCCTTCTCGTGGCTCTCGAAAACTTGGAAGAGGAACAAGCCTTTCCTTGGCCGCCCTAAAACATTCGATTGCAACTCATTTCCGGACCTTCCGCCGAAAGGACATTTGTATGCTTTTTGTTCATGGTTGGCTTTGACTGGGGTATCACCCTGTCTCTTTGCATTTCAGCCATCATAGAATTACTGTGTGCTTATCGCTTTAATCTAATCCCAATCTCACTTATACTCTAGAAACTGTCATGTAGTTTTAATATGCGTGATAGGTCTATATTGCTTGTATCGCCTTCTAGTCATCCACATGTTGGGTTGATATGTGATATAGCATGAAGCTTCGAGGCTTCATCTAAAGCGAAGACACCGACCTATCCTTGTAAAACATTGTCACAATCTCACGCCGAGAGTATAGTGATGCTAGAGATTATTTGAAGAACTTGAATCCTTTGCGAATGGTGCAAGCTAGGAGATAGCATACAACAACATTGTTCCATATGGATACAACGATCATGCACCACACGATACACAAAACAACTAGTGCTGCGAGAAGGACATTCAGGATAGCAATATAAACAATTCCATGTACGGTTATTAAGCGAGTAGCTAAACAATATATACTGGACAAACAAACACGCAAACAACAACCAAAAGACAAAAACACTTTTCTCCAGCAACAATTGCTGATTGGCTTGAGATAACCTGTCTTCGAGAAGACAAGCAGCCACACCTAGTATCCCAAGAGGGCAGATGCGCCAGGCTCGCTGGAAATGTAGACAGTGGCGTGGCTGTCGCTGAATCCATTGAACTTGGTAGCACTGCACTTGGTGTATGCGCCCATGTCCTCAAAGTAGAGCCAATCGCCGACATCAAGAGTCTGAGCACAGGTCCAGCTTGCAGAGATGCAATCAATACCATCACAGGTAGGTCCCCAAATAGAGTATTCGAGAGGGGACTGGTTTGCAGCATCGTAAGAAGCCACAGCGTCGTAGGTAGAGCCGGGCGAGTTGGCAGCCTTCAGGACGCGAGGAATGGGGTGCTGGTGGTCGAACATGATGGAGCTGAAGTTTCCGTAGACGCCGTCATTGAGGTAGAGCATGTAGCTGTTGACGCCGAGAGCTTTGTCTTCGACTGCACGACGAGCGATGACATTGCATGCGATAGTGAAGGCAGAGGAGACGTAGTAGCGTCCAGGCTCGCCGATGACGCGGACGCTGGGAGGGAAGTACTCGTCCAGAGCGACGGAAAGCACGGCGGCCATGTCGTCGAAGGTCTCGCTGACGAAGCCACCACCCACATCAAGAGTCTTTAGTTCGTACCCAAGAGCAGCTGCCTGGTCAAAGACGAAACGGGCATCGTGAACAGCCTTCAGGAAAGCTGCAGGGTCAGAAGCACCCGATCCAACATGGAAGGCAACGCCAACCACATTGAGGTCGAGCTTTCTGGCGAGGGCCAAAAGGTCGCCCGTGTCGTCCAGGGAAGCACCAAACTTGAGACTCAGACGGCACAGACTGGCCGAGTCGTCGGTCAGGATACGGAGGTAAAGCTCGGCATCGGGGTATAGTTCCTTGATCTTGTAAAGCTCGTCAGAGTTGTCAAAAGTCATTTGACGCACACCCTGCTTGGCAGCATAGCGGACGTAGGACTTGGTCTTGCAAGGCTGGGCGTAGATGATGCGAGAGGGGTCGACGCCGAGACGGAGAACCATGTCAATCTCGGCCTTGGAAGCGCAGTCGAAGCCAGTACCCATGGCGGCAAGCAGGCGAAGAACCTGAGGGTCGGGGTTGCACTTGACGGCATAGTGGGGCTTGACGCGGTTGAGGTGCTTCTTCCAGCGCAGGTGCTGGCGGTAGATGTCGCCCATATCGGCGACGAAGAAAGCGTCCTCTTCGCCGGGCTCGCAAGTGTCTTCGTCAATGCTCTGAACACGCTGCTGCAGAGCACGGCCAATCATGGCCTTGGACAGAGCCTTTCCATTGTGGCTTCCTTCGAGACGAGGGGTGTAGGAATCTTTCAGCGACAGAGATGCATATTGCTCAGTGGTCGGAGAGATAGCTGAAGGTGCCATTACCAGGTAGTAAGAGAATTCAGAAGGCTCGCGATCGAGTGGTTGTTTGGTGAGTGTTACAAGGTGGTCCAATACGTCTTATGGGGGCTTGAAGGGCGCGAAACCTAGACTGGATTGACGGCTAGGCCTCCACGAGTCTTCCTCCGGGAGAGGAAGAGCTCCAGAGATGGTCCTATGCGGCAGCTGGGGTTCAGGCGAGATCAGAGGAGGAGTCTGGTGCAGACTGAAAAGCAAATCGTAGAGGTCTTTATGTGAAGCCACAAGAAGAGGTGACGAAAATCCCTCAGTCGTCCAAGTTCATTCAACGACGCGATCTGCGTGGTAGGATGAAGCGGACGCGTGGGAATGCGTGATTTGTGAGTTGAGAGCGATGTGTGTTGCAGAAAGGAGGAGAGAAGACGACGAGACCAAGAGGTTGTTCGAAAAGCCCGCGTGTGCCCACCCAGCCTTAGGTCAAAATCTCTCACCAACTCAGCCGCCGCCCCCAGGAAATGTACCGTGCGCTACTCAGCGTCATATTTGGTCAGAAATCCATTACACACGCCGAACAAATTCACGCTCTCCATTCATGCTGTGCTGCTGTTGCTTCCTCCGCTGTTTCCTGCTTCAATCGATGATCCCTTTGAGCCGTCTTTGTTTCCTTTCCTATCCTTTGCTCCATATCCCTCACTCACCAGCGCTGTTCTCTTTCCATCACCTTCTCCAAACGTCCTTGGCCTGAGTGACATGCTGCCGTGCACACCCGCCAATGTTCGATGCCCCTCCATTCTCGATGTGCCTTGATCATCGCACATCGGCATTTGCACCGCTGCGACAAAACGCCCAAACAACTCCACTTTATTCTGACATCTCCACATGCATTTTCTTGTTTATATTCTTTTCTCATTTTTGCACTCAAAACATGTTGGGAAATTTCATCTAATTACTTAAGGTCAATGACTTGTTGTTGAGTTGGTCGTGTTCGATGTCCTTGTTCTCAACAATGACACGATTTTGTTCTCAAAGCCATCTTGAAATGTCACTTTCTTCCGCCTATAGCCCTGGTATAGATGCCAGCCGGAGTCGAAATTGGCATGGCATCTCTACTGGCCATGTTTACGACACTCTTCTTGACATGTTGTAAAGAAACTTGTTCCTATACATCGATAATCTACACATACTTGTATGACCGTGTCCTGATATCAACAAGGTTAGAGAACACAAACCGAAGCAGGAGTGATCCTCTGCAACCCTTCATGGCCCTTGGATCTCCAATTGGTCAGATTCCTGTATCTATTGCCTATGGCTTACGAATGGCCGTGGGGTGTGAGCTATGCGCCATGGAAACTCCATCGCTCGTCCATCAGTCGCAGCTCTCGTGGTGCTCAAGGCAAATTCATCCAAAAAGCCACTCAGATCCGATCCTGCAAGTCTCGCCTAAGTCCTCACAGCGTATTCTGTACAGATATTATCCACTTCTCTATAAGCACGTCATGGACGAGATCACCCAACTAGACCATGGTATCGAAAAGAAGAGAGAGCTTCATCGCAAAACATCAGAAGTTTTCAAGCGCATCAAGAGGTGTTCTTCCCTCCTATACATAAGTGTTTATCCGTCCAGAAACTCATCTTCAAACAAAAACCGAGCACCGCCCAAGACACCTACTCAGACCAAATCTTGGGCCAAATCACGCAAAACATTCCTCTCGCATCCTCTAAGTGGTCCAAAGCGTCGCTTGCAAGACATCCCTAGCCGCAGCCAGACAAATGTCCCAAGCAACCTTGCTTCAAGATCGGTGCAGCTCCAGCTCAATCAGTCTGTACAGAAACCCCAGAGAGGTCGTCCTCCAAAATCCACCGCTCGCTCTACCAGTGGCAATCTTCCTGACCATTGCAGAGTGTAACTATGTTAACGACTTGATAGTCGATGGTGTGTGGTGTGACAAGGCAGCATACTTCAACCATCTGGACGTATTTTCTGAGCAGCCAGTCTTTCAAGATTTCCCTGTGGACAACTGCACTTGCTCTAGACCCCGGCTTGGCCTTGAAATGCCCTGTTTCTTTTTGTCAGACCCTTTTGATCCCCCAGACCACGCTTGATCAGTTCTACGATCACTTTGACCAGACGTCCCATGTGCAACATTTTTACAACGTTGGTATGCATCGGTGCCCTCGGTTATGGAAGGGGCTTCTACAGACTGCATGGACTATTGTTACACCCCGCAACCTCCTCGCACGATCATCCTACCTGTAGAATCGACCACTTGCGCCAGTACGAACGTACCGCTCAAGACTGCACTGTAACAGAGTTGAGTCTGAGGGCGCTTGTGGAAAATTGGGTCTCACACCATCAAGTTGAGCACCTGAACAATCTCTTTGTGTGTACAGAAGACTTGCCCGCATGTAATCTCGGCTGCCCTACTGCCGCAATGCTCAAAGTCCACCAACTCATCCACGAATGGAAATCTACGATCCATTGCCCGGTCCAGAATGTTGTCGTGAACCAGGACACGCCAGCTCCGTGGACTATACCGCTTAGCTCTCTGGTTCTGTAGATAGGCAAAGAATTTCTTGCCTTCGTCTTTCGGCGAGAGCGGCAGGGAGACAAGCGACAAGACTGTTGTCATGGAGCAATGTACGCCATCATGAATCTCACCACCCGCATTGGTCTTCTCGACCACACAGGCCCTGTCGTTGTCATTGAGGGTGCTTTCGTTGAAAGCAGGCGCCTACCAACCTTTGGCACGACCCTTTGATCGAGGCATTGTGTGAACAGCAGGACTTCTTCTTCCACAAGTCGAGAAGCCATACCACCTCAAGGCATGCTAAGCGCAAAACGGTTCCACCACGCCATTGCAAACCCAACTTCTACATACATACAGAAAATGGTCGAAGACCGGTCCTTTGCTTGGGAGGTGTCAATGCATGGTCAACAAACCGGCTCCGACTAACATTGTTCCTACAAGCATGCAAACTCCATTACCGTACGTGCTACCCACCTATCCTAATCGTTGTGGTACACCTTGCGCGTCAAAACTTTGTTGGATACCAAGTCTTGACAATAGCAGAGGTTGAAGCATGGAATGGGAAATGCTTACAGCCTTGCATAATTTACATCAGCAAATGTGGTAGAACACGAGGACAAAAGGGGGTTTAAATCCAGCAGTCGAGGCACGCAAGAACAAGCTCTAGGATCTGCGGAAAGACCAACGCAGCAATTGCTGGAAGGAGCCATAGAAAGAGGTTCCAAGTGCATAGTCATTGCCATGCTGCACAGAGCAGTTTGCATCATGCAGAAAACATAGCCATGGGTATAACAGAAGAAGAAAAGACCTTCCTCTCTTACCAAAGCCTAGAAACCACAACCCGTTTAAGTACATGGTAGTATATCTCCAAAGCACATGTTGGGATCCTATCTATTCGTAAATTCTCTTTCTACACTCGCAAGGCACAACGAACAAGACACAAAGAGTCACATATCCAAGTTTCAAGTTCAAAAGTCAAACTGGAGATTTTGGTCAAAAAGAGAGTTCGAAGGATGAATAATATACCATTTAGATGTCTATCCATATATCAACACACACAAAAACCAATACAATTCCAAAAACAACTTACCCATACATCCTTTGCATCAACAAGCAAATAGCCCCAAACATCATTCCAACCATCTTACTCCTCCTCACTCCTTCCTCAAAGCCCTAACAAACCTCCCACCACTCAAATCTCCCAACCCCATCTGCACATCCCTACACCCATCCATCTTGATCAAAAANTACACAACCCTTCTGTCAACCCCATAGCCACTTTTCTTCCATCGAGCATTCAACCAATCGGCAAGCGCATCACTGCTATTCGCCCAATCGTATTTATACCATGAAGACAGAATTAGTGCGATCACAGGGGAAGGGGGACATACCATTTCCGACTTGTCAGTGGAGGAGGAGGAAGAAGAGGTGGTGGAGATGCTAGAGGAGGAGCGAGAGAGGTAGGATGAGGAAAAAGAGGATGTGGGACTGTGGCAGAGAGAGGGGATCGCGAGGTTGAGGTTGAGGTCGGAGAGGGAAGGGAGGTGAAGACGAAGGTGCGAACGCATTGTTGTAGATGTTTGTTTTGAACGACGCAAACGACTCACCAGAAGTCGCAAGTGTTGTTGTAATAGAAAAGGATTGATGGATAGAGGATCACTGATCTTGCTCTTTGGTTACTAAACACTCGATAAATCTTTTCCTGTCCTGAGGAAAGATTAAACGCAAATCAAAGAGAAACCGTGTGTCCGAGATCAAACAATCAAACACTCCAGTGTTTTCAAGTCAAGTGGTGGTGAGCAGGAAGCTCAGATAGCAAGGACGGAGGTCAATATTATAGTCGAGATGCTCAAAGGAGTCAAAGGACAAAGCAATCCATTGATCGCTGCTAGCAATGCCTGCTTGTCCTTTCTTCTCCCTTGCAAGCATTGAGATTGCAAAATAACAACGATCTTTGTCCTCTTTGTGATTTTGACCTTTGCTCTATAGACCTGGTCGTCTATTGTGAGCTCGGCTATGGCTCTCTTCCCTATCCTGGTTACCTTGTATGGAGGCATAGATCAGGTTCCATGGTGTAGAGTGCCAGCCACAAGGTTGACCATCAACCACCCTTCTATTGAAGCAAAAATATGTTGTCCTAGATCTCTTCATACCGTCAGCAACAGATCTTACAAGTCCTGGATGTGGCACTAGAAGCTGAGAACGAATAAACTCTGACGTAGGCCCTTTGGTTAGAACCATCAACAATAACCTTATGGTGCGGACAAAGAAACATCAGCATTACAAAAACACAAAGGAGTCAAGCAACATCGATTTTTTTGTTTGAAATGTTGATTTGGCGCTTCATGAGCGAGGAGGTATAAGGAATGACGTAAAAGGGAAATACAGTAAAAAACAACCAAAAGGGGTATTTCAGCGCAGTCAAGAGGGACGGCGGTCATCATGGCAAGGAGCACGAGATTTGTTTCGCAAGTACTGAGTGAGCCAAAATGAAATGAAAGGTTTTGTGGAGAGTATGGGATGGATAAGAAAAATGTCAAATCGGCTAGTGTATTCGTCAAGCTGCAACGCATTTTGGGGAATCAATTCATTTCGACGCTCAGTAGTGCTCCAGACCAGACGGCGCGCTCCAAGCCAGAGGGCGTCTGTGCGAAAAAAGACGTGAAATGGTCAAGTGGATTTCGTGATACTCGAGTCGTCTCTTTACGAGGCCTCGGCCTTGGGCTCCTCAACAGACTCGGTGGTCTTGGACTCTTCGGCCTTGGGGGCCTCGGAGGCGGCAGCGGGCTCTGGCTCGTTGCCGTCGGACGAGGTCCAGAGGGTGAGGTTGTCACGGAGGAGCTGCATGATGAGGGTGCTGTCGCGGTAAGACTCCTCTGAGAGCGAGTCGAGCTCGGCAATAGCGTCATCGAAGGCCTGCTTGGCAAGGTGGCATGCGCGGTCGGGGGAGTTCAGGATCTCGTAGTAGAAGACGGAGAAGTTGAGGGCAAGACCGAGGCGGATGGGGTGGGTGGGNGTGAGCTCAGTCTGGGCGACGTCGGTAGCGCTNCTGGGGAGATTTGGTCAGCGTGATCAAGGCAGCGACATGGTCGGACGAGCACATACCTTGTAGGCCTCGTGGGCAGCGGTGGCAGCAGTCTTGCGCTTGTCGCCAGAGGCGAACTCGGCGAGGTAACGGTGGTAGTCACCCTTCNNCTGGATGGTTGTCAGAGAATGACGAAAAATCAATGATGTAATGTCAACACACATCTTGTGGTAGAAGACCTTGCTCTCGCCAGACTCGGCCTTGGGGATCAAGGAGTCGTCAAGGACGTCGAGAACATCCTGGCAGACCTTCTCGAGCTCGGTCTCGATCTTCTGGCGGTAGTCGCGGATGATGGTAACGTGCTTATCGGAACCCTTNTGCTCCTCCTTCTGCTCAATCGAGGAGATGATGCGCCACGAGGCACGTCTGGTACCGACGACGTTCTTGTAGGCGACAGAGAGGAGGTTACGCTCGTCAACGGTAAGTTCACCACCGATCTGGTTGTTGTTGTTAGTGGCTGAGGGAGTCGACATCTAGACCGAGTTGGAATTACCTTGGCGACTTCCTGTTATAACGAATTGATGGTTAGCAAGACAGAGATATTGAGGTCGGTGGTGGTATGTGCGAACCTTCATGTAGGTAACCATCTCTNNGTTAATCATAGTTAGCATTCAGACACACGATGTGTGGATGTTCCGGAACAACGTACCATCGTAACGCTCAGCCTGCTCGCACAGTCTGGCGAGGAAGGTCTTGCTGCTTGGATGTTAGACGTCTGATAGGCCGTAGTTACTAGCCGGAGTCGATGGATACCTTTCACGCTGTAGTGGTAGAAAAAAGTCAGCGATCTGTCTATCAGTTGACGCATCGGGTCGCGGGCCCGAATGAGGGGGTCAAGCGGTTTTGTTGGGCTTGGATGCTGCGCAGCTCGATGGGAGACGCAACAGGACACGCAACTTACTTCGGTAGCCATTGTAGATTGTGAGTGGGATAGGAGTGGATGAAGGTGGGATTGAGGCGGTGAGGGAGTTGAGCGGCGGAGGGTGTGTGATGTGTCTGTGAGAAAGGTTGAAGCTGCTTGTTTAGAAGTCCAAGGCGCTGCAGCCAGCGAGCGGGCCACAATCGCAATGCACCGAGTCACGTGCAACAAACTTAGGTCGCGACCCTGAACTAGCTGCACCAGCTTTCCAGCTAGCAATCCTGCCCTGAGCGACAAAGCCCCTCATCATCATTAAGATTACAAAGGACTCATCCGGAATAAACACTCCCACTTCACCATACATGAGACCCTTGTTTTCATGAGCCTGTCAACTGAAATCTCCAACCCCTTCTATTTCTAGCCCCTGTCTACATCATGCTGCCCTCTAGATGGGTATACTGATAATCTCGAGACACGACCATGACTGTCTACCCAAATGGCCTCAATTTCCCATCCTTATTTCCGACCATGTCCAACCAAAACGCCCCCTACTCCTCCCTCAATAATGACATAGGAAAATTTTGAAGCAGAGTGCCTTGTGTGTTTGGCACCCTTGAAATATCATCTCCACGTCAGTGACGTGAATCAACAAATGAAACAAAAGAGAATGACTTCTCACTCTTCACGCCCGCTACATAAGCAAACGCCACACACCGAGAATAATGGCGGCAGTACCCGTCGTCACACCCNNCTAGGATCCCCATGTTAGCAAAGCCCCTCCATTTGCCGTCGGTCCGTTCGGAGATGAAACGTACATCAACCACTGCAGCGTCGAGAACTTGACTTGTTCGAGACGTTCTCTTAGTGCTGCTGCTTCCTGTTCAATCCTGGTCTCGGTCTCCTTGATCTTGAGATCCTGCGAGTTCGCTTCTTCCCTGATTCTGCCCTTCTCCAGGTTGAGATCCAGTCTTACTGATGCTTGTGTGCGCTGGACTTCGTCACGTAGCCTTGAGTTGAGTTTGGCCAGGTCGTTGGTCAGACGTTCGTGTGAGGCACGCGTCAGTGATGACTCTGTCGAGTCGGCCGAGAGCAACTCAGAGCGAAGTTTGGCAAAGTCGACCTTNTGCGTGTATGTAGCCTTCTCCTGGTCTTCACGAAGTACCATTGTCCGCGTGAGGTTTTGGATACTGNNTGGTAGTTTGCCTGTTCAGCTTGGCTTCATTGCGTAGTAGCCTTGGGTCGTGATTTACCTCTCTTCAACAACATCGCTCAGGACCTTCATCATGGCCACTGCCTGTTCCTCGGTGAAGCCCTCATCTTTCAGCCTTTGCACAAACTTGAGTGTGTCAAAGTGGTGGTCTCTGTTGCGCTGGGTGGTGGCCGAGAACTGTCTTCTGTGCTGCACTGCTGTTTGTCCATATGCGATACGACCGGCAGAGGGGAAGTGCTGTGCTCTTGAGAGTGCTCGTGTGGTGTAGTTCATCGAGGCTGACGGTAGCGTTGAGGCGTGAATGCGGGAGGCGGCATGAAACGGAGCCAGGGCCTGAGAAGACCATGACAGCTTGGGCAAGAGGAATCGCGGAATGGATGTGGATGAGGCGGCCATTGTATTGGTCGGCGTACTGTGTGTGTGATCTGAATGTCAAGGAGAGTCGAAACAAAGGAGAGTTTGTTGTAGCAACGACTTGTGGAGGGGTACCGGAGCCTGAAACGGTCACTGGGGGCCTTGGGCCTGACTCCGGCCGTCGTACGCTCGGCTCTAGAAGCCTATGACGACGCGCCCTTCCCAACCATGGAACATTCTACAGATCATCAACACAACTCCCTATTTCTCTAAACATAGAACTGTGATCAGAAGCTCCATGCAGTATCTCTAGTGGCTAAAATGTATACCTTGGCTCATGGCTACAATCAAGCTTGCAAAGACCCTGATTTGCATCAAACTGCTTGGTGGTCCACGGATGGAAATACTCGAGTACATGACAAACACAAGCATATAGCTTTATAGAAGACTATATTCAAATGTGAACCTTGATGCTTCATGTACGAAATGCTGCACTTTGAAACATTTGATCAATCCATCTCTAATTGAGTCAGACTTCATCCGCCCTTCTTTTGACATGGACAGGCATCATATTTAGCCGAGGCTTCAACTACATCTCCATTTCCCCATCAACCACTTCAGTCTTCATCAAATAGCGAATTTACTCATAAACCGCCACAAGCATGGCTCCTCCAAGAACCAAGAACCCCTGGGTGCAAACACCTCTAATCGAATCAACTGCACTCTCCAAAGCAGCAGGCTGGTAAGTCCATCCCTCAAACCACGCACCACTCCATTAACAAACCACTAACCCCAAACCCCCACNNAGCAGAATATTCCTCAAACTCGAAAATCTGCAACTCTCCGGCTCGTTCAAAGCACGAGGAATCGGCCATTTGATGCAAAGCGCCATCTCCGCCTCTTCCAATCCATCTCGCATACACTTCTACTGTTCGTCAGNNGGAGGAAATGCCGGGTTGGCTGCCGTGCACAGTGCAGTAAAGCTACACCGACCATGTACGGTAGTAGTGCCCCTAACCACCAAGCCAATGATGATGGCANAAATCACAGCAGCAGGCGCAACTTCCGTGCTCCAGCACGGTGCAAGTTGGCAAGAAGCTGATGACTACCTTAGCACCACCATCATCAAGGACGCATCATCCAAAGGTGTAGAATGTATCTACGTACCCNCCTTCGACCACCCTAAAATCTGGACAGGGCATTCTTCCATGATCGACGAAATCGCAGTCCAACTCTCAGAATTGACAGAAGAAGACAATGCAGTGCCAGACGTGTTGGCATGTAGTGTAGGCGGCGGCGGCCTCTTCAACGGCATAATGCAAGGCCTTGCCACCCACTCCTGGTCAAACACCAAAGTCTTAGCCGTGGAGACAAAAGGCACAGACTCGTTGGCCGAAAGCATACGCCAANAATCTCACATCACGTTGCCGGCAATCACTTCGCAGGCAACCTGTCTGGGTGCCAAAAAGGTGTCGGCAAAGACTTTCGAATTGGCAATGATGAATGAGCAGGTTCAAACTTTGGTGTTGAGTGATGAGGAGGCTATGATGGGCACGTGGAGATTGGCAGAGGAAGAAAGACTGTTGGTCGAACTGGCATGTGGTGTCACGGTGGCATTGTGCTATGGAGATCGTTTGAAGAAGGCTTTGGGAAGAGAGGTGTCGAAAGACGATAAGGTTGTCATCATCGTGTGTGGTGGAAGCAACATCACCATTGATATGGTCTCTCAGTATAAGAAAGACTCGGCGCATATTGATGCAGAGCCAGGTCAGTAGGACTGGAGCAACTGTGTTTATAGCGACAGGCCGATCTCTGAGCCATGCCAGCTGAGAATATAACATATAGAACAGATTGACTGAGAACAGAGAAAAACGCCCTGCTGGGTATCATGAATTTGGAATAAAAGAAAGTCCGCTATCTATGCAAAAGTCCTGCGAGAACCATACTCATCACTGTCATGCTGCATCTCTGGCACTTAAGCAGCCACCTGTCCCTGGCTCAACTGATCCTTCAGATAAGCCCAGTAATTGGCTCTGATGGGATCGTACTTGCTAGCCAGCAAGTCGTATGCCTTAACAGCCTTGTCATTCTGCTGCTTCTCGGCAGCATAAATCTCAGCCAGCAAGTCAAGTGCATGGCTAGATTTTACAGCATCCTCATCCTCAGACTCGAGAGTTGCGAACTCGTTGATGAAGTTCAGTTGTGAAGAGATGGGCATCTTAGTTGCGGTGGTGATGCCTCGAAGATAGTTCCAAGGTGACTGGTTCTGCGGTGCTTTGCGGATAGCATCTTGAGCGAATCTGTATTGTGCATTAGTCGTCGTTGTCGAAGTCTCCCTGCCAGAAACAGCCACTTACTTGATCTCTCTATCCACCACAGCCTTATCCTCAACCTTTGGCGGTTTGCTCCCCGAGACGAGGAAGAAGCGATGGTTCCAAGCAGAGTTGTTTCTTACATCTTCCTCAATCAACTTCTCCGTCGCCTCCAGCTCTCCCTGGTCCCAGAGGCCGAATCTGCGCACCAGCCACTGTCTGTAGCTCCACACGTGATAGTTCTTTGCATCCAGTTCGAACATTTGAGAGATAAAGTCTGCTTCGCCTTTGCACGAGTCCAGGCGATCCACGACGAGTTGACGGTGATGCCAGATCTGGTAGTTCTTTTGGTGGTTGAGAGCGGTTTCGTTGAGCCATTCTATTTCTTTGGAAAGGTCTGAGTCCAGGGCTTTGAGGATCTCGGAGCGGTATAGCCTACACGAGTCGCGAGTTAGTCAAAAAGGTCTTTGAGGATCTAAGAGGGCAGATGTGACGAACCAGACAGTGTAGTGGGCGGCATTCATGTCGATGATGTCCTCAGTCAGGCTCAGAGCTCTCTCACTCATTTCATTCTTGGCCATGACGGCGCGAAGGTACGACATTGCTTCCGAGTACTCGTCTGTGTATGCAATTGCCGCCAGAGGGTTTGGGCCGCCGTCATCTTGAGGCAGAGGCACAATATCGTCCCAGTTCGAATCGTCAGAATATTTGCCCATGGTTACTGTAGTCTCTCTGCGCAGGTCGATTTGTTGTTGTTCGTCCAAGAGTGTCTAGATAAGATGTACTGAATAATTAATGGGTTGGATAAGCATCGCAAGCGTCATTGTTTGACAACGGGGAAACGCCAAGGCCGCATGCAGCACCCAAAGAACAATATCAAGTCGCGAGCATCCACTCTGTCTGTTTAGTACGAAAAACCCATTCTTTTGTTTCATGTGGAGGCTCTGGTTTTGATGAAGAATAAATCACCATAGCTGTGTTTATACAGAAGCTTCTTCTGGCTAATCATATCCTCCAGAACTTCCAGCCTTCTCGTACACCTCCGTGAGCCCCACCTGTAACTCCGACGAGCTTCTCGACACCTTCACGTCCTTCAACCGCTTCGAACTTGTCTTGGTCAATCTCTTCACCTCCAAGTTCGTCGCTTCCGTTGTCGAGCACGGCAGGCCATAACACACCAACACCATCACCTCCAAGTGTTGTCTCATACTTCTCGAAGCCCTCCTTTTCAAGTTCTTTCTCTAGTCGTGCTAGTGTTTCTGCTTGTGAGTTTGCCGTCTCTGCTACTGGCATTTCTTCGCCGACTGCAGGTAAGTCTGGCTTGAGAAGAGTAAAGGCACAGCCTCCACCGCCTGCACCCGTGAGTTTTGTCCATCCAGCCCCTGCTGTGTCTACAAGCTCGCGCAGGCGCTCAAGCTTGGGATGTGAGACCCCCAGACTGACCAGAAGACCATGGTTTATCGAGACCAATTCGCCTAGTTGGGTGAGCGCTGAAGGGTCCTTGGGATCGAAGTCCGGGCTAGTGATCAATGTGTGCGCGGACTCTGTGACATTGTCTATAGCGTCCAAGATATGGTTGGCAATCTTAGGTTGTGTCTTCTTCAAGCGGGCCACCTTTGCGACCTCTGCAGCAGTGCTCTTTGGTTGTTTCGTGTCTACTAGAAGTAGCGGCAGCTCTGGGAAGTTTCGTAGCGGCAATACTAGCGGAGGTTTTGCGTAGTCTGCACGCTTGAAAAGAACAGCCTTGCCTCCCGAAGCAACTGTGTTATCCACTCCAGAAGGATTACCATGAATGAGCATCTCACCCACAAAGGACCACTGATTGATCCTTTCTATTTGTTTCTCGGCCTCCTCGGGCATCTGATCGGGATGAGGACCAGAAAGAGCGCGAGCCTGAAGTAAAAGAGAAGTAGCAATGCAAACAGAAATGCTGGCGCTGGAACCGAGACCAGCGCCAATGGGTATCGTAGAACGTAAAGTGTAAATGGTGGCAGGCGAAGACTTGTTGCCTAACGAAAGAAAGAGATAGAGGAAGGAAGATGCTGCAGCCTGGTGTATTTTTTGCTCGGGAATTGGGATATTGGGAGAAACTTTGGAAATGTGAGGTTTCATAGCGTCGACAAGGACTGGGTCGAGTTGTGTAACGAGATCGTAGTAGCGCTTCTTGCGATCGGGATGGGAGAAGACATCCCATGGTAGCGAGTCAATGTCCCAGGTATGGTCGAGGTCAATGTCGCGGAAGCGCAAGGTGATGGTACGGCGTGACTTGGAGAGAGTGGTGACGAGCATGTAGGAACGAAGAGAGATGGCAGCAGCCATAGCAGCCTGTTCAGGGGTCAGTCGTGAATGGGCAGCGATTGTCGCAAGAGTGCTACCTTTNCCATGAACGACAGCATGTTCGCCGTAGACGATGACCTTTCCAGGAGCCGAGACCATGAAGGGAGGAGCCAATGGAGTTGACATCTTGCGCTTGTATGCTGGACGGGGATCTCGACTTGTCAAGTCCTCGTTGCTGCTGGTCGAGTGCACGCCATTGTGTCCATCAGAGTTGCCGTCAGACATTGTAACTGAGTGTTTTGCGCCATTGCGCACTTGGAGGCTTCCGTTGGCGGTTGTCATTGTTCATAATCCATTAACATGTTCCATGGCATCAAGACAAAGGAGCTGCATTCCGTACCTTTATTATTTGGAGATTGGCACTCAACGAATGACAGCACGCGCATTGCAATTAACTTAATTTCCCCACACACCTCAGCTCACTTTTTGCATAACCTGTGACAAAAATCTGCATAACTCCATCTGTACTTGGCAGCTTGACCTCACCCCGCAGTAGTCCCCTATCCAGCTGCTGACCATCAACATCAGACCATGCTCGCTCTCAGATCATATTGCCTCTGTCTCCCACGCCGAGACTACTTTCGTGCTGCCCATGAGGTGTGGACGCAAATGTGTTTCCATTGACAGTCCCGACCATGTTCGTGTTATTGCCATCAAGAACTTGCCCACCAGTACTGTTCAATCCAGTGGTCGGACTGGTCGGACTGGTGTGTCCAGCATTCCTCGTCTGCATCTCGAACGGTGGCTCGCTACCATTGTGTGTGGCAGAGCCATGATAATTGGTAGGTACGCCAGTGCTGTCGGTTCCTGTAACAGGTCCAACAAGGCGGCCACGTAGAGGCAGCAATGCACTGACGAGGAACAAAACACTATTGCACATCAGTAATGATCCAGCAGTCGACAACCTGATCACTCACAATTCTAACCCAGAAAATGCAGCAGCCGCAGCTCCACATGCCCATGCCGCCTTGAGTCTGTTTATCGTGCCGCTGTAGGCTGCATAAGCGGCATTGCTGTCTGTCTGCTGACCGAGGCCGCCAGTATAGTACGTCAAGTCCCTAGGTGCTGCCACATCACTGTAGGCAGCAAGCTCAGCCATGATGGCTAGCCAGAACAGCGCGAAGAACAAGTCGACCAGCCCAGCAGAGAGTGGGTGCGCAGACAGACCTGGCAAACGCGATAGGAAAGCCAATGGAATCGTAGCCAGGACAGTCAGAATGGCTGCCACCAATGCAGGTATGTATGCAGATTGCAACNNTGAGATATTGCATTAGTTGAGCAGTCTGGATGAATGTCCATCTGGGTCCGCACTCACGAAAGTGGCTGAGAAAAAATTGACGGCATAAGCGACAAGTCCCAGAATCAGAATGGCAAGCAAGAGCTGCACAAGGCGCATTGCCTTCAGGGCGCCATGTCCAGCTGCGCCAGAGCGAGATGATGGCACATCGGTAGATTTGCGCGTTCTACCAAATCTGCTGATTCCTGTTTTGCCAGGCGATGCTCCGGAAGTTGTGATGTTGTTGTCTGCGCCAGGCTCGCCGTCGGCTTTTCCTCTGGTGAAGAGGCCCATTATGATTGCAGAGTCGGGATATTGGTGAGGCTGCTCACGAAATTTTTATCTTATTGGCAAAGATGTTTGCGGGTTGTTTGTCAGTTGTTTGCGCTTCTGAGCTGTTGTTGTGCGGGTTTCACATGGAATGTTGTTTGCAAGCCTGTTTATATTCAAGTGGAATGCAAACGAAACGAGTGACATTTTGATGAATTTGTAGCTTATCTTGTGAGCAATGTCATTTTGCCTTTCTCAAGCTAGAAAGCTCTATGGTCAAACGATAGGCCGTACCGAAACAAAAAAGAACAAGCGAATGAAAGCAAGGAAGTGACAAATGGTCTTACGCTTTTGAAGAACTCGAACAAGTGAGCTACTTCGTACATCGCGAACAGAATCCAGCAGTAACCACGCTACATGCCTGCAAATGCCCATGCTCTTTTCTCAAAGTGACGCCCGCTCCACCACTTACAACAGGAAGAACACCACATCCTCAAGGACGTGTTCGGGTATAAGAAGGAGAAATGAAAATAAAGAAGAATAAAACTGAGGGTGTACTTGAAGAAACATCAATCTTGTCAAGCCATCCCAGCCCAGGTTCGTTAAAGGACATGTTGTTTGTCATTGGTCGTATTCGGGAAATGTTTTGCTATTCAGCGTGGCTGCTGGTAGCTGAGGTGTCCCTTTATGGCTATCAGATCTTCCTGAAGACGTGATATGCGCAGTTCGTATTCGTCTTGCATGCGAGAGAATCGTTGCTCTAGGTTCCTGACGTAGCCCCAGACATCATTGATGCCATCGCCAATGATCTCCCTGGTGCTGCCGCCTGAGCTATGCCCATGGCTCGACAAGCTGCCAGGATTGGATCCGTGCATCGGCCCAGATTGCATGTTGTTATGCATTGAATTGTGTGTGGTAGATTGAATTGGCAGTCTCATTGTATGGCCAGAAGCAAGACCCGCCAAAGAAGGCAGCTGGTTATGTTGTGTCATCTGATGAGGAGCAGGTGGTGTAGCTTGACCACCTCGAGCATTGTGCGCCTGTTGGATTTGTGTCAGGCTAGGCGATCTGTTACGCAAAGCATTAGTGGCTTCAGCTATGCTGAGGCGGTGTTGGTCTTGTTGATTGGGAGACAGCGGTTTAGGCGAATGAGAGATGCCCCCTTCTCCANNAAGCACAACTGTAGGAGGCTGTCCATATGGATTCATTCCCACACTGCTTGTTGAGTTGACGTTGGAAAGCTCGCCGGGAGATGTTACAGAGCTGGATGATGGCAGGATATGATGATTCGGAGGACCCATGTTGCCTCTGTGCGTGCGACTAGCTAGAGGCGGTGGGTAAGTGCTGGAGTGTTGGCGGTAGATGGAGCGGTTGGAATCGTGCGAGTCTTCAATATGCGCACGCTTGCGACTCGGCTCGCTTTCTCTACGACGATCGTCATCTTCGTCATCCAGATCATGGCCATTGTCGCCGTGATCAGCGTAATCCATGCCATCCATCCCCTCATCGCCCATTCTGCTATCGTCATCCCCTCCAAAGCTAGAGCGGCGGCCAGCGCAACCCCCAGGACCTTTGTTATGTCGAGCCAGAGCGTCACCACGCGCAAAGCGCCTGCCACACTTGTCGCAAATATGCGGTCTCTCGCCTGTGTGCAATTTGGAGTGGCGTTTGAGGTCATGCAGCCTTCTGAAGCGTGATTGACAGGTCTGACAAACGTATGGTTTCTCTTGGCTGTGCGTAAGCAAATGACTTTTGAGGTTGTGATGACGTGTGAAGTCAGTCGCACAATACGGGCACTTGTGCCGTTTGGTCGACGGAGAGGCTCTCGACTGACCTTCTGAGGCCGCCTCTGCTGCTACGGATGCCGGACCAGGGTATGTGAAAGATTTGTGCGAAGGATGAGCATTTGTTGGCGGATTGTATCCACGTGTAGGCTCTGGATAGTCCATGCTAGACATCTCTGCAGGTTCGGCGACCATTTGGGGATCGCGCGCATGCTCGTGAGCAGTTGCTGTCATTGCGCCGTTGGGTGAAACAGCGTCCGAGTCTCCGAAGCTTCTGAGGCTCACAGGACTGGGCTGAGAAGCCTCAGCAGTCGTCGTGACAGGCACTGTGAGATGTGTGCTTGGTTTGCGCATTTGGCTTATTGTTGACGAGTGATTTGGAGGGGAGAGATCTGTAGCCTTCGATACCGCGGGGCCGCTCATGAGAGCATGCAGCGCAGTGGCGGCGGGATTTGCACTGGTCTGACTGGTACCGTGGGTTTGCTGCTGTGACTGCAGTCGTCTAGCATCAGCCTGAGCGGCGGCACCTGTAAGAGGTCTGGGCGAATAGCGTGCTGGAGACTTTGGTGAAACAACAGTGTACTCTGGGGCGTGTGGCTTGAGCAGAGGCTGAGATTCTTTGGAGTTGCCAAAGGCAGACTGGGCGGCTGTGGTGGGCGTATGCGGGACTTCAAGAGGAGGAAAGGGTTCGACCTGAGGGCTGTCTGATCTAAATCGTGTGGCCATCGAGGAACACATACATTTGACCCGCTGCAAGGATGTTAATAGTCAGCTATGCGCACGTCAGCCACCATCCACAGGCATTTTGACAGCGGGAAGGAAAAAAAGAAAAAGAAAAGAAAATAGCCCCACATACGTGATGTGTTAGAGAGTCGCCGTGTTATGCGAACCTGTAGAGGGTCCGAGGTGGATTGCGATGTTGCGCGCCAGGACAAGACCAGCGCTCGCGAATCTTTGTCGATAATTGTGGGACGAGCAGGTTAGGACAATTGCAAATATCAAGCGTCCATGAGAGTCAAGACTGTGGCGTAAATATTGCGTTGCGGGCAGAAGCCGGCGACGTTGATGCAGCCAAAGCGGTGATAACGACGCGACGGGTTGGCGTGGCAGAGAACAGCAGTGTTCTTTGCGACGTGAACCAAGAAGAAAGGATGGAGCAAGAGCACTCGTGCTATCCGTCGAGGACTGCGAATGCGAAGCGATCAAGGATGCTCGGACAGCGCGATGGCCCGGCGCGATGGCGCAGCTACTAGAGATGGGCGTGGAGCCGTTGCTGCTGTGCTGCTGGTGCAGCGTGCGTCTTGAATAGTACGTCAACGTCAGACGCCTTACTGTGGCAGAAGAGGCGAAAGGGCAGTGGCTTCAGTGCTTGTGATGAGCTCAGTGTTCTTGCCGCGACCAGAATGCGACGTCGATGGATGTATTTGCTGATGACAGCAGAGGCAAACAGAATTTCCCAAAGCTGGCTTGTACAGACCTTGGAAGGCTTGTAAGGTTCAAGACAGGCCTGATTAAGCTACGAGTGACGCAGTTTGTTCGAACCCGCAGATCTTGACAAGTTGAACCTCACGAGCAACCCAACTTGGCTTTAGGAACAACCGCCAACTCCCTCTGCCATCGCCCGTTCCAATGCGTTCTGGACTTGATATTCACGAGGCTCATTCAACGTCTATCACTTTCAAATACACCTAGGTCAGAGCAGACTCACAGTTACAGAAGTTTAGCTGAGCCTACCGATCGTCGGACCCCCAGCACTTTGCAAGCGACCCGCCTGTTCTCTTGCAATTCTCCGACTGCTCCTGCTCACGCTCGTTCCAAACCCTGTCCATGGACAGTGGCTAATCGCTTGCCGATGCCAGCCGCAGCCGACGGCTCGATGTTCATGCCTCTGCTTGTNCTGAAAAGCGGAGACGGCTGTGGCTGTGCAAGTCCTGCGTGCTTGGCCAAGAGCACATCTTGTTCAGATTCTGATACGTTTGGTCGATCAGCGACAAGGAGCACGATTTCTTCTCCTGTCAACTGACTAATGGTGGTTGATTCTCTTGCCAATAGTCCATCAACCATGGCATGCCTAACCACACAAAATCGCCGCTCCTTACCNAATCCCAACCTCCCAATCGAGGGGTTCACGTCTGCGCCTGCTTTCTCATCTACGTCGCCGCCACCATTNGCAGATCTGTGGAATAGATCAACAGCGCCCCCAGCCTGTGCTTTCCTTGCACGAGATGCACGCATGTGTTTCTAACCGACCGATGTTCGTCTTGCAGCAAACAAAGCTTCTGCCCTTGCCAGGCTCACTCTTTTCCCCAGCCGCTGCATGCTGTATCACGGCCAATCCGATGGTGATGCGTCACCATGATGACTTGTGGCGCCTCCCTCCATACCCTGCATAGGCTGCATTGCCTTGATCTTGGTCCCTCGGTCACTGACTGACCCTAAGCCCTGTCAGCACTTCATGTTAGATCAAGTCGCTAACCGTTTAAGCGACGCATTGTATGGACAACCGCAATCTTCAAGTACGAGTTTGATTCTCGATCTGATCACTGGACATGTCTGCAAGCACTCGTGTCACGGTATCGTATGTTCTGTAAGTGAAGCCCGTAGGGACTTTGTGCCTACTTTTCAAAGCCCTTCTCGGAGCCGTGTCCTGTAACCTAAAACGCAAGAAACGTAGCAACCTTGAGTTGAGCCTCGCCAAGGGTTGCCGGCTCTCCTTCACTACACTTTGCAGACGAGAAAGAATGCTTCCAACGATTTTGACCACTGAACTCGATTGCTTTTGTCACTCGTTGCGAGAGCGAACCCGATGATTGCATACACCTGTAGCAACCTCATACAGGGCCGGGTGTTTTCTGCTCACATTTATCAGGCACAGCTGGGTTGCAAACCATTACCGTGACGTTGACTATCATCGGAAAGCAAAACTGTGGTGAGTAATCCTCACTCATATACCCTGACGGATCAGTACGGCTCAGCATGGATTTGACGCCTGACCGGAGACGATTCGCCCTGATACCCATATTGAGCTGTTCCTGCATGCTCGATAGTGCTTCCCCATGGTACCCCCCCTGTGTGCTAAAGTCTGTTCACCCTTGGGTTTCTACCTTGACGAAGAGCAGGAATCATTGTGAAAAGACACGATCTTCTTAGAAGCAGAGGTCGCCATGGAGAGTTGAAAGTGCTTTGCCTCTCCTCGGACACTACCCTGCCATCGAAAAGCGTTGTGCATTGTCATAGCTACCCAGCATACATGCTTTATCACGGGCTGCTCATGCATCAACAATCTCAAGTTGTTCAGGGGTTGCCGTTCCGGCTACTATGGTCAGAAGAACCGTGGATACTCAACTGAGTGCACTGATACATAGTACCTGGCTATCCAGAGTCCACCAGAAGAACAACACAAAGAGGTGTATAGCTTGAGAATAGCTAAGTTTGAGTGTGAGTTGTGATTGCCATGAACTTCGCAACGACGTCTAATAAGCTATGTCAAACATGCAACTCACCGATGCTCTACATATTGGACTTCTCTTAGGGTTCCATCGTCGGATGCATAGCACTCGACCATCAACAAGCTAATATGTCACTACAAAGATTGAATATTGTTCCTGTTCTTGTAAACACGCAGTGGAAGAGTATAATGGTATTCGTTGTTGTTGCCTATCTATAGAAGCCACAGCAGCCACATCAGGTCTTTTACTGTGTATAGCATAATTTGCTTTCCTCCCAACCTAGCCGTCTATCCTATAGATGAAGCTTTTGTGATGGATCGACTGTCTCGTATTGCCAGTAGGCCGCGCAAGGGCGTTGCAGCGATGACAGCCACATACCGTTTACCTTTGGCTGATGGAAGTGGCTTGCGATCGCGATAGCCACAAACATCCGATATGCTTCTGATGTAACCAGAGATGAAATGTTGGAACCAACTCAAATAGTCAGGGGCCTTTGCTCAAAGTGGATTCTCAAAACTTTCCGAGGGATTCCGGCTGAATGTTGACGTGGCCAAGCAGTGGCTGTGAAAGGGTGCGGTGCAAGTGTCGATTGTGACAGGGTGTCAAGGGCAGTGAGGAGACTTGTTCAAACGACAAATCTGAAGTTTTGGTTTTGGATGAGCCAGCTCTTGCCTTCGCCGGTCTTGCCTTTGCCCTTTGCGCCGGCTTCTTCTTTGTTGGGGACCAGGACCAAGGTGTCGGAGAAGGCGCGCATTGGACCCTCCTTGCGCTCGATCAACCGTACGTAACCGCTGACCTGGACAAGGATGCTCATGTTGTTCTCTTGCTCCTTTGGCTTTGCTGTCTTGTCCATAGGGGCGAGTGCTTGGTTCAAGACGTGTGCGTTGATGGACTGGACCTCGAAGAAGGTATAAGGCATCTGTGTTGTGTAGGTGCTTGAGAATTCGTCAGGGTCGGAGAGGACGGTGCCGTTGTAGGAGATCTGTGGCAGCAGTTTTCCGGATGGCAGGACGGTCTTTGGGACGTAGTAGTCAGGCAGGGAGCCACGGGCGCTGGTCAGGGCGACATAGTATGCGTCGGTGAAGGTTTCGGCAGCNTGTTGGTATGGTTAGAAGATGGACGTTTGTCGCGTAGATGGATAGGAGATACCATTCGCTGAGACGCGAGTGAGGGCGTCCTCTCCGAGTGCAGCAGCCATGTTGTGATGTGTTGATGTGCGTTAGAAGAGAAATCAAAATATTGTTACTGTCACATGCGAATGAGGAATGGAGCTTGGACCAGCTTGGACAAATGTTGGTGACTGTCTTTTGTTCACGGCGCATTTTCTCAATGACTCCTCTGCTACGCTCTTTCGGCTCACGCTCCTGGCGACCGCAATCGCTATCCTCGACATGTGCGCCTCGTCTCGTCCGCCCTCGCTTTCTGGCCACGAAGTCTGCGACAGATGAGACTAAGCCTTACTATGTCACCACTCCCATCTTCTACGTCAATGCCGCCCCTCATGCTGGTCATCTTTACACAATGGTCCTCGCCGATGTTCTAAAGCGATGGCAGGTGCTCAAAGGGAGGAAGGCAGTTCTTNTGACTGGCACCGACGAGCATGGAATGAAGATTCAGCAAGCCTCAGCAAAAGCCGGAAGCGACCCAAAGCCTTTCTGCGACAAAGGCGCCGACATCTTCAAGAATCTGGCTGCGAGAGCCGAGCTCAGCAATGACCACTTCATCCGGACTACTGATCCTGCCCACAAGGAGGCTGTCGAATACGCCTGGCATTTGTTGAACGAGAGAGGCTACATCTATCAATCTAAGCACGAAGGCTGGTACTCGGTCAGCGATGAGACCTTCTATCCTGAATCTCAAGTCCATCTTGTACTGGATCCTCCCACCGGAAGAAAAGTCATGGCCTCGATTGAAACTGGAAAAGAGGTCGAATGGACATCAGAGATCAACTACCATTTCCGACTCTCTGCTTTCCGCGACAAACTTCTAGCATACTATGAGGAAAACCCAGAATGGATCACTCCTCAGGCCAAGATGAAGGAGATTGTGTCTGCTGTTACTGCCGGTCTAGAAGACCTGTCTATTTCACGTCCATCATCAAGATTGACATGGGGCATCCGCGTGCCTACTGATCCCACACAAACCATTTACGTCTGGTTAGACGCCTTAATCAACTACGCGACAGCTGCTGGATACCCCTGGGCTCCTGGTTCGGAACACGTTGGCGGCTGGCCCGCTGACGTGCAAATCATTGGCAAGGACATTCTCCGCTTCCATTGCATCTACTGGCCTGCCTTCCTCATGGCTCTTGACCTTCCTTTACCAAAGCGCTTCCTAACACACGCTCACTGGACGCTCGGTAAGCAAAAGATGGCCAAGAGCACTGGCAATGTTGTGAACCCCTTCTTTGCGCTTGATCGCTTTGGCACCGACACTATGCGCTATTACATGATTCACGACGGCGGCATCGACAATGACGCAGACTACGACAACATTCACATCATCGAGCGTTACAAGAAAGGTCTTCAAGGAGGTCTTGGAAACCTGACGGCCAGAATCACCCGCGGAAAAGGTTGGGATGTTAGACGTGCAATCGAAAGATTTTCCGGTGATTATAAATCTGCTTCGCCGTTCGGAAAGGGACATGCTCGCGAAACCGCAATCGTCGAGTTTGAACAGCTGCTTGTGGAACTTCCACAAGCTGTAAACAGTCGCATGGAAGCTCTTCGACCAAACCTTGCTCTTAAGGGTCTGATGGACAATATCTATGCGGCAAATGCTNTTTTGCAATCACAAGCTCCGTGGGACATTGCCGCAGGACTCAAGAAGGGAGAGTTGGTGCCCAACGTCTCATCCAAAGAAGATGCCGAACGCCAAATGGACTACATCATCTTTTTGAGCACTGAGATGTTGCGTCTTGCTGGAATCATACTTCAGCCAGTCATGCCTGCAAAGGCCAAGCAATTACTTGATATGCTTGGTGTCGCGGATGACAGAAGAAGCTTTGCAGACGCTCAGCTGGGTGTGGACAAGGATTACGGCGTGTCACGTTTACCACCCGGTAAAGGACAAGCAGGAGTTCTCNTTGCACCTCTGATGAGCGATTCTTAGCGAACAATCACAGCAGATTTTGTGGGTAGCTGGGTTTTGTAAGATAATTGTATCATAGTTCGTAGAGTCATGACAGACGTGTTTTTATCGCCTTTGAGAGCCTCGTTTCGCTTGTGATGTGCCCCCTGAGTATCTACTGAGGTGCACGCATGTTGGCCTTGACTCTAGCCAAAAGCTCCTCCTTTGTTGATGAGCTGCTGGCCATGAGGTTACGACGATTCAACCATCTTCTCGTTTCTTCCTCTGTCCAGTTCTCAGGTTCNTGTTACGAATGTCAATAAGTAAAACCCCCTTAGATTTTGTTGTAGCGTGTATTGCACTCACCACCAGTGGGATCAGGCTGCTGAGGGAACATGTCGCTGCCAAAGATCGACCATGCTGCTGATGCGGCAACCAGACCTGCGAATCCGAAGAAGAGGTTCTGTGGGAACTATATGTCAGAATGGTTTGAAGATGATATCTGAGGAAGAATAACTCGGACCTTGGAGTTGAGTGCTCTGTCAAGTTGAGTAGGCATGATGAATTTGATCAAGGAATTTCGTCTGGAGAAGTTGAAGTTGGAGTGCGCGAATAGAAACGTAAGTAGTAAGTAGGTTGAAGTTTCGATACTCTGTCTGCCTAATCTGAGTACATCTACGTTGTCCTCTTCCAGAGGGTGTGGTCAAGAGAGTGAGAGGGGTCCAAGCGCACCTTCCCCTTCTCCCACAGCGCTCCAAAATCTTGGCAACCAACAGCTCGCTTAGCCTATCCCACAGAAACAGCAGCTTGCGCCCCGATTAGACACCACCTCTGCTGCCAGTTAAACGCATCAAAACACACCGTCAACATGCCTTCCCAAGTTCTCGACATCAAGCAGTTCATTGAGATCTGCCGCCGCAAGGACGCTTCCTGTGCGTTTTTAGCCCCAAACCCTTGAGCTTTGGAAACAGAGCCAACGAGAGAGAAAGCGACAAAGACTGATTTTTGGATGCTGCTACAGNCTGCCCGTGTCAAGAAGACCAACGCCCAGCAGATCAAGTTCAAGGTCCGCTGCAACCGTTACCTGTACACCCTCGTCCTCAAGGACCAGGACAAGGCCGAGAAGCTGAAGCAGTCTCTTCCCCCAAGTATGCGACAAACAAACAACCAGCTCAAGAAGCGCGAAATCGGCTAACCACTTCCAAAAAAAAAAAGGCNNCTTACCATCTCTGACGTCCCCAAGAAGAACCAGAAGGGCAAGCGCGTCGCCAAGTAAACGAAAAAAGCGAAAGAACAATGTGTCAATAAATTAAAAGAAAACACCACACAATTTCCGCTTTGTTGCGACTCAGAAACCCCCAAACGAATAAAACACGAATTCATCTGACCTCAAAAACCTGATTCGATGTCCCACGACCAATGCGCCTGAATGTCAAAAGAGAAGAAGAAGAAGGAAGCATACTAGATGAAGAAGTGATCAAACTGCAAGAGCTGTGAATAAGTGCAAGCAGAGGCAGCATGTGAAATAAACAAAAGTGGTCTTGTTCTCCATCGACGAGCACCGAATCAGAGAAAGAATGGCTTTCACAGGCGTCAGGAGCTCTAAAGCTGCAAACGTGATGAATTGTTCCAATTGCGACAGTGGTATGCATACATTCCGATGGTTCTTTCTCGTAGCCTGGACTGCTTGTATCCAGTGTGTAGTATCAGCGGATAAGTATGCACTCTATGCACTCGTTCCTCTTCGTTTGGTTTCCTATTATCCACCGGTCTTTTTCTTACTTCTCTGTAACAAGATCATATGCACATGCCCTTGTGGTTTCTTTTCCGCCTTTTCACGTCTTTCTGTTTCTATCAGAATTGAACGTCATAAGTGGAATGTTGTCTTTCATTCATTAGGAGCAGCCTGTTCGTGGCTGGAACAGTGGAGCCATCGAGCAAAGCCCCAGACCGTCAATATCAATTATGCCCTCGAGCACCAATGGCCATTTTGCGTCTGTTTTTGATGCCTTCACTGTCCATGTTGAACAGCAAACTTGTACTGGTCCTTGCGATCCAGATACACAACCTTGTCAGTCAATCCTGCCTTTTCCATTTCCTTCTTGAAGTCATCCAGGGGGCTCAGGAAAACATCATAATCANNCTATTGTTAAACCAAAATTAGCCGTTATCTTGATTGGAAGAAGAAGGATGATACTTACTCGTAGTGGATAGGAATGGTCAGATCAGGGTTGATCATTCTGACAAGCTCGATGCCCTGTTTTGCGTCCATGGTTACCATCAACATTGGAAGTTTTGGCGATGGGATTGTGGTGCCGCCCAAGTGGATCAACATGAGATCGATGTTTTGACCCTTGTAGCGTTCAGGGATTTCCTTGAGCTCGTCGACCATGAGAGTGTCGCCTGAGATGTAGATTCTNAGCTCACAATCAGTCATCATGAAAAGCATGCATCTCAGAACTTGTAGCCAGACATACCTGTATCCATTCTTGAAGCTGTCAGTAGAGCTGCCATCGCCCTCTTTGTAACCCAGCTCCAGCATCCAGCCATTGGTTGGAGGGACAGCACCGAGAATATCGTTGGCTTTGCTCAGCATACCCTGAGGTACATGTTTACCAGGCATACCTGTCACCTTGACAGCCGGCACTTTCTTGTTTGTAACTTCATGTGTGGTTCCAGATTTGCGAATGTCGACATACATGCTCTGGAAGAAGTCGAGATCGTAAACCCGGCTGAATGACTCCTCATCACCCTTGGAGGTAAGGTGGTCTTTGGCATGAGGAGTGGTGATGATGGGCAAAGACCGGCGAAGTGAGGCCTCAACCTTCTCATCAAAGTGATCCGCATGGTAGTGAGACAACAAAACTGCATCGATGCGAGGAAGCTCGTGCAGATCAAGTGCAGGATTGGTCTGTCTTGTGCCTGTCACACCAGGTCCGAGATGTACGTGGTCTCCAGCATGCAAGAAGTTGGGATCAGTCATGATACGAACACCTTCCCATTCTNNCTGATCTAATTAGTCTTTACTTTCATAAGCTCAATTGAACTTGGTTCTCGTAACTTACAATATCGTTGTCGCGGTACCGACGAAATACAGACTTGCATTCTCTCCGCCAGCATTTGTAGGGTGGACTTTGGTCTCCTTTGCATCTGGTAGACTGCTGGGGTAGTTTTGGTGATCGCGAGTTGGTGCCTCGGCGTGAGAGGGATCGAGAACAAGGTTCTTCGTCATCTTTGAGGTTGCTTTGATGCTGTCCGTTGCTTGCGATGAGAATCTTGTGTTGGTATCAAAAGACATAGGTGCGAACGATTTTGACAAAGAAGGATTAAGGCAGGAGTTTGCTCCTTCTTCACTTGACTGGTAATAATAATGTCGACTTCATCACCACGTCACTGTTGTCATACGAATGCGGGCACTGCGGGGTGCTGTCAATCAATCGAGGTAGCGATAAAGACCGTCATGTTCTCTCCACCCCTACTGTCCCTAGCAAGGATGTCGTTGTAGACCAGCAGCGAGACATACATGTATGTCAATGATTAGGAAGTGTCACGAATGACCGTCGTCGTTTCGAACATGTCGGGTTGACTTCGCCGCATGCGCGGGGATCCAACTGCTTTGAAATCTGTCTTCCGCTTTGCCTATTCCACGTACATGGCGTCTACCTTCCTGTCTCAGAGGTCATGCCTTCGGTGCGACATATACCAGAAAACAAACGAAGGTCTCGCACGGGATGCTTGACGTGTCGCAAGCGGCGGAGGAAATGTAAGACATCTCCCTTCTCATCCACTTCAGTAAGTTCACAGCAGTTACTGAGAGCGAATCCAGGCGATGAGGNNGGGAAGCCAAGTTGTCAGAATTGCTCTGAGAGGAGCGTGACATGCAGATATGGTGACTTGACATTTGTATCAGATGGACCGCGAAGATCCTTCGCAGATGGTGACACGTCGCAAGTAGACGTCGGCGATGCCTCTCATGCTACAGTGGCATCGCCATCGGTAACAGCACCTCAGTTACCCGACGATAGTGTCAGCTATCACGGGCCCGATGTTGGTGATTTGACACTCAGCCATGTTCGGGAGCCTTCAACCCCCCAATCTATTGCCTCCAATGCTGCGGTGGTGGTTGTTGCTAGACGAAATGTCCCTGACAGCAACCTAACTCCGGCCTGGACGTCAAACGATCCCACGGATGGCATGAGCTATGCAGAAATCACGCCTCAGCAGCCAACATATGAGCGCCCGTGGCAGCAGCGTTCAATGAACAGACAATCTACACTACTACGGTTCAGATACCAGGTGGTACCTTGGATCGAATCTAATAACTGCAGGTCAATATTTGGACCAGCAATCATGATTCTAGCGCGTGACAGCAAGATTGTTTCTGATTGCATTTCTGCCTGCGTTCAATCGAGAGACGAGAGTCTTGGTCTGGGAGGCACCCTAACTGCTGGCTCGACTGTGCCCTCGAGGCTTCTGGAACAGCTGACTCACGAAGATGCTTTTACCGCAGACGTGGGAGTTGCACTGCTCTCGATCAGCAGCGTATTTTACACATCGCCTTCAGATTGGGCTGTCATTGCCTCCACCTGTGAAGAGCGTCAGGCCGAGTCTGTTCTATCGGCAGGAGGGTTCGAGCTCACACCAGAGCCTTTGAAGTCGCTCTTACGATTGCAATTGAAAATTGGTAAGCGATGATATACTCTTGTATACATATGAATCATACTGAAGAGCGTGGCATCCANNGATCTTGCAACGTCCATCGTGACAAACAAGCCTCCTTCGGCCAATCTCGTAATTCCTTCTGGAGATCTGATGATCAGCGATATTGATGATCCCCTCGCTTCTTACGATGGCTGTCTGCGTTGCCTCGCGCTCTCTCTGCGACTAGTCCACTTCGAAATTGTTCCTATGCTATCTGGCTTTCACGAGTCGTGTCTACAGCCAGTCGGTTCCCACGTTTCCAGATGGGATCGCTGGTTTGAGCTCTGGAGTAGATGTATGTCATGGTTTCAGGACCGACCTCGCAAGATGAGACCTGTACTTGAAAGCTCAGACGAAGGAACCCCCAACAAGCAACCCTTCCCCATCGATGTGTTCACAAGCGCCACTGCTCTGCAAGCAAATCTTATCATGCACATGTCAGCAGTGATCCTACTAGCACAGAAGCCCCGTCTTACAAACGCACCGTCAACATTTCAGCATCTGAGATCACGAAGCTGGCATATCCAGAAGATTGCACGGATGTTGGTCGGCAACCATTTCATTGAGCAGTGGGACCCGATAGTCATCGCTACACTATTGTCTATTTCCAGAGAAATGTCGCATCCCTCTCAGCAGGAAGCGCTTCTATCATGCTTCCGTGAGGTCTCGAAAACAACACAAATTCCTCTTGAAAAGGATATCGCCAACCTTCGCGCACGCTGGCAGTCGATCCAACAAGATAGCCTACCAAACCTGACGCACGCGTTCTGAAGAATGATAGCCTTGCGATTGTGAAGTGACCCTTCCTATTCATCGAGCATTGCTTCTACTTCTTCGACCGGTACACGAGCGCAGATTTAGGCTCAAGATTCAAGTATTGAAAGTCTCACTTCTTGGGTTCATGTCAAGATCAGCTCATCCTTCCACGGTATCGAAATCTGCGCTCCCTTTCTGGATACCGTCTTGGCAGAAGCAAATGTGCTCTTGGTGACAGCGGCACAAATGTCAAACTCCAGATTGCGAGAAGATGCCTCAACGACAAGTACCGAATACATGCCGATGAAGGTATCACCAGCAGCAGTTGTATCCACTACATCGACCTTTGCNGCTGGCACAAAACCTTTCTGCCCTTTCTTGCTCATGTAGTAAGCACCTCTTGCTCCAAGTGTTATGACGAGATTTTGAACGCCCTTTGCCAAAAACTTTGAAGCAGTTTTCTCCACCATGTTGAGATCCTCAAGTTCAGCCTCCTCCACTTGTGCAAGCAAAGCCACTTCGGTCTCGTTCAGGATCAGGTGTGTCAATCCATCGTATGCTTCCTCTGGAAGTTGGATTGCTGGAGCTGGGTTCAAGAGAACCGGAATCCCCGCCGATTTAGCTGTTACCAACGCCTGCAAGACAGTGTCGAGAGGGATCTCTAGTTGCATGACCAACAGGGAGGGTTTCAGGTTGGCAAGATTGGTGACACTTTCAGGTCGCAGAGAGGCGTTGGCACCAGGAGTGATAATGATCCGGTTCTGACCAGTGCGTTCGTCCACCATGACGATGGCATTGCCAGTCGTCGAGTGCTCGGTGTGACTTTGTCTGCACACAACCTCCGAGGTATCGACACCATACGATTGGAGGCTGTTCGCTAAGGTCGAGCCATGAGCATCTGCGCCGACGGCGCCACTCATGACCACTTTGATGCTTGCGTCTTCTAACGTACGAGATCTCGACAGTTTCGCGCAAGCTACCGCTTGATTGGCACCTTTACCTCCGGGAGAGACATCAGAGTGACTTGACGTGAGTGTTTCGCCAGGTAAAGGGTGGTGGGGGATGTAGTAGACAAGGTCGATGTTCAGCGACCCGAGGACGCAGATTGTTGGAAGAGGTGAGACCATTGTCAAAGCTGCCGCGAAGTCACGGTCAAGATGTGATCTTGCAGTTGGTATGCAAACAATGTCATCTTGACTGGGGGTGATCAGAGCTTTATAGCATCCAAATGAGTGTCGCGACACTGGGTGGTTTGAAGCGAGCAACCTTGTGGGTCTGAGCACGCCCCACACCTTCGAGTACTCCAACCCGAACTAGTGGAAGGCTGGCCCCGCTGCAACCAGTAAACTGAAAACAAAACCAGATGCAGATGCCAACTACACATTGAAAGACTTCGCCAGGGTTGTAGAGTTATGCCCCCAGTCAATCACACCTTCATATCCCCACTCGACCTCGAGATCTCTCAACCGCCACAAAGCCGCCCATCCAGTCTCTCGCTCAACACATTCTAGAAGTTGAGCTATCTTCTGTCGCTCACTACGATGCGTGAGCAGCCTACCTGCGGTATAGAGAGGTTGGATCGAGTTCACCATACTCCCTGGGTGTGGATTTGCACATGAAATGCCGCAGACTTGCCTGGCATGCCACAGCGATAAAGTCTGAGCATCAAGACCGCTCCCAGGTGGCTGCATCTCCAGCATCAGGATACAAGCAGCATGATATACTTGATTGCTTGAGATTGCTGCCCAATGTGGAAAGGTGATAGATGGGAAATTGAGCTCGGCGTCTTCATCGACAAGAGCAATAGGTTTCATAGACGCAGGACGCTCATCGAGCCAGAACTGCAGGTCTTGCCAGAGCTGTTGCCATTGTTCCGAGAACGGTCTCTTATCTTTAGAATCTGTGCGACCAAGCTCCAGATAACTTGTTCTGCGGAATTTTAGATCGCATACTCTTGCGCATGAGTATATCGCCCAATTGGCATGCGCGTCATGTGAATCTCGACTCTTTTCATGAAAAAGCGACCTAACCAACTTCTCGCCGTCTTCTGGCGATACTACTGAGCGATTCAGGTCTGGTACCCATTTCGAGAGTGCCAAAACCATAGTCTCACTACCATCAGATGTAAGACTTCCGCACACTTCCATGCGCGCATAGCACCAGAACACTGCTTGCAGCAAGCCTCCTGAGAAGCCATTGACACCGAAGACTTCGAACAGAGAAGCACAACCTTCGACATGGCGTCTCCAGTTTCCTGTTTCGCTAGACATCAATTCAAATACAGCAAGAATGCAAGCCGTCACCAATGTGACCGAGTCTTTGGCTTGAAGTGCAGGTGCCAGCAATCTTATACTTTCTTGATACAGTTCGAGGCTGTCGTAGTATCCTTGCACCATACCTCGCCTCTCCATCTGTCGCGACGAAAAGGCAAGGATGGCATAGAGCAGAGCAGGAGACCTCTGAGCGACAAGAGGAACTTCGATCTGGAAGTGTTGCTCTTCGTCAAACTTGTCTAGCTGCGGCGCGCACTCAGTTATCCAGTTTTGAAGATAGCGTACTAGGCGTTCTTGAGGTATTTTGACTGTTGCGGTCGAAAAGTCCAAGCTTGGTGATGCTTCAGACGAACCAACTTGGACGATACGTGGTTGGGTAGGAGAGAAATCGTTCAAGCCATTGAAGAGCACGGATCTGAGCTCCTCGTGCAGATTGTGGAACCGTGGATCCATTGACGGGTCCTCAGATCGCCATAACGCTTATTGAGAAGAACCTGATCAGCTGTCGTGCATGATATACCGTTCAGGCGTGAAGGGCGCAAGAGAAGATGTTAATGTCAGCTCCGTCCGAGTGGCCGTTGCCGAAGCCTTACCCAAAAGAGGGGTCGTAGCCACGCTGCTTGAGGGTCAGTGCGCTTATGCCCGCCGAGATCCGACACGCGAAAATCTGTGTGGGGTAGGTGGCACAAACTTGGCTCTTCTCGTCAAAACCAGAGTCTAAATGCAAACGATTATGGAATATCGTCGCGTGACAGCGTTACCTTGGAGCACCAACCATGCACGACTTGTGGTAGTATCTGCAAAGTGCATGCGGATCTCAGTTGTCCAGATCATGCCGCTTCGCGATGCTGCAGCAACAGGTCTATGTCTTGAGTATTGCCATAGTCTGGCTGCTGATTCCGACTAAGGACTCTATTCGTTCAAGGCAAGACAGTGTATCAACGGCAGTGGTGCTTGGCTTGAGATATTGGAAGATAATCATGTTGAAAGTCTTGATTCATTATTCTCTCTCGCAATTCTTATTACCGCCTTTTGACACACGCACTCAGACCATTATCTCCTCTACATGACCCTTTTCACCCTTCTCCACCTTGATCGCAAGCATGCTGACCTCCTGTTTGGCTTCTCTAAGAAGTGCGGCGTCTCTTTCACCAGCCTGACTGTTGAAGACACGGTCCATCTCTTCCAGAGTGGCATTCTTGGTCTCAGGAAGGCAGAACCACACCCACACAATAGCGCCGGCAAGGAAGACGCTGAAGAAGATGTATGTGCCCCAATGCCATGCTTTCAACATGGGGGGAACGAAGAAAGCAATAGCGAAGTTGTTGAGCCAGTTTGATGAGGCACCTATTGAGAACTTGAGTCAGATGATTGGGGTCTCACAAGAATTATGACCGAAGCATGTTGTTTGCTTACCGATTGAAGCGCCCTTTGCTNNCCTGATAGAGAGAGGGAAGATCTCGGAAACGAGCGTCCAGGACACAGGGCCCCATGTTGCTCCGAAGCCTGCGATATAGACCCAGATGAGAGCGACTGCAGTCCAACCAGCGGCGACGTGAGCAGGCCAGTCGTGACTGAATTTGGCTACGATGATGCCGACGATAATCATACAGACTCCCATGACGACAGAGCCTACCAGCAACATGGGCTTACGACCCACTCGGTCAATGATCAACTGTGTGTCAAGTTAGCGGTTTGGAGATGGCATGTTGGGAACGTTGGGAACGCCCAGGCTTCAGGTTGGGAACGTTCGAAAGGGACATACCATGGCAGGAATAGTGCTGATGAGGAAGACTACTCCAGTGACACCGGTGGCCAACAGAGCATTTGTGCCACCTGTAAGGCCGAGACTAATGAAGACGTTCGATGCATAGTAAATAATTGCGTCAATACCAGACCACTGCTGCCAGAACATGACAAGCCATGCGGTACAGATGCGCTTGAAGTTGTCCATCGTTTTGAAGCACATACGGTACTGTGCGAATTGATGCTTGAGGCGGTTCTGGCCTTGCTCAGCAAGAGCAGGGAAGTCACGAGCAAATGCCTTCTGTTCGAACAGTGCTTCCGCTTTGATCTCGAGGTATTCGGCGTCGACTTCATCGTGGTCGATTGGGAGTTTGCGCAGCCAAGCGAGCGTGTTTCTGGCTTCATCATCACGGCCCATCTTAACCAGCCATCTGGGTGAGAATGGCATGAACCAGATGCCAACAGCAAGACAGACAGCGGGAATGCCCTGAATGATAGAAGGGAGACGCCATGCGAGATTCGACTGGCCTTCGCCGGTGCCACCGATGTAGTTGGCGCCGTATCCAACCCAGAAAGAAAGCATGATACCAAGAATTGTTGCGAGTTGGTAAAACGATACAAGCTTGAGATCGTGTCAGATCGGTAATCTCTTGAGAGACCAATATCGTTGACATACCATTCCTCTCATGTGAGGAGCCGAAAGTTCAGCATTGTACAGAGGTCCAACACCACTGAAAAGTCCAACGCCAACACCAGTAAAGAATCTGCCGGCATACAGAAGTGATGGTGTACCAGGCTGAGCACCGACATAGAGAAAACTGCCCAAGATGACCCAACAGCAGGCCACAAACATGGTGTATTTTCTTGAGATGAGCTCGCTCAAAACACCAGCTGTAAGCGATCCGAGAAGACCACCGAGTTGGAGGACCGAAGTAAGCCAACCGGTGGCTCCAGCAGATTTAACAACGGAAGGAAAATTCTCAGTGAATCGGGTCATGACCAATGACTGGCCNTACATGCAAGGGTTAGCTTGGTAGAGTCTCAGCGTTATGTCCAGAGACCTACCCAAAACGCCTTGCTGGTAACCATATTCGAAACCACCAAGNCCTGTTCAAGTATAAGTAGATGACTCTCGGAGTTGGAATTGATGTGTGCAGGCTTACGAGGCGAACAAGGCGATGAACAAGACCTTGGGGTTGCCCCTGATCGATTGCCAGATTGTCGCGTTCGAGTGTCCACTCATGTTGTCAGTCTGTCAGTGGGAAGACACGGAGTGTTGTACGATCGAAAACATCTTAAGACAGACCGGCCGTCTCTTATATAACTCTCTCCTAGATGGACACTACGCGGGAATCTTTGCCTTGACACATCACTTGCATCAACTAGCCCCGTGGGCAGCCCCAGAGAAGGATTTTGCGGAGTCTGGTGGCTGGTCGTAGGCTACGACCCCTAAATTCGGAATAGTCTGCTCCATCCCACAGATACCACGAGACAGTACACAACCGTCGAGGACGGCACCGTCCGATTATTGAGGAGAAAGTCGTTCATGTACGCGAGAACCGTGAGTGGTCAATCTTGTTGCCGTGCTTTTAGAACGCCATACCGAAAGTCTTTCCGATATGCCTGAGCGACACGTCAGTAAGTGGCGGACTGTTCTGGTTCACATGAGCCGAGTGGTCGGGTTGAGTGGCGTGTTGTGTACATAGCGAGCGAGCATCAACTCCAGAAAGCTTTTGGCAAAGAGAAAGTACTCCTTGTTCATGTCGGAGTTGGTATCGGGAACGAAGTGCTTCTAGCTTGCTATTTGATCTTTCTATTTCCTGCAGATCTACTCCACCCTCACTCCAGCTCCAACTCGAAGTGCTACGCACGTTCTTTGGTATGCGATAGACCTTCCTGTCATGAGAAGTATGATCAAGATAAGTTGTTGTTATGTTTGTTATGGAAAGAGTCTTTCAGGATAGTCACAAGCATGAAGAGAAGTAGCCAGGAGTATCAGCGTGTGGGTATCACGCTACCAATATCCTTGCTAGACTTACCGCGTGTTGTGAGCAATCAGTATATCTAATAAAGTCTTTTACCTTTCAGGCAAGAAACGTGGAAAGGTAGAACTAAGCTTTGAGTGCCGTACACTACCGGTATCTCCATCAACCAGCTTCTGTGGATTCCTAGCCGCAACGTTAATTATGTCTGGCTGGTACCCGCATGCTCCCAAGGATGTCGGTGAATCCTACGATGGGAAAGATACTTCCTGATCATGGGGAGCCTTAAGACGTGACTCGGCAGCTATGCCGAGAAAGAGCGGTCAGCCGATCTCGGACTTGACTCGACCACTATATGCAATGTCAGGCAATATAGCTCATGCATACAATAGCTGAACTCCCGATTTACATACGGTGAATAGCGATCCTCGAAGAGGATCTCAGATGCATGTGGGAATGTGAGACCTGGGGGATCTCCAGCACATGCAGCAAGATGCAGGTACCAGCACACAGGATAAGTTTCAGATCATTACCAAAATCGCGTTCTTCTTTGACTTCAACGAAAGGCGGTGCGACGGACAGAGAGAAAACAAATGTAACTTTCAGAGATAAATATGTGCAACAAGGGTATAGAGGAGCATTATGGGCGTTGAGGGACATAACAAAACCCTACTCCAAAACGGACAGAAGAAAGGAAAACTTTTCGTGACTGGGAATCCGGTTTAGTAGGCGGTCAGAGTTGCGTTGCTGAACCAGTCAACGGCAGCCTTAACGACCTGCACGTCCTGGTCAACTGAGCCACCGCTGACACCAATACCACCGATAAGGTAGTCATCCTTGTAAAGAGGCAGACCGCCACCAAAGACGACAAGACCACCGTTGGTCTCTTCGACACCTGAACATACAATTAGCTCGTGTGAAAACAGACTTTCAAACGAAGGACACGAACCGTAAAGAGGACCCTTCGCGGCGGGAGTCAGGTCAGCTGTTGAGTAAGCACCATTGAACAGAACAGTGGTGCGGGCCTTCTTGATGCTGATATCAATGCTGCCGGGGAAAGCATTGTCCATGCGGTGGAAAGCGACCAACATGCCAGCAGGGTCGACGATGGCAATGTTTTCGGGAATGACAGTGTTGGCCTCTCTCACTGCAGCAGCAATGATGGTCTCAGCTTCGCTAACTGAGATGACATGTCTCTGNATAATCGTCGTCAGTACAAAGTTTTCGAGAGATGTTGAGATGATCAAGCGGACCTGTGCGGGAGTGCTTCCAACGCCGTTGGTGGCAGTCTTGTTGCCAGCAACAGGGGCTCCCATAGACGAGCCCAGGAGCAGGGTGAGGGCGAGAAGAGACTTGATAATGGCCATTTCGAGTGTTGGTGATGTGTGATGATCAGATTACAAGTCTCGAGATCTGTAGAGCTTTTATGAAGTCGGCACTGAGGTTCGTAGAGGTGGAGGATTGAAAAAGGAATTGCTCAACTCAGTGGGGCTATAGTGTCTTTTGTATTAGACATAATGTGGTTTCTACTCAACCGCCAAGACGAACAGGTGAGTTGTAGTCTGGATTTTCCGAGGGCTAACGGTTTGCCTAAACAGTGGAGGCGGTGTCATTCCGAGTGTTTTATTAGTTGCCAATGTGTCTGACAGTGAGGGCTTAGGGCGATCAATGGTTTCGCAATACCCGCAAGCGAGGCCAACCGGCTATGCGAAACACTTTCCTGGACAACCGCGCGTGTAGGCATATTGTTGCGGACGAATCCTTCACGTTTCAGCCGCGAGTCATGGTATACAAGACCCTGTATGATCCGAGGTCCGTGGTCTCGGTCGATGTAGTCACCGCTGTAGTCCTTAAGACTAGTGGCGGCGTGGCGGCGTGGCTGCGCTTGCTCTCTGGAAGTCGTTATTCAGTAAAGTTCTGAGCTGTATTCTTCTGGACCGAGCGTGCATATGTTGAAAGCTCTAATAGATGGGTCTTGACCAGATGAGGAGAAACAAGCGATTTCACGTGGTTTGCAAATTGGACGCGCGCCCACATATTGCGGAGCGATCGATATGCCTCCAGATGGCATTCATCTGAGAGCACGTTGCGACGTTCAGCGCTTTATTCAAATTGGTAGCATTGAAGCTTGATTGCATAAAATCTGTTAAAATAGTATCCGGTTAAGGCAGACCCGTGGTTGCGAAACAATCGAACACAGAACGTTGGCCGTGCTTACCGTCTTCCGAAGCTCTGCCGTTGCTAGAGCCTCGCTAGATCCAAGCATTTGCTCGATAGCGGAAGTGCTAGCTATATTGTTAGACAGAAGCGATGGCTTCCCGTGAGTTGTTGCTGGACCTCGATTTGCGAGATGGACCAATTTCGAGATCATGAATTTCGGGGCTCGAACGAGAAAAGGCGTAAGTTCAACCTCGCTTCTGTGATAAAAGGGTGATAATAATTTGCGTGCATTTCGATAACGGCAATTGCACAGGCCAAGGCTTTCGGATGTTGTGTACAGTGAGGTCTCAGGCTCCGTTCTCCAATGCCGAGCTTTTTACGAGCTTCTCAGCTTGCTTCTTGCACATTTGTCGTTCCTCGAATGTCCGCTACTCAGCATGACAATTAATCGTTCTCTCTAGCCGGATCTGCCAGTCAGCGAGTCGTGCAGAGACCGAACGTTGGGCAAATCTTGGATACCAACACAAGCGCCGTGGAGTGCATCGTAACAAGTTTGTAACTGACCGTAGCATAGAGCATAGAGATCTGCTACGGAGTATCGAAGGTCGGCTCATGTCATCCGAGTGAAAGCGACCCTGGATCGTGAAAGTACGAGATCTGTCTCGCTTGGTTGCAATGGATGTTCACCGTAAGCTGTCTTGTTACAATATGAACGCTACGTGCATCCTCAGCTGGAATCGATTGTCTGTTGGCAGCCGCGGTCTGGCCATTCCACTGATTGGTCGTGGAGCAGGCGTATACTGTTGAAACTTCTTGTGTTTGAGTCAAGGTACGATGTGGGGCCATCTCGGAAGTCGTCATGTTGCACATGTTGTTGTCAACACAAGTGTATCGTGATGCTAACACCAACCTTCTTGAGGGTTTGCGGCCTGAGCATTGTCTGCAAAATCGCAGCATCTCGTTAAGAGGATTCCTTGCTGGTCCTCTATGCATCCGTTGGTTTCCAAAGCGGATGATAAGTGATGTCTATCGTGGAAGGAAGTCCTGGACTGTAAATGCTGTTCAGATCAAGTCCCCGCCAAACAAGGTCGCCAAAGCCTCGGCAATGTTGTCAGCTTCATCCTCTGCATCAGACCAGAGCTGTGTGCAATCTGCATCAACAATAATCTTCTCTTGATCATTGACTCGGACTAGGATCACACAATGCCAGCTGTATCAATCAACGCGCCGGCATATGCCAAACCCGAGGATGGTTACTTCAACCTTGGAACTTACAGCCGCAAGATCAGCACCAAGAACCCCGAGGCCCAGCTTTGGTTCGATCGCGGCTTGATTTGGGCATATGGGTTCAATATAAAAGAGGCTTCGATATGTTTCGAGAAAGTCACTCGTCTAGATCCCGAATGCGCCATGGGATATTGGGGCATCGCCTATACAAAAGGACCTTATTACAATAAGGCGTGGCGACTTNTTGACCCAAAAGAACTCAAGGAAGCTCTTGTGATCACTTACGAGACATCGCGCAAGGCGCTGGAGCTTGCGCACAATGCAACACCTGTCGAGAAAGCTCTAATCAATGCTATCGTCGCTCGTTACCCTCAGAAGACACCAACCGAGGATTATCAACCCTGGAACGTGGCTTACGTTGACGCGATGAAGGAAGTCTACGAATCCTACAAAGACGACCTTGATGTCGCTTGTCTATACGCCGAGTCGCTCATGGTCTTGACACCTTGGGCTCTATGGAACATCCACACCGGAGAACCTGCGCGTGGCGCTCACCCATATGAAGCAAAAGAAGCATTGGATCATGCCTTTACGCTTCCCGGAGCTTGGGAACACCCTGCCCTATTGCACTTCTATATTCATTTGATGGAAATGTCGAAGACACCGGAGTGTGCTGTGCAGGCCGCAGACAGTTTGAGAGGTCTAGTTCCTGATAGTGGGCACCTTGAACACATGCCTTCTCACCTGTACGTTTTGATCGGCGATTACAGGGCAGGTATTGCTGCCAACGCTTCTGCTGTTCGCGCTGACGACGCCTACGTGGCCAAGATGGAAGGCAATGAGATGTATACCTTCTATCGCGCCCATAACTCACACTCACTCATCTATGCGGCTCTGCTTTCTGGCAAATCAAAGGTCGCCCTCCAGAACTGCACTCTTATGGAGAACTACCTACCAGAAGAACTTCTTGCGATCGAATCCCCAAATATGGCGAATTGGCTTGAGTCTTTCCTGGGCGTTCGAGCCCACCTGCTTGTCAGGTTCGGCCGTTGGGAGGAGATTATATCATTGGAGATGCCGAAGAACAAAAAGCTGTACTGCGTAACTACAGCTACTCTCCACTACGCCAAGGGTGTAGCCCATTCAGCGCTTGGAAACATTGCCGAAGCCGAANAAGAACAGGAGCTCTTCCTGGCCGCACAGAAACTCGTTCCTGAGAGTCGTTTCGATTTCCCCAACAAGTGTACCGATATCCTCAAGGTCGGTGAGGCCATGCTGGCTGGCGAGATCGAGTATCGCAAGGGCAACATCGATCTCGCTTTTGAACATCTAAGAGAGTCCATCAAGCGTGACGATAATCTCGTTTACAGCGAGCCTTGGGGGTGGATGCAGCCTACACGTCATGCATATGCCGCTCTGTCTCTTGAGCAAGGTCGCGTCGAGCAAGCAGCGCAAGCATATGCAGAAGATCTAGGGTTTGTCAGTAACATCCCTCGCGGTCATCAGCATCCAAACAACGTCTGGGCCCTGGTCGGATACCGTGAATGCTTGAAATTGCTGGGCCGCGAGGCCGAGTACAATCAGCTTGAGCAACCGTACCAATTGGCTATTCAGATGGCAGATATACCTGTAACTTCATCCTGCTACTGCAGAGNNGAATGAGTGAGCAGATAAAGAGCAAGAAGATCAATTGCAATGGCTCCTGCTAACCTTACCTTAGAGCCGGACAGCTGCGGTGCTGGTAGAAGAAAGTCCAAATTATGAACTACAATCAATCTCCGTTCGTGTACCACATCATTCTACATGCTTCTCGTTTGGCCTGTGCTATACTGCCTTCATGCAATAAGTCTAGGCACTCGTAGATACGACTGGGAGAATCGTCGAGTGTGTTCATGTTTCTTTGTCTCAGCTTTCTCATCCATACAAATTCATCATGTGCGGCTAACAATGCCTTTGTTCAAAATATCCGAAGCATCAAAGAAGACGGTCAACACAGTTGACATACAGTGTATGTCAAAGATTCCATTGTTAACTAGAGCACTGCTCGAATGGTCAGATGCTCAATACAAAGTCCTCGGATCTGAGAGGCAAATGTTCCTCCTCCACTCGCACAGAACACTAAACCAACAAGCCTAATAACATACCAAAACGCACCACCCACCCAAAAGACGCCATTCCCATCCGGATTCACCAGCCTCTACCCAGAATGCCCGCTGACAACAAAAACTCAATGGACATGTCCTCCTTGAGCAACGCTCTCAACGAGATCCCCGTTACAGCTAGCAAACCGAGACGCAAGGGTAAGATCACAAGAAACATCCCTTACGAGCAAGAGCTTGAGGCTAAAGCCAATTGCACGTATGTCAATCCCTACTCGGCTGCTGATAACAAGAAGATGAACAAGTTCCTTGATGGGCAGGGCTATGAGGGTCCTCGTGATTGAAGCCTGTGCGTATGAATTTGTCGAGATGGGAGAATTGCTTGGGTCATGATGGAGGATATGCTGAGAAACAGAGATGATATCCCGATCTGTTTGACCAATTTGACTGATCCATGCCCTGAAAGCTAGTACAAAGATCTGAGGATTTGAGGATTCGAGACGTTCCACCACTGGCAGCGTGAAGAGGATTGGTGTGGTTTGCGTAAAATTACGGTTCACGGGAATGGGGTCTATTGTTGGAACAGTTGCCGTTTTTGATTCAGTAGTGGGCAAAGCAAGCACCTTTGTAGTTGAACACTCGTATTTGCAATCAAAATACAGTGTAACCATTCCAGAACAAGAAGCCAACATCTACCACAATACTCACAAGAGCATATCCCAGTTTCATCTCGATAACACTCCAGATCCATAATGTACCCAATGGAGGCGCCTGTTTCATGACTGCAAAATAGTCGTACGTGTTGCCAGCATAGATCATATAACAGCCTGAAGCAATGGCGACAGCCAGACAGAACAACTGTCTCAGTGTTTGGAAGCGATTCGCCATCTCAAGTTTCATCATGTAGACGATGAGAAACAGGATTGGGTATGCGATGATGGTGCGCTGGATGATGGCAGGCCAGCTGATCTCTTGCGCATACTGATTGAACACCAATACATCCAGAGTGAAATGAACCATGGCCAGACTTGTGGACAAGAAGAAAGCTTCTACACCAGGTCCCATAATGACATCGTCGTCGTTGCTGTCTTTGGCTGGTAACAACACTCGTCCATTCTCATCTCGGGCTAAACCATCACCGAGGGATTTTTCGAAAGGTTGGCCGGAAGCCATCATGCCTTGAAGTGCAGCAGTTCGCTCGTCGGCGATATCTAGAAGTGTTTTTCCTTTTGGACCAGATCTGTCGGGTTGAGCCATTGGGATGTTTCCAGCGGCATTGATGGTTGCTGCTGAAGGATGTTTGCCAGATTCTTTTGCGGCGGCGCGACGCTCTTTCCTGTTGCGTGGCTGTTTGTCTTCGTCGGCCATGATTCGCTTCTTGAAGTTTCGACACTGTCTTTGTATTGTTTTTCGGAGGGCTTTGTTCTTTGATGGTCAGATGGGGAAATTTAGGGGCACCTTTTTGGAGAGTTGTCGTTTCGGCCCGGGATCGGCACGCGAGCATCGATCGACCTCTCCCGAGCTTCATCTCGCCTTGTTGAATCGACACCACATCAATCACAAATGCATCAATCATAATCTGGAATTTTTGAAAAGTAACTTCAGTCGAATCGAAAACATGGAGACGCGTGGTTTGTGGTGGGCGGCAGTACCCATCATCATCTCAATCCTCTGGCTCTACACCAGCGTCCTCACCTCCTCTTTTCCCATGCTACGCAACAAGCGCATCTGTCTCTTGATAGCACACCCAGACGACGAAGCAATGTTTTTCGCCCCTACAGTACTTGCCCTCACACGTCCCGAACTCGGCAACCACGTTAAAATTCTGTGCTTGAGCTCTGGAGACGCCGATGGCTTGGGCCACATCCGCAAGCAAGAACTGGTCAAAAGTGGACTACTACTAGGCTTGAGAAATGCAGACGATGTGTTGGTTCTGGATGATGAGAGGTTTCCTGATTCGATGACAAAGACTTGGGATAGCAAGGCAATTGCAAATCTGCTGGCTTCCACGTTTGCACCGAAGATGGCAAAGATGGGGGCAAAGTCTGCTCCCGAGGCCAACATTGATGTTTTGATTACTTTCGACNATTGGGGTGTTTCTTCACATCCGAACCATATTTCTTTGTACTATGGTGGTCTTGCTTTCTTGAAGCAGATTATGCAGAAGCATTCCGGCTGGGAAAATCCAATCAAAATGTACACGTTGTCGTCAACCAATGTGGCCAGAAAGTACGCGAGTATCATGGATGCACCGTTGACACTTGCCAGAACGGCACTCATGAAGAAGGAAGCTGGCGATTTTCCTGCTCCGCTGGTGGTCGTTAGCGGCGTCGGCGGATACAGAAAAGCACAGAAAGCCATGACGAATGCGCACGAAAGTCAAATGAGATGGTTCCGATGGGGCTGGATCAGTGTATCGAGATATATGGTGTTGAACGACTTGAAGAAGGTCAAGGCGACCTGAAGAAGGAACAAAGGAAATGGACATATTTGCTTATTGGAAACATCTACACGGCAGTACGTATGCTGTGCAATCAACCAGGGGGAACATGCAGCCTTATGGCATGATTGTTGCCCTACATGCAGGTTCTGAGACAGAACAGACGGGTTTCCGCATGAAGGCTAAAACACATGACATGCGCCAGCGCAGTCTTCTTAGTATTGGCCGCCACAAAAGAATCAAGCAATTGGGCAAGAGCCAAGCAGGAGAAGCAATATGCCAACTTTCCGAATATGCTTGGTCGAAACAAGACCCAACAATCAGGCTATTGTAATCGTTACATGGCCTGAGCAAGTAGCACTGGAAGAGGGGATCCCAGCAAAAGCTGACATATCTGCACGACCAAGCGCACAAACGCCGAAACAATACCTGTTTCTTCCAAGACTTTTTGATGTAATCGCATTGTTCACAACAGCAGTTCTGTTTTAATGCTTTGCATTTCTGACCGGTTTGCCTTTTAGTGACTCTTTTGCATTCTTGTTCAGTCGTGGGTAATTCGTTTTTATTGTCTCGGCACGTTTGCTTTTCCCACCTATATAGCCTTTTTCTTCTCTTTTCACAATATCATGGTGTATCGTCCTTGTCGTGTCTCAGTCAGTTACTGAAAAGACACACAGACTTGTCGAATTGCAACAGACGTCCCGATCACTGGCGTAAACAAGATGTTTTCTCTCATCAGAAAGATCAGCAGTTCGCAGCATGCCAGAGACAACATGGCAGAGCAGTCAAAGAGTGATGACGATGACGACAAGCACGAGTCCGAGCAACAAGAACAGCAGCAAGAAGAAGTCGACGGCACTAGTTACGATCCCAACGCAGACCCGAGAGATCCTGGAAGATACTACACTTTTCCACATTTTGCTGAGGAGTAAGTCATGGATTTCCAACTTGGTCGTGTTCTCATTGGACAAAATTGTAGTTGTGAAAACTTTCGTGTCTTTTGATGGTTGTATAACTAACATGAACCAGTANAGGGAGAGTCAGAGACAAGTCAGCCAGGCCCAGGCACCCCTGAGCGAGACCCGGGTACCTCCTATCACGACCCACAGGCTCCTCATCGCGATCCGGGTACCTCTGCAGACGACAACGACCAAGCCTCCGTCAAATCATCCACCACCCAAAGCACCCCAATCCCAAAATCCACAAGTCCGTCAAGTGCAGAACCAGCTTCTCCACCTTTCTGGCNNCCATATCTCCTCTTCCCTAAACGAGTGCGCCCTGAACCCTCTCCCAGCCAGTCATCCCCAGTACTTCAAAGACGCGCTACGACTTCTCAACCCTCATCGCCACAAATTTCTCGTCTGCAAACTCCTCGTAGAGCTTCTGCTCAGGTTCCGACTCAGCCTAAGTCGACATCGAGCAGGTATCACTCTTCTCCTGCTGCGCGCTCGTTGAGGAGTATCTCGGCTGCTCAGTCGCCCAGACCCGAGATGAAGAAATTGGGATCGCAGGGTTTGGGAGAGACAAAGGAGGTAAAGGATGGTCAGTCGCCTGCGAGAAAGCAACAGCAGCAGAAACGTCTTTCTTCGCATTCTGNNCAGGGGTCGCCTAAGAGTGATCGTGGGAAGATGGGATAGTGAGACCAAATACGGAGTACTGGAATCCTCAGTTACCAAGAAAGGGGAGACAGAGCATTCTACGTCATCGACAGACCAATGGAGCATTGCAAGTGGCAGTGAAGACACAAGTGATTTGCTGGTATAGCTAGCAGACAGATTAGTTCAAGAGAGAAAGCTGAGGAGATGTCCAATATCGGCACACGATGAACATGAAGTGGTAGAGAAAGCTTTTGAATTTCTTTTGTTTCTTCGTTTCGTGAAAATGATGTGGGGGATATAAACACGGAAAAAGTGGACAAGATAACCTAAACACTGATGGTCTTGAAAACGTTGAAACCATTGCCTCCGGTGGCCATAAGGGCACCGGGAATCTGAGGGTGCCAGTGTGACTCCTTGATCTGCTCCATGTAGTGGACGAACAGCAATTGTGGCGGTACATCTTGAACACCAGCGGTATCGCGCGACTCTTCGTCGTCGAGCTCGACAGCCAGATCCCAGAGGGTAAGAGTGTTGTCGCCAGAGCAGACAGCGACAATAGAGTCGTCGGTGGGGTGCCACTCGACGCTGGTGATCTGCTCCTTGTGGAATTTGAACGAGGCGACCGAGTTGGGCTTGGGTGAAGTGGTGACTGAAGGCTTCCATTGACGCAAGTCCCAAACAGCCCACTCACCATCTTCATGACCTGAAGCGAGCAAGTGGGTGGTGTTGCGCGACCAGGACAGAACATTGACATCGGTGTTTGCGACTTGGACGCTGAGAGCAGGTTTGCGCGACTTGGATCGAGCATCCCAGATCTTGACGGTTCCGTCTGCAGAGCCAGATGCAAAGACATTGCGCTCTGAAGGAGACCATTGCAATTCCTCAACGGAGCTGCTGTGGCCGGTGAAGGGTGTTGTGTCAGTGACAAAACCACCACCCTCGGTACGAGTAGTAGCAAAGATGCGACCATCAATATCACCAGTCAACAGCTTGCCAGCGGGGAAAAGTGGTGACCAATCGATGGCGTAACCTTCGGTCTTCTTGTGTGCGCGGATGGTGCTAACAGGCTTGTTTTGTTGGGCGGAAATGGTCATGCCAGGGTTGTCGAACGAGGCGAGGTGAGGAGTGACATCGTGGATGAAGACGTCGCCAGACTCGGTCATGACGGCGCTGAGGGTGGTGGGAGGAGTAGATGATGAGGCTTGCGGGGTTTGGTGGACGCGGATGCGGTTTGTGCATGTGTTCAAGGGAATGTCCTTTGTCTCGAGAATGGGCTCGAGCGATTGTTCGTCGTCATCGTCGTCTTCGTCCTCGGACTCTGATTGTTCACCGCGATCCATACGGCCCAAACTGCTCATCTTCATAACCATGATGCGGTTCTCCTTTTCGCTTCCTCGTGCGGCCTGGGTACCAGCGACGGCGTAGACGGTTTGAGGGTAAGATTTGCGGTTATCGCCGAGCTGGTCCTTGACGAGATCGAACGAAAGACATGGCCAGGGAGCTTCCAAGTTGTGCAGCATCTCGTATGTCGAAGTATCCGGGGCCAGTGTCTGTCCAGCTTCGAGTTTGTGTCGTCCGGGAATGAAAGTGTCTTGGTCTAAATCCATGGCCGCNTGGAGTTCATCAGCATGAGTGGCTCTTTCAAAGACAGCAGTATACACACCCTCACGCTCCTCAGCTTCGCGCTCCTCGTCGGGTCTGCCGTCGACACCAGCCTCGAGAATCTCATCTTCGCTCTCGAACTCGTCTTCAAACTCGTCTTCGAATTCGAGGTCGTCGGGCTGACCGTCCTGCGGTCTCTGACCCGACTTGAGGGCGCGGACCTCGTCCTCCTCGGATTGATCTGCTGTGCGTTTGCTCATTATGTGTGGTGGATGTGTGGCGTGGAATAGAATGCGTATAAGAAAAAAAAGGCTCAGGGCGCGAACGAAAAGTCCAAGGTCTTATCGATAAGCATGACGCTCGGAACGGGAGTCTGCCAAGACATGGACCAAACATGCAGTGGGCGATGGTCGTGTGTGGCTGGCAGGCGGGAGCTGGAGGGGTGGAGCGGCCCCAAACAGCGCAGCGCATCCATCTTGCTGCTTGTCCGCATACACAAACAAACCTGCCCTTCCCTTCGCATCCATCCGTCGCCAATCGCACAAACATCTGCTTTTCTTTGAGAGAAAGCCATCTGACCTGGTGTCTCCTGTACCACGCGCTGGAACGTGTAGTGACAAGTCTCGATTGACTTGACCGCTTTGCGCTTTGACTGGTAGACGAACAGCTTCGACGGCCTAGTGCCCAATCTTCAACCACAATCCACTGTCACCACCATCCGTGTTATTTCTTTAACTCTTATTGCTCCGACGAACATCAGGCCGCCCGCCTAGCAATTCCACCACATCAAACAATGGATTACTCAGAGCCTGTCCCGCAAGCCTCTCCCTCGCATGATCCCGCCCTGGAGGACGCGAGCATGCACACCGTTACTGCCTCATCTGTCAACGCTCTGCCCCATATCCACAACCACAACATCTCAGACTCTGCCGACTCTACTCGTCGACCCCAGACATCCTACTCCGACACTGGCTTTACTTCGCATTACCAATCACAAGACAATACCCCCGACGCCCAACACCACGAAGATCCGATGCAACAATACCCCTCGAGACCGAGCTCTCGTCTAAACCGTCAGAACAGCGACTACAGCGATCAAAATGCTCAACGACAACAAGCCCAGAAGAACGCTAGCGTTGTCATCAAGGTTGGAATGGTCGGTGATGCGCAAATCGGCAAGACCTCCTTGATGGTCAAGTACGTCGAAGGCAGCTGGGACGAAGACTACATTCAAACTTTGGGTGCGCAACCAATGTCGCTTCCCAATTCACACAGGCGCTAACAACATCCCANNGGTGTAAACTTCATGGAAAAGACAATCAGCATCCGCAACACCGAGATCACCTTCTCCATCTGGGACTTGGGCGGTCAGCGTGAATTCGTCAACATGCTACCCCTTGTCTGCAACGATGCCGTCGCCATTCTTTTCATGTTCGACTTGACCCGCAAGAGCACACTTAACTCAATCAAAGAGTGGTACCGTCAAGGCAGGGGCTTCAACAAGACCGCGATTCCATTCCTGGTCGGCACAAAATACGATCACTTTGTCAACTTCCCGCGTGAGGAACAAGAAGAGATCAGTATGCAGGTACGTAACCCTCTGAACCTGGAACATTGGGAATTAAATCTAACGTACAAAGNNGCCAAGCGCTTTGCTAAAGCAATGAAGGCAAGCCTGATTTTCAGCAGTACAAGTCACAGCATCAATGTTCAAAAGGTTAGTCTTGGAAGTTCTCGGGTCAAATCACTGTTGTACTAACGTTCCGTAGNNATCTTCAAGATCGTGCTATCAAAAGCATTCGACCTGCGCTGTACGATCCCTGAGATCGAACATGTAGGCGAACCATTGCTCCTCTACCAGCACGTTGGAGAGTCGCGCCCTTAAATTCGAACAATCCACCTTGACTGGCCTACACAACGCATACCTATACCAGCAAAAGCCATCGAAGTTGTCTCTATAGGCAATCGACAGTACTTTGGCCTTTTTTTCTCTTCTCGTTTCTCTAATCACTTTTTTTTTCGGCTGGGCTTTTACAAGAGAAAGGAAATACAACACAGAATCTTTTGCATTGGATTGGAGAATCAAAGGGGGTTTGACACTTTCTGGGCCACAGGGCGGGAGATTAAAGAGACGAGAGCTTCCTTTTGTTTTTTTTTATGTTGCATGCTCGATTTTAGCGATTAAGAAACCACGGCGTTTGTTTTTTGTGCTTTTACATTGGATGAGAGCCTTTTCTTTCGTCTTTTATATGAAACTGCTCCTTCTTTTCATCTGTGTTCGCTGCGTAGTTTTGTTCAGCTCTAATGTTTACCAATTCCGTTACTGTCAGATATTGGCTTGCTAGCAGATGCAGCATATGAATACTCAAATCGATCATACGCATATCTCCACATTGATGGACAGAGGAGAGCAACATAAGAAGAAAGAGAGAAGAATCTGAAAATTCCAGGAGAAAAAACAAAAGGTCTCATGTCTTCTCTAGCAAAAGACAGAAAGAACAAAAACAACGCCGGCCCAATGAGTTTGGAAAACGAAAAACACTGCACTTTCCGCCAGGGGGAGAGGAGACATTTTGCTAGATTCCTTTCTTTCAGTGCTGCATACTTATTCCTGCGATTGCACACGACATTTCAAGAAATTGTCTAAGGTTTCTTGCCGCTGCTTGTTAGATGCTTTCCTTCGTTTTCACTGTCGTCTTCACTCCATCTTTCTTCTTCGTCGTCTTCACCACCAACGGCGAATATCGTCTCCCCGTCTAGAGATTCTCTAGGTAATGAGGCTGGTCGTGTTGGTTTGGGTGCCGGCAGTGGTGAAGCATCACGGTTGGCTGCAGAGCTTGAAGCGTTGGTTCTAGGGGCATCGTAGGCGGGTGGTGCGCCTTCGAGATCAGGGTCGTCAAAGTCTAGGGATGAGCGCATGCTGGCGATTTCAAAGCCTTCGTCGTCTTGAGCGATCNNTAGTGATTTTGTTAGTAGGGTTGAGGGTGATTGAGAGTTAAAGGGAAAGCATACCTCGTCACTCATGGCGAAGCGGCGGTTGTTTGCTGTGGGGCGCCAGAGCCAGGCCACAAAGGCCACGTCTGCGAGGTATACTAGATTAAGCCAGCCATCCAAGATAAACCAACGCGACGACCAGTGAGTAGGTACGAAATCCTCATCGCTGACGCCAGCAAAAGTCCAGCTGTTGACGAAGAAAAAGACGAAAATGACGATTATGGAACCGAGGATGCACCACCAGAGCTTACGGTACATCATGGCTTTGATGGTCTGTTTGCGCTCCATTAGATCCTTCATGGTGGCATTGAGCGAGTTAAGCGTCCAGATGTAGAAGGCTGTCAGAGTACCTGCGAGAGGCAGGACGACGAGCAAGACCAGAGGGCCAGCATTCTCAGGAGTTACAGATAGCGAGGCAATGACATAGACGACGCCAAACACAAAGTGGGTGATTGCCAGCCAGCGAACCCAGATCATGGTACGACCCAAGCTGGGTTTTACAACACCATATCCCATGCACACGATCAGCAACAAGAAGAAACTGAATGAGTTTCTGCCCGCTGAGAGAACCGAGACTACGATGAGCAATGCTTTTGCGCCTGTGCTGAGGCCATGTCTGTTTTGGAAGTCGTAGAAGAGCCATGTCATGAAGATTTCAACGACAAGGAAGACCAAAATGGCGGTTATGTAGTTCTGGACAGGCAAGATATCATGCCTGTTCTGGAAGTAGAGGAAAGCCCAGCCAGCGGATGCGAGGGCGTATACCAGAGTAAGGGCACCGTAGAAGGGCAGCTTTGCGATTTGAGCAGCAGGCAGTTCACCGTAGCTGTTACGGAATTCGACTATGCCATTGTAGTTCTCGGCCGTATAACCATATGTGCCCACACAGTAGTATCCAGTACGCTTGATGGGGTAATTGATAGCAGGCGGGTTCTTGAGATGTACGGCCTGAGTAATGATCAAACTCTTGCTCTTNTCCGAGTCCTGAGACAGAATGAACTCGCCCTCCTCGGTCGAATTGCAAAACTTTGCTTCGATGGCGGTGGCGTCGCAGATGTATGCGCGATCCGAAGTCGTGTCGTCCATAAGTTTACCGACATAGTTGCGATCTGACCACTCGAACATGACAAGCGATACGACGGGATCCTGGTCTTCGGGTATGTCTTCTGGCTTGACGAACTTTGTCAAGATGAAGGGGTCTACAGCTCCTCCCCAGCCCTTGCGACTGAACATGCCCGAGCATTGTTGTCGGTTTACTTCTTTCTGGTCCNNTGAGTGAAGCGTTAGTGTTCTGGTATTCAGACTCGATTCAATTGAAGCTGCGGTGCATACAATCTTGACCTCATTGCCCTGAACTCCAAACGCTAGCGACGTTAGTAGTGCAGCAGTGCACAATTGGTACCATGATCGCATCATTCCCTGGCTCTCTACTAGAGACGAATGATGTTATATGTAAACACAAGGAGAAAATCTGTCTTCTCTGGCTATCGCAGGCCCCCTCGAAGCTCCCACACGTCAGCTCCAGACGCGTTCGCGGGTCCAGCTGCTCCGTGCAGATCGGACTTAACGCCGGGTCGATTTTAGACTTATGTGAGGCGGTGCAGAGACAGGTCGTGTGGCTAGAACCTTCGCTGTCTCCTAGCAGTGACATCAATCTGTGGCTGTGCCAGTGATACTTTCCAAATGCCATCATCATGTGGTGGTCGACAAGCAGGTTAAAACCAAGTCGTGCCGCTTGCCAATTTACGTGCTACCAAGTCATTGTTGCGCTGGCAGGAACATCAGAGTGTTTTTACGAGCAACTATTCGACCCACGCCAACTCATACAAGCGCTACATTCTTCTGCAGTTCGTCGTTTCCCTCAGCAACCGCCTGGAAGCTTGACGCCCAAGTGCTGCTTCCCCTTATCGTCTCACCACGCGCCGTATTACAACAAACTCTTGAGACAACCTGATCCAAGACTTCTTTGTCTACTGGGATTCATTACTATTTTTGATCTGCCTTGATACGTCGACGAGCATACAAAAACAATCACCGCTCTAATCGATTCATCATTTCATCAGCAACCAGAAATCAAGAAACACCACAAACATGGCTGCAGCAGTGGGAAAATATGCCGCCAACAAAATGTTGCGCGGACAGATGAAGAAATATCAGAGCAAGCAACCTTGCGGCGATGAGGTAAGTCAACCACATCCTTTTCCCAGACCATGATATACTTCTACTGGTTCCTTTATGCCATGCGTTGATCGCAAGCTAACTTGGTGTTCGAAGGACCCATTCTTCGTCTACATCGACGACCCACGCAAGCCCGGAAAGCAGAAGAAGGTCAAANAGACCGTCCCCTCATACATCCCCGAACACGATGCCAATGTTCTCGCCAAAATGCGCCGTCGCGCTTACAGAATGGACATGGCGCTGTTCGAATTCCTGGGTACACGCTTTGGATGGTCTTCTGTTGTTGGAATAGTGCCCGCTGCAGGCGATGTCCTCGATGCTTGTATTGCTCTGTTGCTCGTCAAGGGCTGCATGAAGGTCCAAGGCGGTCTGCCAATGGGTGTTCTGATCCAGATGCTCATCAATGTCGCCATTGACTTTGTCATTGGAATCATCCCTTTCGTCGGCGATATTGCAGATGCATACTTCAAAGCCAACACCAAGAACTGTCGACTCCTGGAGAAGCACTTGGACAGTCTGTACAAGCCCGATGCTCTCAAGGCGGCTAAGACTCGCTCAGGCAAAGCAAACCACCCAGCCACGGCATACGAAGACTTTAGCGACGAAGAAGATGACCGTAGAGCGTTCCTCCAGGAGACCCGTCCACGCAACGATGGTGCACACGACGTTCGCCAGCCTGCACCGACCGCTGACCCTAGAGCAAAGAAGTCGGGAGGCTGGTTCGGCTTCGGCGGTGGCAACAACAGAAGGGAACAAGACCTAGAAAGGGGCATTCCTGCCGGTCGCCCAGTTCGCGTCGACGATACCATGGAGACTGGTACTGTGCGCACTGATAGAAGATGATAGCGCAAGCAGCAAGAACGTTATGAGAAGTCACGAGCAGATTGAGATATCCAGGAGTGTTTTGTCTTGTTGATCGGCGTTGTATTCATTGTTCTTTGATTGTTAGCGTGTTTTGGTTTTCCCTTTTCTTAGATGAATAGCGTTCTCAAGATACCACTGAATCATCAAGTCTTATCCACCAGCAGTTTCTCACACATGCATTCTTATCCAGTACAATCACACTAGTCTCTCAAGCTGCAGAATCACACATGAAGGACTCGGCAAGCATAGAATCAGACAGAGCATCTTGTAGAAGCTTTTGGTATATTTGAGTTGTTGAGAAATACATCTCCCTCGAATCTTCCACCTTTCATTCATTAGATCCTCAATCCACGTTGTATGATTAATAGTTTCGTCCAAAAAGTGAATAACACCAGGGTTGTCGTGAATACGCTGAGAAAGAAACAAAAGAGAAAGCAAAATAGTGATTCCTTGTGAGATCAAGGCGAAAAGATGGGCACACTCCTCATGCATCCATAGCACAAAGGCGGAGGTGCCTTGCCCTCAGCAACCAAGCCCTCTTCCGTCCTCGGTGTCAACAGCAAAGGCAAGCCGCAAAGACTGCAACTCGCGTCTCCAGCACCTACACTCGGAGCCGCTAGTTTGGCAGTCGTCCTCACCACATTGGCGACGATACTGGGATAGTTCTTCTCGACCGCGTCAAAGTAGTTGCGCATGAGTCCATCAATGGTGCTGTGTTTTGCGCTGACCACGGTTTCCAGCGGTGCTTCTGGCGCAACCAAAGGTGTAAAAGGTGGATTTACATATCTGGCATAGGCGTGGATTTCTTTCTTCAGCAGGTCGCGTAGAGGGTAGTAAAAGTCGATCCCGTAGGGAGAAGGGCCGTCTGAAACCAACCAGGCAAGTGCAAATCCTCTTCCTTTTGCCGTTTCGGCTAGTGTTTTCTCGGCCAGGCGAGTTGTGCTGTCGCCCCAGACAATGGCTTCACAGGTATCTGCTTTTGCGAAATCGACTATGAGTTTGTGGAGGAGGATTTGGAGGACATCGGCGCGGGCTGTAGCGGTAGGAATGGCTTGGAGGAGGGTCTGTAGGGATGAGAGGTTTGTGTTTTCGATGCCGTCGTTAAGGGTCGCTGGTGTGTCGATGCCGTATTGTTTGAGCAGATCTTGTACGTCTTCCACTTCCATGACTGATGATATGGGGATCGATGTGTAGTTGTGTGTTGGGTAGCGTTCTTTGATGGCATCTAGGTCTGTTGCTGAGGGTCCTTCGGGCACAACGGCAGTCATGTCAACATGTAACACTTGCAGTGTGAAACCAGTACGTCCTGTGTTCTCGATCTGGCGTTTGAGTTGCTCGTCCAGACAGTGTAACAGCGCCAATGAGGATACACCCATCGACAGAGGTAGCAGTAGCTTTCGTTGCTGGCCTGCGGTAGAGAACCGTGTGCGAAACTTTTCCATGCGCTTCACAGCCTTTGTTGCGATATATTTGCAGAAGCAGTCCCTGAGCCAGAGTCAGTACTTTCGATGCGACGACAGCTTCTAAGATGTTATTGCTTACTTGCACATAGGTCGAGATCGGACATTTTCCACCGCATCGTGCACCTGGCACTGCTTGCAGACTCCCAAAGCAGACTCTCTAGGCACGCTTGTCGGCATAGCTTCGTTAGTCCAGTGGCAGCTTTGTACAAATGGTCGGTTCGATCAGATAAGTGGTATTTTCCAGGGTCCAGCAAGATCCGATTCCTAGCGTTGGAGATATTTATGATTGGGATATCAAGAGATGAGGTTCGCAAAAGTGTTGGAGTGAAAGTGTAAGAAGGCGAAAGTAAGCACAAGAGCAGCAGTAATCATGAAAAGTGTAAAAGAGCGAAAGTTGCTCCGGGTCCGCAAGCAAAGTTTCGTCGATTCGCGCTTTCCCTGAACCTCCATTCCTTTCTTGACTCGATCAAAAAGCCGTTGGCAAAGGGACCGAATGAACGGCACCGGCACAAGACATCAAACCTTCTTACTCGTGAGACTCTCAAAGGCGACAGGGTATCGAAACTCTGTTTGCGATTATCATATACAGCGAGACTTGTATCGATTGTCCTTGGTCTTTCTGCGCTGATACTTGCACAGCCTGTTGAGTGACTCTTCTTGATAGAAATAGGTCAACATGCAGGTCTGACGAATGATGAAGCCTTTGAACCTCTCCCCTCCGCGGACTCATTCCGTCTACATCTTGTGAACCCTGCACGCTGTATGCGAATCACCAATGCACCGTCACTCCAAGTCACATCCCCTCTTCCCTCGGTCATCACCGCGACGAACCACATTGCAGTCGCATCTCCACTCCTGCGTCTAGCCCACCAACATCTCCTGATCGACACACGGAATTCTTGCAACCGTGCTGCTTTGCAGAATGTCCTGAACTTGAGTACCCTTTGAGATGCTGATCCCTGCCTGTCTGGACAAGTAAACAAACACACATCCCATGCCGCCTCTTTTGCTCCGCCTACCTCTTCTTCCACTAAATCCAAGCATGAATCGTACCAAGTTTCAGAAGTAGGCGAATACCGTGATGATCCTCACTTTCTCGTGATATACCAGAACACATCGAGAAGTTTCTCTGGGAACCACTGACTAGAGGTTCGCCAGGCGATGACAGTGGTGGCGTCTGTCCTCTGTTGCTGCAAGCCTGCAACAGCAAGTGCGAGCGCCTTTTTCGGCTCCCACCGGCTGTTTCGCCATGTGGGAGGCGTTCGTAGGATGTGATGATGATATCGAACGGTAACGGGGTTCTCCTATCTAACGTTTGTTGCTTGTCGATGATGCGAATGCGAAAGATGGTAAAGCAATGTCGGGCTGGGAAGACGCACAAAGAAATCGTTTTCTAAACTCGTCGCGCGAGGACACTTGACAACTGCTGGAAAGTCATTCTCGCAAGATCCAGATCACCAAATCAATTCGGTGTTCCATGCTTCGAGAGATATGCCGCTGGATAGAATAACCCCTTGTGTCTGATACCCACATCCCACGCTCCAACAACCCTCCGTGCCCATCGAGCCAAAGACATCGCGACCTGCCCATGCATCCCCTTCCCTCAATCCACCCATCCTCAACTCCAGCGTTCACCATCATCATCATCATCATCATCATCATCATCATCATCATCATCATCATCATCATCATCAGCAGCAGAAGACACATCTGTATAAACCAACTCACCATCAACAAGAAATCTTCATGACTTTGTGCTGCATATCATCATGCCACCAGTCGTAAAAACGGGCGGGCATGAGGAAGTCCTGCAAGTGATGACTGTGTCCGATATCACCAGTCAGATAACGGGTAGGTTGCATATATCTCGGTCTTGCACGCCATGTGTAACGTCCCCCTAAAAGGTCGGTAACTGAGGTTCGTCATCGCAAANNGCAAATGCCCAAGCCTTGTATCCCAGAGAGAGAAACCTCAAAGTGGTGACGGCTCGTTCGCTGAATGGCATGATCCATTATTGTGCCATTGTTGGCGAAGAAGCTGTAGATCCGAGATACCCCAAGATCGCCCCTGCCACCAAGGTTGTGTTGCAAGGAGACAGTGCTACAGACAGACGTACTGCCATGATGACTTTGTTGGAGCAAACCGAGAAGAAGGTGGCCAAGGAGATATTGAAACGTTGACGACACACACAAGACACGAAGAGAGCGTTGGCACAAGAGTGGTATGTAGAACATGCTTCATTATTATAAACTGTCATAAGATACTATCATCATTAATCATAGACACCATTCATCCATCATGCTACCTCAATGTCATTTCGCAATCAGAGCAGACCACCCAGGCCAGCGGGAGCAACGTACATCCATGAGGTGACAGGAATCCATGATCCAGTTGGTGCAGGTTGTCCAGCCACTGATGTAGGGGTGATTGAGACTGAAGTCGTGACAGCAGCGACGAGTGCCGAACCTGTGCCTGCAGAGACAGTGGCCATAGTGGGTGCTTGACCGCCACCGAAGAGGTTGAGACCAACACCGAGAAGGTTGCCGAGGTTTGCACCGGATGTTGGAATGGCACCAGCGCTCAGACTGATGACACCAGGAAGGGAAGCCTGAAGACAGATGAGGTTGCTGCATTGACTGGCTCCAACGACCGAAGAGACCTGACTGGCGGCAGAGATGATGGCGTTGATGTTTGTAGTGACAGCTGGTGCGGCAGCAGGTGCATTGCCACCTCCGAGAATCTTGACACCAACGTTGAGTGCAGATCCACCTGAGCCTCCAGTCGGAACGGCAGCGAGATTCAAACCCAAGAGTCCTGGAAGGGATGCTTGAAGGCAGACGAGATCTGTACAAGTGGCGACGGCTCCGTTGGTAGCACTGACAAGGACTCCAGAAACTGGGCTGGGTGTACCAGTGATAGATGATGGCAAGGCTCCACCTCCAAGAAGACCACCGAGGAGACCACCCACAGCTCCTCCAAGACCGCCGGCGACACCTGAGACGGCTGCTCCAGCCCCAGAGACAGCACCGCCAGCTGCATTTGCGACACCAGAGACAACGCCGCCAAGGGGTGTAGGTAGAGCTCCAGCAACGCCGCCGACCACGCCAGTGACAGCGCCTCCAACACCAGTAACAGCACCTCCGACGCCTGCGCCAACGTTTGAGACAGCACCGCCAACATTTGAGACGACACCTCCAACGCCAGAGAGGACACCGCCAGCGAGGTTGCCGACACCTGATGCGAGACCGCCGACACCTGAGAGGGCACCACCGACAACGCTGTTGACACCTGAGACGACGCCACCCAAGGGAGTAGGAAGACCATTGGCAACGCCACCAAGAGCTCCAGTCACAGCACCGCCAACGCCAGAGACGAGTCCGCCGATTGGGTTGCTGCCTCCTGAAGTAAGAGGACTGAGAGGACCGACTCCGTTTAGAAGACCTGAGATGTTGGAGCTGCTGATGGGAAGACCGAGAGACATGGATCCGTTGACGTTCGATTGTGAGTTGGGGATGATCGAGGTCAAGAAGCCAGAGCTGCCTGGACTGGTCAATGGGCTAGAAGGTAGTGCGTTGCCTGAAGGAAGTGCAGGTGGGGCTGGAGGGGCTGGAGGTGCTGGAGGAGCCGGTGGACCAGCATTGGCAGGTAGACTGGCAGGTGATGCGGTGGGTTGACCAGCAGGTGGAGCAACAGGTGGTACGGCGGGCTGACTGGCCGGAGGTGCTGGCGGAAGACCTGCTGGTACAGGCACAGGGACACTGAGAGGTGGTGGGTTGGGCATGACTGGGTTGAGAATGGAACTGGAAGTCGGAGGTGAGGTAGCAGGTGGGCTGGCTGCACCAGCGGAAGTGCTGCTGGACTGAAGGCAAGATGCAACCATAGCAGCTTCGGATTGCAAAGCAGCAAAGGCAATGTCGATGAGGCCACGGAGGACGGTGACATCGCCGTTGTAGCGGAAGTCATTGACGATGGCACTGACAGTCATGTTGGAGACCTGCTCGTAAGACTGGGTCTGGCCAAGGCTCAATTGAGCAGCAGAGCTGGTGGCTGCAATGATGCAAATGCCGGTGGCAAGCTTGATGAAACGCATGGTGTCGAGTTGGATCGATGAAGCTTTGATGGATGTGGGTAAGAGCTGGTGACTGATGGAAGTCGATGGATGCTGTGATGGATGAGATGGATTAGTTGTTGCAGAGATGGAAAGTCATCGACAACGACGACGATACCTTTGATCAGGGGTGTTAATGGTACGGTAATCAAACAGTGAGTAAAGCAGAGAAGAGTAGTAAAGCAGCAAGTAAGCTATCGTTGGAAGATGCAAAGCAGTTGATGTTTGGTTGATGGAGAGAGAAGAGAGAAGAGAGGAGAGAGGAGAACGAAGCTGGAGGTTGAAGTAAACACGCCTCAACGCTTCGTGAATGGAAGGTGGGCAGGAGTTGCACCTTCCTACCTCGCTGTTGCTGCGGAAGGAAAATCCAATGATGAGATCAGAGGCTCAACGAAATTCATCAAGCAGTCGATGACTGACGACGTACATCGCTACAAACGAGCATGATTATATCAGTTTGCAGTAGACATCATGCTTCTGAATATTGGTTGAAACTCAGGGGCAGATCCCAATCTTGTCCTATGTTTCTCGAGTGAGCCGTTGAACACATACTCATATGCTTGCTAACTTCAATATCCAGAAGGTAGTCGCGATCATAGGTAGGCATCCACAGTCTACAACTTCATTCTGAACAAAGTCCATCAGCTGAACAACCCAGGCGCGAAGGCTGCTTCCGTTCAAAGATATCATCATGTCAGGACAACGATATTTGAAGTTAAGAAGATACTCATTTATTGTATATGAACTTGAAGAAGTTGAGCAATCTTTGCTTTTCGTAATCATAAGATACACACGCTCCATCCGTCACCTCCCGTTCATCATGCCATCGTGTTAGTCATAGCTGATTGTTTTCACAGATCGGCTGGATCAGCACGAGCAACGGGGAGGTTAGGGTCGTTGCGGTAGTCGAGCCAAGTCTGTTTTCCGTCGACAGTGCTGTGGGCGGCCTCGCCGATGGGGTGACCTCCGTGAGGCTTGTAACCTTCACGTTCTNNGCGTGTAGTGTGTTAGTGCTGGAAGCTGGAATAATGGACGCAAATCTTACCTTCTTCACAAGCGACTTCGCCGATACCAGTGGTGCTGGAGCCGGTCAGACCGCTGGCAATACCAGACGAAGTGCCGGTGAGGCCAGATCCAGTGCCTCCGAAGCTAGCTCCGCTGACAGAGCCGGGAGTAAGACTGTCGGCAGTGGTCAGGGAAGACTGGTGAGTGCGGACAGGGAGGGTTGAGGTGTTGCTAGATCCGTAGGTAGAGCTTCCGTAACCAGGCTCGTTGCGACCAGAACCACCAATCACCTCCCTGGCACCAGCGAGGGCTGAGTCGTTTTGAGTGTTCGAATGGCTACTGGTACCGGGCAGGTAGTCCTTGGCCTTCTGAGTAAGGCTCTCACCAGTACTGGACGAGTACCTGTCATTGTCGGAGCGACCTGTCAAGCCTCCAGATGAAGAGTGTGCTCCAGCCTTGCCAGCAGCGGCATCAGAACCTAGGTTGGAAGGAAGTGAGTCACCGCCCTCGTGTCTGGTGTTCTTGTCGGTAAAGTCATCGCCGATGCGGTGTCCACCGAGGCCAGGAGCAGTCTTTGAGTCGTAGAGATACTTGTCAGGGTTGGATCCATGTCCAATGACAGAACCAAGAGAGTTGTCCTTGTCACGTTTCGAGCCAGTGCCATATCCGGGTCCTTCCTCACGACTGCTCAAACCGGAAGCATGCTTGTCTCCTCCACCGACTCCGAAGGTCTCACGAGCCTTCTCTGAGAGAGGCTGGGAAGAGGTAGTTCTGGTAGAGGTAGTGTTGGAACCGAGGCCAGAGCCAGTGAGGCCCCTGTTTCCGCTTGAGCCAGTGAGGCCACTGCCACCGGTCAGGCCGCTGCCAATTCCAGTACCTGTGCTGCGACCTTGGCCAATGGTCGATTGAGAAGTGTAGCCTGAAGAAGGGTTCTGGGCGGAGCTACCACCAAGTCCTGATGCACCNTTACACGTGTGAGCACCTGAACAGCTTCTAAACCTCAACTAACTTGACATACCATCAACGTTTCCAGCATCGTAGGGCTCGCCAGCCTCTCCACGACCAAGCTTGCCAGAGACAGGCTCAACGCCGGATTGAGATGTACCAGTAGCGGCATTCTGGGGAGCTTCACCACCAGCAATGCGGCTGGATTCGCCCTCTGGATTCAAACAGTCAGTTTCGTGTTCTTGTGTTGAGCAAGTTGGTTGTCATGAAGAGTAATTCGGGCCATGATGTTTTGCTTCCTGATCGATTGAAGCTATTCATTGAGAGCCAATCTGGCCATAACGAATCAATGCGAGCTTCAGTTGCTGGTCGTTATGCTCTTGTGTATCCGAAACTGTTGTCGTTCACTGCCTCAACAACGGTTCGAGTGCTTACCTCTGGTCTCTTCAGCAGTGCCACCCAAGCCGACGTAGTTAGCGGCGGCGTTTGCTGCGTTTCTGATGGATTCCATGATGAGTTGTTTCAGTTGTGTTTTTTTAAGAGTGTGTAAGGGAGACAGAATTCAGAAGATTGTGATTGAGGACTTATAGCAAGAAGTGTGCAGTTCAGGTTTCGAGAGTAAACGTGAGGTCGTTCATGACGAGGGAAGGAGCTCATTGAATTATACGTCATTGGTGGGGTGACGATCTGGGGTCGGTTCTGTGAGGATCAGATAGCGTTCCCGCTTTCTGGTTCGCTATTTCAGCTATTTATTATAGGTGTACCGCAGGATAGATCGAGATGGACCATGTGTACACCGAACTTTTCCACAGAATCAAGTTTCCTGCCTCGCACCAGGAGAGGCACTGCGGCACCGATGGTTTGCTAGCCGCTGTACGTCCCCAGGTTGATGCACACGGGATAATCAGGGGTTAATGCAAGGGTGCAAGACATGAGGTGCAAAACGCATGATTGATTGATGAACTGCCCTATAAAACAGTTGTGGTAGTCATGAACAGCAGGTTGGGTATAAAGCTTGAAACCATGTTTTCCAAAAACGCCAGAATCCTGCACTCAACAGAGGTCCTCCATTTCACCATCAGAATGACACAGAAATCTATTTCTTCTTCCTCGCTTTCATTAAAGTCAGTGGGACGATTTGTGTTTTGCCCTTCGGTTTGATAGGTTTCCGACATGCTGGACATGTCCCATAATTATGATCTGAATTGCGTTGGCTTGCGACCAAGGCTTGTGTCAAGCATTCGTGACAGAAAATATGGCCTTCAATATTTTGTTAGTGTGATACTTTTCCAATAATACGGCATGAACATACCACAATGCGTAGCAGTCATGTTGGTGAAGTGTTCAAGACAGATCATGCAGTTCAAGTCTCCGATTCTGCTGATCTTGTTACTCTCCTCACGTTGCTTGGTGACCAACGCCTCACGCTCTTTNGCGAGTATGTCGTTATCAGGACCTAGCTCTTCGATCTCGTCTTCGTCGGTGTCGTCTACCTCTATCAGCTCGGGGGCAGGGNNGTTCAGACGACGCTTAGTTGCAGATGGTGGCGACCCAGGTTCTGAAGGACGAGCGCGTTTGCGAGAAGTGGTGGCAGTAGATGTTGGAACAGGCATTGTTGTAGAAGCTTCCTCTTTCACGTGCTGTTGGTCGGCAGTGTTCTGGTAGTGTGACTGTGATTGTGACTGTCCACTTCTGAAAGCACTGGCCGTACGCTCGATCGGGATGGAATGACCGATAGCTTGCTGGTGTGAAAGCGGGTTGCGAATGGAGGGACCGACAGAGTTGTTGGTGAAGGATGGACCTGCAACGGATTGGACGGATGAGGAAGTTGCCAACTGATGCGTCAAGTTTGAGTTGGCGGTATGGCGTGGCGGATCAGATTCTTGGGGCGACTGAGGTGGTGAGTAGAAGAAGTGGTTTGGGATGTAGCCAAAGCTGGAAGATTGAGTAGAAGCAGAGTTGGGACGCGAAAGCTGAGGTAGTCGTGGAACAATAGAAGGTCGTGGTAGAAAGTCGGCACCTTCCCTCAATGCAGCGTGCAAAGAAGCGGACGGAGTCGAATGCTGCTGCGGTCGGGACTGAGCGGCCGTCGAGTGATGGCTTGACTGTGTAAAGTTCGGCAAGGGCAGTCGAGGATATGAAGACGAAGACGAGGCCGAGTGTGGTGGCGGTGGGTATTGGTAGCTTGGAATAGCAGGATTCGTGGGTTGGTGGTGAGATTGGGCGTGGTCGTCAGAGTTCTGGTTGCGATTCCAAGGNTCTGTGAGAAACAGTGAGTCTTTGGTATGTGAGAGGCAGCAAGGGAATGATCGGCCGACGGACGAGAAGTTGAAAGAAGAGCCGTCAAAAGGCCAGTGGTTACTCGAAAAGACATTACGTCGTAAGGATAGCGATATCGACAGCTCTGTTGGACGACAGGCCGTCATGGCATTTTATTGCAAGAAACTACTGAGTTGTACATAAGTAGCGACACATGTTAAGTTTGCCTCTCTGCTGATTGACGATGATGATGAGGGTGATGTCGCCGCTCTGCTGCTGCTGGCCGTGTCGCACAAAGAGGCAGGAGAGGTGAGAGAAGCCTGGAAGCGCATGCTGCACACGACCCTCAGGGCTCTCTGCGAGCGTCAGCCCTGCCTACAACACGGCGGTGCTTCCAGCCTCTCGGCCATGAATGTTCCAGTTCCCGCAGTCTGCAGAACTCTGATTCTCTAAACAATCGACCGAGCGGGGCTTGGCAGACGACGGTTTGCGCTATTTGCATCAGCGCTGTCATGGCTCGGGAGCTTTGAAATCAGCGGTGCACCCAAAGGTCATGATGTCGACTGTGCGAGAAGAAAGTTCACTTGCCCCCACTATGGAGCCGCTTGAAGTTGCAACCAACCCAGAGCTTCCTCTCTACTAGGTACTCCGTGGTACTCCCCCATTCTGTCGAGGATAGCATGGCCGCCAACTCCATGCGGTCGCAACAGGCCTCGCTGTTGCGCCTCCGCCGTGTCGTCTACCCACGCCCGCCATATCCTTGCACACGACACTACGCTACCGACATTTCCCACAATGAACACCCATCGCCTGCCTCTTCTGTCGCAAATCGTCGCTCTTCTCTATCCGTCTCGTCCGAATCGCGCTTCAATGAAATTGGTGTCCAGCAGATCAGTAGCCATGTCTATTCTCAAATATTTCCCGGCAAAGCTCCACCAGCTCCCGAAGAGCTTGTTCGCTTGTCAAAGGACCATCTGCAACGACATGATCTCCTGGGGAAGAATACCGACTCGTCGGATCCAGTCGCCTTTGACATGCCCGAAATACAAGGCCAGACATTAGACGAACACTTCTACAAATTAGCCATGGATTCTGCCGAGCCATACTTAGGTCTTGCTCAAAAGTACTCGATCGCAAATGCGCCGCCCAGACCGCGCAAATGGGTCAGACGGAGTGGATGGACGAAGTACTCTCGGGATGGCTCTTCCGAGCCTGTAGAAGCTCCGGACGAGGACATGCTGACCTTCGATGTCGAAGTCTTGTGGCACCATTCATCCTATGCTGTCATGGCATGCGCCGTCAGCGAAAAGTCCTGGTATGCCTGGTTATCACCCTGGCTACTGGGTGAATCCGAGAGCGACCGCCACCTTATTCCGCTTGGAAACCCTCAAAAGCCGCGTATCATTGTAGGTCACAACATCGGATATGACAGGGCTCGAATTGCCGAGGAGTATGAGCTCGATCAATCACGTAACTACTTCATCGATACTATGTCGCTACACGTCGCTGTCAATGGAATGTGTTCGAGGCAAAGACCTACTTGGAACATGCACCGCAAGAACCGCGAGACCAGAGACAAGATCGCAAACTCGGAAGCTACGGCCGACCTGGCTGCACTTCTGCAGGCCAAGGGAGACATAGACGAAGAGGAGGAGCTTTGGGTTGGCCGTAGTTCTGTCAATTCTTTACGCGACGTTGCCCACTTCCATTGTGGTGTCACTATCGATAAGGCTAAGCGTGAATGGTTCTCAGAGCTCGATCGACAAGGTGTCTGCGATAAACTTGACGAGCTGCTCGATTACTGCGCTGCTGATGTTGACATTACTCATCGAGTTTATAAGAAGGTCTTTCCAGCATTCATGGAAACTTGCCCTCATCCTGTCAGTTTCGCTGCGCTCCGCCATCTTTCGACCGAGATATTACCTGTCAACCGGACGTGGGATTCATACATTGCAAATGCAGAAGTTACATATCATAAGCTATCAGACGCTGTTGAACAGCGACTACATGATCTAGCAAACAAAGCACTTGAGCTGAAAGACAAACTTGAAGAATACGCGAACGATCCGTGGTTAAGCCAGCTGGACTGGTCAGGCCAGGAAATCCGTATGGTCAAGGGCAAGAAANAAGGTGACGCGCCAAGGCCTGCTGCACGACAGAAGATGCCTGGTATGCCCAACTGGTATAAAGACTTGTTCGTCAAAAATGGTGCGCCCATTGGTCTCACAGTGCGCACGAGAATATCACCACTGCTATTACGTCTTGCATGGGACGGCTACCCACTAGTCTGGTCCGACAAATATGCATGGACTTACAAGGTACCAAAAGCAGAAGCGAGGAAATATGTTGATCGAGGAATCGAGCCTTGCGACATGTCTGAGGAGGAGAATCTGAAATTACGAGACGACAACACGCATGTCTATTTCCGTTTACCGCATAAGGACGGGCCTCAAGCCAGATGTGCCAACCCTCTAGCAAAAGGATACCTCCAGTATTTTGAGAATGGTACTCTCTCATCGGAGTACACGTATGCAAAAGAGGCACTGCAGATGAATGCATCCTGCTCGTATTGGATCAGTGCCAGGGATCGAATCATGTCGCAGATGGTTGTATATCGTGGAGAAGAAAACAAAACCGATCAGCTCGGGTTTATTCTGCCGCAAATCATCCCTATGGGCACTATCACACGGCGAGCGGTGGAGAAGACATGGCTTACCGCGAGCAATGCAAAGAAGAACCGCGTGGGCTCTGAGCTCAAGTCCATGGTCAAGGCACCGCCTGGTTATTGCTTTGTAGGTGCAGATGTCGATTCCCAAGAGCTTTGGATTGCTGGACTGGTAGGAGATGCATCTTTCCAGATTCATGGTGGCAATGCGATTGGTTTTATGAATCTGGAAGGTAGCAAAGCACAAGGCACAGACATGCACTCACGTACCGCTTCGATCTTGGGCATCTCTCGCAACGATGCGAAAGTCTTCAACTACGGTCGTATCTACGGTGCTGGCCTGCGATTTGCTTCTACTCTGCTTCGTCAGTTCAACCCGTCTATCAGCGACGCAGATGCAGATAACACGGCTAAGAAGCTTTACGAGAATACCAAGGGTCAGAAGACAACTCGCAAAGTTCTCCGCGAACGACCATTCTGGCGTGGAGGCACCGAATCCTTTGTCTTCAACAAACTCGAAGATTTTGCCGAGCAAGAACGACCAAGAACTCCAGTGCTAGGTGCTGGCATCACCGAAGCATTGATGCGCCGCTTCATCAGCAAAGGAGGCTTCATGACTTCACGAATCAACTGGGCCATTCAATCTTCGGGAGTTGACTATCTGCATCTCCTCATCGTATCCATGGAATATCTCTGCCGCCGCTACAACATCAACGCTCGTCTCTCAATCACCGTGCACGACGAAATCAGATACCTAGTCAAAGAAGAAGACAAATACCGCGCCGTGATGGCCCTGCAAGTCAGCAACATCTGGACACGCGCAATGTTCTCCCAACAAATGGGCATCCACGACCTCCCCCAATCATGCGCCTACTTCTCCGCCGTCGACGTCGATTCCGTGCTTCGCAAAGAAGTAGACATGGATTGCATAACCCCGTCCCACACAACCCCCATCCCCGCAGGCGAAAGTCTGGATATCCTTCAGTTGCTCGCCAAAGGAGAACAAGCCTACCTCGACCCTAATATCGTGCCCGACGACCCACCACAACCCCAAAGATTCTCGTACGCAGATCGCGAGCCTGTAATGACGAGTTTGCAGAAAGCAGAGGCGCCGGCTTATTTAAAAGCCCAAACTACAGGCAATGATGCAGAATTACGGCAAATCATTAAGGATTTGAGGTTTCCTTCTTCTGCTCCTGCTTCTACAAAGGCCAAGTCCTCCTCTGCCACCACCTCCTCTTCTTCCAAACCTAAATCTTCATCACGCAAGAAGAGTGACAAAGGCACAGACCCATACATGCAAACTCCTTCGTTGCTGATGGTAGAAGATGAAGATGTGCCGTTTGCTAGATATAGCGATAAACCCACGACATTTGCGGATTGGAGGGATGTTTCTGTGCATTCTTCTTCTGGGAATACTGCGGGTACAACAAAGCAACAAGCAAAGAAGGCGGAGCAGAATAAGAATTCGGTGGATAGGAATTCGACGTGGTATCCAGGGTTGGTGAGGAAGATTCCTAGTGCTGTGGGAAAGGTGGTGTGAATGAGTGGGCTTGAAATGGGTTTCTTTGTGGGAAGAGATGGAAGAGCAAGGTGCTGCAAGGGATTGTTGTTGTCAATGTTTTGTACATATATTTCTTTCTTGTTTCTTCTTTTGGTGTTGTTGCATATCAGGATAGGATGGCATTTGGTTTCTTCATTTGTTTCATATGAAGGAGAGCTTTTATCTGTATTCTATATTTTCCTCTCTCACTTTCTTCCATCAAACCATGCCGTGCTTTTGAGGGCAAAAAAAAATCAACCCTTCTGCTGCACAACCAAAGCAGGCCCAAACAAATCCTCTCCCTCTCTAAAACTCTTTTCTCTCGCCAACTTCTTCCTCTCGGCTTTTTGCTCATCTACCTCTCCAACTCCCAATCCACCTCTCTTGGCTTCCTCATGTCTGCTCACCAAATCTTTTGTTCCGGGGTCCCTCACTTGCTCCAGTGTGGCTTCCAGGTTCGCTCGTTCGTCTTTGCTCATTACGGCTTTGGGGTCGAAACTGGCTAGCATGTCTGCACAGCGTGCGATTGTAGACACTATGATATCGTGGGCAGCAGCTGTGGCGGCGATCTTGGTGCTCAGGTAAAAAGTAAACAATACAGGATCACTGAGTTTTAGTGCTGCGAGATAGATCTGCGGAGGGGTGAAGAGGAAATAGACGTCTGTGAGTAAGGCGGGTGCGTCCAGGATATGGCGGGCGACGGCGTAGGCGCAGTGGGCTCTGTCTGAAGCTTCCTTGGCGCCTATGGATTGNGGAGGCTGCCATTGTGTTCTTGAGCCTTGGGGTGGAGGCGGTAATGCACACATTTGCTGTTGAAGGTGTTCGGGTGTTGTGGAGAGGAAAGGAAGGGGTGCGCCATTGCCTGCTGCCAGGTTCAAGAGATCCATCAGACAACCCTTCAACGCGCGAAAAGGTTGCCGTACGTCGAGTGTAAATCGCAACGCTTGAATAATTTTATACTCAGGAGCCAACACGTCTTTAGGATCTGTCTTTATGCGTCTGGCGTATTCGGAAAGAGTCATGTGTACACCCTCGGTCTTGCTCGCCAGGAACAAAACACTCTTGTAGATTTCCTTGGGTGGGTATGTGATGACGGAATTTGTGGTGTAGAAGCGCTTGAGGTATTGGACGGCAGTGGCCTTGACATTAACAGACCATTGGAAGAAGTCGGAAGTGTTGCGGACCTGGTCGCAGTAGCGCTGTACTAGTCGAAGCTCATCTTGTGCTGAAGGTAGGGATGCCAGAGAAGACTCGGGTAGATATGTTCGAGCTTGTTGGACGGCGGCTTCATGGGTATTTTGGCGGAGAGAAAGGAGAGCAGACTCGCTGAAGGACCAGAGACGGAACTGGGTAGATGTGCGGTAAATGTCGTCCTCGGTGAGGGTTTGCGCTGGCGGTGCTGCCATTGCGGCTGAGGGTGTGGTGTGAGCAGTTGAGAGGGTTCGACTCGGACGTGGTTGTGCTTGGGCTGTTGTGGATGACGAGAGAGCTGGTCAGATAGCGGCAGAGGTTGTTGTTGAGATGTTGAGGGTGTCGGCGCAAGTCTGGTCTTGGACAAATGTTTGTCTTTGTCGAACATCCCCAGATTCGCGCCTCCACTCGGGTCGTCATTGACGCGGGACGGCGAGGCCGCGACAGCAACAAGTCCGTCGACGTGGCTCCTCCTCCTTGTGACTATCATCCTATCCTTTCTCTTCTTCTCGTATACGTAGCCTTGATATCCCTTCGTTATATCTGCCCAACATGGCAACAAAAGGCACAACCATCAAGCGCATCCGTACTCAACCCCATTCCCTCCCCAACTGAGACCCATCACTAACACCTCCCACAGTCAAAGAAGCCGCCGAAATCACAACAAACCCCACCCCAGACTTACACGCCGCTCCCTTGGAAGAAAACCTCTTCGAATGGCACTTTACAATCCGTGGTCCTCCCGAACCATCTCCCTTTGCTGGCGGCGTCTACCACGGCCGCATAATCCTCCCTCCGGCATACCCACTACGACCACCTTCTTTCCGTTTTCTCACTCCTTCGGGCCGCTTTGAACCCAATCGCGAGATCTGTCTTAGTATCTCTGGACATCATGAAGAGACATGGCAGCCTGCTTGGGGTATACGCACCGCCTTAGTCGCCATAAGGAGTTTTATGGATACCGATGCTGGAGGTCAGGTTGGTGGTATGAGTTCTCCTGATAATGTGAGGAAGCAATTGGCAGAGAAGAGTAGAGAGTATTCCTGTGCTGGTTGCGGGAAAGGTGCCTTGGCTGTCTTGGAAGAGCAAGAGGAGAGATGCAAAGAATTGGGCATTGAAGCAACAGCAGAAGAAGAGAATCCCCTGGTCGGCAAGATTGGTCTGGTCGAGCCCAAGAAGGAAGGAACCACCACCAAACCTTCAACTCCAGCACCAGCATTACCTCAGACTGGCGAGACTGTGCCTTCGTCCTCACCATCACCACCCATTGTAGCGGCCGCTCAGGAGGTCAAACCTACACCCACAACCCAGCAATCACAACCACCTCAGAGACAACCCTCTCCTCAAACACAAGCACAACAACCCTCTTCCGCTCAAACACAACAACCACAACTACCGCCTCAACCACCAGCAACCACAACAACAGACGCCTGGATCGACAAAGCCATCATCGGCATAGTCATCGCTCTCGTCCTCATGATCTTACGCCGCGTCGCTTAGTTAGATACCCCCGTCATTGTGCTTTTACTTTCTTTCTCCTGCATTCTGTCTTGTCTATTTTGCAGTACTTGCTGTTACTGAGGGTTTGGCGTTGATTTTGCTAGAGAAACACTTGAACTCCTTTTTTTTTTGCTGCAAAAGATCGATAGATGAAAATTCATGAACAAATGTTCTATTCACCCTTGTCGTGTTATATCATTGATTGACTAAATAAAATGTTTTTCTTTTCTGAGATCATCCAGATTCTTTGTGTGAAGAAATGGTGTGAAGCATACACGAATCAGTCGGGGGTTCTAAATAAACAGATCCAAAATCCTTGTCCTCGACCTCATGCGACAGAGACATGGGATATCGACACAAGTTGTATAGCTAAAGGAGACCAGTACTACCAAGAATATAACACGATACTTCAGAACATATATCATTGTGTTGGTTAACCACAATGTCGTTAAACCTCTTTTGAAGCATTGTTTAGGGTGTGACCCTGTTCCGTACCAGAGACAGGGTTACCCCAGTTGAGCACGAGCACAATCGAGTCGCATAAAATTGCATAAAACGCTCAGTCTAGCTGTATTCAAGCCATTCGAATGGACAAGCAAGTAGGAACAGCAAAACTGTCAATCTCTTCTTTGTCTACTGATATGTTTTATCAAGATATAGCTCTGAAACGTGTAATTATCTAAGGCAGCAAGGCAAAGCAACAGTACTTTTCATGCTTGCAGCCGTCAATGCTTTTGCTCAACAATAAGCAGCCCATCCGGCGAACAACACTGCCAGATTCTTCTCATCACTGGCCTGCTGGATCAGTTCGTTGACCGTAGCAGCAGTACTCAAAGTCTTGCTCAACTTCTTCTCTACGATTGCCAATGCTCTCGCGGCCTCACCGGCTTCATCTTCGGGACGCTTGCTTGCGGACCCTAACCCATTGCCACCGTCGTCGCCGTCACGACTAGGATCTTGCATTCTGCGTGCTTTGAGAGGAGATACGGTCCACGAGTATAGAGGATCGTAGCGCAAGACGTTGAGTAGAGTCATGATGGCGTCTTTTTCGGCGCGCAGGGCGTCCATGCTGAACTCGCAGCAGCGGCGGAAGACGCCTTCGGTCTTTGTCACGCCCATGCCGTCGACGATGTCACGAGTGAGGCGGAAAGGTACGACCTCGGGGATGGGTAGCACACGACCAGCTTCGAAAGCCACACCTAGGTCAATGTGAATGGCTTCACCACTCTTCTCGTCAAGTAGGATGTTGTGGCAGTGACGATCACCAAGTCCAAGAACCCAACCCAAGATAGATATAGTAGCCGTGCTGCGTGTGTAGTTCAATCGCTTCTGGAACCAGTCGTCTGGATCCTGGAAGCGTTCGAAGAAGAAATGGCGGAGCACTGGCTGGTGTCTGGCTGTCACTTCGCGGTAGACCTTGAGGCGCGTATCTTTAGGCATACTCTGTGCACCGCCGATCTTTTCGCGTGCTTTGCTTTGTGAGAGGTCTGAGGGATGGTAGTTGACATGCGCTGGGACCAAAAACTCGCCCAGAGGCATCGAATGCGGCACGAACTCGATGATGCCAGAAGTCGACGTGAGCGGAAGCACCTTGTAAGTACGAATGTGTAGGTTGCGCTGGCGAGAGTTCTTGTGTGTCTGTAACATCTTACTGACCTCTCCGAATACTTGCTCCATGATGGCGTCTTGTCTGAGGTCATCGTTGCCGCCTTTGAACAACTGTCGGTATTCTTTGCCATCTGTTCCGATTGCGACCAGGATCTTCGGCGCGCTCAAGCCACCAGCAATGCGAATCTCATCCCTATATCTGGCGACTACTGGAACGGAAGAGTAGTCGCAGTCAGGACGGAGCTCGACAGACATTGTCGCAGGTGGCATTTTCCTGGGCAACACTGTGTTGACCATTTCCTTCGCTGCAGGAACCATGTTGACTGTGATCTTGCCTTTGAACTCCTTGGGGTTCAACTTGACCTCGGCTAGGCTGTGGTAGGCATTGCCTACTGAGAAGCTCCTGCGCATGGTTTCGGTCATGTTCTTGTTTCTCCCCAAGTTTGATGCTATGCTATGAGCAGCATCGCGTCGAGAGCTTGCAGCCTGATCAGTTTCCACAATGGACGAATAGATGGCGGTGTACAGGTAATGAACACCATGATGGGGATGATCGGTGCAAATGCGTGTGATCAGGCCCGCAAGGGATTGCTGGAACATGCTTGAATCCTTCTGCAAGCGCGACGTCTGTTGATTCATCAGACCAACAAATTTCCAGCTAGGAACATTTGGTAGAGTCTTNTGCACGACCGCATTTGCGGTTTGTGAATCCGAATGTTCGAGCCATAGAGCAAAGAAGCGAACGACCGAAGGATTGAACTCGTCAGATACCATAAGAGCTCGTAGGTAGTTCTCCAGACTCTGACGCACAAACTCGTCGCGGCTGCGTCTCATCTTCTGGAACTCTTCGTCGTCAAGAAGATACCATTGGTGTACAGTTCTTTGCTGTCTCGCCAACTCCCGCTTCTTTTCCTTGGACTGGACATCCTTAATGAGTTTTTCAAACTGTCGGTGTTCTCCCAATTTACGATCTCGGAGTTTTGCTAATCGTTGAAAATCTTCCAGATTACCAGGGTCCTGAAGTTGTTGGTCGCAGAACAAAGCAAATTCGTGATAGACCTTTGCGGCCTCGGAACCAGAGGTTGCTTGGTCGAGCTGCTCAATGGCTGGTCTAAGATAGTTCGCAATGACTTCTCCAGGCTTTTCTAGACGCGCATCCGCCACCTCATGACCCTATCGTACGTCAGTAATGTTCGATCATCGGACAGACCACATCACACTCACCAATTGGGCCAACATCCCTGCCCGTCCAACCTGTATCGACTGCTTCAACAAGTCCGTCCGGGAACAAAGTTCTTGCAACATCTGCACCGATGTTGAGATTTCGCCTTGTCTCCACAAAGTAGTTGCAACCTCAAAATGGGCTGCCGCATCCATCTTCACATCAATCTCTTGACATATCGGAACCAGCCGAGAAAGATATGTTGCCGCAGTCAGAGACTGTTGAATCAAGTCGTTCTTCCTAGCGAACTGAGAAGAGCTGATGACCGATCGAGCTTCTATTGCGCGACAATCTCGGATGCTGACGTGAAGAGCCTCCCTGAGATGCTTGTTCTGACTCAGAAGACTGAAAAGAGTTTCACGACAAGAAACAATGCCTTGGGCATCATTGAANACTAGAGATATCAGTACAAAATCAGGAGCATAATCTGCTTGCATCACTTACCGTCCAATGTCCCATCCACTCTGTCGCCTTTGCATCCGATCCCAGAGGTGGGAAAGGTCAGAGGAACATCTCACGTTAGTCAACTCGTCAATTTCGTTGAGCACAGCAATACTCGACAACGTGGCACGGATTGCGGATGCGTCGAGACGTGTGTCTTGCAGATGCTGTATCGATGATCCCAGAGCTCTGTTCAGGTCCATTTGGACAGACTCTAGATGTGTTGCAGAAGCAAGTCCTCTGAACATACCATACACTGTACTTGCAGCCGAACCGTTTTCTTGAGGAGGGGCAACGTCCCACTGCTCCAATTTGCGAGCAGCATCGAGCATGGCATCTGTTGCGGCATTGGTAGACTGGCCACCTTTTTGANNTTGGAGTAGATCGTGGGTCAAACTACTCAAATTCATGGCACCCACGGAGCCTATCAGACCAAATCTATCCGACTCGTCCGCCAGTCCAGACTGTCGCAAGGATGCGTCCATACGAGCAGAGTGCAGCATCAGTCCTTTGAGTCCATCACCTTCGTGGTGGACACGCGCGAGTACGGATTCCAAAGATGGTGGTTGCTTGACACCATAGAAGGAGTCTGGGTCGTCCACACGGCTATAAATCGACAGGAGCAGCTCATTTGAGGGCAACCTTGGATCCGTGAGAGTCACTGATGATCTTCGCGATGACTGACGAACACTCTGGGGAGTTGCTCCTATTTCTCCAAGATACAGAGAAGCTGTAGGCATGTTGCACTTGTCGGCAGCTTCTGCAGCAACAACATAGTCCAGTTCCAGCCACTCGAGACGATCCATGCGCGTCTTCTCGTTAGGTATCTTCTGTGTGAGTAGATACAGAAGTGACTCTAACAAAAGTCGAGATTTTCGGCCAGTGTCTGCTTCATGGTTTTGGAAGTGTGCAACGAAAGACTCTGAAAGGTAAGTACGCAGCACTTGTTCCCTCTCCGTCTCGCAACCGAGAGCAAGATGAACGATGAACGGGAAGAGTTCCGGTGATAGTTTGCCATCAGAATCGAATAGTTTCTCTAGCTGCCCAACAAGCGGGTCGTCTTTCGCCCATCTGCATATAGAGACCGCCAGATTCTGCACCCACAGTTCAAAAGGCTTGTTGACGTCGAGCTTTGCAGCATGCCAAAGATCCTCTCTACGGAATTTCTGAGCATCCTTTGAATCTGCGATGTCCTTGGAGTATACCATGGCTGTCGCGTCGATAACATGGTTTGGCAGAACTTTCTCGAACTCGATGGAACCATTGTGATCTCCCAAGGTCAGAAAACGATTTGCAATTTTCCGAAGGCACTGCTCAGCGACACCAACATGTGTTCGATCCTGACTGGAGAGAAGGTTGTTGAGTTTGATCACAATCGCTTGCATGGAATGGCTTTTCTCTCCGGTACCACTGGTCAGATGAGAGATCAAGCCTCGGGTAGGACGAATTTGGTCTAACGAGACTGTTGATGCATAAGCACGGCCTAGGACCTTTGCGGCCCAGGCTCCATAACCATCAGCAACAGTAAGTGCCTGAGTAGATTCCCAAACACGCCGAGCATATGACAGGGAAAGCTCATCAGAGCCAAACATGTCTTGAGCTGTCTTGTCGCTCACATGGAAATGGCGGCACAGAGTTGAGATGACTTGTCTTCTCTCAATAGATCCTAGAATCGGCGAGATCGACTCTTCGTCGTCTAGGAGTCCGCGTAACATTGCGCTCGCAGCTTGGTTCATACCTGAAGATACTGGTAATTCGAGATCACGACACGATTGGACAAGCGAACAGAAAGCTTCCTGTTGAGGCGCTTTCAGAGTTGAGCTAAAACCAAGAAGATAATCAATGAGCCAATCGTGAAAAGATTGCATCTTCGATACGGTGTTGCGAAACTGACTCTCCTGAGTGGTCTTGTCTTGCCGAGACGTCATGAACTGCTTCAACGACAAGAGAACCAGTAGGATCGTTCCCGTGATCATCGACAGCTCGTGCTTGAGGAAAGGCTTTCCACGCTCAAGGAGATATTGTAGCACACCCATACCGTCGTCGGAACAATGTGGATCGACAACAACTGGCTGCAGAGTTCGAATCAGAGTCTGCAAAGGGTATCCACTGAAAACATCATCCCCTGCCAGCGCAATAAATATACGCAATTTTCTTACAGTGCGACAAGCGTGTAATGGACCATATGCAGGGTGCATACAATCAATGATAGACCGCAGAGTGGCCGTGATGTGCGGGACATTCATGGCGTCCTTGACAGTCGTGAGTGTTTTGTTTCCTGCTCTGCGACAAACTCGTTCTAGTTGATCGATGAGGTATCTGCCTTTGAAGCTGGGCTGTTGCGCTTGCGAGAGATTCGTGTCGAGAGACCCATAACCCTTCATTGCGGAGAGAGCATTTTGAGCGTAAGCGTACTGAGATCTCTTTTCAAGGAACTTTTCAACCACCTCTTCGTGGTACATAGAGGTGAAAATTTGAGCCACAATGTCTGGGAGGTTGGATTGGACCGCGCTTGAGTATTCGCCGTTTGTTTTGAAGAAAGTTCGGATGCGAGATTCACATGTAGTCACCACCTGAGATGAATCTTGTGACGATGCCTGCTTGCCAGCCACATCCCAGGATATGGCGTAGGCAAGCACCTTACTAAAAGTAGAATGTAGGATCTTTCCTTCTGCCAGGTTCAAGGCTTTGGTCAACCAATTTATCTCGTCCTCTTTNTCGCGGATGACCAGCTGCGCGTATATCTCGTCAATGTTGTGTTCTAGCAGATCAGCCATAGCACCGTAATCGAAGACTCCGAATGGAATCTTCGCGACCGCTTGAGATTCTAACCAGGTGAAAAGTAGCTGAGGAGAGAAAAGTTGGAACAGCTCTCTAGACGAGTCAAGCTCCAGCGCCTCTGATATTGTGGCAATGCATGTGGCAGCGTATTTTTCGACATCGGTAATCATGCCAGCAGTCTCAAATATGTGGTAGATACATTGTCGTCGAAGGGAATGCCAACTGGCAGCTAGGTTTGCTAACACCAAAACTCGCACGGCAAGGCCTTCAATCCACTCCGTGTCAGTAGGCAGACTTGTCCTGAGCTCCTCGAAAACTTCTGCATGAACGGGTAGAGAGAAAAGGCTGAAGATTGACGACAGGTGTTGAGCTATGGAGTGCTTGACTTCTAGAGTGCCTTCCCGCATCAGACGAAACAACATTGAACGAATGCTGGGAAGTTTGTCTGCATGCCCATAATCTGCGTCAATCTGAAGAATTCGTGTCATGAGATGAACGAGTCGTTTCTGCACACATGGCGAGAGCAGGTTAGCTTTCAAAGCCGTCACAGTGAACCATTTATAGATATCGAGGCCAAATGTATAGAAATCCTGGTTCGAAGCGTCGGTCCAGGTATACACGAAGCTCTCCATGACACCCAACAATAGGTCAACATTTGTCTCAGCACGCTCGTACTCGTAAGATTGCAGTGTATTGTCCGCAAAGAATTCGAGAAGTGGTTCGAACTGCTTGGGAGTGAGTTGTACGCCGTATCGAGGCAAAGCTGTAAGGAAAGGCCCACTGGCAAGAATCTCTGGGGCTGGAAGCTCGAGGACATGTGATATGAGCTCTTGTGTAGGGTCTTCGATGCTGTTGCGACGCTCTACAGACGAATCGAACGACTGCATCAACATCGCGTAGATTGTCACACTCGCTCTCTGTGAGACGACACTGTAGTTGGTGGGGATCACCTTCCTTGGAGATCGGACTTCCTTCACCGGTGCAGTGTATGTAGTCACCTGAGAATCGAAATCCGTGTCAAAATCCATCATGTCACTAGTCTCGTTTTTCTTGACCGAAGACTCCGGCTGTGTCATAAAGCGTCTCTTTTCGAGAAGTTCCAGTAAAGAGGTCGAGAGTTGCGCCATGCAGACATGATGGCCATGACTTTCCTGGCTTGACACGTGCGGTTGACAATTCAAGAGTCTATGTGCAACAAGATCAATCAGAGCGTCCACCTTGTCTTGTTCACACACAGGGCTCGAGAGGTCGCTGAAAAACAGCGCCATAAGCTTCTCATTGGCAGTTTGAAGCTGCTTTGCTCGATGAGCGTCTTTTGCTTGTAGACAGTTTGCAATGCATAGTGCAACAGTGATCAGATTGCCGATCATACGGATCATGTGCTGATCCAAATGAACAGCACCCTGCTCCTTCATGTTTTGCCATTTATCCACTGCGCTGTTGATCTCAGTTGTGCAAAGACCGAGCACCAGCGTGACAGCAACATTGTTTATGGTGGGGCCTCTTTCCGGGATCTGCTCAATTTGATTAGATTGAGGTTTGATGGCAACATTCTTCTTTCTGAGCAGCAAGTAATCGAGAAGATCCTGGGTGTGACTGTGCGAGATCCATGTTTGTGCGACAGACCCCCATATTGGCAGACTTTGGTAAGGCTCTTGCTCTATGGGCAAACCTAGACATACGTTTACGAGGTTCGTGACATCCACAACTTTAGTATTAGTGTTCTGGGAAGCGAATATCTTGTCATGGAAGTTGCTTGGAGCCCATGTTCGGAAGACCCATGTCAAAATTTGTTCGACTCTCTCGCTGAGCGACGAGGTACCCTCGCGCTGAAGTCGAACCATAATAGTTTGGAACAATGAAGCGACAGAATCGCCAAATATGGAGGGTCCACTGATTGAGATACTCGAGAGCATAGAACCGACATTCTCGAGGATTGTTGCTCGATCGATCAATTCGGTCTGTATCATTGTGTGAAGGAGATGACATGCCGGCCTGCATGTTTGAGCGGGACTGACACCTCTCAAAGTGTAACGCCAAATGGATCTCCAGATATCAGCCAGATCGGCTACTTGAGCAGTGCTCTGACTAGCACAACTNACAAGTATGTTAGCCTGATGCTTGGACTTGACATTGTGAGCGTTTTACCTTGCAAGAGCCAAATAGGCCCACGCTGCGACAGAACTACTGTCATCAGTGATACAAGTGGCCAGTCTCTCAATCAAATTGGCCAGAATTTCTTCCTCAATGGGAGCAGATTGGGCAGTAAAGCATACGATTTGCAACGAACATAACTTGTTGGGAATGTTGAAGTCAGAGAGCATAGGAGATAGTTCGTCCGACCAATGTGCAATGCGCTGGCGCTTCTGCGGACCAGCATCTGGGGACGCAGATCTTTTAGTGCCTCGCTGGTCTGAACGATGACTCCAGACTGAGAAATGAGCCAGCAAATTCAACAAAGTCCAATTATGTTCAGCACTCAGAGTATTTTCACTGACTGTCTGGCCGTCCTGCAGTCCAAAGATACGACCTCGCAAGCCATCAGAGGGTTGCTTTAGGTCAAGTTGGAGGATTAGTTGACTAAGTTGAAGCTGATCCTTGGTCGGCCGTTTGGTGTATTCGCCCTTGATTGTGTCCACGAGGTTCGACAACTCGATGAAAAGAGACTCATTTTCACTTTCTTGTGAAAGAGACTCGACAGAAGGATGCAGCAAAATCAACATGGATAGGATCTCGTCTTTCAGGGCGGAAAGCTTGGTGTTCCACAGCACCTTGGCTAAGCCAAGAGCATCCCGGGCGAATTTTTTGGTGAAAGTGATATCTTCAGTGCGTATCTGAAGCAAAACGGTGTTGATCACCACCAGGGCATCAATCTGAGGCTTCGCCGTGTGCGGAGAATTATGCAAAAATTGTGCCATTGCGTTAAGAACTTGAGGCCCTTTGGGAAGAAGCGGTGCGAATGGAACACTGACTAACGAACGAAAGACGTTGACCAAATCATCCACAGCATGCCTAGGTAGCATGCCTTTGGAGACATTCGTTTGCGAAGGGGTGAAGTGAGAACGCGAAGATCTCGGCATCAAAATGCTTGAACCCAATCCATGATCGGATCTGGGTGCGAACCTCATCTTGTCCAGACAGAAATTCAGGGTTGCCTTCCAGAGGTCTTGAGATAGGTGCTCAACATGAGGTTCATGACTGAGCACGACGGAGAGATTCCTAGCATAATCGGTTGACAGTATGGTGTCAGGAGTGCCGTCGGGATTATCGAAATTGGTGATGAGGTGGTCGACAAGCGCCTTGACAGATTTGGAACGGACATTGCGAATGCCAACCTCGACTGCGACACGCAATGTAGTGGAGCAACTGGTCAGTCGTAGCTCGGTAGCGGATACAGTTGTTCTGCTTTTCTCGCCTGCTCTGCAAGCTCGAAGCTGAGTGACTTCGACATCGATGGCCTTGAGGATGGTGTCGTAGATTTTGAAAAGCGCTGAATCCTTGAGATTATCGATCCTGGGAGTGCCCTGATTGTGTCTCAAGATTTGACGAAGGTTGACCACGCCATCAGTCCTTTCTTTGATAGCCTTTGAGGACACACTCTCNTGTTCGCCGTCAGGACATGGATTGTGTAAGTTTGATTCGAACATACCAAGAGCTTCCGCCAGACTGATATCAGATGCCATGCTGGGCGATGGTCTTATGTCGATGGCATGAGTTTGACGTGTGTGAGTGATCTAAACAAGCGTCGAAGGGCAATCACGACACGACAAGACACTGGTTACAGCACAAATACGGCTGGTAACTTTTTGGGCAGTCACGATTGACCGGACATATGTCGCTTAAGCCCGGTCAATGGGTTAGGAAGCGGTTATAGGGAAGAAATTGAATGTTTTGTACGACCGTCCTGGAGTGGTCTTCTCGCGTCAACCAAACATACAAGTATGCGCAACAAAGACAATTTGTACCCTAGGCAAGACATGCAGTGGTTTGTCGAAAGGATGCACGCGATTGAGAGAAGGCGCGGTGCATACGGGAGAAGTTCGGTGGAAGCCGAGGTGATGGCGGGTCGAGCTTCTCGCGCGTGTTGCTGCTTGCGCTTTCAAGCAACAAAACATTATTCACAATCATCACCGCGTCCAAAATCACCGGATTCACCACGCGCATAACCTGTGCGCAAATTAACGGAACTGGAACCGTAGATTTTAGCCCTCGTCGGGTGACGAGCAACCATCCCACCGACAATGGATCAGAACGACAGCTTGACCAGACTGCAAGGTCTCCAAGCCGACCTCGTAGCCTTTTCTGAATCCCGCCTACTTAATGTCGATCGCCTCTGGACAGAGCTGGAGGACAGCATTGCCGACTTTCGCAAGCTGCTGGATCGTCAGAGCAAGAGCGACAAGAGTCGGCAGGCACTCAAGGCCGGTACGCTTGTGAAGACCGAGAAGAAGAAGAAGACTGCGCGCTGACACGGATGACTAGACACGATAACCGTTGATGACGTTCAATACAAAATCAACGAGGACTGGAGACAGGAGGTCATTCAAGTCGCAGATGAACTAGAACTGGATGAGCTGGATGCCGCAAGATTGAATCTGCAATCAGAGAATACTGCACAGGAGCTCGGGAGGCCTACATCAATGGCTGCTATATTTCGCTTCCATGGTCACCGGGAAACCCTACTCGAGTGTCTGCGCTTGACGATCCAACAGGCCGTTGATTGTGAAAACACCGATGATCGCGACAAGTTCATTACTTGTGCTGGTCTGATCACCGAGAAGCCAGACGCAACTTTCTGGCGCAAGTGTGTGGATGCTATGGCTACCGTTGAACAATGGCTGCAGAAGCTCCAAGATCGGTTGAACCAGATTGCCATGATTGGCCAGACCGCTCACGGCTATGCATTGGAGACGCTGCAGTTCGAGAAGCAGAGCTTGACAAAACAACATGAGTCTCTGGGTGCTATCATCTCACATTTGGTCAAGGTTGGAATCGCAACCGTGGACGACTACCGCTATCTCCTGAACAAGACAGCACAACTCGCCAGTCCTGACGACATCACTTTACATTACCTGCCTGCTTTGGTCAGCTGTGCCTCTGTTCTAGGTCCTGTCGACAGTGCCGCAAGTCTCAGGGATGCCCGTAGTCTGGACCAATATTTTGCAGACAAATCCGACAACTCGAAATGGAAGTTACCTGATTTCCGTGCTGCCGCAACTGTCTTCTGGCTAGCTGAATACAGCGGCCGCTACATTGACAACCCTATCGGCTCGCCTCTGAGAGGAGTGGATTTGGAAGCGGAGACTGAATCACGTTCTCAGCGTTACTTGGATGCTGTTCGCAATGGTGCTTTCGAGTTCATTCTGTTTATCTGCGCTCAGGTGCGTGCAGACTTGTGGCACGATCCCGCGAAGGTTGGACTGGTGTCTTATCTCTTGACTGGAGCGGAGCGTTTTAGAAATGGCCCAATCAAGGCATCCGACTACTTCCAGGAGATCCTCGCGCAAAATCTGCAGCTATTCGTCGATGCTTTCATTACGAACATGCCCGACACTATCCGCAGACTGAAGTTCGAGGAAGATGAACAACGCCGAAACATCAGCATTCGCCAGCCTCATGGTACTCCGGAGCATGGTCTGCATCTCGAGAGATTCCTGGTCATTATTTCATATGCCTTCAAGGGCTTCCCTGAAGCTGCTCAGTCGTTCTGGCAAGATCCCGATAGCAACCTTTATGGCTTCCTGCAATGGGCCTCAAAGCGACAGTCCACTCCTCGAGCCGCTGCTTTCTGCGAAATGTTCCTTTCTATATCTGAAGATGCAGAATGTGCAGAAGCTGCTCACAAGTTCCTTATGGACGATGCAACTACTGCGGTAGCCAAACTTCGCCGAGGAGCACCTCTTAGTTGGGCACAGATCTTCAACGAGTTGAGTTTCTATGCGCCTGGTATCAGCGACAAGCTCACATCTACTTCTTTGCAAGGCGATGGCGCTTTAGCTGGACCACTCATCGAACCGGAGAGTGAACTCATGCTCGAGTGTTACTTGCGACTCGTTACACACATGTGCCGCTCGAGCATAAGTTCTAGAACCTTTGTCTTGTCTCACCCCACGTTCAATCTGCATGAGATCGTACTGAACCTTGCCGTCTCTGGTGTTTCCAACCGCCTCAAAGCCTGCACATTCATGGCTATCGCGGCTAGTCTGACGGACAAGAGTATTGATGCTGGGTACGCACTCTGGGATTACGTTGATTCATGGATGTACGATTCGCCGAGTCTGAGGAACTATCTTGGCACAAAAACGCCTCAAAACCCAACCGTGGCGAAGNAAGGGCGCTTCCAATCATTATTGGAAGGGTTCGAGCTACCANACGCGTTCACCAGGCTCGTACAAAGCATGGTTGTGCCCAGTCCAGAAGAGAGCAGCCTGCGTGACATGCTGCCTTTCCCTGAACAACTAGGTGCGGCATACCGCATGCCTGGAATGGACCCTTATGTTGACTTCATCATGGGTAGTGTCTTCCAGGAAAGAATGGTCGATTTGCCTGATGTGAACCAGATCTGGGAGTTGAGATGCACTTGCCTGGCTTTTATCTCCACTTGTCTTTCGACCTTCAACGAAGATCTTGTTATCTTTGCTAACAGCACTAACATTCCCGTTGACTCGATCATTTCAACCTCCTCACTAGCCGCCTATGTTCGTTTCCATCCGTTTGCACGCATTATGGAATGGCTTTTCAACGACAAAGTCTCGAGTGCGTTGTTCGCCGCTGCTCATGAAGACGTTGATACAATCAGCGCCGCGTCTCCGGATTCTCCTATGGTCGTGGCATTATGTCGCAGCATTGAGGTGATCAACCAGGTTCTGAAACTTCAATCAATCTACTTTGATGTTGTCCGACCTATCGTGAAGACGCAGTATGTTGGACGTGAGAAAGCTATTGCCAACCCTGCGCTTGCTTCATTTGAGGATGTCATTTTAAATCATGTCAACATCATCGTCGATCTTGGGCTGTACTGCGGAACTGGCCACCAGGAATTAACCATGCTTTCTTTGCAACTCCTTCAGAAGTTGGCAACAGCCCGCAAGCTCTCGATTGCGACTGGCACATCTTACGGAGGCAGCCGCGTGCTTGCCGCATTACAACAAGACTTTGATGTTGACCGCATCGCTGCGTCTTTCATCTCACCTCTTCAACTCGATCCCAGAGAACTCGAAATGGGAGCGGAAGGCCCAGGAATTAACATCAAGCAAGGCATCTTGGATTTACTGAACACTTCACTTGAAACAGCAGCCAATCGTCCAGCATTAGCACATTGTCTGTTGGGCTTCCGTTGTACAGATCGAGCCATCAGCGTCCCACCCAATGGCCTTTTCGACACAGGAGCCTCGCTGTTCCATGCTGTGGCAAAGCTCTCAGCTGACACCATCGCTTTGCCGGAAGTCAACCAAGCTCCTTGGCTTTCCTCGATTCGTCGCACATCCTGTCAGATAATATCGAGACTACTTCATTCGTCATTGACCGAGCGAATCATTCTCGAAGAGCTCAGGGAGTCTGGATACTCTGATGCCGTGGCCATTGTGCAAGCACCCATCAATGCTGAAAGTTTGTGGGGCAACAGACTTTGTGCTGACCCGGATTTCCTTATCTCAGAATCTGCTGCTGTTTTCAAGGACTTTTTGATCCAGCGCACCATGTTCTTCGAGGAGGCTTCCCTGGACATCAGAGCGACCATCCAGCGCAACACACCGACACAACGGCAGAAAGTTTTGTCATCATTGCTAGGTCTGACTGTTCTGTCATCTGGTGAGCAAGTGCAAAACGCATCAATATTTGAGCTATTTGACTTCATCGATGTGGACATCTCCTTGCCTTTCGAGATGACAGAGAAAGCCTTCATCGGCGGCCTTGACTTTGGTTCATGCAAGACCGACAAGCCCGAGTCTGGAATTGTTTACGATCTCGGCCTTGCCAAGGAGCTGCTGCTTTTGCGTGAAGCTGATTTACGCAAGAATGGCAGACTGCCTGATACAGGCTCACAACAACAATGTGCCGCAGAAATTGATGCTGCTATGTTGTGCCTGCAATCGGAGAACAACTATGCTTCGATCATGCTTGCACAGCGTGCAGCACTCAACGTGTGGGTGAAGCTCATGTCGATGATGCTTGCACTAGGTGATTTCCAAGCTGCGCCTAAGACTGCACTCGCATTACAAGCTTTGCAGATTGTGTTGCCGAAGCTGGACAGGACGATTGTAGAAGACTCTCCTGTTACCATCCCACTGGCAAAACTCACATACACTCTAATGAGAGTTCTGGACACTTCTGCCACAGACAAGAACGTGGAAGTTAGTGCAGTACATGACAGGCTGACAGCTACTTTCCGCACCGCACTACGAGGTATTGGTAGTGCTTCTGGCGGTACTGAGTTGCGTGAGACATGTTACCAGACCATCCGTCACTTCATCAGATCTGTGTGCAGGACATCATCACCGCTGCAACGCCAAACAGCCAAGATAATTGAACACAGCGGTGAGCGATTGATGGATACAATCTGTGAAGACGTCATGTCCAGCGCGGGTAGTTGTAGAGTCTCTGCCTTGATGGTGCTGGAGTCTTGCCTGCAATTGTTCCAGATGGTCAAATCGCAATACTTGACACGGGCAATGACTAAGCTCAACTTCACATCTGTTCTTGTGGACGGTATCCGTGGTATTGCTGGCGAATTCCAGCAGCAGCGTGAGGGACAAGGTAAGCAGGTCATGACTATCTCCAAAACTCATGCTGATTTCACGACAGATATCGCAACACTCCTCTCGTACATCCATACCGCTCTCTCCGTACTGTTGCGAATGTCACACAGCAATGAAGGCGCTGCAGCCATCCTAGAGGCCGGCCTTTTCAGCGCTGTCCGTGACTCGCAGCTCTTCGCAACAGATCCAGACATTGGCCTGGACGTTGACAATGTCGAAGCACTGGAAAACTTCTACCGCCTACTGATCTCCATGTTGCGTATCCTGACTTCATGTGTCGTCAGCAGAGGATCGAGAAACCAGCACGTCATTGCTCAAGGAAGAGCGTTCTTGACTGAGAACAGGCAGTGCATGCAAGGTGTCTTCAAGGCTGCGGTCAGGGAAGGTCCGCAGGTTCGCCCTAGCATCAAGCAAGCTTTGGAGGACCTGGTCGGCTGTTTCAGTGCCTTGATATATGCGACAGACTTCGTCGAGGTGAGTTCTTTGATGGTTATGCTGTGGTTCCTGACGTACACTTACTGACATGTTTGACAGAGTGATGAGGTGCCATTGGCTCAGAGGTCTTTGGGCAACATGTTTACTTGAGAATGAGGAAAAGAATTGACGACAGGTGCCTCTGGGAAAGAGGTGCCTTCTTGACGAGGAACGGGGTTGGTTATGTACCATAGCGCGAGTACGAACTGAACAGATGTGTCGTACAGCGAAATCACAAAATGTCAATGAATTGTAAATTGATGTATTTTGTTTTGTAGCTCAGTATAGGAGCCGGATGATAATTGTACAGATCGCCGCTGTGCAGTGATAATTTAACTCTTGCATGACATCTCGAAGACGGAGAGAAAGACTCTTGTGAGCCATCCCCAGCAAGGATTCATGCGTCTTTCCACCTCTCTTCAATGATGACCCAGCCCAAAGAAAAGCAAGCCCATGAACGCCGTCTTTTGACCCAAATGTACATCAAAATTCTTCCCTTCTCATGCTCCTCCTCTCAAACGTTTTATTCCCTCCCCAGACTTCCTCAGTTTTGCACAGCATCAGCATCAGCCCTCCACTGCACCTCACCAACCACACTCCTCAACTCATCCAACGTACCCCCNATCTTGACGACCGAATACCTCAACATTCTCGGATCCAAGCCCAGGGTTCTGCGCACGGCGTGCTGTGTTCGCGCACTACTGTCGAAGCGAACGACAAAGTAGTGGCCTGTGTTGTGGGTGACTGTGTTTTTNCTCATGGGCTTGGGCAAGTGGAAAACGCCCCAGTTTGTGATGCCGCGGACTACGCCGCCGGAGTTTAGGACGATGTTGCCGGTTGTTTTGNNCGATTCTGAGAGGATAGGGGTTAGAGAGGGGTGGGAGGGAGGAGAGGTAGATGAGGAAACGGACTCGCGGACTTCGGCTAGGTTGCCTGGGCGTACCTGTGAGAGGGCTGTCAGCTGTCGCACTAAGATGTAAAGGATGAGAAGGAGGAGAAGCATACCACGCCAATGAGTTCGTAAAGCATGATGTGTAGGTGTTGTGTGTGGGAGAAACTTTGTCCTTTCGCAACTTGCTGCTGACTTTGGTGGTATGCGCCGCGCGAGCAACGACGAACGTCGGCAAAGTGTGGCACCGAAGACAAATTTCCATCTTATCTAATCTGCTGATTGAACTTCACATCAAAGGCGGGACTCTTTCCCGCAATTGCATCAAAGTTCCCCGAGTCTTGGCGAACCACTCCGTCACTTATCGGGGAAAGCTCTCGTGCTTCTGCTGTTCGTCATTGCTCCTTTGATCAACTTGTACATACCAATACCTCGTTCGCAATGGCATCAATCGCTCGCTCAGTCTTCCGCCGCTCGCTGGCTACAGCCAGCAGACCCAGCGTCTCTTGCCGCATCGCCAATGCCCAATTCACTCGCTCCTTCTCGGCCAGAACAGCTGGTGAGTAAACCACAAACAATCCCCAGCCCTGTCCAAACCCAACCCTCAATATTAACCCTTTGCTTTAGTCANTGGCAAAGAAATATACCCAAGACCACGAATGGATCGAACTCTCCCCCGACAACAAAACCGGCACAATCGGCATCTCGTCCTACGCCGCCAACGCCCTAGGCGACGTCGTATTCGTCGAACTGCCCACCACCGATCTCGAAGTCTCCTCTGGTGACACCATCGGCAGTGTCGAGTCTGTAAAATCTGCTTCTGACATTATGACGCCTGTTTCTGGTGTTATCGTGGAGGCTAATGGTGTGTTGGAGGAGAAGCCGAGTACAATCAACAAGAGCCCGGAGGGTGAGGGCTGGATTGCAAAGATTGAGGTTAAGGATGTTAAGGAGGTGGAGGGGTTGATGGATGCAGAAGCTTATAAGGCGTTTACTGAGGAGAGCGAGTAGAGGACAATGAGGCTTGAAGATGGGAGGAGGGTATGCATGGATGGGGGATGATGGGTGTTCAACCACGGTTTACTTTTACGTGTAGGGGTCTACAGGGCTCTTTTTCTTTTTAACATGAGTACAGAGACATGATGGCGGTATGGAGAACAACAAACATCGAATAGCATCTGGACAACTCGATCGAGCGTCCGTAATCACGACATTCAGAACCAAAGCAATGCGGACAGTAAAAACGACGACTTGAGCTTGAGTATCGAAGAAAGTGAACACTCGGTCTGGAGTTGATCGTAGGTCTCATGATGTTATTACAAAAAGTTTCAATGGAAACCAACTTGCCCAAAGCCCCTTCAAGGCGAACTATCCCAACGTCCCTGCTTCGCGTTTCTGGCCGTATCAATCTCCTTNTTGAAATCAGAGTACAGCGCCTTGATTTTACCCTGCTCTTCCATGATGTCGACGATCTTGTTCGCATGCTTTCTGCGCTTTCGGACACTCCAGCCATCGCGCTTAACGATTAGTTTGGGGGTGTTCCAGCCAGCGCTTTCAAGATACTCGACTACCCACTCATAGAGGTGATAGCGCCAGTGTTGCAGCGAGTGAGCGGTTTCTGCGTTGCTCATGCAGAACTTGCCGAGGTAGAAGACAGTCTCTTCGGGAAGAATCTGGCGGCCTTGAGAGTCGTAGTTGACTGGTGCGTTCTCATCTACGCTGCTCTCGGAGCTAGAGTCGTCATCGTCTTCGTCGGAGTCGTCGTTGGCATCTTTGCGCGGCGCTACAGGCTCCAAAGAGTTCTTGTCGTATGGCTTGCCCTCGAACTTGACCTCGTAAGTAGCTGGATGTCCTGATCTGTTGCAAGCATCGCATTTATCGCGGCCAAAGTGTGCCGAGGAATGTCTGTCCAAACGAGCCGAGAGAAGATCAGGTCTTGCTTGAAGTGCCAGTGTAAACTTCGATGTCCAGGCTGCTGATTGGAATTTGGAGCCAGCCAATCCCTTGACCTCGTCGTCAAGCTTCTTGAATGTCAGATCGTAAATCTCATCGTCCATCTGAAAGGCCGGATTGATCTTCTTTTGCACCATCCAGTCGATGGCGAAGCGGAAGAGATCCTTTGCCTTCATCGAAGCATAACGTGTAAAGGCGATAGGCACGTTGTTTGGCACTCCGAGAGGGCCATCATCATCAATAATAAATCCTTCATCTTCATCGTCTTCGGTAAACATCTGCTTGCGGGTCGTCCTGTTTGTTGAGGGCTCCGGCAGATCGTCATATTCCTCCTCCTCTTCATCATCAGAACTCTGGTTGTAGTCTTCCTCTTCGTCGCCCACTTGATCTTCGTCCTCATCATCCTCGTCCTCAGCAATACTGCTCATTGGAGCTTTTCTCCTGGCCTTGAGACGCTCTAGCGCTAACTGGCGAGCACTCTTCTGTGAAGACTTGTTTCTCTGTGAAACTCGAACCTCAGTGTCACTACCACTGGAGGCTAGGTCCACCAGATCATCCTCAAGCTCTTGCTTCTCTTCTTCGGTAACCGTGCTCATTGGTGCTGTATCCTTGACTCTCCGTAGACGTTTGCGTGATCTTGATGAAGGTGGTTCGTCAGAGAGTTCAGGGTCAGAATCAGGTTGTGGTGACGGTGCTCGTTTCTTGGTAGATAGTGATCGTTTGCGCGAGCCAGTGACAACAACATCGCTGTCGTCGTCGTCCTCGTCGTTGTCAGGAATGAGTGCTGAAGGTGAAGAGCTTTCAGCTTGACGCTTGCGTTTGCGATTCACAGCTGGTGTGGTCGGCAGATCGTCTTCACTTTCGTCGTCCGAGATAACAGTTGGTTCTGCGACTTCCTCCTCTTCTTCTACAACTGGTGACGGTGATTTGTGTTTTCTCTGACGTTTGCTCTTCTTCTCCTTCTTCCCAGCTCTGATTGGCAGTTTGGGAAGTGACTGGTCCGACTCGTCACTAGAATCATCCAACTGTTGCTGAGTTCCGAAGAAGCCAGCTCTGACCGGGCGTGCGTGGTTGATTGCTCTGGGGCTTGAGGGCGTGAGGTCAAGTTTTTGTTGCTTCTTCTGGCTCTTGCGACTTGACAGTCGCTGTGTGGGTCTGATCTCATCATCACTGACAACCGATGCGCCGAAAGAATTAGTGAGTCCAGTTGGGTCTGGTGTGGGCGGCAAGCTCTTTTCTGGTATGGCAGGTGTGATCGCAGCAGCAAGTGATGAGTCTTCAGGCGCATCGCGCACTTTGCGCCTCTTGGCTGGGTTTGCTCCTTCGAAACGAACCGTTGCCGCGCGGTCGCGTACTGACTTGCTGATATCAGATGGTGCAAGCGATGAGGTCGGCAGTGGGTCAAGNGTAAGCCTCGTCTGTCTCTTAGACGAGCGAGGCATGGTGGTGGCGCAAAGGTAGTGGTGGTTGGTGAGCAAGAGTGAAAGCGAGTTCGTATCCAGAAGTCGATAAGAATGATGTCTGTTGTCCTATTGTCAAGAATCCAAGATCTGGCACATGAAGTCGTGATTTAAGTTGTCAAGCAACACGGCGAAGTGAAAGTCAAGTTTCTTGCGAGGCAGAAAGCTGGAAGACGCGATTTGAGATTCGAGTCGCCGCGAGCTCACGCGATCAGCCCAATCGGGCAAACTGATTGAAAGTGATGACGTTGTCGTTTGTCGTATGTGAAATGGAAGAATCATATCGTTTATGGACACCGGATTATTGCTTTTCTTGTAATAGCATCGCGAGGAATTTCATGACATCTTGTCCTTTCACTATTGCATTTGCATGTTCAATCTGTTGTTTGGTTACCGCAAGAGGGACATACTCAAAATCGAGTGTATCCTTGAATTCAGCACAACAAGCATATTAGCAAAAGGAAGGAACAGAGGACGCAAGAGGACCGCCACTATGGGAGCGCCTCAGGAAGCAATTACGGAAGACGAGATTGTTGGGATGGAGCTTCCAGACACAAAGACGAATTCTAAGAATGCGTGTGAGTACTTCGCTAGCCACATCCGGAACCTCATCCTCATTGTTAACANNGTCACAGAATTAATGTCCAAGAAACCTATTAATTCTCATGAGTCTCCTAAGAAATCTGGCAAGCATTCAAACTCCGACAAGGCCAAGCCAAAAATGTCCTTCGACAGGAGGGACGGCCTAGGAGTATACACAGCCGACCCCTATGCTTACGACAGAGTCTTGTATAACAACGAGAATGCGGTCATCATCCAGGATATGTTCCCTAAGTCTTCCGTCCATCTACTGGTTCTTCCAAAGTCGGATCGCAACCTGTTACATCCGTTCAAGGCGTTTGAGGACCCCCAATTGCTCGCGGATATCAAAGTGGAAGTAGAAAGGGCTAAACAGATGGTGGCAAGCGAGCTGCGGCGAAAGTACGGCCAGTTTTCCAAGTCAGAACAGGCAAGAATCCAAGCCAGAGATGCGGATGACCCTCCAGAAGTCCTTCCGGAAGGCCGCGATTGGATGAAGGAGATCATTACAGGGGTTCACGCAGTGCCATCCATGAATCATCTCCATGTCCACGTCATGTCGAGAGACATGGTAAACGATTGCTTGACAAGGAGCGCTCATTACAACAGCTTCCAGACCTCTTTCTTGGTACCACTGGAGAAATTTCCTTTGGCAGACGATGATCCTGTGCGGCGAATTGGGTACGGGCCTTGGCATACTGTTGACCTTGTATGTTGGCGGTGCAAAGAGAACTTTGGGAACCGAGTGACCAAGTTGAAGGCACATTTAGCTGAAGAGCATGATCAATGGAAGAGAGAATAGAGGATCTGGCTGTTGCAAAAACAAGCGGTGGTTGGCATAGCATTGTTCGGTTTCCTGCATAGTAGTGTTGAGCATCAGGCACGGATTTTGGTTACCTGGCCTCTCTTCTGAAGGCGGCATTTTGAGTAAAGCAACGATGAATACACTTTTACTTACATTTGATTCTTCTCAGAGGTAGTCTTCGTGATGAAACCAATCGTACATTTTCCCTTGGAAGCAAGAACATAATATGCAGGCTGAGTGGTTCGATGTGTATTATCAAAAGTCGTTTGTCGTAAGTCACCGCCAAATGCATGTTCCCGAAGGTGCATCAGTCATTTGTGACGAATCGACATAGATAGCGAGTATGAAGTCAGGGATAAGGAGGCAGGCCTGTAGCATTGTGAGACGTGCCGGGTCGTTGTCGAGGCGATATTGTTGTTACAACTATCAAAATTGGTCAAGAATATCCGCGATTCGTGTTCTGCTGGAAACTCACTCATACTGCATCAAACAGACGCTGAATTCATTCGATGCGGTCGGTTCGCCAACACGCGGCTTCTCACATTCCCATTCACTTGCAGCTTCCTCGAATTTTATCTTCACCTTCCTGGCTTTGACCTTTATCAACCCCACCGCTGCGCATCCATCTTTCGCTCGATTTTTATCCCACTATCACTCGTCGCACCCTTGTTGAATCGTGATGGCATCGCAAGGACTTTATAGCTCGCCCGAGCTCGTGAACGAATCTCCCATGCAGAAGCTGATCCATGAACACGAGACCATCAAAATTCTCGACGGTAAAAAGACTGATTTCTATGATGTGAGTGCCCGACTCCACGATGCTCAGATTCTTTGGCTGAAGATTTTAGTCTGTTATGCAGCACTTACTGTATCTGACGAAGACTTTGGCTTTTGAGCGTGCCGGAAGTGCACATCTGAAGCAACAACTCGAAAGTGTCAGAATCAATGGTAGCCACGATTCAGAGAATCATTATGTCCTGGTCTTGATTGACGGCAATGAACTCATTTTCCGGAATCTGAGTCAGGGCGATCAGGGTGGCCGTCGTGCTGCGCAAGCTCTTNTCCAGACCACCAACGAGTATGCTTTCTCGACCATCGATACTCTGTCTGTCAGCGCCAAAATCATCGTCCGAGTCTACGTCGATCTGGAAGACTTATGCAACCTTTGCCTTCGTGCTGGATTGGTCAATAATGGCACCCAGATCAAATCGTTTGTACGCGGTTTCTGCCAGGATAGAACCCTTTTCGACCTGATCGATGTCGGCATGAAAGGTCGTAGTGGCGGTGTAGTGTGGGATAAGATTGAAGGTTCGAATACGTCTTTGCCCATGTCTATTTGTACACTGACAAGCGCACAGNACAATTTGAATCTGAATATAGTCGATACCCACTGCAAGCATATACTCCTCGGCTGCGAAGACGGCGAAATCTACGCGCCTATGCTGAAAAGGCTCGCCGAACGATTTGAGATCAGGTCTCGCATAACCTTGCTCCACGGTACTCAGCTCGACAATCGTCTTATATCGCTTCGACTCCCTGCGACTCAAATGAACCATATCTTTCAAGACACCAGAGTAGACGTCCCCAAGTCTGTGGACCAGATTCCAGAATTGAGCTCCATTCCATGTCTCCTGCGAGAGTCTGTATCCCCTCCTCCATTGTCGTCGTCTCCCGCAACATCGCATTCCGGTTCCCGCACAGCAACTGCAGCTGTACATCCTGCCCTCCGCGGACTGCACAGCCGTCAGGTTTCGGGAAGCTCAAATCAGTCTGTCGATGTATCAGCAGTGCCCGTCACATCCTGGGCTATGGCAGCAAAGAAGGGAGCAGCAGTCAAACCACCCNCCAAGAGTCCTGTTAATGAAAGAGAGATCCTAGCCGATGGAATTCGTCGCAACAGGAAGGGCCAGCGTATCGATCCACCCACACCAGAGTTCAAGAAGGATGAGGTGAATCGGCTCAAGAAGCTGAAGCTCTGTAATGCACACCATCTTCGTCACAACTGTCCGTATCCTGATGGTAAATGCGAACATGACCACTTCTACAAGTGCAACTTGAAGGAGTTGGAGACACTGAAGCTGGTGGCACGCATGTCTGCATGCATCCACGGTAGTGAGTGTTCGGATGCAGGATGCATTTATGGACATCGCTGCCCTTTCCCCGAGAGTAGAGAGAATGGAACCAAGGGAAAGCCATGCATCAATGGCGAGAACTGCAGGTTCCCACCAGAGATGCATAACATGGACATTACTGCAGTCCGTCGTTTGAAGATCACTTGAGGAAGTAACATACGGTCTTTATAGCGAGAGTAAGGACGGAGGAACGATGACAAGCTGTATTGATACTACAAGACTTATGTAGCACACAATCAAGCAGTTTGATTGACTAATTGATGGATTGATGTCTGTCACGACAAGAAGTGAGAGTTCTCGAGGGTCGAGGCCTCGCAGTGGAGCTTGATTGCCAAGAAGGAATGAAGCCCGAGCTTGAGAGCCACGGTGGCCTCGCACTTCTTTACTCGTACCTCCCCGCAGCTCTCTTGTTCTCCGTGACTTTTGAGAATACATTGTATACCACACATTCAAACTCGTCGATATGGTATCCCTTAAGCTCAGCGCATTTGCGCTCTTTGCATTGAAGGCTATTTCTGCCTACGCTCAGGTTTGTCGCGCGCCAATGGCAAGCAATTGAGAGGACCAAGCTGATGACGTGCATAGGNCTCCTGAGATCGTAGAGGAGATTGAGGATCCTGATGTCCAGCAAACTCCCAAACTGAACGTCGCCGTCTCGGTTTCCTTCCCTGACTCTGAGGTCTTCGGTGTCAAGCTTGTCAATGGCCACGCGACCAATGCCATCCTGTCCATCGCCAACCATGAGACCGCCCCTGTTCACCTTCGCTTCGTTGGCGGTTCCCTCGTCAGCCCCAAGACTATCAGCAACTTGACTCTCAGCAAGTACGACCTTTTGGTTCCTGCTGGCGAGCAGGAGACTGCCACCTACAGCTTCGCTACCGAGATGCACNCCCAGGACTTGACCCTCAACTTGGCCGCCGTCTTCCAGGACAACGCTGGCATGTTGCACACCTACCCTGCTTTCAACGGCACTGTCTCTGTTGTTGAGGCTCCCATGAGCTTCTTCGACCCTCAGATGTAAGTTATCTTGCGCAACTTGCGTGTCTAGACACAAGCTAATCAGTCTCGCAGCATCTTCCTCTACCTCGTCCTCAGCGGTGTCTTCGCTGGTACCGTCTACTTCATCTACAACACCTGGATCACCACCTTCTTCCCTCAGAAGAAGGGACGCGGCAAGGGCGGTGAGCGTGCCAAGCGCTCGTCTGGTGGCTCCAAGAAGGTCGACCCTGCCGACCAGGTCAGCGTTGTCGGTGCTGACGGTCCTGCTGTCACCAGCGGTGCTAAGGCCTACGACGAGTCCTGGATTCCTGCCCACCACTTGTCTCGTCCTCAGGCCAAGCGCGTCGCATCTGGTGCTAAGCCCAGATCGAGAAGCAGACCTGCTGCATAAGAATGTGCAAGGGTAGCATACGGGATACATTTGGTCTGCAGGAAAAGCATGCTTCGTGAGAAGTGTAGATTGCATGAGGAGGATGTATTTCTAGCGTCAAAAAGCAACGGGCGGATTTTTGAATAGCACGGTTCACTTCTAGCATTAGATGAATCACTACTTTTCATTCTGTATTTATCACATTGTTCCACTATCATTCCTTCTTCATCATCGTGACTATGTGCAATTCCACATTCAGGTCTGCGAGTACAGTGATTATATCTACAGGAAGATACTCCATATGCCAAGTGATTGAGAACCCCAGAATTAACTCCGCCTTTCGCCGTCATCAAAGGGAATTATTTATTGAGGCGTTCAACAGTGACCCGCGATGAACCCAGACAATGGTCAACAAACCTCACGCTCCTAGGAGCACTAACAAGTCAGGCAAAAGAATGCCGCGACGGCTGCGACTGCAAATGGTGAAGACACGAGCTTCATAGTCTTCTCCAACGGCAAGGACTCGAAGAAATCCAAGAAGAACGATTCCACACCTCCGACCGCAAGCAGCTCTTCGACCGCTGCTAAGGGTAAGGGCAAAAATGCTGGACCCGAGCTGGACATGGCTGGCGACCCCGTCAAGAAACCCGACACACGAACCTTGATCGGCGGTCAATCATGGACAGGAAAACTCCCTGTCAACATGCTCTCCGAGCACTGTCAAAAGCAGAAATGGGAAAAGCCAGAATATACGATGCATCGATCGTCAGATCCACCTGGCCAGATCTCGTCTGTAATCTTGCGCTGGAAGAACCCAAAGACACAGGAAGTCGTGTCGTTACCACCCATGTCACTTCCTCCGGCAAAGAGGGCGTTGGGTGTGCAAGAGACGGCTGTAGAGGCCAGACACTTTGCTGCCACCTATGCGCTTTATCGAGTCGCCAATGCGAAGAACCTGCACATGATGATGCCGCCCAACTACCGCGATTTATGGAAAGGAGAATTCGCAGATATGAAAAAGGAGGCTACGAAAGAGGGTATGGGCTGGTTATATGCTGCGGATCCATTCCAAGCACGAAAAGAGTGGGATGATGAAAGAGCTGCGAAAGAGAAGAAGAGACAAGAAAGAGAAAAGCACATGGAGGCCGACAAGAAGGACAACAGTGCCCCAGGCGTTAACAGAAATCCTGGAAAAGGCTGGACGAGAGCTCCCAAAGTCGAGATGGGCAAGAAAATGCGCAGAGATGTCGAAGCGTTGGTCAGACAGGCTGCACTCTGGAACCCTCACGGCGTTACTCTTTCCAATGCTGAGAAGAAACACATCGTACAAGATCTGTCCAAATTAGGATTCCGTCCCGCTCACGTCGAGGAAGCAGTTGAAATCTGCAAGGATCGCGAAGAGACGGTCGAGTGGCTTCTGATCCACGTTCCCGAAGACGATTTGCCAAAATGGAGTTTACCCGAGAATTACTCTGCTGGTGTTTCGATGGCTAGTAGCGATCTTGCCAGAGAGGGCAAATTGAAACGTCTTGCAATCACTGGCTACGCCATGGAACTTTGTGAAGAAGCGCTCGATGCGTCTTCAGGCGACGAAGCAAAGGCAGCAGAACGACTCCAACATAGACTTCTCGGAAGCCTGGACTCTTCATCTCTAGCATCTTCTACTGAGAAACTCGATATTTCAGATGATGTCGACGTTTGGGAAGAAGAACAAGTCATCTTGGCTTCTATCTACAGTGATAGATATAAGTCAACTAAGACTTCATGTCAGATCGTCTTGGAAGTGGCCGAGAAGCCAAAGGAGCGGATTATCCTTCATGCCCGAAAACCCACGGCTGGATATCCGAACGTTGTTCCCGTCTTGTCAATTGAAGCCNCCCTACCTGCATACATTCGACTCAGTGTTTTGAAGCAAGCTTTACTCCAGGCTCAATCTGAATTCCTTGGCGAGCAGATGCTGTTCAATCTCATCGACTGGCTCGAGCATGAGATCCCAAACATTATCGCTAACCCTGGCAAACTCAGCAGTATCGCTTCAGTCTCTTCCACTTCGGCCGAGCCTGATGTAGAAACTGCTAGCCGCAGACGTCCGCGCCAGAAGCGTATGCCTAGACCTATCAATTGGCAACCGTCAACACAACAGAGCCAGAGGATTCTTGCAGACTGGCAGGCCAGACAAGAAACTCCTGCACAACAGCGGATGATGACTGCAAGACAATCTCTGCCTGCTTGGAAACTACGAAATGCGATTGTCGAAGCTGTCACATCCTCTCAAGTCACTATCATCTCTGGTGAGACTGGTTCGGGAAAGTCCACTCAGTCTGTCCAGTTTGTTCTCGATGACATGATCAGACAAGGACTTGGAGAAGCGGCGAACATCATCTGTACACAGCCTCGCAGAATCTCAGCCCTGGGTCTGGCAGATCGTGTCGCTGATGAGCGATGTGTCAAAGTTGGTGAGGAGGTTGGTTACTCGATCAGAGGAGAGTCAAAACAGAAGCCTGGTACTACAAAGATCACCTTCGTCACTACTGGTGTTCTGTTGAGACGACTGCAGACGTCTGGTGGAAAGCCGCAGGATGTTGTCGATGCTTTGGCTGATGTCAGTCACGTGGTCATCGATGAAGTTCACGAACGCAGTCTGGACACTGACTTCCTGATGGTGCTTTTGAGGGATGTGCTGCAGGTCCGCAAGGATCTCAAGCTGATCCTTATGTCTGCCACTCTGGATGCACAAATCTTCAAGAGCTACTTTGCTGGCAAGATGACTGTTAGCACAGTCGAGATTGAAGGCAGAACCCACNCAGTGCAAGACGTCTATCTAGACGACATACTTCGCATGACTGGCTTCGCAGGGGGCATCACCGAGGAGGGCGATGAAGAGGGTGGCAAAGAGCCCAGCATGGGCGCAGCTCTGCGCAGCGTCGGAATGAAGATCAACTACGATCTCATCTCAGACACCGTACAGACCATCGACGAACAATTAGGCTCGCAGGAAGGTGGCATCCTGATCTTCCTTCCTGGTCTTGCTGAGATCGATCGCACACTCAAAACATTGCAGCATCTGCATCACATCCATGCCCTGCCTTTACATGCCTCATTACAGCCAGCTGAGCAGAAGCGAGTCTTTCCTCCTGCACCCGCCGGCAAACGCAAAGTCATCTGCGCAACCAATGTCGCCGAAACCTCCATAACAATCGAGGATATCGTTGCCGTCATTGATTCCGGTCGTGTCAAAGAAACCAGCTTTGACGCTGCCAATGGCATGATCAAGCTTGAAGAAGTGTGGGCATCCAGAGCAGCGTGCAAACAGCGCCGTGGTCGTGCAGGTCGTGTGCGAGCAGGTACTTGCTACAAGTTGTACACCAAGCAAGCGGAAACCACCAAGATGGCTGAGCGTCCTGATCCTGAGATCTTGCGTGTGCCGCTGGAGCAGTTGTGTTTGAGCGTCAAGGCTATGGGTGTGCTGGATGTTCCGTCTTTCCTGTCTCGTGCCATCACTCCACCTTCTACACTGGCAGTCAGCGGTGCATTGACGACTCTGCACCGTATGGGTGCTCTTGATGGTGCAGAGCTCACAGCTTTGGGTCGTCATCTTAGCTCCATTCCTGCTGATCTTCGCTGCGGCAAATTGCTTGTCTATGGCGCAGTTTTCGGCTGTCTAGATGCTTGTCTCACCATCGCATCTATCCTTACAGCACGCTCACCATTTGTTTCTCCTCCTACTCGCCGTGACGAGGCCAAGGCAGCTCGATTGGCATTTGCACCAGGCGGCCAAGGAGATCTCCTTTGCGACCTCCGCGCCTTTGAACTCTGGAGTGCCAAACGTGCCGAAGGCGTTCCTTCCTCATCCCTCCGCCAATGGTGCGACAGCAACTTCCTCTCCACACAAACTCTCTTCGACATCAATACCAACCGCCGCCAATACATGTCTTCCCTTCAAGAAATCGGCTTCTTGACTTCCTCTTCTGCATCTTCTGCAGACCACAATGCTAGAAATGGCAACACAGCCCTTGTCCGTGCATTGGTGGCTGCAGCATTCTCTCCCCAGGTCGCACGCATAGAGTTCCCGGACACCAAGTATGCAGCCTCGGTCTCTGGTGCTGTGGCTCTGGACCCAGAAGCCAAAACCATAAAGTACTTCCGCGAACCCAATGCCTCTGCTGCACCGACTTTGGCCTTGCAGAACGGCAAACAAGCACAGCAACAACAACAGGAACAGGGCAATCCGAGACTGTTCATTCATCCCAGCAGTGTTTTGTTTTCATCAGCACCAGGTCAAAATTTCCCTCCTTCTACTGCTTTCTTGTCTTATTTCTCGCTGTTGTCGACGTCAAAAACATTCATTCGAGACTTGACGCCCTTCAACGCATATACCCTTCTTTTGTTCTCTGGCGATATCACGCTGGATACGCAGAATAGGGGTTTGGTGGTTGATGGCTGGATCAGACTCAAGGGATGGGCAAGGATTGGGGTGTTGGTGGGTAGATTGAGGAATATGCTGGATGCGGTGTTGGAGGGACTTGTGGAGAGGCCTGGAGAAAAGCTCAGTGGCAAGGAACAAGGATTGGTGGATTTGGTTGCTAGGTTGGTTGAGTTGGATGGGTTGGACAGATAGTTTTGATTGAGGGCTGTTTGATCATATCGAACCAGCTAGTCCCCCTCGCACAAAACACAAAACCTAGGATTTCTCGGTTGACGTGCAAGCATTAACTGAAGATGGAGTTTGCTCTTTCCATCTTCTGCCACTCGTCTCCGGTTTTTATCATCATATCCACTTTCTCATTGTAGAAACAGCACAACCCAGTGATTGCAGCACACTCAATCGTAGGTCTAGTGTAGAACCACACGATATCCTTGTAGGTCTCGCCATCAACAACTACATCATAGTACTCAGCCTCACCCTTGTATGGACACTGCGTTGTCGTTCTACTGGGTCGTAAGACAGAAGTGTCGATGGCGGTTAGCGGCATGTAGTAGCGGACTGGAAGACCGGTCTCGTAGAGCTGCATGCAAGAACTAGTCTCTGCGATTGTGGTGCCTTTGAGGGAGACTTTTATGCCGCGTGCCGACTGCAGGATGTCGACGCGCTTGAAGGGGTCTTTTGGGTGCACGAATATTGGAGTGTCTTCTTCGAGCCACTGGTCTNNGATATGGCTGTTAAGCCTGGTATGAGGCCAAGATAGAGGCAAAGACTTACCTGCAGCGCTGAAGTGGACTTTTAGCATGTTGCTGAGGACGCTTGCTTTGCCTGGGAGGTCGTTGCTGAAGACCATGAAGCCATCTTTNACCTCTTTCATGTTGTTGTCTGAGTTGCGCTGGACCTTGACCTTGAGCGTATTTGCAATGATCTTTTCGTTTGAGTCCTTGACATCTTGATGCTGCTCGTACTTGATGTCATAGCCTTGGACATGTTCAAGCAGAGCACTTTTGGGAAAGTAGAGTTGAGGATAGTATGGATGCTCCCATACGAACAGAGCTCCTTTTGTGCCGAGTGTATCCGCGATGCAAGCGCCGTTGATCAAGATCCTCACGCGTCGCTCTGTGTGAAGCGTCTTATGGGGCCCGTGTTCGACGAGATGGCGGGCAAGTGTGGACAAACTACGTGACCGTGGTCAAAGATGATCAAGACATGACCACAACAAGACTCACTCGACTTCACGTCCTGGGACAGCCATTCTTGCTGATGTTATTGAGTCTGAGACAAGCCAAGAGAAGTGAATGAGCAGTGGTCAGGTAGTGCGGGGAATTGGTTGATGAAACTGATGGATGAGATAAGATAACAAGGCTCCGTGCGACTCCGGCTTGGATCCACAAGGGTCTTCGGTCGCTAGCAGAAGCGGGGAGCACGAGAAAAATCATTGGATCGTCCCAGTCGAGGGCATGGAGTAATCTAGACCGCTGTTGGCAATCAAAAGCAGTGGCAGATTGGCCTTGGTCAAGATGACTGCTTCAGCAAGAGAGAAGGCAGGAAAATGTTGGGCTGATCCTTCCTGTCGTGAGTGAGCACGCACGCACGCACACGAGATCTCTCTCGGCAAGGGCTGGCTTTTTGGCGTTGCGGCCGGCAAGGGATCCTGTCGAATCGTCTCGAATAGATGTGGAGAGGGTGCGACGAGCCTGAGCCTGAGCCTCTCTCAATAAGCAGCAGCTCGCTTGTTTCCACACAGTCAGCATCACCTGCTACAGCATCATTTCTTCTTCCATCAGCGCAGCAGACAGACGACTTCTATCTTTTTACTTTCCAGCCTCCATCGTCAGTCCTCAGCTGAACCCCACCACTCGCGCGGTCAAGACTCAACGGTCGCTACTCGGAACGCGCGAAAGTCGTCGTCGTCTCCACAACAGCCCACAAAAAGCAACCCAGCCGCATCCACGCACACGACGTGCATACCCCTGATCAAATTCACCACCGCGTCCATCATTCATCCATCCATCTATCCATCGATTCTCTCTCTTCTCCGCCATCTCTCATGGGTGCTAAGAGACACTGAGGCCCCAGACCCCGACTTCCCCTCCTCGACCTATGTTCGACAAGGCTGGATCCTGATTCATGAATCATGCCTCGTCGAAGACCTCCAGCACTCAGTCTCGGCAACGCTCTCTTTTGCATCTTTGTATGGCTACCTCTCATAGCCACTGCTCAGCAGCAGCAGTCCGCCGACAATGCCAACAACATCCGCAAACGCCCTGCTCTCAGCAATGCGCGCTCTCCGCCAGAACTGAGATCCACCCACAAGCATCTTAAAGACACCGCAATCGACCCTTCAATTGAGCGCGCCCTTGCGACTTTTGCTCCAGCCGAGTCTAACCCGGCCGTCAGAGCACCTCCTGCACGATCATCGGCCTCGTCCGGTGGTCTTTCTTCGCGACACCCGGCGCGGTCTCTGCAGGATTGGCAAGTCGAGGATATCATTCTCCTGGCGACCGTTGATGGAAAACTACACGCAAGAGACCGTAGAACCGGCGCTCCCAGATGGGAGATCGAGGCCGACAAGCCCATGATCGAGACTGTCTACCACCACAACGACTCGGATCCAGACGCCCAGCCTGAGACTAGCCTTATCTGGATCGTCGAGCCTTCTCAAGATGGCAGTCTTTACGTCTACTCCTCTGAGCCACAGACTGGCATGCAGAAACTCGGCTTGTCTGTCAAGCAGCTTGTTGAAGAGTTGTCTCCGTACGCCGGTGAAGATCCGCCGGTAGTTTATACCGCCGACAAGAAGAACACACTTTACACGGTCGATGCATCCAACGGAAGAATTCTCAAGATGTTCAGCTCCGGCGCGTCGACTTTCACCAACGATCAGAATTGCCGGCGAGTCGATGGTCTCGGATCACTCGAAGACAACGAATGCGAGTCAATTGGCACTCTTACCTTAGGCAGAACAGAATACACCGTCTCCATTGCAGACAAGCTGACCGGACATCCTATTTGCACCATCCGCTACTTTGAGTGGGGACCCAACAATCGCGACAAAGACCTACACAATCAGTATGCCTCGACCATGGACAGCAAGTACATTTACACTCAACATGACGGTAGTGTAGTCGCTGTTGACTACAGAGAAACAAACCGTTTCGGCAACTCTATCCTGTACAAGCAAAAGTTCGCGTCGCCAGTTGCTCGTGTCTACGATGTCGTCAGACCTCTTGATGAAGAGATCCTAGATGCTTCGCTGGTCATTCTGCCGCAGCCCATCGGTCCTGCTGGAGATGACACAATTGAGCAAGACAAGATCTTCGTCAACTGCACCGAATCCGGCAGCTGGTATGCCATGTCAGAGCTCAGATATCCCACTGTCACAGATGGCGCTTCCAAGGCCGTATGCTACACTCAAGGATACGCCCTTCCTGTGGGCACTTTCAATCCGGCTAAGCAAAGAGCAAACTTGGTTGGTATACACCCTTTGCATCCGACGAGTCAGGAACAGAGCGAGATTCTCACGATTGGTGGACCTGACCAGTCACTCGTCGGATCTCCAAATGCTTATAACACTGAAAACGCTCAAGTCATGCTACCGGCCGCATCAAACCCCTGGGCTGGTATCACGTCGTCGGGTTTGGTTGGCCTGCTTGCTTTGATCGGATTATTCGCTATTGTCTCTCGATGGGTTGATATACAGAAAGTCATACAACGCCAAGCTCCCGGTCCCGTTGCGATGAAAGAGGCGCCTGTTCCTGTCACTTCTGAACCTACCGAGGCCCCTCCCAACAAGGACGAAGTCTCTTCTTCAAACGAGCCTGTTGATCGCAAGGTCCGCTTCCCTGAACCTGCGGAAGAGACCATTTTCCCACAAGGAGAACAGGAAAAGGCAAAGGAAACAACACCATCGCAAGAAACGTCTGTTGAGGTCAAGGTCGACTCGCCTACCCGTGCTACAACCCCAACTCCACCAGAAGCAGACAAACCCGCTGAAGAGCAAACGCCTGTTAAGCCAAAGAAGAAAGCTACCCGTGGTGTCAGAGGAGGCAGAAAAGCGAAGGAAAAGAAGGAACAACTCGAAGCGCAACAACGTCGTCGTGCGAACAGCCAGAGCAACAGTGACAAGGAAAACAATGGTGCTCTCGCCGCACCTGTCTCAAAGCCTCTCTCCAAGATTGAAAAGATCGACGGCATGGATGTCATCAGTGTCGACACATCGGAAAGCCCCAACGTGTCTGGCAAGATTCAGATCAATAACCTTACCATTGACACGGATCGCATCATTGGACATGGAAGTGCCGGTACTTGTGTGTTTGAGGGCAAGTTCGAAGGTCGTGCAGTTGCTGTCAAGCGTATGCTTTCGCAGTACTACGAATTGGCATCTCAAGAAGTTTCGTTCCTTCAGCAAAGCGACCATGACAAGAACGTCATTCGTTATTACTGCCAACAGAAGGATCAGCACTTCCTGTACATTGCCGTTGAACTCTGCCAAGCAAGCTTGTGGGATCTCTTCAATCTTCCAGATGTTCGCGAAGAAGCACGTTACCAGCAACTTCAGTCTCTGGCTTCAGCTGTTCAACGTGATGTACGTGGCGCTCTCTATCAGCTTGCGAAAGGACTCTACCATCTCCACGATCTTCGCATCATCCACCGCGACATCAAGCCTCAAAACATTCTCATCGCGTTCCCCAAACCAAACAAGCCCAACGAGCTTCGCCTGGTCATCTCGGACTTTGGCTTGTGTAAGACCCTTCCCGAGAACGTCAGTACCTTGATCGACCCTACGAGCAATGCTGGTACTTGTGGTTGGAAGGCTCCAGAGCTTATCTCGCAGCCCAAAGACACAGCTTCCAACAACGGTCACAGCAACATCTCGCATCCTGGCACTAGTGAAAGCTCTTCTGGCGGAACTATGGGAGGTGTCAAGCGAGCAGCAGACATTTTCTCTTTGGGATGTCTGTTCTTCTGGGTCTTAACTGGAGGTGATCACCCGTACGATGATAAGGAAGGTTGGATGCAGATGCGTGAGCTCAACATCAAGAAGAATAACCTTCAAAACATGCACAAGCTCGACCTGGGCTCCGACAGCGAAGAGCCTCGCCAACTGATCACCGCAATGTTGGCCCACAACCCCGAAGACCGACCATCCGCCCAACAAGTCCTCTGCCACCCCTTCTTCTGGTCACCCAAGAAACGCCTCGACTTCCTCTGTGACGTCTCGGACCACTTCGAGCACGAACCCCGCGACCCTCCATCCCCCCACCTCTGCTACCTCGAATCCTACTCGGACATGGTCATCTCCACAGTCTCCAAAGACAAAGACTGGCAACGCAAACTCGACCGTATGTTCCTCGATACACTCGGCAAACAACGCAAGTACAACGGCGCCAAGATGCTGGATCTGCTGCGTGCGCTCCGCAACAAGAAAAACCATTACGAAGACATGAGTTTGGATGTCAAGAAGAGGGTGGGCTCTTTGCCTGAAGGATATTTGCAGTATTTTACTGTGAGGTTTCCGACGCTGTTGATGGCTTGTNTTTGGGCGATTAAGGATTGTAGGGTTGAGACCAATGCGAGGTTTAGAAGTTATTATAGTATTGAGAATCAAGAGTGAGTGAAGAGGGGAGGGGAAGTAGTCCTGTCTTTTATGCGAGTTTATCATTTGATGCCATTTTGCAGTTCGTTTTTCTGCTGTGGGATTAAGTGACATGTGGTGATGAATTTTGTTTGCTTTGACTTGCTGAGATCAATTGAAAACCTGAGAAAGCCAGAACACAAGAGTGAAATGATAGGTAAAAAAACAACCTTATGCAGAAACAGTAACATTCGACCTTTATAAAAAAAAAAAGGTGGGGTATCTTTGTAAACAACAAACAACATCTAATAATAATCATCCTCTTCTTGTCCATCTTCCTCATCGCCATATCCATCTTCCTCTGCATCATCTTCGCCATAAACATTAAAGTAGTTTACGGCATGCTGATCACCCTCGTCTTCGTCTTCGCTTCCACTGCTTTGCATAGGAGAAAATCCTGCTTGCTCTGCGCCTCCCTGAGCAGCTTCAATGTCATCGCTGTAGTCGTTGTATTGCACTTCTGCATCTGCATCTCCGTCTTCTACTGTACCCAGAGATCGTTCCTCCTCGGTGCCAGAGGAATTACTGACTTGTTCGTTTTCGTCTTCGCTGTCCAGGATGCGGATGGGACGTTGTCTGCGAGCCAAGATTGGAGGGTTAAAGCGGCGAGAAGCAGGGATTTGGGGGCGTCTGGGAGCTTCATCGTCTTCGTTCTCTGAAGAGTTGGTTTCTGAACTTGAGTCGTCGCTGTCTACTACACGGATGGGACGGCGGCGGGTGGGTTGTGCCACTGGCTCTTCGTCTTCGGAATCAATAGTGTAGACGGGGATCTGCGGACGCCGGAATCGGGGATTGTGGCGTATGCCGTCGGAATCGGAGTCGGTAGAGTCTGACTCTGAACTTGATGCTTCGCCGTGGTGATGGCGGTGTCTTTGTCGACGTGCTGGTGTGGGGTCTTCGGTTTGTGAGCTGATGTCGTAGTTGGTGATGTCGTTGACGTCTCTGTCGTCCAGGAATTCGTCGATTGAGCCTGCGTCTTGGTCGTCTTCGTCTTCGTCCTCGTCTTCATCCTGATCCATCAAATCGTCTTCGGCGTCTTCGTCCAGCAGACCGGGATCCCGTGTAGCGCGACGGTAAGCATCTCTTGCGGCCCTCATTCTCGCGACCGCCTCTCTCCCGCGCTGGCGATCTCTTGCGCGCTGGCGAGCAACCATTTCTCGCAGAAACTCTGCGCGATCAGCAGCTCCTTGGTTCAGATAGTCCAGTGCTCCTCCATGCTCCTCCACAAATGCATCATAAGCTCGAGGGTTGATATCAATATCAAACTCCCCATCGAATTCTCCAAAATCAGGATCGGCGTCCATGTCATCTTCTTCGAAATCGTCTTCTATGCTCTCGGCGTGCAAAGAGTTTGAGAGGTCGGAAGTGCTGATGTCGCTTTCGTCGCTCCAGCTGTCCATTTGGATACCGCATTGCATGCACATGCCATCCTCGATCTCCCAATTGCAGCGCGGACATCTGTCAACGTGATCCACGGGATCGTGGTTTGGCAGCAATCTCTTACGACGCTGGCGGAACATTCCCTTGAAGAGTCCTCCAGTCTTAGGATCCTCATTGTTCTTATCATTTTTGACCAATTCCGCCTCTTCGAACGCCCATTGTTGGTGTTGCTCGATGGCTTCTCCGTCAGGTAAAAGGTTATGACTGCGCATAAAGATGTTTATCATTTCGCGGATGACGTAGGAGGGAGCGGGCGGTTGTGTGATGACCACGCGACAGCCTGGACATGTCTTTTTCTTGCTGGTGCCGAACCAAGTGCACAAACAGCTGTAGCAGTACGTGTGGCCGCAAGAGATAACGTAAGGTTCGTAAAGCAGGCGTTCGCAAATCCTGCAGGTTATCAGATTGCGCAAGTCGTCAAAGTCGCCTCGTAGTGTTTTTAGAGTCTTTGGGAGTGGTGTGTTAGTAGGAGACAGAAAATACAAGTGAAGCAGATTCGTACTNTGAAGGTCTTGTTCAGCAGGGACTTGGGCGCCGGGTTTGGATTGTGGTTCGTCGGCGGTCAAGTCCATGATAGGGTGGATCGTGGGAGTTTCATCGACAGCAGAGGTCTTCATCTTNTTCCTTGCACCTTCGTCGTCCATGGCTTCACGGTCACGCTTGAGTGTTGGCATGTGTGGCAGGAAGTCGGGCTTTTGATCCAGGTTATGCCGAGCTGCTGACCAGGCTTGCTGCTTTTGGCTCCTTGTTTCTCGTCTTGTGAAGGTCGATATTGTCCAGAAAGTCCCGTGAAATGAATGCGTCGTCTGGCTTTCACTTGGATTACCAAGCACAACAAGCTTGTGTCCGTTTCGTTTGCGACTAAAGATGGGCAAAGAAAAGTATCGCCTCGGATCATAAGCCTGCAGTCACTGACCCGGGAGATCGACAACTGGACGCGCCAAGCTTGTCACGAACCCTGTTGTTTTGGCCCGCGTTGAGTCAATTTATGCTCAATGTGGAAGTCGCGACAATCACCCTGCCTCGACCATTTCACTTCAATATTTCGTCGTCTGTTATCTGATTCAGGGGTTGTATGGGAGCTGTCACAGTCTGTATCTTGCTAGCTGTACATCTATATGTCTGTATATGTGTTCAGTGACAAAGGCAGACTCAGAGCATCACATCTTTTTCTCATCAGAGTTGTGCATGTTCAAGTGTTACTTCTTGCAGGACAGAAATCAACATTTGTCTTTAAGCAAACCAATGCTTCTCATCTAGCAACTCTTTCTATCCAAAACCTTGCCTCAGATGGTATCTGGCACAGTACTGTTCGCCACATCAACCTCTTCCGGTGTCCCCTTCTCGATAATCCTGCCATTGCCCAATGCAAGACAGTAATTCGCTCCACGAACAGCAGAAGGTCGATGTGCAATAGTGACCACAGTGCTCTGCTCCATCTCCTCCCTCAACACTCTCTGAATCTCCCAAGCAGTGTCTTTGTCTATACTCGCCGTTGCCTCATCCATAATCACAATAGCACTTCTTCTAAGCACCGCGCGCGCTAACCCGACTAGTTGTCGCTGACCTTGACTGAGGTTCTTGCCGCCAGTGTCGATTTGGGTCTGCAAGGTCCAGTTGTAGCTGCCACAGACACGCGCAATCACAATCTCGCACTCCTCATCTGTGTGCTGTTCTGTAGGATCGAGGTTGTGTCGCAACGAGCCTGGGAACAATACTGGATCTTGAGCGAGGAAGGTGATACGGTTGCGTAGGGCTTGCTTGTTGACTTTTGCGATATCAATGCCGCCGATGAGGATGCGTCCTGACTCCGGTGTCATGGTTGCAAGGAGTGATAACGCGAGTGTGCTTTTGCCAGATCCGGTTCGACCAATGACTGCAGTGTTCGAACCTCCTTTGAGGGTAAAGGACACATCCGACAATGCAGGGTCGAGGTGTGGCGCGTATCTGATGGTCACATCTTCGAAGACGATGTCATCGTTGTAAGAAGGCCAGTAGGCAGGTGGCTCAATCTCGCCAGCATCTTCTTGCTCAAGGTGAAGCAGCTCAACCACACGTTCCACCGAGACAAAGTTCAACTGAAGCTGACCGTATTGTTTGCACAAGGCATGAGTTGCCACCACGAATCTACTGGCAGATGCCAGCACAAAAGCGGTCAATCCCGGTGATAGGCCAGAGTTGATAGCCAGCAGAGTCATAATGAAAGTTGACACTGCCGAGAGAATGTCGAACCTGTACATGAGCCAGGCTTGCAGAGACNNCTGATATGAAGGTTAGCCAAGGGTCCATTATGTTGCGTCCATGTTAGATTACCAGTAGAAATGGTCCATGCCTTGGAAGGCATCTGTCACAGCAATCACGCCATCCTGGAACTGAGACTGAGCACAGAAAGCTCGAACCGTCGTCAGGCCGTTCAGCAGAGCGCCAAAGTTCGACATGAGCGGGCTCAAAGACACCATCTCGAGACGTCTCAAGCTTTGACTAGTAGGCAAGAACTGCATGAAAATCAAGATGAATGCTAGGGTCAGTGCAAAAGAAAAGACAAGGAACAATGGCGTAACACCTGCAATCACAGCTATTGATGTCACCCAAGCGATTGCTTGCCAGGCTACAACCAGGAATTGGTTTGAGATGTTGCCATCAATGGTACCCACATCAGATGTGAGCCTGTTCATCAGACGCCCGATAGGCACCACGTCGTAGTAGTGAAACGTGGTATGGCTGACCTTTGTCATGATGTCTTTGAACATGCCCTTGCCTTACAAAGTTGTCAGCAGCATATCATCCAAGTACGAGAATGAGTACTTACCAGCAGTGTAGGTAATGACAAGCATGAAGATCTGCGAGATCATGAAACCAACACACTCTGCAATGATCAAGACAAGAAAGGCGATTAGCCAAGGATAAACGTTCACGCCGGGATCCGGGAATCGTTCGAAGAAACGGGAAATAGGACTCGAGGATGTGATATGAGGCTCGGCATGGACAATCTGCAAGTTATAAACCTGCTCAGTCTCTCCGTAGGCCTCTCCCCATTCCTGTGATTAAACGTCAGCACAAGTATATCAAGTCAACTATGTGGTCAGACTTGCCTTCAGGAGCCATGACTCAGCCACCATGAGTAGTCGGAAGACGATTGCTGACAGAACGACAAGAGACCACCATCTCAAGCGTCCAGCTTTGATGTATTGCCAATACACTGCTGCCTTGACTCCGCCATGCTCTCGATGTTCTTCTTCCTCAAACTTGTCGGGTACTGCAGCAGATTCTTGTGCTTCGTCGATCTTGACCATCTTGGCATCCTGAAGAGTTTGAGCTGTGCGAGAGGTGGTCGGACTGAGTTGTAGCGAATCTCCATTGAATGTCTCTGCAGCGCCATCGGTGATCTCGATGAGCTGTTCAGCCATACCCTTGCACAGATCTGTACGATGAGTGACCAAAACGATCGTGCGGCCTTTGGTCAGCTCGCCTCCAAAACATTTGGCGACTATAGACTCTGCAGTCTGCTGATCAAGCGCACTCAACGGATCGTCGAGAAGGAGGATCTTAGCTCGACTGTAGACTGCACGAGCCAGAGCAACTCTGGCTTTNTGCCCACCAGATAGACCAATGCCGTTCTCTCCAATATTCGACAGGTCTCCGTGCTTGAAATTAGCAAGATCTGCAGTCAGGGCACAAGCTTCAAGAGTCTGCTTGTACCTTGAATCATCATAAGGGGATGAAAACAAGATGTTATCGCGGATGCTCATGCTCTGCAACCAAGGAGTTTGGGCACAGTAAGCAATGGGTGCGTCTGGCTTGATGAGCTCGCCGTGATGTAGATCGAGCTCCCCAAGAAGAGCCTGGAGCAGGGCGCTTTTTCCTGCTGCGACCTGACCGAACACGACGTTGAGTCCTGGTGGGAATGAAAGTGTAAGATCGCGGAGGACTTCCTTGGAAAGTCCCGGCCATGCGAACGTAGCATTCTTGAGTTCGAGAACACCATCTGATATTGAGGCTGCGTTATCATCTGCAGTCTTGTTGGGTTCTTGCATGAAAGCCTCAATACGACCTACAGCAACTGATGCGTTGAGCAGTACCGTGATGAGATCCGGGATCTCCTTCAGATCGCTTTGTAGCATGTTGAAGAGCTGGAGAGCAGGAAATGCGATATCGATTCGCAATTCATGACCAGCCAGAGCTGTGAAACCATAGAACGCGGCGACTGGCAGTAGTCCACTGCCCAAGATGTTGACGAATCTGATGGTAGTGTTCCACAGGAAAGTCACAATCTTTAGATCAAGCTCGGCTTGTCTGGCTTCCAGGATCTTTTCGAGCCAGACAGGATGCCAGCCATACCACCTGAGGTGTCGAATCGCCTCAACATATGCCGAAACTTGCTGGAGTTTGGTGTCTGTAGCTTTACGACGAAGCCTCTCTTTCTGGATGAGGATGCGAGCAAAGATAGCATTCACGACCTGAGCAAGAAGTACCACGGCGATACCGAGCAGACAAGACGGGCCGAGTAAATTCCAAACCAAGCACAAGGAAAGGATCATACCAAGAGGCTTGTTGATAAGTCTCTGGAATTCCCAAAATCTTTGACTGACNCTAGATATACAAATTAGCTTATCGCATGCATGAGATTGTTTGATACCACTAACCTCATAAACATCGCCACGCATCAAGTTGAGGATTTTGCCCATTGAGGCAGGAGCGTTGTCCTCGGTAACAGGAGCGGTCTTCTTGCTACGTTTGAAATGGACACCGGACCAAGTCTTCCGAAAGACCTTAGACAAGAATGACTGCTTTTCATTCGGTTTGCTGTCATGGCCATTCAATAGTCCTTGCGTTTCACATGCACCATTTCCATTAGGTGAACTGTCAGAATCTGTTTCCTCGCTCGTGTCTTGACCATTNTTCTTTTCTTCGTCATCTTTGATCGTAGCAACGATCTTCCTGTTGAGCGTCTTCTCAAAGAGCATCGTGATCATCTCTCCTCTGGACCGTTCGTAGGCACGCCTACCAAACCATAGACTGAAGACCGAACTTTGCGCGGCAACCAATCTAACAACAAGGATGAGGAGTGCAAACGTGATCGCTGGCTGTACTTCGTATTTCAAGTTGTTCATGGCCTTAAGAAGCTGCTGCAACAGTATCGGTGCAGAATAATTGGCGACCAGTTCCAGAATTGCTAGTACTGTTAGTATAGCTAGATCGTGCCAGTTTGCACGAAATAAGCGTCGGACAACCGTTCCGTGAAGTTCTCGAAAAGCATCATGTAGCTGGCGATGCTGAAACTCGTAACCAAGAGACCAAACATCATCGTCATTCAACTGTCTTGTCTTGCCAACGGATATGAGAGATGACATCCATGAAACAGTCATCCATTGCCAGAGGGTAAGATCATCTTCTGGAGATCTGAGATCTGATGTTGGTGTAGTGTATGGTTGACTGATACCATCGCGTGCCAGAGAAGGTTCTCGAAGTGGCAAATTTACAACAGCAGCGATGCTGATCACTGAAATGCAGATGTTGATAATTTTGAAAGCAGCGATGAGGTTGAAGCCATCAAACCCCCATTGAGGGNNGGAGGCCAATATCGACGCCTGCAAGACAAACAGAGCCGCATACAATACGAGCAAGAATACCGAAGCCGTCCGCGGTCTGACCAGTATAAGGTGAAAGGCAGCAATGCCTAGCAAGACAGTTGGCGACTGGAATCTGATGATAGTTTGTAGGATGAAGCCAGTAATTGCGAGGNNGATGAAGAGAAGAATCGCCACATAGGGTGGACTCTGCTTCTTCGGCTGAACATCGTCATCAACTCCTGGCTCCTCAATAAATGGCCTCAACCATCGCGGCTGTCGAGATGGAAAGACCATTCCAGTATCCGGTCTCCGTTGGTCGAGATATCGCGGGTTGAAGGCAGAGTTGCCTGCTCATGAAGATGGGGAAACTAGAGTAGGATGCAAATAGAGGACGATGATCGACGGGCTTGCATTGGGACTTCTTGGCGACGTAGGCACACACTTTGGTTCAGGCAGACACCGACTCAATTTTAGATTTGCACTCTCAAAAGCTCTTTCAAGATATTGAAGGAATAAATGCCGTACAAGGACGACATTGCTTGAGAGACTGCGAAAGTCCGGTCGTCACCAGAATTAGATCCCTCCATGCACCGAGATTGGGTTTCGGCCCGAGATCAGCCGAGCATACATCATCCGAATCAGGACATTGCATTTTTGAGAATGGCCTCTACTAACGCAAAACGTCCAGCGAGCATTACAAACGACTCGTTGCTGCCTCAAAAGCAAGGTCTTCATGAGGGTTGATATAGCATGAGCAGGTAAGCATTCGTAGAGGACTTACATTGTTCTGGTTTACCAACAATTGTTTCGGATGGAACAATGTCTTATCATCATTTGAGGACATTTTTCCTAAGCAAAGACAATGTTTAAGCATATGAGATTGTTCAGTACCTGTATGCCATGAGTAGAGATATTGGTATCGAGCACAGCACTTTCTTTTAATCGCATCTTCGGCCATGTCTTCAAGCATGAACTTCCTATCAGATACCATACTGACTCGTCCTCACATACATCCTTCTCCTACTAGGACTTCAAGACATACAGCTCACTTGAGCAAGACATCAAGCACCTTGATCCAATATGCACCTCTATCAACATCATCTCCAAGCATTTTAATTGGATATGCACCTTTATCATTGACGACTTCCATCTCTCGCTCTTCTTCTGATCAAGCGACAATATCATCTCACTCTGCAAGAAGTTCGACTCATTCTCCGTCGCCAGCGTTTACAAATCATCCTACAATTTCGAGAGCATCGATCAGTCTCGCACCCTCTTCCAGCAGGTCAGCTGAACCTGGTCTCCAGCCAATAGATCCCGCTACAAGACTCACGGTCATTGTCTTGATACTGATGGGACTACTGTTAGCCATGGCTACTGCGATGTGGTTGGCCGAGAGCAAAGATCGCCAGACATCATCCAAAACAGAGTGCCAGAGCGACAAAATCATGGGCAAAGCAAGGAAGGATGCAGAACCTATTGGACTGGGCATAACACTGCAGCCAACAGCTGAGGAAAGGAAGGAGATTGGATGCTGTGTGCGGCTGAAAGGCTGGCTCTCCACCATCACCAAGAGAGGAAAATCTCCCGACATCATCGAGCGGTGGATAAACTCTGCTGTATTCAGAGCACGAACTGATCTCGATGCAAATGCCGAAGAAGGATTGTTGCTACCTGTCCAAGAAAATGAAAGGATTGGAAGCGAGAAGAACCAGGTTTATATTGAAGTCGATCTCAACTGAGAGTGTCGGAGGACGCAAGGAGACAGAGCAAGCGGGTATGGTAGTCGGCCATCTCAAGCCGCCATCTCGACAGCATTTTCTCGTTCTGCTTTCTGCTTCTGCTGCTCCTCAACATATTTCTGTAGTCCAGTCACCCAATCCTCAAAATTCTTCTGCAAGGATTGCCCAAATTTCCATTTCACAATACGAGCCGCCAAACCTCCGAAAGTCTCCCAAGACCTGTAGATGCATGTTCCGTCGCCCAGATCTTCAATCTCGTTGACTCTCTCGGCTGCCAGAAAGAACTTAGGCGTGAAGTTTTCCTTGTTTGCCATTATCCATCGGATGCATGTGATGTGTCCGGGTGTAGAATCAGATGGACAGTCATCGACCTGAGTAACCAGTTCTTTGCTACTGGTAGTCAAGGAAGGAGTCATGTGGACAGTGAAGGTCATGACCATATCTTTCTTCATGTGAGCATCGTGCGGTTCTGACTCAGAGCCAGGACGCTTGTCGATGGTGACAGAAGATACAAAGTTGTTCCATTTTCCAATCAAAGACGTATCAACCAGAGCCTTGTAAACAGCAGATGGTGGAGCGGCGACTCTGGCCTCGGCGAAGGCGCTGAAGTAGCCGCCGCCTGGGAGAGAGACAGCTGGTCTTGGTGTGCTTATGTCGGTCGTCATTTCTATGTTTAAGAAAGCGTTCAAGAAGTGATGTAGAAAGCGTCTGTGAGATGACTGAAACAGATGTGATGGACTTGAAAGTGGTGATGTCAAGGGTAAGAACTGGAAACAAGTGAGGTTGGTCAAGGCAGACACGCGTAGCAGATTATAAAGCAATACGATGGCAGCAAAGGCATGATTCTTAGTGCCAATCGGATGGATGGACGGTTACATGTCAGCAGGATAGAGTAGCATTAGTTCGTTGTCGACTGCATCAAGGTGGGTGGAAGTCGTCCAAGTCGGTCCAAGCGCCTTCCCCATCTGACGCAGCGCATGAAGCATCCAGGACGGACACTTTTAAATCACCCACTCTACCAACCTTGTACACTGTCACCCATCCCTTCGACTTCACAGCTGCAGCATGGCGAGCAGCCCTCCCGGAAGTGCGACCTCACCGCCTCCAAGCGGCCCACAGCTGGCTCTGCCCAAGAAGCGCCCTTCAATCACCATCCCCGGCCAGGCCACATCATACAAGCGTCGCAAGCCGTCAAATGCTTCATCTACACATCCTCTGCGCCAGACATCATTCCCACCACCGGACCGTCCAGGAAGAGAATACAGTCCCGACACACAAGCCTCGCAAGCCGCATACTCGCCCGTCTCCCGCCGCAGCGATAGTCTCGATATCGACGATGAGATCAACAGCGTAGTGAGCGGTCGCACCGGCACCACCAATAACAAGAAAGATCGCGCAAATAAGACCAAGAAGGTTGGCAAAGTTGGCCGCCCGCCGAAGAACCGTGGTGATACTGCCAGTCTCATCGACGGCGACGCTGGTCGCAAAGGCAGCTCTACAAATACTGGAAACAACGAAGATGGCCCTGGCGACGATGCCAACAGCGAAGACGAAGAAGATGGAGGCGACGATGTCAACACACTAGAAGGCGGTAAGCTCACCAAAGCCGCCATGGATGCCGAGAAAGAGCGCAAGGCCATGTTTAGCACACATATCCACCCCGCCCATGCCGAAATCTACGAAACCTGGAATCGCATACACTTGAAGAAGGAAGTCGTCCGCCGTCTCGCCAACCAAACTCTGTCGCAGTCAGTACCCGCCAGCGTCGTGACCACCATCAACTCGTACACCAAAGTCTTCGTAGGAGAAATTGTCGATCGCGCGAGAGAGGTCCAGAAAGAGTGGCTTGCTGCTGCAGAAACATTACCTACAGGCGACAAGAATGAAGAAGCTTTTGGCAAGGATGGTGAGGGCGAACCAAAGGTCAAGGAGCGCGACAGAGGTCCGCTGTTACCCGACCATCTGCGTGAGGCCCTCAGAAGATACAAGCATGACAGATCTGGAGGTACTGTGGGTTTCACTGGCATCAGTCTGGAAGGCAGAGAATCTGCTGCTGTTAGAAACGGTGGCAGAAGGCTCTTCAGATGAGCATCTCACCTCAAATCGCGCCACAAGCACAACACATCACCTGAACATCCTCTCCGCAGAATGCACACATTCGAGCTACAACTATATCTTATTGCCGTTCAGAGCTCTCACACACAAAGAGCAGCAGCAGCAGCGCTGTATCTTCGACTTGGCCTACTACGATGAACATTGGCACATGACTATGGAGGAGCATCCCTTCATACCAAATTCGCACCGACATACGCCACGACATCCCGTGATGAATGTTGGGTCGCGCAGATATTACGCATGAAGAAGAGAAGTGAGAAGTACCATGACTCCTGTCCATCAACACTTCTGATCTCCAGCACTCCACATACGACTAGGGGTCGTCGAGGCCGGATTGAAGCAGACTTCCTACTATCACCTAACGAGAAACAAAGAGCAAAAGGACAAATTCGCCCCTGAAGAAAAATTCATAATCTAGTAGTTTCGTAAAAATCGTAAACCTCAAAAAGCATTTTTGCGAGCTCTGGAAACAAATCAGAGCGCGCTCCTCGTAGCCCAAGTCGTTGTTCTCGTCCCCTCTATCATCTTAGTATTTATCTCCGTCTCGGTAGCCACACTGCTCAGAATACCCAAATGCAGCTGTCGCGTCGTCGTCTTTGGAGAATTGCCAAACTCCGAATCCATAGGGGTATCGCACTTCTCAATCTCGGATTCTTGGGGTGATTCTGCCAGTACAGGTCGAGTAGAGCCAAAGCAATTGAGCGTGCTGCTGAGAGAAGACTTTCCAAGTTTTGTTGACGAGCGATCGCTAGTGCTCTTACTCTGCAATACCTCCTTTGTTCTACTCNNCGAACATCTCTGGAATAATGGACGTAGAGTTGCCAGACTTGCTGCAATGATGCCCAAAGCTCCTTCCACCAAAGTCCAGATTAACGGGCTTTCGCTCCTGCTGTAGATGTTGCCGCCAGGTCCGAGTTTAGGAATATAGATCGTGCGCACGATGCTGGCGATGGAACCAATCACCGCAAGCAACAAAATCGCACAACAAGAAACCTTAGCCATGATCGAGAATTTCGTGCGCACCAAAAACTGGATAGCCAAGATGGGAAACACCCAATCGGTGAGTGCGTTTAACGCTCCGTGGGCATAGCCTACAGAACTCTGGATGTGGAAAGAGACGCATTGGCCTGTTGCTTGTTTGACGACGTAGTTGGTTGGGAGTCCGCATTCGAAGATGACTAGGAAGAGCATGGCGGTTGCTACGATGGTGTAGATGGTGACGCTTATCCAGACGATGTGGCGGGCCCAGCGAGCGATCAGGAAGCGGAGGAAGAAGAAAGCTAGAGAGATTTTGAGGCAGACTGTGCCGGTGATGTAGAGGGCTTGTTCGGCGCAGATGAGCTGNAGGTGGTGTTAGTGTTGTTTCTGATTACACAGTCAGCAGAAGATGACACTTACTGCAGCGTATGTTTCTAGATTGGCCAGAGATGCAGGTCTGCCCTCTACATCTGCCAATTTCAACCACGTAGCACTCTCGCCAATAAACACGGCNCTAATGCAAAAGTCAGACAGTTGCTCCCGTATCGAGAGAAGATCACCACTCACCAGAGTTAACAAAATGAAGTAGTCATCCCAACCCCAGCATCTGACTATCCTCGTGCGCGTCCAGACACGCAGAGCAACTGTGAAGCAAGAAAGAGCGAGAAAAGCGCCATTCAGTGCTTTCATGAGTTCCAGCTTGCTGGGCTCGATCCAGTAATGAGGCGATTGACTCATGGCGATCAATCCGATTGCATCCACGATTGACCAGTCGTGTACCAAGAAATACTGATGTTGATCGGAGTTGCCACCAACTCCAAAGTGTCGAAAGCGAAGTCACGATATGTATAGGAGATACACCCTGGTCAGCAAAACCCTCTGCAACGCACGTAAGCAAGTGTGTTCTACTTGTTGAGACATAGAGAACGGGCGCGATCGCCGCCAGACCTGGCAATCTGGCAATATGCCTAACACTTCTGCGTCTCGATTCGACCTTTGTATGGGGAGTAGACAGTTTCGCAACGCCTTTGTCTTATAGACTGCGGTAAGCCTCAGAGCATATAACGGGTCCGAAACCGACTATATAGACTTAGCGCAGAGATGTCCGGGCCTTCTACATCAGATCGCAAGGATGCCCTGCGCAAAAGGTACAAGAGGCTTCATGCATTGGTCGAATGGTGTTCCAAAGAGTCTGGCACATTGATGATGCTATTCCGGATTGAACGTGTTAGGATTGTCGCTGTATGGCCTCGATGTAGTTTTGCCCTAAAGTAGGGTTGATGCGTAAACGTTTATCGCCAACGGTTATACACAACAAACGCTGCCGCATACCGACGTCCAACATCCACTTTAGGTGCCTGATTTCTCAGATTCCGCACTATCCATAGAAGAGTGGAACCATATTGGCCCTGCTAACGCCTTGACTTGCGCGCGTAAGAGTTTGCCAAGCAAAAACACCATTGTCTCTGTCCAGTTGCTGCTTCAATCCCGGACCTTATCCCGTTACCTGTTGATTTGGTTTCGTCTTTGTGGGTAGTTTACAAAATTCAGATTTTGCTGTTCTGGTCCTGTAAAGGTCTCGGCTTCTGTTTATGTTGGCGCAAAGGTGCCGAGTCCAAAGCTCGAAAAGTCGATGGATATAAAGTTCTCCAGCGGCGCTGAGTGACCCTGGACTCTGGAGAACGCTATTCCTTTCTCAATAAGACCTCGTATGCAATGATTGCCATCATAACAGAACAGTTGTTTGCTTCTTGTGCCCGCCAAACAAAGTGTCTATACTGCCACCATTGTATATGATGATCAGAGAATCAATTTCATTATCGACATCGCCCAGTCCTCATCTGCCTTTCCATGGTCTCGACTCTCACCGTTTGCCGTTGACCCAATCCAAGGAGTACCACACTACCACACGGCATATACATCATATGCCGAGTCTCCAAGAGTTCATCAGGCAAAGTATGGCTGACAGCTGCCGAGATGACTTCAACTGTTCGATATAGAAGGAACCTTTGCTGACTATAACAGCGTTATTGTAACCTTTTCCATTTCGGCCTCATCCGGTAAATCTGGCGCCTACCGAGAGTTACTTTGAGCTTGTCAAGCACGAAGTCCTAGTCGGCCGTAAGGGCTGATATTTTGGTTGCGTGGAGGCGGACCATTTGCCTATTTGAACACTGGGTGAAAATGTCTCAATGCATGTGCTGGCTGGCGGGTCACAAGTCGAGTTCAGAACGGGCTGATGAGTCCAAAGTTCGCGAAAGATTTGCAGGCAAAACAAAGGTCGATACGAGCGATTGTAGATGATCTGTTCGATGTATGCTGAGCTTCTCGCGGTCTCGTCCCTTGTGTTTATGATGAAGTGGTTGATTGGCCTCACTACCCAATTATTGTTCAAAGCTGTGGACGGTATGATTTGGCGGGCTTCATGTGGCTGCCTCGAATAGGAGCGGTCCGGGTGCAAATTGCTCAAACGACATGACCGGATCGTCGAAGAATTCCATCCAAGGCACGTCTTCGGGACCTATGCTTGTGCCTAGACCACTATCGGTACAGCTATCACATTGGGTGGATGCAACAGTCATAGTGCAATGCTCGGACTTCATCACTTTTGCCGCGATCTTNTTGATCTTGACGAGTACTGAGCCAGCGCAGGCCCAGCTCAGGCTGAGTGACTTGAGCAGACCCACGACTAGTGTGATACGATCACGATGCTGGTACATGCATCGACAGTTATGCAGAGTGCAGGCAGCCAACTGTACGACAGATGCGATCACAAGAGCGCAGATGAAGAAGGGNGTGTGCTTTTGTACCGGACAGCGGAGAGCTGCGAGATTTGACAATTCTTTGGACGCATCCGTGGCTTTGCTCGCATGAGCATGCTTTGTGTCTGTGGATGGCATCTGCTTGTCGCCTTTGGCACAGAAGATATCTGCAGTGGCTGGATGGACTGAAAGGAGTTCGCTTCGAGGCATGTGCAGAAGGATAGTTGCCCAGTGGATAAGCATGTGTGCTTGAAATAGAAGCTCGTCGACCTCTCCAGAATTTGATATGATATCACGCTTTTCCGGAGGTACGTAATGCGACCATGCAGCAAGAGAGTTGTCAATTGCTTGTACTTCATCCGGATGAGCTTCGGCGTTCGCAATGGACAGGACTCTAGACAAGATCTGAACAGCCTCAATACGATAACAAGACGAGGAGAAACTGATTTCTTCTTCAGCGAAATGTCGGTCAGTAAATTGTGCCAGTGTCGACCCATCAGAGAAACAGGCACCATCCGTATACGTAGAATCTTCGCACGGCAGAAGGACCTCAGAGGCAACAGACCGAGTCTTCATGGTTGGTATGCGATGAATGGCGGACATGATTCCCTCAACTACAAATAGTTCCCACCATGTGCGACGAAAGCTCTCTTCAAGGCACGACGATGTACCACTGTTCAGCATGGCGAATTCTTTCGTATTCATACCAAGGTTGATGGCTAGATCTATAGCGTCGCGGAGCATCGCCTGTCCTTCGGTCGGTTCGCCTCTCGCGTGTATCGCGATGGCGAACAGAAGGCGAGCTTGAACCATGTAGACCGACCGTTGTGAGCTGTCCTTGAGAGCATTTGCTGTTTGCGCTCGGAAAGAGTCGCTTGATTGGGACGTTGAGTAGTGACTTCCGATGAATTGGACAACTGATTGAAGATACGGGGGATAGTTCTGCCCATACATGTGACGTGGTAGCAAAATGGGATGTGCTGGATGGAAGTTTGAGTAGTAGAGGTTCACAACATGCTCCACGCCTGGGTTAGATGATTGCCGACTTGATTGTTGGGAGTTCGATGCTGAAGTTGTGACTTGATTGCTTAGCATGAAAGCTGGACCAGGATCTATCAACGGCGTATCAAACGCGATGCCAACAGCATCTGACGTGTTGGATAGGTTGTTTGCAGTATAAGTGCCTAAGTGGCTCTGCCAATTCGGAGGGTCTAATTTGGCATCAGCAGTAGGTGGTGCTGGTACGGGTGACTGAGCTGATGAGCCTGATGAGGGATGTTGTGTTGGATGATCAGAATTGAGTTTTCGTCGTTTNTTCGGAATTCCCTTGCAGCCTCGTCTTGAAGGCGTGTAGTTGCACGAGATATCAGAGGCAGCGCATCGTGAGCAGACAGGTTGCATTCCATCGCACTTCAGATGCTTAGATCGACATTCGGTGCAAGCCAGTGGTGAAGGCTTGACCACAGAAGCATGCGATTGAGAAGTGGTCCTGGTTGTCATAGTGGTTTCTCGCAGCAGTCATGGTATGGCACGAAAGACTCGAACAATGTCGCGTATATTGCAGTTTTGCAAGGCAAAACTATCAAAAGTAATAATGGTTCGTGTAGCAAAAATATGACTATGAAGGTGAATGTCGCCGACTCGGGGACATTCAAGCTTTGGGAATGAAACCGGGGATGTTTTGTCGTATTCGGTGTCACCCTGATAGAATACAGTCAATGTCAGCAAGGCAGCATCAACAAGACTCGATCGGCCATCTGTCATACACCAAGATGATGGTTGCTTGACGTTGAGCTCCTGTGATAATGATGCCGTAGTCTGCTAGGATAAGTAAATAATAGAGCAGTTAGTCGTGTTCGAAGTACAAAAGTTCCATATGAAAGTGGTTGATGGCCCAAGCGCAATTGCGCAATGTTGCGATGACAGGCAGGTGCGAACATGCTGTTGCTCCATGTTTGCTACACAACTTAGCAACTCGCTTTTCACATCAGCTATCCTTACAGTTGGAGGAAGGGGCAAACACGTCGCCCTTGGATTCTTCATCAAGCATTCTTTCTAGATGTGTCGGTTCATGGTAGGCTGGAGCTTCATCCTCAGATACAATGGCTGCTGACGCGCCGTGTTGTAGGTATACAAGGGCAAGGAGCCGATTCTCCTTTCCACTCTGATCCTCGACCCGGCCCATTCAATTCTTACACAATCCTACGACTCCCGACTCCGTCTGGACACGCGTCGACCTCACAATGGCGATGGCTTCGGTGTCGGCTACTACACCNCTCCCTCGTTACTACCACTGCTCGGTCCTGATCCATGCATCTTCACCTCGACCATTCCTGCCTGGAACTGCAACAATCTCACCCGCTTAGCCAGCAAGACCGTCTCGCCACTCATTTTCGCTCACGTTCGCGCCAGTACTGAGGGAGCTCTGGCCGAAAGCAATTGCCATCCTTTCAGTCGCGGATGCTTGATGTTCATGCACAATGGAGGAGTTGGAGGTTGGAACTGTGGTGTCAAGCGCAAGTTGGTCAGCGATGTTGGCGACCGATGGTTCGGAGGCGTCACAGGCAGCACCGACTCTGAATGGTGCTTTGCATTGTTCCTCGATAGCCTGGAGCGATTGGGTTATGATCCCGACAACAAGGAGGCCCAGACCAACGGGTTTGGCCATAGTGTCTTGCGCAAGGCCATCCTCAAGACTATCGAGCGCATCAACGGCTACATCCGCGAACTACCAGAAGACGTCCGAGAAGGTGACACGCGCAGTCTGCTCAACTTTGCTGTGACTGATGGCAAGAGTGTCGTCTGCACCCGTTATGTTAGCAGCACTACCGATGAGGCTGCCAGCCTGTTCTTCAGCTCCGGTACCAGCTGGAAGAAGCAGAATGGGCCTTCTGCTGAAAAAGCCGACTACACTATGGAACGACGTGACAGAGGAGCCGACATCGTTTTGGTCGCCAGTGAACCTCTGACATTCGAGCGTGACAACTGGGTCACCGTCCCAACCAACAGCACTGTAACTATCCACAACCAGACCGTCCTCATTCATCCCATCATCGATGACTTCTACAACTCCTCGCCCAGCTTTAAGCGCAGTTCCAAATTCGCAGAGACCAAGGGTCAAACCACTACTGAGATGGCAAAGGCTTCAATGGAATCTCCGACCGAGAGTCTTATCCAGGCCGCTGCCTGATCAATGCTTCGAACGCTTCCACGCCTCGACAGGTTCTAGAATGTTGGTGCCCGCCACTCGGACCTAGTCCTTCCGTGTAGTATCCTCAGCATGCGCCAGTTGGATGCTGGATCTAGTTCACCGTCGACGCAGTTCCGGTACATCTCTGCCTACATGGATCACTGAGATCATGCTTATGGCTGTACAACCAACGATAACTGGTGTAAATTTTCCGATGGAACAAGCCTTCAGGTCGCATTGTGCGACGCTCTGAGAACTTATAGGATTTTGTACACCGAACGTCGGATTTTGTGCCGACCCCTTTGACCCAAAGACTTCACTTCCTTCGAGGAAGTGTTGTGATCGACATGAGTTGTCATCCAGAAGAACTTGCCCATAACCGTTTCGAGCTCTCACGACCCAGCAGGGCATACTAGGAGACGAGCGTTGCTTCTCACGCGTTTGCGACAAGCAGCACGCGCTCAACCGGGGCTGCGCTGACCAGTTCATGACACAATTCAAGGCGTCTGGCTCTCGAATCTCGTACTTCTAGTGAAATCGCAGGAGCTCATTTTGCGCGTTTAACAATTTCACCAATCAAGAAGCGCCAGTAACATTAACCTTGAGGTCATGCTACCCAATTACTATGCACCGTCAAACACCGGGCGTTGGAAGAACGAACAGCTTCAGAGTCGGCCTGGTCTCCGCTCGAGTGCACCATTCTCACGCTTTTCCCCAGACAAGCTAACACGGCAGTGTGCACAAGTGCCGCAGGTCATGTCAATCATTACTTGATCTGACATCATACAATCACAACATCAGCCAACCTCCATACCGCTTGTAAGCCTCATGCAGAGTCTAGACTTGTCGGTTTGTCTCCAAATATATGATCGAGGATTCGTAATACTGTATATGTGTTGTTGTTTATAGCGCATGTCGCTGACACGAAGAGTCGAAGACTCATCGCCGTACAGATAGCGAAGCCGCCCGCCTTTCTATTTATCGTGGCTAAGCTGTTGAGAGGTTATACGGACCTTTCCATCGCCACAACAATTTCGGTCGTTGGTGTTCTGACACTGTACGCGCCTGCTCTGGACTGTGCAATCTCCTCGTGGTTCGATCGTTGAGAATACCATCGCCTATTGAAGGTTATATCGGCGTGCTAACCATCAAATAACTCCAACTGTAAACAAGCATCACACGCGAATTCGGTCGAACCTACCGCCGCACCGCGTGGTGCGGAGTCGAATCTGAGATTCTGAATCGTTTTTAAGTGGCTTGTCGTTTGTCTCCCGAAACCCTCCACCCGTGTAACCTAAGAGGCACAGGCACAGGCAGGCTTGACGACGTTCTGTTTTTAGAGACTGTGTTGTCCATTCCCTTTCTTGCGCTCTTTTCCTCGAGAATTGGTTTCGATACCTTCAGATCCCGTCTCTATCATCAACATCTCGAGCATCAAAGAATTTCAGCCTTGCCATCTCAACTACATTCTGCACTTCATTCGCATTTGGCGTCCGTCTTGACCGATCGTTGTTCGCAATAATGGCAAGACGACAGAAACATGTGGCTGTACTCCCAACACCGCCTAATGAGGAGAACTACATCTATCCTTCAGTGGAGCAGCCGCTGCGAGTTGAAACATCATCAAAGCAGGTTGAACGAGAAAGTTGTACACCAGATCCGTCACCTAGGAATTGGAAGCAAGATATCGAGGCCGCTATTGATGCGGAGACTGATCAGATGATCGAATTTCTAGACGACTTTTCAGCTGCTGCCAGGTCTTCGACTCAAAATTTGACTGGAAGAGAGTGCTGGGATGGCTACGCGACTACAGCACCAGTAGCCGCTGTAATATCTTCGTTCCTCTCATTGAGGCGGACTAAGAACGTCGCGCTAGGTTCACCAACGTTTCCTTCTGTGGTCAGTGTCTTTGATGAAGGTGAAGGTCCTTGCCTTGTGCTGAATGGGCTTTTGTGTCCACGTTTGACATCACCATCCCATCCATATTCCTTCAATAAGACCACAGGTCCATTATTAGACTCGCTGCCGATATCAGCGCACGCAGCAGGTACTGCGGCCATCGTGGCTGCTTACGCTTACCTGCATTCCATCCGGCACCACCTCTTCGGCACCATCGTGCTGGCAGCCATATCTGACACCGAGGAAGGACATCTGGGTACATGCCGACACCTACTTCGCACTGATGAGAGGAGATCACTCTGGAGAGGCGACTGCATGATCACCGCCGTCGCCACATCCAATGCTCTCAATCCAACGCCCTCTTCGCCAGATTCCTTCTCCTCTAGACCCGCCACAAAAACCATCGATCCAGCAACTTTTGATCTAGCATCTTCATGCTGGCAGAGAAACTCGCTGATCAAGGATTTCATACCTTCGCGCCTATCGACACCCTGCGCAACTCACCCTGTTGCTACCTCGTTGTCGAACAATGGAAAGCGGGTGTTGGGTAGACGACCTAGTATACCCGATTTCCAAACTGGACGGCAGCTAGGCTCACACACTCGCTTCTGGACCGAAGTCGGTGTTTCAAGTTTCTGTCTTGGTGTCGGTGGTATGGAGAGCAATGAAGAAACAGCATCACCACCACATCAAAACCCGAAACACACGACAGATTTGGATACCATGTGCGAGGAAATGGTTGATTCCGGAATCCACGATACCGTGATGGGCGATCGAGGAGGCACAGAGACCAACAAAAACGAAAACGGAAATGTCGAAGAGGTGGACAAGAAACAGTGGATTCAACTTGTCAAAGTGTTGGTGTTGACGGCGTGGGATCAGGTGGGGTTGGAATCGTGAAATGCGAGCAAAACCGTACGTTACATTCAAAGATACTGGAAAAAGCCATCTATATAACAGGCTTGTAATGAAATGCATCGTTGGGGGCTCAATTTTTTGTTTTGTTTTTACTGGTGATGTAAGGATATCGTAATTCTTGTGTGATGTCAGTTTCACTGATGGAACATCTCCTGCTGCGGGTTTCTTTTCTTCTGACATGACAAAAATGCAAGATCTTGGTGTTTGATTGCTTTCTCGATCTTGCAGCGAAGTAGACACAGCTATCGAGAGTTCGGCCCTTTGGTGCTTTTATAGAATATGCATGCTCTACAGCAACTCATCACAACCACAAAGTCTCGTCACCCCAGACTGACAAGCAGTTCTCTTCACATCGCACGTGGCTGGTTCAGCAAGACTGCTTGCAAGCACAAAGGCAGTTCAGTAGAGTATTTCGTCGAGATCAAGACATCACCTCCCCTATGCTAAAAGTCTGCACCCTCCACCATGCTCTGTCTACAACAAAGCGTGAAGTGCACAGTATAGAAGGACACAATTACTTTGAATAGCAGAGGTGTGGCTGGGGAGAACTGATAAGTTGCCTTTTCCCACTGAACATTATCCTTTTGCTAATAGAGTATTATGCATTTTTATAGCTATGAGCATTGATAGTTTTAGCACATGAAAAGGTGGGAAATAGAATGGAGATTAGCTCATATATGATTGCTCCTTCCTTGTTTGCATGTTTTCGTTACTGGTGTAAGAGAGGTCTTTTCGAAGATGGGCAAGGTCCTGTTGTGGGCCTTCCGCTTATGAAAAAGAGAATCTAGGTATGGAGCGATAAGATGGGTTGACAATGACATGCCTCTCAGTCATATCTTTTCTTGTATATAGTGGCTATCACAACCCTACAGTTCTGAAAACTAAAAACAGCTCGCCGTGATTCGTTATGACGAACCTGCAAACCATGAGTGCAATCAGTGGGAATAAGATTGCACCGATTACGAAGCGCAGCTGGAACTCAGGTGCGTCTTGAGGGGGATTGACAAGTTGACATGGGCGGTGCTTGATGGCGCTAGGATCATCGGCGAACAAGATCAAGCCTTCGGGCTCGAGCTGTCCGGGATGTGGCAGGTAATCCGCTGGTTGAAGCCAGCGCGCTTTCGACTCCTGAAGCCTTAAACTGCTGGGCTTGCGCATTGTTTGCAAAGGATTGCAACGTCCACCCAATATGCAATCTGTATCAAACAGCCTGGAGTTTGTAGGTCGAGCCCAAGCCAAGTCAGCAGTGAGCATGAATCTGGTAGGGTTTTTCCTTCTGGCATCGCCAACGTCAGTTGTGAGGTTTTTCAGATCCCGAACGTTGGCTAGCAGTAGGTGTTGACCTGCGGGTATTGCGTCCCACGAAGTACATGAGGAGCTGGTCTGATCACGGCAGATACGAATGGGTTGTGGCACACCTCCTCCAAAGAGGATGGTTACATTTGCGTCTTTGAACAGCTGCCACCAAACAGGTCGGGAGTGTAAGAGGTCTGTTGGAAATTCGCGTTCCCAGAACTCAAAGCGTTTTTCTTGCACGTCCGTGTAGCTCCAGCCTCTGAGGCCCTTCTTCAGTGAAACTTCGGTATAGCTTTGATTGGCTCGTCTCTGTTTCTTTCTTTGTTCGAGCTGATCAATGAATTCCCTCACAATCTCTGCATACTTCTTTGGCTCACCCGTTTCAAAATGTACTTCGAGACTCTTTGCTGCCTTCACAGCTTCATAGGCAGCTTTGCCTCCGTCAGAAGACTTGCAAGCACGAGGTATCTGAGAAGCTGACAATTTCGACTGATTCTGTAGATAAGTTGCTGCCATTTGTACGACAACGCTCAGCTCGGAGAGAAGAAACGCAGTACAGTTGTGGTCATCGTAGAGTAACGCAGGCGTTTCTGCTGAACGTTTCAAGGCATCGTCTAAAGAAATTGTCGAGCCTTCGATTTGAGCCATTTCGCCTCTCTTGAATTTCCAGGTTGTGCCCAAGGTGGCGGTGAAGTAGCCCTTGATACTGGTACCTGCGCTCAGAGGACCTTCGTTCTTGAAGGTCAAATGATAGCCTGTACGGGGAATTCCACTTGCGGTGACCTTCGCATCGGAGAGTTCTGCTGTGCCCATCACGACCTCTGAGAGCTTGCTATAGCCCAGGAACGCTCGATGTTCATGGACCTTCGACAGATCGACACTTTCCATATCTGGGGCAGGTACTTCATATATTTTTGTGGTTTGTTGCAAGGCGTTCTCGATCGTATCGAAATGCCACTGGATTGAATTCTCAGAGAAGATTTTGGGGACAATGACGTGTGTGTCGCTCGCCAAAGCAAGCCTCTCTCCAAGTAAAAGAGGAAAGCGAAGGCCGGCAAAGGAAGCCATGAGACCAAAAGGCATCTCGAGTCCTCGCATACTGACGGGTCGATCTTCTGAAGTAGGAAATCCATAAGCTAGAACACTATGTGTAAGCAACTTAGTCCAGCATTGTCCTGGCTCATCAGTTGGTTGAGGCGACTTTTTTGTTCCCAAAGACTCATTCGGAACATCCTCTCCAGGACCTCACCAGTCTGTGTTCTGTGGGGCTGAAAGTTGATACAGCTGACAGTCAGCATCTCACCATGCGGTACTCTGAGAGTGGCTGTCAACCAAGCGAGCTGGTTGACGGTTGTCTTGATGTAATCAGCTGATCCTGCAATATTCACGACTGCATACTCTTTCTCAGCGTTCATGTTCGCCTTGAAAAGTTGCATTTGTGTCTGTCCGGCTTCGAGTCTTGATCGAAAAGGGATCAAGTCGTCATACGAAGCCATGGTCAAGCAGAGTTTGACGAGAGAAAGCAACTCTTTGCCTGTTTCCCAGATTTCGTGGCTAGCCAAAGGATCGGCACGCGCGTGTTCGAAGTCACCACTCAACGTGAACAAGCAGTCTATGTCATCCACAGCCAGACCTTCATTATCGACAAGTTGAAGCAGTTCCCATTCAACCAAGCATGTGATTCTCAAGACTCCTTGTGTTTCGGCCAGGCATTTGCCAAGAGTGTTTTCAAGGAGGATATGGACCGGCGGTAAGAGCAATTCCTTCAGCTTGCTAAGTATGTTTACGGAGATCGGTCCTTGACAGAGAATCTCATCCAATTGATACAGGTTTGTCAACATAGTGTCGTCGGAAAGTTCTTGGGATTCCAAGTCTATTTGGTCATCCGGAGTTAGTACCTCTCCTGGACGAGCTTTATCGACAGCAGTGTTTTTGACGTTCGTGGCAGGAAACCAATCGCTGAGCCGTTGCATCAATGTTGAATCAGATATAGGGGTCGTTCCAACTTGGTCAGCGTTGAGCAAGTCCGCCCGCTCGTAGAAGAATTCTGTGATATCTTTAGCGATGTGCGATCTGTGCTGGATGAATAACCGCCCCAACGCAATCAACACAGGACTTTGGGGCTGTTCCCTCAGGGCATCCAAAAGCTCCCATAGGGCAACGGACACGCTTTGTTGCAGCTGATGACGCTCGAGTCGCCGTGCGGCGATGGCGCATACAGATCGTAGCCGCTCATTTGATATCATTACCTGGGCAACTCCTTTTGCAGCAGAGATCCCGGTTACATTGCCTACATCTACTAGAGTGGTATTGCCCAGAGTGTCAATATTCGCACTGGCTCCGTCGTTGTCTGCGGTCGTGCTGGCTCCATTATCGAGTTCCTGATTTGAGCGTGTTGCGCTGGACAGATCTGGATCAAGAGACGTTGCTGTTGCAATGCCTCTGTTTGTGTCCATGTCAACACCTGACAGCAACTGCTTGGTATACGCAGATGCTGCAAGAGCTGCGTAGGGTTGCCACTCGGCACTTTCATGCGTATCAGCGTAGTCGGCCACACCTCTGATCACCAGACAAGGCAGGGTGTCCATCAACCTTGACGCTTTGTTGTAAAAACAGATAGCATCCAGCTCTGTACCGATCTGATCACGGAGATTTGCGTCCTGGACCTTGGCGCTAGAATTGCTGCCAGCTATCAAGCCATAATGAACCACTATATCCTGATCATCACGATCCCTCCTGAATATGAGGTTGGTGTGGTCACAGGACGAACAATTTTCTCCAGGTCGAGCATGTGCATAGTCTGCGGAGAAGAGGAGATCTCGATGTCGTCCAGGAAATTCGTAAAGGTCCGCATTTCGGGCATGCGCTAGGATCTCTGAGATATCTTGACTCAGATTGAGTTCACCAAGTTCGTCCCGGGCTTGGAGTAAACCAATAGCTTGCAACAACAACGATGATGGTGAACCCAGCGTTCCGATGGGCGAGAACTTTTGCCGTGTGGTAATGTTGATTTGAACTACACCTCCATGCTCAGCTGAAGGTTTGCTGACGATAACATCACCAAGACGAATGTCGCGTCCATCAGTAGGTATTCCGCTTCCGATTCCAACTAAAAGACAGAACCTGATATCTGGGAAGCTCCGGATCATAGACTGTGCTGCGGTAGCCCTTGGAGAAGGCCCAGCCATCCGAGAGGGTGCTATGACAACATTATGCCCGCACATAGAGCCTAGAGTATAATTGTTTTGATCTGGCTCAATTGGTGGAAGCATGACGTGTATTTCGTCAAGGAAAAGCTTTATCGCTTCAAGCTCGATGTCCAACGAGTAGACTATTCCGGTCAAGTAGTCTTCACGCCGTTTGGACATGCTGATTGAGGTCTTAAGATTGGTAAAATCTGTTGGACACTGGTGTACAATGCGTCTGAGAACTCAACAAGCCCTTTGCGTTGCCTTTACTCGTCGTTTGTTGTGAAGAGATAATCAGCGTAAACAACGGACGAGGAAGAGACAGGCTGATCTGCGCCTCCAAAGAGACAGGGCCACGCATAGGTTATATGCGCTGGGCGGGATAGTAGTTGAGCAGGCCATTGCTGCGGCTGCTGGATAGTGCGTGGCTTGCGAAAGACTTGATTCGATTTCGATACGGCTCCTGATTGGACGTACATTTCATGCTCAACATTACGACGGCATTGCGGCTGCATACTTGGGGGTTGCAGCAAATGAAACACCTACGTTATCAGGCTTGAAGTAAGCAGTATGCAAGCCACGCGCTGGCTTGCGGACGTAGACACGCCCTCTTCCGATTTGCTGTCAAGCATTGGTCTGTTTAGCGCCTTAAGGAGCGTACATCTTCGACTGAGTCTGGTCTGAGTGTATTATCTGCTTCAGCTTATCAATAAAGAGCAAATAGAACGCGTGCCGACGTGGTGAACAACAAGAAACTCCGGCTCTGACGCGCGATGATGATGACGACACACGGATGAACTTCGGACGGTTCGTCAGGCAGGGTGGCTCCCCTAACAAGGAATGCACGCATCGACAACAATAGATCCGTCGCAGAAGTGTGTGGAAGACTGATTTTTGTGCTTGATGAAGTGCTTTGGTATCTTAAAAGCTATTAACATAGGTTTTACTTGCCATGTGGTATTGAAAACAGTGTAGACTGCAAATTTACAAATCAAGTGAATCTTTCCGAAAAACCGTGGAGTGCTTTACCAGAAAACCCTGCAGATCTTCAAATGCTGCGATCGAGTACGGCAAATGTGATATGTCAAGAAACGCGACCAGAGATATGCTGCGTGTCTCCTACGTGTCATTGTGCTGTGATATGCTCAAATGTGTTCGTTGTTTATCACCCAGTGTCGTTGTTCCGATTGAAATCCAGTTTCTCTGTGTGGCCAAAAGTCCTGACCGCGCGTACGAGGTCCAAAAACTCCAGAAACCAGAACTTCAGCTTCTCTAGCGCGTTATCTTTTCATCACGTTAAGCATCTCTTGCTCTTTCGAAATATCGACTTCCTGTGTGACTATGATCACATCAGTTGTTTTGACTGACATTCATCTGGTCACTCAGAGGATGCAATCCCTTAGTGCCACTCGAGGTTACCTTACACTCCTCGGGCGCGTACGATGACCAACGACCGCTGAGACGCGACGACAATATGGGTTCCAGTTGTGCCAGCCTCCTTGACAATCATGTTCGACGAGAGCTCTGATGGTACCTCTTGACAACAGCATTGTCTTACATAGACGAAGTCATGTCCATCTCCTCACTGCAGATGTCGGAACACCCGATCACCAGAAGTTCACAGTCCAGGCGGTCCACGATAGCCTGGTCTCCATTCCACTAACCCCTCCGCGAACCCACCTTGCCCTCACCGGAAAGTACTGTGAGGACCATGCGGGTTCTGGTGGAAGCCGAAGTGACACTCTGCCGAAAGCTTCACAACAGCCAGCAGAGAAATGCAAACACTAACAGGGTCCGTAGCTATCGGTACCGCAAGCTTACTACTGCATGGACTGATAATACATCACGATCCCCGTCCACAGAATACCGGAAGGAAGGTACATAGCTGTCAAACGACAGTTGTGCTTTGCATACAAGACAAGCTCTATGAATCCACACTTCTCCATCGTCATTTGTTTTGCCAACACAGTATGCCACATGGATACTGGGTTCATGATGGGCCGTGGGCTGAGTCGCTCTACAAGCAGAAACTCTTGTGACGCAGGGACGACGCGCTGGGCCTGTAAGATCTGCATGGACCAACAGAAAAGGCGCAGAGTAAAGTCCAGTATCATTGAATCACGTCAGGCCTTCCATTCATTCGCGCCCTTCTCGCGAGAAGATAGTGGCTCAAAAGGCCGGACCAACTTTGCAAATGTCCTCAGCATGTTCAGAACATCCTGGATCGCCCAGTTTTGGCCTCAACGAGATGTGGTGCTCATAGCTGGAAACTAGCCATTGAGAGACGACGTTCGCTGTGTCATACCTGAACATGGTCCTGTCAGACTCAATGCATGTCCCAAAGCTTTTACGTGGGCGATCAACGTGCTCATAATCCGTTCTCAACTTATGAAGACTTCCCCCGGATCGGAATCGAGGACAAACTATCGTTGAGCAGTCTTGTTCGAGTCAGAGGATCCTCAAGATGAGAACGATATATGGGGCTTTTGCGAGCAAAGCGAAGCCAAGAGCTGGTCGATCGCTCCTGTCAATGATCATCCCGACTTATTCGTATTCGAGTTGTCTCAATGCATCAAGAAAATCGATTTTACGTGACGAGACCCTGGCGTATAGCATGGGATTACTTACGGCCGAATGAAACAGAAGATCCATTCAATTTATTCCATGTCGGGTTGCTTGGTTGCGAACGTCTGTACATCACTACTTGGTTTTCGATTGAGCTCACGCCTGCATAACCAGAGAAAAGCTACACCAGGGCTTCAGTCTGCCCCTCCTCCACATGGCAGGGGTATTAACCCATTTCATACGAAGATCACTACCCAAGAAGATAGCCGAGCCAAAGTGATGGGATGATGAGGGAACGAAAGACATTGATCTACGTTATGAATCCGGGAATGCACCGTCCGGATTTACGCTTAGTTATCCTACGAAGATCGAAGCCGAACATTTCTGGCTTGGAAGCGAACGGAGACCAAGCGTGTTCACCCAAAATTCGGAGCCAACCTTCCGTTGAACAGAGACATTTGATGATCATGCAATGAACAGGTCGACCTCGAGTCAAGTCGTGATCAATCCACATGTCCTATGGTTCGATACGATCCACGATCTGACCAGGTATGGAGCATGCATGCACGCTGCGTACAAGTCAAAAACGTTGCAAGATGGCAAGCACGCTATTGCGCAGCTACTACAACTGAATACCTGCGACTTGATGTCAACAAGTGGATACAGCCGGTGCAGCCGCTTGCTTTTGATCAGCACTAAACAGGATCGGGCTGGTGGCACGGCCCGATCTACCATTCTTTCATGCACGTTACCCCACATTATCCCAAAGAGGCTCATGCTGGATCTGCACTCCCCTACAAGACACCCCACTGTCGCTCAATTGGGCTCTGCCAGAATAGGTGGTGCTCAAGCAGGCGTAGGATGCGTGCATGAAGTCTGGGGAAATGCATGCCGATATAGATCCTGGGTATGGTGCTCAGGGACCCCCTTGATCAAAGACATGTCCAGACACTCGATGGAGCCTCATCAAGATCAAGCATGGTCGACTGCAACTCTTATACAGTAACAGTGCTGCAAGTTATGATTCAAGCGAGCACTCAGCTCGTCGTCGTGTCCGGACTTCAAAGACAGTCGGAAGTATGGAGCTAGCAAGACAGCTCCGACCCTGATGTCACTATGTCATTGTTCCACGTCTGTACTCGTACGAACACTGAGCTTGCCGGCCTCCGCTCCGTTGTCAACCTCTAATGAGTTTCAACACCTAGTACACAGAGACAAGATCTACAGACCAATTCCCACGCTTACGATTTGGACCCACCGCAGATCTATCTTTCCACATCTACTCGAGTAGTAGAATTTGTCAAGCAACTTTAGGATGACCCTGAAGTAACGACGTCAACGAGAGATTGTTGATGAGGGACAGATGTAGCTTCCTCTCAGAGCTCGAGGTATATAAACGGGTCAGCTCTGTTCCTTCCTTCCTTCCAAAATCATACACATTTCTCAATTTCATCACATCCCGTTATGGAGCAACCTCAAGTCGAAACCAAGCAAGACTCGCCCATCGAGAGCAACTTCAGCATGGACAAGCTTCGTGCCGCCCTTCCTGTTGATGCTGTCCTCAGCAGATCTCAGTCCATGTATTCCAACGTTGGCGGAGACTACTCCTCCAGATCCGCTTCTGGTTCTTCAGCATCACACCGTGCTATGCGTCGTTCAACTTCGAGCGCATCTCGTCGTCGTACTTCGTTAGCATCTTCATCCTTCCGCAACACTCTGAGCAACGAGAACATCGGCCATGCTGAGGCCAAGTTCTTTGCCTTCCTCGAGATGGTCGCCAATGCTTCAAAGGAAGCCATCTCGTTGAAGGAGCTTTGGTCACAGATGGCTGCCGAGCGCCGCAACTTCGCTGCTGAGCGTGAGGAGCTTCGTGAACAGATCGAAGAGGTCACCTACGAGCTTGAGACCAAACAGCAAGACAACCACAGACACGACGGCGAACTCATTGAGCACAAGGAGAAGGTTCGTGCCATCTCCATCGAGCTCACCACTGCCATCAACAGACTTGCGGCAGAGAAGAACAAGCTCTCCGAGCGTGACCAGCACATCGACCGTCTCCGCAACGAACTCATTGGTCAACAAGAGCTCCAATCAACCTTCCGTTCTCAGATCGACCGTCTCAAGGCTGAATACCAGTCTCACGAGACTTTGCTTAAGGCCATGCAGGACGACCGCGACGGTGCAAGAGAAGATGCCGACAGATACCAGCGCAGCCTCCAGAGGGTTACCCAGGAGCGCACAGAGATCAGTGCTAGACTTGAGGAGGTTCAGACCAACCTCGACACTCTCCGCAAGGAGGCTCTTATCTCTGCTGAGCGCATCAGAAAGTATGAGCTTGATCAAGACGAGAAGATCCACGAGATCAATCGTCTCAAGGAGGAGCTCCGCAAGTCTCGCAGCAGAGAGGAGGAATCTGGTTCAGAGCTTCTCATCATCTCCGAGAAGTTCAGCCAGTCCAACCGCGACATCAGCAAGCTCAAGGATACTCTTCGCACTGTTGAGGGCGAGCGTGATGAGCTTACTCACATTGTCGATGTCAAGAACCGCGAGATCAAGTCAACTATCGCCAGACACGACGAGGTTCAGACTCTTCTCCTTGAGAAGACCACTCAGCTCGACGGCCTTAGACGCGAGCTCTCCCTCTTCGAAGACCGCCTCCGTAGCGCCGAGCTCGAGAGAGACGAGAAGCACGAAGCCCTCGAGCACTCTCGCGAGCAGCACAAGCTCGTCATCATCACCCGCGACGAGCTCCAGAACGAGCTCATCACTGCCCAGGGCAAGGTTGACGCCTACAAGCGCCAGATCAACCTTCTCACTGACACCGCTCAAAAGACTGAACAGGTCATCATCGACTCCCGTGCCGAGATTACTAACCTCAACGGCACAGTCAAGGGCCTTGAGCGCGAACGCCTCGACTGGCAGAAGAAGAACACCACCCTCAACGACCAGCTTGTCGAGCTCAAGGGCCGCATCGTCGTCCTCACAGCCGAAATCCACGAAGCCAGCGGCGACCGTGAGGGTCTCCGCGAAGAGCTCCGCAGATCCCGCGAGGAGCTCGAAGAAGTCACCGAGACCTACACTCAAGACGAGTCCGCCGAGTTCGAATTCGAGCTCGAGAACATGCGCACCATGCTTCGCGAAGCTCGCGAGCAGAAGGAGCAAGCCATTGCTGCCCGTGCCTCTGCTGACCGCGAGCGCGATGAGGTGTACTCCAAGTACGAGACCAAGTGCCGCGAACTTGAGCGCTTTGAGGAGGAGGCTGCCTCGCAGATGCGTGCTATTGCTCAGTCCTCTGGCAGCAAGTCTTCGACCACCACTACTACCAAAAAGAGCAGCAGAGTCTCTGGTGGCAGCAGCAGCATGATGCACAGTGAGCAGCAATCGTGATTCGGGCTGGGAATCAAAGAAAGGATCAGCCAGATGGAGAAGAATGAATTAATGTCCCAAAGATAGTTAATGCTGTAATTCCTTTTCTTAGATATGTATTGTTATGAATCAAACGTCTTGTTGAATCTCCTAATGGTTTGACTGTTTAGTTCTTGTGTGATATGCTCTATGACGCTCTTGGATGACGAGTCGTTTAGCTCGGAGGTTGCTAGTACGACAATCTAAAAATGATCGGTCATGTACTCGCTCCCCATGTGCTGCAGAATGTAACAGATAGAGCTGTAGACATGCACAATACTGTCAGAAGACAAGGGAGTACTCACCGAGAGGTAACATCTTTCAAGCTCTCTTTGGCTACGCTTCTGCTCTCGAAAACAATCGTGTTTTTCCATAGTGAAGTCAAGGGTTCGTTCAGCACATGGGGAGGTTGTAGCGTTCGACGTCACCGATATGTAGGCTCCGAATCGTTATATTTTGATTCTTCGAAGCTTGTGGTGCTCCAATATAGCCTGATTAGTGAGTCACTTTCATACATTATGATAATCTTCGTAAGAGGAAAAATAAAAAATCTACCAAGGCACAACACCATTATCACTAATCATAACAGCATGCACATCCTTCTTGTCCCCCACACAACTCTTGACCAACTCCTTAGCACCATCCCTCGGATCCTTAAACCCAGAGTTTCCATTCAGATTAGTAGCACAATATCCCGGATCCGCTGCTGAGACCACAAAACCCTCTTTCTCAAGCTGCAACGCATAGCCCAGCATAATCATATTCAAAGCAGTCTTGGTGGAACGGTATACAGGGTAGTTGTTTGCAGAGTAGAGTGTATCAGGCTTGGAAGCAAGTTCAAGGGATGCAAGGCCAGAAGAGGTAAAGGCAAGGCGCTTGGCACTGCCTTTGCGGAGCAGAGGGAGGAAAGCTTCTGTCACGACGGCGGCGCCAAAGACGTTGGTTTCGTAGTGAGAGCGGTAGAGTTCGCGGAGACTGGGGCCGCTGCCATCGGCGGCGGCTTCTTGGGCTTGCGCAATGCCGGCGTTGTTGAGGAGGATGTCTAGTTTGCCGTATTTCTCCTCGACTTGCTTGGCTGCTGCGTTGATGGACGAGTCGGAGTTGACGTCGATTTCCAGAGGTGAGAAGCCCGAAGCCGAGACCTTGATGGAGGTATCAGCGGCGAGAGTTTCAATGGCTTTATTGGCCTTGTTGATGTCGCGGCTGCCAATCAAGACATGGTAGTTGCCAGTGGCGGCGAGTTGTTGAGCAGCATAATAGCCAAGGCCTTGGTTTGCGCCAGTGATGAGGATCAGAGTTTTGGACGACATGATTGTGAGTTTCACAAGTGAATGATGGAAGAATACTTTCAATTGGCTCTCTTGAAAATATATATTGACCGTCCGGATATGGTTCGATGTTATGTCCGCGGTGTTTGTTTTTCGGCCGGTATCTCCGCCAAGTCCGAGCCGGAGTTATGAGAAGTCGCTCCTCTCTTCATCCAGCCTCGTACCTTCCTTCAGCGACTTTGTGACCCATTCTACAGTGACTACACGCGGCGGGTATCTACGATTGGCCGTCTGAATTCTCATTTCCCTGGCTTGTTCAATGTCCAAAGCCACAACATGGGTGATCTCTCCATCGCTCAATGAGCTGGTTAGACGAGCTCCAGCGAAGAGGATGATACGTTTGGCAGCCTCGAGTTTTGCATCATCGCCAGCGACGTACATCCGCAAGCCACGGAACATGCAGCCCGGGCTTTCCAGAATGTCGTCGTCGTCGAACAGCTCATCCATGATTTCGTCGGCGTCGTAGTCTTCATCATTGAAATCAGGCATGTCAGAAAGCAGCTTCTCCAATTCTTCAATGTCGACATCTCGAGCAAAGCTGTCACCATACTCGTCAATGTTACCCTCGAAGCTGTCCTTATCTTCTTCCTTGCTGAAAAGAACGTGCCGAGGTTCGAAAGGCAGCAAGACGTTGGGTCGTCCGACATCAGCTTCTGCTTGCTTGATGCATTCAAGGAGCCATTGCGGTCTGAAGATATTGCGTGTACCAGCTTTCTTGATTGAAGCAACACGAATAGGATTGCCCTCAGCGATGCAGATGGTCTCGGTATTAGTATGAGTTGTCACGATATTGCCCCCAGTAGCTTTGACCAATCGCTCTAGTTCTGGCTTCGTCTTATTCAATGGTTTGGCAGCACCAGTGATGATGTAGAAGCTCATACCGTTAAAGAGAGCAGTCTCAGGTCCGGCATATGGTGTCTTGATCTGTTCGTCAGCACCAATAACAGTGAGCTCCTTCTTGCGAGCACGCTTGGCACGTTTCTTTCGTGCATCGTCGACCTTGAACTCTTTCTCCTTCCTCTCGTGCTCTGCGCGAGATTTCAACGCCCAGAAGCTCTCGTAGGTAAGAGCTGACTTCCAGTCTTTATCTTTGCGGATCGCGGTGAAGCGTGGGAATCGCAAAGTACATTTTGTACGGTAACGCTTCTCACCCGTGATCACAGAGGCTGCTTTGATTTGCAGCACTATGGACTCACTTGGCTTGATCCAAACGTCAGGCATCTCGTACTGTAAGCCGTCTTCCCAACCGCCGAGCTCGATCCACTCAGTCGGCGGATCGTTTTTGTCCCAGTCGTTCCACTTATTGTCAGTCATATGTCGTATCTCTGCATAATCCTGAGCAGTCATTCCACCACCAACTTTGCAGAATGACCACATAAACTCTGGATTGGGGCTACCTGCCGCATGAGGAGGAGCCAGCCCACACAGAAAGCTAGAGAGGTTGCCTCCACGATGACCAGAACCATAGTAGCCTCCGATAACAATGCAATCCAGTGATTCTCCGAATTCAGTCATGTACTCCGGTTTTACCTTCTGCCAGTCGTTGTTGCGTGTGTTGAGTTGATATACTGAGCGAGGGTTCTTCATGACCAGCCCTTCTGAAGACTCTGCTACGACTTTTCGAAGCATTGGCTCGACTTCTGCGGCAGTAGTAGCCTCGAGATATTCATGAATTTCAAGTCTGCGATACACATTCTTGACAGCCGAGGTGAGCGCTTTTCTTCTGTCACGAAGAGTATACATGGTGAGGACTTCGTCGTTCAAGTAAAGGCAGTCGAAAACACGGAACAGAGGCCGCGATTCCTGTGAGTTGGGATCCTCTCTGTGTGCTTTTGCATGGGTCTTCAGACTGCCAAAAGCTACAATCCTGTCGTCTTTCATGTTCCAAGAAATCATCTCACCGTCGAGAATGATGTTGCGGACGTTCTCATTGAACGCATCTTTGATGTGTCGTGTGAGTGCGGATTGCTCTTCCTGGAAGCCTTGACCGTAGAGATCAGTGTAGTCCTTGGCTTTACGCGACCAATAATTGAATCGGTAATGTCCTGGCACCGTCTCGTCGTAGATCATATGCAGCTGCATTCTCTCACCATCCAGCTTCTCCTCGATCCAGAAGAAAGGGTCTTCCTCAGTGCATTGCATTTGCGTGACCATCTTCTCGACTGTATGTGACTGGAATTGTGCGAGCTGTGGTTGGAAACACTGCATGATCCTAATACCTTTGTCATCACCATCGAGCCTGACTTCAGGATCGAGCAATTCCCAACATACACGTCTCAGACTCGAAGACACGTTGAAGAGGTTTTCTGCATCTTTGTGCCATGCCTCGAACAAGGTCTTTTCGGTAGCGCCTACCTTCATCTGGCGAAGGATGATGCGGATTAACCACATCATTTCCTCACGATTCATGCTGGTGTAAAACTTGCGGAAGATTGGCAGTTGTTCTTCCTCCTTGTGTTTGGAAGACAAATCATCAAGCATGTCGTTGACTTGTTCAATGGTGAGATTGCCGGGTTCAGTACGGGTTTCACGACCAGACAAGGTCTCATAACATCTGCCAGCAAAGTCGCCAGCCATCTGACTGGTGGACTTGACACCAGGTAATTTCCAGTGGAGGAGATTGTAGCCAGCCTCACTATTCTTGTCGATTTGTAGAGTCTTGAGCATTAACTTGGCAATGGTGGCCTCCTTCAAACCGTACATTGGACGTTCACGGTCCTTCTCAGGTACGATGAGACGAAAGAGAGGGAAGACATCGTTGCCAACTTCGGTTCGCCATCGATTGATGAACCTTTCGATTATGGATTTGCGGGTTTCGTTGACATTCTGCTTGTGAGTACCGCGTCTCCTTGCAAGAGCAGGACCGCCGCGACGTCGCTTGTTATCATTGNNGAGTGGATTGAAAAGGTCAATAAACAGGTAGCGAAAAGGAAAGGTGGTTGAGTGATTGTGAGGACGCTTCGGATACTTTTCATCAAGCTGCTCCTCGGTCATGATTTGAGGCCGCTGAGTTGATGAATAAGTGTCGTCCCCGTCGCCGTCATCGTCAAAGTCATCTCGTTCGTGCATGTCGACATCCGAGGTAGGCATTTTGTGCTGTTGGTGCGAAGCAAGTTGAGTGCTCCGCTCTGCTAAATTATGAAAACAGTGAGATGCAGCATCAAGGCAGCAATGAGATTGAGTAGCGCCGGAAGACGCGTTGTGATTGACGCGCAATCATGTGGTGTAGTTTGAGTGGTGGACGATGATGTTAGGCGGGCAGACGCAGCAGCACAGCCCGGTCACGACGGATTACGACCAGGGCAAGGGGACCTGACAACGGGCCTTCCTAAACAAAGAAAAAAATCAACCCATCGCACCTACTCTTCGAGACCGATGATCTTCACCAAAGAAACGCTCCCTCGAATGGCCAATGGGGAGCCCTAGGCAACCTCTGCGTTCGAGTCCGAATGGCTCTCAAGCCTCGCGTGACGCCGCTCTCTCAGGCGCCAACTTGGCTTTCATCAAATCACTACCACCGCACGAAGCTCTGAAGTATCTCAACAAGCGCTCTCCGCCGCCAGTCCCGGCCCAAAGACGACAGCAGAATGTCCGGTCAACCGCTCATCAGCCTGTCGCCCGCCATGACGGTCCCGCCAGCACCCGCACATCACCGGATCACCTGAGGCTGCCCAAGAGACCACCGCACAAGACGACTGCTTCTACATCGAGCCTGACCGCTACCATCGCTGCCGCTCGCTCCGCTGTTACCGTCAACAATGCGCCCGTTCAACCGCCGACCAAACCGCCTGTCCGCGCAGCTGGGAACCTCCCGACGTCAACCGCACCCAAGAGAAAGTCGCTCGAGACACTGGACCTGACTCCTATCCCGCCAACAACTTCGCTGGTCGAAATGTTCGAGCGCAAGGAAACTCCTCCGCCGCCAGCGATTAAGTCTCCTAAACCACTGCGCAAGACTCTCCTTCTCCGCAACCAGACCCTCGAGCCCATCACCACTCGTCTAGAGCAGACGTACAATGAAAGTTCCGGCGACGAGGCTTACGAATCCGCTAGGGATCATCTCTCGCCAGACCAGCCATACAAGCCGAGTCTGCCGTCAGTTCCTCGTCTCATTCAACGCGCCGACAGTAAAGTACAAGAAGTCACAGAACCCTCAATCCGTGTACAACCACCTTCGCGCACCATATCCGAGAGGAATACGACTCGCTCTCCATATCGTCGCTCGTCAACTCCGGATCCCTCGCACTTGTCGACCTCTACTACAAAACCTATACCCATCAATCGAAACTATAGTCCCAATCATTTGACTCAACCTGGCAATCCTTCCATCACGGCCGCCTTTCACCAGCTTCATCCTCGTCGCATGACCCNNCCCCTCAAGTCTGGCGACTCCTTAGCCAACGCCATCGTCGCTTCAAGTCTTGCATCGTCTCGAGCGCCCTCACCCACAAAGCTCCCACCCTCGCTGCCAGGCCGGCGCTCATCTCATCACAAACTCTTCGCTCGTACTCCTAGTCCCAAGAAAGGCATGCGCCACACAATGCGCAAGCCATCCTCTGATTCTTCAGAGAGTGATATGGATGAGGATCCATACTCTAAGCACAAGAAAAAGAGATGGGTGAAAAAACATCCCAACAAGCATCACGAAGGCGACAGAAAACGTTGGCGAGACAGTGTCACCCAGACTGAACGGAAACGCTACGAGGGCCTTTGGGCAGCCAATAAAGGTCTTCACGTCGAATACACTGCTTCGGAGCTAGTTGTCCTTGCTGCACACCCTGAGTCCAAGGAGAGCGATAGAATTCGACTTGATGTCGGTGACCAGATCGCAGATATCATAGCAAAGGACATTTGGCTACGGAGTCGATTGCCTCCTCACGAGTTGGAGTTGATTTGGGACTTGGTCGACAACCAGAAATGCGGAAGGCTTCACCGCGACGAGTTTGTTGTTGGACTGTGGCTGATTGACCAAAGGCTGAAGGGTCGAAAGATTCCTGTGAAGGTCACGGAAAGTGTTTGGAATAGCGTAAGACTACTTTCTGGCATCAAGCTGAGGAAGGCTTAATAACCTTCCCTCACCCATGCTTCTTGTGGATTTGGCTACCTTTCTTGTTTGGCATGGATGGCTTTATTTTTGTTTGATTAGCGAAAGCGCAGATACCCTACTACTGACGTTATGAGATGTTTTATCTTCGTTGTTCTAGACTTGTCTTATGATGATGCGCTTCTTGAATGTATTTTCTCGGTGAAACCATACACAACAGATCACCCTCGTCTTGTGTCCATCGTAACGTAAAGTTGATCATGGAAGTCATGATGCTGGCATGTGACTGCCAAGCCAAGGAAGTGTAACCTTCGTCTCAAGTCTCGATCACAGACCTTCGCTCAACAAACACCGTACTTTCATTTTCTGGTTTCTCTATCCCTGGTGTATCTCTCGTTCTGCCATGTGTATCGATTGATATGGACGAGACGATCGAGCTTCCCTCGACTCGAGGGCTACATGGCCAAGGAGCGTTCTGACGGCCATGTGGCTTTGTTGAAGCTCATGAATCGAGCCAAAAAGCCTACGTCTCTTAGCTTGGGAAATACCATGGTCCATTGCCTGGCGAATAACCATTGTCTACACGGCTATGTTCGTCTAGGTCAAGGCCAAATCCTGCTCTTGAGATCTGGACCTGGATGGATTGATAATGCCACTTGAGAATTCTGAGCTGTTTCTGATAGAGCACAAGCACACGCTCAAGCAGGTCCTTCTACAGAATCTTCTCGTTAGCATCCCTGCATCAGGAAATGTATCGCTCAGCAAGATTATGGACTGGATCCGCGATAGAATTGCACTACACAGAGCCACCTTGCGAGGAATTTGTGTAGTCTTGGACGATGATTGGGATAACCTAATGGAAAATTCAACCTGGAGTGCCGTGGCCTAGTGGAGTAACTGACCTTGAGGGGTTTGCCGCAGTCAGAGCTGGTCTGAACGAGTTGTGCGATCAACACGAGAGACCGAGAGAGCTATGCCGTGTGTGCGAATGTCCCGGGAGTCAAACAAGAAAAGAACGCTGTCTGTGCGGACAGCAAGAATGTCCGAGGAGGAGCTTCGACAACATTGGCTCTTCTGTAGTATACTACTGACTGACGGAACGTATGAACCAGTGGTTAATGGTCGGCGCTCGTACAGCTGGTGGCTGATCTTGAGTGGACGATGGCTCGAGTGCTCACTTCCATTCGAGGGTTCATATTGAGCTCCGGTCGGTCGAGTTGTAACCACAAAATAGGGATTGTGGCCCAACGGGTGGCACTGTAAGTTACAATACCCGAGCATAACAATCGAGGGCGGTCCAATCGGAAGGGCGTGACCTTCTGCAAGAGACCCTGTTTATCTACCTAGTGGGGCGTGTCCTGCCGGCGATAAACAGCCTCAAGTGGTATTTTTTTGCACCTTTCCAACCCTCCCAAACAATTGTCTTCCGTCGAGCAAGTTGCATGAAGAGGTGGCTACCACTATTTTGATCTGCACATGGGTGTTTGCTATTTTCAATACACCGTGTTTGCATAAAAGCTAAGGTCAGGGGTTCGATTCGGTGCTGCAACTCTTTTTCTTTTGCTCTTTTCTGCTCTATGTTGCCGAACCGAATGGATTAACTCAATCGTGGTTGCAATTCGGCTCAATTGTCTTCCTCACTCCCATTCCAGATCTGTCAAATGAATCAGAGGCGGACGGTCAAGAGTGGGAAGTGAAGAGAAACTACCCAGCGATTGAGCTTACTGCTAATCACTTGAACAGACGGATGACCAACTCGTCTTGATTGTCACGTCACTCACACTTCAAGGATCACACTCCGTCACACAATCGAAGTCTCTGTCGCTTTGTTTCCATACTATCCGACCTCACAGTCAGCGAAGCACGTCTTCTTTGCTTCATCTCGTAGAGGTCTTCCGTCAACCTCTATACCACCCCATCGTGCTTTCGTCCTTCCTATCCGCGCAGAAGTCCTCCGCATCGCTTCCTTTACAAACAACACCCTCAGTCACTGCACTCGCCGCTTCCAAGGCGGTTTCATCTATCAACGCGCGCCTCAAACATCACAACACATCATCCGCGCATCTCCCACCTTCCATCTCCATCAACTGCTTCGCACCGGCGCGAACAAGTACTTACTCCATCAACCCACCGCTTCCCTATCGCGCATCTCGACACGTAAGACCGCTACATGTTCGCGAGTGACAAAGTGCTAATCTAGATCCCAGTACAGAATGTCAGACCCTACGAGACTTCCGCCTGAGTTGTTGTCAATGCCCAACGAGATTCTGGCGAACATATGCGCTCACGCTTGTGACCCAGGCCATGACATACCCCGTGGCAGAGAGTGGTTGAGCGCGGCTCGTCTCACTTGCAAACAGCTTTATACACCTGCTACGCTTGAGTTTGGCAAAGATTCGTTCAGAAACCATTTGTCATGATCAGCGACTACAGTCTTGGAGCACTGAACGACATCTGTGCGCATCCTCTCTTTGGACCTCGTGTTCATGGTGTATCTGTCGATGCATATCGTTTGAATGAATGGAACCCCACATCGATCTACAAGAAAATTACCGATTCCGTCCTCGCCAGAAACATCGATTAGATGGAAGCAGCAGGAGACATACTTCAAAAGCTCCTGAACGACTACCGAGAAGAATACGATCTAGAGGACAGCGGCCGCGCCGAAGATCTCCTTGTCAAGGCTTTGAAGTTGATCAAACGACACAACAAACCTATCAGTATTGCGTTGATGGCGACAATGGATGAGATGCCTATCGGTTGCTTGAGAAGAGATACCACAGGTTTTTACACCCATACCTACCAGATGAAGACAACTTTTTGTATGCTGTTCTCTGCTGTACAGCGCAGCCAATGCAAAATCAACAAATTCGCCTGTCGGATCCCTGAAATTCATGATGGGGCAGTTGCTGACAACAACCCTGAGATCGACATTGCTGATATTGCCACAAGCGCTGGCATTTTTACCGATCTGGAGTACGTAGATTTTGATGTTTGCTGCTACATACCTGGATTCACAGCTGGTCTCCGCGGTGTACTCGAGTCAGCAGACAAGCTCTCCGATCTGATGCTCAGCATGTCTGTATGGAGCATGGACCTCGAAATATACTTGGCCAAAGAATCACATCATACAGCCGAAGCTATACTCAGCTCAGTATGTTCTAGCCGTCTGCGCCGGGTAGACTTGGGTTCGCTGGTCTTGAAGCCAGAATTTCTCAAGAACTTCCTACTAAAGCACCACCACACCCTGCAAGAAGTGTTATTCGATGCTGTCACACTCGTTGGGCCTTGGGATGAGATCCTCGTGTGCATACGCGAGCATCTCAATTTGCAGGTGCTTTTACTCATTCACTTGCGCAGTATGGCTGTGAGCGAGTTTGAAGATGACGATATCGACAGCAAAGTTGCACCGTATTGGTCTCGCAACGTCAGTTGGAGGGGCTCGGAAGACATTCGCCTTGGTCTGGAACAGTTACTCGAGACCGAAAAACAGGAACTTGAAGAGCGTAACCAGGGAGAGCTCTGAGATTGAGAATGTTGAGGATGGGTTAAGACTAGGAGGTGTGATACAATAGACATCTGCCAAAGGAGGGAAAGGATCAAGCGGTCAAGGCCAAGAGCAAGATGGGCACAACTAAGAACAAACATATACAGTAGCTCGCACGTAAACAAAACAAATCAACGAAACCGTGTGAAAATTGCCTTGAACCGTTTCCTTTTCACACATTTCCTTTTCGAGGCGCACCCCTGCTTGTCACCTCATCTTACTTGCCAACCTACGAGGCAAGCCTTCCTCAGCGTTTGCACCCATCAGCTCCTGCATCACCACAACCAGCTTCCATTCTCGCAAGTGGTCATCTTGATGGGGGTTGAAGGGGTAATCTTGTTATCGTGCACCACTGCTTGACAAAATTCGAACCCCTTTCCCAAGCATCGCAGTAACCATTTGCTGCACTTGCTGCGCATCACAAAGTGATAGATCTACCGACATTCGCCAGAGAGATCAGTGAGCGACTACTCGCGACTCCACTTACGCACACCAAAACGTAGGATCTATCATCTCTTATGGTGCCATTGACTTCCTCATTCGCTAACAAGCGTCCAGTATGTCTTCGTTATGCAAGCCGTCACCGGACTTGCTCTCACTTCCAAATGAGGTTCTAGCAAGAATCTGCAGATTCGTGGCCCTTCTTCCGATAATCGCCTCCTGGTCAGATCTGGAGCCGAAGCACATATCGAATCTTCGCCTGACCTGCAAGCATCTTTGCGCACCCGCCACCACGGAATTTGCGCGGTTCCATCTCGACAAGCCGGTCATAATGTTCACCCGACAGAGTCTGGAAGCTCTGGCAGAGCTATGCAAGCATCCTCTCTTTGGCCCACAAGTGCGGGATGTTGTCTTCTATCCTTTGCGATTCGACGAACATCTTGTTTATCAGACTGAACACGAACTAAATACCTCGATCTTCACGAAGGACTCGACAGGTATAGTACAAGCTAGAAAAGATCTGAATACTTACCTAGAGTATCTCGAGGAAGAGTTGCGTCTTGAACAATCCGGAGAAGCCGTTAAACTCCTAGAAGAGATCTTTAGCTCGCTTCGTTCACATGGCAAGTCAATCGGCATAAGTCTCTTAGGAAACATGATCAGGACTGGGTATACGGGATCCAGAAGGAGAGCCCTACTACCCATGGGTTACCTAACCGCTGTCGAGAAACTTTTACGCCGTGAAGAAGATGTCTGGAATTATGTGCTCAAACAAGACGGCTTAGCTTCGATCTTACTGATGATGCTAGAAGCGGTGGTTAAGAGCAACTGCAGANTTTTAAGTCTCCATTTCTAAACATTAGATGCTAATTGACGAAACGTAGACATCGAGTCCTCTGCAATCCAAGTTGTATCTGAGGCGCTGGCGGATTCAAAGAACATTAAAATTGATCTGCACGGCAAACTTCTATTGAGCGGTCTGGAGGACATTTTTCGAACAACATTACCTTACGCAAAAGGTCTGGAAAGGCTTTACCTAAGTGCTCTCGACGAGGAAATATCAATATCGGTCAGTTGGCACGAAGGATGTTCCTTGTTCTTGCTCGACTCCGTAACCGATGTGCTTGGTTTAATAGCATCTTATGCTCTTGTCCGTGTCCAATTAGAGGATATACCAGTTCGCGCGACAGATCTTGTGAAGTTTCTAGACGAGCACAAGCGTACCCTGAAAGAGTTGNCACTCATTAGAATTCCGTTGATGGGCCAGTGGGGAGACGTCTTGATGTGGATCGAAGAGAATCCTCATTTCGAGAAATTGTGCTTGATGGGTATGTTTACTACGGAACAGCTTCTCGATAATCATTGGTTCGAGACATGGCCATAGTTCACCGGTGGTTTTAGAGCCAGTAGAAGAGACGATGTGCATCTTGAAACGAGCAGGTTTCTAGCATACTTAAGAAGATATTGCACAGGGGATGAGGAAGTTAATCGAGAGAAATACGAGCTGGATTATGGTGACTTCTGCGATCTTCGCGCGGAATTCATGAGCGAAGGTTAAAGATCCTTTAATCACTCAGCGCATTGCAAAGAAGTCAAAAGATCCAACAAAGGCCGCGTACGTTTTTCTGGGGTTTTCTGTTGTGTACAATACACAATGAACAATCTCGTCTCTCTTTCTTTGAACATTCTTGAACATCACATTCCACTGCGAGCGTCATGGGGGCTCTTAGTGACGTCTTAAGAATAACTTAGCACAACACATCCGAAGCTATGATAATGATTAATACTCTTGAAGGACACGCCAGTACCTATGGAGAGGTAGCAAGATATCGTATCTCTTTTCTTCGATCTGCGGTCTAGAAATTTTCGTGCCTTCTTGGAGTCCGCACTTTCCATTCCATTCGTACCAAAGACTAGGCAGTATTACATAGTCCATCATAAGTGGAAGAACTACCAACCAATTCTTGAGTTATGTGTTTGCTCAGAATTATCATTCAATTTGTGCAGGTACGAGTCTATCAGTTCTCTGGCAAAGTACCTTTGCCAGCCTTGATGGACTCTTGAAATTATAAAGAGTGATATGCATTCTCAACCACCGGTCGCTTCTTCGATTTACATGATTGTTAATACTGCATTGCACACTGTCGTTGAGGGAACACAAAAGAGAGGTATGAGATTGGAGGAGTATGTTTAGTATACCGCGAACAAGGTGACTATATACTGTTCCTCGGGCGTGACTGGCAGTTAACCTGATATCGGGCAAAACAGTCAATTTAGAGAAGGGGCAAAAGATCGGTGACAATCCTTATATCATTGACACGATGGACATAGTTCTCAGCTGCTATCAGTTCAATGCTCTAGCAAATTCTGATCTAGCAACTTTTGTTCTTGACTGAGTTTCTCCAGAGCCTAAAGAATGAGGAAATATCCGGCTGTAGAAATACAAGATATTGTTCGAGCCAGAGAGGGTGCCAAAGAGATAGCGAACTGACTTTCAGTTACAGAACGCTCTTGCCCTCCCTCCCTATCTGTTGCTGTGTCACTCCAGGCATAAATGAGTGAAGTATGCAAGATAGTCCGGGAACAGGCAAGCGCTCCAGTGAAAGTTTGATGGACTCATGAAATTAAACCTCACTAGCTGCTCACTCGTTCAGATTTGCTCCTTCCAAGCATTTCAGTCTTCGATGTTCTTACGCACCACATGAAGTGCTCACTAGTTGACTATAAATATAGTCCTTCCACCACGAACCTCTTCCTCCATTACCTCAACATCGAACAACATCATATAACATCAACCATGTCATCTCCTGCCGGACTTCTATCATGCTCTAACGAAACGCTGGCCAACATCTTCAGCGATGAGATTCTTAGCAAGAAAGACCTCAGATCACTGCGTCTCATTTCAAAGGAACTCTGTCCTGCCGCCACAAGGGAGTTCGCGAAGCGTTATGTCACCAACCCGTTCTTCTTCTTATCTCGCTACGGTCTGCAGTCACTTATCGACATCTGCAAACACCCAATCTTCGGTCCCGAGATTCGGTCTATTGGCTTCCTAGCCACAAAAGTGCATATCAGTGGCCTTAAGGAGCACGTCTCCGATGCGGGATCCATTGCCAAGCATGACAGTAACAGCAGCTCAATGGTCGACAGTCTCACGATTATCAGCGACTATGCAAGAATCTTGAAGGAAAAGGCTCTGCTCGCGGCATCTGGCGACACCAAAGAATTACTCACCACTGCCTTGCAGGCGCTAAGACAACCGATTTCGATCACGATCGCCAATGACTTGGATTTTGTAGGCCCTGGACAAGCCATCGGTCTTCCATTGATCACTCACTACTATGACGGAAATTTCAACAAACCTATTACATGCATACCAGACTTGGAAGTCAACATGAAGAGCTCTCTTAAGTTGATTGAGAAGGTCATCGCAAAGTTGAGCACTAAGGATCACATGCTATTGACTGGCCTCAAGTTGAAGATGAGACGCCATTCTCAAGACACACCCAACACCAGCGACCCAAGTCGTCTGGACAGCATCATAGTGCAATCTATCAGCGGTGCTTACTCAAGCCTGACAACATTCCATCTCGAATTGGACCTTGAATCTTTGAGATGCTCATCGTCCTTCGGATCCTTTGAGGAACTCCTCAAGGCAGTACCCAACTTGCAGGTATTTGCTTTCGAAACAAGCTGCACAGACAAAAGACCTGTTGGCATGAGTACCTTGGAGCGTGTTGCCAAGCTCTTCAGTTTCGAGACCAACTTCGAGCTGCGAGTGTTGATCCTACAAAATGTGCCGTGCACGTTAGAAAGTCTTCAACTGCTGATGGAGAGACACAAGAAGACTCTGGAGCATGTCAAGCTCTCCAAGATCACCCTGCTCGGATCATGGAAGGCCTGCCTGAGAGGGATGCGCAAGGAGCTTGATCTGCAGAGATTACAGATTGCTGATCCATACACAATCAGCCGTGACAATACCACAAGCAGAGGCGTCTTCTTACCAAAACAGCAAACCTGGAGAGCTCCTACAACTAACTCTTTTGAGGGTAAGGAAAACACGCGTACTGGGCTTGACAATCTGATCCGTCGTACTCCCTAATTGAGCAAAGAATTCTCTTCCGCAAACAAAGACTAGCCACCTGACCTGCTGTCAAAATGCAGAAAAGTGACACTCGAGCAAGGAGGTCCAGGGAGAGCAGTGATAAGAAAAGAGGATTCTTGAAGAATCTTTGACAACTGAAAAGCAGAGACAACATGATTTGAGCGCTTTGCGAAACGATCTCAGAAACTAACTTTTGTATACTAGGCAGGCAATCATATAGCAATCAATTTACCTCTCCATTCCCTGATTGAAACAAAGATACAACCTCCCCATGTACTAGATTTCGTAACTCCACTCTACTCCGACTGTAGTTCAGGGTAGGATGTAGACTCCAGAGAGGCATAATCGTTTTTGGGAGTAGAGGCGTGTCCGCAGAGAGTCAACAAGTTGTTGCTTCTCAGTGGATACTGTCTTATTTCCTGTTACTACTGTGCATTTCTATAGCCATACGCGTTACATACTTTAGTATATGGGGAGGAGCCAACAAAGCGACTAGGATGTACTGTGTGGGATTGACCAGAAGGTGCGTCAATGTTGTGGCGCATGCAGATTGCAGCCAACTCGTTTTGCTAGATGAAGGGGGCATACCTATGAGTGTCTGTTTGCTTCTGGGTCGCTGTGTTGTCTGTTTGGAATCTATTTTCAAAGGGCTTTCAGTACCATTTGTTATCTTTGTCTCTCTTGCACGAGAGGGTCTCAGGCTTCTAGAGTCTTCTAGCTTGATAAGTCACTATCAGTCGGACCATATATCAACTCAGCTCACTCCGTTCGAAATCTATCACATCCGACTCCATACTTGCGCTGCAAAACTCTCTCAGCATGTAAGTCAGCCATCAAGCCGATTAATCACAGCCAATCCTAACAAATGGTGCCCATCAAGGAGAAACCCCAGCTGGATCCTGTATACAGGCAGAGTCGGGGTCTTCGGTTGCTCTCGCTGCCCAACGAAGTCCTGACAATAATCTGTACCGACAAGAGTCTCTCGGCCAAGGATCTATCCGCTCTGAGGCTGACCAGCAAAGAGCTCCAAGCTGTTACCACGAAAGAATTTGCGCAACGATACTTTCAAGACCCGTTCGTGATGATGTCGAGAAAAAGTCTGCAGGCATTGGTCGAAATTTGCAAGCACCCTATCTTCGGACCACAGGTTTCTAGGGTTCAGATGCTGAACACACGGATGCACAACTATTGGCTGGGTAAAATCGCCAATGATATGATGACTGCAGCCAACAACAGGCGCTTTATCGAAATGAAGCACGCCAGGGGCCAGTTGCAGTGGCTCATGGACGTGCTTGAAGAAGAAAAACGGCTTCGAAAAATCTGGAGAACCACTCAAACTCCTGGAAGAGGCTTTCAGCACCATCAAAGGATACAATCGTTCTTTCGTGATCGCGGTGCAACGACTTGCCATGCCGTATGCACCCATTGGCTTGGGGAAAGCTTTCTATGAATGCGAACAGCAGCCTCATGAGATCCTCTCAGAACCCGAGATGGTATCAACGCTACGACTGTTGCTAAATGCTGTCTCCTCTACTGGATGTTTGCTGCAAAGGATCGAAATTCGTATGGGTGGCGCTATCTGGCCGAGCAGCAGCCAGTGGAGAGAGGCTCGGTCTATTCGGCAGNGAAAAAGACCGTCTACCATGCCCGCCGAGGAACTACATCTCGATCTTCGATGGCACAGAGTTGCTGGTCGTGCAGACGAAGTGACACCTCAGTTGCTTCCGTTGATCGTTGAGAACACATCCAAAAGCCTCAAACGTTTCTCGCTACGTTCAGACTGTGATCCTCACTGCTTCGGGGGAAATCCGCTGGAAGGCATCGCTCTAGAAGACTGGTATGAGGGTCTTGAGGAGATCTCATTGATCAAGCTGTGTATGCGAGAAGAACAGATGCGCGACTTCCTAAGAGTCCAAAAGGCATCTCTAAAGCGTTTGACTCTTTCCGAGCTGATTCTCATCGGAGACTGGGACCGGCTGCTATCTTGGGTCTCTCGAAACTTCGCACTTGAGCAGTTCACTCTTGATCGAGCATACGCGCTGAAACCCCACAGATGGAATGAGACTAACAACCGAGCATATCTGTGGTATAACACAGGCTTGCAATGTCAAACCAGGGCTGAGATGTGTCATGGCCTGGATCTATTCATCAGTTCGCAGGCCGCAACAAGACAGGCAGAAGAGGAGAGAAAGAGGAAAGAGATTGAACAGCAGGAAATAGAACGTGCGTCGCGTCGCTCGTCAAGACTTTCTAGAACAGAAGGCCGAAAGCATTATCAGCAGTAGTCATGCAAAAGGCACGGGAGCATGACCGGAGGATCACTGAGAAAGGAGACCAGTCTATGTAGTTTCAAGAACAAATTCCAGAGTCCCGATTTTCGTACGAGGGATGTGTCCCAAATCACCTCTGATCCAGAATATGAGGTCAGCCGCCAAGTCGAGGAGTTGAGAAGAACCATGACTCTCTTCCACAACACCAAGACCTGCACGTCTGAGGCGCGGCGTCCGTACTCACCCGCAGGCAAACGCCCCCAAGTATTGCCTAATTGTCAAGATTCAAGGCACCAAAGCTTGCCACAACCACTTCTCCCATTTCAATCATGTCTTTTGAGAGACACGATTTCGATAGAAACGCGTGTCAGCCCTTTCGGTAGAGGTCAGAGCAACTGCCGCGGAGCAGAAGAAGTGGAAATAAACTTCTAGCCACTTATTGCTGCAAGGCTCATGTGATGCGGAGGTGTTTGTATGGTAATCGGTCTTCTCACCGTGAACCAACCCCGTACCCCACACCGGAGACACCGGCGAGTTTTGTGATAACTGCTTTTGTTTTTGGTCGTTGGCAAAGTCTGCTTGGCTGACTCGGTGAACTTCCGCCGCGTTTTTCATGTTTTGGCTGGAATCAGAAGACCTCGACTTTGAGGGGAGGTCCGCGGGATTTCATGCTGGCCATTGTCTGAAAGCTGGGTCGTGGTTTGTCTGGCCTGGCTAAGATGTTCGGAATGTACCAAAGTCACCGAAGATACATCGAGAAAATGCGTGGGCGACAGTCGCCCATGTCCGAAGCCAGAAGCAAGCAACGGTCAAGGAACGAAAAGTAGGCACATGTCGCGCTAGGCACTCGTGCAACCCCACAAACACTCCAACCCCAGATCTGCCCAGTGCGGGGATCCATGTATCATAACGGTTTCTGGAGCTAGTGGCTTGGGTCCAGGTCTGGGCGGCAAGCCATGGCCATGTTCAGGATGCATATATAACCGCTGGCAGGAGATCGTCTTTTTCTCGTTCGTCGCTAGGTATCAGCACTTGATTCCATCTCATACCACTCGATTTTCGCCTATCATGGCGACACACGCCAACCAGACCATCCTGGACGAGAAGGCCTACAGCAAGCATGAGGAGTTTGTGGAGGCCTTGCCCAACGAGGCGAATGTCTTGACCCCTGAAGAACTCGAGACTGAGAAGAAGTTGCGTCGCAAGATTGATTTTCTGATCATGCCTTTGGTTATTCTGGTGTACTTGATGAACTACATCGATCGGTGAGTGAAAGTCCTTCGTTGTCGGGGCTTGGCAGAGACTTATACCGGAAACAGCAACAACTACGCAGCCGCTCGTCTACAAGGCCTCGAGAAAGATCTTGGACTCCGCGGCGACCAATATCAAGTTGGCCTTTCGCTCTTCTTCGTCTCCTACATTCTGATGCAGCTGCCGAGTAATTTAATGTTGAATTACTGCGGTAAGCCTTCTTGGTACCTTGGTTTCTTCATCATAGCTTGGGGCCTGGTCTCAGCCGTGACCAGCCAGGTCCACAACTACACTGGCATCCTTATCTGTCGTTTAATTCTCGGTGTTACTGAAGCGCCCTTCTTTCCTGGGTGAGTTTATGTGGTGGTAAATGGACCCAGGTAGACGGAACTAACATGGCATAGTATCCTCTTCTATCTCTCGAAGTGGTACACCAAGAAAGAACTGAATCTGAGAATGTCCCTGTTCTACGCCGGTTCGTTGCTGAGCGGTGCCTTCGGCAGTTTGATCGCTGCTGGTATCCTCAGAGGACTCAAAGGAAAGGCCGGAATGGACGCCTGGCAATGGTAAGTGTTCTGCGGAGATTCGAGTTCAAAACCCTTAGCTGACCCGATAACCAGGTTGTACATCATCGAAGGTGTTATCACCATTGGCGTAGGCATAATTGTCGTCTTCCTCTTGCCTGACTTCCCTGAGACCTGGAAAGCTTTGTCTCCCGAGATGAGGCACGTCGCCATAAAACGTCTCTCGCTCGATGCTGTCGAAGCCGACAAGGACGAGGAGGGCGCCATGTCGCAGTTGAAGGGTCTGAAGATGGCATTCGTGGATCCTAAGACTTACATGCTTGCCATGATGTACTTCTGCATCACTGGTGCCGCGGGCTACCAATACTTCTTCCCAACGCTCACAAGATCTTTGGGCTACAACAACTTCATCTCCCNNCTGCTGTTGGTGGCGCCGCCATACATCTTCATGGTTTTCTGGTCGCTGTTCCACTCATGGATGTCGGACAAGAGATCCAACCGCTTCTGGTTCTTCATCTACCCAATTCCTATTGCGATCATTGGCATGGTCATTTTCATGACCACCAAGGGTTTCGGCCCTCGCTATCTCTCTTTCTTCTTGATGATGTTCGTATTCACCATCAACGGAACACAGTTCGCCTGGATCTCAAGCTCGATTCCAAGACCACCTGCCAAGCGCGCTGCCGCTTTAGCTATCATGAACGCTCTGGGAAACTCAACCTCGATCTGGACCTCGTTCACCTACCGTGAGGGCGACAAGCCTTACTACCGTCCTGGACTCGGCATTGCAGCCGGGTTGCTTGTCGCTGCATTTTTCATCGCTTGCGCCCTGCGCTGGTACTTGCAGAGACAGAACAAGGCACTCGAGGAGTTGGAGAATGAGGGCGCGAACCTATCACCAGAGCGCTTGAGAATGTTGATGAAGAGAGCAGAGGTCCTTGACCTGTCCATGATGCAGAAGGGCTTCCGTTACCTAGTTTGAGGAGTTATCATATGTTTGACGACCATGACGAAATACACGCAAACCACAATTTGCTATCTTCCAAATTCTGAAGCTTCAGCGCCATGATCATTTCTCGATTTCCTCTCCGTGTACGAATGATTGTAACAGTGTTGCTGAAGGAATACACAGAACTTTTGCAAAGCATCCATTTTCCACAGAAAGATCTCTGCAACGAAGAGGATCATTTGAGCCATCGTGACACCCCTTGGCCTACCAGGAGGTCGTGGATCGAAAGAAGCAGGAGCTTTCGTGAAGCTCAACAAACGAGCAAGAGCCACCGCTCTTCGGGAAAAGATGCCCCGAGAGTGCCGAGGAAACCCCGCAGCGCTCTGATTCGCCCGGTCATCAACATTGTCCCTTCAGCTATCATACAACATGTGAACAACTAATTGTCATGGCTAGAATCAAGGTCTCACGGCCGACAGTTGAACATGCTAGTCATCATAATGTCGACTCGAATCTACCTATCCATACTGGACATCGTCAGCCCCGACTCTCTTGGCGGTTCGAAACGACAGATCCCACACTAAGAGGTTGGCATCAAACTAGCTATAGAGTCAAGATATCTGCATGGGGCCAACCTCATCCAGACATCTGCGTGGAAAGTTCTGAGTCTGTGCTGGTTCCTTGGCCTGGGAAGCCGTTGTCTCTGGAAAGCAGCTGCAGAGTCAAAGTTCGCGTCGAGGGTAAAGATGAAATTGGTGAAGTGGCGACTTCATTGTGGTCAGAGGAAACCACCGTGGAGTTTGTGCCGTCTCAAGACCACTTTAGCGCGAACTTCATCGGCTCTGATCAACCTCAATCTGACGGACCGCTTCGACCTATCCTGTTTCGGAAACCCTTCACTGTGCCTGACTATGATGGTGTAGTGGACAAAGCCAAGTTGTATATCTCCGCATACGGTGTATATCGAGTATTTATCAACGGCAAACGAGTTGGAAACGACGAAATGGCACCAGGCTGGACTAGCTATACACATCGTCACCTCTACCAGACATGTGATGTTCGCAATCTTCTGAGATCAGGAGGCAACATCATCGGCATTGAAGTAGCTGAAGGATGGTATGCCGGGCGGCTGGGTTGGGCTGGTCAACGACACTTTTATGGCAAAGCCCTTGGAGCGTTCGCTCAGCTAGAAGTGGTTGCGACAGAACGACAAGATGCTATCACGATCGTGACAGACGAGACATGGAAGTGTGGACATGGCCCTCTTATCACCAGCAGCATATACGATGGCGAACTCTACGATGCTAGAGAAGAGCAAACAGGCTGGAACGAGGCCTCCAATTTTCAGGACTCAGACTGGATGCCGACCAAGATATTGCCATTTACGGAAGCCAACTTCCTTTCGTCTGATGTTCCTCCAGTCAGGGTGACTCAGTGTATCAAGCCCGAGCGAATATTTGATAGCAAGTCTGGCAAGACCATCATCGATTTTGGACAAAACCTTGTTGGAAAGCTGTTTGTCAAGCACCTTCGGAAACCAGCAGACCACAAGATAGTCTTCCGCCATGCCGAGGTCATTGAAGATGATGAACTTGGAGTACGCCCCCTGCGAAGTGCCGCAGCCACAGACACGATCATCTCCAGTGGCAATGTCATCGAGAATTGGTCACCACGGCATACTTTCCATGGGTTTCGATACGTGGAAGTCGAAGGCTGGACACCATCAGATGAGCAATTTCCATTAACGCTGAGTAGTATCGAAGCACTTGTCATGCATACAGACATGAAGCGTACTGGCTGGTTTTCATGCTCAGATCCGCTCATCAACAAGTTACACGAAAACACTGTCTGGAGCATGCGTGGAAATTTCTTATCGATACCAACTGATTGTCCTCAAAGAGACGAACGCCTGGGCTGGACTGGTGACGTCCAAGTGTTTGGCCCGTCAGCCAATTTTCTGTTCGATACTGGTGCTATGCTCGGTCACTGGCTAGAAGATGTTGCTGCTGAGCAAGCAGAGCATAATGGCATACCACCATTTGTTGTTCCAAACATTCTTGCTTCTGATACGGGAGACGATTCATGGGGCGAGTTTCCTCAAGCGGTGTGGGATGATGTGGTCGTTCTGCTGCCATGGTCTCTGTACCGTGCATTTGGCGATTTGGAGATTCTGAAGCGCCAGTATCCTAGTATGCAGATGTGGCTCGACAAAGGCATCAGGAGAGGCACTGATGACCTCTGGGATCCCTCCTTCCATCAACTTGGAGATTGGCTGGATCCAAGCGCGCCGCCAGATAGACCTGGAGAAGCAAAGACTGACGGCACTTTCGTCGCAGATGCATATCTCGTGCATGTGACTCGACTCATGAGTATCATTAGCGACATACTAGAACACAAGGGAGAAGCCGCCAGATACACCCTTGAACACAAGAAGCTAAAGAAGGCTTTTGGCAGAAAATATATCACCATCGAGGGCCTCCCTGTTGCCGACACTCAGACCGGTCTAGCCTTGGCAGTCGTTNTTGATCTGTTCAAAACTCCTGACCAAGCGAAGGTAGCCGCAGCCAGATTGGAAAGAGCAGTTAGACTGGCAAACTTCAAGGTGGCCACTGGATTTGCCGGAACTCCAATTATCACACATGGATTGTCTTCAGTCGGTCTACAAAATCTGGCTTATCGTATGTTATTCGAGAAAGAGTGTCCGTCCTGGCTCTATCCGATCACAGTAGGAGCTACCACTGTGTGGGAACGCTGGAACAGCATGTTGCCAGACGGCAGCATTAACCCCGGGGAGATGACAAGCTTTAATCATTACGCTCTAGGCTCGATTGTGAATTGGTTGCATGAGGTCGTAGGTGGCATCAGTCCACTTGAACCAGGCTGGAAGCACTCGCTGATCCGACCCGTTCCTGGTGGTTCGCTCACACATGCGGAGGTCAAACATGAGACACCTTATGGTATGTTCAGTTGCAAGTGGTCTCTTGATGCTGGTCAATTTAAGCTTTCCCTCACGGTTCCACCCAGCACGACCGCCAAAGTTGTTATGCCTGACAAGCAAGCAAGTGTGATTCTCGGCGAGCAAGAAGAAGGCCTCGAAGTTGGATCTGGATCTTATGAGTTCTCGTGTGCTTATGAACCTGAAAAGTGGAAGCCCACAGCTATCCCTATCCCGTTCTTCACACCGGTCAAACAGGAGCCATGGTAATGAATCAGAATGAGACCAAGTCTGAGATGCATCAAACTCTGTCCCGTACCGAGATTCTCAATACGCCATCTGAGCCAGGATATTGTGTATCTAGCTGTGTATCGGCACCACCACAGCCGGTCTCAATTGTTTTTAGAGCCACAATAGCCGACTCAAAGTCTGACCGTATTTGCATATACTCCCGTGGATCATCGCTGAATGGATCCTTCGACAAGAGCAGACAAGTATCGTCCCGATTTGTGATATCATCCAGAATAACCATATTCGTGGGAGACAGATCTGTATTGTTTAGATGCTGTATAGCAAAATCAATAATTTGCTGGACACTGGAACCTTCGAACGGCCAAGTTTCGAGCAGATCATCGTTCACGGGGGCTTCTGTCCTTGGGTTGATCGAAGAGATGTCTTCGGAAGACATGAGAGTTGATTGAGGGTCCTCATATCCGCACCGCCTACATGCTGCGTTGGCTTGCTCGAAGAATCTGTCCAGCACCTAGAGATGATAGGCCTTAGTTAAATCAACACAGAATCATACATGGTGCATCCTTACCTGCCTGGGAAGTCGCGCGACTGGAAACACTGGAATGGTCGAGTCGATACAGTCGCGAGCGGAAACACCCTCAGCCATACTTTCCAGTTTCACAACCTGGAGTATGTGTTGTGCAAAGGAAGGTGCTTCTGTCAAGAATGACGGTTGAAAGGTCAAAAGAGTGACGCAACTTCTTGGCGAATACCACTGCCAATGCCAACGCTATCTTGTTATTTCCGATGATTGCGACTACGTTCACGCAAACATCAAATCTACTTGAAAGACGAGTGATGAAAAGTAGGGAATTGTATCAACACCCAAAAACACATATGCCGCTTTAAACAAAACATGCAAAACTCCACCTCATCCATCCTCTCCTTCCCATCTGCTCTTCGCTCACAGTCCCAGAGGGTTCTGCCCATTCTGCTCTTTACCTCCAAACTTTTCATATGCATCTCCTTTCTTCGATTGGTCTTGTTTCGTAAACCCAGCCATTCTGTCTCCAGTTCCTCCTACTAGGTTTCCAACCGGTGATAATCCTTTNTGGAGACCTTTGCCTAGTGGGTCGCCGATGAAAGAGAGTAAGCCTGTGGGGTTTGTTAGTGAGATGTCTGGTAGAGGAAATAGAAGAAGTGAGGGAAGAAAGGGATAAGAGGGAAGAGAGAGAGTGGAGAGAGGGGAGAGGTGGAAAGAGGAGAGAAAACATGCCTTTTGTTCTTTACTTCCCAAGTCTACTTCATTAATGTTGTCGGGTAGGTTCTCGCGGAGGGTTCTGTTGATCTTGTCGTCGTCTTCTTTGGGGACATTGATGTGCTCCGACATGGTTCAGGTTGTAGTTGTCTTCGGAATCTGTGCTATGCTTGATATAATTCGACTAGAAGCTTGCAAAAGTTCCTCCTTATAAGGCTTTGATGATGTCGAGATTGTAAGATAGCAAGGCAGACAAAGCACAATAAGGTTTGATATGTCTCAGAATGTTTTGCTTGCAAAGGAAAAGACGCAGCAGCAGTTCTTTATATAAAAGAGGTTCGCGGTGGACTGCCGAGGGAAGACTCAGTGCACGCGCCATACCCAACACACGTCATGCGGGACACGAGACCCCCGCCACAAACCTGCAGGCCAAACGGGGGGACATGCACCACACCGACGACGATCGACAAAGAGCATGCTCCACAAAAGCTGTCATACCAATATAAGGCCTATATTGCAGGAGGGAAAAAGAAACCCAAACTTGTATAGTGTTCTTCTGTGTAGAGGTAGACTTACTGTCCAGGCTTCAAAGCCCCATTTTCCCTCGCAGTTTCCACAATCATCTTGAGCACATCTTTTTCCTTCTGTGTAAACTTGTATGCTTTGTTGCTTTTCAGTGTCGCCATGTTGTGTCCTCCAACTCTCCACTCTGCAGCCTCATGTGTTTCCTTTGCTTCTGAGAGGTAGACATTCCAGGTGCTCACATTGATGTCCTTGTTTTCTTCGTACTTATCGTCGAGAATCCAGCCACTAAACCATAAAGGTCGGTTATTGAGGTCTAAGTGCAGGAGTTGTGGTGAAGAGACTGTGTAAAGTTCGTGAACTTGGTCATCGCGCTTTGCGAGTGAGCCCTCTTTCTTGGTCTCTGCACCTTCGCTCGATTTGCCCTCGAGTGCTGCGTCCTGCTCGTGGGTTGACTGTGACACCGGAGGTTGGTAGTCCTTGACAACTTCTGCTTTGCCATCGATCAGCTTGTAGTAGACGTGATCTGACAGAACACCCATGCTGCCAGCGGCACCTTCGTTGAACCAGTAATCGGTATCTCCAGCAAGCTCCCAACCAAGCCAGAAAGTCTCCTTGTCGCCATAAAATAGCGAGTAGACACCCTTAGCACCAGTCTTGGCATTGTCATCCCGGTCAGGACCATTCATACGGGTGACCGTCAACATAGCAACAAAGTGACGCCACTTGTCGACGACAAGACAGCCAGAGTCCTGCTGTTCACGACTCTCACAAGTCCAGTAGCGGGAAGTCTGTGCTTTCTTCGAGATCGGCTTGGGAAGAATGTCTTTGAGCCACTGCTTGCGAGAAGAGGGAGCATAAACCCTGTCGCGGAAGAACAAAGCGCCGGTTTCAACATAGCCAGGATCTTCGAACAGATCTGCAGGGTTGATGAAGAACAACGTATCGGCATCGAGGTAAATTACCTCGCGGAAGCTAGACATGAGCAGAGCAAATGCCTTTGATGCTGATGCCTTGAGCTCCCAATCCTCATCGGAAACCATCTGGCTCAAGTCGCGGGTGATAACGCCAGGGATAGACTCAAACTTCGTTCTCCAGTCATCGTTGAGACTGTTCTCGCCCAGGTACATGATCTCGACTGGCAGATTACACCCCAGCTTGCGGAAAGACATGATCGAAGTCAGGATGAGGGGAGCTTGCTTGTCGTTGCCAGAGAGAACGATACCACGGCCACCATTGCGGAGGTGCGCATGAAGTGTGAGATGGTCCGCAAAGTAAGGAAAGGTGTACGGGAACAGAGTGTTCGACAGTTTTACCAAGAGGGCTCTGTACCTTTCGTAGGCTCTGATGATATCTCCGCGTTTCAGCTCCGAGACTTCAGCAAGCTCTTTCTCAGGGGCGCTTTCTAGGTAGCTGATGACATCGTCGCGAACATAAGTCACGTTGGTGTCAGCAACAATATGAAGTGTCTCCCAGATGGTGAAGAATTTGTGGAAAACCCTGGTTCTGATACCTAGCTCTTTCAAACGATCCTGACCACCGCCCTCGAGTGGGCTTAGGAACTCGCGAGTGTGATCTTGGTCTGGAACCATGTGGAGAACATTNTTGAGAGCCTCTTGGAAGGTGTACTTCTCTCCAAGGCCGGTGCTGTGAGCAACAGATGATGTAGTTTCAGTCTGATGCGATGGCTCTCCAGCAAACTCGTCGTCAATGCCGCTCGCTGATACATGATCAGAGCCTTCTTTCGACTCGGAATATTTGTCGTCGGTCTGCGAGTCCTTGAGTTTCTCGTACTCGGCCTCTTCATCTCCTTCAACACGATCGACAGTATGTTCCATCTCTTTCCATTGTCCNGATTCAACCTCGGCTTCCTCCTCGACGGGCTCGGTCCACCTTCCACTTTCCGTATCACTGTAGCCACGCGGCGGCGTCACCTCGCTGACAGGTTTCTCAGCGTGGTCACCAAAGATTACTTTGTCTTGTATGGTTGTGGGTACCCATTCTGGCGAGTCCGGCCCACGTGTCGCAACGAGATAGCAAAGTACGATCGCAAGAGAAATTGCAAGTATGCGGACAACATGAGTCCGTCGTCGTGGTTGGTGGAAGTAATCTGTATATTTCGATGGCGAGCCGGGTGTCATTGTGGGCGTTCGATATCCTTTTGTAGGTGTGCTGCTCCGTGAGGACGAGTCGATATACATGTCGATGGAAGTATGTCGATCGTGGTCTGCGATTGTGAGCAGCAGCCAGCTCTATGTAGGCTGACAGACTTGTAGAGTGCCTCTGGATAGGTGTGTGTGTTGTGTGAGGCTACGAACAGATGCCAGGGACAATTGGGCATGGGTTAAGTGGCGGAAGGGACTCCTTTTCCAGCCATGCAGTTGATGCAGTAGCCGTCAACATCACAGTACTGAGGCTAAAAAGCCGAGCTACTCGATACAAATGTACCGACCGTTGTAAGCGGAAGTCTCATGGCCTGGCTTTCCGACAGATATCACACGAGCCCCTGTCTTACGACGACGGTAAAACTCGAAGGAGCTCAGGAGATCTGGCAGCGCTTACGACTGAGCCGGTAAAGGAGAAGCATGATGATGCACATAACGTAACGGCATCGGAGGATCTCTTCACAGCGCTGGCGCATGCTGTATATCGAGACTCCATGCTGTGGTTACAGCTCCAAGACGTCGGCTATGCGCGTCTTGAAGAATGTTTTCCGATCCTTGAGACATGGCAGGTGAACACGAGTGAGGAGTAGAACCAAAGAGGTGATGACCGTTCGAAGGATGTCGGCGCTAGAAGCCGATACGAAAGCCAATTCTTGCCAAGAGATGTACGAATGCTTCTCCCCAAACGCGAATGAAATACTTCTTTCTGACATTCAGCATTCTACCATTGGAAACACAAACATACCAATCGAGCGAGGTCAGCGGCAGTAGAGATGTTGACGCTGACTGTTTACGACCCATATCATCTTCAGCTCGGCCCTTTTAAAACCACATCTGCTCATATATCAATCACAAAAGCAAGATGATGAATCTGAACAGGTATAAACAGTCGACCGATGAAGGTACAGAAGTTCGGAATCTGCATAGGACGTCCTGCTCAGCTAGTCCATGGCCCTGGATGCCGACGCCTACCAAGAATCGCAAAGCCATTCTGCACACAGAGAGATACCGACGATATGTCAGGGCAGTCACCTTGCGTGATCTGAGGTTTGTGGTAGTTGATGATGCTCAAAAATAGCTGATCCGATGTAATTCGAGTTCGAGGAGTCGTAGCTTTGCCATCCGGCATCGCTGGCCATCATCTTCAGTTCACCGCACCCTCGCTCCCTCTGTGATGTAAGGGATAGGAGAGTGACTGAAAGACGGACCACCACCTGGAGTATCTTCTCCGTCTAGGACCTGTTCTTCGTCTGGTATCGTTTCCCAATCGGCAATAGGTTCTTCGAGTGCGGTTTCTGCGGGCTCTGGTCGGTTCTCTTCGACGTACAATATCGCTGGAGGCTCTCCAAAAGCTAGTGGTTTGTCTTCGTTGACGGTCAAGCGGGGGATTGGATAATTCTCTGGCTGGTGCTTGATATGATGATTCAGGTCGTGTTCAAGCTTGAGAGGATCTTGCTGCTGCAAGATGACAATATGCTGCTGAGGCTGTCCTGGACACTCACCCTTCGACCAGCAACAGAGGTCTTTGTACTTGTAAAATCTTCCATCCGGGTATTGGACATAGATCTCAGCGGGACCGTGTCTCTAGTAGCGGTATCGAGTCTCTTGATGTGCAGGGTAATAGTAGGAGCCAGCTCCGATTGCTGGGAGTCCGAAGTGTTGCTGTACGACCATGGCACGCCCTCTTCTGACGTCTTCTCTCATCTCTGTAGCGCGTCTGCCGTCTGGAAAACGTAGGATGATGTACCAGGCATGCAGGATACCAGGTGTCCAGCCGAACAAGGTGAGGACAATGTTGATGAATAGATGATGGTCGCAGCCTGTTCTTTTCAGGACGGACAGTGGAGGCATGAAGAGAGCTACGACGGCAAGGGAAGATTCCGCCCTGCGAATGATCAGTAACACTCTTTGGTCTGAAGCCAAATGCCACGAACCCAAAGACCCATGGTGGAGTGCAAGTCAGGTAAAGCAGGATGGACAGGGTCACAGAGGTGGCTGCTCAGATAGAGATTTTGTGTCGAGATGATAACGACAGTGATGAGTGAGACTGGTTGATGATAGATGAAAAGAGGACTGAAGAGCGCGGTCAAATTGTATGATGAAGGTCCTGTTTGGATGGCACCTTCCTCAATGGCTCGGAGCATGGTACATGATGGAGTCAACTGAGAATACAAATGCACGAGATATTAGGGCAAGAGCGAAGTAGCTTGCGAGTGAACCACCTTTGTATTCTGAGGAAGATCCCAGCGCCAGTATCTGTGTCATCCTGCCAGTGGTCAAATTCTATCATAATCTTGCACTTACGTTTCTCCCACAAAAGCAGAAAATTATTCTAGAGCTATCGAGATGCACAGCAGTTTTTCGTTGTGGAAGCGTGACCCAAGAGATACCTCGATATGACATCTCTCCATGGACAACACTTCCATCTAATGACTATTCCATATTTTTACAGCTACATCAACAGTCTTCGACACATCGGGAGGAAGTTGTAAAGACAGATAGTATAAACTTCTCGAATTCGTTCACTCCCCGCCATTAACATTGCTATCGACATTGTGATGAGCATCAACGCCGTAACAACGGCCAAATCCCTCCTCGGAGAGGCTGACTATTTCCTGGATTCATCGCAATCCATCGAACTACACATCGCCGCTGGCTTCCTGTCTCACTAGCCTGACCGTGGCCCACTCGTGCTCCAAGTCCTCTCTCGAGGCTTTTCCTCCACTTCTCTGCTCCAGCATCTTGACCAGGGCGGATGATCTTGGGGCGAAGAACTCCGTCTCTTCAATCTCATACCAGCCTCGGGAATGAAACGCTTTGGCTCGATCGGAAGGTCTGTCTTGGGAGAAGACAGCGACAAGGGGAACGTCGTTAGCCTCTGTTGCCTGTCTGGATGGTAGAGGCATGTCAGACTGCGTGGAGGTAGGCTGGGACAATATAACAGATGAAGAAGAAGTTTCTGCAACCCTCGTGGAAGCTGGTGAGACTGCACGGCTGCGCAAGTCTATGGGGCCGAATTCTTGGAAGACGTTGCTGCGATTACTGTGCTCGGTCCCAGATACCCCAGCGTCCTGGTCCGGGTAAGGGAGTTCATAGCCCGGGAGAAGATGGAGATTGCACTTTGCATATATGTCCAAACGACGATAGCAGCCTGAGTTTTGATTGTCGTTCTCGGACAGGACAATGAATTTGAGAGAATTGGGTTGCTCTGCCGAAGCGTTCAGGGTCTGTATGGCACTTCGTTCAACACCGAAGCGTGCTGCAATCTCGGTAAGAGAAACGAGTTCCGAAGTGTTCCTGACAGGTCTCAGAAAGCTGGTAGGTGCCTGTGACCGAGTAGGGATCAATCGAGAGTTCTCTAGAGCGGCAAGATCCAGAGAGAATGAATGTCCCGGAGAACCCGGCCAGCATGGGTGGTTGCCGACAGCGAACCACCACTTGGGTGGTCCTGTGATCCAAGGATCAACACCGTGCGTGTGCTCAACGTGACCTTTGAAAGACTGTCGATTCTCAAGGGCAGAGTTAGGTCGCGTGGGGCCCATAGGTCTGACATATCGACTAGTCGAGCGATCGTGACATCTCACAGGAAGTCTCGACTCCACTCCGCGAGCTGGATGAATTCCGTGACTGAATGCAGCAGTCGGGTCAAGGGAGCGATGACTAGACTGGGGTAGACCCATCGGATTGGAATTATGCGAGTTGTGGTTGTACTTGGAAATATCGTTAGTGTCAATAGACACAGAGATTTCGCTGAAATTCAGAGGCTCAGATTCTTTCTTAGGGTTTGTGGTGCTCATGGTGCTATTGCGTGGGGAACGGATGTGAATGGGTAGATATTCTGAAGTCAGGGTGGATTTGTTTATTGACGCGGATAAGAAAAGTCAATGGCAGACTCAGCTCTGCGATTGTGCTAGGCTTATGTACTTCCCTAACATGGGCTTCAGAGCGATGCAGAAAGAAAACCACGTAGGTTATACGTGGCATGGTAGCAACTGGCTTCGAAGCCGGACGTGGACATGGTTGTTGGACCTAACCGCTTACTTTGGTTGGACCTCGTGCACAAACACATGTTGAACGTGGTTCGGGCAGTACGCTCGTGATTGAGATCAAAGTATGATGAGCAAGTCAGTGAAGGCACAAGAAGAGCGTGCCCATTGCATGAACAGATTGGATCTTATTGCAAGACTAGCAAAGCCTGTGTCATGATGCTGTGCCTCGAAACGAGCGCCATCGAGGGACACGTATGGATTGACACAGAGTGTACAACGTAAAGTCGTGATACTAAAGCAGGAACGAAGTCGAGGTCGAACGGCGCAAACACCCCAATTTGGTTAGCGTCAAATCAAGTCGCTCCCCGTCATAGTCGCGACTTTTGGTTGCACTCGACTTTGTTCAAGAAACGCAACAGCATTCATTATGGGCAAGGGTAAGTGATGCTAAACGATTGAAGATCGATAAGTGACTGACTTTCATCGCAGGCACAGACAAGCTGTACGTATGTCGCAATCCTTTGCACTAGGATCTGCTCGCAGCCCAGCTAACACACTTCGACACAGATCACTCACAGCGAGTGGGCCTCCGATACTGCCTTCTCTGCCAGCGCTGGCGCCGGTGTGAACAAAGGCAGCGTTCCTGGCGCCTTCAAAAGACTCCCCTACAATTTTTGTGCCTTGTCGCTACAACCATTCGAGCATCCAGTCTGCACATCCAACGGCACCATCTTCGACCTCACCAACATCTTACCATGGCTGAAGAAGCACGGAACGAACCCAGTAGATGGCGCTCAATTGAAGTCAACCGACTTGGTCAAGCTCAACTTTGCGAAGAACGACGATGGCGAATACGTTGACCCCGTCACCTACAAGGTCTTTACCGACAACACTCATATTGTCGCTCTCAAGAACTCTGGAAACGTCTTTGCCTGGGATACTGTCGAGCGTCTCAACATCAAAGCCAAGAACTGGAAGGACCTAGTCAGCGATCAAGATTTCAGTAGAAAAGACATCATCACACTCCAGGACCCGCAGAACATCGAGTCAAGAGATTTGAGCTCTTTCAAGTACATTCAAGAAGGCGCAAGCACTTTGACTCCAGAGCAAGAAGCCGAGAGAAGCGCCAATGTCAATACTGGCGCGTTAGGAAATGCAGCAAAGATCCTCAAAGCCAAGGAAGCTGTCGCAAAAGCAAGAGCAGAGAGACAAAACGCTGCACAGGGAAACTCGCTACAAAGAGCAATGGCCGAAGCGAAGAAGTCGAGCACTGCTACAGGCGCTTCAAAACCTGTGCCATACAACGCTGCACAGTACACGACAGGAAAGGCCGCTGCCTCGTTCACCAGTACCGGCATTTCTGTCCATACAGGCAACGAGCGTGCCTTGTTGTCAGACGAGGACTATATGTTGAAGCCTAAGCGCGTCAAGCACAAGGGCTATGCCCGCCTCCAGACCAACCATGGTGACATCAACGTCGAACTACACACCGATCTTGCTCCTAAAGCGGTCTGGAACTTTGTCCGTCTAGCACAAAAAGGATACTACAAGAACATTCCCTTCCATCGCAACATCCGTAACTTCATGATTCAAGGCGGTGACCCGACAGGAACAGGTCGTGGTGGTCAATCAATTTGGGGCAAGAACTTCGCAGATGAAACCGAGAACTCTCTCGTCCACGACTCTCGTGGCATTTTGTCAATGGCCAACAAAGGCAAAGACACAAATTCGTCGCAGTTCTTCATCACTTATCGCGCTGTGCCGCATCTGAACAAGAAACACACCATCTTCGGCAGAGTGGTCGGTGGCAATGACACATTATCACGCCTCGAAGCCGTCAAGACAGACGAAGGAAACCGACCTATCGACGACTGTGTCCTCGAAGACGTTGTGGTGTTCGCAGACCCCTTCGAAGAGTTTCAAAAGGAGCGCGCCGAGAATGAAGATGCACAACGCCTGAAAGAAGAGATTCAACGTCAAGGTGGTACGGAAGATGACAAGACAACTTGGACTGGCAAACGCATCCGAGGCGACGGCAAAGTCGAGGACAACGCAGCTTCTGGAGTAGGCAAGTATCTCAAGACTGCTGCGGCACCGGCACCAGCAATAGAGGAAGACGAGATCGTTGGAGAATGGGATGAACCCGAACCACCAAAGAAAAAGGCAAAGTCGGGCGGATTTGGCAATTTCGATAGTTGGTAAGAAGGTGTTTACGCAAATTCAATTGCTTATCGACAAAATACTCCAGCTAGAGTGAGATCAAAAACATGTTTCGTGCCTGACCTCATTTGGAGCGAACAATCCTGCTGCATTGCTTGCTTCTCTTCAGACTTTTGTTTCTTGAAGCAATTCTCTAGCTGAAGCCTTCTCTTCAAACTCCAATGACAGCTCACGTGGGTCATACAGAGATTCGTAGTGGTTGCGACGCTTCAGGTAGCAATCCACGAGATTGATGACGCAGCTAGCTGCCGACAGTGATAGAGTCCAATTGGTGAGGCTGCTTCTTGAAGGCAAAACGACCACTACTGTAAAAATAGCAAGGAGAAGAAGTATACTGCATAGAGCAACGACTGTTTGTTGCGATAAGCATGGGTATACACTGGACGAGGCTTGTATAGCTAGACATACCATTATTCCGTGTCATCGGAGCGGGCTTGGAATTATTGGCTTGTAGCGGTACCGAGGGCATCTTCTCGGTGGATGAAGATGACATTTCTATAGGATGATGGAGCTCACAAGCAGAAAAGTTGCAGCAGAGACAAGTCGTGGGGATGGGAGCTGGGAAGTAAGCAAAATAAAAAGAATAAAAAGAATAAGTCGAGTCTTGGCATCGCGAACGAGATCGTCAATGGAGACTTGACTCATGTGAATTTTATGATTTCGATACCGCATCAGCAGCAGCTTACCGTCGCAACTCCTCAGCGCATCATCACACAATACAGCAGTGACTTCTGTTAAGCGACTACATACCGGAACTGTATCGTTCAATACGCGACGCGAAACTCTTTTTGGAATCGAAGACGACTCGATCAGAGCAAACGAATCATTTACGCCTAGGATACCGAACGAGAGCCGGAACAACACAAACATCATGTCGTCAGCAGCAGGAGAGGCTGAGAAGGCTGTGAACACAGCTGCGCAGAACGGAGCCGCAGATAAAGCAGCAGGCGCAACGAAAAGGACAAGGCGCAGAAGCAAGAAGCCGGAAAGAAGGATGAGGGAGCAGCAGATGGAGACAAGAAGCTCTCAGGCGCCGAGCTGAAGAAACAAAAGCAAGCAGAGAAAGCCGCAAGACGTGAAAAGGAAAAGGCCGAACGCATGGCTCAGCTCGGTCAGACAGCTGCAGCACCACAGACACCTGCCAAGGGCCCCAAAGGTGGTGATGCAAAGAAGGGTGGAGAGGCAGCACAGAAGGGTGGTCCTGCTCAGGGCCAGGCANNCAGCACAAGAAGGGTCAATCGCAAGGCGGAAACCTGCCCATGCGCGGCAAACCTGGTCCCGGAGGAGTCATTCCCATGACTCAACAGCAGCAGCCGCAACGAAAGACCAAAGAGGTCGGTTTGTTTGGCCATCTCTACACATCTGCCCCTAAGCGAAACACCATGGAGGGTGTTAGTAAGGAAGTCCACCCCGCCGTTCTGGCATTGGGCCTGCAAATGAGTTCCTTCACCGTCTGTGGCAGCAATGCACGATGTGTTGCCATGCTGCTCGCTTTCAAANAAGGTAAAGACCCATGTTCATCGTCCATCTTCGTCGTTCGCTTGTCTAACTCGAATCTACAGGCCATCCTTGACTACCAAACACCACACAACACCTCCCTCGCCCGCCATCTCACATCGCATTACCTCTCGCCTCAGATCGACTACCTCAAATCCCATCGCCCTATCTCTGTTTCCATGGGTAATGCCATTCGTTGGCTCAAGGACCTCATTATCAAGATCGACCCCGACACGCCAGAAGCCACTGCANAAGAAGACATCTGCGCCGCCATTGACACCTTCATTCGTGAGCGTATCACCGTGGCCGACACTGCCATTGCTGCAACTGCCTGCGCAAAGATTCGCAACAACAGCACCATTGTCACGTACGCAAAGTCGTCCATTGTCGAGAAGACACTGCTACACGCTTGGGAGTCGGGTACCCGCTTCAAGGTCGTCGTCGTTGACTCGCGACCTCTGTTTGAGGGCAGAAATCTGGTACGACGACTTGCCAATGCTGGCATTCCTGTTACCTACCNNCTCATGGCCGCTGCTGCTCCCCACGCCCTCAAAGATGCCGATCTGGTCCTACTGGGCGCTCATGCCATGATGGCCAACGGTCGTCTATACTCGCGTGTTGGTACTGCTGCAGTAGCCATGTTGGCCCATTTCCGCGACATTCCAGTCATCGTGCTTTGTGAGAGTATTAAGTTCACCGACCGTGTTGCTCTGGACAGTATCGTGCTGAACGAAGTTGCTCCTGCCGAACAACTGATCCCAGTCTCAAAGTCTGTTCCTGCCTCTGCAGCAATCGATGCCAAGAAGGACGACAAAGAAGAAGATTCACAGGCAAAGTTGGAGAACTGGCGCGACATGCCAAATCTGCAATTGTTGAACATTCTCTACGATGTCACGCCTGCAGAGTATGTCAACATGGTCATCACCGAGTATGGTTCGTTGCCGCCCAGCTCTGTGCCTGTGGTGCATCGTATCAGTACAGAGAGGGATGTCAGACTGTAAAAGTCTTGTCAACCAGGCCCTGGTCGCCCGACGTGCGAAAAGAAGATAGCAACATGAGAAAATGAAAAGCATTAATGATCATCAGTGTCTCAATTCCGATCAGAAGTGGTAGAGTCTCCGGCAGTCTCTTTCAGAATTCGCATTATGTGGTTGGTCGGGTCCGCGAGGGCAAAGGTGAAATCTGGGAGAACAATACTAAGCTTCGTTTGGCCCAGGCCTGCCCTCGGCACCCGATTTAATTTGACATCACGAGAACTCTTTGCCGCACTCTAACACTGCTCCTGACGTCGAATATTCGCCTCTCTGGCATCGCATTGCTTGCTCGGAACAATGCTTGTTCTCCGTCTCAGCTAGTATACATGATTCTGCTTCTGCATTATCCAACCTCATATTCACACACCCCACTCTAGCACTGAGCAATCGACCAGTATCGTATCTGCACTGTACAGTATGATTTGAATTCACACAATGCTATCTCCATCTGTCAGCAGTGGATTGATGCTCAGAGATCGATGTCTTTGTCCTTACACAACAATATCAAGACCATCATCACAATGCTTACCGAGTAGACATTGATAGAATGCAATCTCCGCATACTGCTTGAGTTACACCTGTTCTTTGACGTCTTCCTCATCTTCTTTATCTCAAGGACAAATCACACGAACCAAACCATCTTCGCCCGAGGCAACACGTTTCAGCCATACCAACACTATCCGATCAAAGACCTTGCCTCATTCCTATAAAACAACCCATCTATCCACCAACAAGTGCCTCTCCTCTCATCACCCACAAACAAACTTACACACTCGCTAGTAAGCCTTCTCCACTACAAACACACTATCAAAAATCTCCCTTACTTACACAAGCATTACAGCTTTTTCCAAGTAACCCCAAATCAAACACAATGGCCATCACCGACTTCTCCAACGCTGGTTACATCCAGAAGAGCAACGGCTCTCTCGTCATGGCCTCGTGCACCCTTCAAAAGGGCAATGGCTCCCTCGTCATGGCCTCTTGCGTCCTTCAGGGCAACAGCTCGCTTGTCAACGCCTCGTGCACTCTTCAAAAGACCAACGGCTCTTTGGTCAACGCTTCTTGCACTCTCCAGAGCAATGGCTCGCTGGTTAATGCTTCGTGCACTCTTCAGAACAACTAAATTGCCATGAAGTGGACCATGATGCGAGTTTGAGTTTTTGCTGTTGAGGGAATCTTTTGGAGTTTTTTTTTTTCTAAATCATTTTACCTTCTTGCCGATTTGGGCTTGATGGGTTCTTTTGCGAATCTTGGGATGGCTTTGTTACTCTGCTTTGCTGGGTTGACTTTGCTGTCTAAGGTTTCTTTTTACTTCTAATGCATCTTTTTCTTTTGCTATTTGCAAGCATTTTACTTTCTCCAACGTTCGTGTGTCCTAAATGTTGTACATTCTTCTCACACCTCATGTTTGTACTATTCTAAGTTCTCATCCTCCGTCCGGACGAATATCCTTATAGGTAAAAACATGAATTTTTCCACGCTCGACGTCCCATTATTATCACAGTTTGCTTTCCTCGCAGGTTGACACTGGTCAAGGTCCTCACGAGGCTTGGCAGACCTTTCATGAATCCAAAAGAGAGTTTGCAACTTTTCTATATCGTTTACATTTCACGCATGAAATGCTTTTAAATGTTATATCTATGCAATATCCATGCCCGTATGACCACATTCATCTCTCCTTTAGATTCAGACGGCTTGGATGAACCACAACGCAGGTCGGTGATCTACACTTTAAGGGTTCTTCTATGGGAAATTGCAATCAATTACATTTGACGAACTAGCTAATAGGCAGTAGCCAAGCCCAGCAATACAAACCATCAACAACAACCCCATCAAACCAGTCTTTGTTGTTTACAATCGAACCAAAAAGCCATTCTTCAAACTCATCAAAACAATCACCATGGCTCAAGAAGATCTAGAAACCATAACCGCTGGAAAACACGACATTTCCACCGACAAAGATAACTCAACCCTCAAACATCTCATGCAACAAGCCATCTCAACCTACAACCAAAAATCCAAAAAAGCAATATTCTCCTGATACACAACTGTGTCTCAACAATCTCTGTCCTCAATCTTCCCACCGAAACACAGGAACTAAACCGTATAGCCCATATCCTGTTTGCCACAGAAGACTGGGGCCAGAATGAAGATCTCAGCAATGCACCTAAACAAATTGGTGATTATGGATGGCCGCCTAATTGGTTGTAAGAAGCCATGATTCTCTTCTTTGTCGTCTGATGAGCCTCTCTCTTCGCTAGGAAGTAGGAGTCTCTTCCCCAAGCAAAGAGCCGTGTCAAGACACAGACATGCTCCTAGAACCAACGACACAAACCACAAGATGAGTGCAAACCATGTGCTGCCACCAGAAGTAGCCCAAATAACAGCAGAAGCGCTTGTAATAACAAATATCATAATAGCGACAATAGCTCCAACCCAAGTCTTAGAATTGATTCTCAAACTGAGAGACCACCGGAACACATTTAGTCGAACCTGTGAATAAGGGTTGAGTTGCCGCTCTAGCTTGTCGGATACTGCAGCAGCTTACTTTGAGGAGCTCCATTATTTGGTTATTGACAGTCTAGGCATGCATTGCGGCTACGGCTGGTGCGATGTAACCTTCTTTCTTGAACGCAAACTGTAATAAGCCAACATTCAGATGAGAGATTCCGCAAGAGCTGGGCTCGCGGTATGAACTTAGATGGCAAAGCTGCATTCGGACAGAGCAAAAACCATACGTCATACTCGGCGATCACTTATATACGCTCCCTGGTCCTACGCCGAACAGGGGCAATTCGGGAGTCGTGAAAAACTGCATAGAAGTACTTGAATCAGTATGCTGTCAGGGAGAGCCGGGCAACCCTGAAGATCCCGATCGAAGGATCGATTGCTCCTTCTTTAGAGATACTGTTGTGTGGTTGAGAGATCCGGTATCCAGATATATAATGGAAGGACGACTTATATAGCAACTTCACATGTAATAAGAATGGATCGATAGCGAGAAAAATCGAGCGAGAAACGTTCAATGGGACAACGAGAGATGGATGATACGAGGAAAATTGAACCAAATGACTTTTTGCGATGACTAGAATAAGAGCAGGATGAGCGGTGGATAGAGAGGTAGTACTTGCGAAGAGCGTGGAAAAGATTTCGTGGCCATCTTGCGTGGTAAAGGTGTGTATGTCAAAAGAAAGAACCCAGTGCAGACATTACAAAACAAGCATTTTTCCCTTTTTCTTCTCAAAACTCCGGTGGTTATCGAATTGGTTGTGGTTGCAGGACGGTTCGGGATGGTGGGGGAAAACAGGTCGATCTCGTTACTTTCGTTCATGGGTCTCTTTACGAGGCCATGGCGCGGTTGCCTCCTCTGCGGTTGAAGTTCTTAGTCTTGGCCGAGACGGTGGACCAGCCATCGTCCTCCATGGTCTCGGCTGTTGTCTGGGGCTCCTCGGTCTTTCTCCATGAGTCGGCACCCTTGGCCGGCACCTCGCGTGTGACTTCTTGAGGCTTCACTTGCTTGTCATCGGCAATGGTGCCCTCGGCGTCGGCATCAACACCCTCCTTGTCGTTCTCGTCACCCTCATCCATACGACGCAGGATCTCGTATTGTTTGCTGTCCTCACCCTCCTTCTTCTCGCCCTTCTCAGCCTTGGTAGCGGCCTCCTTAGTACGCTTCTCCTCACGGACCTTGTCATCTGCCTCCTTCTTCTCACGAATTGCCAACTTGCGCTTCTCCTCGATCTCCTGCTCTCTTGCGGAAGTGTCGATAGGGCGGGCGGCACCAAATGGTGATGCCTTGGATGAAGCTGCGGCGTTGTTCTCGGCAGGTGCTTCGGAAACGGTACGCTTTGCGAGGTTGAGTCTGGGTCTCTGTGCAGGTGCGGAAGGCGAAGTAGGGGTGCTGGCGTCGGGCGAAGCAGCAGGCGAGTCGGGCTTCATTCTGGCTCTCCACTTGTCGTCCATGTCTGCAGCAGTGGGCTGTCTCTCGGGTCTAGGGGGTCTTTCGCCAGTTCCGGAAGCGCGGTCGGCAGCGCCCTCACCCCATTGAGGAGCGGCTCTGGGCTCTCTAGGCTCTCTGTTGAAGTTGGATTCTCTGCGCTCACCCATGGGTCTGGGCTCAGCGGGAGCAAGAGGGCCCTTTCTCTCCCAGTTGCCAAAGTCGCGGGGCTTGGAGTCCACGCCCTCAGGGGGTCCTTGTCTGAAGCTGCCAGCTCTGTCACCCATGCCGCGGCGCATACCACCGTCACGCTGTCCAGGGAGATCGGGAAGAGGGCCCTTGCGGGTCCAGTCGTTGAGTTCGCGCTGGGGTTCGCGGTCCTTGGCTAGCGGATACTGTGAGTACGATAGACAAGAGTGAGGTCTTCATGACTTACGTGGGTCGGCAACACTAATGCGGATGTTTCTGCCCTGGAACTGAGTCTCGCTGAGAGTAAGAGCCTTCTTCAGGCCGTCAACGGTACCAAACTCGACATAGCCGAAACCCTTGGGTCTGCGGTCCATCTTGTCCTCAACAATGCGAACGCTGGTAACCTCGCATCCGTCGAGGAAATCACGGACATCGGCCTCGGTGACTTCGAAAGAAAGGTTGCCAAGGTGGGCGGTGTATGGGGGCTTGTCGGGCAGGGGAAGCTGCTCACGAACGGCGTAACCAGCAGTGCGGTCTNNGTAGGCAGCGTGTGAGCCTATGTATGAATCTCATGCGCATGTTGTCTTACCGCGGAAACCGCCAGCAGGTGCATCATCGCCTGCGGGGGCAGCGGGGCGGGAAGAGGCACCCCAGCCGCCGGAAGAAGTGTTGGTGCGGGAAGATTGGTAGGGAGTGGCTGATCATGGCNNGTTAGACGGTCGGTCTTTCGGATTGCGTCAGGTGTGAGTTGGAGAAGACATACAAGCTGCTCGGTGTTAGTTGCGTTCGCTTTCCTGACAAAGCGCATCTTGACGTACCAGGAAGAGGGCAGTTTCCATCTCATCGGCCCATGAGCCGAGCGCTGTGAAATTTCAGCCATGAATGTCTTTGCGACTGGAGCGGATCATATGGCGCATACACTGGTCGTTCAAGAAGTCGCCGAGCGACAACTTCTGCTGTTGCGATTTCTTAGGTGCTAGATTGCAGCCGTGTCAGCGCTCATGGACTTTTTTTGCCTGTCTGTCGCCGCAAACCGCATCGTCCATTTTGACATGTGCGTATGAGGTGCGCCGACCGTATGTGACTAACCCATGATTGCGGAGGTGTTGAAGACGCGCTGTAAAGTGTGCGCGTGTTTTTCTGGGTTTGTGTCTGTAGTAATGAATGCACGAGATGCAGTGCGAACAGAATATCCCAGTCCCTCTCGCTTTCGCTGATCAACGCTGGGGCGCTGAACTTCTTCGCCAAGACACTAGCCCGGACAAGGCAACCCCGACCTTGATTTCCGACCTCTGCTCCTTCCTGCAGTTCTTGTCCATCTTTTATCCAAGTATATTATATACAATGGATCGCAATCAGACAGCTCGATCACCGCAAGCCGAGTCAATCATTGGACCTGCTCTCAAGATTGGTGCTTTCTCTGGTAAGTAAATTTCATGTTTCTTCCTTCTCCGAAACTCAAGCCACAAAATAAAATGTCCACCGGCTCCTTCCCTGTGGAAACATCATGACTTCTGCAGTCTTGAGTTCCTTTCCATATCCGAAAATCAACTCTTCCCTCAGAACTTTCGACTCTGACACACTCTGNCAGGAGCAGCTGGTTTTGTTACTGGTAGTGTTGCTGGTGTCATCAGAAATTCTCCCGCTCTTCTGTTTGGTCTTGGCTCTGGCATCCAGTGGTTCGGCTTGGGTACCACTTATTGGGGTGAGTCCATATGATATCGAAGTAATTGTATCGTACCAACCTTTGCAGGCACAAGGAGCTTCATCTTCCAAGCATGGGACACTGGTAAGGGCTTGACCAAGAGCGACAAGGTCTCTGCTAGCACAATCGCTGGTGGCGTGGCTGGCAGTGGCGTTGGTCTCCTCACCCGTACGTATGACCCACTATCTTTGTTCTCAACATCAACTCACCGCCACAGGTNNGGTCCTCGCAATGTCGTCCCAGGAGCTATCATGTTCTCACTCTTTGGTTTCCTTGGGCAGACCGTCTCCAACTCGTACGACAAGAATGATCTTCCAGCATCTGATGAACCTAAAATGAACTTCTGGCAAAGGTTCGCCAGTCTGAAATGGATGCCTGTCACAGTTCTCAAGGATGGCGAGTATGAGGATATGCTGCGTGAGAGGCAACTCAAACTCGAAGCAGAGATTGCTCTCGTTGATGAGCGTATCGAAGCCCTCAAGGCCCAGCATGCCCAAGCTCTTTCCAAGGACAGTGGTGCTCCTTGAAATGATACTGATGGACGTCCAAGGTCACCAATACACTACTCCAATTCAAGCAGGATGCCATGCTTGGGTTAAAGAGTCAGCTCATGCTACAATCGACATATACCAGGTTGATGTGCTATCCAGCGCTCTCGGGCGAAGGAGGTCTGGAGCGACGAAGCGCCAACACAGCCGGGAAGATGCTTCTGCGGATCGCCCTCTAGAATCCCATCGTGGCGAAGTTTACGACACACGTAAATTGAGCCCATGGCAATGCCAAAAACTTCGCAGCGTGAAGAAGCCGCGAACCGGACTCACAAAACGTGCGAGCAGAAGACTTCAGAGTCTTGAAGCAGGCAAGAGCAGAAAAATAACTTCTCAAACCTTACGGTCATCCCATACACGAGCCTTATTTCTCATCGTTATTCATTCCAATTTTCTCTCATCGTTGTTTGTTTCAATCTTTTCTCGTCACCTTTCATTCCGATTCGCTTCCTCTCATCCCTCCATTGCCAAAGCAAAAAGAAAGTCACTCGTCCACTGGTCAGGGAAGTCCCACTTACCGGAAATCCATTTGTTGCAGTCGATGTTCCGCCCCTCTGCTAGCCACGCCCATGTGCTCTCAGATCTTTACCATCCCGCCTGAAGGTGTTTGTAACAATCCTTTCCACAGGCGCCCCTTCACCCAGACGTTGCTTGAGGACTTTCACCTCTGGCAAGATTTGCACCCTCACCACGAGTCTGACCCTCTTGCCGGTAGAAGAATCTGCGAAATGAAGGTCAGTATTGATGCCGCGGAGAGTTGAACTGTGGTCATTAGTAGTGGTCGGTGTCTGAATTTGGTCAGCAAATTGGAATCGAACAGTGATGGCTCTGACCACTAGACTAAAGTGACTTTGGATGGAGAGAAGATGGTTTGACTGGTTCTTATGACCTGAGGTCTAGGAATGGCCTGAGGGAGGACTCATGAGTGGCATCTTTGATGTGCAGTGCTCCCACCACAACAGCCCGCCACACTTTGACGCTACGCTGCAACTCACGTACGCTTCACTGGCTCCAGATTTGCAGACAACCCTGTCAGTGACAGCTTGCACCCTCTCAGATCTGTTCTCCGACCTCTATATTACGTTGCGCAGCAACTCGTGGACGCATCTTCGCCTTTGCTTCGGCCAGTACCACCCTCAGGACTTCCCTCTACAGATACACAGTCTCTCGAACAAGATAGTCAAACACTCGTTCAACGTCCTGCTGTAAGTCGCGTGGTTTCTTCTGCTTCTACTTGCAACAGCATTGCTGACAGCGCTCAGGTCCGTGCGGTTTTGCACTCTCCCAAAACACCAGTCTTCGCTTCATTCAACGCTCCGCCGCAACTCGCGTCACTCTATCAAGTTGACTTCCGCTCGCATCTTCATCAACGATCTGCTCTTCCCAGACCTGTCCCCTCACTGCAAAACAACCTTGGTTCCATATAACGTTGTGCTGCAACTCACGGCGTTCACTATTATCAGCACGATTCGAAGGGCTCAGTTTCTGTAAGATCGCTCTCTCCCAGTGTTTGCAAATAACATATATTCAACGCTGCGCAGTGACTCGCGTTCGCATTTTTGCCGGCGTTCTTGTCCGCATCACAACCGCTACTTCGATCTTGAGCAGCCCAGCGCTTGACCACTAGTGAACCACCTTCCAACTTGCCTGCTACTGCCAATTTCGATTCTCCAATACTACTCCGCCGATCATCAAACACACTTCATCCAAGTTTGCAAGTCAGGATGTCTGAAGTTATGGGCTTGCGTACGCAGATTATGGGTAAGATCTTTTGATATTCGTTTTACTTTACTCAATGCTGACTGTTATAACTCAGAGAACATCCTGGCTATCCAGCCTCAATTGCTCGAACCCAGATGGCTCTTGTACTGCGAGATGAAGGTCACCGATGAGTTCAATGAAGGTGACTCGGGCGAGATCATCAACCCCGATGATCAGATCTACACAAAGTCACATGCCAGTGAAGACAGCAAACACGGTCACGAGCTGTACACCGTCGTTCTGGCTTTAAATGAGCGCTTTGGCCAGACCACCTCCATCCGCATCCACAAGGCCTCTGGAACCACCCCAGAGAAGGCCTACAGAGAGTTGCTCATAAACTGCTATGGCACTGACCGACAGCGGCCATGTTGCCATGTAACGATGCGAGGACCGGGTCGATAACGGTGGTATTTTGGGTGATACTTCGTAGCGTCGAGTCTCCTGTGGAGCCCACGTAGATAATACTCAATATACCGAAAAATTGTGTCGAACGCGCGGGATGGTGCCCTTTGCTACTATAGTCGGTGACGTGAGCTACTCTGGAACGTTTTGCGTGAGTCTGTCGGGTTGATAACGGGGCTTTTTCGAGTCGTACTTCGTCGCATCGGATGCTTCTGGTGAGCCCACGTAGATAACAATCGATGTATTAAGAGGATTGTCTCGATCATGCGGGATTGTGCCTTGTAGTTGTTTGGTTAACGACGTGAGCTACTCTGGACCGTTTTTGTAGATTCGTCGGGTCGATAACGAGGTTTCTTTGAGTCGTGCTTCGTAGCGTCGAGTCTCTTGTAAAACCCACGTAGATAACATTCAATATACTAGAAGTTTATATTGAACGCGCGGGATTGTGCCCTTTGCTACTATAGTTAGTGACGTGAGGCTATATGTTTTGTAGAATCGAGCACACCAGGTCGACGACGTAAGCTCTTTGAACTTGTTTTTCGTAGTGTCGCGCGCTGTAAATGAATGCGCATAGATAATGGTCAGTATACTATAAAGTCATGTCGATTACACGGGATTGTCAACTACTGTTGTCTCTGTATGCAACAAAGCACTTTTTGCTACTTGTAAAAATGCACAAACATGTTTGATATCAGAACTATGTCCAAAGAAAGCCCTAGGTATACTCCATCTCAGTGGACACATCCTAGTTCTGAATATCATTCTGCATTTTGATAGTGAGATTTACTAGGTCTCTTCCACGTGAGATATAGCCTTAGGCTCAAAACTATTAGATATCGGTTACTCCTATATAGATCTCACATTTTTCGAAACTATATAAATGCATAAACATGTTTGATATCTTAGCTGTGTCCAGGGAGAGCTTAGAAAATAGTCATTTCGTTAGACATGGCTTATTTCCAGATATTATCCTGCATTTTTATAGTGAAGTTTATCGTACCTCTTTCAAAGGAGATAAAGCCTTTGGCTTGACATTTTGTTACTCCTAGAAATATACCAAGTGTCTTTGATGCCTGTAGAAATGCATAAATATGTTTGATATCAGAGCTTTGTCCAGAGAGAGCTTGTGAAGTTGCTTGTCTCAATACACAACGTCATATTTCTGGATACTATTCTGTATTTCCATAGCGAGATATCATCAATATCTCTGATAGGAGATCGAAAGAAACACATGCCTAACCTTTATCCCCAGACGCCATCAAAGCGTTATCAAAAGCTGTGGGAATGCATAAGAGTATCAGGAATCTGGAGTCTGTCCAGTGAAGCCCATTGAGGTGTATAGAATTCAGTGGAAATGGCCGATTTTTGGAGATTATGCTGCATTTTTATAGCTAGATTTGGTGGATGTCTTCTATAGGAGATCGAAGCCTGGGTTTGATGTAGAACCTGTGCCTGACCTTTATCTCACGAATGCATCAAACATTATTGTTATTGTTAAATGTAGAAATGCATGGTAGTATCATGAATCGGGAGTCTATCCACTGAAACTCATCGAAGTCCACAGATCTCAGTGAAATCACTTTGGTTTTGGAAACTATTGTGCATTTTGATAGATATGTATAATCAGTGAATGCGATTGGGGATATGATTGACTTGACAAGCTGCCTGAGCGGGCTATGTTCGTACAATGAGATATGATACGCTCCCCGTGTGCTGACCTTACCAGCAAGCTGTTGTATAAATGCATGATGTAATCGACATATGGAGTTCGTTCCAGAGAAAATCAAGATCTCATTGCTCTTTCTCTGAACATGTCTCAGATGTCGAAAAACACTGTGTCTTTTTATAGCCGAGAATGTACTGCTTTGTTGATGTGAGACAGGGGGTAAGACTCGCATATGGTCGCAGTCCCTTCGCTTCCATATAAAGATGTGGCCAACAATCTTCCTTTCTCTCAAAACTCATAATTCAAGTCATATTAGTCTTGTCAAATCAATCTCACAACCTCAAACCCAACATGTCTGTCGTCGACGTTTTGACCCATCGCACACTCATCCGTGGTAGATATAAATCAAACCTCTTCTAACTTGAGCCAGACGCTAACCGTTTTGCAGACAACCTCGCGTTCGTAGAGAACATCAGATCCGACAAGATAGAGTTCCTTCTCTCTCTCAATCGATATGTGGGCTGGACTCTCGAAGCCTATTATATTGCTTCCGGTATGGTCGACAAGGCTACTTTATCTGCATGCCGCGGCCGCAGTCCGGAAGAGGCGTACGAAGAGATGCTCTATGATACGGCGTTGCATGTTGAGCAGATTAAGCAGCAAGAGGAGGAATGGGATTATTAGGACGATTGGTGTCGGTACGTTACTTCCTTGGTTGCTTAATGTTATCTCCTGACTCTTTCCCAGATCCCTGTTGAGAAATCGCTGTTGATCAATCAGCAGTTGCAACTGTGGCTCATATCTGGGCATCGATATCTCGCCCAGTTTCATCGTGCCATGCCATCTCCAGCTCCTTAGCGATCCATCTGGCATTCTCACATCCATCGACTGTGTCATAATCCATCTCTATCCTCATTGAACATCTAGGTCGGACGCCGAATAGGACAGGTGGGAAAATCTAGGGGCGAGCATCTGCTGTAGATATATGAGGTTTTCACATCGAATGTCGAATCAGAATTGTTCCACTGATACCAATACCTACTTTCCCTGTTGTCTCGTTATTACTTGCTCCTACTATTCGAAGATGATTCGTGTTTGTTGACGCAGGTTGTCCGTCCAATCTGAACTGTTGTTTGCAGAAGCAGGAGCAAACGTGAAGCTCGGCGGCAGCAGCACACTCGTTCGAACCTCTCAACAACCAAAACAATTCTTTCTTGTTTCCACTCTCGTTCCACTCTCATTCCACAACCGCAATTTGCACCAAAAGAACACAAAGATGTCGGAGATCATGACTCTGCGCACTCTCATCTGCGGTAAGCATGCATATCTCGAAGATCTTTGGCAGCACGCTGACCACACCAAGAAAACATCGCTACCACTTACGACATCAACTTCGAGCCCCAGTTTCTTCTCGCCTACAATGCTGGCACTGGAATCTGGACTGCTGAAGTTGGTCGTGGCTCTGGTCTCGATACCCCTTTCGGCAGAACTTACCTAGCTGGCCAAGGCACCACTCCAGAGGATGCATACAAGGAGCTGTTGAAGCTTACAGCCACCAAAGTCAACAACAGTGGTCGCCATATCTACCTGCACTAGACCCATTGGAAGGTTCGCTTGCTATATCACCTGTAGATGGTTGAACACTCGCTCATGTCATTCTAGAGCCACAAGAGAGGATCCGAGAATGACATGATACGTGGACAGAATCACCGATGTGCTCTTCCATCTCTTTGAAGTCATCGACTTCTGCTGGTCCTCCTTGTATAATAGCTTTCTCTTGTCCACAGCACGATGCTCCGACTGAAGAACGAGAAGTCACTTTCGAGCTCCATTATGCCCTTCCAATCGAAACATTCAGTTCCCTTTCTTCCCTTTGTCACTTCTGATTGTGTGTGTTTGTGCAACTTCAAGCAAGCGTCCGTGAGGGGGTTCTTACCAGCAATAGTTGATTCTAGATGCTACTTGATTTTTGACTGCTCGAGTGAAAGGAATCAGGAGGTCTCTCTATGTATATGATACGGCCACCACACGCTCTTCTGGTATGTTCCTCCTCCCACAACGCACTCTAAACAGGTAACCACATAAGATGGCAGAGATTCTGGTTCTTCAAGCTCAGATCCGCGGTAAGGATAACAACAACATCGACTTTTGCCAGTATGCTGAACTAATCTTCCATAGAGAACTTCCTAGCCACTCACAATGTCACCCAAGTTCAGTTCTCTGTCGCCTATGTTCCCAACACCAATCCTGGAGTTTGGGTCGCCAAGCTTGGTCACTTCAATGGTTTCGGACAGAGTGTGACTTATCTCGAGGCTCATGGCGAAACTCCTGTGCAGGCATACAAAAACTTGTTGCAGATGACGTTCGACATGGGTGCTGAAACTGAATCGGATAGAACTGGAGGTTGAAGAGGTTGGTCTGATCGCTAGCTCGGGTTATTGACAAGCAAGTTTTCTGACATGCTCATGCGCAGAAAACCACTATCGACTGTCTTCGTTCCTGCCTTCTTGTTGGCTGATCCTTCCTTCAATTTTGGCACATCAGCATGTACAATCAGGGGGTCGAACCCTATCACAAACTTTGAAGTTTGACCACAAAGACTTCGCACTCTGTTCTCTACTCAGGGCCCTGCTTGTTCACCCAGGAGTAGATTTCTTGTTGTGGTTGGTCAGTCGCTGTATCAAATGCAAAATGGATGATTATGTGCGCTTATCGCTCCTGCTTGACTGTCGACCTCTCTTGAAGCTCATTAGTACCGACACTGTTTGTCATTACCCCTCGCCAGCTGCAGCCATCCGGAAGATACAAGATACATGTCTACTTTTCTGTTCCTGATCAGCAAGATTGACTGTTCGATGCAAGCGGTATCTTAAAGCTGTTTGTGTGTGCAAACAGAGAGCTTGCTACCAACAACCGGTGTCCCCCTCATCAGATTCTGCATAGGCATCTTGCTTCTCTCTTCCTGAATGTCCCAACGACCCATTTCGCCTTACGATATTCTCAGGCATCACAGACAATAACTTAATATGTAAGGATGATATGGATGACAAGGTACCATGTCTGCCGAACTCGATGCTGATACGCAGCAAAAGCAGAAAACTCCGTAGCCACTCGCAACTTCGAACCTCGGACGAGATGCATAAGATCATGATTCTTCGCGAGCTGATCGTCGGTACGATTTCATCTTTCAAGCTTCTACATCATACTGATGCAGTGACAGAGAACTCCAATCTCCTGAGACATGCCTCGATATCTGGCTACCAGTTCTACACTACCTACAATGGCTTGGATTCTTGGACTGTTGCAATGCGCACTTTTTCGTCTCGCAATCACG